ATAAATATAAGTAATACTATAAAATAATCTTATAAGATACTTATTATACCTATTAATAGATTTATTTAGAGTAATAGTTCTTTTACTAGTTTTATTTATATACTTATAATTACAAGGTATTATCTCTTTTTTATACTTACTAGCTTTTTTAGTAATATATTATAAATGCTTTTATTACTTATAAGACTATATTTCTTAATTAGCTCCGTTTATACTAAGACAAGATCTATATAAATATATATAATAATTTAATAAATATTTTTATTCGTAAGGATATCTTAGTAACTAATCTAGGTTAGTAATTTATTCTTTTATTTTCTTTTATAAATAAAGATTAGTTTATATAGTAGCTTTTTTAAGATTTAATAGCTATTATTTATTATTTTAGAAAGCTTATCTTTTTTATTACTTTTATAACTAATTTATAATAGCTAGAGATTATCTAGGAACTACGTAACTTATAACTTATAAACTAGCTAGATCTAATTATTCGCGTATTTTAACTCAAGATTTAAGAGCTTTTTATAGATCTCAAGAATGGCCTTTTTAAACTATATACGGGCTATATTTATATAATTAAGTACTAGAAATAAGAGCTTTCATATTTATACTTATTTTTATTTTTATAAGTATTTATAAAGTTTAATATACCTGAGTATATAAATAAGGTCATATATACTAAGCTACTGGATCCATTATAGAACTCTATAAGCAAGCTTCTAGCCTTAGTTATAAGTAATATATCTCACGGTTTATATAGGGAAAATTATATACGAGTCCCGTATATGATTTATAGAGGAGCTTATAGCCCATTAGTATATTCTAAGAGGTTCCTAAAGGCTTTTACGGACCATATTATAATTCACGAGAATAGCTATCCTGAGTATTATTACCGGAATAATAGGCAGATATTTATAGTTTATAAACCTAATACTTGGAACTAGTAAGTTATTTATAATAATTACTAAATTATTTCATATAACCCGTATTTTTTCTAGAAATTCTACTTATATATTAATATAGAAATATATATCTTAATTTAAGTAATTAAGTATATTTATAAGTATATATATAAAAAAGTAAACTATATAATAGTTATAATTATAACTATAAATAATAAGATTACCTAATATATATATGCTTATTATATGAGTTTATATAAGGCTATTTAGTAGTTATTTAAATTTCCTATATACTAGAAATTTTTTCCTATTTAGTATCTTATAATTTATCTTAAGAAGAAGTAAATAGTTTACTTTCCGGATAATATTTTTCTTATAGCCCTAGCTATAAAAACCGCAAATACTTATTTAATCTTAATAGCTTTCTTTAAATATAATATTATATATAAGAATAGCTAGTAATACTTATACTTAAAGTTTCTAGCCCACTTTATATAAGTTCTAAAAACTTGCACGTGAAAGCGCTATTAGCAGGGTAATAATAACCGGATTAGCTATATATATTACTATAGCTCTATTTTAGGCAAATAGTATTACTTATAATTCTTACTTATAATTATTTACAGCCCGTAGTCTTTTATAGATCTATATTTAGTTAAGAGTATTTATTACTTAATATATTAGGCTATTTATATTACCTATAGCTTAGTAAAAAATAATTAGGAATAGTACTAGTATTTTAATAAGGCTATTCTATTTATATTTGCGAGTAGTTTACGAATATTATTCTTAACTAGCCTTTACTAGTAACTAATTATGGACCTATTAGTAATCTGGAACCGGTATAAGTATTACTTTTATAATAATCTCTAGTACTAGCTTACTCGTAATAATAGTTTCCTACTTTTATTTCTTAACTCATATTATAATTATAGCCTTTTCTTATTCGCGCGTGGGCTTATAAACTAGTAATAATTACTTGCGAATTACGGGCTCCTATTTTTTATCTGAAATTAGACTAGTAGGTACTATTTCTTATTTATATTATATATTCTCGAGAACTAGGTATTACTTATAATTATAATATAAGCCTAGCTTAATCCTAATTAGTAATTGTACTTTACGGAGATTATTATAGCTATTAAATTAGATCCGTAAATAGCCTACTTCTACTTATAAGGGCCAGGAGATATAGGTAAGATATTCTTATATAAGGTACTTTACTATTACTTTTATAAATAAGGGCAGATAGTTTTTTATATAGTATTTACGGGTATTATGGCTCTCTTATTACTAAATAAACATATGTCTCACTCCTAGTTTAAGATTCTAATTAAGCTTTATAAATTATTTATAAGTTCTATTATAAAGTAAAGTACTTTTAGATAAATTCTCTGATTTATGAATCTTATTATCTGGGACAAGGTACTAATATAATATAAGTACTACTTTAAGGTTATTTATTAGCTCTTAATAGATTTATAGTCCATAGTAAATAATATTCTTTTTAGAGAAGTACCCGTAATTCTTAATAAGAACTTTGCCTAGATTTTTCTAGTTATATTATATGATTTATAAGTAAATATTATTACTACGTGCCTTTAATAATTATTTATTTAGCCATGGCTTAAGTAGCTTTACTTATAGACTAATATACGGGTCTATAAGGGCGAGAATAACTAGAAGTTTATTTACTAGATTAGTAAATTACCTAATAACCTAGACCTAAATAGAATAGTAGTAATTCCGGACTATATAAACTAGCTAGTATTAATTACGGATCTAATTAGCCATATTTATTTCCTAGATCTTCTCTCCCGAACTATTACGGATTTATTAATCTTTTATGGGCAGTATTTCTTGACTATATTAAATACTATAGTCTCAGAGCTTAATACTTATATTCTTAGATATTTACTAGGCTAATTACGGATATACTAATTAGTAGATTCCCTAAATACGGACGAGTTTTCGGGTAATAACTTATATGAGCTACCTATAGAATAGTTATAAAATATTAATTTCTTTTCCTTACTATTATCTTAGCTTACTTTTAAGATTAGGGCTCCGGTACTACTCTTATAAAACTTATATCCGCAAGAAAATTTATGTAATAGGACCCGGATAATAGTTATAAGCTTACGGGTATATTATATTAAGGCCCGCTTACTTAGAGGGAATTTTGACGGCTAGTTACGGATAATTTCACGGATTAAGCTATTTATTATAAATACTAGCCTAGGGATTACCCTTTCCCGGAAGTAGTTCCCGGTTTATTTATGCTTTATAATAACTATTAATAAGTTATAAGATTAGTTCTTTTATACTATTAGTTTAGACCTATAGATACCTATATTTACTTACGGGTAGTTTTATATAGGAATTTCCCGTATATTATTTATAGAAGGCTTAAGTATTCTTCTATTATGCGAGAACCTATCTAGAATACTTAATATAACTTATCCTAAGGTCTTAGCTAATTTACTTTAGTACTTTATTTCTTACGGATACCTTACGGGTACCGGGTGGCCTTACGGGTCAGGTTAAGGGATTTAGGGATTTATAATTATTCGTAATTACCTATAAGTATTTATATCTATTTATAAGTAACTTGTAATTATTACTTTAAATGTTTTAGGGCTTAAATAAACCGAGAATATTATACTATTAGGTATTAAAAGTATATACCTCTTTTAGGTAACTCTTTATAGGATTTATAACTCTTCTTCTCTTTCTCTCTTCCTCTTTCTTTTTCTCTCTCTCTCTCTCTCTCTTTCTCTCTCTTTCCCTTTCTCTCTTATTTCTCCCTATTCTCTAATACTAGTACCAAATAATTCGTCCTCTTTTCCTTCTCTAGTATTTCCGCCTTCTCTTTATAAAGAGCCGCTAGCTCCCTATAGAGCTTAGCGAAATGGCGTGCCTTCTAAAAGAGAGTAAGTAAGCGGCGGCGGCGAGTAGTAGTAGTGCGGCGGGCTATTTATATATTAGTTATAGTCCGTAATAATCTATAGCGGGTATATATATATAAAGATAAGTTACTAGGAATAACCTGGTTAATTATATAACTACTAGTAATAATCCGGGAAAGTAAGAGAGGGTTAGCGGGAGCAGGGGCGGGGCCGGTAGGAGTAGTAGTAATACCTATAAGTATCCGTTAAATTAGTTACGGTTCGTAAAATATTATATAAAAGTACTTACGGAAGAAGTAGCAGGCACCCTCACTACTATAATAATAGTTAGCGTAGCTTCTACCAAAAAAACCAGCCATGACTACACACACTATCCACACACCCGACCCGCCAGTACAATATGTATACCCGGCAGGGTGAACTTGACTAACGAATTGGCCAAGCTCAGCCTCCAGGTTAGCAGGCCGGGCGGGGTTAGTGGTGCGGCCGGGCCGCAAGACAGGCACACTGCGGGCGGCGAGGAGAGAGAGGGAGGCCATGGTGCGGGTGGGGCGGGGCGGGAGGGCGGGCAGGGCGGGAGGGGCGGGCGGCAGCGGCGGCGGCAGGCCAGTAGCAAAGTTTGCTGCCGTAGCAGCAGTAATAGCAGTAGTGGCGGCGGCGGTAGCAGATGGTAGAGAAGACATTCTACGGACCGTAAGGAGCGTTACAGGCCAGGGGCAGGCCCGTAGCGGGTATGGGGATTGACTTACGTGTGCGTGTGTATATGTGTGTTTATTAAAGGAAAGAAGCTTTGGAATTCGAAATTAAAACCTACCTTATTTAGCTTACCTGGAAAATTTTTAGCCTTTAAAAAGTGAATTTTCAAAGTGAATTTAAAGTCAGTAAAGCTGATATCCCTTAAATAAGTGCCTGAGGCTTCCAATTAATCTCGAATCGAGATCAGGGCAAAATTAAAGACTGGCCCCTACGCAAGCTTCGGGGCCAGTCTTTAATTTTAGCGAAGCGGCCCAGATCTCGTGCCCCGATATTCGCATTCTACACTTGGACGGCTTCGGCTTCCCTGACCACCGCCATATAAGCTACTATCTACCGCTTGATACTTCATGGTGGACAAGATGTGACGGGGATGCAACACCAAGGCAAGCATGTTATTTCCCTTTGCGGCAACAGGCGGTCATTCATAAGATGCGAGAAAAGTTGTTTGTAAAGCTAGATAGCATTTTCCACCCTAATGAAGGACAATCCGTCTGGTCTTTGACTTGTTAGCTTCCCAGTAATCCTCCATCATCCTGAGATCCTCAAATTTTCCTAGCTCTTTGGTTTTCTCATAATGATCCAATATCTTAGGATCATTTACGCCCTTGAGATCCTCCGGTTCTACTCCCGCTTGTGATAAGGGCAGCTCACCCGGAGCAGTGCCCACAAGCCGCCATTCGCTGTCCTCTGGTCGTAAGATAAATCTGAACGCAGCACCCTTGATATAACAAATCATGTCGCCCAGCTCCGGCAATACACCATGGCCTGTCCTTCCAAAATTACCGTGATCGTCTTTGTACACGGCGTACTGAAGGTTCTCCTTGATCATAGCGCAGCCGCCGCATAATTTCTGTAGCATGTCCAAATCGCCGTCATACTGCCGAATATTCATCAATGTCCTGTAAACTTGTTCGTCGAGACCAATGACAAACATCCAGCTCCGCAGGTATGAGGCTTCCAAGCCCGCGTCTAATGCCTTACAGCCAAATATCTTCGTTTCGATAGCCAGAAGATAGTAGGATACCTTCACGACAGCCTGCACGATTGTCACGATGGATTCTTTGGATGGGGTATCGAGATGGACGGATTCCTCGGATTCGAATTCGAGCGTTAAGTATTGGGGGAATTCAACGGGGAGGTATATTGGCCTAGTTACTAGCACGATACGGCAGAGAATTGTGCATTCTACCTCAATTTTGCTGTTGTCTTCCAGAAACCTCAAGTAGGAAGCCTTGCCCAAATGGATATCGGCGACAGGAAGACCGTACTTCCAGTCTGGCACCCAAGAGGGAAGCCCTGGCCTGGAGCTGGAGCAACATGCTAGAATTTCCAAATATCTCGTCTCTTTCAGGATGTATGTCGCGTAGTCCCAGAAAACTTTGTCTGCGCTATAGGTGTAGTTTGGTTGTAGATGAGGTGGGAGACTTTCAGGTGGTAAGAGGCCTAGAAATGCATATATCTTGTCTCGTGCATCCGTGGCTTCAAACCCTGCAGAACCCTTCGCTAGGAATAGGGATAATTGCTCTATAGGAGTGAGACGAGTCTTTCCCGTGATGATCTCGTGCCGAAGGCGGCGCAGTTCAAATATCCAAATAATGCCGGCAGGATTTCCTTTGGAGACAACCGGTAGCGTATCAAACTGTGTTGTCGGAATTGCAAGGTTGGAGAGTGGGATTGAAGACTGGCCACAAACGATAATGGGGTGGTTAGGCCCGGCTATGTAATCCTCTGGCGTCATGCACACTACTGCTTCTTGTATTACCCATGTTCTCGTGAACCACGGGCGGCGCAGCAAGGCATCCACAAGAGAAATCTCTTTGAAGAATGTTTTACCAAGTTCCTCTCTGACTTCTTGGTCGTACTCTCCCTTAGCTATTTGCCAGAAAACTCGTCTGCTAGACGAAAGGCCGAATTGACCTCATCCCCGGTGTAAGGTGCCCACTCCCCAATCCAAATAACCACTCGCGTAGCCTGCTCATATATATCCTTCATCCGCAGGACCTGGGAACTTCGTTCGTCTAGGTCAAGCTGGTTAATGCCAACCGCATCAACCCAAAGTGTCCTCGACCCTTCTCTGCGTCGCAAATGCCGAATCGCAGATTCCAAGTTTTTGGTGATGGGATACGAGGCACCATTGAGTGTCATGGGGGATGTTTGGGTGGCATCACCCCAAACGTATGATAGAGCTTCGTAGACGGGGCATGCACTCACTCAGTGAGACGTGCTTGAGCCTGCAACAGATAGGGTCGTTGAAGGCACCCGGCGGAAGGATCAGCAGGCGAATTTCGTCTCCGAGGAGTGGTCGATGAGATAGTGCTCCCTTGAACTGGTCCATGATTTATCACAATGCGATATATCAAGCACGCAGTGTGACGGCGGGATCAAGGCAATGGTCAAAAGGGCTCAAAGTTCCGAGAATCCCATGTATTGAGAATACTAAGCTAAAGAGAAGAAAGAGAGAGAGAGAGAGAGTGTGAGAGAGATAAAAGGGGGAAATACTAGCTAAACCACTGAAATGCCGGCGCCAGGTGAAACCAGTCATGTGACAGCCACCCCCATACAACCCTAGCTAGCGGCGTCACAAGGACGATCGACAGCATAGCCAGACTGCAGTATTTTTCTGACTGCAAGTCGAGCTCTTGTAGAGAAATAGCTAAAGAACAATAGCAAACTGATTATAACTTTATATATTTATGTGGTGGAGATTTAAGACCCCCAAACCGTGCAGTCTTTTCGGCACGCAGGGATGGACGTTACGACACGTGTTGGAATTGCGCCAGCTTCATCGCAAAGAATGGGACACGAAATATGAGAACCAAGGACATTGGCTTTCATATACTAAAGGGATGTTAAGGCACTTTGCATTGGCGTCGTCTTGTAATATCAGTTGAAGCTTAGATTCAATGCTAATGCATGTACAACTCGACCTTCTAAGCCAGAGAGAGGAGCGCTTGTGACCTAGCTTTCTAGGAAACGAGTGATCAATTTTGAGATCAAGAGGCTAACCACAGCGGCACAAACTGAAGATTGGGAGCAAGGATGCCCCCCTAATACTTGGCACAGCCACAATGAATCCACCGTTTGCTCCCGAAACAAAATTGACACCAGAAGATCCTGCCAAGAAGTGGCTGGTGAGGTGGAGGAAGCGGAGATGCATGTGAGGGGAGCGCCGCCTCGTCACGCCAGTTTCGATCCAAGTGCGGGGTGATCATTACTTAATTGAGAATTTTCGACAAGTTCTCGATCGTGGTCTTTTTTGATGACGGAATCGAATGCGTGAGCTGTGAGCTGTGAGAGGCGTTGTTGCAAATTTGACAGGCGGAGAATGCGCGGAGGTGCGGATACTTGTTTGCTTGAAAGCGGTACACGAACATCCATTTTCATATCATCGTTTTGTGAGACAGCTCAACCGAGACTCCTCCTACCCGGATGCTTGCGTTGGGATGTGGTTTTCCGGTAGAATCTAAAAGCGATGATGTTTCCCGGGGAATTTGCGGGGGGTTCGGATCAACACAGGGGTAGGTACAACACGATACTGTACGTCACACAGATGCCATTCTTGGAAATGCCATCTAGCTTCAGGCCGGCCAACGCAACGCGTTCCCTCACGACGGAATTTGAGCTTTGAAATTTTTGCAGTTGAAGGTTCTAGATACTTGAATCATGACGTGCATATCCACTCTCGTGACCTGAGTTGGAGAGTTTGATTACTTTAATTGTCAGAGGTCGTGGAGAAGATGAGCTAAGCTGCTTTGGGGATGTGATTTGCTTTCAGGGGTAGAATTCGGTTACTGTAAGTTTGCTGGGGATGCAACGTCCACGTCCATCCGCGTCGGGAACAGCGATGCAGAGCATCTACATTCAATGAGGTGACATTCAAGCGCCCAATCATGGAGCTCTACGTCCACGAAGGCCGGCAGAGTGGAGCATCCCAGAATCCCAAAGGCGTTACTCTAAATTCACCCGCACGGCTTCAGGAGAAGACGCTCCTCGCTAGCACCGAGTGACGTCAAGCAAGCAGGACCTCACAGGCGCGTCGTCGCCCAAAGACCAAGTTAAGCTGATCTCATCTTCCAAGCCAGCGCACCAAGGTTGCGACATCAATCAAAAGACTTTGCTTCCCTGCCCGCTCTCCTTTTCTCTTCATACCACTCCATCTTACTCCACACACTTGCACCCTCTCCACAGATCGTATCGAGAGATACTCATATCTCCCTCTGTGACCGCATTTCATTCCATTTCTTTCAGTGATACCCAAGCGCTTCCATTCGTCATCATGTCGTCCCAAGTCAACAGACCTACCAATGTCAAAGCCAAGGAGGAGGATGTCAATCGCAAACTCCAGTTCTACGGCATCTTCGCTGCCTTCCGAGCTGGCAAAGTCCCATCCGTAAGCCACTAGCTGATTCTACTCACCAAAATAGTACAATTGCTAACGCTTCTTGCAGAATGAGCAAATCGATATCGCCCTCAACAGTTTCTTAAAGTCCAAGGCTCTCGCCAACCCATCCCAAAAGCTCTCGACCGAAGGTCGTGCTTTGGTGGCCGATTTCCGCGATGGTGCGTAGTCAATGATTTCATGAACCCCAGGATAGTGTTCTCAAGTCTCTTGGAACAATCTTCTCTATTTTCCAGTTCTTCGGAAACAACATACCAGACAATTACTGACTTGTCCTGTTCAGTTGTCGAACAAGCTAAATACCTCCTCCTTACCAAGAACGAAGGCAACCTTCTGCAAGATTTCATCTGGCAGTCGCAAAAGATCACTGGGGCAGACGCCTCCCTCCCAAATGCCCCGGTTGATAAGGATACCGCCAAGCAGCATGGCAACCAGGCATTGGAAGGTCTACGCACACTCGGTACATTGATCATCACAAATGGCCAATTCAGAAAGCTCTTGAATGATGCCACCATCCTCATCCGCGATATTGCCGGTGACGCCGCCCAGAAGGCAGCTTCGAAGGTCAACCCATCTGACGAGGCATTGAGCCAAATCGACAATCCTGCTGATGACAACACCTGGCATGATACCCCTGATCTATCAACCGGAAATATCAAGCAACAGATCAAGTCTACATACAGCAAGAACGCCCCAATCAACAAGAATGACCTTCAGGATGCTGTTGGAGATGCTAGCCAAGCGGCACACCCAGAGGGTTCTCGTAACCCCGCCGACACCGCGGATTTGGCCAACCGAGATCAGCACAAGGGTACTAGCTCAGGTCTTGACGCTCAGTCTGGACTACAGAACGGCGCAGCCACCCTTAAACAACGTACCTCTGATAATATCCCAGAGGACAAAAAGGACAAGGCCCGCGAAACCAGAGAGCGCACCAAGAACTACCTCAGCAAGAAGATGCCCGAGGAGCGCCGTGAGCAGACCATCTGGCGTCTCAAGAAGCTCGTCATCGAGATCCAAGGACACCCCGATTATGAACAAGCCATCAATACTCTACTCAACCTGGCTGAGACATATGCTGGTCACGCCAATACCGTTGGCCAGAATGCCACTGGCACTGTTAAGGATGTTCACGGAGACGATTCCTTGAAGCGTGCTGAGGCTGACTTGAAGACACTCATCGAGCGATTCGCCAATGGCACATCCACCAATGACTTCTTCGACGCCATCAACAACATCTACAGTGATGCTGATAAAGACCCTGAATTGAAGTCCTGGTTCAAGCAGATCGATGCTTACATCAGAAAGTGCCTCCAACAACAAGGCTACATTATGGAACCCCGTGCTACAGATGAATGGAACAAGCTATATGACCACGGAAATTTCCTCCTCCGTGATCGTTACCGCAACCACACAGACCGTATCGTTGACGAGATCAAGTTCCTCGCAGACCAATTCGATGCTGACCCAATGAACAAGCGTTTCGGCGAATCCATCAACAAGTTGTTTACCGACCTCGGCAATGATGAGAACGGCAAGCCAACATTCAAGCCGCACTTGGTCAAGGATCTCACAGAGGTTATTCTTCCCGCCGCTTTCGAAGGCATCCGCTACGTCCCGATCCCAAGAATCGAAGTTTCTGATCCTCAGATCGATGCTGTCGTCGAGAACTTGGTCATCGAAAGTGACAACCTGATGCCGAACATGGTCGAGATTGCAAATGGTAAGTCTCACATCGAATTGGTGTAAGACTCTTACTAACAATGTCAGACAACTACTTCAGATGGGGGCGAAAGAAGATCGCCAACAAGAACCAAAACTCGATTGAATTCTCCGTATCTGGCATTCAGATGGACTTGAGAGATGTCTCATACTATGTCAAGAGAAAGCAGGGTTTCCCTAGCATCACCGATCTTGGTGTTGCCAATATCTTCCTGGGTGGATCTGGACTCAGCTTCAAGATGAAGTTGTCAACCGCCGACAAGTCTGACCGCCAGAACTTCTTCAAGGTTGACAAAGTCAGCGTGAGTAGTCACCCTATCTATTTCTTTCGATTTCCTTGGCGGCTTGCACACATTCAGAATATCTGCCCTCCGAACGTTCTTGGCATCTCTGGTAGATTGAGATTCGAGAACAATGCTGACAGGAGTTTTAGGTTGATGTCAAGAACTTCAATATTAAGCTCACAAAGTCTAAGCACAAGATTTTGTTCGCTTTTGCCAAGCCAATCCTCTTGAAGGCTCTCCGCCCTGCTTTCCAGAAGGCTATCGAGAAGGCCATTAAGGATCAAGCACACCAGCTTGATTCCTATGCCTATCAAATCAAGGTTGAGGCTGATCGCGCTCAACAAGAGGCTTTGGAGAACCCCGAGGACGCACCGAACATTTACAATCGCTATGTCCAAGCCATGCAAAAGAAGATCTTGCAAGGAAAGCAAAAGGCCCAGGCTGCCGGTGAAAGAGCTAGCCAGGCCAAGGTCAACATGGCCATCACCAAGCAGGACTCAATTTTTCCCGACATCCATCTTCCAGGTGGTATCTCCTCAAAGGCTACCGAGTACAAGGAGCTAGCATTGAAGGGCAACGACTGGCAATCCCCAATCTTCAAGCTCGGCTCTGCTTCCACGACCTCGGACATTCCTCACGCCCCTCAAGTTACCCGCAAGGCCCACAATGTAACTGAAGGCGGCATCCAAGGCCCCCAAAACATCGGCAATACCAACTCCATGAGCAACCAGCTTAGCAATCGGGCCGGCACCACCAACGGCTCTGCCACAACCAGCTCTACGGCGTACGGCACTCAAGGCTTCAGCAACCAAGTTGACCAAGTCTTCAGCAAGGAGGGAACCCCCATCGGCGCCACGAATGGCAAGACCAACGGCAAGACGACCCTCGGACAGAACAACCCTGTCTACTCTGGTACTGCCTAAGCAGTTCGGTGATAATAAATGGGTCCTAACGGAACGGCCTCAGAGTCCTTTCTTTCAACATGGGGGATTTGTTTCTTTGATGATACCACTACAGCGAATACCAATATGAGGCTGCGTTCCCATAATGGAGGGGAAGGGGATGGATATTCGTCTTTCACACGTAATTATTTCATGAGTACCTTGTTCTACAACATTTCTTGAGACATTTAAGCTATGCATCTTGTCTAAGGGGTTGGATTAGGGGTCAGGTGGTTGGTAAACGGAAAGAAAGAAAGAAAACTAAATTGTGCTTTTTATGAAGCTTTGCTAGCTTCCGGTTCTTTTCAACTGCATAGGATAGGTGCAGTAATAAAAGTGCCTTTAGCGACATGACTCCCTTCATTATGACACTTACTTGGAATAAAACCTGGTGGGTAAAACTTCGACATTTGCCCAGTATCTGAATCTCGTTGTACCAGAAAACTTGGTACGTTGAGCTCGATTGCAACAAAGCTCTTTGCGAGGACTGGGGGATGATTCACTTGAGACGTGGTCGATTAGAGAATACTACCTTTCAACTGAAGGGTAGCCTCCAAATTGCTTCGAGGGTCTTCCTATTTCTGGTTTGACCTCGTACACTTGAAAATATTACCTGGTACACTTGACCTAGTACATACACCTTGACTTTGTTGCTTAGGAAGTACATAAGAAACAGAATCCACGAATAAGGCGCCACTGAAACGAGTGAGATATATGCAACAAAATTCCCGACAAGAGCCATTCTATTCACTCGAAGGAGACTTGAAACGTCAATATTGACGTTGATCCTAGAAGGATACCACACAATCTCAATGTCCCGGCGAGATTTGGACATTGCTTCACTGCTCCTGAACTTAGGGATGAGTGCCTAATCTCGGGCGTTAATTAATATCTAATTGGGTGTGGTCGCGTCTTCCAATACAGTGAGAAAGTCAAACACGTCTCTGAGTAGTCGAGATTGCATGTCGATGGCGTTAGGATCTCTCGACATACTCGTTCTCTGAACCATTGCCAAGTGGATATGCAAATGAAAACCTCTTGGGTGATCGTGAGATTGTACAGGTACTTCAGTAAATGCTGACCTAGTCCTCTTAGTTTAAGTAAGTAACACCTCGTTGCCCCATGTAGATCACGATAAACCATTTATCACCCCTGAGCTCTGAAGAAAAGCACATGGATCTATTCCAATACTTCATTCATCCCATCAATCAATCTTCCAGCACAGCTTCAAACACTATGAACGCCCAAGCAATTAACACCGAACCAGAAATGTCCCTCAGGCCTCCCCTCCATTCCCTCCTCCTCGCAACCACAGTCACTTCCCAAGACCCCCTCACGATGAACACACCTTTGAACCCCACCGTGCATCTCTCGAATCCCTTCTCTCTCTTCCACACCACGCCCTAATCCCCGCTTTTCCTGGTAGGGCCAAACAGTCCTCCTCAACTGGTCCTCCGACAAACCATCTTACACCATAAATCTCCTAGCCGGCGATCAACCTACAGCCCCTCCCTCTCTTGCAGACCCCCAAAGACATATCTGAAAAGCCACTGCAATTGGGGGGTCCAGATGCCAGCCGGGAACCCCTCTTTTGATTTCCGTCTCGTGAGAAGAAATCGAGGCGCCAATTACTCCAAGAGGAGGGAGAATTAGTGTTTTGAAATACAGTGATAGCAAGGAGTGATGGCTCAATCGGCTCCTTTCACAATCCAACCGGGATTTAGGGGTCGGGGATGATGGAGCAAGACATAAAAAGAGGATAGGAAATAAAGGTTCGAAGGGCAGTTGGATCATTCATTTAGAGTTTTTTTATTCCACTATCGATGCTCCCACTCGTCATCTCGTCGTCTCTCATTATTCGTAAGCAGCTTGTGGTATCCATCATCGATCGATCAGCATGAAATCCACCTCATCTCATGAATGCCAAGATCTAGCTACCTCGTTACTTTGCTGCATGTATCGAATTGAAGAGAAGGAAATGGTATCTTAGTCCAACAAAAATTCAACAAGCATATGTGGACTCCGTACCGATTAGCCAACACTCGGTAGGCCAAAAGGTTGGGAATCCCTTCTTCTCCATCTTCATATCTAATTCTCTCCTATTGTGAGATCAAGTGAGAAGTGCTCACTTCCATCCTCCACGCTTTTGAGCCTGTAACTCGCGAGCCGTGTCCTTTTGGGACTTGAAGTCCTTGTATAGCGTCTTGATGATGCCCTCATCTTGCCAGCGATCGACGATCTTATTAGCGTACTTGTGTCTTTGTTTGCCCTTCATCTTGTCACGCTCGGCAAGTTTCGCTGGAGTGCATTCTCCTTCGTCTTCAAGTCGACTAACAACCCAATCGTTGAGATGCCACTTCCAGTGGATTAAGGTGTGGGCTTGCTCCGCGTTGAATTTGCAGACGCTAGATTTAGGGTTTAGTTGCGCACTGGTGGATGATTTGAAGTTTTACTCACCGACCAGCAAACCACTGCTTATCCTCACTCAGAAGCGTTGCTCCCCTCTCATCTACACTTAGTGCGCTCGAATCGTCAGAATCGGATTCAGAATCATCGTCATCTGACTCCTCGTCGCTGTCGCTGTCCTTATCAATATCTTCAAGCGTGACCTTGCTATATGCCTTTCCCTTGAGCTGAAGAGAAAAGGTAGGAACATGCTTTCGATGGTTGCAAGCTTCACACTTCGCCTCTCCCAGGACATCAATTCCCTCTCCAGGATTCAGTTCTCTGATTTCGAGAATGGGTCTGGCATAGATAGCCTTGGTGAATTCAGCAGTCCATTGGGTGGAGACAAACTTGCTATCAGCAAAGCCTCCGCATTCTTGATCGACTTTTCGGAATGCCGTCTCATATACTGGATCCTTCCACTCAAACCCAGGATTGACTTTATTATGTACCATCCACTCAACTACGTCTCTGAAATGTTCTTTTATTGGTTTGTGCGCAGCTGAGGTGAACTCGAGAGGAATTTCGGCTAGATGGGCGGGGATGCCGAGAGGACCCTCCTCGTCCTCAATAACAAAGCCATCGGTATCTGTCTCACTACCGGAATTTGGATAACGAGTAGCGCGTTTTGCAGGTTTCGTAGGCTTTCTGGCATTATCTGGGCTGGGTTCTTCATCCTCAAACTCAGAGAGTTGTTGAAGTCCTTCTTCATCATCATCCTCGTCTGAAGCCGACTCCGATGAATCAGTTACTGTATCGATATTCTCGCCCGCTCGTCGGCGTTTGAGTAACTCCATCTTCTTCTCTTTCTCGGTCCTATGTCGACGAACAGTCTTTTGTTGTCGAGTAAAACGAGGCGGTGTCTTGCTTGTGGACTTAGACTGTCTCGTGAGGTTTGCAGCTATCGTCCTCGGAGAAGGAAGATCACTGTCACTTGAAAGGTCAACGTCTCGCTGCCGCGAATTACGTCGACGTTTTGTTGGAGATAAAACAATGTCTGAATCGTCAGACTCAACCGGCTTTCTCGTACGCTTCAAAGGTGAAACAATGGGTTGCGATTCGTCTTCTTCGGACTCAATAGTTGCTCTTGCACGCGGCTTTCGTGGCGACGGAGACCGAATATCTTGCTCGTCTTCATCGTCGTCTGGGATCGCAAGACGTGCTAAGCGCTTTGGTGGTGAAGATCTGATATCATCTTCCTCACTGTCCGACTCGTCCATAATTGTCGTCCTCTGCCTCCTCATTCGTGAGCTTGAAGCAGGTGAACCTCGAGAGATCTTGCCATTTCTGAGAGAAGATTGGCGACGCTGAGATGATCTCGTGGTTGTTTGAACAATCTCATCTTCACTACTGTCTGACAACGTGATAGACTTTTGCTTCTTTGCAGATGATCTGTTGGATCGTGAAGGTAGAGCCATGGCCGATTCAACTTCGCTGTCGCTATTAATGACGATAGCCTTTCCTTTTGTAGGAGTCTTGATCGGGGTCCGCTTCGCCTTCTTCTTTGATGGTGTATAAGCATTATCTTCCGGTGCTGAACCATTAGATGAACTATACGTTCCATCAAGACCCATTGTGTGGCGGCGGTGCTTCTTCTTCGACGAGTCTATGCTGCGTATGAAGGAGCTCCGAGTCTTCCGTGCGTTGCTCTCGGGTTCGTCTTCGGATTCTTCGAGTTCATCTGGAGACCAGTTATTAGCATCAACTACAATTTCCTCAAAGCGATTACTTAGAATAGCAGAGTGAAATATACTCTGCGCGTTTATGGAAGTGAAAAGTGAACGCACCTAAAGATGTATCAACCTTTGCCGGCTGTTGAGAAGACTTCGCAGGTGTAGGCAAAGCCTTGAAAGGCAGCTTCTGATTCTCTTTCGCCGCTGCAGAGGTATCATTGCTGAAATCATCCTTCATAGTAGAAGACAGCACATCTTCACTTTCTGAGTCGTTCACCAAGCCTGTGAAGCTTGAGATAGGTGTTGGTCGTTGCTTCTTGCCGGGCATCTCGTAACGTACCTTGGCGGGCGACAAGTTTGTTGGAGAGGAACTTCGATCGACGGGATCAAAGGTCAGACGTGTTTGTTGCTTCCGACGTGCTTTACGCTCGAAGTTAGAAGGCATCGTAGCCGCGCTATTGCATTGTTTGGCGTTGGGGTTTGTCTGAAGACAGAGGTGGCGCGTCTCCTCGAGAGGTTTCTGCCGCGGGGTATGACGTGAAAGTGTTTCGCGAAAGTGCGCGGGAGTTGATGTTGCAGAGACGGGAAGGTATTCGGAGATGGAAGTGCCACTGAAAGGAGCTTGAGGAGTTAGGGTTTGCTTCTGCTCAATGGCGAAGGTGGTTGTGGTTGTGTTCCTCGCGAGGTTCGGATAGAAAGTTTTATGCCCGAAGGAGACGCGCATTCACGTGAGCACTACTTTAGCAAGTGAATCCCGCGGCTTTCACCTTTCTTGACGCCTCTGAAGGTGATCGATCAAGAAGGATTCGATTAGCCAATTATAAGGCTCTTAGACTGTATAATGTTCAGGGAGAAGGCGTTGCCCGTAGGTCGAGGGCAAATTATAAAAAGGACCCCCCCCTTCTACTAAAAAGGACCCCCCTAAAATTTTAAAAAGGACCCCCCCCCTAGATAGCCAAAACCACCAAAAAAAGAGTTAATGCACGCAAAGATCGCAAAGTAGGGAGTTGCATTTCTCATAAATAGAGTTAATTAAAGCTAGCTAGAAAAGAACTTAAGTGAAGCGTGAGAACTGACTAAGCGAAATGATCGTACTAGACTAAATCCAGAGATCATACGGTAATAGTACTATAATAAGAGCCTTATATTTAGTAGTATCTGCTTTGGTTTCTACTAGGTCCCTTAACCTCTTAGCTAGGGTCCTTACTTTTAGCGTAGGAATAATCCTGGGCTCTAGGGGGCTCATAACCAAGCCAGATCCCGTGACTTCAAGGGACTTTACAAAAAACTCCCTATTCCGCCTTATTAACCTACCCCAGATTCTCGATTCGGATTACGACATTAGCTAACTAGTATTAACTTCATTAAGCTTAGAGCTTATAATAGCTCTTAGGCAAAAAGGGGGGCTTATCACGTGCTATCTCTCTCAAAGATCATGAAAAATACTACTTCCTTCTAATATTTTTGTATACTCGTCTTATGAAACTATTAAATCTAAGTCTAATAATTACTTCTCAAAGCTCTATATATAATTCTAGGGGGGGGTCCTTTTTAAAATTTTAGGGGGGTCCTTTTTAGTAGAAGGGGGGGGTCCTTTTTATAATTTGCCTAGGTCGAGCGAGAGTGGTACAAGCAGAGCGTAAGTTTCAGCCAACTTCTGTGATCCATTTTTGTTGCACCATCTGAATTTAAATCTAGCCTTAGGTGGTGCTACGCAACTTCAAAGTACTCGGACCCATCGTTCCCTGTTTCCTCACGGGTCGTATCTGGACTCGCAGCACTTCCGAGCCTGGAAGGTTTCAGCCCTCTCACCTCCGTTGTATCATCATCTTTATATCTTTCCCCACTCAAATCACCGACCGCAAACCGTACTCTGTTTTTTGCCACAGTCTCCTCGCTACTACCCATTGCACCAACTTCATAGTCACTGCTATTATCTGATCTTGGTGACATAGTTTGCTCACCAACACGAGGCCGAAAGATACCTCCATTCCCAGGGCCTTGAGTCTCCCAGGCAGTCAATAAAACTTCAACTTCTCGCCGAGTGTCTTCGACAATGTCGTCCATGTTGATATCGATTTTAGCCACACCAAATGGGTCTTCATATGTTGCAGCGATACCTTCAATGCCATATCTTGTCGAAAATGAGCAAGTTGTCGTTAGGAAGAATAATATCTTAACTTACAAAGTAAAGGAAACAAAGGCTACCAACGGGACGCACCACCAGTCCATTTCCGAGGCCATCGCAAAGGGGAGAATGCCACAGAATAGCGCAAGAGTTTGCTTGTGATGAATGCTGGGGTGGTTTGTTAGAGTTGTACTGGGAGTGATTGTGGTGAAGAAACTGACAGATGAGCCACTGGGATTGGAACAAGACGAATGACCTCCATGCTTCCATAGGCTGAAGTAAGAGCATTCAGGTGGGAAAGCATGGTTCCTGAAGCCGCATTATGAAACCACCCTCTAGATTTATATAAGTATTGGTAACGGTCTTGGGAGGACGTGGCCATACTTCTTTACACCCAATTGGATGTATTTCTCCACAAAACATGCCAATTCTAGAGTCAGGCCCAGTCCCCGGTGCTCATAACCCTTCAAGCCAAGAGGTAACAAGTCTTTATACTCATCCGTGTTAGCTTCCTGGCCGTCGGCGGTAAGGCTCGTTCCTGGACTGAGTGCAACTCCCCATTCAGCTCTGAGATGGTTCTTGATAGTGTACAACATTGCAATCAAGATTTTGACTGTCTCGATTGTCTTTGCTTGATCCGCTGGCAATAGAGCTGTTTCTCCCAAAGCCGGTGCCTTGTCGACATTTGTTGAATCTCTGGGAAGTCTAGGAATCAAAGAGTCGAATGAACTTATTGACTGGAGGCCAGAAAACGTTGGCGCTGGGACAAGAACGAGAATCTGACGCGAGAGACATCGAACAGCTGTTGTTACAGTGTTTAGATGGCACCGGCCATTCCAGAATCTGGAGTAAGCTGTTTGATTTCGGAAAACAAGCATCAGACCCACGACGATGGACAGGGACGGGATCTGAATGCTGTCAGGAGCTAATTATATAAGCTGGGCGTGATGAGGCTCACGATGCTGCTTGGTAGATTGAAGTCGCTATTTATGTGCTGGTTCACATAAACAATGAAGGCTGCCAGGATGGAATGCATGGTAACTGGAAAGAGTATTGCTATCGTGTAGGTCAGAAACTGGGTGGGCAGTAAAAGGGATCGCCATACTTCCGTGAATCGAGCCTTTCCAGAACCTCAGGACAAGGGGCCATCTTCTATCCTTTTTGCGAGACGAATTGGCCAAAGGGCTGTGTTTTGGAGTCAGCAATTTGCCCATCAGTCTAGGCCAGTACTGTGGCCTTCGAGGCGTGCTTTGGACGTACTAGGTTGTCTGCCGTCGTCGTTCACGTTTGTCATTCCTTAGGCTCCTTGGGAGGAGAGAAACACGCTTCGAGAACGAGGAAGACATTCGGTGCATTTACATTGGTTTCGAGTCTAGAACATGCTTGAGAGTTGATGTTCTGAGGAAGATCCTTTGGTGATGTTTTCTCGAGGCACTCGCGAGACGCAAGGTAGCCTTGCATGCCGTGGCTGGATTCGGGCAGCTCCGTGAAACATGGCAAAATTTTGCCGGACCCAAGTTCTTGAAAGGGGGTTTCCGATTCTTTGTACAAATGGCAAGTCAAATAGAGCATGGAAATGAGCAGGGGGAGATGCAGAACAATTTGTGTTCTTTATGAGATGAGATCTAATTTTACAATATGGGCTTGTGACTTCAGAGGCTCCCTGATTATGCAGCCGTCCAACGCTCCCTAATATACAACGCAATCATTCATCTATTTGCCCCAAATTCCCTTTGCTTCCACGCCCCTCGTTCGTCCTCATCATTACAACGCTGGTTTGCCTTGTTGCGCAGAGAGTTGAGCGTTCAATGCGCTAGCGGTCGTTCCGGGGTTAAGCAGCTGGTCAAACTGTCAGTTATTTTTGCAAAGTGCTGGAAGCCCGTTAATGGATTGGATGCGCATACCTCTCCACCCATATCTCGCATCTTCATCTCCTTCTCCATCTCAACCATCTGCTGTTCCTCCGCAAAGGCCAACGCCCACGGCACACCCAACAGTAACGCACTCGTGCTTACAACCCACAACGTCTTGCCACCGAATAAGAGTCCCGATTTGATCCAGCCTGCAGTAGTCTCGACTTTGTTGGAGATGTATGATCGGGTTGTAGGGGGAATTATGTCTCGAAGCGCAAGCAATCGTTCTGCCAGCGTTTCCTCCTGAGGGACATTGTCTTCATCGTCGGTAGAGATTTCGGAGTCTGAACAGACTATTAGAATTGGCCGTCATGGCTCATGAGCAAAGAACAAACCGGTATCAGTGTAGTAGTCGTCGTCGTTCTCCTCAGGGCCTGCTTGCTTGGTCTCAAAGGACTCATCCTCAACTTCTACTAACTCGACCATTTTGGCAGTTCTTCAAGTAATAGGACGAGGAGTTGATGTTTGTATGGGCGTTGATCGGTCGAGTCGTCGAGGTCTCCGTCTTGAAAGCTCAAGGTCGGAGGAACTTTTTTGGAACAGGAAAGGAGCTAACGACCCCTGCTAGCGTATCACGTGCGGATAAGGAACGACGCGAGAGTTTCGTGCTCAAGAATCCAAGACAGACATCACCAAAGCCTCGTCTTCCATTTGTTCACGCGAAATTTCGTACAGGACAATGTTTCAAACCTGCTGTCTTCTACTCGGAGAAATTGAGCCAGTCCTGCTGTGCAGAAACGGGCCGTGGACAACATGGCCCCACCGGTCCCTGAATATGGCATCCAAAGTCTAACTCCCTCCACAGTGCACAATTATGTTCTTCTCGGTGATCTTGCCATGGCCTACCTTCATCTTATTGTCATTGCGCCTCTTGGGCACATTCAAAAATCAGTCAAAGGCGCTTGCTCTGGAGAAATGCACTACAAAGATGGATAGTTTCACGATGCCCATGCTGAGAAGCTCATCCCACCTAAGACTACCGAAGCCGGCGCCGAACCAAAAGAACTCAAGAAGAAGCTCGTAGCATACTGGAACGTGCAAGACGCTTTCCGCCGTTTAAATCACTCTGGTTCTATCCACGATTTGCAAGTTCGCCTTCGGGGAAGCAAAGAAGAAGATACACCCAGAACTGAAGAGCGCCGAAACGGAATTGAATAAGGATTCAAGAAAAAGAACACGGCTGCCAGAGGTCGTTCTTATAATTCCTTAAAGACGGTAAGCAGAAAGCCAAGGCAATCCCAGTAAGGTTTTGAGGCAAGCTTTCCGTAAGGGCAGAACCGGACGACCTGCGAATCTTGACATAGTTGTCGTCAAGATTTGCATTAATCGGCTTGCGCTGGCGAATGCAGCTAAGGCTATGGGACTCGGGACTTGCTCAGTTGATGCACCATGGACAAACAACAAGAAGCCATCTCCCGATCGGTGGGCGAGACGCTGTCTAGAAGCAGATGCGAGAAGTCGAGAGGAGGCTGCTAGGTCTAAACAGACTTTTGCCTCCGAACAAACGAAAACCCAAACTCCCAGACAACCGGGCCCGAAATCTGTTCCCAAGGAAAAGACCAAAGCACCGGGTGCCGCTCAGAGCGGTTCAGAGTCAATGCTTCCCCCTGCGGCGGGGATGGCAAGTGCTCCATCGAGGTAAGTACGCCTAACCATTGGCCCAATGCACAAGGGGCCTCAAAACAAAACAAACAGCGAGAAAGAGTTATTCCCAGAGAGTCGTGGTTAAGATTCACCAAGCCTAGACGCGACCCCTTCGATGGCCCTGCCTTACCAGGCGCATCTTATCGCTGCGAGAAAGACTGCATTTGCAGAGAAACGAAGCACGGCAAAGAAGGCAACTTCGTTAGCAAATTTCCCAGCTTCTGGTAGTTCTTGGGACATTCGAGGCTCATACAAGACTGAGTGCCTTGAAATTGAAGGTGGATGGAGTCCCCAGTGTGACCCAACATGGACCCTCGACCTGTACCTCGAAGCAAGACAGGGGAACAACAACTTGATGGTACATTTCATTTAAGAGTTGTGGAAGGAGTTGTGAGATTCGAAAAGCCAATTTTGGTGCCGAAGTCTGAATCCACGTCGAAAAAGCGGAAACGAGAAGTTATGGGCGAAGATTCAGATGTTGAAATGCATATGCTTCCCGAATATAAGGGGATGAAGACTCAAGTAGTTTATACTGAGAAAGTAACCTTCCTTGGTGCCAAAGACAAGCCCACTGCTCGAAGACCTACCTGGCGATATCGATGGCGTGGGTCTGAGACTGGAGAAGGCGAGACTCAACTCGATTCAGACAAAAACGTTCAGTCCCATACTTTCAGCAAGAAAGGGATGGAGCTGGAGGGGGACTATCGATGTTGACTTCATTGGCTTATGCCACTTAACAGACGTAAGATTCGTTCCCAACCCCAGGATCCGCACGTGGACCCTGAAGCGCAATGGAGCAATAATTGAGAAGACGCATATGAATACGCTCGTAAAGCAAGATGGCGAAAACGCGGAGGCTGGCAATCTGTGAAGGCTTGACTGGCCTTCATTCATTGCTGGCTCGCGTTCGACTTCGCGTCAGAATTAACGGCACCCGGAATGAGACGTGCACTTCGGCCACTGGCCTCCCTTGCTGCTACGTCAAATACCTTGGATGGGTATTAATTGTGTGAGATTACATTATGGGATTGGGAGAGTGTCGGCTGGCAGGTGAATGGTATTGCCGGTTTTGCCAGTTAACTAAATATCTTTACTGGGTATTGCTCGAGGCTCTCTAACCTCACGTTTTCCACTTGTAGGTGAGTTAGTGAGACCTCTTACAAGGTTACACGCAGAGGGAACCTGATATTGGGAAAACATCCTTATCTCTTGACAATTCACAACGATACTGCCTTCTGATCGCAGAGTCTTGGGGTCTCCACATGTATAATCCAGAGCATATATCAAACCCTGGATTATAGTGTGTTTTTGATCCACGCTCCACTGAGTGAACGTTGCAGAGTTGCGACGGCACTCTTCCCCACGACCAATTACTACCGGATTGCAGGGCCTGGGGATAACGTCGCCAGTGCGTCGATGCATAAAATCCCATTTTCTTGCCCCTGATTGGCTACTCTTCATTAGTCTCCTTAAATTGACCTGACTGCAAGAGGGATCTGTGCGGGAGGAAGCCACGAGGAGAGGTCATAGCGGAAACTGCCAGCCCACCCGGACACAGTGTGTTGCACCTCTTCGAAGAAACGCTATGCATGATCCATCGAAACCGATTCATGCAGAACGAACATCCTTTCCATCTATTCTTATCTATCACACAATCCATTGCCAATATACTTTCGCGCTGTCACGAAGCCTCGTTGACGCCCGCACCAGACGGTTCGTCGGTTAATTAATTGCTTTGTCCAGATTGGGTTTTAGCCTTTGGCTGTTCGACATCCCCAGGAGTGCAGGAGAAATTTTGGTCTCTTCCACGACGCGCCCCAAAGTCTCGAATTCCATCCCGAAGTGCTTGTCGCAATCTGACCGTGCCTGTCATTTTGGATACTGGACGACCCGAATCTGCTGGCGGCAGAGGAGCTGCTCTGGCCGTATAATGTTGCGGCATCAGCTTACCCCTGAAAGCGCAGATAGAGTTATTAGCGACGACTGAGGGCCCTGAAACGCAAAGAGCTGATCCTCCTCTCGCAATCCGGATCGCAGGGCAATGTCGCTGAATGGTTTGGATGATCTGAAGATCAAAGAGGCCCATGATACTGCGGCAGCAGAGCCCGGAGGATGGTGAGCTTCGACCTGCGAAGCACTGCACAAATTTGAATCAAAGTACTGACCAATATCGCAGGTTCCTCCTCAATTATGTTGCTCGGGACCAGGTGGAGCTGCTAGGGCGAGGTAATGGAGGCATCGTGGAGATTCGAAACACAATTGCACAGTACGAAGAACCTGCGGCGCCGCTATTTGGATTTCTGCGCTACAGGAGGAGAAATGTTGTCATCAAATATGTGCCGGAGGAATGCTCGAGATTGGTGCAAGGTGAGCTTCTGTCGGACGAATGCGACAATCTTCGGATGAAAATTGACTTTTGATAGCACGAGTGACTGTCCATTTCAACGCAGTTACAGAACGATTTTCCCCTCACGATACCGTCTTCCCCATCGCCTCGTCGAAAGAGCTCCGAGACACCACCCTTTCTGCCGCTTGCTCTCTACATACTGCGTCAGGATCGACCTCCTCATCTACAAGTTCTCTGCGAAGACGACGCCTCATGGAAATTGTAGAGGACGCTGAGGAGGACCAACGTGCAAAAAGACAATCTACGGTCCAAGAGGAACGCCCTCTTACGGCCAAATCCCCTTCAGTCTCTGGCGGAACACCTTCACTGCTTCCATCTTCCCCACCTCCAGAGCTCCCGACCGGTCTGCCGCCTTCTGCAAGTTACCAGTCTATGGCCGCGGACGCTGAAACGGTATCCTCTACGAGTAGGGACCTCCGACCTTCCGAAATTCGATCTCAGTCGCCTACTCGATCTGTTGCGGAACCTCGAAAGTCTTCACAATCAACCAGACCCGACTTTCACAGCTACGCTTCGTACGGTTCAAACGGGAAACCAAAAATCAAGCTTGGCCCAAGACCATCTCTTGATGTAGGAGGACGGCCGCACACATCAAGTGCTTCATCTTTCTACCGTCCTGTATCAACACTCCCAGCCGGTCTAAAATTGTTCTCCAGAGGCTCTAGAAAGGGCAAAGAAAGGCCACAATCGCAGTACCCATCCGAACCACCTAGTATGACTCTTTCACCTCCGCCGGTGCCGGAAGGCATGCTCTCTCCCGTTTCGCCTGGTCTAGTCCGACCTCACACAAGTGGTGGACGTCCATCTACGAGCTCTAATACTGGTTCTAAACCTTTAATGTCACCAAATATCCTAGCTCCAAAAACTCCTGCCATAACCCCTGAGAAGGCGCGACTGATGAAAGCAATGGAACTTCGCAAAAAGAAAAATGCTGCACCTCCAGCAAGTCCGGGATTTCCACCTCCAGACGAAAGCTTGACCAACCCCACGACTCCAAGCAAGAGCTCAGTATCTGAAGCTCCGAAAGAGATACCTCACACGTTAGCCATGCTAGATGATATGTCCAAAGGTGATGACTCCGGCATTGCCTTTGACGCCAGTTCAACATTGAAAACAGACGAATCGGACGCGACCCGATCTGATTCATACCCAGTTTCTCCCGTGGGCCCATCTGAACAGGCCGAATCGACAAGAGCCTCATCAATTTCGGAATCGACAGATGAGACAATCCAGGAACCAAATAACTTTAAACAAACCACCCTCCGTAAAAATACATCTGAAGATAAATCACCAACGCTAGAGATTAGCCAAGTACCTGAACAGATCACAATGAGTACTATAGAGAACAAAGATATGGCTGTTTCAAGACCGGCATCGACTGAAGAACCACAAGTTCAATTGGAGGCTCATGAAGTTGCAGAAGGTCACTCGGAAGTCACGGGAACTATAGCAGAGGCGCTAGAAGCACCAAAGGCGCCCCAGGAGCCCGACTCGGTGTCGACCACCCACCAAGTTGAAGTTGATTTCTCTAACCCTCCAGACTCAGAACGTTCAACGTCAACAGTTCAGTCTGTTCCTGCCGAGCTCAAGACAGAATCTGAACTTATGGCTCAGCAGGTGGAAGAGGCGGTCTCCTCCCTTACTATAGAATCAGAACTTTCAACGTCTACAATCCAGGCTTATACCGCTGAGCCAGAGATCGAGCCTGAGACAGAAGTCACCGTCCAACCAGCATCACCGGAGAGTCAACTCAAGGAATGGAGGATCCCACGCTCAAAATTCAGTGTTCAAGATCTCAAAGCTACAGTAACTGCTCCGGAAATACCCAAGGAACCTGTTCCCACCATCATTCATGCTACCATGCCTCCAAAGTCACCCGTCAAGAGCACGTTTTCTACAGATCGATCATTCACCGAAGGAGATGATGAGAATGGAAACGTGGCGAAGCGAAAGCGGAGGGGCTTGGTCGAGCCGATCCGGACCGATATCGACCCCGCTGACAGGAGTGGTGCTAATTCGGAGGCTAACTTTTCCTCTGATGATGAACTCATGGATGAGCTGCAGTCTGCCGTCTTCCAAGAAGCAAAGCCGATCTCAGTCTCCAAATCACCAATTAGTCCTGTGTTTCCCAGTCCAAAGAAGCAGAGTGGACAGCCAGGCAGATTCTCTCGTGCATTCTCCTCCCCCTTTCGCAAAGAGGGTTCTGATTCCAAACTTCTTGAGACGCCTACTCCGGTGCAGCCTACACAGAAACCCAAAACACGTTCGGTGTCTGCTGCTGCTGCATACCTGGACAAAGTAAACCAACAGTCTGCCCAGCCGCTGGCAAAGAAGGCTAACCTAGGTTCTGGAATATCTCAAAGAATCAAGGCACTGGAGAAGCTTGGAGCAGGAGCCAGTACCCCTCCAAGCACAACTGGACCCACACCAGGCGCGTCAACTGCGTTCTTTTCTGTTAGAAAAGGCAGCGGTCGAGGACCTTCCAGATCTCCATCAATTGCTGAACGTGCCAACTCATTGACCAAAGGAGATGCTTCACCATCGATATCTCGTGAATCTTCTCCCGAGACACTGAAATTACGTGACAGATCTGGCTCTATCCAATCTCGAGTCGAGGCCTTCAAATCCAGTCCCATCCCTACTGCTCAACTACCAAATCGTTCGCGACCCGAGTCAATCTCTGTTACGGCAAGAATCGTTCGTGATCCAGCCCAGCCTTTCCCGGCCAAGTCGGAAGCCGGAAAGAACCCAGAAGACTATACACCGCTCGATCTCAAGCAGTCGCCTTTGGTAATTGATCACCAGAAGGCAGTTGAAGCACCAAAGGAGACAATCCAGGAGAGACGACTATCAAAGGAAAGACGACTCTCGACCGCGTCGAGAACAACAACAACTACTACTACTAAGGAGCGCAGATCTTCGATCACCATTGTCAAAGACTTTATCAGCGATACTCGGACATCAATTAGCGAGCGTCGCCGGTCAATCAATCTTGATCGTGATATTTCCTCTCCTTTGCTGAAGTCTCCGATGAAATCCCCATCACGCCCGCCATCTGTTCACCAATCTCCCAGGATGTCACTCAGCAGCCGCTTGTCAATTTCCAGTAAGGATCTCACAAATGGCAACACTCTTTCTCCACCCCGAACCGCTGGCTCTTCCTCATCTCTTGGTGACGAGAAGGGCGATAAGAAGGCAGGTAGAGCAAGTCGAATGCTCAGAAGAATGTCTTCATCGCTATCTTCAAGCAGGAAGAACATTGCTCACGCGGTGTCTCCAACTGTTAGGGAGGATCCCGAGCCCGCAAACGAGTCCGCAACATCCTCTGCTTCGCTGACTCCTACGCCAACAAGTGTCAACATTGGAGACGTCAATGTCCAATTCCCTGACACTCTCCTGTGGAAGAGACGATCAATGCTTCTCGATTCGCAGGGCAATCTCATTATGTCACCAGCTCTTACTGCGAGTGGAAATCCCAAGGATAAAACCAATACAGGAGCTACAAAAAGATTTCATCTCACTGAATTCAGGACACCTGCAATACCAGATGTAGAGATGCAGGAGTTGCCAAACAGCGTTGTACTAGATTTTGTTGAGGGTGGCCAGCTCCAGATTGCGTGCGAGGACAGGGCCGGCCAAGGACATGTGTTGAATGGTATGATCTCTCACCCGCCTTTTCTTCCCTTTCCTATGCTAACATGTACCAGTCTTGCAAGATGCTCACCGTTCGTGGGCAGCCTTCGCCTGAGCACCGATTATTGCCTACCTCCCCCTCTTCACCACACCATCGACTGGACCATCTTCATGTTCATATATTCATGCACTCCCTTTTGTAACGGAGAGAACAAATACTTCACGCTGTCACGATGCATGGATATAACGCTTTGCATTTCACAATTTCAATTTTCTTGTAGCGACAAAACCAGATACCAGATCCTATTCGATCACAACCCTTTTTTGCTTGTGTACAGATAAGTGTATGTCTTCTTCAGAATTAGCGCGCACTTCACCGCATATACGGCGGTGTTTGGGGCTAGGAATGGATTGAGAATTGAGAATTAAAGTTGTAGACCTTCCTCTTGACCAGTGAAGTCTGCAGACCCCGTATCAGAAAACCTCCTGCAAGTGCGAACTTGAACCCCGCATCCCTTTTCTTTTCATGGTTCCGCCTCCTGACTAGCCGGGCTGGGACTAGTGATCGCCCACCCCCCTTGTGCTCATCAAACGCGTGACGGGTGGCTGACAAGGCTCACTCTTTGGGCTCGCAACGTAAACACCTTGATGCATTCTTACTCCACTTGTTAACTGTATATCGAAGACTCGAGTGAGCATCTCAATTCAATTTCTGGGCAAGCAAAAGTTGATAGTTCTTGATTTCGGAGAAGAATGGATCCCCTCATTATGGCAATTCAAGGCACGAGCGCCAAGACTCTACGGAACAGGATGGGCAGTATGTGCAAAGAGGATTCGCGCTGTAGGAATGTTCTCACATCTTTTGTTGCTCGTCCAGGTTGGGTTTGAAGGGAGGAAGAGAAAGTTGGATGATGTTAGTGCGGATGTATTGGTACCAAGATTCGACACGTGTAGTCACTGCGGGGAGGAGTTTAATGTTACACTGAACAAGGGAGAAGTTTGTAGTTGGCATGTGGGTAAGTCGTCGATTCCGAGGTCACAGGCTCAGCTCGTTGACTTCAAATAGGAACGAAGGAGATGTTTGAAGACGCAAGTATCTGGGGTGATTTTGAGGACGATAGGGAGGGCCAAACGAGGTACGAAACTAGCGACATCCCTGACTACGCGGAAGGGTGGCAATGGACTTGTTGTGGAAAGCTTGGGGATGAGGAGGGCTGCTTGAAGGGACCGCATGCTGGCAAGCAGTATTTTAAGGGTGGGCTCAACGATAACGAGGACGAGGAAGGAAGGAGTTGATGAAGGTCTCCCTGATGCGAAGCAGCAGAAGCTGGACGGCTCTGAGGGGGAGTTCAGAAATTCGGTGGCTGATCTATTGGATGTCGTGAAAAAAGAGGTGCAAGCACCCAAAGCACAAATATCATTACGGTCCCTGACTCGAGCGACGCCGAAGCCGAGAATCATGGGAGGATATCCAGATTTGCGGCAGATGCGGAGAAGACTATGATACCAATGTCGACCCCAATGAATACCAGGTCCAATGCCACTCCCACCCAGGTATTACTGCGATTTGCTTACATGTGAGAATATTTCTAAGTCGGGATAGGAGAACTGGTAATTGCCGGTATTTATGATGGAAAATTACCAGATGAGTACAAGGAAGGGCTAGATGTAGATCTCAATGAGGAGTACTTCAAGTATGATTGTTGTGGCGGCGATCCAGGGCCCAAGGGATGTGAAGAAAAAGACTCTCATGAGTCCGAGGAGTATGTGGACGAGTCAGTGGGTCCACACCCACGTTTCTTAGTAGACTGTATGATTAGTATGGTGGCTATATTTGTTGTCTTGTTCTTGAGCTTCTTCTGAGCTTGTACAGTACAATCAACGTATTTAAAGTATCTTGGTCTTACCTTCAAAGTTAGACACCAGGGAAGGCCCAGTGATCGACATAATCCCTGTCCAGATTTCGACGCGGGACGCGACACGCCACTTTGGACTTGACGCGTTCTCAATTTCCTTTTGCCAGACTACATTATTAATCTCGGTAACTTAAGTGAGAAGAACCTGTTGTTGTTGTTGTTGTTGTTGTTATTTGTCCACTGCAATTTTCGTACATTGAAGTATTTCAAGAACATCCCGAAAAATGGAGGCTGAGGGCAAGAAGAGAAAGTTGGAGGAGATTAGCGTGGAGGAATTGGTTCCAAAGTTGGACACCTGCGTGAATTGTGAATGCGAGTTTGACCACAATTTGAATGATGGCGAGCATGATCCTTGCGAATATCATCCTGGTGAGTCTCCTTGTTTCCCTTCTGGATCCGAGTTTAGCTTTGGCTTTGGGAGTAATTGCTGATTATTAGCTCATGGCAGGGAGAAAGCAGTTAAACGAAGACGCGGAGATCTGGGAAGAGTACAAAGAATGGAGTACTGGCCCGATGGAGGACACAATCGATATGTATGAGTATGGGAGTGGGTGGCAATGGACTTGCTGTGAAGGAGAGGGGAATTGGGGAGGTTGTGTTCCACATAAAGGGAAGAAGCATCCCGAAGGATTGGCTGCATCGCCGAAGAGAGAGTCTGGAGCTGAATCTGCACCTGATGCGAAGCACCAGAAAGTGGACGACTCCGACAAAAAGTCCAGCAACTCTGTGATTGACTTCACCAACGAAGCTGAAGCTCCAAAGGCCACACAGAGCGAAGTGGAAGTGCCATCCCAAGCACCTGAAGTCCTCACTCTCTCTGATTCGAGCGCAGAAGAGGAGGATGAAGGAAGCTTTGAGGGCATGGAATCTGAAAATATCGAGACTTGCACCTATTGTGGAAAAGAGTATGATGGCGATGGTGATGAAGACTGTCTCTCTCACGATGGTGTGCTTCATTCCCTGATTCCTTGAGGCGACAGCACTGACACCTAAATAGAAGACTTGACCATTGTGGAAGACTGTCCACTCTCGGAAGCCGAAAGAGAGGAGCTTGATGTAGAGAAAAATCCCGAATGGTTTGTTTGGAGTTGTTGTGGGGAACCAGCAGATAGTGAGGGTTGCAGGCTGATTAGCTCTCATCATCCTGATCGAGGTATGGGCTATTAAATGGGCATTCTCGCCTTTGAGGGGCTGTACAGACGGTAGTTGGTGGCTATTCGACGTAAATGGCCCCATGGCGTCTGAGCATTAGTTGTATGGATGCCGAACGAGTCTGTCCTGTAAGGCTTCTTCTACTTCTCAAAGTTTGGAGTGACTGATCTGGCCGGAAGGAAACAAGGATAATCGAATCGATTCTGTACCCTTTCCTGACTTCTTCCTTTTCAGCCCCTTTCCTCGTTTACGTTGCTTATCAATCGGAAAGTCCCAGTCAACTATCGGCAGAATTCTGATCATGAATATCCGATAGCTTATGGGTAGTTCCTCTCTGTAACCTCCGGTCTTGCAAGAATGGAGTTTTTGTGGGGAGCGCTAGTCCCGATTTGTTTAGAGGTCCCTTGTCAACTTAGCTGCTGGGACAGAGTTCCTTGGGTCACAGTACCACTTCTCAATAATTATGCTTTACGAGGATTCGAGTCCGAAGTTAGATATAGAGTGATTTATCATCTGTTTAGCGCCAAATTTTCAATTGGGGGGGGGACCTCGAAACATCTTAGGTTAGTGTCAGGAATCCTTGTTTTGAAGACTAGTTTCTGTGGCATCCAAATCATGTGTATATAAAGGGATAGAATTCTCTGAAAGTTCCAACTATGCCATGAATAACACATTCAATCAATCTCCTCTCGAAACGAATTCGGGGCCAACCTCAAAGCCGATGTCTTCCCAATCAGTTCTTCTCATTGGCGCAGGCGGCTACATAGGCCGTGCTGTAGCCCAGGAATTCTTGTCCCAGAAGTCGAAATTCGCACGTGTTGCGATACTCGCCGATTTGCCAAAAGTGGGCAAGTTCGCCGAGATCTCCAGCGAAGGGATGGAGGTCGTTGTGGGAAATTTTCTTGAGCCAAACTCTTTCAAAGGTAAGCATCATCTTCTCGCTCTCTTCTCGAGAGCCCAAGGTTAACTTCTCCCTAGGCTTCACCATCGTGATTTGCATGTTGGGTAACCATGCCATGAAGCACCAACCCGCCATCATAGATGTCGCCATCTCAGCTGGGGTAACGAATTTCTACCCCTCAGAGTTTGGCTCCGATATCTCGCAAGGCGCATATCTCAGCAACCGGTACTTCCGCGACAAACAGATCACACGTGAACACCTTACCAAAGCAGCAGAACATCACAAGGGCTTTGGGTATACGCTGATGGTCACTGGCAGTTTTGCGGAGTATGCGGCACATCCAGCATTTGGCGTCGATCCGGACCAGGGGACTTTTGACTTCTTTGGGCCGAAAGAGAAGAAGGAACCGTTCACCGGAATTTTGGAGTGAGCTAAAGTTATTTCAGTGAATTGGTGCTTATTGACTGATATGCCCGAACAGTATTGCTAAATACGTCGTTGCTTCTGTCCTGATGCTTGAATCCAAATTCGAAACCGAGAATCCATGTCGCACTTTTCGTATTCCCACAGCAACATATAGTTGGGAGGAAGTCATTGAGACTCTCTCTCGCGTCCAAGGGAAGAAATACACCTGCACGTATCATCAGACGTCGGAGGCCCATGCCTTGGCAAAAAAGTATGCAAGTGAGGGAGATGTGGATAGAGAGCTGGGGTACTCTCTTAAAGCTATTATTGGTGGTCCGAACGAGGAAGGAGTGCCGAAGCCGTGGGACCACGACAAGTTTCCAGACATCAATCCAGAGAGTTTGGAACTTTCCTTGAGGCGTTACTTTGGGAAGCAGGAACAATGAAGTGGTTGAGAAGATGTGTGAATGCAGCTAGCGGATATTCATTGAGAGTTTTCCCACGAAAAGCACTTGGTGATGCTGTGATATCTCTCATCGAAAAACCCCCCTACCCATAGCATGTTCGCGGCTGTGATCAGCGCTTCATCCCAGCCATTCAATCCCATGAGTCTGCCAGCATAGACGACCAAATCTAGGAAATCGTGTTTTATTTCCTCGCTGGATGTCGAGATTGCGGCTAAAGAGGCAATCCAATTCAGGAGCGGTTTGAAAAGTATCCATTGCTTGTAATGCATATTCGTAATTAGGATGGTATGAAGCTTTTGAACATTCTTGGTTATGTGTTGATGTTCGGTGCTGTGTAGTCTACAATCCAAAATGTTGAATTGAGATGAAACTTTCTCGAGGAGCAAAAGAGTCGCCAGTCTGCAGCACTCTTCCAAGAGACTGTCCTCGGTGATATCTGAAACAGGCACAGAAAGTTCTCCCAGGCGGCCAAACAATAAACCCATTGTCTTCTGATCAATGGATACAGTCTCGGGCCTGCTCTCCTTCCACATCAAGTCGGACTTCAGCGTCATCATAAGTGTAGTGATATCGTGGAAAATCGACAACAGGGGAGAGTTAGCCCGGAATGCATGTTTCCAGATGCTCTGGTAGTAGTACGGCGTTTGGGGTACAGGCCACGGCATATTTTTGATTGCGCTTTCATTGGCCGATGCCGTTGGAAGTGGAAAGAGTGGTCGTGGCCGTTCGAGAAAGCAGGTGCCAGCAAGGTCGACTCCAGAAATGAGGTGCCTTAGCACTGGATTATTTGAAAGGCAGGAGACGCCGCCTCGAGCTTCAATAATCCGATAAAGTGCTGCCATATGGAGGTCATACTCAGCCCAATCGTTCGTCCGGTGACTGAAGGAGGCAAATGCGAGCACGGTACCGATAACGCCATCGCTGATTCCCAAGACTGGGTCGAGTAATCGTGCTCGGACAGAGCGCATAGCTCGTGAGTGCAGGGCAATTGATTGAGGACAGTGGTCTTCATTTTGCAAGCCGTTGCGAAGCGTGAAGACATGAGCAGAGATATTGGACAAGACTTCGTAGAAAAAGGCAGGATCGGAAATACTGATGGGAAACCAAGTATCCTTAAATGGACGCAAATGAGGGTCTGGCCAATTATAAAGATGGTCGATCAGAAAAAGGATCTCCATATCCACTGGGACGGGATAACGCTGAAAGGGGTTCATGCGGCCAGAGCCAAGAAAACCAGATTCTGGTGCCGGGATGATGAAATCATCTTCCTCTTGAGTTTTGTTCACTCGTATGTCCCTGAGGGTTGTGACGTTGCTATTGGCTATGTACTGCGAAGTCGAGAAGATTGGCTTCCGCCGTGCTTTGCCAATGTCCTTCATGATATGCTTCCGGATTGTATGCAAGTGGTTCTTGTCTGTGACTCGGCCGTTGATGTCGACTTCGACAAAAGCGAATTCTTTTGCCGCCATGGATGGCTATGGAAAGATTGTTCGTTGATACAACCTTAATCCTGTGAGGAGGCGCTCAATTAAGAGACCACATAGCAGTACAAGAGACGGGAGAATGTCGAGAAACGGAAGGGAAATATGGGAAGAGGAGTATTTGGGAGGGCATTACCAATCCACCCACCCCGTTTATGCATAATTGGCCGAGAGTCATCGACCATACCAGATTCGGAACTAGTTTGTCTCGATTCAAGAATAGCGATGCTGCTTCTTTAAAGCAGCAACGCTGTCCAAACAAGGCTCGTGGAGAGTTTTCCAATGGATCGATAGTCCTTCAAGATCGAGGTTTTCAAGAATGAGCATTTCAAAACCAATGACCTGCTCTTTAATTGAGATACCTATTTATTTTTTGGATCATGTGTCTTAGGCGGTGCAATTGAGGACGTACTTAACCCCGGCTTCCCTTGCTCTGCCTCGAGCTGGTGCTGAGATCTGGGCACACATCTTCCCCGATGTCCAATTGCTGTCACAATCCAGAGCTCAAGTAAGCATATTCCTTGTAAATGTGATGTTGCGCATGGCATTCAATGTCCAAACTCTGCCTGGGACATTGACATTGTCAATTCAGTGGCAAGCTTTCAGTCTCGAGTTGAAAACCAGTCACTTTCGCATTCAAGTGAACAATTGAGATCAATGTTGTTTTATACATCTCCCCCAATGTCTGAAGTCGGCGTAGTACATTAGAATTTGTAAGGTGAATTCAAGACACACGAAATGGATTTGCATCCTGGCTGACCTGAGTAAGTGTCCCGTAAGTTTTGTGGTATATCGCTTTCCATGTCTCAAGCGTTTTGGAACATTCAGAGATCGTTCAATTCTTCCGGAGAGAATTTGATTACGAAGTTTGACTTTCAAACGATGCTGTTGGAGATTGCACCCCAGTTAATGTGCCATATCTTCTCGCAAATTGGGACTGTCGAATCCGTTTTCTGTGGGATACCATTTGCGGAACTCCCGTCATATTATAGATGGCGATACCTTACGGGTGTTGGCTTTAGGATTGTCGTCTAAGCATCTGTATCTCGTTTCGTTTGGGATTTCATTCACACTACGCCACTGCTAGGCTTAAAACACTTCTCAAATGAAACGGTCACTAAATTTTGGTGCCTGGGGAGTTCCTGCAACGATAATGAAGATATTGACTCTTCTTCACTAGTCAAATGTACACATTTTCAGATCGGGAATGCTGTACTACTATGGCACTCAACTATCGTCGACACAAGAGAAGTGCAAGACATCGATGGCCCCTTTCATTTTAGTAAGATTACATTCTCATCAGTTCCGTTCTCAGCTTCGGCTTTTCTTCGTCCGACTTTCCCCCTTTCGTTTCATTCTCACTCTCCTTTTCGCTTTCCTTCATTTCCTTCCAGAATGCCCAGCACCATTTTGAAAACTCTGAAGTCTTTGGTGATCCAAAGCCTGTGAACCTTATTAATTCTTCTAGAGTCTCAGATCGACCGAGTGGCGGCAGTCCTTCAGCCCAGTAAGCATGCCACTGGTCTCTGGTCGCTGGCGGACCGTCCTCGATCATAGTCCACGGCTGTTTGGAAGGATCTATCCCAAGCCTCCTGAAGTTAGATACTCGTTGGACATATCTCCCGAATTCGGCCCCATTCCACCGAGAAAGTAGTTCGAAAGGTTCAGGGCCGTCGAAAGGGTCCGCGCGTCGGTTGAGAGGCAAGTGAAGCTGATATCTGATCATCTTCATTCCCGAGGACAACGGATTTAGAGCCAACAGATGCACGTAGCGGTTTGCAAGGTTACCGGGCATATTGAAAAAGCGGGCAGCCTCGTTATTTCTGCAAATTCGCGCCCAGTCTTCGACATACTGTGACTTGTCTCCTTTACTGAACCATCTGCCGAGCCTTTCCACTCGCATGAAATTTGCAGTTGTCCCAGGAAGTTCGTCTAGGGCCTCGTCCAGCTGGAACTGTGTGAGCTCCAGCGCTTTTTGGACTTCAGCATCGTCCCATACATCACCATTTCGTACCCTGCCGAAAGATTCGGCCGTTTCCATCTGCCGCCCGATGTGATACAGTAGATGATTTCCTGTGACGAAACCTTTCGGGACATGGATGCTAGCTGTCCGAACATTGCGTAGCTTGCACAATGGCATTAAAACAACCTCAATGTCGGGTACGTATTCGTCTTCGTCAAGATGTTCTGGGTCGATAGGGACGGTTTTGTGTGCAGTTCCATTTGTTGCCCAACTTGCATTGGTCTCCCGAAGGTAAATATCGATGCTCGGAAACTCTTCCGCTTGAGAGAGTAGCTCCATGAGGTCCTGAATCTTCGTCCACAATAAGACTACTTGGCCAGGATCTTCCTGGCTGGGAGCCTCGATCTCAATCTTAATCGCTTTGAGTCCTTTATATGGCAGCACCCGAAAGTGATCAAATTCGGCCTTGTTTGGATGTATGTTCCATCTGGCACCCACAGAAGTTGTAAGGTAAAGCCATGATCCGGTGTCAGAGCAGACGCGCGGCGAAAGATGGAACGTCAAAACGACCTTGTTATAGATATTTGCCGATACTTCGTCGCGCAAGAAGTGGCATGTTCGAAGAATGCCGAGACCGTCCTTTGCTTTTTTATAACTGAATCTGAATCCGGGCTGAATCGAAAAGTGTCCCCAGATCTGGGCTCTAATTTCTGGAGGAAGCCACCCAAGATATCCAATGGTGTCGGGTACAACTGACGCCATGGTTTCGATGTGTCGAACGACCGCGGCCGCCGATGTGAATGTGCAAGAGTGCTAGGTCCAGCGGTTTCCTGTTTGGGAAATGCGCAACAAGGCTGGGTAGAGTGGCTTCCTGTCAAATTCGGATTGTGCTTTGATGTGTCTGAAGACCACGGAAAGATGAGCGACGGTCTTATGGGAATGATCAGACAGAGCTCACTAGTGCTTCGCCTTAAAACACCAGTCGGAATTTGAACGTCCTCAGAATCCTCTTGACATTCAAATTCCGCTTGGAACCGCGTCGTTCGCAGCCGGGGAAGGCGGACTTTTGGTAAGAGAGAACCACTCCCACGAAGCACCGGTGGGGCGCGCTCGAGGGCACTCGAGTAATTGGGGCAAGTTGAGCAAAGGAAGCGCAGAAAAGAGAGGGTAGCTCGGCTGGAGGAATAAAAACACAATGGTTGACCACCTCCACCTGCGATGCTCTGCACGTGATTTATGCAAGGGAGACTCGTAGAGTCAAATATGTTATTTTTAAGTCCGGACCCGCGTCTCATTGCCTTTCTCAACCAACTAATGGCCAAGGCGATAATCCGGTGTCTCTAGATAGGGAATTGTCAGATTCAATTTATGTCAGAGTGCAAAATCGATTATCCTTCGATCTCACGTAAAATCCATGGTTCTGTATGCACTCTAGCAAGAAAGGGTTGTGAGCGAAGTGGATAAGACGGGCTCGAGTACAAGTAAGGCAGCCTGCTCAATTTCACCATTCGCTATTGTGTTTCCCATCGTCGAGACATTTCTCGTTCTATCATTCCCTTCTCGATGTCCTTGTCGAACTTGGAACCTGGTAACTCCTCGTTCGACCCTTCGTCATCTTTGGGTTTCACTGGGATGGAAAGGTGCTGCCAGATTTCGACTCTGATTTCAGGAGGAAGCTTTGCGAAATTTCCTATGTTTTTGTGGATAATTGGTGCTGCTTTCGGCTGGAGTGAAGGCCCGTATCCATGCCTGTTCAGTTCTGCGGAGGCCAAAACCCCCAATTCTTTCTGGAGAAAACACTCTTTTAGCACGGTAGTGCTGGCCACGAGAAAGGAAAATGTATGTTCGCTCTGCCCTGGGTCCTTTTGTTAAAAATAAAATCTTGCGAGTTTGAAAAAGGGGCCCGAAACCTTAGGCGAGTATACTCCAGCTATATCGGTACAAGGCTGGACGCTAAGAGGTCATTGCACCATGGAACTAAGAAATGCTGGAGTTTCTACCCACGAGCCCTGAATTATTAACAAATAAAGTCACTGTGGCATCTTGACCTGTATAACGACCGTATTCTTTCTTCATTGATCAAACAGACGGCGCCCACAACGCTTTATTGGATAATGACTCTTCAGACTCCAAACCTAGGAATCTTGGACCGGCTTCCTCGTGAAGTCCGCGACATGGTATGGGAGTATATATGTGCTCCGAGAGGCGACCAATCGAATCCACATACGAAGAATAACCTGGCCAGTCTCGGAACATGTCGTCAAGTATACGAAGAACTCTCTGCGAAAGTGTACGACCATGAGACTTTTATCATCCGGGTATCGCCCAGATATCAGGTCAATTCCTGGTTGTGCTTTGAGAACTCTCGAGGTGCGAAATGGCATGTGAAAGGCCTGGAAGACGCCAGAACACGGGGATTCGCGAACCTTCCATATAAGAGACTGAAGCAAGTCACAATCAGCATCGAAGCCACGCAACATATTCCTGGAAGGGAAGATCAAGGTCAAATCATCTGTCTCTTTTTCAAGATGAGAGACCTCACAGAAATTCTTTTGGAAGCTAAAAAAGGCGGCCTGCACAACATTGAGCTCGAATTGCTTGATTTAGGAACAGGGAAATGGTACGAGGGAGGGTGGCCAAAGACGACCATTCTACTTATCCAGGACGCTCCATCATTTGTGCCCGAGTACGACTTTAGTATTGTGTGGCTTCCGCTCTACTCATTCGCTTCATTTCTTCCAAGTATGAAACTTGGCCAACTTCCATGCGAGATGCGTGAGTTTTTGATGGGCGAAATAACGGCACAAGAAGCAGATCAAGAGACAAGGTCCGACGAGAAGGCCAAAGAAAGGTCAGACATCCTCTACGCTCACTTCGACCTCGCCTTGGATGGAGAAGAAGGAGAGACTGCAGACATGCTGCGTTTGCATCGGTTCAGCACTTGGTATCAGCGAGGAGCCAACCACGGATCGGAATACCTCAGAGAGCTCGAAAGAATATGGAGAGATCGCGCATGGGAAGCTGCATGGAGAGACGGGTGGAATGAGAACGACTCAATTGCAATCGAAAAGCGGTGCTATATGTTTCATTCTCTCAATCCGTTGTACGCAAAAAGACAAAGGGGGAGATCGACACAGAGAATAGCTGGGCCGTTTGATAAGAGCCCTCAATTTAGCGAGGTTTTGAAAGATTGCCTACCCGCTGTAAATCTTGAGGGCGTGTGGGATAGAGATGAGTGGTTCCGCTGCTACCCAGCTGGAATCAAGCCTTGGAAATTCATCACGGAGGGATGGAGATTACCTCTGTATAACGAAGAGGGACGCATTTATAGAGATGCGAGCGACGCCTTTGCCGATCGATTTGGAGGTCAAGCTTCCCGATGTCTTTTGTATCTGTTTGGGGACGAGGTTGAATAGGAGAGTACGGCAGATGCTTAAACATTGAAATATGGAAGAGCCCACAGCTCTACCTAGGCAGGAATTTTGAAACAAATCTTTTCATGAGCTGTCGATCAAGAACCCGAAAACCGAACATTTGAATAGAAAAATGGGGCGAATGGCCGCATATACTCAAATAAGCCATTTTGCTATCACTACCAAACTCACTGGCTTCATGGCTGAAAGGTATATATATCACTTTTGCTGCTCTTGACGTGAGTCCAGGAGGTCAGCCGAGAAAAGTGGGGCCAAAGTGCCAAGACCCCTTAACGCGCCATACTGCGTACGCGACTTCGACGCGTCTTCTCCAGATTCCCAGCTTGAGCCAAAATTAACCTCTCGACAACAACGACGCTTCATAATGGCCGAATCTGTAGAAGCCGAGCTCAAGGAACGATTTGCCCCTGTGGGCGCAGAAATTGAACCAGATGTCCTGGCTGAATTGATGTCTATTATGCGCCTCCACTCAATCGACACGCAGGAACTATGGTACAAATGGGAGTCGTACAGCATGAAGATGGGGGCGGATGATATGAAGTTGACCATAGAAACTGTGAGGGCCCTCAAACAGGATATCCAGGACGGCCTGGAGCGCGACAATCGAACAAAAGCACATCTGTTGAGTTCGAACAAACGTGGAGGAGCCACGCCTCGAAGCGTGGCCAGTAATGGTGATGTTTTTGGAATGTAGGGAGACTTGAACCTACAGATCTTCTGAGCTGATGTGTGTTCAGGTTGGACGGCCTCGTTCCTAACACACCAAAAGTTGGATCCACAAATAAAGCCGGCACAAGGAAGAAGTTCGAGACACCGTCCCTATCAAGAGTGAAAGCAGAGCCAGCAAGCAGTCCGCCAGACTTCAAGACACCATACAAGCCTGGCGAGCAGAGTGGCCAAACGTATGTTGAAATAGCTTCTACGCAGATGCCAGACTAATTATGTACAGCGTTTCCTTCCATGACAGACCAAATGCTGGCCAGACAATCGAAATTCTCAATGATCATCTAGAACTCCCAGAACCTCCGATAGCACCTTATGGAGAACCTCGAATCAAACTCACGGCCAATTCCGATATGAAGAAGCTCTCTTATAAACCAATGGCTATGAAGTCTTCGGAGGCTTCTGAGATCCTGGACGAGAGGATAGACGACTTCATGGCTTTGATCCAAACACATCACAAGCTAGAGGACTCGGCTTTTGGAAGTGCTGCAAGTCAAAGTACAAACGAGATTGTTGCAATAGGACGGATTGCCTCGGATGCTTTAGAAGGGAGACTGAATGCTTCATCCCTCGTCCTCGAGACTTCACGGCGGATGGGTGCAGGATTAAGAATACCACTGAAAGTCGACGCTCTCAAAGGCTTCCAATTCTTCCCTGGTCAAATAGTCGCATTGAAAGGTATCAATGCTTCTGGGGATTCCTTTAAAGTTAGTGAAGTGTTGGAAGCTCCGTTGTTGCCCAGCGCTGCCTCAACACCATCTGGACTTGAAGCACACCTACAGAGACTGAAGGGAGGCCCCGATGCAATGGATTCAGATTCGGCAGCGGCACCTTTGAATATAATTATCGGCTCTGGACCTTACACAACAGATGACAATCTGGATTTTGAGCCCCTGCATGCTCTCTGCAGTCAAGCTGCGGACTCCTATGCAGATGCACTAATTCTTGTTGGACCCTTCCTAGACATCGACCACCCTCTCATCGCTTCAGGGGATTTCGACCTACCAGACGAGGCTATGAAAGAGCCAGACACGGCCACCATGTCAACGGTTTTCAAATACCTCGTTTCACCCGCATTCATCCAGCTCTGTTCAGCCAATCCACACATCACCATTCTTCTTGTCCCGTCCGTCAAAGACGCAATCAGCAAGCACGTCTCCTGGCCACAAGAGCCGTTCCCACGGAAGGACCTTGGCCTTCCCAAGTCTGTCAAAATCATTGGCAATCCAATGACTCTGTCACTCAACGAGGTAATCATTGGAATCTCGTCACAAGACATTCTCACCGAGTTGAGGATTGCTGAAGTGACTGGCGGGAGCAAAAAGGATCCTTCAATCCTTACTCGACTACCAAAGTATATGGTTGAGCAGCGTAACTTCTTCCCCTTGTTTCCTCCAGTCGACAGAGAGAGCTTGCCGAAGACGGGTACGAAATCCGGAATACCAGCTGGAGCAATGCTTGATACAAGTTACCTGAAACTGGGGGAGATGATTAATGTGAGGCCGGACGTATTGATTGTTCCAAGCTCTATACAACATTTCGCAAAAGTGAGTAGCTGTCTGTAGAAGTCTCGAATAGTTCTAATTTCGTACAGGTGGTCGAAAGTGTTGTCGTTGTCAACCCTGGGTATCTGTCAAAACAAAAGAAAACAGGTACCTACGCGAAGATGACAGTATATCCACGTCCTCTTACGGACGAGGAGAGAGGCTCATCAGTGGTTGCACATCAAGTGTTTGAACGGGCTCGGGTTGATATTGTTAGGATATAAATGCATGTATAGGTTGTGGTGGGAGCACGGCGTAAATGATAATGGGCAATGGAGTGATGAACAGTAATGTGGCAGGTTGGATTAGATATTGGCGCTACCTTGAGTCTACTCTTCGGCGCTTGTCGCTTTCATAACGGTCCAAATCCCTTGAAGTACTCCGTTTCCGACGATTTCGGTCATCCCTATCCCTGTCCCGTCTCGGTGATCTTGATCGTGACCGTTCTCTATCGTCTCTGCCACGTCGATATGAATCGCCGCCGTCTCTTGATCGTGAATGGTCTCCGCCGTCTCTTCCGGGTCGATACGTATCGCCACTATCTCTTGACCGCTCACCCCCTTCCCGCATTGCCCTTGGTCCTTCAGGGGCTCCAGTAGCTTTCTTCCGATCAGCAACGGGCATGCTATTCGCACCACTTGCCCCTCCACGATCACGGTCTCTATCCGGCATGAATCGTTCGTCGTTGTTAAAGCCTCCAGTTCCCTTTCGATGTTTATCGTCAAACTGACCCCAACGACCTGTATCTTCAGACTTGAGATCCTTGTACTTCGTAGCACCCTTCTTCCCGATTTTCGTCATATCCCTCATCTGTAAAGCTTGTGGCAATAATTCGCGATTAACATCATCGGCGAATCTCGAGCCCATAATTTCTCTCCGATCCAGACCCTCCGCTTTAGCATCGTCCTGAAAGAAAGCACCTTTGTGATAGTACTTCTGCATGAACCCCATTTTGCCCTTCCCTTCCTTCTCCTCTTTTTGCTTTGCAATGAACTCATCATCTTCCCTCTTCCGCTCTTCTCCCGTAAGATTTTTCCTTCTCTCAATTTCCTCGAGTTCCTTTTCCCGTTCCTCAATAGCTTCCCTCTCTCTCTTGATCCGTTTTAGCTCCCGTAATTTCCATGCAGCGTACTCAGCCTCTGGATCAACATCATCCACATCATCCACCTCATCGCCCTCCTCGTCATCATCCCAATTCTTCTTCCCCGCCGCCTTAGCCGCAACATCCTTCCGAATCTGCTCCTCGACAATCTCATCCGCGGCTTTCCTCCTCCTCTCCTCTTCTTCCCTTATCAACTCCTCCTCCGTCTTCTCATCGTCCTTCTTACTAGCATCCGCTCCACTCAATTTATCCCTCTTATCCTTCTTGATAAAAGTCGGACGCATCAACACCCGTCTTGGCGCCTCCTCCTCGCTGCTCTCTTCCTCTTCACTTCCACTTTCCTCCTCACTGCCCGATTCCTCTTCACTCTCTTCCTCCGTCACAAATCCTTCTTCCTCTGCCGCTTTCAAAGCCCTCCCCTCCTCTATCCTAGCCGCCTCTTTCGCAGCAGCCTGTTTCCGCCGCTCATTCAAATCGACCTTGCTTAGATTGCTTGCAATGCCGCTTGCTGTACTTGCTTTCGGCGGTGCTGGAATTGGTTTGGCGGCTTGCGCTTCTTCGCCATCGCTCTCGGATTCTGATGATGAGGGCTCTTCGGCGACGGCTTTGCCTGGTCGATAACGAGGCGCTGCCCTGGGGTTCGCGGTCATGCGCTTGGGAGGCATTTTGAGGGTTTGTAGAGGATGGTGGGGGAGGGAATGTTAATGGGTAACTTTGGTGGAGGTGAACTGCGTTTTGACGAGGCTGAACGCTAGAGAGAATTTGGGCTTAGTTTTTCGCGAGGCTGCAGGGGTGGCTTTGGAGGATGCTGGCGGTGAAGATGAAATTTATGTAGATGGCAATGAAGACATTCTACGGCCATAAGTTTGCCCTCTGAAGTCCTTTGCTTTTTCAGAGACAAGCTTCATAAAAAGTTAGTTCAAGGCCCTATGTTGGTCTTGCCGGGAAGAATATTTTCATGTGTGCTCCTTCCGGGTAGAAAATGCTGGTTACAAGAAATTGCAATTCTTGCAGCAACTCGTCTGAATTTACAATATTTGCCAAATCTAGTGGTATCAAAGCCATCATTTTCCTGAAGTCCCCCAAGCCCAAACGCCAGCCAGGTGCGGAATCCCTCCCAATTCCATTCATAGAATTTCGTCCTCTTCCTCTGTAGGTAGCGGCAAAGGTATCGACTCTGGCACAGCTGCAGAGACAGCACTTTTCGTAGCAAGACCATCTTCGACCTCGACATCCTCCATCTTCTCCTCGTCTTCGTCAACCCAATTCTCCTTCTCAAGTTTTTCCAACGCTAAAGCCTCTTCCCGAGCCTTCTTCGCCAACATCCTCTTATTTAGCTCATCCCAAGCCTTGGCTCTCTCTTGAACAGTCCTGGCCTTGCCCTTACTCTTCTCAACCTTTTTCTCCTTCTTGTCCATCACCGCCTCGGCGCGATCCATTCCTTTCTCTTGTCGTTTCTTTGCTTTCGCACTCAAAACCGCCTTCCTCCCATTCTTAGACTTCTTCGAAATTCCAGCGCCTTGATGAATCGCTAGGACCGAGGGTCGTTGCGTCTTTGTCTCGGGAGGCTTGACATCCTTGAGCGACTTGTCGAGGTCGATACCTGGAGAAGATGCTCGTTTTGCCGCGCGAGAATGCACCGAAGCAACTAGAATGTTGTTAGTAACTGATTAATCAAGGAGCGGGAGCTTTAAGTACGTACCGCCTTTCTTTTTGGGGGGCGCAGTTTTGGCCATTGTGAATGTGCAATGATGGATTTTCTCAAGGATGTGGGGTCGCGAAATACGCCGGAATTTCTCGAAGTTCCATTTCTTGGCGCTGCTCACATGCCGGTCTGTCGATTCTGACTACAAGCCACATTCGTCCTCGAGACTTCTTCCCAACAACATCAGCGAACAGCTGACCACAACTCATTATCTTCCCTTCCTCCTACACATTGGAACTCTTTTCCAGTCTACGGGCAACAACGAGTCTATATGCCTTGCCATGAATCCTTACAATCAGCGACTGGACGACCTCTTCGACGGTGATCCTAACATCTTGCCAGGATACCATCAGGACTATCGAGAAGGCATTTACGGCTCGAATAGATTCGCCAGCGTGGGCTTCACTGTACCGCTGATATTTTGTTTCATACCCATCGCCTACCACATATTCTTCCTCCTCGATTACGACCTTTTGCCTCTCCCAGAGCTCCTCTGGAACGTCCTAGTCTACCTCACACCTCCGCGATTACTCGATGCAATCGAGACCTACACAAACCCTCTCCGCATCGCGAACCCCGCCTTGAAAGGCATCCCTCGAACTCATGCGGCGAAGAGCGAAACCATGCGGCGGCTACTCGGCTTGGACAAACCGGGAGGAATTATAGGATCCGTTGCGCAAGCCGGGCGGAGGAGAATCTCGACTCTTCCCGGCATAAATATGACTGTGCAAACAGCAGAAGGGCGACCTGCGGGGTTGGGAAATTGGGATAATTCTTGCTATCAGAACAGCGTTCTCCAAGGGCTGGCGTCGCTGGATTCTCTATCAGGATATCTCACGAACCCGAAGATCGAAGAGGAATTGGTGGAGGGGGTTTTGAAACCTGAGATGAAGATGGCGGAGGCGTTGAAAGGGCTGATTGCGACGCTGAATGATCCGGCGAATAATGGGAAGAGGATTTGGACTCCCGCGACGTTGAAGAATATGAGTAGTTGGCAGCAGCAAGATGCGCAGGAATACTTCTCAAAGGTCTTGGATGAGATAGATAAGGAGGTGGGGAAAGTTGCAAAGTTGATACAAACGTCACAAGGCTTTGAGTCTGACGACTCTTTGGACTCAAAATCGACAAACTCGGAGGTGCTGCCAATATCAACCTTCCGAAATCCGCTAGAGGGGTTGATCGCCCAACGAGTTGGGTGCACGCAATGTGGATACTCAGAAGGACTTTCGATGATACCTTTCAACTGCTTGACAGTACCCTTAGGAAAAAATTGGGGGTACGATGTGCTGGAATGTTTCGATGAGTATACAAAGCTGGAGAAGATCGAAGGCGTTGAATGTGGAAAATGCACCCTTCTGAAGTTCCAAAGACAGCTTTCTGCCGTCTTCGATCGAACCAAGGATACGGCCAGCGACTCACCAGTTCACCAACAGTGCAGGGAAAGACTTGAGGCTGTCAATGAAGCGTTAGAAGAAGACGACTATGAGGACAAGACACTTAATCAGAAATGCAAAATCTCTCCAAAGAACCGAGTATCATCCACCAAGACTCGACAAGCTGTCATAGCAAGACCTCCAAAATCACTGGTCATTCACGTTAACCGAAGTTTGTTTGATGAACTCACGGGCGAGTTGAAAAAGAACTACTCCCAAGTTCGCTTCCCCAAGAATTTAGATCTCGGATCATGGTGTCTCGGCAGCTCTGGAGCCAGCGAAGAGGCCTCCACGGAGGAGTGGCTTTTAGATCCTGAACAGGCGATGGTTGCAAGCAGCCGCCACCCTTCCAGGTTACGTGGACCGATATATGAGCTTCGAGCTGTGGTCACACATTATGGAAGACATGAGAACGGCCATTACATCTGCTACAAGAAGCATCCGGGATTCGAGTCTCAGAAAGAGCAGTGGTGGCGACTGAGTGATGACGATGTCACGAAAGTCACTGAGGAAGCTGTTCTTAGTCAGGGAGGGGCGTTCATGTTATTCTACGATTGTGTTGAACCTGCAGGCCCAGCAACATTGAACCCCGTGGTAGACAAATCAACACCAGTTGAAGAAGAAAAATTAGAAGAAGCGGTTGTTGACCCGATACCCTTGGAAAGCGTCATGGCCAACACGGCAAAGAAGCCCCTGCAATCGGTCGAGCAGTCGGATCAAGGAGAGATGTTAGCTGTAGCAGCAAACATCCCTCTCCCCACCTTCGACGATGACGATCTCTCGGAAAGCGAATACCTGGAATCGGGTCTCACGACACGAGAAGAAAGCATTGCAACATCTATCTCAGATTATGATTCTGAAGAGACAGGACAGGGGAACGAAGAAGTGTACGAGCCTGCAAAGGCGATCGTTGTCCCGCCTTATATTCAGCAGACGGGTGGGCTCAGTAGTGAAGGGGCGGCGAAGGAGAATATTAGTCCTTCTGGGAGTCTTGTTATGGTTTGAATTTGAGGCCTAATGGTAAAATGGGCTTGTTGGGGCTGGGTAGGTCTTGGTTCTTGCATAGCGTGGCGTTCCTGGGATTTGGTTAGCATGTTGCCTCGAGATAGGCACGAACTTTTGGTTGCTTGTAGAAAGTAGAGTGGATCCATCGATCGATGATCTAACAGGCAAGGCAAGCATCCAGAAAGCCTTTCACTCCTTCGTCTCGGGCTTGATTCTCACAGACCATTCTCTTTTGTCACACAAACAACAATAAGTCCTACGACGCCCACAATTGCATTTCAAACCCTTTCTCTTGATCTTCCCAACCCTGTTACAACCCCTCACACCACCCCTCTCCCCCCATACCCATCCAACTCCTCCACCCTCCCCTCGCCCCTCATCTCCGCGATGTTCTCTCTCTCTCCGCCCCCCTTCTCCACCATCCCACCATTCCCGTTTTCCCCAGGCGTGAAATACCCCCTGACCCCTCTGTACCCTAACCCCAAACTACCAGCTGAGTTCGTCTCAGGCAGTTCTACGACATCCCTCTTCTGCCTCCATTGTCTGTACAACAAGAATAGGGTCGTGAGAAGGAAGATAAAGGCCAGCGAGCAGGCGATGCCTATTCCTGCTTTTGCGCCCGGTGAGAGGGAGGATTTACTGGGGGTCGGGGAGGTGGTTTGGTTGGTTTGAGCGTTGTTTTGGGAGGACGCGTTGGTGGGGTTTGTGGCGGGGTTTGTGCTCGTGCTCGTGCCTGCGCCTGCTGAATTCGTGGGCGTCGGAGTCGGCGTAGATGTGCTGCTGCTGCTACTTTCGGCTGGGTCAGTTGTGGAGGTGGAGCTGAATGTATTTGATGAAGTGGTGGAGGTGCTGGGATTTTGGATGACGGGGGCTTGTGTCTGTGCGGGGTTTGAGGGAGAGACTTACGATGTTGATGAGGAACCTGAGCCTGCTGCTTGCATGTTGAAGACTAGACCGTAAGCGAAGTCGTTGGAGGAGTCATCGAGCCGGAGGATGTACGATCCAGGTTCCGTCGTAGCGTAGGGTGTCCAGACTACGAAGTCGTCTGTTATAGAGCCTTTGGGAGGAGGTTAATTTAGTTCATGGATGAGAGAGAGGGAGGGGGGTCGAGGGCATACTGAGAATCACATCTGCTGTTTTGATGCTGTTGGAGTCTCCTTGCTGGAGGGATAAACTGGTTGTTCCCTGTGCTCCAGTCCATGTCACGTTGAAGGGCGCCCCGGCTGTTATATCGAACTCGGCATTCGTGAAATGGAGAGCTGTGGACGAGGGATTCGTTCCCGCTGCGAGCATGGTGAACTTGGAGGTTGCTGTCTGGCCAGATGTATCGCCGAGCTGGAGAATGTACGAGCCAGCTGGGGTAAACGCATATGGACTCCACAGTAGATGCTGATCTGAGATCCCAACTAAAGAGATCAATTAGCCCATGACGTCCAGATATTTTAAGTTGCTCAACGCACAAGCAATCTTGTTGACTACTGTGCTCCCACTTAACAAAGTTAAAGTCGATGTCCCAATGGCCCCAGACCACTTGACATCAAACGGTGCTCCAGCCGTAAGCCCATCCAATGATCCTGTAAACGCGAGAGCAGCTGCTGCTCCGCGAACCCCAAACGCAGCAACACACAACTGCAGAACCAATTCTTTCCTTCCAAACAACCTCATCCTGAAAAATTCAGCTTCCAACATATTGAAAACAAAACGAACATATGAACAGTCTCGCAAAAAATACAATGCGAGTTACTTGAATACATCGCGAAACCTTTTGGGGCCCCCAAGTTTAAATCAGAGATGGCATGAGGGCTGTGCCGTAGAATTTGATCTTACAGTAACTGCAGGCTGAAGCAATCACAAATTTGATGGCGGAAACGACTGGATTGGAAAAAACGCCACTCCCGTTTGAAGGTTCATACCCTTGTCCTTGTGATAAATACGGATACGGATAGGGATGGAGTTGAGGTCGTTGAAAGTTGAGATCAGACGATCTTCCTGCCAGTCGATCCTTACCAGCCATTGTTGGAAAAGAGGTGCAGACATTGAGAGAGCTCCATCTATAGCACTTGCCAGCATTGAATTCGTTTTTCAAGCTCTTCTCCGTCTCCAAACCCCAGATTCGAAAGAGAGAACATAGATTTGGAATTGAAAGTGAAGAAGTGCCCGGCGGCATTCTGGGGCTGCGCCGCTCCCCTGCCTTCGCGCCTGCGGCCGCCCCTGGATCTCGCTGGCTCCAAGCGAACGCCAGGATTCAGGGGTACGGGCCCACAAAAGAAATTCAACACCGTCACCAGCTTCTGATGTGCGTTCAACTTGAAGACGGAGTCGTCTGTTGAGATGAAAGTCGGATGGATAATGCTGGCGTGTCCCAAGAGTAAGGGAAAAGCAAAACCAAATTCCTGGCTGGGACTTGGATTTGCTTCCATAATCTTTCAATTCGGGACACATATAGTTCATTTACCAACACCTTTCGATCACACGCCTTCCCATAATTCTTCCCAAACAGAGATAGGTTCAAACAACATCGTCATACGGAATTAAGGAAACTTGGCAACCTGTCAAGACAGAACAGCTCGTCATCCAATTTTCCTGCCACGGAGAGTCATCACGCGATTCCACGGCCTGGAACTCCTGTAGTAACCTCACGGTGGTATACGCGATCTCCGTCAGGGCGAATTGCTGACCGAGGCAGGCTCGGGGGCCGCCGTTGAAGGGAAGATAGCCCCATCTGTGGTGTATTAGTGCCGATGTCGAAAGGAAGATTGGGGGAGGAGAGGTTAACTTGCCCTGGACGAAGTGACTTATCCTCCCATCTTTCTGGTCTGAACATTTCCGCATCCGGGCCATAGATGTCTTTACGTCTATGTAAGGCATAGACGCTGTAGGCAATAGCTTGCCCTTTTGGGACGAAGATGGGGCTTTTCCCGTCCGCTCCTCCGCCGACAGGAAGGAACGTATCTTCGGTCGCCTCGAAACCAGCAGCTGGAACTGGTGGATAGAGCCGGAGCACTGGGGGTTCATCGTCAGCTATCCGTAGTTCTAAGAATGAAATATCTCAGACGAAAACTTACCTTCTCGGACTGTATGCTGAACATAAGTCATCTGCTTCAACCGAGTAAATCCAGGCCGTTCGCCATTGAGTTCTGCCACTTCAGCTTGCAGCTTCGCGACGACGTCTGGTCTCTTTGCTAACACGAACCACAAAGAGCTCAGAGTGGATGCCGTAGTGTCGCGGCCGGCAATGAGAAGGGCGATCAATTCAGACCGTATCTGGACAACATCATCCATCTCCGTGACGAGCTTTTGCAAGAAGCAACGTTTCTCCCCGGCTTCAACGACTTTGCCTAATTTGTGCTCCTGCATAGCTTGGACAACGCATCGATCAACCCAATTGTGGCACCGCTTGATGTTCCCCTTCTCTTTGGCTGACATCTCGCCAAAAGGCATGATAGCACGAAACGCGAGGAGTCTTTGGGCATCGTCGAATAATTCGACGATGTTGTCATCTTTCGCAAGAGCCCGCTGTTCTTCCGACTGCAGGTCCTTGCCTGTCAACATGTCGATTGCAGCATCCATCGTAAACGAGAAGAATAGCGGTTGAAGATCAATTGTCGAGCGGTCTCTTGGGATAGACGATAACAGACGGCCAAAGTGCTTCTCAAATCTTGACATCTCCGAATCGATGAAGCTGTCCTTGGCCAGATGCGGTCGGATGATAGCCCGTGAGTGCTGCCATTGAGGACCGTTGGAAGCAAAGATGGATTCACCGATAAACTGTTTCAACACATGGGTCCGTCTTGGTGGGAGCATGAAGCTTGTGAATTTCGTAGAGAGCAACGCCTTCACGTTCTCTGGCTCGACCGTGCTTAACCTGTGCCGCCCTGCGAGAAGGAATGAGTAGGTGTTCGCACCAACTTTCTGGAATCGACCGGCCATTTTGGGCAGTATCCTATGGTTCCTCATACTCTGATAGTTGTCCCACAATAAGTCCAGGCCGAAGATTGGATCTTTGTTCGGATATTTCGCTGGATCTTGGCATCCATGCTCTCTCATGAACTTCGACTTGCGGCGATGCATAACTGCCCATGATTGGATCTTCCATAAGGCGAGGAGTGCAATAGTGGACAAGACGACGTAAAACTTAGGAGCTTGTGTCAACGCTTGGAAAGCGGTGGATTGCTCCATGATGGAAATGGAATATTTTGAAATGGAGAACGTTTTCCAGTTCCAGCAAACTGAAGGAGGAGACAGCAGCTGATAGAAGTAGTGAGCTGCATAGCGCTAAAGACCCAAACGACAGGCCATCATCGTTCGTCTCGTCTCATACAAAAAGAGGAGGTGTGGACGAACACGGAAATCAGCGGGCTTTCCCCTAGGAGCTGAATCAATATAGCGTAGGGATGTAAGAATTACGTACTTTGGACTGTCGTTATAAAAATGTAGTGTAACGGAGAAAAACGGGTTATGATATTATTATTATACGCTAACCTATTATGGAAAGGCTAGCTCGTAAGGGAGAAGGGGACTTGGGTACGCCCAAACGGACGGAGACGCCCAAATTTGCTTAATTTATGCCTAGTCCTAACTTATGCGTAAATTACACTTGACTTCATATCATAATAATCTGGTGAATGGCAGACCTTATTATATAATTACGCCAATTGGCGTTATTATGTAATTATTATATTACGCTTTTATACATCCCTAATATGGCGGCCGACTCACACACTAGAGCGAGAGTCGTACGTTTGACCAATTAGAGATGTGGTAGCGGCACTCAGCTCGATGCACGCTGTAAGTCACACCTGGAATTGGGAGGACTCTCCGCTCCGTACGATTCGCACGGCCGCCCAAACCGGCCGACAGCCCAACGCCGAAGCCTGGCATGAGCGTCACTGCGTCAGCCTCGGGGCTTGGAACTTGAAATGCTGAGGTTACCCGTGCCGTGGTGGGTCGTGAAAGCGGCTGGGCCAAGTATTTCACATAGTAAATTTGTATAGGAGGTACTTCCAGCTGGCTGGTCCGTGCCACAAATTTAGCGAAGGACATTGATTTTGGGGGGTGGCCCGTCGCTAATGAAGTACAGCGCACAAGTCTTACAACGCCATTTGTAGGGATCTCAACTTTTACCACCTTATATGACAACCCAGCGCACCACCAAAACACAAAAAAACAGATAAATGTATAGTCCTCCTCCTAGGGGTCATTTTATTGTTTAAATAAGGCTTTAGGTTGTGTATAGGAAAAGTTATGAGTGTTGAAATCGCGTATGGTTCAGACCCTTGTAGTAGCGTCGTAATACTTAGGGCTGTACTTCCGGAGTATGGAAGGTACGAACGGATAAATACCAGACAAAAGGAGATGTCAGCCACCTTGTAAGCATGTTCCATGAACCATGGAAATCCGGGGAGAGGCCCAATCTTGGCTGTCTTCACATGGACCGAGGTAGATGATGTTTGTAACAGGTCAATCAGTCCGTCTTGGACTCTGACAGCCTTGATGGGGTGCGAAAATTTTCGAGATGTTTGCGAGCCTGATGGTTCAAGACCGGGGAATTTCCCGCGCGCGTCATGTGACGTCGATATCTATCCATCTGCAACGCTCTGATAGAGTGTTAATTATCTTTTCGCAGCCGAGTGGTGTGCCATTTAATGTGTGTGCTTTGATTGTCTATCAATGTTTGTTCTTGATGATTGATGGCCTAGGAGGACGACGTGCTTCCGGTACGCAGTGCACGCTGTGGATTCGCAAGAAGAAGCTTCGAGATTCAAGGGGTCTTGATTTGGTAAAGTTGATTCTGTTTGGGCATCATACGCACTCTTGAATCCTCATATCATATCAGATAGGAAACCAATCGTGTCCTTACGGTTCGCAAGTTGGCTCTGCGGTCAACAAGTTGAGCCTGCCCCTCGCACAATGCTGCCTTAGTCCCAAGGAACTCTCGAATAGTCTTCTCGGATATGCCTGCGGTCCTGTACACCTGCTCATATTGTTCCGTCTCTCCCGTGTCAATCGCTCGGCCCGTGGAGGACCAGCTCAAGCTTAACAATTCCAGATGACGTGAAGCATTACTTGCCAGCATTGTGGAAGCCGGAATATTCACATTGTCTCGGGCAAATAGAGCCATCCCAAGCAGAGCTTGCATCGAGGGCAAGCACGGTCTTTGTAGAACCAGCTCAGGAACCACTTGGTGGCATTTTGGTAGACCCGTTCGTGATATCGAATAAGGCGGCCTCCGAGCCAGGAGCCGTCTTGGATCGGATCCCGAGAGCAACAATTGTATTGACAACGGCCCATCGTGCAGGATTGCCAGCTGGGTCAAGAGAACTGGCTGCGTGCTAGGCGTCGAGATGCGTCATGAAGTGAGATAGGGGAATGAGTTGATGCCCCCCCATGGTCTCGACAAAGGAGTTTCCGATCGGCCGTCGCGCGATACGGAGAGGCATGAGCGGCTTCAAATCTCGCACAGCAATGCCCTAAAATCTCAATATTTCGACGAGTTGAGTCGTGATCTTTGCTCATGTTGGGACGGTGAGTGTCCCTTGCATTGGTTGGAGAAAACCCATTCTTGTGACGGTTGGTGTTACATGGTTGCTACGGACTTGCACCAGTTGGTTTCAAGCTAAGGTTCAGGCTAGGCTCGGCCCCGCGTTTTAGTGGTTTCAGTCATATCTTACTCATCCACCACACCTCACTCTACTTCTCTCCTTAGCTTTAGATTCTAAAGACGGGACCTAGAGATCTTTGTGCCTCGTTCCATTGCTCCAGCTCCGCCGTCACAATTCTCTCCTGTCAGCTTTGTGAATATTGCAATTGGAAGGTTGAAGAGGTTGCCAGGGATCGAGTCCCAGTACTGAAAGGTGCCATAAGAGTTCGTACAGGATCCGTGCGGCCCCGCTTTATTGACCAACCATATTCTTCTCTGCTGGTGCCATTCAACAATTATAATTGGTCCAGTTTGCACGGATCGTACAAACTATTTATGGCACCTTACTGTCAAACCGCAGGAATCTGCGCCGCAGTAGAAGTACCGGTCGGTATTGGCCAACCGCCAGGACCACCAAAATTTGGAACTTTTCAAAGTGCTTAGAACATTCCCAAAACTTGTAGGATTAATCTTCCAAGCTCGCTGATTACGATATCTACTCAAAAGTTTGCTTTTATACTACTGTGGTGGTGAAATAAATATTTGGGCGGTCGAGTGGCCTGGGTGGCTAGCCGATGAAACACTCGCTTTTAGCCGCGCGGGAAAGGCCGATTTAGGAAAGCATTATGCGATTGCTGGCTGCGCATCCTCCAACACACTTCTGGTCCATGCTTCCTTCTTCTCCGCATCTCAATGTTCGATTCCGTTGTCAACCTTCAAGTCATCCTTATAATCGCGTTTGAAGCGAGTTGATTCGACATCATGCTCAACGTCACTCAAGGTCCAGCGAATGATTTCGATTTTCCGCCGCCTTCTGGGCAGATGGGCCCCAATAACTCGGTTTTTACAATTGGCGACGTGCTGAATTTGCGCTGGCATACTCAATTCTCACAAGTCAACCTTATACAGCGTCAGAATGAGAATGATACAGAAATATTACTCGCATGTTCGATACCACTTAAACTCGTTGCTACTTCAGCGCTGACTGCAAATAGCGAATCTCGCAACCAATTCTTACATATGGAAGGTCACGGCAGGTCCATTCGATTTAACAACGCAAAATGTTTTCTATCTTTGGGTTCAAGATGCACAATACGGCGGTGTTTTCGGTTCAAGTTATCTTAACTTCACCACGACGGGAGCGATTCAGTCACTAGGATTTACATCAACGTCTTCTTCTCCGACTTCGAAAGCTACCCAATCGTCAGGTACACAGACATCAGGAAGTGGAGCCAGTCCAACCTCTGACAACCAATCGTCGAGCTCGAGCGCAGCAGCTGGCACAAAGTCTTCGGGCATTGGCATAGGTGGGATTGCGGGAATAGCTGTGGGGGCTGCTGTCCTCGTTATTGCGGTGGTGTTTGGCTGGTTCTTCTGGTATCAGAGGAGAAAAAGCAGCGCCAGGGCAACGGCAGTCAAACAGGAGCATACCGATGTGATGACATACCAGGCGGTAGCACGGCAACATCCTGGTTATGCAGAAGCGCCAGGGGATATCCGCCATGAACCGGCAGAGATGGGAGCATATTCCAAGGGGGAGTATAACCAGGGGTGGGTTGCCGAGCTGGGAGACACTGCTAGATAACGGATCAATGACAGCGGATATCTGGATTTCTGATGTATTTGAGCGAATTTCAAATATGGAGTCGGCGTTTTCGGACATAACGGCGAGGGTAGATAGTCGTCTGTGGGGATATAGGCAGTACCCGACTTGTATTTTTTATACCCGAATAAAGAGTAACCCTGTCGTAGTTGTGCTTGCAATACTCTGAACCTATCCGCTCTTCTTAAGTTGGCCATTGCATTCTCCTTTTAAATGCGACATGAAGCGGTTTGAATTGGGCTTAGCTTGTACCCTTATTCTTGTTGATGAAACCCCGCCTGCTCTCCCCACTCCCTCGATCAATCAATCGTGCGTCAAGACTTGCACTAAAGCCCCACGTCCCTGCGGGTTTAGTGCGTATCAGCAATACGGTCAAAAATCAGTGATACGGTCGCTTTTTCCCCCTAACAAAAAAAATTCTAGAATTTTTAATAACTTCACAACGTAATACAAGATCTTAAAAAAAGTTCATATAGAGGTACGCCCGATAATTGCGCAATTTTTGGCTTCTTTCAATTTTTCAATTTTGTGAAATTGTGGAAGTTATTACAAAAATGGCCGTATCGCTGATACAGACCGTATTGCTGATACGCACCAAACCCGCAGGGACGTAGGGGCTTTGGTGCAAGTCCTGACGCACGATCAATACCGTTGAATCGTCGGCTTTCTCTTCTTTGCATTTGGCCCGGCTTCCTTTTAGGTCGCGGATAATTGTTCAACTCATTCTCTCCTCGCTGGATCACCCGATCTCCGTTTCTTTCCAACCCACCTTCTCAGAATCCTGCATCCTTTGGCTTCCCTCTCAGGACTCCATCTCTTTCGAACCTATCAGCGATAGTGTCAGGCCGCGGATTATTCTCCCCGCCGCCGTAGAATATTTAGACACCAAGAGTCATCCGCTTTGTTCCAGCCATCAACCCGTCGGGCATATTTTTCGATAATTTTAACCTAATTAAAAGGACTCGAATAAATACGAATAGAAACCTTATATCCTTTTTACCCTTTCTAATTACATTAGTCTCTACTTTTAGCACGTGAGAAATCTGCTTTAGTGTCGTATTACAACTACTGTTGCAGCGAGACGTTAACTTGAGTACTTGCTAGTATTAGCTTCGGGATAGGGGTTTTAGCGTTTTATTACTATAATCATTCCTTTCAAATAATTCATTGTCCCATTCAGCTCTTATGCCCACTTCAAGGGATAAGTTTGCTTTAATTTAAATGTGTTTGCAGGCGGTCAAGAGGCCGTCCTCTATCAAAACTTCGGCGCATATATTGTCCCAAGTCTAGTTTTAAAGGAGATGTTTATTGCCAGCAAGGAAAGGATGTGAAATCACACTGGGAACCAAATTTTCAAATCAATTTTAAGTACGCAGGTATTTCCATTATCTCGGCCGAACACAGATCAACAAGTACCCGTCGAGAGGGAAAATGTGAGAATGAAGATGCACAAAGAAATTTGTCTGCAACAACTAAACTCAATTTTACCACACATTCTGCCATGTGTCCAACTTCCACTCCCACCGCTCCTCTCAACTGCTCTTCGCCACCACTAATCTTGAATAGCAGGAACGTAGAAGCCTATTCACTGCAATTCACTGCAACAGGACTGTAACTTTCCAGTTCGGTCCTTTCCATAGACGTTCAGGTGGCTTCGCTAATGTCAAGGGTAGCTGGACCCTCCTTCTCGCTGAAGGTTTGTCCTTGTCGGACCCCGCGGTACTCACTGAAATCGAGCTGCAGCTTGCCGAAATCCCACCTGCTAGACAAAACAAAGAAACCAATGCTCACCACCGGCAACAAGAGCACGTCGAGCACACCAAAGAAGATGAAGCTGTTGGTGACGCTGATGATGTTCCCTCCGTCACTGAGGCCGAACGTAACAAGGCATAACAGCCACAAGAAGTTTACTCAGCAGGATATGATTATGTAGCCGTGACCGATACCAAGCACTTCCACCGGCTCGTGGCTCTTCTTGAGGGTACTCATTGCAAGGATGATAGAATGCAGTGAGCAAAAGGAGAGCATTGGGAGAGAAGGCTGGGTGTCTAATAGCTGTAGCATCTGGAATTAAATTGCGTTGCATTGCAACTAATTCAAAGGTTGGTAATCGTGAAGACTAAGTGGAAGCAAATATATGGAAACAGATGCGCGGAAGCAAATGCATAAGCATAATCTCGAGATCCCAATTGGAAGTACCGTACATCTCGGAGAGACAGAGAAAGTTCGTCATGGGGAATGGTAGCTGGAGCCAAACTTGTAGGCTGCAAGTAATGCTCTAGTCACTTGTTGGGTGCTTTGAGGCCCCGGCTTCCTGCCACTTGTGCTTTCCTTCATCATGTCTTTTGCCCCTGTCAATGGAATTGATCTGGGGGTTATCTATGATGTTAGCTTTGCAATGCAATAAGGAAGACAAATCGGCTTTATAGAAGGGCAGTTAATAAATGCGATCCGACGAGATGGTTCTCAGTGATGAGGGTTTGACAAAATATGACCAGAGTTCGCCCATTGCTGCATCTCGTGATGTCGGTCTCTTAGCAACCTCGGTCTGGTCTGTTGTGGTGATAGAAGAACATTTATTGGGTCGGAGCGTCAGTAGGAAAGGAGTTGCCGAGGGGTTGTGAAGAATAGAGAGGAGGAGAATGCCACAAGGACCTCATTTCCTGCACGTGATCAAAAACATTCCCCTTGTCGAGGGAAAGACCAAAATGACAACCTCGGGGTTGTCGATTGGGGGCCAGACTAGCCACTAACCCAAAGTAGAGGCGCTCGGACAGGAATACTAAAACTCTGGCTTTTTCTTTGATATAATTTAATTTTATAGGAATCAAGATTTTTAGAGAGCTTAGGTAGCCAATTACTAGTCGTCGCCACCCTTGCCTCAATCGACACCCCAATCGACACCCGGGGGGGTGTCGTTTTAATCTTTCCCCCTGTCGATATGCAGAAACTCCCGCTCGGTACTGGCTCGCTAAGACGAATACGGACTAGGAAGCTTACTGTATTCGCAATAACCTTTCCCCGCGCCGGGCAATCCTCTTGCAATAATTGCATGAAGTCTAGACTGAAGGCGAAAGCCGCACGCACGGTTTAGATGATGGCTCAAAGATCCACTGCTGCGCCGTGCGAGCGCCTTATTTCATGACTTTGACTCCTTTTGCAAAGGCCGCCTCATCTTGGAAACATCCTCGGCCGCGTCGACAAGCTGGCCGTCAGCAGGCAGCTATCAATCCACTGACGGCATCTTCGGAGGGGCCACGTTGGAAGCCAAGATGTTGCCAACCGTGGAGAACGAAAAGCCGAAACTGCAGGAACCCGCCATACCAGTCATCATCTGGATTTACATCTCGTATGTGTTTCCTAATTTAAGTTCGTTCCGTTTCAGGCAACCTTCAGCTGACAACAAACACAGCTGTTGGATAGTCTTGAGCTCTGTCGCCATTCTTTTCAACAAGTATTTGCTGGACGATCTTGCTTTTCGTAAGCAGACTTCTCATCTATCTCATCTCAACCAGGAAAAGCTGACAATACTTAGACTACCGTATGTTCTTACTTGCAGCATCTTCAAGATGGAAAACTGATATGGCACAGCTGCAATCCTGACATGTTGGCATCTATTCTTTTCAACTGTGATGACCCAGATCCTGGCAAGAACTTCCACTGCTCTCGATAGCAGAAAAACGGTTAGAATGACTCCCCGAATCTACCTTCGGGCCATCGTCCCAATCGGAGTTCTCTTCAGCGCTAGCTTGGTCTGCAGCAACCAAAGCTACCTCTATCTCAGCGTAGCATTCATTCAAATGCTCAAGGTAACCTTTCCTACCCGCTTATATTTCAGTTGAATCCAGCTAACAACCACCCAGGCCAGCGCCCCCGTAGCCGTCCTCCTAACCTCGTGGGCGTTCGGCGTTGCCTCCCCCAAACTACGCGTCCTCCTCAATGTCCTCTTCATCGTCTTCGGCGTGACCCTCGCCTCATTTGGCGAGATTAAGTTCGTCTGGCTCGGCTTCTTCTTCCAAGCCGGCGGGATCTTTGCCGAAGCCATGCGCGTGGTTTTGATCCAGATGCTGCTCTCATCCGCAGGACAGAACATGGACCCGCTCATCTCGCTCTACTACTTCGCGCCCGTGTGCACGGTAATGAACTTCCTAGTCGCCCTAGCCACGGAATTCCCCTCCTTCCACCTCTCCTCAATCTCCCGCGTTGGCCTCTTCACCCTCTTCCTAAACGCCATCCTCGCATTCCTGCTCAACGCATCCTCGGTCTTCTTGATCGGCAAGACGAGCGGATTAGTAATGACTCTTTGCGGCGTGCTGAAGAATATCCTCCTTGTGCTTGCCTCAGTCTTGCTTTGGGGGACGGTGATATTGCGGATCCAAGCACTGGGGTATACGATCGCTGTGGCTGGGCTAATCTACTACAGCGTCGGCTACGACGGCATCCTGGCGTTTTATGCTTCTACTTCCAAATTCGGGAAGCAGATTTGGGAAGGTGAGGCACCGGAGAAGAAGTTTGAAACTGCGAGCACGACGAGAAAGAGGCGAGGGATTGCAAGGAAAGTAATAATCATCGGCGTTTTTACGCTCTGTGTGGTGGGATTGATTGTTGGAATGATGGTCAGGAGTGGACAGGCGCAGTATGGAGAGGAGTTGAGGAAGGCGACGCGAAGGAAGGGGTGGCTTGATTTAAAGGGGCCATGACGGGGGTTGGATTTACGACTTGGCTGATTGGATGACACTAGATTTGGGGGCAACTGGGTTTTGGATGGTTAATAGGATAGCTGTATAGTGCTATGCATTGGAAAGAGAATTGGGGACTGCTATGGAGGCAAGGCATCTTCAGAGTACTTAGAGAGAGAGTTCGGGCTTGGAGGAAATGCATAGGGGAGGGCACCTTTGAGATGGTTTAACATCATCAGCATTGCACAATAGAACACAAGCCTTAATGTTCAATTCAGAATCCAATTAGACAAGACTCAGAAGTGAAACCCTGTCTAGAAATATGCCTTTTCGTGCAAGTAGGAAGTGAGAATCAACCGAAGAAGCTAAAATATGCGCAAGGGATGTCTCGGATCGGCACGCTCACTTGGAAAAGGCCATCAACGATTTCGTCATTATCATTGCCTAAAGCCGAACTTGCTCTTGGCCAACAGCTCAGATGTATCATAATCGTACAAAGTCCAAGGAGAGTGGTCATTCCTCACTCATTCCCTCCTAGACTCCCGTCTACTGCCCCGGCTCCGACTCCTCTTCCTATCCCGGTCCCTCTCCCGGCTCCTACTCCTCTCGCGTCTCCTCTCCCTATCCCTCTCCCTCTCCCTCTCCCTATCCCGACTTCTACTGCGCTCTCTCCTTGAATCTCTCTCCCGTCTCACATACGGACTGCGACTTCTACTCCGAGCCTTCGTCCTCTCCCTATCCCTTCTACGACTCCGGCTGCGAGACCGACTCCTACGACGAGTCTTCTCCTCATCCCGAGAACGTCGAGGCTCTCGGTCCTTATCTCTATCTCGATCCCGATCGCGGTTTCTGCTGCGGCTCCTGTCCCGCTTGCGGGTTGGACTTCTAATGGTCGTGCTTTCCCTACGACTGCTTCTGCTGCCCGAAGCACCAGGTACGTAGCGATCGATATTGATAGGACTTGTAGATCTCTCGATACGACTGCCACGCCTACCTGTCGGAGTTCTTGATCTGCTTCTCGCTCGGGAAATTCTCTCACGATCTCTATCTCTATCACGAGACCCATCTCGTTTTCTGGCCGAAGTAGGACTACTGATTCGTTCATCGTCCTTTCGTCTCGAACCATCTTCCGGCTTTCGATCCGTCCATCCAGGGATCGGGAGACCCTTCTCCCTCGCCTCTTTCTGGGCCGCGAGATAGGCTTTGGCTTCCTGTTCACGCTTCTTGGCTTCAGCTAACTTCCATGATTCGAGCTCGGAGTCTCTGGGAGGAGGACTTGGAGCACGTACCCGATCGCGACTACGGGCACGGTCTCGCCTCTCTCGACTGCGGCTGCGTGAGCGATAGCTCGTTCTCCGTCTATCTCGAGAACGGGAACGAGACCGGTCTTTGCTTGAGCGCCGACGCCTGTCATCCCGTTCTCTACTATCTCTACGACGCTTATAATCTCGATCCCGAGAATCATGACGCCGCCGATCATCGCGATCTCGGCTCTCTCTTCGACGAGCGTCCCTGTCCTTGTCCTTGTCTCTGTCTCGTTCTCGACTATCTCTCCGGGATCGCAATGATTCTCGGTCCCTGCTATGATGGCGACTATGGCTTGAGCCTCGTTCACGGCTCCTGCTTCGTCGCCTCTCGCTTCTCTGCAATTTCTCTTCATCGGCATATTTGGCAGGTGCAAGTGGTGTCTTGAAGCCAGAATCGTCTGCTTTGGGCTTGGTTGGAATAGTAGGCTTGTTGGCATCTGACTTGCTGGGCGAATCTCGAGATATTGGCTGGATAGCGGAAGTTGGCCCAGCCTTTCGGGGTGGTGGAGCAAGAGTCTCGTCAATATCGGGCTCTAATTGATGTCTTGATCGTTGGGTGATACGCTTGCCTTCCTTCAACAGGTCATTGAGAGCTTCTTGTTCAAGCCGCTCAATCTCATCCTTGGATAACTCTGTCTCAGTCTTTGAGGTTGAGTCCTTGGTATCATCCCGAGTCGAATCCCTGGTGGAATCTCTGCGACTTGGGCCATCGTCGTACCGTCGGTGTCGATCATCGCGGTCCCGGTCTCTCTCCCTATCTCTGTCTCGACCATGGTCTCGCTCTCTATCCCGTTCACGCTCGCGGTCTCTCAACTCTCGTTCCTTCTCCTCCTCCCGCTCCCTCTCAGCTTTCCTCCTGGCATCTCTCTCAGCTCTCCGCTTCTCCTGCTCGGCCTCAATCCTCTTATCTTCCTCCCGCCTCTTCGCCCTCTCTACCCTCTTCTTTTCGTCCGCGATGGCCCTCTCTCTGTCTCTAGCCTCCTGCCTCGCCGCCTCCCTGGCCTCTCTCTTCCCTCTGGCATCTTCCGCATACTGTTCATCTGTCTTGCCTCCCTTAAGTTCTTCCGCCTTCGCAACCTCTTCCCCAATATCCTCTCTCCTCAAAGCCCTAATCCCCGTCTCAATCTCCTCAATGTGCGCATCGATCAAGCTATCAATCCTCTGCTCCGCACTCTGATACACACCCGCTCGATCAACGGCACCCTCAATCAGGAGCGTAGCCTTCCCACGATCGAGTTTCAAAAGTGTCCCCGTGTTCTTCTCGAGCTCTTCTTCCGCAACAGTGAGCAGGGACTGCGTGAATTCCGATTCGAAGTCCTGGTGATCACATTAGTTTCAACCCCCTTTCTCCAAGAAAAGTGCCGAACTCACGCTGCCCTCCAAATCCTCCCACACCTGCTTTCTCAAGCTGTCGTAGCCACCCTTCTTCTTAAACGTATGCGCCAGCCCTTCAATCGCCGCCCTTGTCGCGCTGGCAAGGGGCAAGTCACTCGTCTTCAGCTTCTTCCTCGCCGGCTGTCCAGGCACGGCGCCGGTCGCAGCATCTTTGCCGTATGCCATCGCCGCCGCCATTTCCCGGTCCTGTCAATGGGTCCCCCGTCTGTGCTCAAGTGTGAAATGTTGTGATTGGGTTCATTGCGCCCTGGTTATGTCCAATGAATGCTGGAATTTATGTTGCGGTGTGAAAGATACGGATCACGTGTTCGAAATTTAAGGTTGTGCTAGCGTGGATGAGCTTCAAGCAACCTCATTGCAGACGTAGTGAGGTCAATTGTGGACGACGCCAGCCCTTCACGGTCCACGACGGTTCTGTCTCTATCAAACAACGTCTGAATAGTCCATAAAAGTCAGATATCGGGAAGGAGAGATCGCAATGGTGCACAAAGTCCTGTTCTGGGGCGGCTTCGGTATGTCTTCCTCCTTCCCCTCCTCCCACTCCCTCGTTACAAGACCTCAGCTAACAGGAAGCTCCCGAAGGCCTCGCAGTCCGCGTATGGCAGCTCGGACTCGAAATGCGGCCCTTCTTCAATAAAGAATCACTGTGGGCATATCCTGTGTTCGGCGGCGTGGGAGCAAGCTTCGGATACTGGGTGCAGGGCGTGGACCAAAGACAGCAGAAGATTCTAGGGGCGAGGAGAGCGAGTCTGTTGGAGAAGAGGGCGAGGAGGGCTGAGAGGGAGGCTGCTGAGGCTGAGGAATAGAAGGTTAGAGGGCAATTGATGGAGGGGCGATTTGTACAAAGTCACAATGGGTTGATCCGGGCGTCTGCTCTAGAAGAGAAAACAAGATCAAAATTACATCAAGAAGATCCTTTCGTGGATATGTTGCGAGGCCAGTTCTGTCTGATTTCTAGGACAGACCATCATTACACTATCTTACAGGAAGCAGCTGCTATCCCATGCAATCCTCCAGCCATTATGCCATCTCGTCGCTACCACTCCTCTAACCCTGGCTCTCATTCCCTAATCTATGTAGCACAGGCACCGAAGTTGGCGGCACATTCCCAGACTCCGTGACGATCATCTGGATGTAGTCCGCGGGCGTAACATCGTACATCGGATTGCAAAGCTGCAGCTTCTTGATATCTCCCCAATTCTCCAGTGGACCACCAGGTATCACCAGCTCATCCGAGGGTGCAATCTCGTTGTGAACGATCGAATCCAGAGCCACCCTCTCCGTAAACTTGATTGTCTCGCAAAGAACAATCACTGGCTTGTCTGCTTCGTTGGCTTCCATTGCCACGAGGGCAGTTCCTATCCTTGAAAATAGGCGTCCGTTGCTCATCATAGCGTGAGCCCCTAGCAGCACTTTCGTAACGTCTTGGATGTTGTGACTTAACCCGTTGATTAGGCAATATTTCACATCCATTCCTATCTTCACCAGCGCTGCTGCTAAGTGCTTCCCTTCATGCAATGGTCTCGAGTCGACTATTATGACTCTGAACTTCTTACCCTCCTCATGTGCTGTGACCAGTGCCCGTTGAACAATACTGCTTTTTGCGTATGTCATGATCACATCTCCGTTCTTAATCTTATCTGCAGCACTGCGTGCAATGACTTGGTCTGCGAACGTGACTCTCTCCCGGATGAACACATCGATGGCATCGCAGAGGCCCTTCTTGGCTTCTGCATCTGGAACACTGACATCGACCTTTGATACTTCAAGCTTCAGCCACCGAATAGCATTTCCCATAGAAATTGACAGGGGGCGACATGATGACAGATATTCAATTTGTGGTGAGAGAACATGTGATGTGAGATGTCGACTTAGTGAGTTCTGTGGTGGTGTAGTATATGACTCGATGACCTTATAAAAGTTAGTTATGCATCCATCATGGTGACTGTTATAAGATATTAAAGCTCCAAGGGAACAGAAAAAGTAACCCACCCTCTTGAAAGCTTGCAATGTAGCAACAAGCCTCGCACAACTTCCACAAATCGTATAATTGCTCATCTGCAACCCCAAAGCCAGAACCGCCGGATGAACATCCTTACTCGCCCCAGCAATAGACGTCGTCCTCGTCTTGTATAAATGTCTAAAGAACTCCACTGTCTTGTCTTCTTTCTTCGGCTCCGTGGCAATAGGGCCAGGTACAACCTTCTGCGCTCCCCGAACCGGCAGATTTCTCAATTCCACTGACGTCGAGCCACCTCTCTGATGTTGTCGCTGTCCTTTAGCACCCTTTTGCCCTTCGGCTTTTGGTTGCTGTCCTGGCGTTAGGGGTACGACTGGCACAGCGGCTCCCTTTGCGAGTAATGCCTCTGCTCGTCGCGCAGCTTTCTCTTCCTTTGCTCGCTTCTTCAATTCCGCACCTGAAAGCTTTGGTCCATCTGTAGGTGCCGCGGGTTCTTTCCCTTTTGGTTGCTTCGCCGTATTTCCTTTCCCTTGCGCTGGGGAAGGAGCTTGTGGGGGCGCGGACTCCGCCGTGGGAGGGTCTGACGAGGGCATACTGTCGTTCGCAGTACCGAAGTACGGATTTCGTGAACTGTGACTTTGCCAAGGAACTGTGATTACAGAAGATTGCTCCGCAGGCAGTTGTAAATTGTAATTGTGGTTGAATGAAATTTGTTGTACTCCAACAGAAGCGCGATGTGGGGTTTTGCGCCTGACGAGAAGTGACTCACGAGCCTAAATCTAGGATTTCTCGAGGTCGAAGATTTGGAAGGAATATGTGTTGAAGTAGATAGACATCCTAGGTAAATTTAGAGCTTCTGACTCTCCACAATGGTGACGACTGCTGATGCGACTCGAGTTGGACGTTTGGAGTGAGGCTGTAGCAACGTGAGGTTTTTGGCGCGACTCCTGCAGAATCCCTGCAAGAACAGAAAAAAGCACGTGCAATGCGATCCACAAGGGGAAACAGTTTTGGAAAGAAAGGACCTTCCCGGATGTTGTTCAGAATAGAACATAAGATTGGTTTAATATGTGGTATATTTTTGTAAAGGTGCAGAGTGTTTTCAAGCTTACACACTTCCTGAATCATTACCAGGTCTTGTATCTAATATCCAACTACAGATCACTTTTAAGTCTAAACATAAGCCATGACAAACAATATTTAATATTCGAGAAGGAACGGCCGTAATGGCTCTCCTATACAGGAATGTAGCTGCATCTCCAACAATTTTTCCAACCTTTTTTAGGCTGGAGCAATCTCCCTGTCCTCTTCCGCAGTTTCGACCTCATTGTCCTTCTTCCCCTTCTTTAGCTTCCCCTCAAACTGAAGCGTATACACCCCCAATAACTTCCCATCCGCCGGCTTACTCTCCCTCGTCCCCTCAACCTCCGCCACCGCGGCCTTAACCCTCGCAATCAAAGCCTCCGCCTCCTCTACCGTGGCTTTCTTCCCCTTCCTCTTCGCCCCAAGCACAATCTCAACCCTATTCCCCTTCATCAAAAACCCCTTCATCTTCATCATCCTATGGTTCAAATCATTCGCATCAATTGCCCAATTTAACTCAATCGTCTTCTCAGTAACTGCTGACCTCGCACCCTTCAACTTCGCCTTCTCGGCAGCACGCATAGCTTCCTTGTTCATGATCTTGCATATTGGTGGGACGCCAGGCTCGCCGGGAACGACGACTACGAGCGTGTCTTTCTTGCGGTCGATGGAGTCGAGGACGTCGAAGGTTGGTTGCGGATCTTGGAGTTTGCCGTCTTCGCCCACGAGGGATATGGACCAGGCTTTTATTTCGTCGTCGCGGGGGAGACGGCTTCTGACTGCTGCTGAGGAAGCGTAGCACTTTTGCTGCTGTGAGACGAGGAGTCTGGGAGCTCTGGTGCTACAGCGTAGAGCTGACGTTGAGGTGGAGGAAATAGTTCGCGGCGTAAATTGAAGCTTTGATTGTCCAGGTTGAACAAGTTCAATTGGGGCAATGAAAACCCTGTGCAGAGCTGCAGCTGTGCTGAACGCGCATCTGGTGCTCTTCATTGTTCCTGTGCCTTGCCGGAGAATCGACAAGTGAGCTTTGGAGACGGTTGAAGCTTCGAAATCTCTCGCGTAAAAATGTTCCTCTCCGCCATCTGACATCCAAGCCCATCTCGTGACTTCAACAACAACGTCCTCAAAAATCAATATGCCATGCCCCCTCTCTCACGCTTTCTCCTCCCCTTCAAATATGCCAAAGAGCGTTACGCAGGGCATCCTCTGCGCCTCTCCATTGCAGCCCTGAAGACCATCCTACTGGCCCACGTCTTCTGGAAATATGGCTACGCAATTGCTCCCCTACAAGGCCCCTCTATGCTGCCCACTTTCGAAGTCACCGGCGATTCCGTCATTATCTCAAGATACTATCGACGAGGGAGGGAGATCAAGGTTGGGGATGTGGTGTCGTTTGACTCGGTGGTCGAGCCGGGGGAGAGCGTGATCAAGAGAGTTCTTGGACTGCAGGGGGATTACGTTATGAGGGATACTCCGGGGACTACGGAATCAATGATCCAGGTAAGAGATGAGTGAAATTCCGGTAGACTTTAGAACTGGGTTAATGTGGGACTAGGTACCAGAAGGCCATTGTTGGGTCATTGGTGATAATCTACCATGGTCCAGAGACTCGAGACATTTTGGGCCAATGCCACTGGCGTTAATTAAAGGCAAGGTTATTGCGAAAGTCTTGCCTTGGAGTGAAAGAAAGTGGATAGAAAATGGGCTGCAACCTGTAGAAATTCGTAGGGCCTGAATAGAAGCATTTCAAGGAGCAAGGCGTTGGAGGGCAGTTTGTCGGCTTATGATGCACATTGTCAGATCGCTTTTACCTGAAGTTTGAAGAATGTAACTCTCGTGTGAAAGGTGTGGATATCATAAGCTTCCTATCTAATTACATGGAATAAAACGGAAAGTCCAGTATGAAAACAAGTTCGAGTTGAACGTCTGAATGAAATGGGTGGGAGCGTGGCAATTCGAACTTGCCGTCGGCTCCTCGTCGTTCAAGGGAAAGCTTCGCTCAGTCCTCAGCTCCACCAATGCTCGCTCCCAAAAAGATATTCCCTGATTAAATGCGCCTAACACCTCGCCTTCCGATCCGAAGATGCAATACAAAACAAAGATCTATAGCGCTCACTTGACCTAACCCTCAATGTGAGATGGCTTGTTCTGCCCCAGGAGTTGCAAAGAGCGCTGGGCAAGCTGCACAACTTCTCCCTCGCCATCCTCTTCACCCTCATCGTCAGACTCGATTTGCGTATCCGCGATCGTCTTGATCATCTGCACTATCTCCTCTGACTTTCCAATTAAGCTGATAAGCTTCTTATCTTCGGACTCTAAAAGCTGAAGCAGCGTCCAGATCGCAATGTGCTGGAAGGTAGCATCTCCACTGGCAAGGAACCGTTTGAGATACCCATGGATGCCTCCATTAGGCTCTGTCCAGTCTTGAATGAAGATTGAATAATCGCCGACTATCAATCTATGTTAGTACATATAACTAAGGTAAGGAAATACCTCGATCATACCTTTTGAAGAGAGATTCCCAAGAGCTGCTGCACTATTGCCTTGGACTTCGATACTCTGCGAGTCTGTAAGAGGGATTAGAACGTCGAAAACTCCCAAGTTCAGGAGGTGAGTCTTGAGCTCATCGCTGAGAGCTAATACGGCAATTGCGGCAGTCATTTCTGATTGTACGCTCAGGGGAACATCGAGAACTAATTGCTTGCATTTCTGAACAGCTCCAGCTTCCAAAACCAGAGCTTTGTTGCGATCAGAGCTTGCCGCAAGGTTTCGAAGCGTAGATATTGCATGGCATTGGATCTCCTCATTGTCTGTAGATCCTAACAGGTCCACCAGTGGCTTTAAAAATCCTGCATCGATAATAGGTGATTCGTTAAGAGGGTGGATGGAGATGTTCCGAATACAAGCTACTGCAGAAAGAATCAAAGGTAGGTATGAGGATTGTAAAAGTCGAAGAAGAGGAGGTAGACCTCGCGCCCGAACGATTTCGAGTTGGTATTTCTCGTCGGAAGCAAGGTTTCGTAAAGCCAGAGCAGCCTGGCATTGAACTTTCGGCGAAGATGAGTCCATTAAATTGACCAAAGACTGAATGAGTCTATTCTCATTTTGTGCCAACTTCTTTCGGTTGTTTGCATCGACAGCAATGTTGCTCAACGCAGTGGTGCAGTAATATTGAACGTCAACGTCGGAGGAAGAAAGGAGTTGGACGAGTACTGGTATGGCACCCGCATTTACGAGTTGCTGCCGATTTTCATCTGTTCTTGTCAGTTACCGGTGTATTGTTGGATATCAGATCCATACCTGAATGGGTCATGTTCAGGAGAGCTCCAGTTGCGTTCCTCTGAACTCTCATGTCTTTTGATTTTGCCAAACGAGTAAGAGGCCCCAACGCTCCAGACCTTGCTATCTTTGCTTTATTGTCCTCGTGGGTTGCAAGATTTGTAATGCAGCCTACCGCGTTGCACTGTACTTCAACGTTGGGGGACATCATCTGTCGAATGAGAGGGGTAAGCCCGCCGAGAAGCACAATAGCGACCTTGTTTTCAGCTATAAAACATTAGGAGATGCTCCCAGAATCCTTGTAGAAGATAGCAATGCTTACTGTTGACTGCAAGGTTTCCAAGGGCGGCACTGGCTGCTCGCTGAACTTCTATATCTGGGCTTTGTAACAGGAACAGTATTGGCTCGAGTGTATCACGATCGACTTCGCGGACATCTGAAAGAACAATCAGCATGCTGCATATCAAAACCATGTTATCCCAAGTCCACAAGCTCGCCCTCGGATGTATGCTCGAGGCCGTCGAGGGAGTCCCAAACCCAACTCAGATTCCCATCCAGAGCACTGTATCTTGCCCCCCTCCACTTGATCATGCCATGTACGTACCTCGCTCTGTTATCTCGGCGAAAGTCAGGCTTGCGCTGCGTTGAAGGTCGACATTATCTGAGAAGACTAGAGTGCTCAGAGCTCGTAAAGGTTCGCCAGAAAAGAAGTCGGTTTCTCCACGCTATACAAAATTAGCTGCTGCGTATACATTGTGCCCAGCAGAGCTGCTCATACGTTTTCTAGGTATTGAAGGAGGTCCGCAACAGCTTCTCTCTCGCTCTCGGCGAGGACTGGCTCGTATAGGCCATCGCGAGATTTGCCTGTGATTTATCAAAATATGTCCTGCCTCCTGTCCAAGCACCTGGTATCCATACCTCCACAGCACGAAGATCCACAGGCACCCATCTCCAAAGGTCAGTCCCGCAGGACTGGTGGTGTATCGTATTCGAGGTCAATTGTTTTGTTGGAATGCGAGCGGAACGTTGAACAAAGCAAACCCGGCAAGATGCGTCAAGTCTGAAATGGTGGCACAAGGCAAGGCGTGTGGTCCATTCACAGCAAAGATACGAAAAACAACACGATGTTTGAAGAAGGGAAGAAGGCGCTTTGGTGATAGGAAAGAGGTGTGATTCTGATAGCTCGGAGTACCTGGAGGAAGCTGCGTCCGCCGCCAGCAACCCAAGCTCCTCGCCTAAAACCTTGTCCTGCAAAAGCAACACCCGCGTCACATGGCATTCTCCATTGTATTTCTGATGAAATCAGCCGACGAGATGTCTCTGATTTCGAGGTCAAGCGACAAACTTTATACTTCAGTCCACAATCTGTGGAACGACTCCAAGTTTGGGACATTGGAAATTGCGTTAGGCTCTCAAGTCCAAGAACCGTCGTGGGTGGGTCTGCCCGGGAGGATCAAGACACCTAATATCCAAAGGCCGTTTACCTTGGTAACAATCAAATTAACTTGCGGTTCGTTTGCTCTGTCTCACACGAGGATTCCAAGCTTTCCGGGGCCCAGATACGATCGCGGTGACTCTTCAATACGGAGGCAGCATTATGATTTCAACGCCCATCATGTGATATGAGATACGAGGGAGGATTCAATCCTCGAGGATACCTCCAGACTCCAATATACAATGCTTCCCTGTACATTACCATTACCACCCTTATAGCAGCGGTACGGAAGAAGAGATACCAGGCTTTCTTGCTAAGGAAACTTCGATTTTGTTGACCTTCTTCTCGGAAGATCGACAAACACAAACCCTTTTTAGAGCCTCGATGCCCAATGCAAAAGTGAAGAAAAGTACCTGCAGACGCTATCAGACCTCGTATTTCAGCAGCCACAACTCACCCAGGTTGCCACAGACCTTGTGCCGGTTCTCAAGCAGGCTTGTAAAAACCAAGAACTCCTAGAAATATGACGTGCGGAGGCGAGAGCGAGATTTGAATGTCCCAACATCACCGTGGGAACTATGTATCTCTGTATGTCTCTACCTTATGTATCTTTTGTCAGCCTTGAGAAGTCAGCAACGGAAAAGGCTGTCGGTTCGGAAAATCGTTTCGGCGCGTTATCTCTACGGCGGCCCATAGGACACTTGTTAGAACAGGAGCAGGTGCAGGCTCCGCTTCCAAGCCCACGTCGATCGCTCCCTCAACCTCCCAAAAAAGAGCTCCATCTTCGAGCTTGCCCCTCTCTTCCGCTGTCGACTTGCATCTTGACCTCACCCTGGTTTCCACGGCCTCCAGGCCAAAGCCTCCTCAAGCAGCTCGATCTCCATTCATGTGAACCAGCCATCCTGGCCCATGTCCGATACGGCTGAAGGCACTCGGGCGGCCGCGGCGCCCAATGCCGTGGATCGCTCTCCATCGCCAACAAACATCGCTAGGCATGGTCACGAGCCGTCACGCATTGCCCAACCTTCCACTTTCCTTCTTCCCCGAGGCCAAAATCGCGCGATGCAGGATAAGCCGTTGAGCTCGGTGGACAGGGACCAGCTGAGCGGGTTGGTGAGTTTACCCTGACCGTCGAAATTCGATGCATCGCAGCTGTACTGAGCCTCAAACTCTCCGTCGATGCCATGGCTCACAGGACCCCGCCAGGCTGACAAAGCTTGACCTTCACAGAAAGCAATCCGCGATTTCCTCAAGAAACGAACCAGTTACGACGTCCTTCCTCTCTCCTTCCGACTCATCATTCTCAATACCGACCTTCTCGTCAAGAAGAGTTTGACCATCCTCCTCCAAAACGGTGAGATACCCAATAACCCGTAGTTCGCTTTTTGCTAAGCATCCATCTCTAGGAATCGTTTCTGCTCCTCTCTGGGATTCGCATACCTCGACTTTCGCTGGTCTCCTCACAACCTCCGATTATATCAATGTTGTCCAATACTATTGGCAAAATCCAGATGCCCTCAACCAGATAGACCAGTTCCGACTGAGTAGCTTAAGAGGTAGGACTGTTGCCATACATGGCTGGAGGTTGTGCTGATCATGGTCTAGAAATCGAGAAAGCAATTGGCGTTCTGCCGCTTGAGACACTCTCCGTGCACCCCATGCGCTCTCTCTACGAAGCATGCCGTCAAATGCTAAAGACTCGAGCCCGACGAATTCCTCTAGTGGATGTCGACGATGAGACTGGTCGAGAAATGGTTGTCAGTGTGATCACGCAATACCGGCTGCTAAAATTCATAGCGGTTAATGTCACCGAAACGGAGATGTTGAAGAAAACTGTCTCGGAAATTAGTCTCGGCACATACGGAGACTTGCAGACGGCAAACATGGATACCTCAGTGATCGACGTCATCCATATTATGGTCAAATACAGCATCTCGAGCGTACCAATTGTCGACGAGGATAGGCGGGTCCTGAATGTATTTGAAGCCGTCGATGTCATTTCGGTCATCAAAGGCGGTGCTTACGACGAACTTACTACAAGTGTTGGAGAAGCGTTGTCGAAGAGAGCAGAGGATTTCGCAGGAATCTACACGTGCAGCGAGGAAGATAGACTAGATTCGATTTTTGATACGATTCGAAAATCTAGAGTCCATCGACTCGTTGTAATTGATGACGAGAATCGTCTTAGGGGGATCATTTCACTTTCGGATATCCTAAAGTATGTCCTTCTGTATGGAGAACTAGACGAATGAGCACAAATGGGATGGAAATGGGACGAGATATCCAAGGAGGCGTTGCATAGCGATTTGGCGTACGGAATGAGAGTCGAGCATATCATGCTGCGAGGCTTATAGATCTCTTTCAGTCGCCGTCGATAATACCATTGTTTTTTCAAGGCAAGCAATTTCTTTTGGGGCGAGTGGGAGAACATTGTTGCAAGTCAGATGAATAAACTTTTGAAATTGGGTGCCGACACAGAGTGTTAAAGTCAATACCCTCAATGTTTGATGACTGTTGGAACATTCAAAAAGGAAAAAGTATGCTGCCGGGATATCGTTGGGACAATCCATTACCGAACTGGACTTTGAGCACCGGTGGAGTAGTCATCATTTCAAGACGTAAGTCAGAAATGGAAAGTGCTTATGAGTTGTTGCTGTTTCCTTCTATCGCAAGTGCGTTGGAGGACCTCCTTCTCTTCTTTGGCGCATCGATGTACACACCCCACCGAGATTCTCCAATTTTACACATTATCAATGGATTATGGATCTTGAACGTCAAAATGCAGTCTGCCAATAATGATCTTAATCATCGTTCATACTCTACGAAATTATCAATGGCAACACAATCCGATGTTCGCGCTCCCGTCTACGATGATATGACGATCGCCGAAGGCCTTCTCAACAACTCAAAAGTACCGCATCGAACCAGTTCATTCACGGGTACCCATGGCCTATCACATTCGACAGGCCAGTTTAGAAGCTCTGTAGCACTCACAGAGGCTTCTGCGGGTGGGATATCTCGACGCGCAGGTCGGACCAGCAACACATGGACATCATCGGATGGGGATGTACTATCCGACCATGATGAAGTTGACGACCGGACTGTGTTCCTTCAAGAATTCAATCGCCTGGCGAGAAAGGTACGTTTGAGCCCCTGCCATCGAGACGACATAGCTAATACCATAATACAGCATGGAGTACGGCCGATGGTGCAAGACGACGATGACCCAACAAATGTAAGTTGAAAGCCCTAACAAAATAAGACAAAGTTGACAGAGGGCGTAGGATGATTCCAACAATCAGGGACAGCGGGACAGTTGGTTCTCAAGAAAGATCCTCAGACGAACTTCGTCCACGCAAAGTATCAAGCCCGAACGACAACTGAAGCATAGACGTAGCATCAGCGATTTATCACTGCGGATGAGGTTGAAGAAAGATAAACTAAAGGACAAAGATTTGCAGGAACTGGTTCGTCTTTGCGGGTCGAGCCTCCTCTATTTGCCCACGGAATATGCAGCTGGAAGTCTGGCTGTGCCAACTTGCTTCCGCGCTACGGCACAATATCTTGTCCAGTATGGTACGTGGGTATCCTTCTTCCCGTATGGCCCTTACTGACGAAATGCTTAGGCACTACCACCAGGGGCGTCTTTCGAATTCCTGGCTCTCATAATGTCGTGGCAGCGCTGTACAATCATTACTGCTCAATGGACAACAATGGAGAGGCTATTGCAGGAACAGTTCGATGTCCAACTCTACCCGAACACATCCGGTGCGACGTTCACGATGTAGCCTCGGCATTCAAAAAGTTCATCTCCGGGCTGCCAGGAGGCATCTTAGGCTCTTTGCCACTCTTTGATTCCCTCATTTCAATCCAGAGTCAATTACAGAGTGACCCCGAATGGACAAGGACGAAGCAGAGCAAAGTCCGCGCAAGGCTCATTGCTTTGGCGATTTCAACTTTGCAATCTCAGTACAGACGCGAACTCATTTGTGCAGTATTCGGTCTTCTCTGTATGATCGGGCGAGCAGCAGAAACTTCTCGAAGAGAAGATGACCGAGGCAGACCGTTACCAACATCAGATTTGATGGGTTATGGTCCTTTGGGAATCGTCTTCGGACCACTGCTTGTCGGTGACTTGTTGGAGGACTACATCATGCGCATCGCAAACCCTCATGGCGGTCTCATATTACTTCCAATCAGTCCTCCGAAGTCACGAAAGGAGAGGAAAAAGAAGACTAAAAGCGGGGACGAGGGAAATTTATTCAATACCTATGTGGACAAGATCAAGGTTGCAAACAGTATTGCGGAGATGCTCATCACTCACTGGAGGGAAGTAGTCCGACATATGAAAAATCTCAGCGCATTGAAGGTCGTAGGAGGATACAAGAGTCTAGGTTTCAGGGGCGTAAAACCTCCATTTTTACGACCATCTGCATCTGAATCATTTGCTCTCCGGAAACCACCTGACTGGGATGAGGCAAATCCTTTCAGACCAGCGACAAGAAGTCCATCTCCGACTCCGATACGTCGTAAGTTCATTGGAACTGAAATAGTTATCCCTGGTTACTAACCTGAAGCCCGTGTAGGCGTCAGCAGTCCTGTGGCGGACCCCGATGGGAATCACTCTCCAGGGCATAACGATGGCCTACAAGTTAGAAAGCAAAGGTCGAAATCCAGGCCATTTTCAACGCAACGCCTCTCTACCGCCAAATCCGTGAGCGTGCTTTCACCCACGGTTGAGGAAAATGTTAAGGAGAGTGAAGCAGGAACACACTTTGAGTTACCACGTACGAGGAAGAAGTCGAACGCGTCAAGTTCATCAAACAAAGAGAATAGGCCTGCGCCTGATAATGCGCTCATCGGAAAGAATTCTCATACGAAAGACAAATCGAATAGATTGAGTTCGTCAAACAAGGAGAATCGACCACCACCTGATGATGCGTTTATGGGGGAGGCATCCCCACCGCATTCTACCCCTGGGTCTGCATGTTCAGCTCCAAAAGTGAAGTTAACGACTGTACATGCTCAGCCGATCGACAGCCTTAAGTTCATGGGCCCAAACCTTTCTCTCATGACAGGTATTCCCATGCAGACCCCGAAGAGTCTTCGCATACCTATCAAGGAGAATATGGGTGATTTTGAGAAAGGGAAAGCCGCTGAACGAGTCTCTCGTCACAGCGAGCCTCCGATTGGCAGCGAACGGTGTAACCCAGCTACGCAGCCTCCACGAACTCTTCTCAAGCCTCTTTCACCTTCACCGCCTCCTCAAAGTGGTTTTCGAATGGGTCCTGTAGCCTGGGCAAAGAAGTCCCTATCGAGACACTCTCGGGCTTCACAAGAAACTGTAGCTACTCCTTCGAATCAAAGGAAACCGAAAGTATTGGTATCCAAAGCATCGACTAGGGACCCTGAACATGAATTTCCCAAAGACCAACGCCGACTCCGTGGCAGCGACCCGGGTATAGGAGAGAAGGCCCCTAATAGGTCTCCTCGCAAGGTCTCGAGATCGTTGTATGATGATCCACAACGGAAGAAGAAGCTTTTGGAACTAGATTACGCAAAGAGATTTCCGAGACAGGATCCACTGTCAACCATATCTCAAGAGGAGGATATCGCTTCATTATCCGAACTTGCCCAGGCACTGGGCTTTCTCGAAGAACAGGATGGGGCCAACTCTCCGTCTAAGCACAAGCTTGGCTCCGTGAAAGAAGAGCCACTGAGTAATCCTTCTTCCGGGAAACACACAGCTGGATCTGATTGGACAAGTGGAGCAGCAACGCCGCCCTTGAATTCAGAGCATGGAAATACTGCAGGGCAAGTTGGGGGCCCGAAGATCGGCCAACGCGCCACGAATGAAAATACAAAGGTTGATGAGAAGGACCACTGTCCGCCGGGGCTTGGTCCAAAATTCGAGGCTTCGTCTTCGGATCAAATAGGTGCATACCCTTTAACACCCAAGCGGATCCTGGCAAGTACAAATCCAGTAACCCCCAAGTCTCAGACAAATCAACAACGCACCCCCGTCCGGCCCAGTTCCTCCATTCTTCCTTGTAGTCCAAGCACTAAGTTCTCAGCTCTCGTTGCGAAATTCAATAACCCGGACTCACAAACTACCCCTGAGTGTTCGCCTTCCAGGCCACCAAAGAAAACTATCACCGAGTTCTTGGCTAGAGAGGATCAAAATTGTGCCGGTTCTCCCAAGGAAAGCTTGGTCGCTCCATATACGACCAATCCACCATCTCCTACGAAGTCTCAGAAATCAGGAAAATCCGCCATTACACCACAATCAAGACGCAGTTCTTTGGTCGCCAGCCGCAAATTACTTCTTGATACAACTTTGAATTTGAGCCGAAGGACATCACTTGCTGGGAAAGATGAAATAACCATCCATGCTGCTAACTCATCTCCTGGAGGTGTTCCAGCGTCAACGCAGTCGCCTCCTATGTCTAAGTTGAGTCCGCTTGGATGCCGAAAGACTCCATGTTCTCTAGACATTACATCTCCAACAGAAACAAATCTGCCAAATTCATCCAACGGGGATACGGAGTGTGCGTTTGTACCCCAGACGCCCTTTGGAGAGGCTGTTGAGGAAGTGCAGCAACAGTCAATTTCCTCTGCTAGGTGTTCGACCTCACCCGGCCATGACGAACATGTCGCAATATGTACCATGCAAATCCCAGCCTCATTACAGTCCCCTGTTTCTCCAGAAGCTGTAGCTGGATTTCCTTCCGCGGTTTCGACCGAAGTTCCAAAGTTTGATGGACCTGCTGGTACTATTGACCTCAAAAAGCTCCCAATAAATTTTAGCTTCAGAGAAGCCGAGCTCAATTGTGTAAACTCCAGGCCCAGTCTCGCTGATAGGGCTGGCTTTGTACATCCAGACTCGCCTTTTAGAGATGTATTTTCGAGTTCGCGTTCTGTCAGTCCAGCCGGGAGCCCTCTTCCAGGTCGTAGCAATTCAGTGCTGTATGCCCAGATCCGAACTCTCCGGAGACAGCTCGCAGCAAAAACCGAGGAGGTCCGACAACTGAAAAAGCAGCTCGAGGCCCGAGGGTCCCTTGATATTGGGACTCTCAGTGAGCAATTGAGGGAAACAAAGAAAGAGACTGAACACTGGAAATCCAGAGCTGAAGTGGCGGAGAAGCAGATTGAGATGTTCACGAAGTTGCCCTTGAGATCTAAATCCCGCCAAACTTCGGGAGAACTGTCCGCCAAATCTTCTCGAAATCGAGTTCTTGCGCGCTCTAGTACAGGATATCCTGGGGAAGCTGCTGAAATGGCAGCGAGAATTCGAAAAGCTTTGCATGGAATGGATGGTGCTTCCAGTCCACCACGTTGGAGCTCAGAAGAAAGCAGTGATACTGTGATTCGCGAGCCAATTAATGGAAGCGAACGGAGAGTTGCAACTGAAGATATTTTAATACTGTATGAATAGGCAGAGCTTGACTTGTCTTGGGCGAAGGTGGATGAATGGTTTGTTTGGGGGACGGCTCGCTTTTGTATAAAGGGGGTCCGGTGCAGCAGCATCCTTACTCTTTTTGTTGAGTATGAACGACTAAGGAGTCCTCACTCAGCCATTAAGCAAGCCACAATGGTTATGTTATCATTTTTAGTACTGTTATTCCTAGTAAAAGGAGACTTTTCAGTACTAGCCTCCAAGTTTGCGATTCATCTTTTGTATGCTTGTTAGTGAATTGGCCAAGAGGACGACACCGCCTTCCCGTATTTTCCATCTCTTCCGACTCTAAATTAAGGCGAGCCTTCGTTGTCCTTGTTCACAGAAAATCTCGACTTCGTCTTGCTTTCCAAAACTTCGCTTCAAAAAACTCTTGCGAACAACACTACTGCACCACTTCCTTCGAAACAGAAGAAGTAATCATGGCTTCCGACCCAAACAAAAGCAGTTTCTTCGCCTTCACCCATCCAGGTTTGGTTCTTGGTTCGTCCCCTCCCTCTTCCCTTCCTCCCCAGGATCTCACACAAATCGCTAACGACCTCAATCTCCTACCACAGTCCTCTGGGACATCTTCCTCGCCATTCCCCTCGCCTTCATCCTCACGCACCTCAACGAACACATCTTCCGTCTCCTCGGCTACGAAGAGCTCATGCGTTCGCCCGGCGGCGCTCGTCTCAATCAGGTGATATTCGTGCTGGTGAATGCGTGGCTTGTTGTGGGTTGGGCGTGGCAGCTTATGGAGGAGGCGAGGAAGCAGAAGCAGGAGAGGATTAGGGCGTTGAAAGAGGAGATTAGACGATGGGATGAAGATATTGAGAGGTTGGAGGGGTTGATGGAGGTATGTGTTCTTGTTGGGTGGTCGAGACGGCTGTGGGATGATGGGAGCTTGGTGGGAGACTGGGAGTTTTGCTGACCTGGAGCAGGAGAAGCAGATCGAGGAGCAGTTGCTGGGTCGTCGTAGAAGGACTGAGAACGAAGGTGGTGAGGCGAAGAAGATGGTGGTCGAACACGGAGAGATTAGGTTGGCGAAGGTCGGGACTCCGATGGGTACGAGGAGACGTGGTCTTGGGGCAGCGAAGCAGAGGGAGCCTTCTCCTCTCTCCGGATTGCGATTTTGAGAGCATTGCTTCGATGAGGGAGGATACAGGTACTTTACACACAGTGGCATGGCTGATTATTTTGGGGAAACTTGACTGGGGCTGGAACATAGTCACGAGCGTCACTGAATTGGGACTGGAATGATTTGATGATTTCAAATTCTGAAAACCAGCTATTGTCACCAGAAGTCTCTTCTAGAAAGAAGAGCCAGAGAGCCAAGCCAATAAAAATAACACACAATTTGGAGTTTCCGTTTCTCTTCGCGCCTCACTTACTGCAACCCTTCAAGCTGCTACGTAGATTAGCCAGCATCCAAGATCTACCTCTGAAAGATCTGGAGACCATTCTGGAGCAGTGAGGTATTGCTGATGCTTAATACGGCAGGAGCAAACAGCTGCGAGACGTAAACATCTATAGGATCCAATCTTCGAGGTCCGCTATCCCCAAGTTGATAATGTCGATTTGGAGGTACTTCGGTCAATGGCGCTCCATGGCTAACTCGTGCTTGGCAAATTACGAAAGTACCGTATGGTCTTTGGCGCGCCCGTGCTAGATCCATTGCCGCAATGCCCACGGTACCGTTCAAATGACAGCACCGTGTTGGATCCAGTGCTGCAATGCACACAGTACTGTTCAAATGACAGCACCGTGCTCAATCCAGTGCCTAATGCCCACGGTATCATTCAGATAATGGCGCCGTACGCGAGCAAGTGAGTCTGAGACCTGACACTGGCCTGGATTAAATGTGATCTATAGAAATTAATATGGAAATGTTTTAGGTTTTGATTTTTGTTCTGTAGATTAGAGGAATGCTCTGGAATTTTATATTATTAGCCAGAGCAGTTTGAGTCATAGTGCAAGTTTTTAGCTTGCTCGAAGTTTTGCTATACTAGCCAAGATATTGACCTAAGGAACAATCTCAATCACCAAAGGAGCGAATCCTGCGCTTCAACTATATTTTTTATCCCCATTATATAATAGGGATATAGACATTAATGACAACCTTATATAACAAGGCGCGTATATACACAGAGATCAAAGAACCAGAACCAAAGCTCATATGTACAATCATCCAACCTAACCCTCTAAACTCACTTATTCCTGAAGGACACCATGGATTTGGAACCCACAGACCTGGCTAGAAATAACCATTCAAGGCTTCCTTTGACCCTATGCCATTGACATCGCGTTCGAGGTCCTTGCCTGCTTCAATTGCAGATTCCAGATAAGACATAGTTACCTGAGCATGACGTGAATATCCTTTTGCGTATTGGTTGTGCGCACTTGGTTCCCGGTGTCTTTGGAACCCTCCTCAGAAACCCCTCTGTGTGCCCTGCTTTCACCATCCCATCCTAGCTGAATCTGCCGTCCCTCGAGCTTGCTCCAGCTCCATAGCAAGCTTTTTTGTATGTTGTACTTGGGCCACAGCCAATTCACGTAGCCCTTTTGTTGCATATCGTAAAAGTAGTTGGATCCCGGGCAGCTGGCACGTAACTTGTGTGGCTTGGGATGTGGCTTCAATATAAGGCTTCTTTTTTTGCTGCACATTGTAAATTGCAGGAGGCGCTTACTGGTACTTTGCTCTTCCAATCAAAACATCTTTCATCAACATATTTCAAGCTTTGTTGCATATCGCAAGAGGATAAAACAGGTGGAGGTGGTCTGATGCGATCGCGACTGCTTGTTCTAGAAGCATTGGAATGAGGACCACTTAAGTACTCAAAAGTATGCCTCATATGCATACATAATGTGTCTTGCTATTGTAAGTGAGAAATCAATTTCTTTTGTTGCAAATCGCAAAAAGATATCCTATCCAAGAATGAATCATATGTGTTGTGACCTTTATCTCATCCACTAATTTGGAAACTTGCATATTCCCCTACATGGCTGAAAATGTGGCTTCATTACCAGTATCGACTCTAGCACTGACTTTTTATATGCCTAGGAGGCATACTTCTGAGTACCCCCTTGGAAGTTGTTCCGATGATGTTATTCTTTCGTGCTGCAACCATCACGAGGTCTAATTGGAGAAGGATAGAACAGAACTGAAACTATTTTTAGATTTAGAGTATTACAACTGCAAGTAGATCGGGTTGAACTACTATACCCCAGAGTAATTACGTTTGAAGTACATTATATTAATATATTATAAGATAGCATATGTGCTTTATTCATACTTCAAGCCAAAGTAGGCTGAGTTCTACAGGGCAGTGCAGACTGCTTTGGCTTGAAGTATAAAATTTCTGTATAATAAAACTTAGAGCACATCAAAGATTAATACTAGAACCTGAACTACCTTGGCATCTAATATAATAATATAACGTATTCCTGTAACGTGTGCTTTAATATTAATTTCTAAATCGAACTTATTACCTAAGATATCTTGCTAGTAATACGAATTTCCGGTTTTCTCTATAAACCTTGCTTTTCAGTTATATGAGTAATGAAGATATACTCGGAATAATTGTCTTTATATACAGTGTGATATCCTTGTTAATTTATACTAATAATCCCGGCAATAGTCTTCTACGGTAGTAGTGTAGGTGTCTCCGCCATGCTATGTAACGCTAATAATGGTGGAGTAAGCTCCTTTAGTGAAGCTGCTGGGCTGGACGACTTTTCCTTGTTTCTTCTCATGGCTTTCCGTATAGTAGTTCGTTCTCTGTGGAACTGCCAGTATATTTTCTCTATAGTTCTCCAAGGAAGCGCCATCTCGTTAGCAATAGGCTACCACATCTGGGTTTTATGCCTAGTGAAGGGTGTTAGCCATATCAAGATAATAAGGAGTGAGATAGATCATACCGGCCATATAGTGTCACAATCATTTCCGGCCGCCGATCACTCCCGCTTCTCTAGTCTTGTGAAAAGAACAAGAACTAAGCAGAATCGCACATCGTGAGGGCAAGTGGCGCTATAAAGGGGCTTATAGAGATCAGCCTATTTTTAGAATTGAAGGGGTCCAAATCTGGCTCCCCACTACTTAGATTCAGGGGGACCGATTCAGGCCCTCCATTGCGCAAATCAAGATTTGGAGGATTGAGGGTTCAAATGCAGCTCCCCACCACCTCGGTTTGGAGGTGATCGATTCAGGCCCCTTATTGTGCAATCAAACCGTGGGCTCAAAATCGGTTCCTATACCCCTGTTAGCCACCAATACGAAAGTCCTCAAAGACAACTATCAGAACAGAGGGTGGTTGACAAAACACGGCCTAGAACAAGAGACGACCTCTCAAATGCTTCAGGTTTAATACTCGAAGTGTATCAAAACTGACCTGGGCAGATCACCTTTTAATATTAATGGGTACTACAAACGTCAAACGAAATGACAAGGGGAAAAAGAAGAAAGAGAAAGAACGAGGGATTAAACAGGAGAAAGGATACCTTAATTAAGGAAGCCTATGAATTAGGAGAATTCGATGGTATCGACGTCGCTCTAATCATTTGCAAGCATGGTCGATATACTACGTATGGATCTAGGGACCATGCATCGTGGCCGCCATCTATAGCAGAGATAGTAAGTAAAGCGATTGCTTGCTTGAAATATACGACTAGTACTAATACGGACTCCACTACAATGATCGTCCGGAAACGTAGTGACGTCTTGAGTGTGGCAAGATAACCGTCATACTTCAAGCCCAAGAATTTACCAAAATAATATTTTTGACAATGGAACTTATAGTGAAGGTCGACACAATTTCGATTTCACTGCATGGAAGTTTTATGCAAGCGAAGTAGGACAGATAGACATAAATCCAATATTCAATCTTTCCCTCTTCTCAAACCTCCAACCTATTCTCTTGTCCCCCGCATAGCGACTAGTCAATAGGTTCATGTCTTCCCCTAACCAAAATAGGGAACCAATTGCCAGCGCTGGTTACTTCCTTGATGATCTCCCCAGGCGAGAACCGGCGTTCCATTAGCCTTGCCCCCATTGTCCAGATCAAGCACTTTTGTTGGATAAGCTACGCTCGAAAATGCAACATTGCCATCACTTTGTGGTTGCACGATCCAGCGCCTATAAAGCTCGCTTGGTGTGCCTGGGTCGCCCTTGACAGAGGCAAGTGTAGCGGGGGTAGGGTTTGAGGTTGGTTGAAGATCTGATTTGTATTTAAAGCTTAGTAAGGGTGTTTAGGAAGGTGATGAGGTTGCAGGAAGAAGGATAATTGTAGGCTGTAAAGAAGAAAATTATAAGATACGTACCCTGAGGAGAGGTGACAAAGGTTCCGGTCCCTTGGTTAAGAATGAGGACTTGGCCGCGACCTACGTCGGCAATGAGCCAGATCTGGTGGGTGTTGCTATCGAAACTAGCTTCCCTATTGTTAATTAGCAAGCGGCGAAGTAAATATACAGTAAGATTGTCTGAAGAAAATAGAAGCTTACCAGCCACTGATGGCGGTGCCTGCAGCCGACCCACCTAAATACAGATCCAAAGCCGTTTGAGTGGCGGCGTTGATGATGTAGTAAGTACCTGGACCTTTATAGGTAGACATGATGAATAAATATTTCGGTATATTCTGAATGAATTTATAGGGAGAATGAAGAATCAGAAGGAAGTTAGCTATAAGAATGAGACGACGAAGGGCGGCAATTTATACTTCTCGTTGCTTGAATTTGTACTACCGGAAGCTTCGAAGTTGCCATATATTCATGAATCACGTCATATGAGGTTTTAGTTCAGCTTCTCTTGCTTCCACAATATGTGGTCAAAGCTGAAAGTATACTTTTCATTACTTGACTTTGTACTACCGGAAGCTTCGAAGTTGCCATATATTCATGAATCACGTCATATGAGGTTTTAGTTCAGCTTCTCTTGCTTCCACAATATGTGGTCAAAGCTGAAAGTATACTTTTCATTGCTTGACTTTGTACTACCGGAAGCTTCGAAGTTGCCATACATGCATGAATCGTGTCATATGAGGTTTTAGTTCAGCTTCTCTTCATTCCACAATATGTGGGAGTTGCCATACATGCATGAATCATATCATATGAGGTTTTAGTTCAGCTTCTCTTCATTCCACAATATGTGGTAAAAACTGAAAGCGATGATAGAAGCTGATTAGTGATACACATGTTGTGCTACAATTGGCTGCTGCAGAGAAGCCCTATTCAACGCCTTGCTTTCTATCACGACCCTAGAGCTGGTGTTCTCAGCGGAAAACAGCTGTATTGGGTGTGTGGTGTACGTCTAAAGAGAGAAGAAGGAGCGGGGAGCTCGAGAGAATAAGATACAGGGTGCCGCGCTAAGATGTCACGTGATAACACAGCACTTTCCCTTCCTCCAGCTTTCAGCTTTCAGCCTTTGCGCGAATTAAACTTACTAGATCAACGGCACAACCCGTCAAAGATGGATTCAAGTCAAATAAATTGTCTTAAATTTGGGTGCAGTGCATACGTGCTGCAGAGACAACTTATTTGACTGGCTAAGGGATGACTTGTAGGGAACCTCCCAGTGAAATTAACTAGCCATCGTGCTAATCCTGGGAGTCCTAAAGCTTATCTCTACTAATACTAGGACCTTAATGGGCTAAGGGCACGGCGTTATGCGCCTTCGGCGCGCGACGGCGTGCGAAACACATCCACGTACCCGAGCAAGCCAGAACACGCATGCCTTGAGGATATACTTCTTAAGCGATTACAAGGGGCAAGAGCCGGACGTGCATCTTGCCTGCCTTTTGTGCGCATGCCGGGGGCTAAAAGAATAGCCGAAAAAGAAAGCCTTACTTTACGATAAATTTGCAAAAATTAGCGCGGGGGAAGGGGGCTAGAAGGGAATCAAATTTTCAATTGTATAAGCACCCTCTCTAGCCAAACCCTAGAACGGGTGCTTATGCATCTAAAAGAGAGTCGAGATCAAAAATTACTACTTTGGGCGTACACCCATGTTTTGGGAATGCTACGCGAGCAAAACAGGGGTGTTGCAGGGGTTGGCAGGGGCACACTGATATGATATGTATACACGACCCGCTGCAGCTTCGAATAGACGCCATACAGGCGCAGCAACCTTATTACTAGCTAATTACAAGACAAAATTCTGAAGTCCTCAACAAGTAGGCGGTCTGCAAACGGAGTTCATAATGCTAAGCTACTGCCGGCAATTTAGCTGAAAGTTCAGACCGTGCAATCAAGGCTCTCAACGGTAAAGAGCCCGATTTTTATATACATAAAGATCGTATAATTCTGCTCTAGTTTAGGAAGAGACTCTCGTCAAATCTGGGAACCAGTCCCTTATTTACCGCTCTCCCCTCTGCGTGCATTCTGGTCCTCCTCCTTAGGTCCATATTGCTAAATGCATTATTTTATCCCAATTACACGGCATTATTATGCCCACATCCCCCTAACCAAATCAGCAACCGGTATACGTACTTGGTTCTCAGTATCTTTAAAAGTCTCCTCCAGCAGTCGGCCTATTTGAAAATCTAGGAGCTCTAATACCTCAGCAATCTGTTTTCTGTTCTGGGCTTCTATTTTCCCGATAATAATTGCCATTACGCCTTAGTAATTCTCCTAGGCCAGAAAGAAAATATCGAGGCTCTCTCCTATTTGCGGCTTCGCGGTTGACAAGAAGCGCTGTTGGGATCGGACAATCAGAATAGCAAAAATCATATTCATCCCTAAGCCAGCACTGGACCTCAATAATTCGCGGACCTGGAAGACTTTTGAGCCAGATCATTCGACACAACTCGATGGGGAGTTTTGGAAGAGAGTAAACTTGAAGTCCCCATTGATGATGGGCCTCGGGACGACCGTTCTAGCTACAATGTCCAGAACTTCTTGGGGCATAATTTCGGGGGGTGGGTTCTGCCCTCCAAATGATCCAGGTAATAGAGACACTTAGTGCCGATTGGGTATTCAGGCAATTTCAACACGAATTGGCGGTATTCCGGCATGTTTCGGATTGCTTTGGATTATTGTCGGCTTCGTTCCGAGTGTGTGCTTTGGAGTATGCGATAATCTGACTACTCCTATCCTGGTTAATGCATATCCAAGACGAAAAAGGGAAGAATGTTACCTTCAGGTCACAAGCTCAGAACCAAATAACTTGATCACGCGTGCTGAGTTGAGTTGAGTCAGTGCAGGTGGTGACTTTGCGGTATGTGACGGGTAGGTTGGACTGAAAGCGACGAGAGTGAGCGTGTTGTATCGCACGTGACTTAGCTTAGCGCGACACCCTGTATCTTAGTTCTCGAGCTCCCCGCTCCTTCTTCCCTCTTTAGACGTACATACACACACCCAATACAGCTGATTCTGTATCCAGAACACCAGCCACGGGTCGTGATAGAGCGGGAGAGCTCACGTATTGTCGAAGGAGACGTGCCTTCAGAATACCGAGAAAGACAATCGGAAGATGCGATCAGGTTCAATTCTCATCAAAGAAGACGTTTTGAAAAGCGAGCGCGGTCTTGGGTAGAAAGAAGGTGGGTGTCGAAATTTAAAGAGGAAGTTTCGAGGGACTTTGGGAAGTCGCCTCGCTTATTCTAGCCACCTCCTATTCAATATTGACACTTCACGTGATCTCAATGCAATGGAATTCAAATGGATTGAAAGCTCTAGGATTGATAGTACCGAAGTCTTTGAGTTTTAAATTGAGCAAGCAATTGTTCAGGTCATGCTTTTCTTTTTTGAAACATAAGCATAAATCCTGGAGTAAGAATTTTTGGGGTCATATTTTGTGAACTCATTGGGACATTTAATGTTGGTAGATAGAATTCTTTTACTTGTTGGCAGCATCTCGGACATGGTGCAGCAATGTTGCGCATAGGAAGCGAAGTGCCAGGGCAACCAAGCACCAGAAAGCATCTCAAATATTACAACAGCCATTTCTCTCGACCCCAATCCAACGGCATTCAGAGTTGGTACACTGCTGATGACCCGCTATTCATGAAGAACCTGTGCCCTCTACTTTCTTCAGAAGAGATCTTAAATCCACTCCGGAAACGTCTGGGTACCAGTCTGGAACTTGATCTTTCTTCATGTGGCCAACGGGGCAGACGCATGTGGTTTGATAGGCGTAGACCAACAGTGGGTCCAAAACCCATTCACTTCTCCCACTGACCAAGAGTGAGAGTTTTGTGTATATGGCGGTGTCTAGGTCTTCCATGGCGATAAGCTTCTCGATCAAGCCGTCCCTGGCATAGAGGCAACCGTTAACCCAAAGTACAGTCTTTTGAAGGAAATCCATTCGCTTGGCCCATCTTTCATCCTGCTTCAGCCTCTCTTGCGTCACGAACCTTGGCAGTGTCCGGAAGCCGTTCGGTCCAACCATCAGCTTTTCAAACTCTTCAGAAGTAAATTCATCCTTAACTTCCCAAGTCTGCTCTCTCCCTTCTTTAATAGTCCTGTCTGGCCACCGCCGCGTCCTTCCATCCTCACCAAATAACCAAACGTCATGTTCAACAGGTTTGGTGTTTACCAGCTCCGAGACAAAGTCCCCACGAGATTCCGGTTTAATTATGGTGATGGACTGAAGACTATCAGCCAAGCCTTGGATGCCTGTACTAGGTAGAGGGTTATCTTGCAATATATCGCTGTCAATAATGAGGTGTCTGATTTGAGAGACATCTTCTGGAGCAAGAGCGCTCAAAACGCCGTCAAGTAGGCCGTCACTCGATGCAACAATGTTGCCAATCCCGAGATACAACTCATCAACTGTCATATCAAAATAGATCTTTGCTGGTGCCACCGAAGTTCCAAAACAAAGCTTGTAGCACTCGAGAGCAACCTCTCTTGACTCCTTGTTCACCGAGAGTGCGGCCGGCGGCGGACAGGAAGACTTGCACACTCCGATGCTTTCATCCCAGAATAACTCAACAAGCTGAGAAGATAGAGAATAATGCCAGATCATTCCTCGTAATTCGGTGGGGAATTTGGGGAACAATATGAAGGTGGCATCGCCCATCACCGACCGAACCCGTGAAGCGGAGGTGCTGCGGACCAAGTCCATTACTTCCCTCGGAGCCGAGAGTGACCAAGAACATGCTCGCAAGTTTCCAGACTCAATATCAGTGCGAGCAGCTACCTGTCTCTCGTGCCAGTTCGGCTGGAAGCGCGTGGTGAAGGACATATTGTCCTATTAGACCTTGGTCAGTCTCTTGAAAGAGAAGGGGGAAGTGTCTGTCAGGACGGGGTTGATCTTACAAAGAAAGACAGGTACAAAGGCGTCTTGTATTCAAAGAACCACCAAGGCGGAATATTGCAGAGCTTGAGAAAATAAGGGACGCGCAGACCGTAATTTCGTGATGTTCAAAGTTAACAATTTCTGAGGCAGACCTGTCTCACCACCATTTCAGTCGCGGCTCCAGGTTGAGCACGTCGTCCTACAGGCGACTCGAAGAGAATGAACGACGTGCACGAGGCTGTGTGAGCAAGAAAATGCGAGGTGACGTGGATGAATTTGGATGATGTTGTGTCGAGGTTTAAAGTCGCAAAGAAGGGACGAGGGAAGGAGCGCGCTCGCTTGTTGGAGACGACAGCGCCTTTTAATCGCCCTCCTCCTCTTGCAGACTCCGAGACTTCAGGTTTACAGATCATTCTCATTGTACCAGAAGTCCTTAGAACATTAAATCGATATGAAACGGAAAAAAAGACTGCTCGGATTCACCTTGAGGACAATCCCATTTTCCAGAGCTTATGGAACATTGAAGCTATGTGCAACAGTAAAATTCACTGGCAGCAGTCACTCTCAACTTCAAGAACATCCTCAAATTCTTGGAACATGGAGCCGATGTGCAATAAACAAGTCTGACTGCTCCTATTCACTTCAAGGACATCATCCCTCATTGTGCCAGAGCCGCCGGGAACATTGAAGCGATATGCAATAGACCCGCTTTCTACTCACTTATACAAGAACTCGACAGAGAAGGGAGTAGAAGGCAGAAATCCATGGAGTACAGCGATGAACCTGAAGCTGGCGAGCTGGCGGATTCAAAGGTCTGATCAAGCATGGAACAATCTAGGAGTTTTCTTTAATATTCTATGTTTATTTTCTCAAGGCTTTCATGTCTCGTCATTATACATTACTTATTATGCATCTCATGAGCCATCAACCAAATCCCCAACAGCCACAACAACGCAACGAGAAGCATGAGTACACTCAGTAACTCCACGACGAATTTCAATAGAGAGAACGCCAATGCAACACTGACGAGGCCCAGGAGAAGCCATATCCAGAAGGTCATGCAGATGTAAAAAGCCTTGTGGAATCGCTGCCGAGCGGCTGTGAGTGTATTGGAAGACGAAGTACCTTGTTGACGAGAAGCAATTTGTCTAGCCGGGGCGGTCTTGTTGTAGGATATGTGGTTCTTGAACAGTCCGAACACCGGGAAAACTGAGTGCCAAGTCAGGGAAAAGAGCCAGGCGAGCAAATTCGGCGAAGAGGATGGTTGCGTCCCCGCACGAAGATGATTCATGGAGAGGCATACTCCAAACCCAATAATTGGTCCCCAGAGTTGATTGACTTCGAGAACTAGTATTGCGTAGATCAGCAGTCCGAAGCTGATTAGTACGTTGGCTACAATAAATTTTCCAAGAATTCCTGACGGCAGGTAGTGTTCAAGCTGGTCAAGGAATCGCCAAAGGAAAGGTGCTTTAACAAGAGTAGGCGGGGAAACTTGCTGATGGTTAGAAGTTGACTTATGCTCCGTCAGAGAGAGGTCCTGGAAAGCTGGTGATGGCTGCTCGAGGTTAATCTCCTGAATTTGCGAATCAGCCACTGTGACTCTCTCCGACGGGATCTGTGGAGGATGCGAATTCACCTCCTCAACCGCAGACTCCTCTGGGAAAGCACCAGGAACTGCTTCCTCTATTGGATCGTCGCCAGCTGGATCAATCTTGGCTAAAGCCCTCCTGAGATTGAAGTCCATCAGACGCCAATGGCACGGTTCTTTGTGCTTGTGTCCGATAGGGCAGACACATGAATTCTGAGCGATGTAAATGTATTCTGGGTCCGCGCCACCGAAGTATTCTCGCAGATTCTGGAACGCTTCTGGATCGAGGAGATACATCCCAACTATGCGGTCTATGACTCCATCCTTGGGGTATAAACAGGAGTTGAATGTGCCTGGAAGTACAACTTGATCCATGAAGTTGATTCGCTTTTTCCACGCCTCTTCTTGCCTAAGTCTCTTTCTTCCCACGTATCTCAAGGTCGTTAATTTGGTCCTTCCAATGTACTTGGCTAGCTCGGCCGACCTCCAGATTTCGGAAAAGTAGAGCATTCCGGGGTAGTCAACGGTGTTAGGATCGACCAAAGGCACCGGTTTCCCGCCCCCTAAGATGTTCCAGACATGAAACTCTCCGTTATTTTTGATCTCCTGAATTACGAAATCGTAGTTGCCCAAACCATCCACGATTGTGAGTGATTGGAGGCCGTCAAGTCCGAATTTGGTTAGGCTGCTTTGCACTTCGTCTGTATCTGAATCGGAATCGTCTCCATCAGTGATTCCACCAGAAAGTGAGGCGTCGGTGTCGTCGTCGTCATCATCGGCGTAGATACCAAGAAGGAAGGAATTTATAAAGTCGTCCGCAACGAGATGTTCAAGGCGCTCGATGTCTTGTCTCTTTAGTGCCCGGAACAAGAGACCGGCTGGATCCTTTTGAGACGGGGAGAAGTTGCCAACACCAAGGAAGAGCGCGTCAACGCCAAAGTCGAAGTACACCATCGCTTCTGCCTTCTGCGTAGCAAAAGCCAACTCATAATACTCAAGAGCCACACCTCTCGCCTCCGAATTGGCATGAAGTGCGGTCGGTACCGGGTATCTTGATTTGCATTCACCCGTCTCATCGTCGTACAGTACCTCCACCATACGTCGACGAGGGAGACTATAGCACCAGATACTCCGTCGTAGCTCGAGCGGCAGCTTGGGGAACAGCTCGAATTTCGATAGGACATTGTCCGGCTTACGGCTGGGACGATAAGTGCTGGAAATAATGTCGAAGACTTGTTTGGGCGCGGTGGATGGATGTGGTGTTCGAGAGTCGAGGTCTTCGGGAAGGTAGATACCATCGTCGTTGGGGTCATCGGGCCATTTTGGCACAAATGGTTCTGTGTCCATGGTGTCGCGCAAAGCAGGAGGCAGGTGCTACCCTGGAAGGCAGAAGGCTCAGAGCGCAGCTTGGTGTTGATTTCGACTCTCGGTTGCAGAAAATAAGACTGGCAGGAGAAATATTTAAACAGATCGCGTTCTAAAATTTAAAGTTGGGCAGATGCAAAGTCACTTTTGTTGTAAAAGATCAGACGAAGTCGTCCAACATAGAACGCAAAGCACATTTCCCCATTCACTCTAACTTCAGGATTTGAAATGAAGGCTTTCGAGTGTGCAGTTGCAGAATGCCACGCTTGATTTGCTCACCAATGGGGTACCAGTAGATGCATCGCGATATTGGCCAATCCGGTTTGGCAGTGTATCTCCCGTTTGTAGCAAAAAGCTCTAGCAAATCTCTCCTCTCTGCACAAATTCAGCACCATTATCCCCACGGCGGTCGACCGCCATTGTTCTCCGCGCTGACGACCTCCAACACTTTCCGCAAATCCACTCCATCCAGATCATCCTCGTCGTAAAATCCTGCCTTGTGGACGTGTCCGATAGCACAGTCGCAAGGATTCTGTGTTAAGTACACATTGATTGGATCGAACTCTGGTGCGGAGAGCTGCGTCGTCAAGTAACTATACCACCCATTTTGATCACGATCAGCCTCTCTCCAATGCAAGAGCGTATTCAATGCCTTGTGGCCTTCGTAGATGCAACCAGTTGATTGTACGTATTTCTTCCCGGCGAGAAAGTCGAGACGTCCAGCCCAGTGGTCAGGTCCCTGACCGAAGCTCACGAATCGCACCCTCTCTAGGGCTATTTCTGGTGTTTTGTACTTGTGATTTTCCAGATCCATCCACAGACGAGAAAACGGAACCTCCCAGGTGACACTGTCGTCGAGAGGAAGTTTCCAAGGGACAGGTTGTACTTTGGCTTTACGTTTCCAATAACAGCCGCTGGTCTCCATCTCCCAAGCTTGGAACTCTCCCGGATTGCTCTCGACTTCTGTGAGGATAATGTCGCCATGGAATCCAATGTACGAAGAGTCATTGCAACTCCTGTGCGAAGCATTTCGATGTATTGTCAATGTTCGTAGATTGGTGAAGACATACTCATCCGTCGTGGTCATAGCCAATGTCCACCACAGACCCCAAGGCGGGGCCTCCTCGTCTATCTCATGATAATTTGCAATATCACTGTCAATCGCAAGGTTCTCGATCTGGGCAATATCCTTCGGGTCGAGAGTCAGGAACAGGTCGAGTAGTGATCGAGGTCTAGGGTGAAAGTTGCCAATTCCGAGGTACACCTCATCGATGTGTGGGTCAAGGTAAATCGTCGCCTCTGCCCTGTCTGTAGCGAATAAAAGACGGTAGAATAATTTGGCCTCTCTCCGAGATTCGCTGCAAATCCATAAACAGATCGGAAGAGGGGAACGTGAAGTGCAAGCTCCCATATCTTCATCGTACAAAAGCTCCACCAGCCTGGGTCCAGGTAAGCAGTGTCGCCAGATCATGTGTCGTAATTCGATAGGTAACCCGGGGAAATAATGGAACTCTATAAGAGACGGAGGCTCGATCTCTTTAGGAATCTCCAAATATTCGTTGTCTTCTGACCGCCCAAACCGAAAGCCACCTCCATGTCGACGAGGGATCCAAGCAAGAGGAGAAGGCGGCGGAGAGGAGGGTGGATCGATCTTGAAGTTTCGCCCATATGTCGCCTGTGCGATATCTAGAATGTGTCGGGGAATAGTTTTTGGATGCGGGGAGCGTTCATCTTCGTCGAGAGGAAGATATACGCCGTCTTCAATATGAGGCTCTTCGGTCCATTTCGGGTTGAATCCGTCTTGACTGTCCTCGTCGTCCTCCATTATTGTTGTGCTCAAGGCCTGGTGTATGGTAAGCTGTACCAGGTCCGTCTCTTAAGATGAGAGATCGAGATGTCGATTCTCTCGCAACGACTGTGGCCGCGAATAGCCAGCGGTTTGTGTAACATTCAAGAAGGCTGAGATGTCGAGGTGAAGGGAGACGCGTGTCGCGTTCTCATGTATTGAATCGCGGGATATTCTTCGCGAGGGCGTCAAAGTGAATTGGAACACATCGGAAGCGAAGGCGACAGAACGATAGTGATTTTGTTGCGAGGCTCCGAAGTTTGGTAAGAAGGGAGTGATGCCCGGAAGAGTTGAGACGAGGCTGCCGATTCGTCTGAACGCTCAGCCGCACGAGGCTACCCGTTGTACCAATAAGGTAGGTACAATGGTCTTGGGAGTGTAGTAATACTTTATGCATGCATGGATTTCGACAGATTTGACTCAACCATCTAAAAGCAATGCATGGGGTTCCGAGAACTCAACCACCAGAACCCACGTGACAGAATTTGCCCTGAAATACTCCATTTTGCCTACCCTATGGAGCTATGCCAATGACCTCTAGAACTCCAACGCTATGCAGCAGAGAACTTTTTTGGAAGATGGGTAGAAAGGCTTCTCTAGAAAGGTTTGGCAACCTTTCTACTCTCGCTGGCTCCAGTCTCGGGATCCTTATATTCCTTCCAACTCACAGGATACATCGCATTCCCGGCTTCGCTCGTTGCCATGATGACCCCCAAGTTATTGCTCGCAGTCGAGAGGTAGTAGTTCGATTGATCACCAAGAGAGATCGAGCACAAGAGTCAGCACTTTGTTCCTTATTAAAACACGGGTATAACTCACCACTACAGCCCGCACAATGTCCCCAGGCCTAAAGCTCTCAAATATCTTTACTTTATCCTTCTCTGTAGCCCTCACATCCTGCACGCGTATCAAGCCTTGCCATTCTCCATCCAGCACCGTCTCCCCAACCACCAGGATCGCAACCTGAGCTTGTCTTGGCGTAATCCTCGTAACTCTGCAAAGCACCGTGCTGGTGACCTCTGGCAAGATCTCTGCCTTCCCCTTGCTTCCCCCATGCTGGGTACTCGCCGATATATTCCTCTCAATTGAAAGCGTAGGCAATGCTACAGGAGCAGCAGGCGTGATCTTCGTCAATCGTTTCTGCGGACCTGCTGGCTTGGGAGGGTTGAGTTTTCTGACTGGACCAAGGATTGAGGCGAAGAGGTTCGAATTATGGACATGCGTTCCCGGGCCAGGTTGATACTCGCTGAGCGGGCCGAGAAGCTGACCAGGCACCGCGATAGAAGTTGCCTGTGCCATTTCGAAATTCCTGGAGATGATTTCATGTGGTGATGGCTGGGCGATGGGGTGAGGTTGGAGAAAAGTCTCCGATTGAGGGCAAGTTAGCCGACGGTGGTTAACATTTCCCTGTCCGATTGTGACAGGCTTCCCTCCAGAGCTCCGCATGTGGGGCTTCAGGGGTGATGGTTCGCTGCAACCCCTCAATTGCCCCATACTGCCCTCCCCAACTATCTTGCCCCGCTTCCCTTGTATCGGTGCAAATGGGCCGAACAGCTGTTTATAAGCTGCTCTCGTGTGCTTCGGGTCTGCGGATTTCTTGACACTGTCAAAGCAGTGCAATCTTACAATATCTAACTCTACCTACTAACAGCAATCATGTCTGCAAAGCACTTCATCAACGATCCAACGCATCTTGTCAACACAGCTCTCCGAGCTCTCACTCTCACGAACCCATCCCTTGCCCTCGATCCCGAAAATAAGATCATCTACAGACGGCCTGGCCATGAACCGCAAGTTTCCATAATCTCTGGCGGAGGAAGCGGCCATGAACCCAGCTTCGGGGCTTTCGTTGGGGAGGGATTGCTTTCTGCTGCTGTTGCAGGCACCATCTTTGCTTCACCCAGCGCAGAGCAGATCCGTAAAGCTGTCATGTCGAGAGTGGATGGCGAGAAGGGAATACTGGTCACAGTTATGAACTACACTGGAGATGTGCTGAATTTCGGGATGGCGGTTGAGAAGGCCAAGGCTGCGGGGCTGAAGGTGGAGATGTTGGTTGTTGGCGATGATGTGGGAGTGGGACGGATCGCTGCTGGGAAAGTTGGTAGGAGAGGTATTGCGGGGACGGTACTTGTCCACAAGATATCGGGAGCTTTGGCTGCGAGAGGTGCGAGCTTGGAGGACGTTTACAAGGTTGCCAAGTTAACAGCGGATAATCTTGTTAGTGTTGGAGCAAGTTTGGATCATGTCCATGTCCCTGGGAGAGCTCCTCCGGATCCAAAATCGGACGAAAATCTGGCTACAGAAGAGGTTGAGATTGGAATGGGTATTCACAACGAACCTGGAAGTGGACGAGCAATTGTTGATCTTCCTGAATTGGTTTCAAGAATGCTTGCACAAATGCTGGACTGGAAGGATGAAGATCGTGCCTTTCTGAAGGTCAACTCGAACGAAGTCGTTCTTCTGATCAACAACCTTGGTGGAGTAAGTGTCCTGGAACTTGGTGGTATTACCGCGGAAGTTGTCGGACAACTGGAGAAGACGTACAACATCAAGCCCGTTCGAATCTTGGCCGGAACATACATGACAAGCTTGAACGGTCTTGGCTTCAGTATCTCCATCCTGAATGTTGTCAACACCGATATTGGAGGGCCAAGCATGTTACAGCTACTCGATGCGGCCTCTGAAGCGGCTGGATGGGCAGCACCAATCAAGAAGGAAACATGGGAAGCAAAGTCGAGTCGAACACGAGATGAATCCACTTCCGGAGCCGAAGAAGTCAAACCCAGCGGACTGAAGATCAGCACAGAGGCCTTCAAGACTGCCTTGACAGGAGGTCTCGAGAGAGTGATCGCAGCTGAGGCAGATGTCACTAAGTTTGATACCGCAGTAGGCGATGGCGATTGTGGAATCGGCTTGAAACGTGGAGCTGAAGGTACACTCCCCTCATCCCCTCCCCCTTTTCAAGCGACGTACTAACTCCCACCAGCTGTCCTCAAACTCCTCTCCACCACACAACTCACAGGCGATGCAGTCCTCGACCTCAGCAAAGTAGTCCAAGTAGTAGAAAACACCATGGACGGCACCTCCGGTGCAATCTACGCCATCTACCTCAACTCCCTCGTGCACTCCCTGCGCCAACAAGGCTCTTCCACCGCCACCCCTCAAGTCTGGGCCACAGCCTTACAACAAGCGTCCAAATCCCTCGCTAACTACACGCCCGCCCAACCAGGTGATAGAACTCTAGTTGATGCTCTGCATCCATTTGTAGAGACCTTGGCCAAGACGGGAGACGTGAAGAAAGCGGCCGAGGCGTCGAGAAAGGGCGCTGAGGGCACGAAAGGCATGAAGGCTAGCTTGGGGAGGACGGTGTATGTTGGCGGTAAGGGCTTCGAGCAAGTTCCTGATCCAGGAGCGTGGGGACTAAGTGAGTTTTTCCTTGGAGTAGCCGGTGTGAAAGGTGGAGAGGAGGGGTACGAGATGGTTTGACAGTTGAGCTTTCTGTCTCCTTGGTTGGGAGTGAGCGTTGCTGTAGGTTGAGTGAGTGTAATGCCTGACGAAAATAAATACGAATAATGGAAATGGAATTCGGGAGAGATGTGTGACACTTCACCGGCTTATTTCGTCTTTACTAATGAAAGAATGAAAGAATGTTCGCAACCAAGCATCATGGCAATGGCAATGGCAATGGCAATGGCCATAACATTACATTTACAGAATCGTGGCTCATAAGACGTTAGTTACTCCATGCATGCAAGACCAGCGCTACCAGCAAATATACTCCGGGACCACCAAGTCTGATGAATCCATATGTACCGTTTTCCCTTCCTTTCTTCAACCCAACCATTCACGGCTTCGGTGGTTATCACCGCCTAGCACTTTTCCCCTCTTGCTCTTTCCTCTTCGCTAACAAGCTCTTGAATGCGCCCAGCGACTTATCCAAGGTATCCTCATTATGGGCGCAGAACTTGTAGCTCTTCTCTTCAGTAATTATTTGCAAACAGTGCACCTTGGTTTTGGAGAGAGGGTCGATTTCAACGGCGTTGATGACGGAGGATAGCGAAATTATGAGTATGGGTGAGTATTCCGAGTCGTTCTTATATAGGGCGATGTTCTTGGGTCGAAGAACGACCCAGAGGTCTTTCCAACGGCGGACTCCGCCTTTAGAGGATAGGTATAGGAGGTACCCTTGCCAGACTACCCTCTCAGGGTCTTGCTCGGCATTGAATCCGCTCATTTGGCTCACATTTCGGGCACCCACAATTGGTCGCGTGTCCGGTGGTTGAACAGCCAGAGGCTCTTCAGGAATCGAAACTCTGGATTCTCGCCGCGCTCTCGTAATGTCTGTTTCTGACATGTCTGAATGTGATGCGAGCTCGTTTCCAGAGTACTCGATCGTGTGTGAGGGTCTTCTTGCAGCGGTGAGGCCTAGGGCTTTGGTTCGTGGTGTTCGAGGTATAGGATCGCTGGGTTCTGGAGAACTGGAGCCTACTCTTTCATCGTGTAATCGCCTTTGCTCGTTGTGCTCTTGCATAGCCCGCTCGAAACCACCATATGATCCTGTGACAGTGCCTCCTGGACTCGCGAGAAGCATCTCCTCTTCTTCCTCTTCAATTCGCGCCTCCGTCCGTATGAGGTCAACCCATTCTTCAGCATCCTTTCTTGATCTCGCCTCGAGGTGGTAGTTTCGTGAGGGTGAGAATAGCCCAAAAACATTTTGTCGTTTTTGCTTGGGGTCCTTTAGAAACGCAACGGCAGTGAGATCCGACAGGATGATCTTGTGTCTCAGTTTGTCTTCGTTTTGATCTTTGTATATGGAGAGAGAGTTGGGTCGAAGGACAAGAAAGATTGGTTTCCATGCCTGTGAATCATGTCAGAAGAGTCTTTAGGCTGAGCCCGGTGTGAGCATACCTTCGTTTTGCGCGTTCTCTTCTGGACGTATCCACTCTTGAGTACACGGTCGAATTCGAAGCTGCCATTTTGGTTGACCGGAGAAAAGGTATCCAGGTTGAGATGCGAGTTGCGTATTCGACTGGCGGATGGAGGAGGTAGTGTGGTTGCGTCAGGCAGGGGTATTTGCAGAGCTCTTCGCTCTGGAATCTGTCGAGGCTGAGACGCTTCTTGCATCGGGGGGCTTTGAACTTGGGCCATGATCGTTTGCTGTATTTGACAATTGAGTTTTGAACCCTCGGACCTTAATGTAGATGCCAACTCCACTCTGGTTTCTGGGGGAGAGAGCAATCGCGCGTGTCGTTTATGGTGTCGAGGCTGGGTTCGGTGAGCAGGAGCGTTCAGCCACCTGATTACTTCGTATCAACGGTGGCTAGCTGGACCTTCAACACCGCAGCATTTGTCGTGTTCGCCGGTCCATCTCGTCTTAAGTATTAAAGTGTTGGTACGGGAGCATTGATCGGCAGAAGCTTAAATGAGGAAGAATTTCGCGATAGGGTGAATTTGCAGTGAAACCGTGCGGCAGGATGACGAGCGCTATGAGCCAATGACTTGGCGGAGATCGGTGCTAGCAGTTACAGGTCGCTTCAGGACGGACTAGGAGGCTGCTAAAACGGTCACATCGTCCGAAAGGAATGAAGGTTCCGTGCCGCATTTCATGCCGAGGGACAAGCCAGGAAGTGATTGGGGATTGTTTATTTGACAAGATGTCAAGATGTCCCAGAATGGGGAAAGAATCAAGATAGAACAGGCTGTCTAACCGAAATCCCTGCGAGGTGAAAGTCCCGTAGCACAACTGAGCATATGACCAAGACATGAATATCTCAACACAAAACATTAAGATTTATTCGTAATGCTCTAGCCTTATAGTTAGAATTAGGACGCATTAATATGTATATTTTTCCTCAGAAAACTTAAGCAAATAATTATAAATTGTATTTTATGTATCTATTTGCTTTGTAACATATTTCTTTACGTCGCGTTTTGTCTCCACCACATTAATATTTTCGAAGTTTAAAACTATCAAATGTTAAATGAGAGTAGGAAAGTCAACTAAAGGTCCATTTAAAGAGAAGCAAAGTTTTGCACAGGGAGAATCGTGTAGTCATGAAATATGCCTCGGCTATACTTGCTTAGCTAGAGTACTAGCCTCCAATTTCCCCGTCTCCCACCCAAGTAATGTTGTTGAGGAAAACAAAGTAGAGGGGTGATTAGCCCCTAAGATCTTAGCCCGTACCTCTATACATTGCTTCATGAGCTGAAGGGCATCTATATCTCGGCCATGTCCTTTCCATATTTCGGCAAGATTGGACATGCTGGCCAGCGTGTGTGGATGTTCCTGCCCAAGCACCCTTGAGCATATCTCTAGTCCCGTCACTTGTAGCTCCCCAGCCTCTGTCCAGCGTCCCTGCTTTCGGTATATCGAAGCCAAGTTGGCCATGCTGACCAGCGTATCTGGATGTTCCTGCCCAAGCACCCTTGAGCATATCTCTAGTCCCGTCACTTGCAGCTCCTCAGCCTCCGTCCAGCGTCCCTGATCTCGGTATGTCGAGGCCAAGTTATTTATACTAGTTAGTGTATCTGGATGCTCCTGCCCTAATACCCTCTTTCTCGTCTCTATCACTTGCGCCTCCAAGTCTTCGGCCTCCGTCCAGCGCCCCTGATTCCAGTATGTCGAGGCCAAGTTATTCATACTAGTTAGTGTATCTGGATGCTCCTGCCCTAATACCCTCTTTATCGTCTCCATCACTTGCACCTCCAAGTCTTCGGCCTCCTTCCAGCGTCCCTGGCTCCAAATTGTCAAAGCCAAGTCGCCCATGCTGATCAGTGTAGAAGGATGCTCAGCCCCAAGCGCTATTTTATACCCCGATAGTGCTCGTCGCTGTATCGCCTCGGCTTCGTTGTACTTGCCCTGGCATTGGAGAACTGAGCCTAGCAGCCCAACGCTATGAAATATTTCAACGTCATTGCCTTGAAGTACTCGTTCACGGATACTGAGAGACTCTTGACTCTGTGTGCTCGCAAGTATATAGCGACCTTGCATCCAGCTATACCATCCCATATGATATAAGAGAGCTGCTTTCCCGAGACGTAAAGTATCTGATACAAATTTTGACCTTAGTACCTCTTGAGCATGAGGCCATAGCGCATCGCATATTTCCCAATTTTTGTAATCTCCATTGGGGAAAGCATTCGAGACTACCTCCACTGCCATCCCTTGCCATCGCTCGAGTTCCTGATATCTCTCAAGCCACTTTCGTGTGGCGAGCTGCACAAGTCGATGTATCTCAAATCTCGTACTCCCTCGTTCGACAGAAATCAAGGAAAACTCTTCGAGAGGGCTTAATGCCGCTTCAAGGTCAAGATCGTTCGGATAGATAGCATGCAGTAAGAAGTCCGGAATTCCTTGACGATCAAGCATAGCTATAAGAGACAGGAGCCTCGCAGCCGATGGCCACTTGTCTTTTATCTGGTCGAACGAGATTTGCCACGTCCGGATAACGGAATTCGGCACACCTGGATCCCTCCGCAGGTCTCCGGATTCCTCATCCAGCAATCGGCTTTGGCTGACTTCGTCGTTACGATAGAGTGCTAAGTATCTGGGCACCGTTATTCGTGTTACCCGGGCACTTATATACGCGGCGGCTTGAGTGATAGCGAGCGGGAGGTAGTCTAGTTCGCGAACTAGCTCTGCTCGCTCGGGGGCAGAAGAGATTCCATCGGGGATTTTTGTGAAAAGCAGTTGCTCGGCGTCTTTCCTCGTCATTAAGTGGACGGCGATAGCGCTCGCGTATCCAGTACTAAGCCATAATGCAGCTCGTCGGTCTCTCGTCGTAAGGAGAACCGATCCCGTTATAGTCTGGGGAATATAGCTTGAGAGCGGACGAGACCGGTGCTCTAATTCCTTATCTGGCATCGAAGAAAATACATCAGTATCGTCGGCGTTATCAAGTATCAAAAACCAGCGGCCGCTTCTAATGTCACTCAGCCATCTCCACACAAGGTCCAGTATATCAGTCTTTGGGTCATTCCATCCCGGCAGCTCCAATACTGTGGCAATGGCTCTATAACCTTGCTCAAATCTCTCAGCAGTACTAGCGTGCACCCAGAAGACCCAGGTCTGGGAATCCTGAGACCTAAGCCGATGTGAGAATTCGATGGCAATTTGAGATTTACTAAGCAATTATTAGGAACAGTAACAAAAAAGGCGAGAGTATATACCCCACTCCACCTAACCCTACGAGCACAACACGCTGGTGAAACTCTCGTCGAGAGAACTGCAATTCTAATGCTCCGAGGATATCTTGCCTTCCAACAAAGTCCGGGTCCTTGTCAAACGGCACGGTGGACAATGGTTTCTTCTGTAAGACAGGCACTACAGAATATTGGTATATATAATCTTCGAGTGGAACTACTTACTCCTTGAACGCTTGTCAACCTCGTCTGTGAGTCGAAAAAGTGCCTTCTCCCTCCCCTCGCCATAGATAGGCGGCATAGACACCTCGCAGAGACCTAATAAACAGTATACCAGGTCTTCTTCTTCGGTTGTCTGACGTTGTGCTGCCCATTTTTTCCGCTCAGCTATACTGAAATCAGAGAAAGGATTCCCTCGCAGAGCCTGAATTGGAATATGGGTAATCTCGTGAATTGGCTTTTCGAGTGACTTTTTGTCACCTAACCGCGTGCGCTCTTTAGAGAAGAATTCGACTATTGCCGGAGCGATAAGTTCTTGAAGCGTCCAGCCTCGAGTAAACCACCTGCTATTCCGGAAAGCCGCTTCCATGTGCTCTGGCTTGGCTGAACGACTCCGTTATAACTGGGCACTGATACATCCGTGAGGTACACGTAACATTTCTTCGCATTTCGATACCAACGGAATATAGAATTAATAGCCGTCGAAAGCTCAGCAGAGTTAGACTTATCAATACAACAAGTGTCCACCCAGAAATATTGTAGGCCATCTCTAGTTGCTTGTTCTCCACAAAACTTGATCTTTTCGTAGCCGGACTTGCTTTTTCCAGCACTATTAATTAGATCTTGATATGTGACCTCCTGATCTGTCCAAGTGTGCGAAAGTATTGCGTAAGGAAGGGTATTATGGGTGGCAACCTGGATCAAGCTGAATTCGCCTTGGCTTTTCATCTCCAAAAGATGCATGATTTCAGACGGCTTGGGATCTCGTAATCTGCTGCGTATCCGAGGAAGTCAAGGTTGAATCAGATTCCGCGATTCTAGTTCAAAGTGGAGTGTGGGATAAGAGTGTCCAACACCAGGCAGCCTTGGAAAGGTGTGGTGCACGCCTGCGGCACGTGATCCTCCTTTTTCGGCTGACTCATGTGATCAGATTCCAAGTCTGGCGGGGTTGGGCGCGCTAGCGGGCAGCTTTCCGCATCACTCATTCTGATTCATGTTGACCAGGATCGAGAAAATACTTGAAAATACATTGGAAACTTCACAACAATCTCTGTCCATCTGGCAACGAGCCCTTTCCGCTCTATTTGAAAAATAACATGAAGCATAATCTCCAAAATGCCTGTCGTCAACCCAGAGAAGCTGGTCGCTTTGCAGCGAAATCCAGAAGGCATCAGAAATGTAAGTTGTCCATGGAGGGGCAATTTTGATATCACCGCTGACATGGCCTCGAGATTTGCATATTAGCCCACGTTGTACGGGCCTTTCCAAACTCGCATCTTCTCACAGGACTAATCCCATCAACAGGATCATGGAAAGACTTCCCTCACCGACGCTCTTATTGCCACGAACGGCATCATTTCTCCCAAGCTCGCAGGCAAGATCAGATACCTCGATTCTCGGCCAGATGAACAGATTCGGGGGATCACCATGGAGTCTTCCGCCATCTCCCTATACTTTTCCATGTTGCGAAGATCTGCGCCAGATGCAGCACCCGAACAGAACGAATATCTCATAAATTTGATAGACTCGCCTGGGCACATCGACTTCAGCAGCGAAGTCTCGACTGCTTCCCGTCTCTGTGATGGTGCAGTTGTCTTAGTGGATGCTGTCGAAGGTGTCTGCAGTCAGACCGTGACTGTACTTCGGCAGACTTGGGTTGAACATATGAAACCATTATTGGTAATCAATAAAATGGATAGGCTCATCACGGAGCTGCAAATGACACCCGGAGAGGCCTATACACACTTGACCAAAATACTCGAACAAGTGAACGCAGTGCTTGGGAGTTTTTTTCAAGGAGAGCGAATGGAAGAGGATCTCAACTGGCGAGAGAGAGTCGACGAAAGAATTGCCGCCGCTGCCAAAGAAAAAGAAAAATTAGACGAAGAAAATGTTACTGGCACTAACGGCTCTGTCGATACCGAAAACATTACACCTAGCAACCAAGAGTTTGAGGGGAAGGATGATGAAGACCTCTACTTTGCTCCTGAAAAGAACAATGTTATATTCAGTAGTGCCATCGATGGGTGGGCTTTTACAGTTAGACAGTTCGCCAGTCTTTACGAGAAGAAATTGGGCATCAAGCGTACGGCCATGGAAAAGGTCCTCTGGGGAGACTTCTACTTAGACCCCAAGACCAAGAAGGTTTTAGCACAGAAGCACTTGAAAGGCCGAGCACTAAAACCGATGTTCGTTCAGCTTGTGCTTGACCAGATTTGGGCAGTATATCAAGCAACTACTGGTGGCGATAAGGGGAAGGGGTGCGTGGATTTCTCTCTCATCCCACTCATGTTTATAACTAAAATGCAATCATATCAAGTTCTGACTTCCTTCATTTAGTGATCCAGCAATGACCGAGAAGATTACGAAATCCTTGAATATTACTCTACCACTTCACATAACACGTTCACGGGATCCTCGAGCGATACTCACCACTCTCTTTAGCGCATGGCTACCTCTATCAACAGCACTGCTCGTCTCTGTTATAGAATCTCTACCCTCACCACCCGTTGCTCAAGAGGGACGACTACCAGCTCTCATCGATGAATCCCCTGGCTTTACTGACGTGGATCCTATCCTCCGAGAAGCTATGATCAAATCCAAGAGCTCGGAGAACGATCCAGTGGTGGCGTACGTCAGCAAGATGGTGTCCATCCCCGAGAGCGAGCTTCCGGAAAACAAACGCCGAGGAGGCACTTTAAGTCCAGAGGAAGCGAGAGAGATGGGTCACCGAAAAAGAGCAGAAATTGCAAGAGCTCAAGCTTTAGAAAATGGCACTGCCGAAGATCCTATCGATAGCATTACAGATGCACTTGGCAGCACAAATGTTGAAGATATCAAAGTCGAGGAGAAGGAACTCGACCGTGAGCATCTTATTGGGTTCACTCGCATTTATTCAGGCACTCTTTCCGTTGGGGATTCTGTTTATGTTCTTCCTCCAAAGTTTTCACCGACACATCCTCATAATAGCCCGGAGCCGCAGAAAGTTACTGTTACAGCTCTGTATCTACTCATGGGTCGTGGTCTTGAGCCACTTACATCTGTACCTGCAGGTGTTGTCTTTGGGGTTGCTGGACTGGAAGGCCACATTCTCAAATCAGGGACAATTTGTAGCCAGCTCGAAGGCAGCGTCAATCTTGCAGGTATCAACATGGCTTCCAAACCTATTGTGCGAGTGGCCCTAGAACCAGTTAACCCTGCAGATCTCGACAAGATGATCCGCGGCCTCAAGCTGCTCGTCCAGAGCGATCCATGTGCTGAGTACGAGCAGTTCGAAAGTGGCGAGCACGTTCTGCTGACAGCTGGTGAGTTGCATTTGGAGCGATGCTTAACTGATCTACGAGAACGATTCGCCAGATGCGAAATCCAGGCTGGTGAACCGATTGTTCCATACCGGGAGACAATAGTTCGAGCAGAAGAAATGAAGCCACCTGCAAATAAGGAGCTCGGCAGAGGTACGGTGATTGCAACAACCACTTCGAAACAAGTTTCCCTTCGACTTCGCGTCCGACCTCTGCCAGCTGAAGTGACAGAATTCTTGGGGAAGAATGTAACTGCTATCAAGAGACTTTATTCTGATAGACAGGCCGCGGAAAAGCGGACAGAGAAAAAGAATTCTCAGGATTCCAGCGAGCACCAAGACGTCGATGAGGATGATTTAGTAGACAACTCGAACGTCTTGTCGCTCGCAGAGTTCAAAAAGCAACTACAGGCCACCTTTGAAAGGGTTAAGGGCCCGAGAGAGATTTGGGCAAATGCAGTGGAACAGATCACGGCGTTTGGACCTCGGAGAACTGGAGCAAATGTCCTGATAGACACGACAAATGATTGCATATGTGGCCGATTGTAGGTTACCATTTTCCAATCTCGGACTTCTATTAAATTTTGTAGCCTGCGAGATTCAGCAGAGGAGAAAGAGCAAACAGTTGGAGATACACTACAGGCTCGCGACTTCTCTGACAAGATCAGCTACGCCTTCCAGCTTGCCACAGCCCAAGGACCCCTGTGCAACGAACCAGTCCAAGGAATCGCCGTCTTCCTCGAAGAAGTCACTCTGACACCTTCCACTGATGACGAATCTTCTGCGCGAGACAAGCTGGGAAGACTCACTGGAGAAGTGATCAAGACTGTTCAGCAAGCTATTCGACAAGGGTTCTTGGACTGGAGTCCTCGCTTGTTACTCGCTATGTACTCCTGCGAAATCCAAGCAAGCAGTAAGCCCGTCTCCTCCATTCACACATTCTTTTCTAACACTCTCCACAGCCGAAGTCCTAGGCAGAGTTTACGACGTAATCACCCGCCGCCGCGGGCGCGTCCTCTCCGAAGCCATGAAAGAAGGCACGCCCTTCTTCACCATCCTCTCTCTCCTTCCCGTCGCCGAGTCCTTCGGCTTCAGCGACGAGATTCGCAAACGCACATCTGGCGCAGCCTCTCCACAATTGATTTTCCAAGGTTTCGATATATTGGATGAAGATCCGTTCTGGGTGCCGTTTACGGAGGATGATTTGGAGGATCTGGGCGAGCTGGCGGATAAGGAGAATGTGGCGAAGAGGTATATGGATGGTGTAAGGAAGAGAAAGGGGTTGATGGTTAGTGGGAGAAAGTTAGTGAAGGATGCGGAGAAGCAGAAGACTTTGAAGAGGTAGTTGAATTTAGGTTGGTCGTTTTAACCTTGTTCTACCAGCTTATGCAGAACAATAATCTTGACTCTGGTTCTCAGTGTTTCATCTCAGTCCAGGGCAATCAGCATGTTGTTTTCTTGGTCTTTTGCCCTGAATCTGAACCTTTTTTGTGGTTCTCCGTTCATCGTCCTAGCTCAGTTGGAAACAAACATTCGAAACGATTGACTTCTCAGTGTACTACCTCAATCCAGAACATCGGACGTGCTTCTTTCCTCATTATCCCCATATCAGCTAGAACAATCAAGATAGCTCAATCTCACTCTGCCGTCTTGTTTAGAGCAATCAGAGATGGTTCCCAAAGCGGCCGTATCAGTCATGTGATCGCTTAATCTCGTGTCCGCCCCCCTTTTGTTTACTCTGGTTCCCCTTTTAGAATCACCCAGGTTCAAGTAGAACAATCAGCTCAGTTTCTATCTTTCATTGCACCTCTGTGACCTCTGTATAATGTGACATACAGATCTTGGTGAGGTGTGAAATTTGCTTAGTCGCTAGTCCAAGCCGCAGGTTGAGCCACAAAGCACCAGCCGCAGAGACAATTTTCATTGTACGAACCAGCGTAGAACAACGACACTCCTCCAAGCAACCTCCGTAATCTCACATTGTACCACTGCGGTCAAGGACAAACGCACTCACTACAAATACCAATTGTACCACCACTTCATACAGTCAACGACCACCACCTCCTTCTCCTCATTGTACCACGAACCTCGGGTACGATGGATCAACAACACGCCGAAGCCAACTCCACCTTAAGCCTCCCCGTCCACAACAACCCACCAAGTCCCTCCAACCAGGGTGGCTGCGTGGGCGACTGCCTTCTCAGCGGCTCTTGCCTCCGCCCTCTGTTCTGGGCAACATTTTTTGTTGTCATTTTTCTGGTTATTGGGGGATTGAGATGGAAGGGGATTATTTAGGGTACGGGACGGGATGAATGTTCTTGTTGTAGCTGGGACAATGGTGGAGAAGGATAGCTGGATGTCCTGGGGAGAGATGGGACAATAACTGGGAAGGAGACGTGAATGTACCAGTGCGGACAGAGAGAATGACTTCGGGATAGACGCACTTGGCAGGGGCAACCAATCACTCTCTGAATCACTGCCGTGAATCCGCCCCTCAGAATCCAATAAATCTCCTCTCCCCGTGAACTTCCTCCTCTTCCCTCTTCCCTCTTCCCTCCTCAACGAACACAAAATCCACGAAATGCAAAATCCAGATACTCAAGAAGAAGCAAAGAAGACAATCAGAAACTCGACCTTAACAACCTTCTCCCTCCCCGAAACCATCATGTCATCCCCCGATCTCGGCCCCGAGTCCCTCACTGACATAACAATCTCACGCGAAACACCTATCATCTTGCACAACCCCAATTCCCATCAACAAGCCACCACCTTGAAAACTTGGGTCCCAAAAGTCTTCATAGCGCTCCTTATCGTACTGATCTTAGCTCTAGCGTTGGCAATTGTGTTGGTTGTGATGGCATCGCTGGGATATCTGGGGAAGTCGAAGGTGGAGGCTGTGGAGATGGTGCAGCCGACGGTGACTACGACAATTCAAGCATCAGTGATGTCACAAATTACGGGGGCGTCGGGTGGGATTCATGAAATGGTGAGGGAGAGTGGTGGAGGGAGGGTGGTTCAACGGGTGGGGATTATAGTGTGTGAGGTGGCGCTGGCTTGGAGCTTGGTGTATTTGTTTGGGATGTTTGAGAATAGGGAGAGCGGCAAGGAGGAGGGGCGGAGTGTGGAGAGGAGGGATGGGCCGAGGATCAAGGAGTAATGGAAAGGGGGTGAGGGAGGGGAGCGCAGAAGAACACGCCGAGCATTGTAGATGTCAGAAGTGGAAGGCGGAAATGGGGTTTGGGGGACTTCGAAGGGTTCAGCATATGCAATGTACAATACAGACGTCAGTCCTCGATGCCCTATTGCCCCTACTCTCTCTTCCAAGTCCAACTAGAACAATTAAGGCTTCATGGTTTTGAATGTATCAACGAAAAGTTGTATAATGTGACACAGCTTGTGAAGTCCGATTTTGACGGTGGGGGAGAATGCGCACGTTGTGTTATTGATTTTGCGATGACTAGAAGATGGATTGTAACATTTGCTTATTTGATTGTACCAGGAGTAGCTGGTATAATGGGTTTAGGGAGTTTTAAGAGCATGGCGGCAAGCAAAATTCAAATTCTCGTACTCGGGACTATTGGAATAAGGATACGGAGGAAAGAGTCATTTCGTTGCACAGAGAGAATACGGGATAGGGGGAAGGCTTATCTCAGCTTTGGCAAGCATTCTGGCACATTGGATTCCCTGACGACCCAAGAACGGAATTCTGCTTTCTGAGATGGTCACTTTGCAAGGTACGAAGCTCTCACATGAAGGAGAGACGTCAAGGCAAAAAGTGCCTTAGTCAGCGCTCCGGACCTCGGCATTCGTCGCGTCTGCCACGGTATCAACACCACGATATTTTTATATAACTTATTATTTTTCTCAACCTTCGCTTTCGGCCTTCAAAGCTTCTTCAAGCTCTAGGATATAACATACATAACAATGTCCGAAACCCAAGACCTCCCGCCACCGGGCACCGCCCCCGAAAAGGCCATCCCAATCCCAATGCCAACCCCACCATTAAATCCAATTCCCTCCCTTCAAACTCTTCGAAGCTGGCTGCCTTTATACCTCTCCAAAACCGACGCCACACTATCCCATGTCTCACGCGTCCTCTCCACTCCTTCAGGGACCGACACCTTCCTCCTAACCCTCTGCTACACTAGCCTCCTCAGCTCCTCCCTACTCTCCTCCCTCTCCCTCCATCGAATCGACGCCGCAGCCCGCCGGCTCATCTCGCAAGCCATTGCCCTCCCACCAAACACAACAGTGATAATCGACACCTCGTCCCTACCGCCTTCATGCCTACTCATCACTTCGGGGCGGCTTAAAGCGCTCAGCGAGCTTATCTCTGACTTCCGAATCTTTGTACGGCTCTGGGGCCTCCTCTCGATTTACAACTGGGGGAAACGAGTCTATAATTCTCCACCTACAGATATCCTTGTTCGGAGGATAGTGTATACGCAAGTAGCATCCAACATCGCTTTTCAGTATTTGGAGAATGGAGCGTATTTGGCGAGTAAAGGTGTGCTAGGCTGGGGCAAGGAGAAGCAGGGAAGGGCTTGGATATGGAGTTCTAGGTTCTGGATGCTGCATGTAGGATTGGATTTTGTAAGGTTGTGGAGGGAGGCCAGGTTACGAGTCTTGAAAGGAAAGGCTCATCCAGGGAGTGATGAAGAGAGTAAGTGGACGGCTAAGTGGAGGAGGGAGATGGTTGTGAATGCGGTATGGGCACCGCTTACGCTGCACTGGAGTTTAGAAGAGGGATTTGCAAGTGACTTTTGGATTGGCGTATTGGGAAGTGTAGCTGGGGTGGCGGGTTTTCGAGAGCTATGGAGAACTACTGGGCAGGTGTAGAGAGTTGTAGGTGTTGGGGAAGAAGCTTTTCCCTATTCCGGGCGGTGTCATGAACTTCTCCCGAGACAATGTCCCAGATTTCCCAGAACAATCTGTATAAGGTACTTACTCACTTCTCCGTTACCTAGTGGTAATACAAGGTCCCAACTTCTCGGAGTTTGACTCCGATTTCTTGGGCATGGTTGGCGTGAACAGGCTTATTTTATTATACCCGTAGCGAAGCTATAGATCCAATTATTTGATGAATGAGGTATCCAGATATCCACCCAGGTCATGAGTATTCATACGAGTAATGACAATTCTTTTATCCTCCAATAATCCCAAGCAGGCTTCGCTGAGACAAGAAAATACATGAAGGCTTGCTCGACTATGTAAAGGAACAAATGGACAACTTGCAGAAAATTCTGCCAAACGTATGGAATTGTCGAGTTTTCTGGCCCTGAAAGACCGTAGACAACCATGACACGATCACAAGATTCTAAGAAGACTCGGATCTCGATCAACCCGTAACCCAAGGAGTCGCTGGATTTCGGGGTAGAGTTCTGGTTTCTCGTCAAGCACCTCCTGGAACGAATGCGATCTGTCCAAGTATGAGATACGATCTCCATCCTTGAGATAATTCGCCAACCACTTTCTCAAACCGTCGTCTACCTTGCCGGACAGCAAAATCAACGCGATAATAAGGCTGAGTTCGTCAGCATCGAGGTCGCCAGTGCTATCCTTAAGTCGAGCTAGCGAATAGTCGACCGCGGATTTGGCGCCGACATTGGAAGCCAAAATGTTCAGAGTGACTTCATCAAATACGCTGTTGTTCGAATATTCCTCCCGATTGATGTAAGATATCAGCATATCGATGACCCGATCCGGAACCTCTTCTTGACTCTTCTTCTCCATGTACTTGGTCACATCCCCCTCGAACTTTGCCGCCTCAGCCAGATAGCTTGCTCTGACCGCCCTGGCTTTGCCTCGTATCGTTACGTCTTTGGTCTTGAAGTCGAAATTGCTCTTTGAGTTCGAGTTTGAGCTTTCCCCACAAGAACGCCGACATCCACAGCCATGGCCGTGATGGCCTTCGCGATCATGGAAGAGTCGCTCTCGCCAACCTGTATCGCAGTCAGATCCATGTGGCCACCCCCCTCCTGCCCGGTAACGCTCATAAGGCAACAGAGCCAAAGCATCATGACCGCCATGTCGACCAAGGGAATGCTCGAGGCCTCTCGGATAGCGTCCGAGTTGAAGTGCTTGGCTTAACGGATCACCGCGAACGTCTACACCCAAAGCGCCCCGGTTGCCATAGAAAGCGCCAGGATGAAGACCTCGACCCCGAACCCCTAAAGGCCCACCGCCCAAAATGCCGGCCCTCATACCTCCTACACCCACACCTACCCCTAGGCCTCCTGCCCCCAGACCTCCTGCCCCCAGACCCCCTCCCCTCATTATACCGTATGGAGAGCCGCGTCCTAACCTCGCGAGAGGATCTAACATATCGCGGCCACCACCGAGTGGTGACATGAAAGGCGAGAATCCTAATCGTGGATCTCTGTTGTACAAGCCGCGGTGTTGAAGTATTCCCTGCATCTGCTCAGAAATATCGGAACAGCTTTCAAAAGTTCTTGGATAGAAGAGATATTATGAATGCAACCCTAAGGAAACACGGGGAAATCCCACACGTGATACTAAAAAGGTGGAAAGTGGGCGATCCGGAGGGGGTGTGGGGGGGGTGCAAATGAACCTATCTTTATGTGCATATCAAGCTGGGCCCAGCGTAACTCCAACAAATACACCACTGCTGTAATGCCGATAATAGGTTACGTCACACCTGGTCCCGTTGGCAAAGTACATGAGTGTGACTTGAATCCCGTTGGCCATGTAGAAGGGGAACGTGTAGATTTAAGAGTGGAGGGGGCAAACCAGCGGGAGGAGAAGAAGTCTCACAAAGGTCACATGGATAGGTACCAGGGCAAACATAACGCCAATCAATTCCATATGTGACAAATCAGCAGCCGATTAACACCAAAAGATACGGAAAATCGAGGCAATGCTTCCCTTCGTGTATGGTTGCTGCCACCAAGCAAACCAACTCTCGTGAAAAATCTACATGCAGGTGGGATGTCCCTTCAACCAATCATTTTCGGGCGATGGCAAAAGATCGATCTGTAGAACGGAAAATCGACTAGGATCTGAAAGAGGCGTGGAATACACACGGAAATTGACGTGGGCAAGGCGTTAACGAGTCCAATCTTTTCTCGAGACTAGTATTTTGGACCACCATACCCCTCATCAGGTCTGCCAGCACCTCTGTTTTCATCCTGATACCGCTTTCGGAGTGCAGCAAGACGCTTCTTCTTTGTGACAGAATTGACGTATGTGCCAATGAAGAATGCAATGACGTTGAAGAAGGGAACCCATGTATGCTCGGGAAGGAATTTCTGTGCGAAGGCGAGGGCCAATGGGGAAGTGACCCAGCTGACCTTCATGACAGGCATGAAACCGGCTTTCCAGGTCGCATGGACTTGATGAATTGTCTTAGCACCAGCGATGATGGCCATTGAAACCAGGTAGACACTGTTCTGAATAGGAGCGATCTGTAATCATTTTGTTAGAAGTATTCCTGGCTTGAGAACCAGGATAAACGTACAATTAAGTTGCTGGCAATAATCTGCAAGATCTTCGCCTTCAAACTTGTGCGGCCCGCAAACACCTTTTGAAGTATGCTGATAAGGACATGGCCTAAAGGTGCGCTGATAAAAGCTCCATACACAGCCATCTTGGGAACTCGTGCTGTAAAGTAGGTGCCATTCTTCGCTCGGTCCTTAGCAATCCAAGAGGCAAGAATTTCTTGCAGAGCTGAAAGGGTACCCGATGTGAGCATCTTAGTTCGTAGAGGATTCGTCTGAAGCTGCTTGAGGTAGGCCTGCATGGAGGTGTCAGCATCTTCCCCTTCATCTCTAAAACAATGATCCATCAGGTACCGCCAAGTAACCGGGTTGGCCAACGTTTCCTTTCCCTCCGGTCAAAGCTACCCCGATCTCATCTGCTAATTCGTGTTTGCCTCCTCTCATCATGCCGATTCCCTGTGAGCCGGCCACTCCACCGGTCTGCTGAATGGTATCCTTCTCAAATTTGACTGACATCGTGACGGCGGGTATGGGAAAAGCTACGGGGTATCTATGTGCGATTGATGATCAGCAAAAATCTCCAATGCGATACTGTTGGATTGTTGGCTTGGCCGGCAGAGCTCAGCTCCCCCATGTTTACATTCATGGGGAAGCCGAGGTTGCGCGACACAGAGTCTCAGGGTGCGCATGGCTTGTGCTGGACGGGGAAGACCAACCTTCTGACCCTTGGTAATGAACACACTGGCGACAAAGCTGATAGCAATTGCGCGTGAGCTGTTGTTGTGATCAAAAAGCAACAGTGACCAGAGAAAGGTGGATGAGGTGTGAAGAGCTGGGGTGCTGAAGAGAGCTAAGCGCTATGAACAGGGGTCGGGAAGTTGTGGCCGACGCGAGATCGTTCGTCGAGACGACAACAAGAACAAGATAACGCCCAGTCGAAACTGGGGATGAGAATCTCAACCATTTCGATCCCAACAACACAGCGAAAACATGGGACGATCCTCAGAGAATTTATCAATATTGTCACATATGCCTTAGGTCCTATCAATCAGTACCTCCATCTCTGAGCACGACTGCTCCTTTCGAAGTTTCTCCTCTGCTCTAGCGAATTCAGAGCTCACGAAACATAGAATGTACACTCCTCAGTCGCAATAAACATGGCTTTCTCTTTTGGGTCGATAATGGCGCGGTATTGATGTACCAGAAGACCTTGGAACAATCGGACATCTCCTCTCTGCCTTTACTTCCCGTGCCCGTGTGACAATTCTAGACCTTTGGGAGCCTTGAAACCCATGACTTTTCGCACATGTAAGAAAAAATACGCAGAGTTATTTCGTGGTATCAACTTTGGTGGATCCCAGGGTATTGAGGTAATATCAAAGAAACTCTCTCGATGTCCCACTTAATCTGTCTACAATCTTCTTTAAGTTTATTTGCCTTGTTGACTGAGTGACTGCATGCACTATTCTTGTAACTTCAAGTGGAATTCTTTTACCTACTCAAGAACCGAAAAGTCATTCAGTTTTCCTGGAATTTAGCAGGCCCACAAACCCTTATTGTCTCATACAGAAGCTGTACATTGAGATTCTTAGTTGCCTGATTGTCCGGCTTAAGAAATCGCCAGGCGTGGTCCATTTCGAAATGATCTACCTAAAGCCTGGCAGGCGGTTTCATCCCTTTCCTTCCTTTTGTTCCCCTTGAAATTTGGGGCTTCTTCTAGTGAATACAAGCCCAGCTGCATTTTAATTTTGAATGTTCAAGCGACTTAGGGGTGTTCAAACTTGCCGATATTTGGTTGTGGTAAATACTCCTCCAAGCGAATTCAACGCGAGTCTTCATCCATCCTCGACAATTTCAACCTCAACTGCAGCAGCCACACAGAACTTGATCACTTCTGCGATGAAGAAATGATGGCGGAGCCCCAGACCCAATCCGCTGACGACAGCCAACTGCCACCATCTTCCACCAATTCAAATCCGACAACACCGCAACGAACCACAGTGCCCACCTTTACTGCAAGCCCTACCCACATCCCGCGCCATAGCATGAGATTTGGCAATGGACAATGTACTCATCTCACAATGACGCGTCTATACACTTCCGAATACCGCTGCTCTATCTGCCTCCGAATCGGATCGATGGGCTGGGTTTACAGATGCACGCAAGACCGAGAGCTGCTCCTGGAAGAAGATATGGAACGGGTTAGTGCTACCACATGCCATTTCATGAATTCAATGACTGAACGCAAGCAGGAAAAGCTTGACAAGCTTTGCGGCATCTTTGAGCGGCCAACTTCCCCAAGACCGAGAGGTCCGGCTGCACGGCTTTCTAGCATGAGCTTCTTCGATGAAAACAGTGACGAGGCGCTTGAGTCATACTCAATCGAGCAGTTACAAACCATACTCAAGCAGAGAGCCCATGTGAGTAGCCTTCAATGATTGATGGAAAACTCAAGACTGATATAGAAGAAGGCCAATGATTTAGCTTCCCCTCGATCCGATCCTCATCCCCTTCAAATACCCCATACGCTCTTTCCGCTCCTCATCAACCCTCTCTTCCCGAACCCAGATATCATCACGTCGGTCACCCCAGAAAAGTCGTCAAAGCCCTGGTTACCTCTTAGGGGAGGCGAATGTCAATTCAAAGTGTGCCACTCCTGTCGTCCAACTTGTGAGATTCGGAGCTACCTCAGCCTCAACGGTATTGCAAACAACGACATTCCTCCAACCGCAATCACTGGTTTCGGTTTCAACTTAACCCGGAAGCGTCCCGTGGCGTTAGTCGAGCATGTCAAGAATCTCGGATTGAGAAAGAACCCGCCTCCAGTAAGTCAAATCCGTACATTCATGTCATAATTTTAATGATTCCAGCGCCCGCCACTACCGTGCAGTACCACGTTCCATATCCCACGCGTATCCAGTCCAGCAGAGAACAATTCAATCCTCGGTCTCGGAATCATAAACAACACAGAACTACCATACCGCTCGAAGCCACTGCCCCCGCTTCCCTCATCTGCACTAAGCCCAGATGTTCCCAATCTCCCAGAATACGGCCCTGAGGCCAATGCTGTATTCCGCGAATTTGCGCTCCGTCAACCTCCTCTGCGTCACGCGCGACCGCGTCGAATCGGAGTTAGCTCGCAGGCAGAAGTGCACATGGTTCCATTGCCAGAACAGACACAAGAGGAGATTGCCATGACTGGTGCACCGTTTACGCCAATGGAAGAACTCGAGTTAGATAACGGTGTATTTGGCAGTGCGCCCCTGGAAGTCAACGGTGGAGTTGCTGTGATGGAGGAAAGCGTGGACTTTAGAGTGGCGGATGTGGTCATGCAATTTTGATGCTGGATCCTTCTCCTAGAGATACATATGTGTGGAATTTGGTGTAAGATATTTCGCAGTAAGAATTGCGATTCGCTGTTGGACTAAGAAAGTGGCAAAGATCTGGATGGCTTTTGCGATGGACTCAAGGGGGCTGCATTCTCTCCATGGCGTTGAGCAAAGCGATTGCCGCAGCCAGTAGACAGCGCGCCCACGCTCTCTTGGGATAGCATAGAAAGCGGAAGAGAACCGTAGCTAGCCAAATGCCAGCTAAATTGAATCAATACTAGTGAAGAATATTCGGCCTTTCTACCTGCTCAGATACAAAATATTTGTGCTTGGCTCAATGATAGGGGTTCGAGGCCATTTGGGACCAAATATCAACATCAATGCGTGTGGGAAGTCAATCCCACCCATTATGCCTTTAGATGAAGGTTATTTCAGCACTGTTTGACACCAAAGTGAAGTATAATTAGACACATTGAAAATAGGCAGGTTAGGTAAGGAATAGTATCTGTTAAATTGGCTTGCTCAGTTGGCGGTGATAGGAAGCGTAGCCTTTAGCATACAGCGCGAAGCTATCGAATAGCTTAGTTTTACAAAAATTCCTTGCCGAAACTACTACATAATGCAGTCGCCTCGGCTACAAAGTAGTTTCGGTGGTGGGTATTGACCCCATCCTGTTGTGGTACCTAACAACAGGGCCTGCAGTGATCAGCATGATGTGAATCTGAAGTTGCCATACGTGGTTCAGCTGATGTGAAACAACAAAAAACTATGTGGGAGAATTACCGTACGCAAGTATTAGCGCAATCACTGTAGACAAATACCTATCCTCTAGAGTCTGGGAGCTTAAAACTTCACCAGGTTATAGGTTCGATTCCTAGATTAATTCGATAATCTTGACTCATGCAGTGCTAAATTGGTGGTTTTGTTTCAAATATTTAGATACTTTTAAGCTTCTAAGCTTGAACGAGCTCGCTTGAAGTCGCAAAAGCTTGTCTTCTCTTTCTTCGTGTTGATTTCCGCGCAGGGGGATGATCTTGCTGAGCGCCTTACACAAGTACAGTCCTTGGTGGGGGTGGGGGAAATATTGCTTGTCGCCACGTCGGTAATGTCTGGCTAGTCCGGTCCCGCCTGGCATAATTTGGAGTGGGTGTTCTGTATCATTGGGGCAGAGCTGCGATTTTACATCGTCCGGCTTCAGCATGGAACATCGAAATAAGGATCACTTTCCTTGTCCATCATCAGCCCATCTCCTCTTTTCTCATAACACAAAATCAAGAAGAAGAAAAGGCACCAACACAAAACTTTTGTTAAGAGAATTGGTGTATTCAGCCACTTTTCGACGCCTGTATTCATTTCCAGAGAACCGCTATGAGCCAACCCTTATGACTGCCATTCTCCGTCCGTAGAAAACCACCCAAATCCTCGTCGAAAGCTCAACTAAGTAGCACCAGGATAACAGAATCTCCTCTCAAGAACCTGTGATATCAAATCAGCACCCAGCCGTATCAACCCTTTGGGAGGACACTCACATCTTGCTGATAAACCGATCCTTATTGACAGGCCTTCCCTTCTTCCCTTGAGCACTTCTTGGCGTCTCAGTCCACATCTCCTTCACGTTCTCCAACACCATATTGCAATGCCTGTCAAACGCCTTCACGCGTGCGAGCAACTTCCTGTTGTTCCGGCATGAGATGAGGACTTGTGTGTGCGATCTTACGGCAGTCTGGAGGATCGAGAGCGGTCCGGACGTGAATTCGTGCTCTTCGAGTTGCGCAATCTCGAACTCGCTGTGGGAGGGTTAGTTCTGGGCTCGAGGAGGCAGAGGTGATGAACGAACGTGAGGTCGCTGCGTGGCTTTGCCAGCAATTCTCTGGAGGCATGTTAGTTTTTGTATTCGAGGAAAAATTGATACACATACTGGATCTTTGCGTCCGCCATGATGTTGCTGTTCTTGACGTTGGCACAACCGTTTTGGCTGCCTCGCGAAGCTTGTCGTTGAAGGAAATCGCGATGCGCCCAAAAGAGACTAGCGTTATAAATTATGGGAAGGAGCCGAAACTGAAAATATCCCGAGGTTAGGGCAGAGAGGGATTGCTACTCCGCGTTCCTTTAGTGACGATTGATTTTCCTTGGTCGCGCTCTGGACTTTCCTTTCTTCATGTTTGCGAAGTCGTTGTGCGGGAGAGCTGGGTCAGCAGCGTGCTGTAGCTCGAGACGTGCAGCTATGCCATTGAGAGCTAAAACCACAAATCCAGCTTTTGGGGGAAGAGCACAGGTAAGGGCGGGACGGAATCATTGAGAGGTCTGGCATTAATATGATCTTAGATGGCGACAGACTCACGGCATGGCCAATCGTCGAGCAACGAACCGGATATTATAAGGGAATTGCCTGGGGATGAGAAAGAAGATGTGCTTTTTGATACTCTGTTTGGCGTCCGGACAATCGAGCTCAACCGGCCGAAAAAACTCCACTCCCTCAATGGATCTATGATACGAAAGATAATACCGAGGTTACAAGAATGGGCGAAGTCGGACATGGCAAATGTGGTCATCATCAAAGGATCCGGACCGAAGGCGTTCTGCGCTGGCGGAGATGTGGCAGCTCTCGCTGAGGATAACTTGAAGGGCGAGGAGGGTCAGCGAAAGTCGACGGAATACTTTGGGCTGGAATACAAACTGGACCACCTTATTGCAACATACGAGAAGCCATATGTTGCATTTATTGATGGCATCACAATGGGTGGAGGAGTTGGACTGAGCATTCATGCTCCATTCCGAATAGCTACGGAAAGAACGGTCTTCGCCATGCCGGAAACGACCATTGGGTTCTTCCCAGATGTGGGAGCTTCATTTTTCCTGCCTAGAATGCCTGGAGGTGTTGGTACATATCTCGCCCTCACAAGTGAAAAGTTGAAGGGTGTGAACGTGTTTTACTCAGGAGTCGCAACACATTATATCCACTCAACATCACTCCCAGCACTGGAGCGTCGTCTGGCTGAACTGCGATTCAAGGACTACGATCCATTACACGAGCGACTGCAGCTCATTAATTCAACCATCGAGGAATTCTGCACTGGTTTGCCACACGATGAACCCATCCACATTCAAGGCGAATTACGGAATGCTATCGATCGATGTTTTACCAAGACCAGTGTACCTGAGATCATTGCCGCTCTGAAAGCCGAGGATGGGGAAACTAAGCAATGGGCTCAAAAGACTCTTGCCACCCTGCACCAGCGGTCGCCAACTGCCGTTTATGTGACACTTCGTCAAATGCAACTTGGCAAGAATTGGTCTATTTCGGAAACATTCCAACGGGAACGCCAAATTGCTGCGAAATTCATGGCCCATCCAGACTTCACTGAGGGTGTCCATGCCTTGTTGATTCGAAAGGATGGCAAGCCGGCGTGGAAACCAGCTTCACTCGAGGACGTCAATCCAAAAGACAACATCGCGGACCCATTCTTCACAGTCGAAGGTGCTCATCGATTAGGATTGTTGAGTCAGGACGACTACAAACAATATCCCCACGCACAATTCAGTATCCCATCAGAAGGGGCCATACAGGCCGTAGTCAACAAGGGAGAGCTGACCCCAAAGTCAGTCGTCAAGTATTTCGTACAACAGAGGCAAGGAAAGCAAGGCGTGAAAGAGATCGTTCAGGAGGTGGTAAACAGAAAAACCAAGAAGGGGGGAAACGACAAGGCTGTGTGGATTACAGAAGAAACAGCGCCAGTGGTCTAACTTTGAAGAACGTGGCGAGCGTTGATGGTGTATGATATAATGTGGTGGATTTGTAGAGATATCGGGTCATACGGCAGGGCGGATGTTGATAGATTCGCGGTCGCAAAGGTGTTGAATGACCCAAGTTGACCTGGAACAAATCGAAAGGAGATATAAATCATGTGATTTTAAGGGGTTGTTGCCTATCAGCCTGAAAACATGGCACGGGCTGAGTCATAAGCGCGGTATGTTCGGGATTTTTGTCTGGCGAGAGTATAAAAGGACTCTACCCCGCTCCGAAAAGATTCTGATTCATCTCTCTCTTGGTGTGCTGGAATTTGATCTGACAGAAGTCAACAATTACGGCTACGGATTGCGGCCTAAAACGCACATTTCGGGTTCATCGTAAGCCCGAGGTTTAACCTAAGCGAGCCCCGTGGTCCGTGCCTCCCTCGCGTCGATTGGAGGAAGCTCGCAACCATCAACATCGAGAGTGTACATCCTTCGTAACTTCATTCAATTTGAACAAAGTTGAAAGAAAAGAATACGAGTATCGTCTTGTACCTTCTCGTTGTCCGCCATCTTTAAAAGTTCTCACCTTCACCGCTTTCAGCGAAATTTGTTCATCATTAGTTTCGTTCCGGCATTCCCCACACGCGTGAGAACCTCGCGACGCGAGGTATGGTCCAGGTCCCAGCCTCCACGCTTCCGAGAATACTCTCCACACCCACTCCCGCTCAATGACTTCACGACCTTTCCAATAACCTTCAGGGAGCTCGCTGTCACATCTAAAGCTTTCTGTGTCGACATTGCGAGCAGACAAAGCTCGCAATGTCCTCTCCAGCCGGAATGCCCCCAGGCTTCACACCCTGGCAGGATACGCAACCTCAACCGCCTACAGTGGCTCCAAACAACGCTGGTAATGAAGATGGAGTGTCGGTCAGACCTATGAGACGTATGTTTCACTGATTGATCTAGAGGTGGTGGAGAAATACTGATCGCGTTTCAATCTACAGTCAAAGTTCTCTACACCTTCGATGACCAAAACAAGACCAACTGCTTGGCACGATGGCCGCATGTTCTCGATATTCAAACTATCGCCATGGACGAGACGGCCTCAATTGGGGTTATTGAATTGAAGACATGCATACAAGCTATCGTCCAATGCAGCCCGGAGCTTCTCTCAAGACTTGGCCAAGACTACACTGTCTACGCGTATGATTACTCCGAGTACGATAACCCTCTCGTGGGACAAGGAATGTTATCTTGGGCTCTCGCAGCAGCTTCGCCGACCCCAGGCGCGCCCGCACAGCAGTCCCGGCAACTCATTACTGGACGCGTTTGCAAAAATATTCTCGGTCTTTTCACAAACGGGGTGAAGGAAACTCTGGAGGTCAAATTGCGGCTTGTACCTGTCCCTACAGTCTTACAAAACGATTACATGAATACGATGGAGAAATACAGAGGCATGAGTCAGGGTCCCTCGAATGGTTTCGACCCCAACGAATGGTCTTCTTTCTTGCAGTCGAATCCGAACATCTCTCAAATGACGAACAAGATCTCCATTCCGCCGAATTCCAATATAGGACAGAGAGAAGGAATGAGTATGGAGGTCGTCAATCAGCTTCTTAATCCTCATCTTCAACAACAGCCAAATATGGACCCGTTCAATCAGATGAATACCGGAAACAAGGGTAATGCGGACAATGGCAACGCGACTGCTGGTGGAAAGCCCAAGGCCTCGTCTCGCCCTTCTTCGAGAGCTTCTGTCAAGCGGCCCAGAGCCCGAAAACCCAAAGCGACCGCCGCTGCTGGAGGGAACACGTCGGGATATGAGGAGGGCACAGATGGAGATGATGGACCTGCTCCCAGGAAGAGAGCTAAGGTTACGAAGGCGGATAAGAATATCAACACGCCATTTTCTGGGGAACCTGACTCACTTCGAGTCGCTGCAAGCACGGCAGGATCCTTACGTCTTTTCAGACCAATCGCCATGTCACCAAATCCCCAAGCTGGAGCAGGCAGCCATCTTCAAGAAATTCCACGCGCACCAACTCCTGTTCCCCAGCTACCAAACCAGCACATACATCGAGATCGAGCCCCGTCTCAAAGTAATCTGCGACGTGATTCGGTAATCTCACAAGTCGAGCAACAAACACAATCACACATATCTCCTTACCCGCCTCTGATGCCCGAGGATCAGGTTAGGTATTCAATCGAATCAGCCGGCCCCTCCCCAGAACGAAATCCCAGTCCAGCCGACACAACGATTGATATTGGTTCTTCTCCTCCTTTGATGAGAAGCAGGCCACCATCTCTCATCCGATCAAGCCCTCCCTGTCCATCAAGCCCCCTATTGCCGGAAATGCCCAGGACAGACTCGGGTTTTATGAGTGGGTCATTGGAAGATCTTTTTGGAGAAGATGATGAGACGATGAATAACGAGAAAGAGTTTGAGCTTCCCGCTCACAACCAGAGCCGCACTGCCAGACGGGTACCCACTCCTATTGAAGAGGTTCATCAACGCTTTGAAATCCACGAGGTCAATCCCGGACCGATGGACCTTCTCCCGACTAGGATGCCAGTCATTGAACATCCAAAGCATGTCGAGTCAAAGGCTAGGGCAGCAAGATCTCGTGCTGGTAGTGTCATGTCGGAAGATGGCCAAGTATTACCACCTTTGAAGAACATCAACAAACCGTCGTCTCGTCGATCGACAGTATCTCAATCGCAGAAAGAGTCTTCGCAGCGCCCGAAATCTCAAACGCCAGCCGCAGACCCTAAACCCGCAGAAACTCGAGTGTCACCATATCCTCTCCCGGAACAGCAGGCACAACAGCAGCAAGAGCCTACCCAAACTGCTCCTGCTCCAGCAGCGCCTCGATCAAGACCTGCATCTCGGATGATGGTGCGCACAGCTTCAATGGGATCATTAACCCTTCCTACGGTTCCAGCTAGTGATCCGGCTCTACCACCATCAAATCTGCAGCGATCGCAAACTTGGTCTGAAGTCCCTCATCCAGTGACCGAAGCTCCCATGCCTCCTGTACCCGAGATGCCTTTGATGCCTCCAATGTCACAAAACCCCAATTCTAATGCTCCACCATACAGCCGCACCTTGACTGCAAAGAAAGCGTCAATCAAGCAGAAATTAGAGTTGGCAGTCGCAAATGGAGAAATGCCTCCATTCTGCAGCAACTGCGGCGCCATCGAAACATCTACGTGGCGAAAAGCGTGGTCCCAGGAGCACAAGGGAGAGCCTGGATATTATGAGTATTCAGATGAGCCGGGACGAGTTACTGCCGTCATCGTTTTGACCCGGGATGAGCAAGGCAAGCCTACATCTTATCAGCTTATAAAAAAGTTCCTGCTTCCAGAAGAAAGCCAAGATGATTTCAAGGAATTCCTCCTTTGCAACCGTAAGTTCTCAGAAGTTAGGGAAACAGCAGGGACTAATCAGAAACAGCTTGCGGTATTTGGATGTCGAAGTACAAGACTCAACGACCTGAGACAAGATGGGAGTCTACGCCTCAGGAGAGAACTGGAAATGCCCAGAAAAAGAGACCGACTCAGCGCCCATCAAAGCCGAAGAATTCACAAAACCAAAATCTCATGATGCCAACTTCGGAGGCCAACTTCCCACCGTCAGAAGCCAACTTCCCTCCTTCCGAGGCAAACTTTCCTCAGTCGGAAGCGAACTGTCCTCAGTATGAATCAATGGGCCCGCCTGAAGGCGTTTCCCCCAGCGATACCACTGGAATGCAGCCAAGTCAAGGTTCTCAACCACAGAATGACGGCCAGCCGAGAGGAAGTATTCGTCCAATAAAGCGCATCAATGCGATGACATCTGACGCTGCTTCTGCGGCTTTGAGGAGAGCAATCAAATCTAGTCCAGCCAGATGGGCAGGAACACAGCACAGCCCTATCGATGTTGAGGATGATTTAGGCTCCACTCGAAGACTGCTTTTCCCATCGCCAAGGAAGGACGGATCACCGAAAGTCTTGGGAGAGATTACCACAAACGTCGTCACGATTGCCACAACCTTCCACTCGCCGAAAGAGCAAGTGATGGAGGCACAGAACAAGGAGAATTGTCCGCCTGCGGTCGAGGCTGACGATGCGGATACAGAGCTTCTCAGACTTTTTGAGGAAGAGATGGCAAAAGGAGAGATTGCTCGACCATCAACACCGACAGCAAAACCATCATCAGCGAATCCCTTCAAGACGCCAACACGTCAGACGCCAAGTCATCGACCTGTAACACGAAGCGTTTCAAGGTCGATTCGATCAGCTAGGTCGGCAAAGTCACCCAGTCGGTTGCTTTTGTTCACAGGAACTCCTTCACGAACACCAGGTACCCGTCGGTCTCCACGACACCATGATCATGTATTCGAGTCGCCGTTTACTGCCACTTTGAATCAGTTGATGTCCGAAGCCAATAACCAGACATCGCCAGCACGAAATGGCATGGAGCTTGATTTTGGCAGCCTGCCACCTCTACCAAACATCAACCAAAATCAAAATATAGACATGAACTTTAGTCTCGAGGATTTCTTCTCGACTGACGTTCCGATGCCAAGTTCTCCGCCGAGGTTGTTCAACTTGTATGAAGATCCGACGGCGATGGCAAACATCAACTGGGAGGAGTTTGGGAAGTTCGATGCGAGGGATCTGGAGAAGAATGGGGATGAAGTGGTTGTTAAGCAGGAGGAGGACGAGACGATAGGTTTCGGAGATGATACCGAAGCTGGAGAGGAGCATCAGGCAGCGTGAACATTGCATTTATTTTTCCGCGTATATCGTGCATAGCGGGGTGTTTGTGGAATTGTCTGGATACAAGGCATAGTTGCATTGGGCATCGGCGTTATTCATCAGCATTTGGGGAGCAAGCAGAATTGCAGAGGCCGTTTTCATGGGCATTTGAAGAGCGAGCAGAATGATTGCATGGCGGCGACATACAAACGAGCTAGGAATTGATGACAAGCGGGATGAAAGAAGAAATTCATAGCAGTACATGATTCCAAGCTTGCCGTGAGACTGTTATTCGTTCATGTTGCAAACAGACAAATAGCTCCCAGAATTGACGACGAGAGGAACGAGCTCTACAACTGCGTAGTAGGTGTCGATACTCAATGCACTAGAAAAGTTGGGTCGATTCGTGCCATGTGCAACAAATCAGAGGATGCAATTCCAAGTCTTCAGTAGTGTCTTTCCATTTCGTGATTCATCCACCAGGCAAGTCCGACACATAACTTCATTCCCATAGTCCCTTATCCAGCGCCGCCCTGAAGCAAAGCAATCCATCGGCTGCCATCTCAAGACCATACCTTTCCCTTCTTCTATCACATTGACGCAACTCCCAATGTAAAACCGCACCCGGAAGCAGAACCCTCATCCATCAATCATCGCCATCAGGCCTCATTGCTCCGAGTAGAAAATCTCCTTATACCGATGCGTTGCGTCAACCACCGCTTTGACAGCCTCGAAATCAACTGCGTATTCCACATTAGCCCACTTCCCTCCCTCCCCCTCTGCTGCCTTGGAAGTAACGCACCATCCCGTCCCAAATCCCTACTAACCAACACCCGCACGCTCAAATCCCCATTCACCTTGCCCACAACCTCGACCCAGTTGCCCACCGTGAGATGCGAATCTCGGTTCAGGTGCGCGGTCACCGCTCCGTCACTGTCGAGCGTGGCGTTGTCGCCGCGGAGTTGGGTTACGCGCCCTAGCCCCCCGGAGAGAGGGTTAGTATTGGGGTGGAAGGTGGAGAGTGGAGAGTGGAATTGGGGGAAGCGGGGCCCGGGGGAACGTACCAACGAGGCGGATTGTGCGGGAGGTGAAGTGTTCGAGGTGAGGACTGGTTAAGCGCGGGGTGGACAGCGGGTCTGCCATTTCTCTTCTTGTTTTCTGAAGTTGGGTTGCTTGGGAAGTGGGAGGGGAGGTGGAATTGAAATTGTGTGAGGGAGACTGGATTGTGGGTGGTTGGTGGAAGGGAAGTGTTGTGATTTTTTGGGACGAAGCTTGAGATTGAATTGATGGAGACGCGATTTCTGGCGCGTCGCCTGGTCAGGTGGATTTTAGCGTGTTGTTACGGTAGCCGGATTCTTCACATTTGCCCATTTTCAGGGAGGCGAATTTCCAGTCGCGAAGCAGTAGGATTTAAACAACGTTAAATAACATAATAGGGTAAACCCTATGCATAACATTTAACTTCTTTACTTAATAATTAATTATTTTATTACGTTTTAATTAATTGTTTGCTTGCTTATATAGTAATCTCAGGCCTAGTATTTACTATCCCGGGTTTAGCACTCACCGAATTAGGCAAGGTGCGTACATAAGTTAGGCGCTGCTTTCAACGTCTATAAAAGTCGCCTTCCTACCTAGCTCGACCGTCTTCCTCTGTAATCCTTTTTCAATACCCCTTCCCTCGGCTGTTTAATCTTGTCATACGCCACCGACCCCTGCCAACGCAAACTCGCCGCGAATAACCCCTCTACCGCCCACGCCGCTGCTAAGAACCACGGTCTTAGCCAGTCAAAGTAGAAAATAAGGATTTTTCTTGCCTAAAATTGATGCTCATTCAATTATTATATTTTCAAATAGGTCTTTTGCTAATAAACAAGTATTGTCTATATTTAAACCGTCAAAGTCTTAAGTCCTCATGCTGCTTCATCTAACCAGTGAATTCAGGTGCTGGAGGTGACTTCAAAAGAGTGGCCTTCCATTTCCAGTAGCGATTGGCGGATACTCGGATTTCAAGGTATGACGCATGGAAAAGCAGAATCTGCCTAAAGGATCCGTTAATTAATGCGTCCGCAGGTATACGAAGTGCCAGAGCATCTGGTGCCTCTTAGGTAAGCGGAGAAACTGCCTAGATACGTCTCATCGCGTCTCATCGTGAATTTTTTCTCAACAAAACACAAAGAAAGAAACCATGCCCTCAAGATCCTACTCCCGGACAGAAGCTGTCGCTGCCCTGCGTTCCTTCTACGAGTTCTTCGCAACGCTCCCGTCTCTCGAGCCGTCGGAAATCAGATACCCGCCACCAACCGGATGGCCCAGTATTACTGCAACTTCTCTCGCAGGTCTCGATAAGAATGAAGATGTCGTTGATCTCCTTAAGCATATTCCATACATCACTTGGGATGTCCAGATCGCGTACCAAACCCATGTAATTGACTACACCGGATCCGACGTGCAGCAGAGCATTGAGAAGCGTCAGTCGGAAGGTTATATCGTCCCTGTGGGTGCGGGCGTGATTCCCGAACATGTTGCGATTTTGACGATGGGCGGGCGGTATGGTAGCTTTTTGCTGCTAGACACGCAAGAAGGTAGGCTGTCAGCAATGGAGAGCAAAGACAAAGCTGGAAAGATGTAGGCACGGTCACGGATTATATCCAGATGGAACGTCCAAAGAGAAAGGAGCCTCCTAGGAATGATCCAGATTATTGGCGAGCGTACGAAACGCTTCCGATTGCGGAATTTTTCCAGGGCTGGATAGATAATTATCGCTCTTTGGACTGGGTTACTGTCCCTGAGAATACCGATGATGGGGCGATGCTGAGTCGGACGAAGAAAACAGATGTATGTGAGCACTTTAATTGAGTTGTGAGAAGAACAGACCTGATCTTGGTTCTAGGAAGTTCGAGCTATTTATCGTGAGCACGGCTGGCCTGATTCTTTCAGGAGGGAAGAATGTAGGAAGGCATTGATAGAGTGGGATAATAATTGAAACAGGATCAGCGGGGGCAAGGAGCTATATGCAACAAGGATATTTGTCTGATTAAATGGTGATCCTGCTGTAAAGTGGTCAACCAAGAAGCTATTTGTGAGCTACAAGTTGAAATCTCAGGTTCTACAAGTGCCTTTAACGTTAGTAGAGGTCAAAAAAAAACCGTCGGAGGACCCTCTAACATTAGTGAAAGGCAATTTAAATTGCAGATTCATTATCAAAGGGTTTATACTCCACTTAGCGTCTCTACTTTTTGGATTTTATTCAACCCGAAGAATATCTCAAAGTTGGCGATTCTCGAAGTTCCGGTTCTAACTCACGTGACGGTCTCCCCTGAGCTGCCTCCTCGGTAGAAGGACAATAATCTTCAAGTCCACCCGCAACTTCGCCAGGATCAATCCACCTCTATTTTCACTGCAACCAATCACCTTGCCCCTTCCCCAATTCACCCTTCCCGATCCACATGAAATCAAGAAATCCACTCCCATCGGCGACGCTCTAGGCCCTACGATCCCTACCTGCACATAACACCCTCTAAGGGAACCGAGCTGTTCGATTCCCGTGTCCCGTGAGCATCAGAAATTGAGGGGCAGTGTTGCCGATAGACGTGCGAATGGGAAACGTTATATCTTGTCTCAAGCACGTGAAGTCATTGTGGTCTGATTTGACGCCATGATCGGATCCTGCACCCGCTAAAATTTGGAGGGCTGGAAAGGGAGCCTAATGCAGCGGGGAAAGGGTGTTGGAGGGGGGAGGGTTCGTAAATTCGAATCCTCTGTGCCTCCGTTGATGGGTCTTCGCTATGGTGGGTGCACTGGTGGAGCCAGGGAAGAGGTGCAGCAGGCAGATCGTGGCGTTTTCGGGCGTCAGTCGGCCTGTTCGTCGATGCTCCAAGGCCCTTGAGTGTTGAAGGAGAGGAGGGGTAGGAGCTGACTTGTGCCAAAAGGGAAGAGGCTTGGGAACTGAGGAAATTGTTGGAGTTTTGGGTTTAGTCTGGGTGGTGGGAAAGCAGGATTTCAGTGCCTTGTCTGATGCGGAACCGGGAGTTTGAGCGTACAATATGTAACAGGCTTGATGGAAAGGTTCTCCGCGATAGCAATTTGTAACAGGAACTGAAAGAAGAAGTTTTGAGGTTTGATGGCGATGAGGAATTTCGGCGCGACTCGATGGAGCTCTTTTGAGGGATGGGTTGTAGATCGCGAATTGGTGAAAGGCTAGAGCTGGCTTTGGTTGATCTTAAATTCTTGATAGGTATCCAAGCTATGAGGCGTATGAAACTTCGATGTACAAGTCCTCGAACGGTGATCCCAAAGCCTAGGCTCCATAAGCCAGCAGAATGTCCCGAAAAGTGGCGAGTTTCCATAGTCGTTTGACTCCCGAGTTCCCGAGTTGAGTCCTGATGAGGCTTCGGCTTGGGGGGTTCGGTAAGACAGGGTGCCGCAGGTCGCCTCCCCCCCAGTAGTTTTTCCCGACTTCGCTGGCGGACTTGTTTGTATCTCGATTCAACGGAGACAAGACTTGGACCTGGATCTTGGAGACTGAGGAATTGAAATCAGGGACTCAGTCTTCAAATCTGCCCCTCTATTCTTTCAGCATTTAATTTTTTATTATGAGGATGCCTGATCCGAAATCTGTCTGATGCTGGATCATCACTGTGGCTGTTGAACCAATGAACAGGACTGGTACGAACCGCAAATATGGTGCATAAGCAGCCAGAAACGCTTTAAGTCGGCCGTTGGCAGTATGGTCACCGAATTCCGGGGACAGTGTGACAAGAATACTTGGCTTGCATCGGCATGTGTTGAAGAGAAACGCCAGGAGTGACTGAGAAGAGAGGAGGCGCTGAGACAGGGCTGAGAATTCACGTACAACCTCCTCAGAGGCTTTAATCCAACGACAGAAATAGTGACTTTGTGGTTGTAATGGAAATAAGTGACGAATTATTGGACTGTGCAGAGCTGGCTGTTTGGTGTTCAAGATAGGTGACCACCTTGTGCCGAGTGGCTTTCCCACGTTCTTGCCGCAGGAATAAACAAAGTGAGGTTGCAAAGGTACAAACGAAGTCCGCTTTGCAGACTACTATTGCGGGTACTCGTATGATTTGAGGTACGGCCCTTTTCCTTGGAGGTGCAGTTCAAAATCCGAAGCTCATTGTTAACGCTGTCTGAGATATAAGATCACACAGTACAGTACACGGCATTTGAAGTTCCCATTGAAGAGAGAACGTCCCAACAATTAATCGTCAGAAGTATTTCAATTTTAAAACTGGCTCTTTGCAGCGGAAAATTCGGGACTCGGCACCTTATATACCCTTCAGAAGCCGTTTATCATTTTCCCTTTTCGGTGCTATGAGGGGGTGAGTCACGTGAAAGTCGTCATTCTGTCGATCTCTAATATCAGGGCCCTTCATGATAATGATCCGCCACAGTTGCAAAGCGCGGACAGAAATTGCCCCTTGTCGTTCTAGATCGATCCATCCTCGGCTCGAACGACGGTGTGTCGCGTCGCAAAAGTGCAGAGGCGCCTTCCACTTTTATGACGATGGAGACACCTCCGGAGGGATACTGTCGGTTCTTTCACCTTGTCCAGACCCGACAGGGCACACAATCTTCTACAGTAATCTTCTCTTCTCCCCCTACAGCGAGTGGTTGCGCAAACCCTTGGTTCGGAAGCCTTTACTTAGTACTGTAACAGGTTTTCCACATCATGGCAAGACTCTTCGCTTCCGGGAATAAACGATGTTCATCAGGCGCAAAATACATGGAGCATCAGATGGCTGCTCTGTGACTGGCCCGCGCGACGGATGGGATTCTTGAGAATCCCATAACCTTATCTTCTGACAAGCGCTTATGCGGCTAGCCCTGCCATGTTCCCCGGGCCTGCTCTCGCCGTGATCGAGGCCGTGGCGCTTGATCGAGCTGTCCAACTGTTCCTTGAATGGGGGACTTTACTATGTACGTGTCCTTCGTAAAGGATAGATGTGCGTGCCGGAGGAGTGCGGTGGGCCTAAGGCGGCTCCAGGAGTGGAGGTGGTCGGCGTTGGTGCTGGTGCTGTTGCTCGGGCTGGCCTCTGGCGGGGGACGGCTTGGAGGCTGCTGCTCGTCGCCTGCAGTTCCTGCGTGGAGACTATTGGGCGGGAACTCCAGCTCCGCCATATTAGTAATAATGCAGCGAGCAGCGAGCAGCGAGCAGCCACGCAGCCCACATTTATTCTACATTGAAGCTTGGAGCTGATGGTGTTAGTTCGCGACGAGGGGGGCCGAAGCGGAGACCGACTCCTGCAAAAGCTGATGCTGGAGCTGATGCTGATTCTGGTGCTGATGCCAGTACAGGGAAATACACCTGATTCGCAGAACCGCAGCGTGTCCTCCGTATCCACCCCACCTCCAGCAAGATCCCCTTCTCTGTGCTTCACCATTATGAACCGCGGCCTACAGTACTTAGGAGTTAACGTCTGTCCTGGCTGGGGAAACTCCGATGGGAAACTCCTCTTGCATGCCTGTGGTCCTGTGGCACTGATGCCCATCGCTGCGTTCCCGCCTTTGCAAAAATTTCCTGATCCTGGAATCCCTGCACCTGCCTGCACCCACTCCCCGGCTGCTGCCCATCTCGCCCTATCACTGCTCGTCGGAGCTCGAAACACAGATCCCCGCCTCTTTCAACGTTGCAGAATGTGCAGAATGTGCAGAATGCCATCTCCAGTAGACGCGCCTCGTCGTCATATCCCCTGCGCGTCCACCAAGATGGTCTGGCAGCTGGGGGCTGCAGCTATGTGCTGGTGGCGGTGGCACCAAGGGGTCCAATGCTGGAGATCTGCTTTATATAGCTGATTCGCGGTGCATCGGCCGTTTTCCTTCCCTTTCAAAAGGATTTCGAGCAAAAAGGCTTTCGCGCCATAGTATTTTGTTTGGACTTTCCATCTGCAAAAGCATAGACTTGCCTGGGTCGCCCCAGAGTCTGGCTGGATGCTGAGTCGGTTCGGTCCATTTTAGCTTGGCCACTGGCTCGAAGCTTCCTCCGCCGTATCGTCATACATCCCTCTGCCCGCAGACCACTCAACTTCTCTGCGAACCTTCGTAAACACCACAAGTGGCTTTGGAACATCCTCTTGCAAACCCGTGCTTCAAGGCGATCTTCTGGACAGGAAAACCCCATCCTCCCTTTGTCCGCAAGCATTTAGACAAACGAGGCACCTTCTGCAATAGCTTCGATTGATCCTGTTAATTGAAAGGTACGCAATTCAGCAATCTTCTGTTGGAGTGCAGTTATTTCGACTCAAGAAACCTTTAGTTAACACAATGCCTTCTAGTCATTGCTCCAACCAAGCTAGCAGACCACAGCAAGCATCTATTGAAACTCAACAAGCTACAATCTGGAGGATCATAGTGCCTTGATATATAAACCATTCAACAGTCCACAGATCACCTTTCCCTCGAAACCAACATTGCTCCTCAGAGAACCAGACAATTCAGTTAAAAGGGATATCATAGCATCTTCTTTCTTGTCTAGACAACAAGAACATCACATTTTCCATACGAGACACGATTGACTGCTCCTTTGGCATTTGTGTTTGCCAAATTGTCAAGTCATCCACCAAGACTGGTTAAGGTCGCCGTGGGGCTTAGCCGAAGTACATTAGACCACGAGCACACTCACAACCCTCGATCTTTGAGAAATGGCAACCATGGACAGTTCCGAGCATGGCTATTTCAATATCGACCACTCAATTGGAAAGGGGTCCTATGAGAGTATGTTTGCCATAGATCCTGTTTTGTTCGATACATCTGCATCGATCTCCGAAGATCCGAGCTCGCATCAAGACCTCGACAATATCCTTGGCGGACAGTTCCTTGACCAGCTTGGTTCAGGTTCTGGTATGTTGACCCCGGGATTCAGCGCTTGGAATACACAAGGAACTGCATACAGTCCATATCCCGACATGTCATATACGCACGCATTGCCGATTGATCAACAGCAAGCTGGCGCCGGACCGGGGATTGGGTCGTTATCGAGCGATTTCGTACAAAGCTTCCCTGAGTCGAATGGCGTAGAAATGCAAGCTGTGCAACTTCCCCATTCGGTTCAGATCGATGGTCTTCAATCACCGACTGGTACAAAGTCAGATCAAACTATGGTGTCTGCAGAGCCCGCAGCGAAGAGAAAGTCGGACGCTGCAGCAGACACCACGAACGGACCTCTGCCGAAACCCAAGAAGAAGCGAGGACCCCGGAAGTCGAAACAGAAGACAGAAGAAGAGAAGAGAGCCAAGGAAGAGCGGAAGCTTGAGCGCAACAGGATGGCAGCCAGCAAATGTCGTCAGAAGAAAAAGGTCGCAACTGAGCAGATGATGGAGAAGTTCAACGAGTTAGAACGTCAAAACCATTGGATGAAGGCGTGTCTGGAGGAGGCGAAGCAAGAACGGAACAAAATTATTGCTTTGCTTCTTGAGCACAAAGAGTGCAACTATCCTGCTATCGACAAGTGCCTCGAGTCGCAGCTTGCAAGGATTGCCGACGAATTCGAAAACCCTCAGCCGACTGATATGTTCAGAATGGATGACGATACTCGAGAATTCCTCAACTCGAATGCAAGCTCTCCTTCCAACGAATCGCCGAATATATCCCGGCGTAACTCGATGGCTATGTCCAGCTCCGGTTCAAACGCTTCTCTTCCGGAGTCTGCAACCGTCTCGCATGCTCCACAATCATGGCCTACGGCTGGATACCAAACCTGGCAAGAACAATTCGGTATGTCCCAAAGGTACCAGCAGCAACAAATATCCGAGCCCTCCAAGGCATCCCACCATCACTCGCCGTCCTCATCCAGCTCAACCTCGATGTCTCGACAAAACTCCAGCCGCACCTCAGTCAGCGAAGAGCATGACGATAACCAGAGGAACGACTCCGGAATCAGCGAGATGGACACGCCGCCCGAGGAGAGAAAAGAAGAACCTGTCGGACATTCCTGACCATGAGGGTATTTCGCTGGCAACCAACGATAGGGTCCTCGCTCGCGAGGTCCGCACATGATGCCGAACCATTGAATTGCAAAAATGGCTCTTGCAGGTCTTTCAGACCTCCAAGGCCCTTCGGTGTTCCTTGCTGGCTGGGGTGGAGGTGGGTTGTAATGATTCGCGGGAACTGGGTATATCAGCAGAAGAGCTGAATAAATAATGAACGGGGGGGGGGGTCTTCGAGGCGTGGATTTTATACCACGGACCACTGCCACCTCGGAAGCAGCTTCTCCGCGCAGGCACGCTTCTGATCAACTGTAAGAATAATACACGAAGCGACGATTCAAAATTTGACGGGGATTTGAGCACGCTAGCTTACTGCTATAAGCAAGGCAGGACTTGCGGCGAGGTTGCGTTGGGCGTACTTGAATGATACCACGATGGGCACCGATACATAAAAGCCATAGCTCTTGATGAGCAAAAGCGAAAGGAAGCAAGCTTGCCTGGAGAAAGGAGGGAGCAACAAGGAGAAGCAAAAATATTTGTTGCGAAGAGAGGGGTAAAGATGTAACATAAACAAAACAAAAATGAATGAATGATGAAGTCTGCATGGGCTTGTTGCTGTGCTATTGTTGGTTGTGAAGATATAAATAGACATGTCCTGGTGACTGACAATTGATTTGGATTCCCAAAAGAGGAAACCATGGGAAACTGGGATGGGTATATAAACAATACGACGTCTTCAGATCGAGTTCGAGTTCGAAGGGTGGATGATGTATGTCCGTTTAAGGAGCTGAGCTGAGCTGAGCGTTGAGCTGGGGTGACGGAGTCGGGAACACGGATTGGAGTTCGGGGTGGGAATTAGTGAGGGGCACGGATTAAAAATCCGCTAGATTTTTGGTGAGCGGCGGGTTGAAAGTCCGCGGGGGAGTGTGGGCGACGTTGTTCTGTTTGATGGTGGAGGACGGATGGAAAACCCGGGCCTCTGGGATGGCGGGATGGATTTTGACGGAGAGGGGCGGATTTTGAGATCCGGCCGAGTTTGGTGGAGGTGGAGGCTGGCCAGAGAAAGCGGCACTGAAATGAACACTTTGAACTTTGCAATGTCCCGAGCCCCAAGTTGGGTGGATAAATCCTCTCCGGATATTCCCCCGCATCATTGTAGGTTCAACGTCAATCTATATACATACCCTTTCAATGAAGATTTCGAAATTCTGGGATTCCCAAGACTTGCCCCCTTTTGAGTTTAGACGAATGTCTAACTCGGACTTGGGGCTTTGAACATGACTGGGGCTTTTTCGGTCCACCGCGAGAGCGGTTTGTACTTGTACTCCAACTTTGAATTTAGATTCCGGTGTGATTATGGGCTTGAATTGCTTGGAAAGGATACAGGCAGTTACTAGAGTTTTAGGTAGGGGAGAAGGCACGAGGACACTGCCAGACTACTTGCTTACTTTTTTGGTTGATAGCGGAAGAGGAGCAGAAGGTAGCTGGATTATGTTCCAGGAGTGAATGATAGTAGACTGTGTTTAGAAAGAAAGGGAGGTCCGAGGTGTGAATGAGGAGAACTGACACAAAGGTATCCGTGAACCGAGGACGTTCCTGGTTCAGACTGATACCTCTGTGGAGAGGCAAAGTTTTAATCTTGCCTGGGGACACATAGGGTGTTTGGGCTCCCACTTTGATGATGGTATGGAGTACAGGCCGATTTTGAGGAGAGCTGAGGTGCGGGCCTCACTTTCCGTATGGGGTGGGGAAACAAGTTAGGGAGCCTCTGGCACAGAGCGCCATTGAAGGAAACAGGGGGCGATGCAAAGAAATTACTAAGGAAGAAGTTAACGATCGCTCTGCATTATAGCAAAGCGATTCGAGGTTTGCACGAATCGTTTCTTACTACAGAGGTAAGTCAAGTACATCAACCCTCAGAGGAAACATAATGTTGACTCTGGCGCAGTGGTGTCTTCGGCCTTGAGACTGGGCAAAAATGAAGCACTACACACAATTTGACAGCAAGATCTTCATCCGATTTTTAGGGCTTCCAATGACTCTTGCGGAGGAGGATACCTTGAAAAGGGGGGAAATTGCTGTCAAGTGGGAAGCTCATTGTCGACAGCATGTACTCGTATGCGGTTTCGAATTGCTTACGTTGTATCAAATATGTCCATTTGATGGTAGATGATCCGCAACTTCGAGATATTATCAAACATCTCGGAGATATTTTGGACAGCATTCATGACGAAATTCCGCTTCATGCGGATACTATTACCTTCGCTCGGGAAGAAGGGGAAGAAGATTCTGGTCCCCGGCAAGAATGAGAGAGAGGATGGGCGAGTTTAGCATGGTGACGGCGCGAGCTTCGTCGATAAACAAGTACAAGATATGCGGAACTCGGTGTCACTTTCATCCATAAGATTGTAAAAGTTGACATCTGAAAATCGCTAAGAAGAATTGAGGATGATAATATGTATAAAATCTCAATTGTAAGGAATCTCAAACTTAACATCTTGTTAGATATCCCTCGCCCTACAGGTAGTTTCTAACGCTACTGGGCCTTCAGGGTTCCGTAGATTATAAAATCGCTCCATGAGTTGTAGACACGTGGAAAAACGAAGATTGGAAATAGCGCAATTGTACAAACTCCACTTAAAATAATGAAATTAAAAAGTGTTCCCAAAGGACAAACTCCTCTTACGGGCCGAGTTAGAAAGACCGCACCTGCAAGAAACTGCATGTCATCAGTAATTGTTACAAATATGTACAAGATTCTCTCTACAAACTCCCCAGACACGATACCTATACAGCGCTCCTGACCTTCGAGACAAGATCACTCTGATGTTGGCTCAAAATCTCATCCAGCGCCCTCTTCTCAATAATCACCCTCCCCAACTCCAACAAATCCTTAACATCCACCTCCTTAACCATCTGCACTCTCCCATCCTCCCCGGCATGTCGCAATGCCCTGAAAAGATTCTTCTTGAAGCTCCCCGTGATAACCAGACTCCTGCCGTCCTCGCGGCCCCAATGATTATGCTCGAAAATCTGCCTCGCAAACCGTGTCTTCGGATGCTCGATATCCATCCCATCCTCGCAAACAATCAATTCGCCCCTCCTATACCTCCAGCTCAGCGCCGTCCGCCACGCAAGATCATACATCTTCTTCGGCAACGCCGTAGCAAAATCTCTCGGGTGCGGACCAAAGGATTTCCCTCCGCCTTTCAGCATGGGAGATTGCCTAGTTCCCAAACGTGCCATTCCCGTCCCCTTCTGAGGGCGAATCTTCCGGTGCGAACCGTGGATTTCCCAGCGCGTTTTCGTTGATGCAGTGCCTTGGCGTGTGAAGTCACCTTCAAAGATCACGGCACGGTGTAGGATGTCTCGACGGAGGGGGAGATGTAGATGTTTGCTGGCGTACGATTCGAAGCGTAGGGGCTCCATGGTGGGGAATTTGTAGATGGTTGTGAGGACTGAGTCTGTTGGGAGTTGTTAAAATCGGTATTAAGAAGGGGAAAGGAGGCGCACCTTGAAGCTCAAAGGCTGGGTCGGTGGCGGTTTGGAGGAAGGTGGGATCATATTCTCGTGATACTTGAGAGGGCATTGAGGTCTCTGTTGCCATTGACCTCGAGAGTCCTGGTGCAAGGCATTGCTAGAGATCCTGTTAGCAGAGGACGGCTTTTCAGAGTACTACATACCGTTAAAGGGTCTTTAGAAGTCGAATTAAAGGTCCGCAGTGTTTTTAAGCTTCTCGAGAAGCTCTGCATCCTTTTCGATGCCATTGTCGATGTATTTGGGCGATGGTGACAATGCTCGTCTTCCCTGAAGTGAGAGTTGAAGCTAGCCCAGAAAATTGTGGACGCTCGGCATCTTCCGCAATGCTTCGATAAATTTGAGAAGCATCAGCGACAACCATCACATCAACAATGTCAGGCTGTCAGAAGGCCGCAAGGCCATTAGCGCAATGTCTGCGGTCCTCTCAAGCTTTGTGCCAATCTGCAAGGGCGATTCGATTATTCACAAGATCTTCACGGTTGAGCGAGGAAGCTGTCACAGAAACAGCCTCCTTTACGACCACGCCCATCTATGACCCCGAGGCTGTGACGAGTTCGAAGGAAGAGAAGAAGCTGATGAAAACTGGGGTCTTCCCAATTGGATCAAGACGTCGTCGTGCAGCGATCAAGACATCGGAAAACATCCTTTTCGAGCAATTACCATACCAATGTTTTCAAGAAGCGCGGAAGGTTTTGCAGGCGGACAGGGAAGAGAAGCTGCAATTGATTGCAAAGGAGAGGTTACGGATTTCAAATCTGATAGCTACAGATCCTAAGAGCATTAATGGAGGAAGGAAGTTCAAGCAGGTCAGGCTGGATAGCATGAGGCGGCATCTGGAGTACTTGAAGATCCAGGCGGATATTAATGATCCGTTAATCAAGAAGAGGTTCGAGGATGGTCAAGGCATGCCTATCCTTTGGAGCTACTGGATTTGGAGTGCTAATTTCTTGCAGGGGACATGACCAAGCCTATCTACCGCTACCTTGCAGACAGGAAATGGCGAGATTACCAACGGAAGATCATCGTGCAGCGCATAGAGCAACTTGCCGTGGTCCCAGACGTCCTCCCATTCTTTGAACCTACAGCTGAGGTTCGTCTCGCATTTCGACAGAAGAATGTCCAGCCTGGCGAGTTCGTCGACTCTCGAATCAGCGAGGTTTCTGCAAGATTGAAGGTTCAGGTTTTCGATAAGGGGGAACGACTTGTCACCGTTGCTGTAGTTGACTCTGATGTCCCGATCGTTGACAAGGACTGGTTTGCCTCGAGATGCCATTATCTTGCTGCCAATATCCCTCTGTCGCCGACAGAAACCTCCCTTCCGCTTTCCAAGGCAACGGAGGGACAACTCATACACCCGTGGCTCCCAGCTTTCGCGCAGAAAGGTTCTCCATATCACCGCTACACTGTATTCGTGTTGCAACAGAAACCCGGACAGATACTTGACACTGCTACATTGAAGGAGAAGATTAAACGAGATGGATTTAGTATGAGGCGTTTCGTTGATAGAAATAACGTGACACCCATTGGAATGAGCATCTTCCGGAGTATCTGGGATGAGGGGACTGCTGGAGTTATGCAGAGAGCTGGTATCGAAGGCGCAGATATCGAGTTCAAGAGGAAGAAGGTTGTAGCGTTGAAGCCGAAGCAGAAAGCTAGAGGATGGGAGGCGAGACACGCCTCTGATAAGTATAAATCGCTGAGGAGATGATGATGTATGATAGGACTCGAAAGTTCTGAATGTACGATATTAACTTGGAATAACTAAATAAGTGCGAGGTTTCAATGTAGTCGGCTTTGTTTCATTGATTAGTACTTTGAAACGCGAGGCATCCGAAAGGCCCCACTTTACTTGGTACAATGATAAGTGTTACTTTTTGGTCTATCATGGAGCGGTAATTAAGTCACAAGCGTGTCCGATATCACAGCACGAGGATGTGATCGTACTGAGTCGACGCGGTACAATCACTTACGCCATCGGTGGGTTGACAAATTTCTTCACAGAGATACGGAAAACGAACGCTAGAGATAAATTCATCGATACTCTCAACTATGATATAGATGAGGGAGATCATCCAAACTCAACGAGGTAAATGCCAGCGCATATATCACACAGATCTTATATTAGATCTAGCAATCCATTCCACACGCTCATTTCATCCACTCCACAGTCTCCCTTCCCCAAATGCAATCCCTCAGTTCCTCACTAACGTCAACACCTCTCCTGCAACTCCAGCCCCTGAAGCTCAGGGCCATGAAGATAGTGGACTCCGGCGACCTCCTCTGAGTGAGCATAGTGAACCCCTGCGACCGGAGTAGGGGCAACAGGTCTCATCGCTAGATTTGGCCTCAACGTTAACCGGAAGAAGTGCTCATCCTTCTCGCACTTCACATCCCACTTCTCAGCCTTCATCTTGAACGGTTCTCCTGCCGCGAACCAGTGAACCAGCGACATCTCAACCCAGTCGTGTTGGAGGTCCCACGGGCATGCGAAGTAACGGTGTGAGTATACCGGCCCGAAGTTGACTCGTGATGTAAGGTGGATGACATACGGAACCTGGGGATCGAGAGGGTTGTTCTTCAGCGCCTCGAGTGTGAAGATGGGCGCGGGTACCGGTTTCAGGAATCGAGGGGAAGGTGGAGGAGGTGTGGCTGGAAGCGGAGGAACCTCGCTGTTTGGGTTGGTGATGCCACTGATGAGTGCAAGGAGGCGAGCAGACTCTTGCTTTCGTTCCCTGGCTTCTTCTTCGACGAAGTCTGCAAGGACTTGTCGACGAACTGCGAATGCTAGGAAGGATCGAAAAATTGCCTCATGGAGTTCTCGGTTCGGGTCGTTGTGAAGCTTGATGTTGCTGGCTACAGGGGCCGGGCCAGCGGCCTTGCAGCAGAAGATTCTTTGAGGGAAGTTTGCCATTGTTTATGAATGCTTTTGAAGTTGTTGAAGGAAGAAGTGCCGTGATATTCGAGGGGGTTTAAATGGCTTGGCGGTTGTAGTTCTCGTTGCTTTGAATAATCCTTTGATGATGTATTTCGCGGAAGTGTGACCGGGAGAGAAACTTGAATGATTCACAGACGAATATGTCGAGATCAATCACTAAATACTCGCCCCCTAAAAGAATATGCAACTGAGGGTGGAGATACGTTAGTAGTTTGAAGTTATTTGCTGGTTCGAGTCGCCACTTTGTAGATGCATTCCTTCCAAGAGTCACAGTAAGAGAAGCGTGAAATTATTCACAGACGACTCGTTTTGATAATTCACTGTTTATTGCGTCCCAAAATAGAAGGCGTGACGAGTAGGAGATGTTTTCTCGGAGCATGGTGGATGGTTCATTGTTCGAGATGTAAGTGGAACAGCTGACACAACAACCTTGAAGATTTTCTCAACGCTCTTCGGACGATCTGATGTATTTTCTTTCTCCCATGGAAGACACAGGCGTTGTATCGTGTCTTCGGCCAACTAGGATCAACAGTGTTTGAAAAAAATTAATTCAAACAGCGATCTCACGGAGCAGTTTATATATACTGCATTTTATGCAGGCATATTGATTGGGGGTTTCCGTTTTAACAAACAGCGGGGCTGTTGGTAAAGCTGTCAATATTTTCGATTTCCGAGTACATTGTTAGCAAAATTCAAAGCATGAGTCAGAACAATAGTTCCCGCCCACACGTAGAATAGAAGTCAGGCTCCTCGCCAACCTTGAATATTTCCTGTAATTGCGATGTCGGGTACTAAGGATGGAGTGATATTGATTACTAGTTGGCAACGAGATTTGTAGAGGTTCGAAGGTGGCAACCAAGTTTGTGTCATATTTTTGAGTTTCGGAAGAGCAAAGCAAAATCCTTCGAGTATATGTGAGTATTTTGCAGACTAGAAAGCCACTCGCGTCATAATTACTCATAAAAATACTCTTGCCTACCTGGCACTGTGCAAAACGAATGAGGGTGAATAAGGATTCACTCCCTTGCTTAGCTCAAAAGGGAGGGGAAAGTAAGTCCGGGCCGACGATTTTTACGAGAAGCAAAGGAGGGAAGCATTCATTCCTGGTTTTTGCTGTCGTTAGGCATTGTTCAAGAAAACCGAGGGATAAACAAGAATTCGCTTGTTAGCTAAGGTAGAGCACGAAAGGGGACGGTGAGAGCCGCCGAAGTTAAGCCGTGAAGCGAAAGTAAAAGGGGCTGACTTCGTGTTTATGCTTGTCCTGCATTACTGAGGCAAAGATATTAAAGGAGACAGAGATGAGGTCATTGTTCCAATTGGATAGTAGACATTGGATTTATTTTCATAGAGGTGAGGAGTAACTGCCCGCTGTGCCTTGGGTCGATTTGAGAAGTTAGGGAGTCAGAGATTGGAAACACTTGCTTCAGGCTAATTAGGAATACTTCGAGATTGTTTAAGGTCACAGTGGTAGGAGAGAAGTCCGAGTTACCGTTCACAGTGCATCTCAAACATTGAAATTGTAGGAGAGCTTTCTGAAAACCCAAGTACTCATTCTACTGGTCTATTCTAGAAGACGAATGGAAGCATTTCCTCGCTCGGGCCAATCAAGACTCCGAGTAGTACATGTTAATGCGTGCCAGATGCAAGTCCACATCTTCTCCTTTGCTTATCTTGCTAGAACTTAACCTTCTCGCAACCTCGTTAACCTCTTCCTTTCTGCCAAATGTGACCCTCTTGGAGACTTCGTCGAGGTCTTCCTCCTTCGCGTTCTTCAACTTCCTCTCAAACTCTTCAATCTCCCCCTGTCTCCCCTGACTAAACTTTCTAACCATGATCTGTCTCTTGTCCTGCGAGAATTGCTGCGGTGACAGCTCCGCCTTCTTCAATCCAACCCCTTCAATCTCCGTGCGTTCAAATTTTGACAGGTTGTAGCCATGACGATGCTCCTCGCAATTATACCAAGAACTAATGACGAGGTCGACCCGTTTGCTCTCCTTGAAGTACTCGAAGCCATCACGGCTGACCTCTCTGTACTTATTCGTAGAACTCATGCAGACAAAATAGCGGGCCTCGAGCCTTGGTAAGTGAAGCTCAAGAGAAGGGACTACTTCGATTAGGTGGTCAATAGAGTGAGCCACGATCAGCGCCCAATTTTCTGCCATGGAGATTCCCTTCGCTGCACCCTGCTTGAATTCCGCGAATACGTCGTTGTCGACCATGATTTGATCGACATTGTTGCAGCAGAAGATCGCCTTTGTTGGAATTCTGGCTCTGTGACGAATTTTCTTAGGTGCCGGGGGCGGACTTAAGTCGAAGTCGACAGATCGAGAGTGCTTGCCATTTTTTGGAGTTGATGGAGGGACAGCCTTCTCGCTGTCTATGGAAACAATTAGCCCAGAGACAATAAGACTACTCAAGAAGTGCGTACTAGGCGCCATCTTGCTCGAGCTCGAATCTTGCAAGTCCATTGCGTTGATGTTTGTTGTGGGTTAATAGTGAGGTTCGGGAGTCTTGTTGAAATTGAAAGCGGGGCGCTTACGAAAGGCTGGAGCTTTCCTACTTTAATAAAGTGAATTGCTTTATGGTATAGGCAGTGAATATTCCTTGGTTATAGAGTACATTGGAATTCAATAGCCTCAAATGTTTCGTTTAGTGTGAGTACATTAGTAATTTTCGTAAATTGAAGGGTGCATTTCAACCTGGACTGCTCTCAAATCTACCTAGTCTAGCAAGTACATTTAGTATTAAGATGCATTTTAAGGCCTTCAATATAATTCTAAAGGGGAAATTTGGGAACGCTTGCAATAGAGATTTGATAGCAGTTGGATAAACTTAAGGGGAGCGGACAACTTAAGCGAAGTTTACAGGTTCAGAGAAACCACCAAATTGTTTCAAGATCCGATCTTGATAGAAAGTAGCAAAAGACAGTTCCCAGATTGGAAATTGTTCTTTCCCACAAAGGCATGGTGCTAGACGAGTTTTCTTTTTGGTCTGCGTTATACCATAATGCTAGACGTTAGTTTGTCGTTTCTCGGAATTAACTTACGTCCTGTAGGTGAGATGTGAATTTACAGAAAGATCATAATTTGATATAAACGGCTACCGGGAGAGCGACTCATTCCGAAGTTCCGATGGAAACCGAGATCCTGAGCACACATCCAGACAGAGGTGGGATTGCTGCTCACAAGGAAACTCATTCCACTTAATTCTAACCGATTCTTTGGCTTGGTCCTCTAGGGATTGACACATCGATCTATTCTCTCAATGTTTAAAATCCCCCAATTTGTCATTTCTCCGTTGGCATGTTCAGGGAGGAGCTTGTAATGGGTTGTGATTCCAAGGTCAACAACTAAAAGCAATCCATTGATTATATTTCAAAGAACGAGAAGCATCTGCCCCCACTTTAGACTATGGCTCTCCTCGAGAAGGCAATCGATCGTCCCAAACACTAGAACAAACCCAATATTCAGAAAGAGATGCACGTAACCCAGCTCTACTCAATAAATTTCGATTCGTACGCATATCTGTCACAAGCCCCAGCTTGGCGTGAAGCGTAACTCAACTACGAGGACTGAACCAGACATTGAAGCGATTCAGTGCCATGCTCGCACAACTTAATCCGCGTAAAAACAAAACTCAATTCACGCCTCATTTGTTCAAACCATTCCTAATCGATGCCACGCAAGGTTCATAGCTTGTTTAGATGCGTGTAGTATAGATGACATGTCGATTCTTTAAGATTGGGGTTCTTATTGGCCTCATGATGACTTCTATGACCACATAAGCATCACATATCTTGTACTGGACTGTTCGTGCCAGGGATAGACCCCGCAATTCTTTGCATACAAAATCTCGATACAGTGCTGACGGCCAGTCGGTGGTCCGAAAGTCGTGGTGGGCATCCTTAAGTATTTGTCCACAGTGGTAAAACGAATCTGGAACGGGACCGGGATTTTGGTGCAAATTGATTTTGGAGATAGATTGGGTTTCTTTCAAGATAGTACTACAAGCCTGACTGAGGGTAAGTGGAGTGGTGTTCGGAATGAGACCACTCTTTGGTCTTGAGTACGAAGGGGTATGAAGAGAGACGTGAAAGTTCTCTTCTTATATCTTGTTGGAAGACACAAACGTGCCTGCAATTCATCTTGACTGTACTCACTAACTGTGATCAAAAATGACCGTAGAGTAGAGGCATTTGCGAACGGAATGGAACTTACCGTATGAAAAATGAGCTTGCTCCATTGTTCGGGGTTGGTTGAGTACATGGTGGGATGTTTTGGTAGGTAAAGAAGACGTTTGCGACTCGATCACTCAATACCTGCCACTTGACCTGTATGGTAAATATGGTCTTCATCATCAGCCATCACTAGAAAGCTCTTTCCATACCCCGATGATCCACAGGGCTCCAACTAGCAGAACGAATTTTTCATTAAACTATGATGAATGATGATGGAGGGTCATAAATAAACCGGGCCGCATCAATAAATAACATTCAACAGCAGCTCTAGGTTCAACCAAGCAAACGAGAGAGGAAGGATTCAATTATAGCTTATGATATGACTGCATGAATAAATGACACTCACCGCAGGTCTCAACGCAAACAAACGCAAAAAGAAAAGGAAGAGAATTAACCATACCTCATTAACAGACTTGCGAAGGGAAGTCGTAGAGAAAACCCCCGTGCTCCCTCATGTCGAAGCCTCAACATCCACAATTCTGCTGCAAAACCCGCCTCACCCCAACCTCAGCCACAAACTCACACCTCCTAACCTCCTTTCTCCTACCCCTGCCCACCGTTCTCCATCGCCATGCCCCTCCTCCAGCCCCGGCACATGCATCCAATCCACCTTACTCAACTGGTTCCTCTCTCCGCTCCTCCCCATCAACATATTACACCGCACATTCTCAACCCCTCCCATCACCAACAACTTCCATTACTAACCCCGAAGAACTCACCTTCTGCCCTCCATTTCTCACAGAGGCAAGCTACCACTAAAAGTAATAGAACTTGGAATCATCAATGATGTCGACAAACATACACACCATTTCTCACACCGCTATTTCGCTGAATTGGGGGGAGGCAGTTGGCATGAGAAGCAGATATTTCCCGAGGAGAGCTTTGCTGAGGTCGAATGGGAGAGGTTTGAAGAGAGGTGGAGGAAGGAACAGGGGTATTTGTCAGAAAAAGATAGTGAGCAGCGGAGCTGGGTTGGAGGAGCAGTCACTGAGTGGGCGAAAAGGGACGAGGCTGGTGAGTCAGGGAGGAAGAGGGGGTGATGGAAGTGTGGTAGCCATGGGTAGGGAGATTGGGTGGGTGGATGATGGTGAGGAATGAGGGCGTAGTCGACTGACTGGATGGTTTATTTAAGCCATTCCTCTCACCAATTGTACCGTTGTACACCGTGCTTCCCGTTCATCCAACGGTGCACCAATCGTGCGAATGTCCCACGTCATCTCCGTACATTCAGGAAGACCTCAGAGTTCTCTGGTCCAAGCCCTGAACTCCCACCAAACCTGACACTCCTCGCACCAGATCTTCTCGACACCCTGAGCCCGAGTCCAGGTCTCTCCATCTCCAAGGACCTCTCCTCCGCTTCCCGGAAACCTCAAGACCTTCTCCGCCTCCGCCTTCTCCACTTCCACATGCATCTGTCCTTTGATCATCTCTCTGCCCATGTTTTGCCGTAGCTCCTCCTCCTCTGGGGTCAACTGGGCGAAGTAGCGAGGTTCGGAGTGCTCTTGCTCGATAACCATTGGGGCGTCTGGCTGGTTGGCGAAAGACACCGGCTTCGAGCGCTTAACTTGTATGAGCATGATGTAGGGGTTGAATGTTGGGATTCTCGCGGGTTCAGTAGGTGTGGTGTTGGTAGTGAGGAGGGCGAGGAAGGGTGTGAGGACAGCGCCGAGAGACCTTGGGTTCTGGATATGGATCGTGTCATCTTGGAGGAGGTGCAGCAGGTGGGTCAGAGTGTGTGGGAGGGCGGAGGTACAGCAGAGAAGGTCGAAGGGGCGCACTGGCTGTTGGCCGGGGTTTCGTGGGGGTGGCATGTTGTGTGTTGAGGTAGTACTCTGAGCTTGCCCCATTGCCCACGACTGGTTCGGAGTTGGAAAATTATTGTCATATATAAACGGCGAAGGGATATTTCCATGTACGCAACTAATACTAGTAAACGTTCCTATCCCATTAAGAGTCTGACTATTTTTTGAGGCAGGGAGTACAGAACGCTGTGCCTCGCATTTGGTTGGGTGCAATGGAGGAAAGTTTGTGGGGCTGAATGATACAAGAAGCCTTGTGAATTCTCTAGAAACAACATGTACAATGAAATTTCATGGTCCTGCGCTTAGTTGTCAACGGCCTCAGGACGACTTGTTGACAGCGACCGCTTAGTCGTTTATTAAGAAAAACGCACTATCAAAATCACCATGATCCATCTCCCCACTACCGTCAAACCCATTATCGTCTCCTACAACAAACATATCCTCAAAGAGACTGTCCTCGCCTCCGGCGGTTCCAAAACCCAAGTTGTCCAAGTCCAGGTCCATATTATCACCACCATTACCCATGCCAAACAGAGCTTCTCCTTCTTTGTTCTCGTTGTTCGTATTATTGGCCATATTCGAGTCGGTTTGCATAGTGTTCATATTGAAATCCTGGGAGGCTGTTCCGAAAGTGGAGAGGTCAAACGCATGGGTCTGCGCCTGTGACGGGTCTTGGTTGGAGTCAGGAAGAGAGTAATCCATGTGTTCGAAATTCAGCTCCGAGTCACCAGTATTTTCATTGTCTGGCATATCAAACAGCAAATCGATCGAGTCTTGAGGCTCTGCAGTGCCAGGACCAGGGGAATTTGCAACGGCTTCCGTATTTATACCCAGACCAATTGGCTGGGAAGTCTTATCGTTCGACGGTGGTGTCAGAGCATGTTGATCTTTCAAATCTTCTGCAATTTTGACAATATCTTCTTTCGCAGGATCTTGGGTGGATGATAGGAAACCAGTCTCATCTGAAGTCTGTTTTTCGGGACTTTCAGGTTGTGTAGCCTCCTCTTTTATTGTCGACTCTTCAGCAGCATCCGTCATGGTAGCTTCCCCGTTCAGATCTAGATCTAGTTCTGGTATAGGCTCAACTTCTTCAACGATCGGGACTGGGTTCTCCAATGCCAGTCGCTTTGCTCGTAAGCCTTCAAGATCTCTTAACAGGACGGACTTTGCCCGAAGCTATATGTTTTGTCAGAGAGCTGCTTCCAGTGCGTATATCCATTCTTACGATATCACACTCCATTTCATCAAGGGCCAGGTGAAAGTTCTCAATGGTGCTCGGAATTGTAGAGGAGAGTCTGGTCTTTGCATTGGCAAGCGTCTTTCCTCCCTCCTTGTTAGAAGATCGAAGAGCTTTCCCGGTTTCTATGAGCTGGATCTGAGTTAGCTACCTCCCAAATTAGGGCAAGTTCTACAACTCACGATGGCATTGATCATGCTCTGCAAAACATCCAAGGGATGCTTTGTCCGCGGAGGCTGGGACATTCTGGGTCTCGATCGCGAGGGAATCAGAGGATGAGAGAGAAGATCAAGTATTAGGGAAAGCTTCCCCCGCTAACCAAATGCCATACACTTCTCTGGAGCGAGGTCGAGAAGGTTACTGGTAATTATTTCCCAGTCGCAAAGGCAGCCAAAGTTGAGGTGTCGTCAAAACGTCCGTGCAGGAGTGAAGCGTGCCGCTGCGCTAGGGGATGGGGAACTTTAATCTGATTTAACTTTGTTCGGCTAGCCGCTGCAGTGTCAGTGTCTGTATCATCCCGAGAACAAAAGAAATATCAGGCTAAAGAATGACTATCACAAGAAATATGAGGCTCAATAAGATATGTAGCTGGCATTGGGTCCCATTTTGCTAAATGGAACGAGATGGAAATTTCGGGCTCTTGAGCAAAGCTTTACTGTCACAACTTCCTCCCACGAACTGCAGGGGTAGAATTAAGAGAGCTTAGCCAGCATGAAAACCTGCTTTCACGGCTCTGTTCCTTATTGAAAAATCATTCAGTTTTGAATTTATTACTGCTAATTCTTACGAGCCAAGTTTCCCCAGATTCTCCTCCTTTTCCGGCCCACCCATTTCATGCACAAACCCCTGAGAGCTGCATCCTGCCTCAGAGAAGCCGTTCATATAATGAAGCTTGTCTGGAACACTGAAAACAATGCTACCTTGGCTTTCTTGGCTCTGAACAAGAAGGGCACGCGACTTGCAGGTCTCTGCAGCTGCATTATGCTTCGTATCAAGCTTCAAAGGGATAATTGCCAATTTGCCTTTTGAATTTCGTTTGTCGGGATCAGTCAGCTATCACGACATCCTTGCCGCCTGGCGTGCTTATGATATGCGGCTGGGTGCTGCTGTGAGCGCGCGCGTCGTGGTGTGAGAGCCGTGCGGATTCCGTGCTCTCCCTCTGCATCGGACTCTGCAACGTGCAGATGAAAGTTGATAGAAACATCATGCTATTGAAACACGCTCTGTGGCTGTTCCCGATGCTCAAAGGTGACCGTTATGAATTCAGATGTTCACAGCTTTCGGGCCATAAGATTTAATTGGAGCCTGTCTGTGCGGGAACCACGCGGATTGGGTGCTAGCGTGCTTCTGCGAACTTCTTTCGGTTCGCGATACTTTATCTTCTCTTTTCCTCCCCCACCTCAACTCCCACAGCGTTTCCATCATCGACCGGCGTCTGGAATCTCGAGCGGCTTTTCCCTCTCTCTTCCTCTCGTCCTTTTCGTGGTTCCTTTCTTCCATTCAGTCGGTCATCGTCCTCTCGTCATCATCGTCGTCACCTTCTTACTCTTTTCCCAGTCCTTTCGGTGTGTCGCAAGAGCTCCAAGTCGCGCACTTCGTTGTCTTGCTGCTCCTCTTCCTGCACAAGCACTCTCTCAAGCTCTGTAAGGCATCGCCTTCGGTCTCGTATTAACGACATTTCCTCGTGGTCGACATTCACCTGTTCGCGAGCCATTTTCGCACTTCGTCTGTCGATTTCGAGTCTTCGACCGCGCTTCTTATCGTTCGAGTCACACAAGACCACAATTGTCAGCTCGACTACACAAAGCTCATCCGCTTCCTTCCTCTGTGTATCTCGAGTTTTCTGATTCCTATCAGCAAGTTTTACAAAGTCAACTGAATTGCTTTGCAACTTTAATTTCACACCTCGCTCGTCTTTTCTCCGCAACTTCGGTTCAACTTCGATTCAATTTCTTCCTATCCGAACTTTTCTACTATGTCTGATAACAACGGCCCTCCTCCTACGAGCGCGCAGCTCCCCCCGCCTCCGCAGACGACTGCAGGTGCCCCGGGCTACGAAAATGGCCACAATGGTCAGACAAATCCCTCGCACATGCCACCGCCGCCTCTTCCTCCAGTTATCATCCCGCAAAATACGAACCCTATCCCGACTGCAATCACATCGCCTATGGGAGAGAATGGAGGTGTGATGTCACCCGATAGCGCTGGTGGATTTGTCCGACGTGCTGCCCCGGAGCCGAACAAGAGAGCCTTATACGTTGGAGGCCTTGATCCGAGGGTCACCGAGGATGTTCTACGTCAAATCTTTGAGACAACTGGCCATGTCCAGAACGTCAAAATCATTCCTGACAAGAATGTAGGTGCTGTCAGTATCAACTTTATCTACGTCAAGTCCTTTGAGAATTCCAGCGCCAAAGGCTGTGTCAAATTCTCTGTAAAATGGGATTTCACAAAATTCACCTTTGTTTCCTTCGTTCTTCAATCCATTCACCCATGCAATTTTTTCACATGCTAATCGCGGTCTAGTTTCAGTCGAAGGGATTTAACTACGGCTTTGTTGAGTACGACGATCCAGGAGCAGCAGAGAGAGCCATGCAAACTCTGAATGGTAGGCGTGTCCATCAGGCTGTGGGTATTCCTGTCTTTAGACCATTTCAGATTACTCACTCTCTCCTAGGAGATTCGTGTCAACTGGGCCTACCAGTCCAACACCTCAAACAAGGAAGACACTTCTAACCACTTCCACATCTTCGTCGGAGATCTGTCCAATGAAGTCAATGATGAGGTTCTTCTTCAAGCTTTCTCTGCATTTGGCTCGGTCTCTGAAGCTCGTGTTATGTGGGACATGAAGACTGGTCGCTCAAGAGGCTATGGTTTTGTTGCTTTCCGCGAACGCCAGGATGCTGAGAAGGCCTTGAGCTCTATGGATGGCGAATGGCTTGGTTCTCGAGCAATCCGCTGCAACTGGGCAAATCAGAAGGGACAGCCATCGATCTCCCAACAGCAAGCCATGTCTGCCATGGGAATGACTCCAACCACCCCTTTTGGCCATCACCACTTCCCAACCCACGGTGTTCAGAGCTATGACATGATTGTTCAGCAAACCCCCGCTTGGCAAACTACCTGCTATGTTGGCAACCTTACGCCCTACACCACCCAGAACGATCTCGTTCCCCTGTTCCAAAACTTCGGTTACGTTGTTGAGACTCGCTTCCAGGCCGACCGTGGCTTTGCTTTTGTCAAGATGGACACACATGAGAATGCAGCAATGGCCATCTGCCAGTTGAGCGGCTACAATGTCAACGGTCGTCCTCTCAAGTGCAGCGTAAGTTGATCAAAGCTATTGTTAACTTTATGTGCTAACTCGATTCCAGTGGGGTAAAGACAAGGCTCCTGCCCAGCCTGGCTTCGACGGATCCCAACAGGGATATAGCCCTCAAGGTGGACCCGCCCCTGGATACCCAGGAACTCCATCGGCTTACTTCCCTCAATATGGTGGTATGCCCCCACAAGCTGGTCCTCAGTCAGCCGGTCCAATGCCCACTCAGCAGTCCCCAGGTCAATTTCCTGGTCAACAAGGTGGTTATGGTGGACCCCCCGCCCAATCCCCAGGTCAATATGCTGGTCAGCAAATGGGATATGGTGGCTCTGCCAGCGCTGGTGGCTATGGCCGCGGTCAGCCAACCCCGAATCCCCAATGGAGTGCTCCTGCAGCTCAGAGCTTTGGCAATGGCTTTGGTGGTTATCAGGGCTAAGGTATCATTCTCGATCATATCTGGACCTTGATGTCAACATTGACGATTTGGGTGGCTTCATGGAGGATCATTTCGGGTTATCAATTTGGGCAGCGCATACTTTCTTTCTGCATCTGTTCCTGTGCTCGGGTCGTTCTTCTTCGACTAGGCCGATCTGCATGGTGCATAGGATTTTTTATTTGAAGATGCTCTTTCGATTACAAATTTCTGTGTTCATTAAGGTTGGAATGGGTGATTCAAGCGGTCGACAAAAAGTTGTTTTCCTTGGTTTGGTCGGCTCTTTGGAAACTCGGCATTTGATTGTGGCTCCATTCTCTCGCCTCTCGTCTCATGAGTCCACGAATCTACTTTTAGCGACTACCCAGTTTATTGGTCTGAACGTCTCGTTGCCGTTAGTGGAAGAAGTGGGTAGTTACATAAGGGTGTGTAGTCAGGCAGACTGTAATTGACACGACCTCGGGAGGTCTCTACGTAAACGATGCTGGTGACTTTGAACCTCTGGTGATCTCTTGAAGTGACCTGATTCTGTCGATAGACAAACCATATGCCATTGATTGGGAAATAATCAAATTTCCCGGTAGTTGGGAGGTTCTGCGCGAGTACTCGGAGGAGGACGGGAAGCTTAGCTGGGCTGTGTACCGAGATCCGGGGAAGAGTATCATAGTTTAACGGCGTGGGACGTCGATTATGGGTACGAGTTTGGTGAACAGTTATGGCTGCAATATGCGAGTATAAAGGGGGCCCAATTATGGGAAGAATTAGTAGTTAACGGTAGCTCGTTGACAGAGTATAGGCATGCGAAAGGGGAAGAGCTGTGGAAGGGGTACATGGAGGAAGGAAAGAACGAGGGGCGGTCGGACGAGGAGATGGCAAAGTCGTTTGCCTTGAAGACGTTCCCATTTACGCCAGATGTGGCGTTAGAGGAGAAGGAAGAGTAGAGACGAAATTAATGAATAGAAAAGAAGGATGTAAGATCTCATATGTAGATGAATCGAATTTAACGGATGAAAAAAATGAAAATGAATTTAACTAGCCCAAGCAAAGCTTTGGATTGCAGGTTCGTGAGAAAGCGGGGCCCCCCCTGGGGCGCTTGGTGTGAGTTGAGAGACGTAGTTCGCGTGACTGGCGGAGGGCAACAGATAGAGTGTGGTACCACACACACGCACGAGGAGGGTGACTCGACAGGGCTCGCCCCAGCAACAAGCAACAGTAGAACCTCGGCCTGACGGATAAGGAAGCAACAGATAGACGTGGGCTTCGCACACAACGCAACAATAGAAGTCATAGGATGACAGCAACACTAGAACCTCATAAATGAGGAAGCAACGGGTGAGGGTCTTCGACCAAGCAGCAGGAGAGAGGTCGTGTCGTCGACGGGCTTCTCGCGCTCAACGGGGCAGCAACGCAGTTGCAGATACTCGGGTTCCAGGAAAAAGGTGCCAGCGTTTTATATATGATTCCCCTGGAACGCTGGAACGCTGGAACGTAAGTAACTGCGCAGCGGAAAGAGACAAAGACTCGATTACCAATTCCTTTTTGTCGAACACTTAATTGGCCCCTGGAACGTGCGTGGATGTAGTACGTGCCAGACAGGATTTAGCGTGGAACGCGATCTGAAAGACTGTGTCCAGCTGTAACGCAGTGGAGGCATGGATGGAGGGCCAACTGCGGTGGCGCTAGTGACATACAGCTGGACGCAGCTGATAAACGATACCATGCGAATGGTGTGTCCATCTGTAACAAGCGAGGCACGTCAGTGATGAGTATATAGGGAACGCATTCCCGTTGATGTTAGATTTGGATTGACTTGAACGTGCGGATGATAACACTAGTTCTAACCCGATTTGGACTAGCACGGCGCCACCGAAAACGCGGTTTCCCATGACTGTCGCGAAACACCTCGAGAAAAGCGAAGGACGACCTCGAAAGCTCTATTCCAGCTCTGCTTGATGGATTAACCGCAATTCTCAAGCTCCCCTCGATCAATTGTATGCCGGCTGGCTGGATCCGCTTTCCAGTCTTCTCTCTTGCCACTCGAGGACAGCTTGCGAGTTGCTGGAAAGCGTGGACACCCCTTTATCGACACTCTACTTCCAATGCACCGACTACGAGAGTCCCATACTCTTCGATTGCAGACGCCATGTTAAGCCGTGCAGCCAAGGCAGCGCCGCCTTCGAATGATCTTGCGAAACAACTCTTCCCGTCCAGCAGTCCTGCTCAAAATGGCAACATCCAGGAGCAATTCAAGAAGGCCCGTCAGTCACAATCTATCGGTGCCTTTACTGGATATACGAACCCTGCAAACCCGCTCCGTGCGAAAACACCAAACATCAAGCCATCTATCAAGAGAAAATCTCCGAGCTTCACATCGATCCCAACAAAATCTGCCTTGTCTTCGGTCCTGACCAAGCAAGATTCCTTCCAGTACTCGCCTGATACCATTGACCTTACACAAGAAGCTCCGGTTCCGTCCAAGCTTCCTGCCTCGAGCCACCATGGCGTCCTTTTCGACGAGAATGACTTTGACGACGATGCCGACCTTGATCTTGATATGGACTTCGAATTCCCCACGTCCATGGCAGCGCCACCCAAGCCTTCTTCTCAAAAGTTGACAGCTCCACCCCCATCACCATACACCCTTCCAAAATTACTACACCAAAATAACCAGCCAAGCTCATCGCAAAATCTCCCAAGCAGTGCAGTTTCATGGTCGTCGTCTTCGCCATCCCATCGATTGCCTGCAACCGCATCATCCGTTACACAACAGCAGGGAAAACACCCATTATCAAAAGTCACCGAGCCTAGTACTCGGCCTGCTAAGCGCAGAACACTGCCGTGGCTTCAGGAGCAAGCAGAAAAGGATCAGGCTGCTGCTGTATTGGAAGAAAAGGACGATGCTATGGCATCTCTTGCGGCGTCTGGGTCTTCGCAGCGTAAGACCTGCTTCCGGTGCAAAAAGGATGATCATTATACGAAGGATTGCCCAAATCCGGGTAACGGCCAAGCAACCAAATGGGATTTCACACCTCACGCTAAAGACAAGCATTTGCCCTGGAACACCACCGGCAGTGCAATTGCAGAAGAAAAGAAGAAGTTCAAGGACAAACAGAAAGCGGCAAAAAAGTCGGGGGACGCTGAGATGGAGGGTTACAATGGCAAAAAGAAAGTGAAAGCTGTTATGACGCCAATCAGCCTTAGCTCAGAGCAGAACAGAGTCCTCGAATTGGTCGTGAATCAATCGAAAAGTGTATTCTTCACTGGATCTGCTGGAACGGGCAAATCGGTTTTGATGCGAGCCATCATTGACAATTTGAAGAAGAAGTACTCGCGAGAGCCTGACCGTGTGGCCGTTACCGCTTCTACAGGTTTGGCTGCCTGCAACATTGGCGGTGTCACATTGCATAGCTTTGGTGGAATTGGACTTGGTAAGGAGGATGTGCCACAGCTGGTAAAGAAGATCAGGCGAAATCAGAAAGCGAAGAATCGCTGGATAAAAACGAAGATCTTGATCATTGACGAGATTTCTATGGTGGATGGTGACCTGTTCGACAAACTCGAAGGAATCGCTAGAACCATGCGCAACAATGGTCGACCATTTGGAGGGATCCAACTTGTTATTACTGGCGATTTCTTCCAGCTGCCACCAGTACCGGATTATGACAGCAAGGCGAGAGGAGTCAAATTTGCGTTTGATGCCGGCACGTGGTCTACTGCTATTCATCACACAATTGGACTGACGGAAGTTTTCCGTCAAAAGGATCCCGGTACAACTTCTACCATCTCTGACAATGAGTACATGGCTGACGTGAAGATAGTATTTGCTAACATGCTCAACGAAATGCGACTGGGGAAGATCACCAATGACACGGTGGCAGCATTTCGCAAGATGAGCCGCAGAATCAACTATGAAGACAGCTTAGAGGCAACCGAGCTGTACGTTCAAGTCCCATTTTTTGCGTTTGGAAAGGCTGACAATGTGGTAGCTTCCCGACTAGAAACGAGGTCGAGAACTCCAATGCCATGAAGATGCGTGCATTGGTTGGAAAGCTCTACAAATACGACGCAATCGACACTGGAACTATTACGGATTTGGCGATGCGTGAAAAATTACTGGCCAACATGATGGCACCGAAGACCCTAGAATTGAAGAAAGGCGCACAAGTGATGCTTATCAAGAACATAGATGATGCGCTGGTCAACGGCTCCCTTGGAAAGGTAATTGCCTTCATGGATGAGAAGACTTTTGAGATCTATCAGAACAACGAAGAATTGTTCCGTGATGATATTACACCGGAAGACATTGAGGAGATGGACGAGGAAACGCGTACTCGCTTTTCGAGCATCAAAGCCAAGTTTTCCTCTAAAAAGGAGTTCTCTGCAGCTGCTGGGATCGACTTGCCTCTCGTGCAGTTTTCTCTTGCCGATGGAACCAGCAGGGCAATGCTTGTCCAGCCTGAAGAATGGAAGGTTGAACTCCCAACTGGTGAAGTTCAGGCCCAACGACAACAAATACCACTCATCCTTGCATGGGCTCTTTCGATCCACAAGGCACAAGGTCAGACTCTTGAGCGTGTCAAGATAGATCTTAAGAGAGTATTCGAAAAAGGTCAAGCCTATGTCGCCCTCAGTCGAGCAACTACCCAAGCTGGTCTCGAAGTGCATAATTTCGACAAGAAAAAAGTTATGGCACATCCAAGGGTAGCACAGTTTTACGACAGCCTGTACAGTGTCAATCAAGCCATGGAGCATCCGAAGGTGGTCAAACCGCCAGCTACGAAGAAAGCCAAGTCATACGAAGAGGAGTATATGAAGGAGCAGGCGAGTGGTTGGGAATATGACGAGGACGAGCATCAGGAAGCAGCCAGGGCTGCTTATGGTTGAGCGGGTTGTGTTGATTCTGCAGCAGTATATCAAAGCATTGTTTGGCGTTTGCGGTCGGTTTGCTCTGTCTAGACTTATGATCTTGCATTGGACTGTAGAAATGCAGTTTGGGAGAGGGGTGGCAGTTGGAAGGAGTCCAACGGATTTGAAGAAGTTATAATTAGAGCAGCTGCTATCAGGTATAGGCCTGCTTGGCATCCACCTTCAGAGGTCGAAGTCAGCATAGATGTGCTCACCAAACACAATTTGGTGATCTTTAAAAAGCAAGGGAAAACTTCAAGATTGCGAGATCATTGTATGAACAAACTTTTGGCACTAACCCCAAGTCCTGAACTGAAGTTCTCTCATTGTCCCGAGGAGGAATTGCACAATCATTGCTTAAGTGAACACGGGATTCGCAACCATGTAAGACTATTTCAAAATTGCAAGTATTAAAGCGTGTCCCCACACTTCATGCTCTTTGTCCTAGTTCACCTTTTTCAATATATCTTACCAGGACTTGAAAAGGTCGAGACGAAGTAAAGAAATCCGAACGAGGCTTATCGATAAGAGGAGGTCCGAGCGCGAAAGAGGTGATCGAACACCGGGGGAATATGTACTTGGTCTTAGACCTCGCATCCCCCTCAAAGCTTATTCTCACCACGTCAACTATTCTGCAGACTGCAGGAGACCGCCTTCAGTCCTACAACCAAACTTCCCAGCAAACATCTGGTCGCCACCCACAACATATTTCAGCTTTTTAGCTCCACTCCCATTGTATGACAGGATTAGGGCACAAAAGATCTGACACGGTGGGACAAACGACACCAATCCCAACATGTCGAACACCTTCATTGGGCTCACCATGTTGGTGACGCTCAGCTCTCCGCCGGGAGCTCAGCTAAGAGGGGTAGTCAGTGGCATTGAGCCCGGCAAGAGCTTGACCTTGCGAAATGGTGAGACATTTCTTCGCGCATCGAGCTCAATCCTGAACCATGCTAACTTTTTTGCTTCAGTCACATGTCCAGCTAACGGCAAATACGTCCCCGAGTTCGCAATCAATGCTGCAGAGATTGTAGAGTTGGTTGAAGCTGGCAATGAGAATCTTCAGGCGAATGAGCCAGCTCCGCCGAAAGCTACTCCAGTCCCCCAACCAACAAAGACATTCGAAGATCCAGCCATCCTGAGTGTAGGCAAGCGACCAACGCCAGTCAGTCGACCTTCTATACCGAATCAATGGACCTCTACATCAATGGAACGGGTCGAGTCGTCAAGAACTGCTACGGGTAGGGAGGAGAGGCCAGTGGTTAACCATGTACCACCCCCTGCTGCACAATTAGTAGAGCCCATGCAGAAGATCAGTGTGGTAGAAGATGAGGCAGGTAATGCACAAGCTGTAACCTTGGAGGAACTAGATGGAGCGGCACACATAGCCTTTGCGCAACCAAGTGCAAAAGTCCAAGGAAAGAGAGCACGAAAACGGAAGGGTAGAAAGGAGAGGGAGGAGACGCCACAAGATCCTACCATTACTGTCACACCTGTGAAGGAGATCACGAAGACGAAAGGTTGGAGACAAACGCCGTTACTGGATGCGAAGGGCTGGAGACAAACACCATTGCTCGAACCTAACCCGTCGTTTCAACCCTTTTCTACGCTGAAGAAGAAGGGGCGGAGAAATGGGAAGACTGAGGAGAACGGCTGGGCGACAGAGGATGCTACGGATGTGCAAGAGATGGGCGATTTTGACTTTGAAGGCAGCCTGGCCAAGTTCGACAAGAAGACGGTCTTCAATCAAATACAAGCTGAGGATACAATTGCCGAGGATGATCGGTTGGTCGCGCACAACAGATTGCCAAGGGCAAAGCCTGGCACAGCAGGTGGCAAGAATCTTCATCCTACGGAGAATGTTCTTGATATGCCTAATGGCAGAGTTGACCGCGATGCTTGGAAGAGCGAGGCTGGAGATAGCGAGGTCGAGGAGAGGACAAGTCAGCGAGATACTGGCAGCGGTAGGACCTCTCGTAGAGGTGGTAGGGCGGAGAGCAAGTTGGGCAACAATCATCGACCTGTTTCTCGAAAGGGAAGTGCTGGTATTCCCGGCATTCAGCCAGCTCGTACACTTTCAGTAGGTTTCTCACCTCTATTTAAATGTTGCCTTGTCCTGACAATTCGCAGATTCCAACGCCAGCCGCGAAGCCTGCTTTCTTCCTTGTCCCGTCTGATCGCCGTTGTGAGCCTATCTCAGCTTTGCAGATGCTCAATCTTGAAAACATTGCAGACAACGAGCTGGGCTTGTCGGAAGATATGATGACGGAAAATTCTGGTCGTGGTATCGCTGAAGTTGCTTTGTCGGCTCTGAACACCGGTGGACGAGGCTTGACCCAAGGAAAGGCTTCCTATGTTCCAACTGTTGTCGTCTATGCAGGAAACAACAAGAGCGGTATGCGAGCAGTAGCAGCTGGTCGACACATTCGAAACCACAGCCTCAATGTCGTTGTTTGCGTCCTTGGCCTTGAACGGGAGTCGGAACTCCTGGTTGGACTGAGACGTCAAATCAAGGTCTTCCGCGGCTTCGGAGGCAAGATCGTCAACAAGGTCGAGCTTCTTGAATTTACCAAGTCTCTTGACGCTCCAATTGAACTTATAATCGACGGTCTCCTGGGCCTTACAATATCTTTCGAAGAACTGAGAACAGGCGATCAAGCCACAGCTTACGAACTCATCGAATGGGCAAATCGAAGCAAAGCTTCAGTCCTAGCCATTGATATCCCTACAGGCATCGATCCTACATCTGGTAAAGTCAGCATTATTGATGGAAGACAGCTTTACATTCACTCCAAGTATGTTGTAGCTATGGGAGCTCCAAAGAAGGGTCTACTCGAGACGATGGCTTTGGGTGAGGGAGTTGTGGATGAGGACGGTATTGTCTCGGGCAACGAGTGGCAGCTCTTCGTCGCTGATATTGGTCTTGGAGCTGCGGTGTGGAAGAAGGCTGGCACGAAGATTAGGAGAGGAGTTGAATTTGAGGGGAGCTGGGTTCTGGGTATGCGGTTTCAAGGTGGAGCGGAGTGAAAAGTTCTAGGGCCGCAGACATAAAGATTATGGGGATGGGGATGGGTTTGTTTACCTGGTTAAGCTTTAGCATGGCGTTTCAATCAATGGGGGTGGATGGATAATGGTGCATTGCCAGGCGCTGATGGATGGGGCCAGTCTCTAGAATTACTCGAGAGCTTGGCTTTGGCCCTTGGCGAGTTGATCGAAATGAATATTGACGAATGCAGGTCCTGGGTCGTCTCTGGTCTTTCCCTATGTTGTAATGCCCACCAATGAGCGAGTGCTCTGCCGAATTTGTTCCGAAGATTTGAAGACTGATTCATTTCTCAAATATCCTGTCAGATTGGCGGAAGTGCGATCGAAGGAATAGAACTCTAAAAGGTACCATAAACACTGAGTGGGAGACTGAACTTTGTTTGGAGCCGAGCTGGTCGTCGAAGGTAACTTTTTCAATTAAGCAATCCCTCGATCCAGTCAAATCCCTTCTGCTTCAGCACTGCCCCGCTTCTTTATATCTCTCATCTTTGAAGGCGGTCCTCAGCGTCTCCTTTGCTTATACCGCGAAACTCTAAACCCCTATCTAATTCCCGCCTCCCTCCCTCAGGAGTACCGTCAGCCAGTCTCCTCAACACTTTCTTGTGCATATTTATCATACACCATATTATGAAAGTCATGTAAAGAATGAGGATAGCCATCATGATTAAGAGAAACCTTGTATACGACGTATGCAAAGATCCGTGACGAAGTCGAGATATTGTCCACACTCTAGAGGTGGTTCGAAGGGATTTGACCCCGGTGGCTTCGTTTTCAAAACATGCCAGAACTTTTGCAAACTCCATAAAGAGTTAAGGGGATCTGAAAAGTAGCCCATTGGTAGATAAGTTATCTGATTTGCATGTCAGTGACCTCTTAAGAAATGACAGGGATGAAAGACTGAAAGTGTGGCCTACAATTCGGCCGAAAGTGAAGCTAAGCTATGAAATTATGGATATGATGTCGAGGAATCCAGATTATGAACGTTAGGAACAAAGTGATGCTATGTATGAGGAGACATGAAAGGGAAGACCTTATAGAAAAGGATGCGAAATGGTGGGAATGGGAATGGGAATGCAGCTCCTCGAGAATGTCGGTCCCACCTTAAGAAACCTGACTGACGCTGACCCTTTACCCGATTCTAGCTAGAACTGGCTGAGGCCACGGAGCCAACGTCGAGCGTCGCAAAATTTCGAACCTCTTACATATGCACAGGAGGATGCGCTCGGTGAGCATGGGATCGTCAAGATTAAGAGCGTATACAAAAGCTCCAGCGCAAGAAATTGCGTACCCAAGGTGAGAGTACAAACCCCAAATAGGAGCCTGTAACAATCCTGCCATCAACTTGCGGGATTAGAATAACAAGAACAAACTCGAAGACTGCACAACCGAAGGAGCAATTGTCCTCCACCAAGCAAGCCATCAAGCAGGGTGCGGCCGCACAAACCACGAAGCAAAACTTAGCAGCACAGCATATCATTTGCTAGCCCATGGAGAGCCTTTTGAATGATTTGGTTATTATACGCAAAGGTGTGGTATTGTGTATTCCTTTGATAGTGCTTGAAGCTCTTCATCCACGCCTCACTCACGTTTTTACTACCGGAATACTAGGGGTTTTCCCTCCCTCGTCTACCCTAGCGCACTAGGCATGGAGCACTACTCAGGAAACAGCTATATGCGCATTAGAACCTCGATTGTTTTTAGAGACCTGGAAGACTTGAAAACATTTTCCTCCGGTTCATTTCCTTTCGACTTGTGGGGAGTAGAACTTCCGGAATGACCATCATGTTCAAAAATGCCTTTTTGCTATTCTATCAAAATCAACGGCCGCGCTCTCCTACCATAAGTACCCACCAGCCTCCTTCCCATCCACCCGCCCTTGGGGTTTTGGAAAAACGATTTTCACTAATCCAAAAATCCGCCATGAGACCCCTCGGCCGAAGGAAAGGACGCGCAAGTGTTGGGCACACACTCCCCAGGTTCCTTCCGCTTGCTTACTCGCACGGCGGCAAAGCACCATGCACCCACCTATCCAACACAAATCTCTCCGCAGAACCAGAAGCAATACACCTATTAATCGCAGAAGAAATCGACCACCTCGCCTGACGAATCTGTCTCTCACTCTCACACCCTTCACTCGGTAAGTCAAACAAATGATCCTTTCTGTGCCCACCGTGGACCTGCTCAATCATAACAGTATACGTCAAAACAACCTGGCCACCACTCGCAGAATCTGTCCTCTTCTCCCTCAACCCTATTGTCGTCCCATCAGGACCTCGAATACAGACTTCGGGCAGCTGGAACGACCACTTGTGCGCTGGGATCGTGCTTTCCCAACGAGTACGAATGTGGTCAACATCCTGTCCGAATACTGCGCGAAGATAGTGGTTCCGCTCATCAAGCGCTTTATCGACTTCGTGTTGAGCGATTTGCTCGAGGAGTCCTTGGTACACTTCTCTTTCATTTGGTCTCGTTGGCGGGGGCGAAGATGCGTTAAGAGGTGAGATTGTCAGCACCCTTTTAAGTTTCATTGTCGTTTTCAAGATGTTGCCTTGTTCTGAGACTTGATGCGTGCTTTTAAGCTTTACTTCGAGGGTTCGTTGCACACGCAGGCGGTTTCCGTCGGCATCGAGACCTTGGACGTCGAGTTCGATGTGAGAGAGGCGGCTAGAGCCATTTTGGTTTTGATATCTGAGGGCGTCTCTGAATGGCTGTGCATTGAGTCCGTCCCAAACGACGGACTTTGGGCTTCCATCGTGCATCGAGCGGTCTAAGGTTGGAGAATCGTGTCCCCAAGTGATATCCTCTACCTGCACATCCGACTTGGAACCGCTTGGAGACCAAGTTGCTCTCTCGTTCCAAGGTCGAACTTTGCGATTGCGGAGCCAGTTTAGATGTTTTTCGATTAGTTCGGTTCTTTCTAGTTGCGCCTGGGTTTGCATATCGCCTCGTTCTTCAATCAGTTGCGAGTCCTTCATATTGTGAGTTGTGTTAAATCCAGTAGACTGGTTTTCTTCGTCTGATTTAATTGGTTTAATTGAATTGGGCACCACCGGCGATTTATACTTCTTGCCTTCTGAGCCAACAAAAGTAACGGCTCCAGTGTCCGCAGGGACTGTCGTTGAGCGTTCGTACAATGTCTCTGGAAGTGCATTATCCGCCATTTAGAGCGATCGAGAATATGGATCATGAATTATCCCCAGCGAAATCAAGGCTACTCCAAGATATTTGAGGTACCCAAAATGAAAGAGGCGAGAGTGAGACGTTCTCGCTGTGAACGTCAACAATTCTTTGTTTTCAAATTGAGGCGACCTCGGTGACGGCACAATCAACAAAGAAATTCACTTCCCGAAGGCGGTGAATTGATTTTAGTCGACTAATTCCGTCACCGTAGATAGGAACTCATCTCGAGGTGGACAGAAAAGTGGCACTCATTCTCAATATCCCCCAGTCAACCAGGACAATTCGCCAGAACTGTTCCTGTTCCTAACGTTGCTGTTATCTTTCGTCCTTGATTATTCTTTCGCTTCGCAACTGGATGTCATAATATAGCCCAAATTACACTCCGTGCCATCGAGCCTTTCCGCAAGCGGCAAGAAGCTCATACTTTCAAGGGACAGGCCGCCACTGAATGCTTTAGATCACATGAATAACTCTGTACCGTTGATCCATTCCGAAAGACGCCGATAATTGATAAGAATAGTCTTTAGGATCCTCCCCTGCTTGCGAGTGCCCACATAGTCAATCGTAACCTGTAGAGTATATCGATACCCTTGAAGTCAATTTCTTCAATGGGTTTTATTTTAGTCTGGCAACATGGACAGTTTGGACGTCTTCTGGTTAGTGGAGGCTGTGGATCCATATCTTGATGCAGTAATGATCGAAGACGTGCCCACAAGGCTTAGCTCTGACCTTAGTCTTCAAAGGATTCCGGCAGATTGGGCAGTTGGCTCTCTGTTTGGTATTATGGATGCAGTCCGTTGGCGAGGGGTTACCGTGGTTATGAATGATCTTCCCCAGTGTTGGGAGAAAGAGAGATGCATTCTTCGAGGCTAGTGAAATACATTGTCGAGACTGATGAAGTAGATTGTTCGAGGTTGGTGAAGTAATTGATGAGTGTTCTAATATAGTATGCCTCGTTTGGGGAAAGAAGTTATTTGTCGATGAATGTTCGGAAAAGCTTGCAGTGTTGTTGGTGATTTTCCAGAAAATATTGTGAGGCAGTTCCCACTCACTTAAATACCTGAATCTCTAATTATTCGTTATTTAGTTCACTTAGAAGTGAACTGGAAGTTTTATGGAAAGTCACGTGAAGCTTGATTTTCTGGTTAATGGCAACTAGGCATGCGGGAAAGTAAACCGAACTGGTCTACGTAATTCTTCGCTATACCCGTTTTCGCGAATTGTCTCCTCGTGTATGGGTCCCAAAATTTGGGGACCACTTCAGAATATACAACAGCAAAGTTGTTCATTAAACAAAGGCTAACGGGACTCGAATAGGAAAGGGGAAGCAAGTTGTCATCCCGTCATATGTTCATGTCCATGCTTTCGAATCTTCAAGATAACGGACCACAATAGAGAGGAGCAATTAAAAGCAGCGAACCTTGTATTGGCTTTCACGATACTACACAGTTGGGTAGTTCTATGACTGGTTGTCTTGCACGCTCCCATTCTCTCGGTCTCTGGACCTCGTCTAGTCGATCAGCTTCCCTTCTCTCCTGCTCGAATCGTTCGAATGCTCCCAGTTGTGCTGCTGTCTCTGCTGCCTCTGCTCCCTCTGCTCCCTCTGCTTCCTCTGCTCCCTCTGCTTCCTCTGCTACCTCTGCTGGCTGTCTCGCTTGCTCGATATTTGAGCCTAATTCTTCCAATAAGGTTTGTTGTGTGCCTACAACTATAGTCTGCTTTGGAGCAGCAAGTGGCGCTCTTCCATCAGCTTCCCTTCTATCCTGTTCGAATCTTTCGAACGCTACAACTTGTGCTGCTTCTGCTGCCCGTCTCGCTTGAGCGACTAATTCTGATTCTTCCATTTGGTTTCGTGTTTCTTGTTCAGTCGCTACAAGTGCGGGGCTTTCCTGAGCAGGGAATGAAGTTCGTCGCATCCTCGATACACACTGCGTAGAAATGCAACAACCATGGCTATCGATTTGACGAAGGGCTCTCATTCTGGTTCTGCAACACGGGCAGTGCTTGACGGTGCGTGTTTGGTTAAAGACCCAAGACTGGATACAGTTGAAATGGAAAATATGACCACACGGTTTGACGCATGTGATAGCTTCCAAAGCTTCCATGCAGATGGGACACTCGGGCTTTGGAATCGGCTTGACTTCTAATGTGGCAGTTTTGGACTAAGCGGCCTCCACCTCGGTGGGGTATGGATATCGAATAATCTTCGTCATTTTCGAAGACAATCAGAGGACATCGAAGAGTTCAAAGCCAGAGAGGATTAAAAGCGTGTCGAATTTAAACCTAGAAAATAAAACAACTTCGTTCTGGCTCCTTAAGTAAAAGTTCGATGATATCCAAGCCGACTGGGACATTCACGCGTGTTCTGATGATCCACAATATCTGATTGTGCCAATCGAGCTGAGAACAATAACCTGGTTTTACTCGGGTTAGATTTGTGGCAATGGATCGCGATTGTTCGGGTGGGTTGAAGGACAACAAAACGTGGTTGTGCGTGAGTATTCAACACCATGAAGTCATGATACCGTTTTAAGAGGAAAGTTGATTTGTTTAAATGCAGCGTCTGTTGTAGCAAGTGTCTACCAAATGTAGTCTCAATTTTGAAAGAAAAGATCTGGAGCCCAATTTTGTCACCTCCGGTAGGCGACTTCGGCTTCAACTCTGATCTCCCTCCTTGACCCAGATATCAAACGGTACCAAGTGGCGCTTTCATGGCGATACCAGTGACCATTGTTCAAGACAGGAGCTGACGAGGTGCTTTGCTGGGCATTTATCACACTGGACTGCATCGGCAGAGCAAGGCTCAAGAATATTCGTTGTGATCCTGTCGAGTTGGGTGCTCTGATCATTGGGGTTGTGACTACGAAACCACGCCAAAGCACTTCGAATTTGTTCTGTGGCTACTCTGACCTTTCCTCTTGTTTGGAGTACATCAATAGACTCAACTTGAGCAAATATTTGTGGGTGGTCGTCAGGTCTTGTTGGTCCCCGTTCCGTAAGCCTTGTAGTCCATTTAATCTTGAGCTTGGTTGCTCCGGTCCCAAGGAGAGGGGGTGATGTTTCCACTCCTCGTGCTTTCTTGAATAGACTTATGGCTTGAACTCCACGATCACTAATGTCAAGATGTTCTTCACGGCTTTCGTAACCACCTATATTAATCAATTTTCGATTTTCGGAATATTCTTTTTTGAAACCATCGGCTTCTTGTCTGGCTCTGTTCAATTCCGGATGGGACAATGAGGTCGCCCTGCTTCTCAAGTTTCGAAATTTGGGTGTATTTGACGCCTTGTAGTATTTTATCTCTAGCCACCGGTGCAGTGTTGAGGTTGTTCGGATGCCTTGTTGTTTGATGCTCAATGAGAGATGCCTCTTCACTTGCGCCACGCCAGTGCCCAAAGGAGCAACAGTCGACAGGTACTCCAGCGGCTCATACGTGACAGATAGTGTCCCTCGAGCCTCGAGCCTCTCCCACTGCATTATTTGCCAATTGATTATCTCGACTGACTGAACTATGCGTTGAAACATCTCCTCCCCTGAGTCCTGGCCAGCTACGGCAATATCTTCGTCCGTAACGATTTCGCTCAGGGGAACTTGTTTTTCATCTTCCTTCCACAAGTTAAGCAGGACTTCAGTGATCGGTGTTCTACAAGTAGGACAGGTGATGGTTCGTGGAAATTTGGTGGCTACCCAATATCGAATACAACGGATATCGAATATATGCTTGCACGGGAGCACGGCTACCTCATCATTGAAAGGCTCGTGACATATTGGGCAGTGCTCTAGAGTCAGACTATAATCGCTCTTATGTGCTGTCACTGTCGCACAAGCCTGGACTTGCCCTCCGCTGGTCATCTCTTCGTCAATTTCTGGAATGGACTTCAAACTGATGCTTCTGATGCTTCTGATCCGAGGTATGAGCTCGTTCAAATCAACGACCGCATCATCGGAATATGAGTTCTCCGATGAAGACATGTTGGTTGGATATCGTATGAGATAAGATGAGGACGAACCTTTTTGATCTAGTGTTGATTGCTTCAAAGATTAGAAAGGTCGGTCGAAGTCTGCTTTTATAAGGCTGCGAGAATATTTGATGGCAGCGTTATTCGTTAAAAAACTCCTGAATGTTAAGACACATGAGAGTGTGAATATTTTCTACAAGTGTGGAACGTTAGAAAATCACTTTGCTCTTGAATTTCGATGATTCGTGGAAGAAAAGGGGTTCGCTTATTTAGCGAGATATATTGAACGGCACTGAGATTCTATTGACTATTTGTCTATCGACTCATCCACCCTTGACGATACAGCTCTCAGGGCCAATCCTCCAAGAAACTTCCAATCTTGTGTTTAGAAGGGCAAACTTGGCACTGCACAGTGTCGATGCCAGTCTCAAGAATGTTATTTATCCCCGTCGAGCTCAACCTTGATCAATAATTCTCAAGCAGCAGGAACGAACCATAAGCACGTTCTTTTTCTCGCTTCCGAAGCCATTACAAAGCACTTCGGATCTTTTCGGTAGTTTTTTTAACTTTGTCTTGATTCTCTGCTACCTCGTGTTCTTCGCGAGTCCGGAGCTTCAGGGACTTGCCATCTTCAATAGAATCAGCTTGGCGAAGTTCGGTCTCCCACTCTATTACAGTGCGACCACCAGGCCTTACAGATCTTCCATAGCCACCACGAGCTCTGAAAGTGTGCTTCAGGTGCATGTGAGTAACGCCCCTATAGCCAGTGCTTTGAGATCTCTGTCCCAGGGCAGTTTGAATGATCCTCCAAATTCGCCACTCTCATCGTTCACGCGGCCGGGGATAAGGAGCGACTTTTTGATAGCTGCCTCCGCCCCCTTGACAGCCCTGTAGTATTTTCTCAAAGATAGCTCATCTGTGCTGAACACGTCTGAAAGAGCCATCTCAGGTCCCCAAGGGGTGTCTTTGGGTATTATGTGAGGGCGATTGAGGTACTCAATACTCAAATATCGAACAAGCTTGGAGGTTGTTGTACCAGCCAACTATTGTAAATCAAGGTGAATGAGGCGTTGCACGAATCACCGACTGGAACCTTGAGGTAAATATAATGTTAAAATAACTAGGCCGTACGGTTCTGGATAGGTTGAGTGAAAGTTTTTTTTCATCGTCAACATTGCTCACCAATCCAGTAGGGGTCTTGCCTCATAGGACACAGTTGTTGTGGACATTGTTCGGCTAGTCTTAAATGAAGCGGTAATCGAAGTCGTGACCACATGGGAGGGCTGTTGTGCGGTCATGGAAAGGCTTTTTGCAATGCGGGCAAGTAGTTGAGTTACGAATTCAAATCGTCTACGGGTTTTGAATTCTGAAAGTTTCATCGAAAGAAGCTCTGTGGGATGTAGCTTGTATCTGATTCCGATTGTTTGGGTTTGGTGTGTTCCTCAGCTTCGTTTGACAAGACTGGGGTTTGTCTTGAAGTGGGATCCGGAGAAGTCGCCTGTGCCTCTGCCAGGCTCATTGCGTCTGGAACTTCTTCGGTGATAGAAGGGGCAGGTGTAGACGAACCTTGAAGTCGAGGTTGAGTGGTTTCTTTTGAAGACATTTTGAATTTTTGAAAGTTTGTGGAGGGTTTAGTGCGTTGATAGTGAGTGCCAGATTGAGAGAGACGTGGTGCTAATCTGAAATGTGAAAGAAGATCACAGGAAGTCTGGTGAACTCTCTTCTATTAATAATGAGTATTCCATATACAGAACAACATGGAACAACCAAAAAGCCAGCATTTTGATTCACAAGAACTTTAATCATAGTCCAATACTTACAAGCGCAATGAATACAAATTGCAACTTCAGCAAATCACGCCGTATGGACTTGTGAGGAATAAATTTGTACTACAATCACTGGGACACTACGAGGATTAATGAGTTGTCTGGTATTTGTTTCAAGAAGTATGAAATGATTTGATTATGATATCTAAGAAGAAGCTCAACGTGGGAAAGGAATCCCTTGATTTGTAGATAAAAGTGGCTCCGCCAGCTCGACTCAAGACAGTAGCTCTTGACCTTCGTCGGGGGATTTGTTAGTAGATACCTCACCGCGTATTAGCAATCTTTCAGGTTGAGATCTAGGTCGTGGTATTGGTTGTGATTGTGCATTTTAAGCCTACAAGGGATTATATGATCAGCTAAATCTGCAGAAGTTCAGCTCATCATTCAGAGTGACTGACTGGGTTGTTTCTGGGTCTGTCTCTCCGCTGTGCAGGATTCTCGAGCTCGAAACTTCTCTAATACAACCATTGCACATCTTCCCAACTCATCCAGACAGCGAGGTCACGAATTATTATAGTTCTAAACCTAGCTAATTCTTTTCGATTCATTTTGTTGATCGCGTTCCAGTCTAACGAGTCTTGCCTGGTAAATCCGGGAAAGGAGTAAATTGGCTGGCTTCGTCTTTGGCGGGCAGAGGGAGCAGCGTCACCAAGGAGGTCCATGAAGCGAGACCTCCTCTCTCCCAAGACACGTAGATGTTCTCTATTCAGTCTCGCGGTCCGCGTTGAATGACCTCTCAAGAATAAAACAAAAGTCTTTAATTGATGTGGACCCATTGAATTTATATGCTCAAGGTCTAAGCAGTCTTCTGTGCGTCGGCTCAAAATGAGATCTTCTAGTTGACCTCGATACCGCTCAGTGGTTGGAACTGCGGCTCTGGGCCATGAGGACGAGGGCGAGAGATAGGAGTAGAAGATGACACAGGATTGGCCCCCGACTCTGTTCTTCCCGTGCGAAGAAAATGCCTGATGCTTTTGAGGGTTTCGAAATCGCTTGAGGAGGTACAGGCATGTCTTATGAGCGTAGCGCGTTGCCGGCACAAGGGGCAGGTTAGGGTAACACGCCAGTGGTTCTCCTGAATGATTGCTTGAAACCAGGGGAGGATACATTCACGGTCGAACTCGTGGCCGCAGGGCATGAGGGTTGCCCGTGTTGTGAAAGGTTCCCAGCATATAGTGCACTTTGGGGGTTCTTGCACAGCTCCAAGTCGGGAAGTGGAGGTTGTTCTTGTTGTGTCTGGAGAAGTACCGATTCCTTGAGGACTCCCAGCAGCTGCTTCAGCACCGGGTGCTTCAAGGCTTCTGAGATCAATTTCAACCTCATACTCACCCGTTGGATGGGTGTCTCTAAGTCTCAAGCGGGGTGGGTTTTCTCGAGTAGCGTCCCCGCTGTGTAGAGTCAGGGAGCCAGCTGGGTTGATGACCCGTATTGTCGCCGCTGCAGGACGAGCTCCTAGCTTTTCCATTCGGGTGCCTTGACTATGAGAACCAAAATCTCCTGAGTCACCAGTTATTGGTCGAGATACTGCAGTATCATCTAGTCTTGGTGTTGCCGCTGCACTTGAATCTGTTTGCGAAGCTGTCGTCGCTAGGTTTGCTTCAGACGTTCCCGAACTTGACTGAGGTGTTGATGCTGACTGGGCAGTTGAGCCTGAATGAGATGTTGAGATCCTTTGCTGCCAAGAAGCTCCGGCAGCTTGGGCTGCACTCAAAATTACCGCTTGACTTCGAGTAGCTGAAGGTCCTCCGATGATATTTGCTAGATTGTTTTCATCTTGTCGTGGTTGAGGTAGAGTAGACATAGTTGGATATGACTATGATTGATTTATTGTTGGAACGAAACCGTTGCCCAAAAAGGAAAGAAGTAGTCTTTTGAGATGTATTAGAAGTGGCCGGAAGGCAGACAGTCGAGCTAGATATGGAAGAAGGCACGACTAAAGTGATTGCGAGCATCACGGTACATTCACGGTACATTCACAGCATATTATCAGCACTTGCTGATTCCCGATCGCTCTATTGTGTTATCGGCCACATTCAAAGACTGATTAACAGGTTTGAATTCTTCCCCTCCTCTAGTTCTGTACGCCAATCACCAACTATTTCTGCTCCAAAGTTATGCCTTGTGTGCGATGCACACCATATGAACAGGGGCTAAGAAATGGAAGACAAGAGTTTCTTCCGCGCTCTTTTTCTCAGAAGCTCGGAGCCAAAAATAGTATACAAGAAGAGAATCGACAGACCCCGCGTCGAGCAACTAAGATGCGCTTAGACATATTTCGTGAGAATGTCAATATAAGAGCTGTAGCACGTCCCCGACGTAGGCTCCAGAGAGTAGATGTAATCTCCCCACCAAGGGCCTGCACCCCACCAAATAGCTCCCATCCACACATCATTCGCAGCTACGAGAGCATCAAGCATTCCAGTGACAGCAGTCTGACATTGAGAATTTGCGCCGCCTGCGAACTCCCCAATAATGCCCTTCTTGTTATTTTGTCGAAGCCAGGTAGTAGCAGCTGCGATTCGCTCTGCGCCGATTGTGGACGAGACACATGTTGATGAGGTGCCTGAGGCGTCTGAGTCGAGGTATTGATGCATCTCGTAGACGATCTTGTTGTATGGATCCGTGAGGTTGCCCATCACAGCGCTATTGCCGGATGTGGTTGTCCACGTCCATGCACCTGAGTATGACTGCCGAGAGGTTACAAAGATGGCAATGAGTGGGATGGCTGCACTTACTGTTCCCTCAACAAAGATATATTGGGTTGTGGCACCAGCGGCTCGAACACCTTCAATGCAGGCTTGATTCAGAGCTACTACGAGCGCGTTGGACGGCTCGTCATGGAACTCGTTGTTGCAATCGAAGATGACCTTGTCATTGGTCTTGAACTCGGTCGCTACGTTTGTCCAGAAGGTCTTGAAATCAGACGTGGAGGTGAAGACGGTGCCATAGTACCGTCCAAAATTGTGAGGGTCGAGAACGGCATGCGCACCAGCGGCGGTAATAAATGACACAACAGTCTTGAGCTCTGAGAGATAGGTGGTATCGAGAGCACTCGTCATTGTCCCTGGTGCGAGACGCTCCATGAGAAATGGAATTCGGAATATGTTCATGCCCTTATTCATCAAGGTTTGAATCGCGGTGGTGTTAGGGAAAATATAATCAGTGCCAAGTGTTCCCGGAATTTTTCCTCCACCGAACTCTGCGCCAGATTCGTTCGCGCCGACCCATTGCAGAGCACCCGATTTCGACGTGCTTGTTGCCCCGGCAGCAGTGCTTGATGAAGACTTGGGGACCGTTGATGTGGAGGATGGCATTATGGTGCTTGCAGATGTTGCCAAAAGCTCAATGGCTGGTGAAAAACTGGGAATTGATACAATGCTGGAAGTTGAAAGTGTTGCTGATGGTATAATCGTGGGTGGTGAGGCAGGGACCGACACAGCGTAAGAGGACACTATGCTACTTGAATATGTTTCTTCATATGGATTCGAAGATGGTTCTGGTATTTTGTAAGTAGGAGGCATGAGAGGATCCCGGCCACACTCGTCATCACGATCTCTGTCAACAGGAACTGAAAGCACTAGAGCCGACAAGCCAGCGGCAAGCAAAGAAGTTGAAAAACGCATAATGCTAATGAATGAATGTACACAAACGAGAATGAATGAGTGACTGGCGTTTGAAGAAGTGCAGACAGGGAGGTCTCTCTCCTTTAAGTGAGAGCAGAAATTTGAGAGGCCCATCATTTAGAATTAGTTCACGCCAAGCCAGGAAACTACCACGGCTACGGCGTTAAACATATGCGGGGGCCTCGAGCTTTCATTCCTTCATTTCATCAAGCAAATGAGGTACTCCGTACCAAACTCATGGAAACAACGTTGGAGCCAAGATCCTCGGAACCATCCGGACGCTCGTGCCAATCATGGCATCGGAAACAAATTGCATCGAATGAGCGATGCGACGACCATTGTTTGAAACTTAGGAAACTTTCTGGGATTGTGGGGATAGAGTATTGAGGCTCTCATGTAACTGAAACAAGGCCGGAATTACTTACATCCAACGACGAGATATTTTGCACCAACGAAGGAGAATTTGACGTTTCGTAATATATGCAAGCGGGCCCTTAGTCGGCGTGCTTGCTCGAGAGGGCGCGAGTCGATTGAAGAGCTTGAGTTGCAATTGCGGAAAGAGGATTGACTTGGAGGCAGTGGAGCGGCTGCGTACTGGCTGAACTCCCGTCTCGGATTGGGGGAGGGCACCGGAACTTTATTAATTTGAAAGATGGAAGATGCAAAGAGACTGCGTCTGACGCTGAGGGACGTTGCTGCTGAAGGAGGGTAAATCACAAACTGAGGTCGGTATGTGTGCTGATGAAAGGCGGTTTGAAAATCGATGCTCGGGTTGAGAGTTGACAGTTGGTACTGAAAAATACGCAATTTGTGGGTATGTTTCAGACTGCGGCCGGAGTTAGCTCACGGTGAGTCTTAGATTTCCTGCTGTTGGATGCGGTGCCTACATAGAAACACAAGAATATGGGTTTCCGCATGCAAGTCAGCATTTAGTGCTGAGTCGTTGCCACATGTGATTTTCAACGACGAAAAGTGGATATAAGCAGCCAGAGGCCCAGGATAAGCAAAGTGGCAGCTTTACGTCCCTACGATTGATATCGACCATGGCATCTTCGAACAATGACCTCTCGTCGCTCCTGACACCGGAACTCTTCCGCCGAGTCTTTAAAAACCGCTTACCATGGCCCATTGAAAAGCCGTTGGATTTCAAGGAAGTATTCACATATGTTTTCCGCTCCGATGGTGGGTCACATGGAGAAGAACTTCGTGAAATTGCTTGGCCGACTCTCAAGGCTCTCAGTACGCTAGGCGTTGACAATGTACCTGATATGATGCAGTTTCTGCCACCTCCCGAGTCCAGAGACTTTCCGGAGCAAGCATTGGGACTACAGCTCCTCCTCGATCAAGGACCACGTGCATTGTTCGAGGGTATGGATGCGAGGTACATCTACGGCTATTTCCAGTATGTGGCAAGAAAATATGCACAGCAACTCTTGGATTTGCCTAGCGCGTTGAGAATTGACAGCAAAAAGAGATGGATGGACGAACTGGGAGCATCCTTCGATTTCTGGGTGATGGCGCGATTGTGGCTCATTGCTCCCGTGGTTCATTCGGAAGTTCTCGTTGATCACGAATTAGCGCTGTTAATGGGTGAGGATGTGCGAGTCGAGGTTGAGAAATTCACGGGCAAGACAGATCCGTATCGAGCGAAGAGGGCAGAGTTGGCTGAAGATACTTATGCATTTGGCAGAATGTATCGAGAGGGTCCTCCCCTGGATAACGGGGTAAAAATGCATGAGTGGTTCTTTTGGATGTGGACTGTGTTGGATGTGCACAAACCTATCATTGATAAGTTTGGGAAGTATCCCTACCAGGATGTTGCAAAGGGGAGAGAGTCGACGGACAAAGAGAAAGAATGGACAATCATATTTCAGAATGGCGTCGACAGAAGCAACTCGGAGGTTGCCAAAAGGATAAGAGAGGATGTGGTGAAGGGTAGATGGACACCATTAGGGCAGGAGGATGAGAAATGAGTTCACTTGAAAAGAGGCCAAATAGAATGAATGTTGCCGGGTGGCAGGAAATCATAAAACTCAGTGAAAAATTGCCTTGCAACGGGGATCTGAAGCCTGAAAGTCATCGAAAAGAATAAAATGATCAACTCGTCTCAAGATTTTGCAACGTACAGAGCAAAACAGGGCAAACACTACCAAACAGCAGGTGTTGGGCAAGTCTTGCCTGAAAACTGATTTCAAGTGACTATTGAGCAAAACCGTCTTGAAGTTGAGAATTCCTCAACCATTATTAGGGCCCACAGAAACAGCACTTGATCTACGTTGGCAAAGCACAATATATGTCGGATTCGAGTTCGGGTTCTGCATCTCGCTTCACGGATTTAAGGAGAAGGCCGAGTTCTTGCACTGGTTTGGCTATGGTAACCTCAAAGAGGATGCCTTGTGACGCGTCATGCTTGATAGAGCGCCGTCAAAATACAGAGTAAAGGTGAGAAGAAGTATAAGTACCAGCTCAGGAGGCACAATTCGGCCTTCGTTGACCTTGTCCTCGCTCATTCAAAAGATCTGATAAGAAATGACCCTAAATCGCGGATCTGATAATTCTGCTTACGGAATCCGGAACTTTGATTACGGAGTTCAAAGCCCCACTGCGGAACCCCACCATGTCCTACAAAACAGAGGGCAGTGCAGCCAAGAAAAATCATCCAGCCGTGGGACGCTCTTTCAAGATGACCTCGAGCCTCAAATCTTTTCTCAACAGTGCGAAACAATCGTTATCGGGAGCTTCAACGCCCGCTCCAGGTACGCCAGATGGCAACACGCCGTGCAGCCACCTGTTCCCGAAGGTAGATCCCGCTGTTGACGGGGAGGATTGCGACCATGATTGCGATTCGTGCATTGTCTCACTGCCGAAGGGATTCAAGATTGACGAAGATGACAAGCTGTACGGGTACGTGAAGGGATGGAGTACGCATGTTTTGGTTGCGACTGGGAAGACGGACTGGGTGAGAGATGTTGCAGATGAGAAGGGGAGCGTGATGGAAGCTATCGACAAGAAAGCAGACGTGAAGCCAAGTAACGGGGTAGGTTACACATTCATTCCATTTAAGTAATTGGTTTGCTAACTCCATGCATGAAGAGGCTTATGCTGTCCGCCTCAAATATACCCACGCCTTCCCATACCACAAGCTATTCCGAACCCACGACTGTCCTTCTCCTCCCAGCCTTCATCGTCATTGAAAACGTTACGCCGAAAAATGTCAACACTTTAATTTCAGAATTCGTCAATAAAGGCCCTACGAATAGCACACCTTTAGGACCAATCTCAATACCCGCCTCCCTACCAGATCCCCTTCCCACCGCCGACCAATTGACATCGCGACCAAGTCCCCATCGAGCACTCATTCTCCTCTGTTCACAAAAAACTCGAGACGCACGATGCGGGCAAAGCGCACCGCTATTGCGCAAAGAATTAGAAAGACATCTGCGAGTCTGCGGGCTCTTCCGAGATTTGGACGATGAGCGACCTGGTGGAGTTGGGGTATACTTCATCTCGCATGTTGGAGGACATAAGTACTCCGCCAATGTGATGGTCTACAGGAAAGCAGATGCTTTTGGACTAGATAATGTAGAACGAGGGAAATTGGACGGAGAAATCTGTCCACCACCAGCGAAACCTTCGGCGGACGAAGTCCAAGAAGGAGCTGCGCAGTGTATCTGGATTGCAAGGGTGAGGCCAGAGGATTGTGAGGGCATTGTGAAGTTTACGGTGCTTCAAGGGAAGGTTGTGAAGCCTGAGCGGCAACTGAGGGGTGGATTTGATAGACAGAGGGGAGTTTTCAGTTGGTAGCATTTCTTGGCTTCGATTCAACAAAGTAAATAGCAGGCATTTTGGAAGGACGTCCGAATTAGAGGAGAGCATAACAAGAGCTCAATTGGCTTTATTGTCCTTAGAAAATAATTGATTCTTCTAATCTGAAGACTTTCGTGTCTTGTTTGGTGGCTAATCCCTCTTGCGGTGGACATAAAAAGCAACGCTTACTTTCAAGGTCCTCTATCAAAGCAGGACAATGGTCTGGGCTTTGAGAGGAAAAGATTTGAATATGCCAGACCTTCCGAGGTTTTCGAACTGTTACTGAATGTACCAGGCCTCGACAAAACATTAGGAGAGGACGTAATTGAAATGTCCCATCGAACTTGGCGTACTGACTCCTGGGTGACTCTTTTCTATGTTCACCGCAAGCCCCCTGTTTGTCTAAGGGCTGAAGGATGCCGCCCATAGTGTTTTCATGACAACCCCCAGTCTGACAGGGGTTTTAAGAAAGGAACTTTCAATTCTTTCAGGTCCATGAAAAACAATCTATCTTCCTTTTTAGTGAATCTATTTCTCCGGTCCGGACCCGGATAAACTTTGTGCTCTCACGTGCTCAAGCCCAAAGCTTTCGTGGTCGCTGTAGCAACGCGATTTTCGTCAACAACCATTTCGAGGGGCAAGCGATCCTCGACCTCACGTCCTCATACCAACATGAGGCCAATTATTTGCTCCAACGCAGCATAATTTGGAGGAGCACTCCATTTACTTTGCCAATTGGCCTTCAACATGGCTTCCCAGCATCGTGTACCGGATTCTTATAATCATAAACGCACCAAATCATCGGTATTGTCGTTCATGCACAAGAGAACCCCTTCTGCCGGAGCAGGGCTCTCTTCGAATCTGCCCAGCACTTTTGTTGCTTCACCAGCATATGCATCGGTCCCATGTCTGCCTCTAGATCATCCGCACACAAGAGCTCTTGGTGAGCTTCAGCACAACCAGCAAAGTCAGCCGCCACCGCCGCCCAAGAAATCACGAGAAGCGAAGCGTCCGAATACAAGCGAAGATGCCACGAAAGCATCGCACAAGAAGACATTGAGCACAATCTCTTTGAAGACGTTTGGGAAGGATTCAGAGAAGGAACCAAAGTCGAAGGAGCCCAAACCCAATAAGAAGAAGTCGACCACCAACCTCTCCAACCTTCTCTCGCGTCCGAAATCTGCAAAGAACCTTCGCAAGCAAGCTGAAGAAGAAGCTCGTGTTCAGAAAGACAAAGAGAACCGTACCCCAACATCCATATCATCTGCTGAAACGGCATGTCCACCACCAATTTATGCCCAATTCTCGAGTGAATGCTTTGCCAAACAACCACTGGGAGGGAAGTTTTTAGAGGATCAGATCGACTTGTATACCCCGCGAGACAATGGGAGGCAAAGAGATTTTCATGCTGGTCCCGCTGGCCCGCCTACTCTCACAAAACAAGATAGTGGTTTTCAACGACCAAAGTCGACATACCTGCCAAGCAGTTTTAGCCTGCAGGATATTAGCAGGCGTGTTAGTTCAGGGTCAAGACACAGTGCCGAAATTGTACGACGTGTATCTGGTGCCAAAAGACCTAGCTTTGAAAGAAAGGCTACGGCGTCATCGGCAAAGTCGGAAAAGACAGAGACACCAGCAGCGCAGAAGGGTCACCGAATGAAGCCATCCACTTCATCTCCTGGCAAGAAGACTCCTACACCAGCTGAGGCTGGACCAGTGATTCCGGACAAAGATGTGGACAAGGAGTTTGAGGCTATGCTGGACCGACGTAATATCCCCGAACACCAGCGTGGGAAGATGCGGAGTCTTGCCGTGTCCATGAAGAAAGATTTTATTAGACAGGACTGGGCAGAAATTTCTGCTGCTGGAAAAGATGGCAGGCCAGGGACCAACCGTAGTGATTCAAGTGCTGAAGCTACCAGCGGTACCCATGATGTCCCGGAAGTTAAGACAAAGAGACCAAGAAGCAGAACCTTTACATTGTCAAGGGCATCTAGCAAAGAACCGCCATCACCAGGCAAGAAGTCTAAGGAGGAAATGAGTTTGACCAAATCAAAGAAATCTTCAGAGAATCTGAAGGATGGAAACAAATCGTTGACAGCCTCAGGTGCTGCTGTTGCCCAGACACTGATTGCAAAGGCAAAAGGACAGCTTACTGATGATTTTGTGTCCTACTTGAGGAAGGTTCGCAAGCCGGAATTGGTTGAAGTTGGAAAATTACATAAGCTGAGGCTTTTGCTTCGCAATGAGACGGTAGCATGGACTGATGGGTTTATCCGGCAAGGAGGAATGGAGGAGATTGTTGGTTTGCTACATAGAACTATGGAGGTTGAGTGGAGGTTTGTCACACCCCAATGTCCTTCTCGGGCCCCACTGACAGTTTTACAGAGAGGAGCACGAAGATGCTTTACTTCATGAGGTTCTCCTCTGCCTGAAGGCTCTTGCAACTACTGCACTCGCCCTTCAACACCTAGATAGGATCCAAGTCACTCTGTTCCCCGCACTCTTACACATGCTCTTCGACGAGGAGAAGAAGGGGCCGAGCGAGTTCACCACACGCAACATTATCAGCTCACTCCTGTTTACGTACCTGAAGTCGGCTCCAATGTCGGAACGAACCCACCGAGCTAAGATCCTTTTGTCTTATCTTCGTGACCCCGAACCAAGTGAGTCTCAACGACCGGTCGGATTCGTCCTTGAGATGCGGCGGCCACGACCATACCGAGTCTGGTGCAAGGAGGTTGTCAATGTTACCAAAGAAGTTTTCTGGATTTTCCTGCACAACCTTAACGTAATTGCTCTCCCTAAACCAACAACCGACCATGGTGACCACTCTCATCCATACGGCACGCAGGCTACCTCGGACAGTAGCTTCAACAGCGCCAATCCCCACCACATCTATATGACGAAGCACTTTCCTAAAGAACGTCCTCCAGTACCAGCAGCACCTTACGTTGGCGGCGTCGAATGGGATGCAACGAATTATCTTGCCTCGCATTTGGACATTGTCAACGGTATTATTGCAAGTCTTCCTACACAAGCGGAGCGCAACACACTCCGAGAACAGATGATGGTATCAGGTTGGGAGAAATGCTCAGGCGGAACTCTCAGACTGTGCAAGGAGAAATTTTACGGTGGTGTACATGATGGCTTGAGATGTTGGGTTGCTGCCGCGGCTGATGATGGCTGGAATACTCGCGACGTTCGATGCGGGCCATGCGTTGAAAGCAGCAAGAGTCCAGCGAAAAAGAGCCTCGCGAAGAATACTCCTATTGAGGCCGCGCCCAAGATTGAGATGAAATTGGACTTCTTGAGTGGGGCTCAGAAGATCAATTCGCCAATGAACGATGACGTTTGGCTGTAGAGGGTCGCTACCGGTGTCTTTGTGTTGATTGATGAATTTGTTAGGATACGCTTGTCGTTGCTGGATTACGGCCACACAGACTTCTCTTTTCTCTTTGTGTAAAGGGGCATTGGGTGGACAGTTTCTGTTTTTATTGATGATTCGCATGCTTGCATGAAGTAATGACTGTAACGATATGAATAGGCAGGCATAAATTGATATATCATGAATCACTGAATGATTTGTTCTATTTCCTCATTGTGCCGTTTACTTTGGTGGATAATTTCACTCTACAAAATGTAAAAAGTGCCTTTCTGATACTTAGAAGCCCCCGACACTAAGGATGTGGACCATTGTACAATAGAATTCTTGTTACACACGCTCGAGTTGAACTATACCGGGTTCTGGTGGCTGGCAGTCCCAATTCTGGTGTCCTTTCCCACAATACCCACAGTTTTGTTCCCTCCCTGCCAGTACTGGCACTTTCTAATCCTCTCCAGTCCGGAATAACAGCCGTAACACTCCCCAAGATCCCCTGGGACCGGAGTTATAAGTATCCCAGGGTCTAGAGGGGCCGAAGTTGTACCGGATGGTTGTGATGGGTTGCCGGCAGAGAGGGCATATGAGTGGCTTTGCCGAGTGAGTGGAGTGAGTGAGTGAGTGAGGTGACGGTGGATGCAAGAGAGGTCGAAGGCGTGGGTGCAGGGGATGATGAGGGTTGCGTGGTTGTTGGAGCGCCATTCGAGACAGATGGTACACAGCGGAGAAGTTGGTGGTCATTGTTCGGGGTTTGTGCTGGTCATTCTTGAAAAGTTACGAGACTTCGTTGAACTAGTCGAAGATGCTTGAGAATTTGGCATGATAGTGTAAAAGATTCTGATTCAAGATCTGGAAAAGGAGAACAGTATTGGAGAGAAAATACGTGGATATATATGAGAAGGTCAACTAGATTTAGTGATTTAAATGGGCTGTCAGAGACAACCAAGGGAAATCGGAAGAAAGTTGTATTTGAGATGAATAATATTTCGAATTGCTCAGATGGAGAGAAAAGTATTATTCAGCAGAAACAACAATCATGTGCAGGCACTGGAGGTCATTCATATGAGGACCGAGCTGGAAGGAAAGCACTTAATGAATGTATGTTCTTAGATTCCTAATGCCTGGGAATGGAATTGAACTACCTAGCTCCTGGATAATGTCAGGATGGCTGAATAGACTTTCAATCCGCTAAGCGTTCTTGAACTTCATCCCCACTGCCATCCGTATCAGTATCCGTATCCATGCTTTCATCACAGCCCCCACCACTTTCCCTGGTCCTAGCCTCTATTAGGCAAAATGCAATCCCCATTCCGATGCCTCTCATCACAATACTCACACTCCATTTCACCATCCCCTACCACCTCCAGAATACCTGTACTCCCTCTATCCAACGACCTCCAATGCTCTCTAATATACCCCATCCCCTCAAAATGCTCGATAACCCCCTGCATCTCCTGTCTCGCCATCCTGACCTCTTTCTCCCTCTCCTCCTTGGCGATACCTCTCACCACTTCCTCTCTCAACTCCTCTTCCCCTAGTTCCTCCATCAAAAACTCCTCAGTTATCGTCAACGACTCCTGGATCGTGATATCCTTCTCCCCCAACATCCGTTGTACTACCAAACCTCGCATAACCATAGCCTTCAAGCCGCGGTCATCGCACTTGACCTCGTACTGCGGGCCATCTATCTGAGTTCCCGAGAACAACCTCATGCTTCCCAAGCTGCCCAGACACTTTATGATATCTTCCCGCGCTCTAGCGATCTTTTCAGGTTCGAATATTTGGTCGTCGGGAAAAGGCACAGGAAGGCTGCGAAAGGTTCTGAAGTTCAACTTTCGCACGGAGGTGCACTGTGTTCCAACCCCATGTTCTTGCATTAAGAATAAGGTTAGTTCACGGTTGATGGCAATAATGAGATCGCCTTCGACTGCAACGGCCTCTCCATGAGGGAAACTGAAGATTATCGGGGAGATGTCTTCGAGGGTTCTGAGTCTTCGCAGCTCGATCTTCCGCCTCCTTTCCCGCTCGGAAGCACAAGGTGGGATAATCTCGTCATCTCGCAGGAAAGGGTCGGTATCCTGTTCTCCCTTCCCGGGAATATGTATTTTATACATTCCATCTGGCGTGAAAGCATATTTCACCGCTTCAAGTTTGGCTCTGCACATGGGGCACTGTCTGCTTTGTTCGCCAAGCAGCTTCAACTGAACCGATATGCAGTCGACGTCGTACTTGTGGCCACAGGGGATCAGGACGGCTGTGTCTGCAGAGTGGCACTCGAGACATATTGGGCAACGTGGTGGGGAATCTGTCCGTGATAATGGTTGAGATGTATCCATAGTATGGCAGTATTCTTTTTCAGATGATGTGATGAAGTCGGAAGAAAGCATGGAAAGAAGTCGGAGTTTTGGAGGCTTTTAAGCACTTCTAGATTAGAAAACTGTAGACTGTACTGTCACTTGGCTAATGAGCGTGAATAGATTGTAGTAGACACTTATAGAACCCTGGTATCACTTGGGACCAGGACGTTTGAATGGCTAGGAAACGACGGCGATTTTTGAAGAAACTTCGGCTGTGATTACTGTATATGATGTAAATTGGCCAGTATATATGGCGAACGATCCCCCAAAAAGAATATCTACAGTAGATATGCAATAAATGACTCAAGGTACAACGACTCCACGCTCTACATCCCTCGCATCGTTAGCCTCTTTGTCGGCTTCGACTCTCCGCATTCGGACCTTTCTGTCCCTCCCACAGCACCCCAATGCAAGTGGGAGAGGAATCACGACCATGGCAATAACTGTTTGGAAGATCAAAGCCCTCCACATATTTCCTGGGGGTCGGTTGGTATGATCATCAAGCGAGCCGTCATTGGGTCCAGGGTCACGCAAAGCATTCGAAACCAGAATGAAGATTCCACCAAGAAGTTGGCCACCGCTCCAGCATATTGTGCTAGTGACTTCTGGAGACACAGGATGCGTCAACTCGATCAGATATTCCAGAACGACTGGTACAAGACTGAATGATGCCGCTCCTAAAACTGATAAGATGGCGTATGGAGCAGCAATATTCCTGGTCTGCGGAGCCCATGTGAAGGCTAGGTAGGATATCGCAACGATGGGAACCTGTAACTTGATGGCGAAGAGGAAGGTTTTGGTCTTGTCAATGATCGGAGACGTGATAGCAGCGGTAACGAGACCAACGACGATCAGTAAGGCTCCCGCAATTCCAGCTTGGGTCTCGGTGAATGAATAAGGCTGGAGGAGCTGGTTGATGAGGGACGAGATGCTATTGAAAAGCCCCACATAGACGGTGAAAGGGACCATGATCATGTAAAACTCCGGGCAGGTAAAGAGGAACTTTAGTGAAGGGCCAAGAGCTTGCTTCTCTTCATGTCCAGATGGGGAACATGGAGTTGGTGGCGCGGCTGGGATAAAGAACGAGGGTATTGATGCAACAGAAGACTGAAGAGGTCAGCACAAAAGAACAGCTAAGGACTTGGGGTTGCCTACAATGATCGCAATGTATAACACCATATTTGGAATGTCTTCAGGTTTTCCAGCCCAAGAAGGGTCAATAAGTTGTGCCAAAGCACCACCAAATGGATTGGCCAAGCTCATAACAGCTGTAGCCGCAACTCTTCCACTATTCGTGAACCATAAATCTGAGTACCTCGTGGGAGCAGCAAGGACGAATGGCTGGGCCAAGCCCGTCAAGATCTGACCAAACATCACTCCCCCAAAATTTCCATGGGGACCTGCCTTCGTGGCACCATATCTGATCCAGTTGCCCAACAGGATGAGAACTGAGGCTGTGATGATCGACGGTTTTGGTCCCCCATGATGCAGGGTGTAAATCACAAGCGGGGTCGCAACGCAGAAGGCGAAGAGAAAGGCTGTGCTCAGCCAATTGATATCCGATGGGGTTACATTGTAGTATTGGGACGTCGTCGTGGAGTTGGCAGAGAAAGAGAGCCACTACGCAATGCATTAGTGTCATTCTGGGGCTGGCTGGACTTCAATAGACTACTCACATCCCAGCTGACAATGATGTTCAGCAACGCCAACTGGACGAGGCCGAACCAGCGCCTCTTGTAAACCTTATATACTCGTCCTCCCATCGCGTCAGCAACTCCCGTGCTATTGTTTCCGCCCTCTTGAGCTCCTCCGGGTTGCGTTGTCGAGCCTCGTTCATCATCACCTAACAGCTCATCGTCACTGCGCACTTCATGCAAGGCTTCGACCTCTCCAATTCTATCAGGTCCGTCACCACTGCCATTGGATTGCGTGGCCTTGAGTTCGTCATTATTCTTGCTGTCGATGCCACTGCCGTTGCCGTTGCTCACGTTGCTGCCGGCCGAAGGTGCTGATGCAGCGCTCCCATTCCCACGGCTCTTCAAACCTCTCATCTTCATCGTTCGGAGAAAGGAGAATCCTCCAGGTACAGGTTCAGGAGCCGGCTTTTCATTGGCAAGAGGCTCTGTCTTGTCGTTGTTCGGCGCGCCTCGCAGCTGGATGTCTTGGTGTTTCTCCGTCGCGTGCGCATCCCCTGATCTTTCCGGAGGCGGCGCCATCTTAAATTAGGTACCTTTGTAATTAGACCCTCGCGTCAATAAGGCGTCGCCTATGATACCGCTTAGTCCCAAGTGCCACAGTTGGGTCGAAACTCGAAAGTTTCCTCGACTTCAAGCTTAGTCGATTCGAATGTATAGAGAACAGCGGCCCCTTGATCCATTATATGCCTCATTCGCAATCAAAAGAGGGGAACTGCCAGCTGAGGATAGGGTTTGGGAGGGTTGGGGAATTGCCGGGGTGTGTGTTCAAAATAGGCAAAGGCCCCGATCTGCTGATCCCCATCAAGACACCGCCGCAACATCGCAGGAAATCGTGCCACAGAAGAGATTCCGTGGGCCAGCTTCCTGAAAGTTTATCTTGTGAAAGTCCGAGGCTTCGCAATGCAAGATAAAGAAGCCTTTCTTGATGTTGGCCCTTGCGATCTGCCATAGTAGGTCCCTAACTTCACTCACGGAACAAAGATAGGCTGCTGGTCTATGGATTTCCTATACTACAGTACATACCGCTCACAGGACGAGCCTGCTGCCGAAGTACAAAACAGGTGATGCGGGTAAGATATCTACAGGCGTCTCCTTTCCACCATCCCATCTCCCCCATCATCTATGTCATGCAAACATCTCGAGGCGAAATTGTCGATCGAAGTAGTTGAAACCTCTACTTAAGAGCGTTCCATAGCTTTGGTGCGGCGCAGGTGCTTGCGCAGTGAGCAAGGTGGAAGACTGTGGGTTATTAGCATCAGTCCAAGATAGGAGCATTTATTTAGACTTACATTCTTCAACGCAGTCTTCATCGGGATGCTTCTTGTCCACTGGCTTTCCGTGGTCTGCACCAGTGACACGCTCAACGCACTCGTCGAAGTGGTGCTTTGCTGGGGAGCAGACCTTGGATTCCTTGCATTCTGTGAAACAATATTAGCAAGGTTCATGTAGCTATTCGTGTAACAAGCCAGAGTCGAATGGAGATATCCTCCAGAGTTTAAAATTCCACAAGCAAAAAGAGCATGGAGAGAAAGCCATGCTTCGAAGTCTTCAATAGCAGCTTGCACTTGCAACATTGCCTCGTTCCCCAAGTGAACATTCATCCTGCTCGCCCCGTCTACTTCATCTCGAGACTATCCACCAGAGGCATCAAATTGACCAGATTTCATGCAGCATCCAGCGTTAGATCCAGATATATACCATTTAGATAGCAACTTGCGCTTGCAACATTGCCTCATTGCCGGATAGTTATATTATTCCTCTCCCCACCCTACCCAACACACCTCGGACAGAAGCCACCGCAACAAAGGAGTTGACCGTATATCCACCCTTAATTCCAGATGTGGAAACAAACCTGGATAGTTGAGAAATATATGCACTTACCCTCCTCAAACTTCTCCTTAGGATCTTCCAACTCTTCCTCCTCCTCCTCCTCTTCCTCCTCAGGCTCCTCCTTGTCTTCAGATCCCTCATCTTCGTTCTTGTCGGATGATTCTTCGTCCTGTTCCACGAAGCACATTAGCACAGGTTCCGTAGATCTCTTCGCTCCTCCCATCACTCAAGGGAGCCGTAAACACCTCCGTAGATTCCGCACTCCCCATCACCACCACTATCCACCCTCTCATCGCTCCCCAACACCCAATGCACCTCCCGCCACTCGATTCCCCTCTCCACCTCCTCGCACCCCTCTGCCAGTCCGGTCAAATAAGGAAGAAAGCACCCACCTGGGTTTCCTCCTCCTTCGCCGCAGGAGCATCAGCCTCCGCCGTGCTCCATGGCAGCGCTGCCTCCAGCATATCGCTTATGCTATCAAAGAAACCCATCTTGATCACTTATCCAATGGATTGGCTGCTCAATGGGCGAAGATGTTCAAGTCGTGATGAGTCGGGAAGAAGTGGAAAGATCCTCGTTGGCGAGCCGATTTTGAGGAAGCTTGGAATTGAGGGTGTTTGATTGGTTGATGGATTTTGAGCTAGGATGCACGTGATTCGTCCTTGCTTTTTCCATTCTACTTTTCTGAGGCATGGATTTCATGATGAGTTTTGTCAAGGGGTGTGCGGTGGGGGAATGACTTTGGCATTCAAAGATCTATGAGTACTGAGCATGGTCTATCTCATCTTCCAGTCAAAATTATCACTTCTCAACACCCTGCGCCAATGCCATCAATGAGCAACCCATTCTCGCCAGAGATATTACGCCTTTTTCCATCCCTAAAACCCTTCCAAAGAATATCTATCTTCAATCGAGATTGATCTGCAACGCTAATCAAGGGCTTGCGTCACTATCCCGCTGCCTCTCTGCGGCTTCTCGCAACCTCTGGTCCAACTCGATGCCAACAGCCTGCACCTGCGCCTCTTCGTACCCGGGTGGTGGTTCATCGGGGGCGGTGAAATTCGGCGGTGAGGTCTCTGTCCGATTTTGGAACGCATCAGCGGCGCCACTGTCTCTGGCCTGAGGTCTTGTTGGAATCGGACTCAGTATCCTTGGCCCCTCATCCTCGCTCTCCACCTCCTGGGCCGGCTCATAGGCTGGCAGCTGCTCTAAGTCGACGTCCACGACATTCTGTCTTCCGCTTTCTCGCGCCATTGTGTATGCATGGTGTAACCGCTCCTTTATTTGCTCGAAGGTCGAGTGGAAATCGAAGGCTCCTCCCTCTCGGAATGTAAATCGTAGCTCGACAGCTGCGTTATTGGGTGGGATGCCACCTCCTGGGACTGGCTTGCAGAGTGCGACCCAGTAATTGGCACCAAAGAATGGTGCTCGCACGTAGGTATCTTGGAGGTTGAGTATGGGTGCGGAGAAGGATTGGAGCTCGGGGGTGGAGGTCGAAGGTAGGTAGACTATCTACAACGTCGTCAGTCGAAGCCCACGGTCTCTGAAAGCTTTCCTTACTCGTTGATTTGTGATATACACAACTCCGGCATCGCTCTTAGCGGAGAAAGGCTCCGTCCCGGGATACGTGTTCGGCGTGGATATTTGTAGATGCGTTCGCGGAGGAGATGTGAAGAGGATTCGTTCGTTCGGGAGTTTGACAAAGCCCGCCTCGTTGGGCGATGTCATAACCCAGCTATCAGTAGATTTTAGCTCCTTCTGCTTGGCCAACTGCAAGGTATAGAAATGTTGTTCCTGATGGAATCCATACATGGCGGGAACATGGGTGGTCACCCTAGAACAAGAGTGTGGTATGCAACAAAGAAGCTTGACGTGAAGCAGAACAGAAGCAGGGGAAGCAGAGCTCACTTTATTGACATCTTGTTCCTGCAACTTTCTGCCTTTACGGCAGACGCGAGGAGAAGAAGCTAGGTATGCAAGGTGGTGGGCCAGAGCTTGGTTGATTCCGTCGGTGGTAGGCAGCACCGATCCTTTCTGCAGTGAGCAGGGAACTCGACTAGAATTCTGCGAATGATAAAGAGTGTGGAAGGCTGCAGATAGGGTGCCTTGAAGAATTTCGTAGACCTGAGCGCGGGAAGGTGGGATGGTTGAAGAAGATTGCCCGTGTGATGGCGGGGCAGAGAGCTGGTGGCTTGGAGCCCAAGATTAGTTGGCCTTTTACAGATCAAGCAGCGGAACAGCCGGGACTCGAGGACCGTTGCTAATAAGAGTGATAGTGGGGTCGATTATGAAGGTGTCTGGAGCAGTTCTGCTTCTCGATACCTTTCTCCGAGCGCGAGAGGCGCGCAAACAACCATAGCAGAGACCAAAAAGTTTTGAGCTGCGGGCAGTCCCGCAAGTGACCAGCATTCGTCATCTGGCCACCTGCACTGCTCACCACTCGGCACCTGTGAATCACCACACAACCGATCACTTGGAGATCAGCGGAAAAGTCAATATGCGAATGGAAAAAATCTCTAGCCGAGTCCTGCAACTCTACCAGTTCACATCCTGGATCAAGAAGCAGCAGGATGGCGTTCTTTCTGCACTTCCCTATCGGAGAGCTTGCATAAGATGCAGAAAGTCCGGGAGATCCTTGCACGAAGCTCGATCAGAGCTTTCATAGAGCTCTCACTGGCAGATTTGAACTGCCTGCATGCTTATCCGGCCTGGGCGAAGAGATAGGAGGCTTACATTGAAAATGAAAATCTTGACACCCAAGATAAAGCTACATATCAACGAGTTCTCGTTGAGTTGCCTTGACCTGAATATTCCTTCAGCTTTAAGGAGACCGAGAAGATGAAATACGATCATCTTGAAAACTTGATACGTCGAATGCAACTGGGCGGAGCTCGGGATTTTCGATCAAATCTGATAACCTAGAGATGACGCTGCTTTTTACCCCTCCTCCGGATCTTAAAGCAGCCGCCCTTAACTTTGACCGAGGTCATTAGATTATCGAAGTCATGATCCAAATCAACTCCTTAGCGATTGGCAATGAAGCCATTTCTCCTGTATAACAAACTTTTACCTTGTCCTCGCTCAAATCTTCCATCGTGCTTGTCGGCAAGACTCGCTCGCTACCCCTATTTGACCCCAGGCAGCACGACCGCCTCAACCTCAAGACGGATGATGGCTTCCACATCCGGAGCAACCAAAGAGCAACTTCAAGCTTTACAAGAATACACAGCCTGTGACATAGCCGATGCGCTCCTAAAGCTCAAAGTCCCCAATGCCGGTTTCCTCTCTGATCTCCACCTCTTCGCACCACACACATCATCCATCAAAACAGAAATCACAATAGCACCAGCATCCACCGTCATCTTTGCTTCAAAACACGAAAGCAATGCCTCAGATGTGCCGGAAGCAAATATCCCGGCGGGCAAGCATTGGGTTGACCTCACGCAGCCGGAGACGATTGTGGTTATGAAGCAGCCTGAGGGTCAGAAATGCGCTATTATTGGTGGGATTATGGCGTTGAGGATGAAAGTTTTAGGTGCGAGGGGTGTGGTTGTGAATGGGAGGGTGAGGGATTTGGTCGAACTGAAGGAGACCGGGCTGCCGGTGCGTATTCTGAGTTTTGCACTCTTTTTCATACCCTCCTATCATTCATTTGGTGCTCTTGCAATTCGGTCACAATACTTATGCTTATGCTTAATGATTTGTGCATGCTTGTTGAGTTATTTCTTTGGGAGACTTCTTGGAGCATCAGCTGATGAAGCCATCAGATATGGGCAAAATCAACTTCCATCGTGGGAACAGGTCTGGAGGCTAAACCCCACGCTGTTCAAATACCTCTCGATATCGATGGCACCATCGTCGAGCCCGGGGATCTAGTATTTAGCGATGCCACAAATGGTGTTGTGATCATCCCTCGGGACAATGTTGGCAAGGTAATCGAGATGCTACCTGGTCTTGTTGGAGCAGATGATCATGTCAAGGAAGATGTTGCCCAAGGGGTGACTGTCCAGGAAGCGTTTAAGAAACATAGAGGAGCATAATGAGAACAAGGTCCTTGCAGAATAATGTTGAAAATCAACGAATTCGTCTGAAGATCCTAAAGTTCATCGCATCTATGGTACAATGCATTCTCCTACCGCAAACGCAACGAGAATCACTTTTCTCAGATCCAGTTGTACAGCCCCGCACTTGTACTGTACAGATCATACTATCTCCCGAGTGCGAACGAGCAAGCTCTCCCAATCCACAAACCAAAGCTCCAACTACGTTGACTCTAATGTTCGTACTGCTAAGGGTCTTTTCAACGCCAGCTATCATTCTCTCCAGGCATGAACTTAGTGATACAACACACAATGACACAACCTCCACACTGTACCTTGAACGTCAAACATCACTTCTTCCCCGACGGTGCATGAGCTCTGCCAAAAAGGAAGTCTACGGGTGATTCGTATTTGTGGTAGCATTTCCTGCAACGGTTTTTACCTTTCAGGACATCGACGTCGGTACCGCACAAGCTACACGTCGGATCCTGAGGGGCGGCCACGCTGCGTGACTGGCTAAGTTGCTCAAATTCCCGGCGATTCGCCCAACAAGGGCCGCAATCAGGGTTCGTTCCGAGATCCGAACCGCACGAGCACCGTCTCTCGACGGGGCTGGGTCTGGTTGAGGGATATTGGAACCATTTGTTGGCGGAGAATGCTTTGAGTCTCGAAGCATTTTGCGTGTGGCTAGAGGGGAAACTCCGTTGGGATCAAGTGCTCGGGAATGATTTTTTGCTCCTCGCAGGACTTTAAGAGGGAGAGAGGTTTGAATGCTTGGTGGCCTTTGTCGGCGGCTAGGTTGGGGGGAACGTTGCAGAAAGAAAGATGTTCTAAAAGAGCGTCCGCTGCCACCTAATCTGTTGAAGTTGGATATCTGAGAAGATTGCTTTCGAGGTTATGGATTGCCTCGAGGCAAAGGCTCCTCGATGTTAAGGTTCCAAGAAAATTTCTTTGTACGTGGCGGAAAGAATGAAGAACTCGAAGCACGTCCGCCTCCACCTACGGGGGAAGGTAGTGTTTTACTGAATTGAGAACTCTCAGAAGTTTGCCCTGAACGTTGCGGAGGGTGAGAATATTGCGCTTCATGTTGGAAAGAGCAAGTGGAAGGAGTTTTGGAGTGAACCCCTCCCGCTCCCCCCCAATACCGACTATTGGATCTATTAAATTGAATTCTATGTGCTATCCTAATATACAATTTTCTTATCCCAAGTTCAAGGCCAAAGTTTCCCCCTAAACTCACTCGGATCAACCCCCATAATCTCCGACCACTCATCCCACCATGCAATCCCCTCTCCAGCCTCATGCGGCTCTCCACAAACAGCACCTTCCCTGCCTCTAGTAGCCGCCCTCTTCATCGCCACATTCCAAGTGAACGAGCTCTCTACCAAGCCTGCAAAATATCCCGCACTCTCCAACACAATATAATCAATCAATGCAGCCTGATCCCAAGTCAAAGCTCTCAATTCCATCAGCTCGTCCGCAGATAAGAGATCCTCTTTTGTGACGATCGTAACAGGCGGTGAGAGCGCCGCTGCTTCCATCGTGAACTGGAATATAGACGTCGCGTTCCCAGAAGCGACGTAGATGGTTGAGAAGGAACGCGAGGCGGCGAGAGAGAGGTAGTGCTTGCTCTGAACTTCGTAAGAGGACCAGCCTGCTTTGATGGCATCTTCGGAGGTGCGGAGGTGGACTCCCATATAAGGGGCGGGGGAGGAGAGCGCGAATGGGGAGATGGATAGATTGTATCGCTCATTTAGGGTATGGAGCACAGAGAAGGCGAGGTAGTAGATGGATGCTGGAAATGTGAGGAGTGAGCCAAAATTAGTGGCGAAGCCTGCTGGGTCGTCACAGATCCTTCTATGTGAAGTTAGCCATGCGTTGACATTTGGAGGGAGCACACACAATTGCCCTATTCTTGTAGGATAGTGAAGGATCTCGAGTTCGGGCTTGGTGGCATTCCCGACGTTATCATAAATGACCATTTGGGGGCATGCAGCGGTGAGGCGAGATACAAAAAGCTCCCGGTTGAAGGTGTACTCTAGGCTGGTGTCTCCGTCTGATTCAAGCAAACTCAGATCATCATTTGAACGAAGTGAAATTGTTGGGACGATGAAACTAAAACCTTCATGCATAGCATGGCGCAAACACGTCAGGATCCTTTGTCGAGTGTTCCCTGAGAGGTTCAGTTGTGAAGAAAGCATTCTGAAGAACGGATTTGCTTACCTATGCCACCAAAAATGCGGTCGCAGTTCACGACGATACTCGTATTCCAGTTATCGTGAGTGCAATATTGATGGACGGGCTCTGCATCGTATGAACCAAGCGCGGTCTGTATTGCCGCAGAGACGAAATCTTCAGCAGAAATGGCCTCTTGCGGGTGGTTCCCGCCGACTTGTCCCACGACGCGATTCCTCATCGATGGGTAGAAGAGGTAACCAGCCCAGAGTATGAAGAGCAAGACACTACAGGCAAGAGTTTTGCTGCGTAATAAACGATGTACAGCGACAGAGGGGTTGCCGGGTCGAATAGGAAGCCTCTTAAAGGCAGGAGGTAACGACATCATCTGTTACTCTAGACGTGGCCGTCTGAGGAAGTGTAGATGAGCGTAAGGCTTTCGAGTTTGCGACCGGCCATCTTACTCAGCCTCAGCCTCATTCGAAGATGCTATTATTAAGCAACAGCATGCTCCAAGGGGGTGGCGGCGACGTTGCCCGTGCTTGCAGGGTTGTAATTGGCAGGTTATGTTAAGAAAACGCTAAGGGCGACATATTCTGAAGGCTCTCTCCAATTATGGCAAGGTATCCAGCCCAAAGAGAGCTGCTACGAAGGCGAGCGGCATTGACATTTGTCCAATATCCTAAGCGAGGACGGGCCGCAATTTTGACTGCGCCCGCCCTCGCTTAGCGAATTGGTCGATTTTTAATGCCGCCCGCCTTCGTACAGAAAGTCTCACAATCCCCCCTTATATTTACCTAATTATCGTGAATATTTCGCGGAAGTTAGATCTGCTTCTTTTCTATTATACAAAGGATTTTTTCTTAAAAAAAAAGTCTCGGGCATTCCGCTGAGATATGGTGTTCCTCGGCAGCGGGCAGCTGGCCGGTTTTCAACGCCGCGCGCCTTCGTACTTCGTAAGTATCTCCGTGTAGATCGACGACAACTGCATCAGAATCCCGATTCCCGAGCAGCCCAGATTGTGGATTTCTTATCGCCCGGTAGTCGAGCCGAGCCTGCCGACTGTTGTTTTGAGTGTACCGAGGTTGGTGTTTTAAGAACCCGGCCGGAACGAGCATTCCGGCCTTAAGCGCTGTGAAGTGAAACAGGAAGGAATATGACTGATAAGAAGTGAAGTAAGAGTGGCACCACTCGATCAAGAAGGCGGCTTTCGATAATCGCGGCGACATTATTCGCAATAATAGGAACTTCTACAGGTCGGGGTGCGGCGGGGGAGTTTCTGTAGTCTGGGAGGAGCCGATACGAAAAGACGACGGTTTGAAAGGTAGCCACAAGCAGAGGAGAATTATGGCACCAACGGTATAGAGAATGATAGATCGTCTTGTTGGCAGTGCTTGTGGCACCATGATGGGCATCTGGATGAATGCCGAGCGCTAAGCCAAAAAAAGATTCTGCCATCGACGCCCCTAATCGACACCCAGGGGGAGCAGGGGGAGCAGGGAGTGGGCCAGGGGTTCGTTTTACATTTTCCCCAACATAGGGCACAGGGCGTTCCACAGCCCCGCTCTCGCGCCAGCACGCAACGCTTTAAAGCTTACTGTACTTTCCCATACCCTGGCGACGCCAAACCATTCCTTCCGGGGGAGGGGTTGGGCGGCAGAGTACTGTACTGTACAATACAGACTGTACAGTACAGTACTAAAGATTGCCGGTGCCCGTTTGTCACACGAGCTATTCCCTCGTTTCTGTCTCCGCCTGTGCTCCCACCTCCCGCTTCCCGCTTCCCGCACTTCGCGTCGTCCAAATATGACTTCGGTCGCAGTGCATCCTCCAGAGACAAATGGAGGCATTGTTACCTCATGGCTACCGCTCACCTCTACTTGGCCATCGGTCGCGGAATGCGCTACAGGCGGTATCTATTCTCAAATGGGGGCGAACGGGGCGCTAGCGATTGCCTACGATCCCTATTACGGGATGAGTATTGACAGATCGCTGACCTGTCTCCCACCTTTTGCGACTGCGTGGTGGTCTCAATCAACTACCACTCCGCTTCTGACTCACACAAGCCTCGGCCCCTTTGTCTGCCCTGGAGGTTACACCACAGCTACTTCCAGTGTCGTCAATGATATAAGCACTTTTGTTGGATGCTGCCCTTCGTAAGTTTGTGCCTGGACTTGCAGTATGGTTGCGTAATGGCTAACTGCGTTCCTAGAAGCTATACGTTTGAGGGCACAAAGGATAGTGGAACCCTTGGGCAATGCAATTCGCCTCTGTCTGTTGGTCAAGTGTTAACTTACATTGACTTGACCTCAAGTCTGCATACAGCTAGTGCAACCATTTCGTCTGAAGGAGCGAGTGTTTTCGGGGTCCAACTCAACGGATATATCTTCGCACCATCTTCGACGGCCAGTTCTTCCTCAAGTATACTATCATTAGCAACCAGTACCGGGCCGACAGTCTCGCCCACGTCATCCCAAACACCCAGCACAGGCGGTCTGAGCACAGGAGTGAGAGCGGCCATTGGTGTCGGGGTCTCCTTAGCTGTGCTGGGACTTTGCGCCCTTTTTGTCTCCTTGTTTTGCATCCGGAGATACAGGAAGAAAGCAGCGGCATCTGATAGCGGTGTTAATTTCAACGGCTCATCTCCACCGTTGCGTAATTGGATACTTAAAGGAAACGACAGGTTAGAGCGAAGTGAGATGGAGCAACCGACAACTCGTTATGAACTGGCTGGGACGCTTAGATGATGGGGCCGAGAGCCACTTCCTGTGCAGCCGATCCTTGAATGGTGGCTTCTAGCCGGTTTGCCAGATGTTCGAGCTCTTTACATTTACCTGTCCAATGCAAATAAAATGAATAATTCGATGGCCGAACATGACAGATTCCACTTTCGAATACCCGCCCAAGACCACACCTAATTCTCTCCTCTTCCCGACAATATTTCAACATGTACCAAGCCGCCTTCTCCACCTTCAGCAAGATCCTATTCTTCCGACCCTCGCTGCCCGGTAACCCCAACATACTCTTTCCCGGTGTCTCCACGATATTATATCTGATTATCACGTGATACTCGATATTTACGCTGCTCTGGCTTTGGTAGATGACATCTTAGAAATCGGGCCTGCGTCGTAGATGCTTGGTAGGAAAGAAGTTGGAACTGCGAGCGGGAAAGCGAGCGGGAGGCTGCCTTCTTATACCATCTCTCCCCGTGGATGTGCTTTCCTTAGCGAGGTGAGCTAGCTGCAATTATCACTCCTCGCACACCATCAATCGATTCCTATCCTCTCTCCCAATTATCTCTCCCCTGGCGCGGCTTCAGAACGCACGCTACTTGCATCCGACACTTGCGGCTCAAATTTTTCAGGGACGAGGCGTCAGCCACCCGTCCAATCCCTGCGCTTTCTCTGGTCAATGCGCTGACGGCCTACGAAGGAGGGCGGCATTAAAAATTGTCCATCCGCTAAAAAGCGAGGAACACCAAAATCGCTGCCTTTGGAAAATCACACCAAATCTCAATGCAACCCCTGAAACTCTTTAAAATAACTTTGTGAGGTAGAAAAGAAGCATATCTAGCTTTTATGGAATTTTCTCAATAATTAAATATAATACGGAATTACGGGAATTTTTATATTGCGAGAGTCAAGGTTGTGCCCGCCCTCGCTTAGCGAATTGGGCGATTTTTAATGCCGCCCGCCTTCGTATTTTTGCCTTGTCAGGCTTTCATGTAAATTGGATCCCACCACGTGATCATCTTTATCAAATTTGGCCAGCGACCTGTAGCATTCCATGACTCAGATGTGTATTGCTGACCACAAGCGCCGGCTCGATGATATTGATGGCTTGCTCCTAGACTAATAGGCGGAGCTCTTCTGGGAGTGACTTGAACTCTGTGAAGGCGGGGGAGACCGTGACAAGTGCATGAACAAGGCAGTATTTGGCATGTAATTAAGCTTCAAAATATGAGGGTAAAGTTGATACAGATTGAGATATCTAAAGTGCAAGAAGTGCGGTTCAGCGGAGGGTTTATATGTCTCTGCAGCTGAGCTAACCAAAAGGGGAGAATCACGTGTATGGCAACTGACAGACCGCGTTACTCATTTTGGTTGTCAGGATAGTTTGATGAATAATTATGGTGTGGAAGATAACTAATAATTATAAGAAAGGAAAAGTATCAAAGAAACTATCATGACTTCATATGGAACAAACTTCCTTCGGAAAACAGCGCAAATTGTAAGATTTCAATTGTTCAGGACAGTGACAGATTGCCCCGTTTTCACTCTGTTCTTAAAAATTAAAGCTTCAAATTCTAAAGAACAGCTTGAGCATTCATATCACTCTTGCTATTTTGCATATTTCTTTATCAATGTGGTTTTTTATCCTGATTAGGAAGCGACCCCTTTTTTAAGCGAAGTGATAACAAATAACAGTAAATAAATGTTTAAATAGTAGAGACATTTTATCACATTACCTCACCGCACTTAGATATTAAACTTCATATCTATACCTTACCTAAAGCGGAAGTGAATCAGAAGACTATGGAATCTGCGAGGAAAGGTGGTAATACTAAGGATGATTTGAGAATTTTTTTCCATGCTGGACATGGGCAGTTCACTAGCAACAGGCTACTTTCATGGATAAGGTATGCATTCTCCTCTCCAATTAGTCGGTTGTACTGTCCATATTTTGTTCACTTCATGAGTCTAATTTTTTTGGGGGGGGGAAATAACAAGATAACGAAGTGCCTCACAATCAAATGGAGTAGTGTCCAGAGTGTACTCGAAGATATGGGAAGCGATGTACTCCTTCTCCTCGATTGTTGCAATGCTGGGGTGGCTAGTACGGATGACGGAGCTCATTTCGGCATGCCCATATAATTCGAAGGCCAGGGGGGTTGGCGATTACTCTCGTACTCTCACTCAAAATTTTGGCGCTTAGATCGAGCTTTCAGTTGGCGTCGTTGGCGACCTTTATCACAGAGTTTAATCAGAACTCAGAGTCGAATTCCGGACGATGGTCTCGGGGCTGAACGCCATCCGGCACTTATTCATCTAGTATTGACTTGTGATGGCAAGTATGCAAGGAGCATTCAACTTTCGCCCAGACGTCGTCCGGAATTCCGCGAAGAGTGCATAGACGGTCTTCGAGGAGCTACCGTTCAGGTTCTGATGCTGAAGTGGAATCATGGTGATCTAGACTTACAAGAACAAAAAGAGCTTTCGCGGTACAGACAGTTCTTTCGAAATCGTTCATTTCATTAACAACCTACATCCTAACGCCGACTCCAAATTGGCAATCCTGAATATCTACAATGATGGCACCCTCATCCAAGCCCTTTTCAATCCGCCCACCTTTTCTTGGTCTTCAATACTTTCTTGCCGGTCCCTTAATACATGCTAGGAATAGCCAGTGGCTTTCGTCGTAAGCTAGGAGAGCTGCGTTGTATATCCATATCAGGCCACGCACCAGGGGGCTCCGAGAAGTTGCCACCTTGCAGTGCAGCATTAGTCGTACCATCTTCCTGTACCTCGCGATTTCTCTGCAGCGTTTGCTTCAGGCTCTGAATTTCTGCCTCGAGCGCCCTGGCCCTCCTTGCTGAAGCCTCGCTATTCTTCTTGAAGAATTTCGTCATGCTGCGAGCCTCGGCGAGGTCATTCGCATGCGAGGCTTCGAGCTGTTCTTGTGCTTGTGATCTGTCTCTCGTCTCGGCGACAGCCCTCTGGAATGATGCTTGGAGGTTGTTCAGCTCTTGAGTCAGCTCTTGCATTTTCGCTTCCCGGGCTTCTATTTGAGATTGCAGCTGTTTATGCACGACGTTCCGTTGGTCGATTTCTTGGAGATACTGCTGACTCCTTGCTCTTTCAGCGTCGATGGCAGATTGTGCCGCGTCTTGTGTGGCTTTAGACTGGCTCAATTCGTCATGATATTGTTGAATCCTAGTGTTCCAAGTGTTAATCTCTGACAGTGCCGAGGCATGTGCTATCTTCAGGTGCTGCACTTCTTGCTGGAGAGCTTCCGCCCTGAAACGCTCGGTCTCGAGTTGGGAGTCGTCCCTCGTCCTTTGGGTATGATCCTGATCGTTGATCATATCCTGAAGCTCCTGTATTTCTACCACATCTTTTCTACGTTGTTTCTGCTCCTGATCGAGCTGGCCTCTCATAGCACAAAGCTCAAACTCTCGCTCCCGCAGAATCTGGTCCTTCTCTCTCAATTGTAGATCTTTCTCTCGCATTTCAGTTGTCAGTTGACCGATCGCTTCTTGTAACTTGGCGGATTTTTGGGTATCGTTTTGTGCGAGCCGCGTGCCTTGAAGCTCCGCGGACATATTGCTGACATCATGTCGCAACTGTTCCAACTCTGTGCTTTGCTCCTCGATGACGCCCTGCTGGCCGGAAAGTCTAACGTCCTTCGCTCGAAGTTCCGACTTGGTCTTGACAAGATCCGTCACCATCCTGTCTAGTACGTCTGCCTGGCGGGACTGGATTGTCTCCACAGTTCTCAAACGAGAATTCTCTGCTACCAAATTTTCCAGCATCCGCCGTGATCTCAGGCCCTTGGCACTTGGCGGGCTGCTGAGGGATTGCTGTTTCTCCATCTGATGTGCAGCTCCAACAGCCTGGTTCTCGGTTCGAATTTGCGGGGATAAGGTACTACTGCGAGGCACCACAGTATTCGACTTGGAGAGGAGGGTGGAGCTTCCATGGTCAAAGCCTGGGCCATTTGGGAATAATTGATCGCGGTCTCGGGTAGTCATTTTGTGTGCTTCAAAAAGCTTGGTTGTCTTTTCGAAATGTGAGTGCAAGTTCGAAGGCTTTGGAAATTTCCGAGAAACCCCCACTACTTCAGCGCCACTATTTGCTCCGTAAATTATTTACGGTCTGCTATCTGCGGGGCTGAGTCAAGCACCATTTCATTCGTGCCACGATGTTCGTATCTGCCGTGTCCGAGTCTTACAATGTGGCGCTTAAACAAGCCATGTCTTGAAAACAGCCTGATCTCGAGCGGAGTCTTCAGCCTCAATAATGAAAGCGCCGGGTAGTCTGCCTTGTCCGAATCCAAGTTCTATTCGCTGGATCATCATCTACATACTTTTGCGATGAAGGACCTTTCTTTGAAGCAGTTTGATAACTCCAGCGCCAGAGTTCTGCTTATACTGTCATTGTGAAGATGTCTTTGTCGATGTTGCCTTCGGCACATGAGAACGAGTCTCCGGACACTACCAAAGTTCACGATGTGATGAACGCTTGTCATTGTAGTGAGGGGGCCGCAATGAGATTGCTGAAAGTGAAGTCTTCCGTATGCTCCTTATCGATTGTTTCACAGGCTCATTCGTTCAACAGCAGTGTAGCAACAATGTGGAGGAAGCGAAACTTCGCCACGATATCGAGACACTCTATGGAGTCCCAACAGCTCCCCCAGAGACGCAGATACACCAACCTCCTCAGGAATATGACTTTGATTTTCTTTCTGATGAGAGCTCTGATGACGACCTGACGCTCATCACGCCCTCTCCGGGTGAGGTTCCTCCAAGCAGTGAAAAAGCTCTGGCAAAGCGTCCACCACCTCCTAAAAAGCCTCAGAACCTGCGAAGCGTAAGCTTGCCAAAGAATGAGAGCGATGATACCAAACAGAATCCCACCAGCCCCACCAGCCCTCAGCCAGCCCAGAAATCTTCCCATCCCATCCAAGATGGGACCTCTGCATCCACCCCTGAAATTGCTTCTCATCTAGCGTCCCGGTCAAACAGTTGGCCAGAGATGGAGCCGATAGCTACAGAGTCTTTCACCGAGCCACCGACTATTCCCAAGCTAGTCCTCAAAGAACCTTCCTTTCCACAGCTAGTTTTAGAAGACCTCGTCATCGAGGATCCAGCCTGTAGCGCCCCTCAACCCGAAAATCCAATGGTGGAAGATGTCAAGGAGCCGGAATGGAATTTCATTCTTCCAGAGATCCCCCCACCACCAAGTTTAACACCTGGAGTGGGAGAAGGTAATGATGGCTTCAGTCTGCGGGATTTAGTTGGTGCTATTCAACATGGAATAGACATCCGTTTTGTGACAGAGTATCTAGCGTATTATGACTCGGACGTTATACGAAGACATCTCTGCGACACGCTGGAAGGGTTCCCGTCAATCTTCTTCGCTGTGGGAACAAACAATGAAACCCTGATCCGAAGGTGGCATGAATTTGGCGCAGACGTTTCAGCTATCCACTGCGCTTCAAAGGTTCCTCTCCTCGCTTTCGCTATCATGAATAGCGAACAGCTCGACACTGATACCACACTCACGGTGTCAACACTCCTGAGTCTCGGTGCGGCCCCCGAAGTCATCCCTTCATCGTTTTACACACCATTTATCCAAGATCTTCCCGACAACGGCCCCAGCGACGAAAGCTTGAAGAACGACATGGAAGACAAGACTAACTCTTGGTGTACTCCTGCCGCAAGAGCAAAGCTTGCCCGAACAGCTAATATCACTCAACGCTATTACCTCGAGCGTGCATCTAAGACGAAGAAACCCTCGAGTCGCCACAAGCAAGTTGCCAAGCTGAGGAATGCCGAAGCACTTCTCGGAATCCCGTATTTCTTGATTGGTCAGACAATGGCCACGAACCGACTTTTCCAAAAACTACTAAACTACATGATGGTGCCGACTAAAAGACCTTTGGTAATGGTCTTCGCAGGGCCCAGTGGTCACGGAAAGACTGAACTTGCGAGGCGACTCGGGCATTTGATGAGTTTGGATCTCGAAATCGTCGATTGCACCATCTACAACCGAGAGATAGAATTGTTCGGTCCGCGAAATCCCTATGTTGGAGCCGAACATGGAACCCCGTTGAACAATTTCCTGGCCAAGAATGCGGGGAAGAGGTGTATCGTATTCCTCGACGAGTTTGAGAAGACCACGACTGATATACATCAAGCTTTATTGGTTCCCTTTGATAATGGTAAGTATCCACTATCCATTCTGAATACCCCTGCTGATGCCACCTTTAGGGGAGTACCAGGATCGCCGTGACCTCAAACAGATCGACTGCTCCAAGACAGTCTGGATTTTGGCTACGAACGCATTGGATTTAACGATTCAAAACTTCTGCAAACTGCACCATAAACCAATTTTCGAAGATGACGACGATAGCGAGAAGCTCCGGTTGATGAAGAGTCTCTCGAAAGCGATAAAGGAAGACTTCCTTTCCCAATTTGGAGTAAGTTTCAAATTCTACACTTGAAAGGCTTTGGGAATTTCGTTCAAAGAGAAAGAGTGTGCTAATGGTCGATGCTGTAGTCTCCAGTCACAGGTCGAATCTCGGACTTCCTCCCGTTCCTGCCCTTTTCCCCCGGAGAGCAAGCGGTAATCGTGCACAAATTCCTCCTTGAATTAGGCCAAAAGGTCCGGGGACCTGTAAATCTTGTACCAGGCCCAAAGGAGCAGCTTCTTGGAAATGTAAGGTTGAAGATCCGCAAAGATGCGTCGGTGTGTCGTATTTTGGCCGAGGCGGAATATCATTCTGACCTTGGTGCTCGGAGTTTGATTATGGGCGCTAGGAAGTTGGAAGACACTCTTGTCGAAGTCTATCTCGAGGTTGACGAAGAGATCCGTGAGAGTGAGAAGATGGTTGATTTTGTGGTCGATATCAATGGATCTGAGGTAATCGCAAAGATGGTCAAGCAGTAGGAGTCAGAAAAGATAGACTTAAGTTGAACCATTAGTCTACTTAAGTCATTAGAACGATTTATGGTAAGAATAATACATTATATCCTTGTTGAAGACTTCGTTGCGATATCTAACTATCAGACATAGCATGCTCCGAGGCGGACGCGCTCGTCACAACACTCAATTGGGTTACAGCAGCAACGTTTTATAGGTCTTCAAACTCCGCAATGTTGTTGGAGAGCTTATTCCCATCACCTGACTCTTTGAATATCTGGTAAATACAACAGCCCAAGCGCACAACTTTGCAGAATCCAGGTCGCACCGTGGTAATTTGAGAGCTGGCGAGGTGGGCAGTGCTGCAGATCAAACACTGCCGTAGCGTTGAGCACGCTGCTTGCATTAACTTCTATGTATCCACAGAATCAGCGGTAAGATAAACTTCGTGTCGCAATTCTGTGGAAGCGACTCTATTCAGCCGGTGGTCTTGGCTTTGGTCGTTTGGCCTCATTACTTTTCTCGAGACGTGCAATCGGGTCATGAAGACATCTTGGACGCATATACTTCCCACATTCAGAGTACCAATGTTCAATATCAAATGTTCTTGGATCTCTGACCGGCGCAGTGAGTGCTGTTCTAGCTGCACGGAGTCCAGAATACTCGTTGGGTTCCGGGCCAACCAGCTGGTGGTTCCAAGTAATCCAGTGATCGCTGAATCGACAAAGAGAACCTTTGGTCGCCCCCTTTTCGATCAATTCCCACGGCCCGAATGCTATAAATGCGCAGGTTTGAATGAACTGCGATAGTGTATATCTATCGAAGTCATTGGAACATTGCAGCGTCTTCCCCAAGAGCCATATTGTTGCGGCGTTCGACAACCATGGTTCTTGTGGCAGGCCATCAGGATCATAAGCGATTCTTCGAGCAGGATTGCTGATCCATTGCAAGGAAATCTCAAAAATCAAAGGCTTAAAGCCGTTGAGAATGATAGCCTCCTCCTCGTACTTTGACTCAGGTGCGAATCTACGCCGACAGTAGTCTGAGGCCTTGTAGACAGAGTCTTGTTGATGATGAAGATATTCAAAATATTCTGATCCCACTTGAACTTCGACACTTTCTTGAGTGTTGAAATTTTCTTGCATTTCTTTTGGGATTGAAATTCTGCTCCCGAATCGAGCAATCAGTTTCGACACCGCAAGATTGATTAACTTACGATAGGGCATCCGCGGAGGTGTGGGAGCAATCATTCGATCGCATTGAATCGGTGGTTGTCGAAAACTTTTCGTCGCAAAATTTCGAAGTCATGAGAGGTAGAGTCTTCCTTAACTTTGTTAATATCGTGAGGCTGAGCAAGCTTTCCAGGGGTGGTGGGGCGAGACTACGGATATCGGGGCATAAAGTCATACGACTTCAGGGCATGCCTGGCCGAGATACACTATTCGTCCACTACAGGTTCAGAATATAGTGGAGGCAGACGCTAGAATTCCCTATCGAGGCTTGAGCACTGTAAGGCGTTTCAGGGATTAAAAGATATTTCTAGGGTATGCCCCTGCATGTACAGGGGCTTGATCGCTAAAGTGCCCTATAAGACCTCCAAGTTCCAGCGTCTGAGCGCTATAGCTACAGGCACTACAGGGCACATACGCTGAAGTCGCATGGCTTATGCCGCGATATCCGTACTTTAGCCCGCTTCAGGCGGTCCAAAACTCCACGGCATAATGGCCTTAGGCATCCATATGTATATAGTCACTCTCTGACAGACTACAATCCTACAAACCTTTCCACCCAACCTACTTTTCTCACGGAGGTCAGAAATACTGCACTAGAACAAACGTCATGGGGTCCTCAGGTCTGCATAAGCACTCAAAACTTACGGAGCTACTTCTTGTTTCCTTAAGATCCCTTTCAATAGAGACGAAACAATTCTGGGTTTCCTAACGGCTAACCGCCCCAGAGCCTTGTTGTTCCCCAAATGAAAATACAGTGGTGGAAAGAAAGCCTTGGGCTTTTCGAGGCTGAAACCCAAGGCACACTCCCGTGTGAGTTCGTGTGACAATCGTTCGTGTCAGGCACAGCCGCATCCCCCCCGCAGGTTCGCCCAGGATCCCAGCCCAAGGCATCCTCCAGCCGCATTATTGCTCACCAACCACGATCAAGACTTTCGGTGTGCACTCTTATATGCCAGACACGCCGAAACTTAAATGCAAGGCGCCGCTCCAAAAGCCCACGCTACTGCATCCAATGTTGCATTTGGGGTCGTAATTAGTTGGTGGCTGTGATTCAAACTGGGTGATTTTGGCACCAAGTTACTGAATACCTGTATATCGGATTAGCTTCGAATATGTTAACGAGGCTGTCGGTGGTATCCTCCCATCCCAGACACAAATCCCCCTGACGTATCTTCAAACAATTCAATCATGGAAAATCATTTCTCACGGCGCCCAGCGTTCGGGCAAGTTGCAGCGATAGGAACTTTGTACGATGCAAGGAATGAGCGCTTCCTCTCCGGATCTCTCTTCGACAAAGCACTGCCTCTAGCAAGCCTGTCAAAAACTATCATTGGCAAAACAACCTGCAAGGTCATTCATAATGACTCATACGAAGACAACCTCAAGTTGATGGGCGTTGGCAATGACTTCGGCGCGAGTATCCTCGCCAGGCTTGTCGTGCCAGACGGCGCTGGTCGAGTTCTTGGCGAGAAGACCGACAGCAGACACATCTTACATGCAGCTATCCACCACCAGATTTTGACCGTCAGAGAAAAGCTGGATCCAGCGAGCCCAGGAGTCAACGAGTGCAAGGCCGCTTCGTTCGCAGAAAATCACGATGCCACACATATTGTAATGGAAATCGAATGGGGAGCCCAGAGCACCGTGATGGCAAGATCTCACTCAGATACGAGAAAAAGTCGATTCCAGGCCCAGGTTCAGGCATTACAAAAGGCTGTGGAAACTGGACGTCCTATCGTTCAAGGAAATGTTGCTTGGCTGGCGGATAACGACACACAAATCGATGTTATGGCCTTCAGCGACATCTTAGACGATGGTATTCTCATGAGTGACTCTCAAAAGTTCCAGGAGGCATACGAATTTCTGAGCGTGATTCCAGCTCATATCAAGCATGAAAACAGTGGCAAAGGAAATCCAGGTACGTACAATCTCCCCTTCCGGCAGAACCGTCGATCCTCCGCGTTGTAATTCTCAAACAAGTTTCGAGCAAACCCTTGTTCAAAACTCTCTTTCTTCCTGATAGGCAAGATTGTTACTAATTTGAATACGTTCAAAGTTTTCTACACACTTCTCCCCATTCCATTACTCAATGTGTTTCTTCGGACGGAAACGGCGGAAAATGTTACCTACGTACAACCAAGTCAAGACCTACTAACGTACTTCGTCAAGATACTCGACGAGTTTGACTTCTGTCGTCGAAAGTGGAATGACTACCAAGCGTTCGTTGTGACACATAAGTGGTGCATTCCGGAGACCCACATACGAAGTATCGCCAGTCAAAAACAAAAGCTCGAGAATGCCAAAACTGCTCTGCAAACAAAATACGCACAGGTTCTAGTGGATGTCCGCGAGGGCCACTCACAGTTGGAGACACTTCGCGTGCTCCTGGGTGAGTATGCTCGAGGATCCTCATCGCCGAGGGAGATCGCCATATTCGATGAGTCCCAGCAAGCCAAACTACAGTTCATCGACAAGATGGTTGAAAGTGGAGCTACTTACATTGGATACAATGGCCTAGATCTGGATTCGGAAATTTCGAGGCGCAAGGATGGCGAGGTATATGTTTTATTCTTCAGCAGCCTGGCTAGAGGTGATCAGCAATCGTGGGTATCAAACCAAGCTTTGCTGCTAGAACTACTACAGAAAGCTCAGCCCAACTGCTTTATCGCCATATTTGACTGCGATGCGGCTGGATTCAAGCTAGAGAAAGCACACATACGGCATTTTGAGAACGGGAGAGAGGCCGCAACGGACTTGGTAGAAGAGCGACACTTCCTGGCTGATAAATGTTTCGCAAGGCACAGCCAGTTTGGACTGGAGACTGAAGACATATTGAAGCCAGTCAGACGGCGATTTGTTAAGATTGCCTGCCCGGGTCACAACTGCGACGTGAGGGAAGTCTGCGAATGGTTATGTCCCCAATGCATGGCACCTATTGAATTCGGATACTCCGATCAGTTCTTCTACTGCGACTGCGGGAGAAATAGCTTCAGTAATTACGACTTCAAGTGCAAAGGCTCAACCCATGGAGTAGAGTATGCGAAGTATGATCCAAACGTCTTGAATACTTTACTTCAAAGCCTCGACCAATCGAACTATCAAAACATATTGATCCTCGGCGAAACAGGGTGCGTATAATTTAACAAAGTTTCCTTGATTTCTTGATTTGCATTGGAGAATATCTGTAAGAGGTAGGGCTAACTGTATGGTGCGGAAAAGTGTGGGAAAATCGACGTTCATCAACGCTTTCGTAAACTATCTGACATTTGACACACTTGAGGACGCCAAACAACATAACAGTCTTACTTGGGTCATACCATGCTCCTTCTCAACACAGACAATGGATCGGGAAGGGCCTGATGGCGAGATTGTCGAAACAGAAATCAAGGTGGGGTCCAGAATTGATGAAAACGATGGGAGCAAAGGGGCCTCTGCAACACAACAGACCATTGTCCATGTGAGCCAAAACCACTGCGCCGATTTTTCATGCTTGCAATGATAGTGCTGACAAGAATTTTACAGTCAGTCGAGGCAGGCGCTGCAACCATCCGCTTGATTGACACGCCCGGAATCGGGGACACGCGGGGCATTGCCTATGATCGCAAGAATATGGCCGATATTCTCCAAACATTGAGCAACTACGACGAGTTACATGGCATTCTGATCTTACTCAAATCAAACAATGCCCGCTTGACAATCAGTTTCATTTACTGCTTGAAGGAGCTTCTGAAGCACTTGCATCGTAGCGCTTCAAGTAACATGGTATTTGGATTCACCAACACACGCATTTCTAATTACACCCCGGGTGACACGTATGGGCCTTTGAAGACCTTACTCGGCGACCATCCTGATGTCGGCCTCTCGCTCACTACGCATACCACATATTGTTTCGATTCTGAAAGCTTTCGCTACCTGGCTGCTTACAAAAACAATGTCTTCTTGGACAATGAAGAGGACTTCCGTCGTAGCTGGCAACACTCCAGGATGGAAGCCTTGCGGCTCGTCAAAAACTTTAACTCTAAACCGCCCCATTCTGTGAACAGCACTCTCAGCCTCAATGGAGCCCGCGAGCTGATTTCCGAGCTTACAAAGCCCATGGCAGAAATTTCGCAAACCATTCGCGCCAACATCGCCCTGTGCGCGGATAAAGAGCAAGAATTGGGAAACACCCAGCTCACTGGCAACAATCTACGCAAGCGGGTCCAACTGCAAAGAATACAACTGCACCCTAAAACACTCGACAAGCCGCGGACGGTGTGTACTGCCGCCTCATGCGTTGAATACAAGGATGACGGCAATGGCAATGGTACGGTTGTTACGAACTACGTAACCCACTGCCATCCTGTATGCTACGTCTCGGGCGTCCGGCCAGACAGTATCGCCCACCCTGGACTTCGGAACTGCGCGGCATTCAGCGGTGAGTTGTGCAGAAAATCTAGCTGTGGACATAGATGGGAACAGCATCAACATGTGATGTATGAGCTGGTTGAAAAGATGGCGACAGTCACAGACAGCGAAATCGAAAAGCAATTGAACGCCAATGCCGGTGATGTCACCCTGAGGCAGACAGCCATTAGAGAGCTTAAACAAGTAGGCATGGAATATGGACAGGAGCACAGGCAGATCCAGCAAGCGGCTGCCCAGTTCGGTATGTTTTTGAAGCAGAACTCGTTGTCTCCCATCAACGATGCGACTATTGCATACATCGACTCCTTGATAGCTGCCGAAAAAGATAAGATAGAAGTTGGAGGAAACAAAATCAAACTCAAGGCTCTCGAGGCTGATCGTGCGGAATACATCGTAAGTGTTTCGTTTCCTCAGAGTGTTTTGCTCGCTCAGAAGAGCTTTTTGAGGCAAGATCTCCTCTAGGATGGGAATATGCTGAGCTTGGATTCTGTAACGAATTACTAATCCGAAGAGCTTGTAGGAAACGATGAAAATTCTGACAATCAACATGAATAACAACGCCAACTTCAAACCGCTTGACGAAGCAGGCGTCAGCCAACTGGTGAAGCAGCTATACTCCCTCAAGCACTTTGGCAAGAACCTCCAGAATGTCAAGAACATTACCGCAAAGGCGCATCAGGCAACGTACCGAGAGAGACCCCACCGACTGCCTAGAAACCAGAATAATTCGAAGAGTCTTCTCCAGAGTGTTTGGACCAAAACTCCGCCGCCGCAGCCCGTTACTCGCATACAAGGGCATTTCCCTCCGCTGCCCTCGCGCAACAATGTTCTTGTCAAAAAGACAACGCCATCTTCTGGTTCATCGAAGGGGAGCTCGGTATTTAGTTGGTTTAAGTGACAAAGTAGCGAAGGTAGCGGCGCGAGGGGTTTCGACGAAGTATTCGTAGGTCGTCCGCTAATATACCTAACAGACTTCCCAAAACATTAGCTAACTTCACTACAGAGGATTGGGAAGAAGAAAAATTGTCTCCCGTGCTTCGGTCGGAGAGTATAATGACTTCTGCCTGTCATAAATTACATGAGGAATAGGGGGAAGTGTTGCGGTGATGACAATATTGATGGTAAAATGATGTAATTGCTGGTTGACTAAGCTAAGTACAAGCTGAGTGAAGATAAAAGAAAGGGGTTTGAAAGGATAGAAGCCCCCCTTGTACACACTCTTGATCCTTAGTTCTAAGGTAGTCTAGTAAGTGAGAAATGAATTGTTCTGGTCCAATTGCGTAGGCACAATTAATTAATCATACAATCAATGTTGTAATAAAAGCTAGAGAGTGTGATACCGGTAAGGGAGAGTATATAGTAAGCTAAAGCTATATACAAGAGGATCACATGCTAGTGAAACGTGCTAACTGAAGAAGAAGCTAAAACACGTGACGCCACAATCGTATTATCTAACACGTTACTTTACCTATAGAATTCTTAATTGAAGAGGCCTAACAATGCATTTTTACATTCTACTTTTGAATATATTTCCCTCCTTTAAATTTACTTCTCGTCTCTTAGGCTATTAGTCTTAAGAATTAAAAGAGAGAAGTAACTCGCCTGGGAGCGGGCGCATAAACGAGATATTTTCTAAAGCGCTATAGCGGTATATGGAGGGGCATAGATTACGACCCCCTAGTGAAGCAACTTGTAAATGAATCAAATGATTGATTTGCATATGACTTAGCCATAAGCGAGCCCCTCCTTTTGAAGTCGCTAACAATATCCTCCAGAAAGGCCAACCAACCATTCCAACGTATCTAAATCCTCTTCATATCTAGTTGCTTAAGACGCCATCGATCCCATCCAAATTTGCCTTCCGTATTCAAGGCTGCTCAACAACTCTCTCAAAACTTAAGAAGAGCTTATTGCTCGCTGGACCACATGTATACCCATCAGTCTGCTCAATCCCCTCATCATCCACAATATATGTTCTGAAATTCGAGTACACCGCCCCGACAATAAGCTTCAACTCTGTATATTGTCAGCTCCTCTCCTCACTTCGTCTTCCTCAAAATAAGACTTTCAACATACCAAACATTGCAAAATTACTCCCAACACACATCCGCCCACCACTACTAAAAGCCCAAAAATGCCTATCCCTCTCCCTTTTCTGCTCCTCGCTGTATCCATTCTCAGCACCCATCCAACGCATATAATCCCATTTCTCTGGCTCGGGATATACTTCTGCGTTGCGGTGGACGCTGTGAGCTTGAGCGCCTACTCGGACACCGCCTGGGATGTCGGTGAAAGGGCCGAGGCTGCAGGAGGGGTAGGGCGTCATTCGTGGCTGACCGCCTGGGATCGCGGCGCGAAGGCGGAGCGTCTCCATTAATACGGCGTGGAGGACGGGGAGAGCGTCGAGATCTTTGGAGCTGGGGATATTCTTCTCAGAGGACGATGAAAGAAGCATATTCGGTGACAAAGTCAGGAGCTCCTTGCGTAAAGTGTCTTGAAGAGCGATATCTTGGGATAAATGCCATGAGAGATACGTCATCGTGATTCCAGAAGTCTCATGGCCAGCTGCAAGATGGTCGATCATTTCGCTTGCTATACTCGCCTCCGGATACCTGAGTGTCGTGTTGCTGAGCACGGATTCAGAGCCTTTCTTCTCTTCTTTTTCGATGCCAGAGAGTAGAGAGCCGAAGACGACGGGCTCATTTGCTGGATCGGAGTCCTTGGCCGCAGCTCCAGCATTGACATAAACAGATGTAGCATCGCAGCGATCTTTAGTCCATGCCTCAAGTTCTCGGTTCGCATCATCGACCCATGTTGGGGTGAGATTGATGTAGAAGTGTTTCAAGAATCGGCTCAGGCGGGGAAGTTCTTGGGAAAAGAAGGTGTATGTCTTGCGGCTGTGGTAGAGTCCAAACCAGTGTCGGCGATATGGCTCGTTGTTGAGGAAGTTGCTTCCGTTCTTAAGGCCGAATTGGTAGGCTGTGATGAAGTCCATCGTCGTTGCATTCCAGACGTCGTGAACGTCAATACCATCTGCCGATCGAGCTGAATCTGAGATGGATGAGATTATCGGTAGAAGGCGGCCATACAGTATGACTTTTGCTTGTTCTGCTAGAGCTGTAGAGCTGTGTATATTAGATTTGGAGTAGATGTTCGAGATCATTCGCTTTCTTGCTGAATGGGTTCGAGAGTGCCACGAGGAGAACATGCAGGGAACGCTGCGGATTTGTTAATCGCCAAAGTCTGCTAACCAAAGAGACAACGAACCCATAGTTATCAAAGATCGAGTACCACTGTCCCTTCTCAAACCCACCTGCGTACACGGTCCTCAATCCACCAACGTCATTCACACTCAGCTCATTCGGAGCAAGACGAACAACTGATCCATGCTTAAGATGAGCAGCATGAACCCTCCGATTCTCCTGACAATTATATCTCGACCAGAGTATCCAAAATGGAGAGATAGAAGAGGACCAATGTGCGTTTGGGATTTTGGAGAGTGGTGAGGTAAAGGTGGGGTAGAAGATGAACTTGTAAATGATAGCGATTGAGATGGCAATAGACGCCAGAACAGGAATACTGAGCGACAACATTCCAAGAGTCCACCCGATCTCGAGGACCTATTGGAATGCTCGCGGTTTGTCCAAAAGCTCGAAGTATTGAAGGAAGATTGTCACGTGACTCCCGTTTGGCAAGGTCGGTGAAGGTCGGAACTTTGACAGCGGGCTTCCGCAGCTTTTATGTGATATGGCCCTTGGCATGCGAGGAGATAGCGTTACGTTATGGAGCGCCTTTACTGGAATATGCGGAGGAAATCAACAGGAGTTCTCGCCCTGCATCACCTTGGATGAGTTTGCGTGTTGCACAGAATGGTGTGGACGTTTTATACTTTCGTCACTGGTCAACATTCCCGTGCCATTGCTGGACTAAACCGATAAGGAGGAGATGCGGGTAAATTTAATCCCAAAAGGGAATGTGGACGCGATCTTGGCGGCCGCCCCCTTTATGTAGAGACTTCATGTGATTGGCGAAGCCATTTCCCTTCTTGCAGAAGTAGCTCAAGTAAGCAGTTTAAAACGACCTCAGATACTCAATTTTATTTTATTTTCGTGTCGAACATGAACTTCGATTCTTCGAGACATCTAATCAGTGGCCTAGTAGCCCTGTCTCTCCTTCGGAGCATACCCCTCCTCAAGATATGCAATGTCCTCAGCAGTCAACTTACCCGAGTCTGCAAACTGTACGCTCTCCACAGCTTGGTCGATTCTCTCCTTATTGCTCAATCCGATGATCGGGTTGACCTTATCCTTGCTCAAGCACCAGGCAGTGGCGATGGTAGTCATCGAGACGCCGTGCTTCTTTGCAACCTCCTCGACTCTTCCAATAACACGCTTGTCAATCTCGGTTTCCTTTCCTCTGATCATTGCCGCAAGCATTCTATCGCTCTTCTCGCGGGTTGTGGTTCGGTCGTCAAACGGACGTGCGAGAGCCCCTCGAGCGATGGGAGACCATGGGATAAGCCCCACTCCAACATCGCGACAATAGGGGATCATTTCACGCTCTACAAAGTCAAATCAAAACTTTGAGCAATGGGCGTATCGGCCTACCTTCTTCACGATATAACAAGTTGTAGTAGTTCTGCATTGAGACAAATTTGTGCCAGCCGTGCTTTTCGGCGATGTTCTGCAAAGTTTGGAATTCCCAAGCAGCCATCTGCGTCTAGTCAGCTTTCTACCCATTCCTCATTCCTTAAATATACTTACACTGCTAGCTCCGATATATCGAACCTTGCCACTCTCCACCACATCGTTCAATGCTCTCATGATCTCTTCTCTGGGGGTGTCACGGTCGAGCCTATGAATCTAGAGCACATCGATGTACGTCCCCAATCTAGCAACACTCTTGTCCACAGCATCCAAAATGTGCTTCCTGCTCAATCCAACCTGATTGACCATCAGACCATCATTCGTAGATGCTGCGGCAATCGGAGGCTGTGATCCATCGTCCGAGACCCCGAAATAGCATTTGCTTAAGATGACAACCTTGTTCCGAGGAATATTGTATTGTTTCAATGCCTTGCCAATAATTTCTTCAGATTTCCCGTTCGAATAGACATCAGCGGTATCCCAGGTGTTGAGACCAACGTCATAGGCGTGTTTCAGGAGAGGGAGAGCTGCATCTTCATTGATGACCCATTCTTGCCATTTAGATGTTCCGAGGGACATGCAACCAAAAATAACCTTTGAAATCTTCAGTCCTGAGTTTCCAAGCCTGGTGTATTCCATCTTTGGGGCAGTTTTCCCTGCCATTGCGGTTGACAGGCGGGCGAACAATTGTTGTCTGTATTTCTGCGGTCGGTCAATTGAGAAGTAGAACACAAATTTGGAAGAAGAAGAAGAAGAGCAGGATAGCTGAAGGAGCTCAAATTTTGAAGCAGCGAGAAATGGCAGGAGACAGCTCCGGTTATGTGGTTAAATAATTGGTGAATTGGCAGCTTCGACCCCCTTCCCTCCATTGCCCCCTGCAGGTCTCCCCACTGTTGCATCACAAACACTTAAATCCGGCGCAAACGCCGACGGCACTTGCAGGCGTGCTTCTCGGGGCGGGGCAAGGTTCTTACGTATCCTACGGCTTTCCGTACTTTCCGTACTTTCCGTAGGGTTAGCTCGGCATCGCATCGATCCCCTTGGTTACCAACAACGCCTCCCTTCTTTTGTCCTCCCAATACCAGAGGATACGAACTTCCTCGTGGTTTTACGCTCGGAATGAGCAACGTCCCCCAAGCTGCATTATAAGGGAAAATTTTCGACTGCAACGTCAATCAAGTGATGGCTGTTCGTCACCCGAGTTCAGCTCCTGCACGTGAGCATCTCCTGAGAGGGGAATGACTCACTTTCCACGCGAGTGACTTTGCCCGCCTGTGTTAAAGGTCTTGATAGATGTACATTTTCTCCATTCCCAATTGCTTCTCTATCCAATTAACACGCACTTTTTCACTCGTTGGAGTCACTACTCTCACTCTTTCCAATTGACAGTCCAAATCGTTCTCAATCAATTCGATTTCAATTGAAACAATGGCTCAAGAAACCGCAGACGAGTTATCACAGAAGGTTCAAGGGAGCCTCGAAGACACTCCATACGCATGTACCTCCCTCGTGAAACTCTCAGGCGGTACGGCGAATTTTGTATACCGCGGAATCCTCGTGACGCCTTTGGAAGATGGCTCCAGAACAATTGTCATCAAGCATACCGAGCCATATGTGGCATCAAACTTCAGTTTCAAGTTGACAGCCACTCGTTGCGTAAGTTCCCACATTCTCCAAGCATGCCACCAGAAACGTTGACACGTGACACAGGAATTCGAGGAGACCATCCTCGCAGCACTCCATGACCTCCCACCGGTCTTGAGAGAAGGCGTCACAGTTCAAACTCCCCACCTATACCATTTCTTCCCCGAAACCGACACACAGATCTACTCCGACCTCCCGTCTTCCCTGGATCTGAAAACCTATGTCCTCAAACACCCACTCACACAAGCTCAATGCATGCATTTTGGTAACGCCATTGGTCTCTGGGCTAGACAATTCCACGCATGGGCTAATACCCCGGAACAAGAGAAGTTGAGAGAGAGTATGAAGGGCAATACTGCGATGTTAGAACTCAAGTATCGCTTGAATTATGGGATGAATTTGATTGGTACCATTGACAACTTTCCAGAACTGCTTGAGGGAAGCCGGAAGACTTTTGAGGCGCTGGGAAAGAGGGTTAGGGGTGAGTTGGACTCGGAGGAGGGAAGCTTAATCCATGGGGATTTCTGGAGTGGAAAGTGAGTGCCATTTAATCGTCCGTGAAGTTTGCAGTGGCGGCTGACGATGACAGTGTCTTACTCCCAGACATCCTCCTCACCGATGAAGAAACGCCAATTAAATTGTTCGTCATCGACTGGGAACTCAGCCATATCTCTTCTCTTGCATTCGATCTCGGCCAAATGTTCGCCGAGCTCTTCGAGCTGAAGCATTTCAAGGATATCGATGCTGGAGTATGGCTCATCGAAGCGTTCATGCAAGGCTACGGAAATATTGGTGATGATTTTGCGTTCAGAACTGCAATTCATGTTGGTGTGCATTTGATTTGCTGGGGGTCGAGAGTCCAGGGGTGGGGAACGAAGGAGCAGGTTGAGAAGGTGGTGGAAGTTGGGAGAGATTTTGTGGTTAAGGGATGGGAGAAGGATAGGGCGTTCTTTGAGAGCACTGCTCTGAAATGTGTTTTCCACTAAATAATCCTATCCGGAAATGAAAATCAAAGATAAAAATGAGATACGTATACGCTAAGACCGCTCGACATTGCCCCCTAACGCTTCGAACAGCTACGCTTTAAATAACTCCCCAAGCCCTGTCAATCGGCAGCGAGACGCCATTTATCCCTCTGGCCTGATCGCTAGCCAGGAACAGGATCACACTCGCAACTTCCCCTGCCGTAGTCTGCGGTTTCTGACCAGCTGGGTTATGCAATTCCCAAATTGGTCTGTCAAATCAGTACCCCAGCATCCCAAAGAATAAGATCAACTTACTGAAGTCTGGAGAAAGTATCCTCATCGAAATGCTCCTTGCCGACGGATGAGAAGATGTTGGTGTCGATTGCTACATTGTTGTTGGTTGGTAGGGGGGGGGGGAACAGGAGAGTGAGCCACTTACACCCAGGCAACACAGCATTACATCTAATCCCCTCCTCATGAAACCTCCACGCCGTATGCTTCGTCACACCAAGCTGTAGCTCATCAGCCTTTTCCTTCTCCCGCAAAACTTGAAATCACTGACCAGCCCATGCTTACTCGTCGTGTACGCCACACCAGCCGCCGCACCACTGACTGCCGCCTTACTCGCCACATTGATGATGCTCCCGTACTGCTTGGCTTTCATGAATGGGAGCACGGCGCGGATCATGCGGGTTGGAACGGTGAGGTTTGTGGTTAGAATGCGCTCCCATTCGTAATCTGTGATTTTGTCGGCCGCTTCGTAGGCGTCCATTATTCCGGCTACGTTTGCTAGGACGTCGATTTTGTGTCTGTTTGAGAGTCAGATGTTGTACTTGATGTGATACTGAGAAGGAAAGCCCTCCGTTGCTGAGAAATATAGCCCACGAAAGATGTGGAAGGGAATATGACATCCATCCCAAGATGATGGTCCAAAATTAGGAGAAAATGCCCCCTGAATAACCGAGAATATGTCCAGTCCTCCTTCTGAATGCTAAAATTGTAGTGCATGGAGATATAGCCACTTTGTTGGTTTACGTTACTTGACATCGAAACAGAATGCTTCATAACACAATTGGCAAACTTCCTCGTCATCTGCACATGAAAACAATCGCTGTCCAGCAGCAATCTGAGAATCAAGAAAAGTCACATGATAAAGTGCCACTCACCCAAACTTCGCAACACATATCCTTACAACCTCATCACACTCCCCTTCCTTCGCCAAATCGCCCCGATGGAAATGCAATCTCTCCTGATCCCTAGGATCGATCTTCTCGTAGTCGATTTCCGCGATGTCGACACCGAGGACCTCGAATTGGTGGGAGAGGAAGAGTTGGGTAGTGGCGAGACCGACGCCAGAGGAGCAGCCGGTGATAATGGCTACTTTCCCGAAGCCGGTGCCGTCGATGGTACGGCGCGATTCGAGAGCCTGAGCGGGGTTGTGGTAGGAGAATGGCATTTTGATATTTGGTGGGATATGCTTCAAGGAGGGTGGACAGTGAAGCGTGGACAGCTGAGGCAGCAAAATCAAGTACGCGAGTTCTTGCTCGAGGAAGAGAATATGGAGAGGAGTGGAGAAATATAAGAAGAATCTGTGGAAAGCCAATTCCAGATCTGACAGAGAAAGAAACGAACTTATACCCCTCTAATTCCTGCTCGCTTGCTCCATGAGTGAGAGGCGAGCATTCGATTCGGATGTGGCCGAGTCGTATGACTTTTCAGGAGTTTTGGATTTATCCTGCGCGGCGTGGCTAGTGAGGGTCTATAGTGCCAAGGAATGTGACTAGTTTGTTGAGTTAGAGAGATCATGTTTATCTTTGAAGTCGTATGACTTCAAGGACGATGTCGAGATGATGTTGTTTTGAAAGCAGATGGTGGTATTGCTGAAGAAAGAAACCCTCTTTCGAAGAATTTTCAAGGGGTGGGAGGCAGTGCTGACATATGCGCAGAAGCCATTCCATATCAGTATGTTTGAGAATGCGGGCTTTGGCTGGGCTTGCAGGGGTTTACGAAGTTCTCCACACGGAGACGGTGGAACTCTGACGGACGCCCTTCTGCATCTTCACACCTTAAAAGGACATCATTGCAACAAGTGTTACAGCAAAATACGCTTTCGAAGGTCGTAAGCCAAAAGTTCCTTTTAGAATATTGAGTGCTTCAGTGTTTAATCGTATTTGGCCTCTCAATCACATGTCAATCCGCTTCAAATACGATTCGAACTGAGGCTCCACCTCTCCTAAGTGCTTCAAAGTTGTTGATCTGATTTTGAATTCGCACCACAGAGGTACTCTTCAAACTAGCAGAGCTGGCGCTGTTTGATCATGGCCAATTTCGATGTAAAAGGCAAGGTATGTTGTCAATGTCGCTCCGCACCCGAGTTCCATTCCTGATACCTCAGTCAGTATGTCGTTATTGCTGGAGCTTCTCGAGGTTTAGGAAAGGCTCTGGGCCTTGAGCTTGCGGCAAAAGGTACTTGGCAGTACTTCTCCCTTTCTGGATCATCAGCTAACCTAGCAGGGACTCATATCCTACTTCTAGCGAGAGGGCAGGAAGGGTTAGAGAAAGCTCAGAAAGAAATGCTGGCAGCTCGGCAAGAAGCAACACAAACTATCGTTTATCAATGTGTAGATCTCACAAAATCAGCCGAGGTAAGAATCGGTCTTGAATTCGGTGACTGGGATTTGAGCTGACATTGTGAAGTGTACAGTTGCCATAAGAGCTGCCGTAGACACATACGGCTTTCATCCAGATCATCTCTTCTGCGTAGCAGGAGGAACGAGCCCAGAACAGATAGGCTTCCTCGCAGATCTGAAGCCAGAAGGGCTGGTCTCATGTTTGGAGGTCAATTACTACGCTGCCATTTTCATCACCCAAGTCATTCTGAAGCGATGGATTAGTACAGCACCAACGACTCACACTCGCCATATTACCTTTGTCTCCTCGAACGCAGCTTTTGTCAGCATTCCAGGATACATCGCATACACCCCAACAAAAGTTGCAATCCGCGCATTTGCCGACACACTCCGGCAAGAACTGCTCCTGTATGGAGAGAAGGATGCGTATCAGGTTCATTGTGCATATCCCGGCTGCTTCATATCGGAGTCTTTTCTAGCAGAGGCAGCTAACAAACCCGAACTGACCAAGATGCTGGAGGGGAGTGACATGCCGGAAGACCAGCTGATTCAAAAGACAGAGTCTGCACAATCTGTTGCGAAGAAGATCTTGAAGGGGGTGCAAAGAGGAGATTTCTTTATTACGGTGGATCTTGAAGGTGCGTTATTGTTGAATAATATGCGTGGTCCGAGTCCTCGCGATTATGTACTTCTGGATATTTTGCTGGCTCTCCTTGCCCTCATAGTTTGGCCGTTCGTGAGGCGGGACTTCGATGCTAAGACGACCAAATACGGGAAAGCTCGTAGGTGGCAGTCTGGGAGATGAAGCAAATTTCACCGCTCGAGCAAAACTAGCCAGGTCTGATTGAGCCCTTTTGAACACAATGATAGCATGCACTCACTCAAGTCTTCCAATAAGTGATTGTACGCGGACAGTGCCTTTTATCATGGCCTCTTGATTCCGAAATCGCACCCCTATCTCGCTTCACGGGCCGGCATCTTTTCCATTCACCTTCATGTATGAAAATAAGCTTTTTTCGGCCATCAGCAAACGGCGCCGATGTAAGACGACTCGCAAGAGACCTTAACCTAACAACTATGTTGGAACGGTTAAGAGTCCCAGATCCCACGCCAAGCAACTCGAAAGCCCTCTCCCGCCGAGGCCAAATAAAAAACTCAGTTCGTCTGGTTTCTCCGCCACCAACCGTCCGGGGTTGGTAGCAGAGTTTTGCTATTTTGCTCTCAGGAACGGAATCCCTTTTTTTCCCTTATTTTTTTTTCTTTGCTCTTCTTCGTCACAAGTATACAGGTAAAGCTCGAAACTCTGAATGCTCGAGTGGTACGCTACAAGGCAAGTAACACATATCCTCGATGTCTAATTGAGAATGCGAGGTTTAGCTATTTTTTTCGTGTTTTCGCCAAAAGGGGTATGTTTACTTCTCGGTGTTCAGGGGCAATGGTGCCTGAAGATTAGCGACAAACCCTGTATTCAGCGCCACCAACACCAAAGTTTGTTGGCCGCGCAACCTCTCACGACGCCAAACTTCAGGCAACCTTCAGCATCTCTTCAACTCAACACAGCGATTGACTGACGTCGCGACTCCCGATCACAGAAGATGCTTACTCGCCATCTCGACCCTGGTTGAAAGAGAAGATGGCTCCCAAGCTTTTGGTGCTTGTCGGTGCTCCAGAAGCCAGCTCCCTCGATTGGGAAGAGTCAGGTCTCCTCAACGACTTCAGCGACCCCATCGCTCGGTTTGCCGGCCTTCATGCCCGCCAGGCGAATGAGGAGACCGTCCCAATTACTCCCGCCCTGACTTCAGCCTCAATTGCTCCTCCAGCATGGAGATCCCTTCCCCTTGAGCGACAGCACCTCGCCACAGGTCTTACCCAAAGCTTTGACCGGCACCACCTCTACACCGGCCTCTCCCAACAGAATAGCGCCCAAGGTGCCTCATTCTTCGTTGCATCTCAAATCAACTCCTTCATTGAAGAATTCTCCCAAGCACCTCCAGAAAGCCATCCCTCAAGCCACGCTTCAGCCGAGGAGCTTCTCTCCCAGTTCTACGAGGAGTCATATGCCAGACACGAGGATATCCAATCCTCACAAATTGCGCCAGCTTCAGATGTAGGGACATCATTCACGAGTGACGAACTGTCGTCTGATTCTTTTGATTCCCGGTTGCGACCATTTGGGGCTGCGAAGGAAGCCCCAGTGGCGGGGCATTTGAGCAATTTGAGCGATCTTCCGATTGCAGCGTATCTCGATTCGATCCATCCGCAGACCATGACCGTTAATCTTATTGTTGGGATTATTTCTATACCAGAACCGCGAGCCATAAAGACGAGACGAGGGGCGGCTGTTGAGCTCATCGAAGTTCTTGTTGGTGATGAAACGAGGTCTGGATTTGGAGTAAATTTCTGGCTGCCGTCATCGCAGGCCGCTCAAGGAGATATGAGAAGTATCCTTTCGGGACTGAGACCACGAGATGTGGTTTTGATGCGAAATGTAGCTCTGAGCAGCTTTCGAGGGAATGTATATGGGCAGAGCTTGAGAAAGGACATGACGAAGGTTCATCTTCTGTACAGAACCCGCGTGGATAAGAGTGATGTTGGAGGGTGCTACAGTGCAGCCGATCTTACTATGGGGGATCCTGCGCCGCCTCAAGTGGAGAAGACAAGAAGGGTGAGAGAATGGGTGCTGAGGTTCGTTGGTCTTGGTGCTGGACAGCAGAAGGGAAACGGCCCAGCCGAAGTACTCAAGGAGGTCTTGCCTCCGGATACGCAATAGTGATTACGTATCAACACACCACAGACCCATTTCCCTAAAAGTATGCTCTCTTCCGCGCTTCAAACTAGTCCATGAACTACGGTCAACACCAACAACTCAACATAGACCCAGAACTGATGCCGAAATTCGTGGACCCGAGGACTATCTAATTACCGCAGATCGGCCGCTGGACCCTGCGGAAAATCTTACTTCGTACACTATTACCCCAGCTTACCCCCGCACACGGGTTTCAGGAACATAAACTCTTCCATTGGAGGAATTATCATTCGCCATCTAAAGTTCAACGTCCCGTTTCCCAAAATCGATAGTTCGATTAACATCCAAGCTTCCTCCGTAACCGTGCCTTAAAACTTCTTTTCCTAGTCGAATGCCCATCAAATTGAAACGCAACTCCACCACCGGAAAAATTATCTTCATGTCCTAAATTGATTTTTCGTCCAATTCAACCTTGCAAGTGAAGGGCTGCGCAAGGTAATTTACCAGAGAATATTTCGTCCGAAATAAAGGTGCACGTTTGTAATCTGAGGGTTGTTGAAAAACGATATGAAGCAGCTGCGCTGTTTGCATGGCTTCTTTGCTCTGCAACCCGGATAGCATCTCTTTTGGGAAAGGAACAATTATGCGGTTCGTGGTCTTCTTTGCTGTTTTAGTAGGTGGAGTGTGGGCGGCTCCACAGTTGGAGAGGAGAGCTTGCAGTCATGATAATTGCTTGGTATGTTTTTCTGACTAAATTTTAAGCACTGGGGGAGAGGAAAGGCTGATACTGATGTCTAGAGGGCAATGATCGGCTCGTCTGCAGTTGCGGCCCCAAGTTCTTCATCGAGCTCATCCAGTGTTGTATCCTCAACGGCTTCCTCAGCTCCTCCGTGGGTGAAAACCACCGCTCCATCTGGAGCAATCATAGTCGATGGGACGTCTCCATTCACACCAGGATCGTTTCCAACCGTTCAAGGAGGAGTCAATGCCCTATCTCTAACGACAACCAACCCACAAGTGCTCTTCATCTACCCCGGAACGTACGTCGAGCAAGTGTACATTCCACCTCTAATATCAAACCTCACCGTTCAAGGCTGGACTCCCGACTCTCGCTCTTATGAAGCCAACACTGCAACCATAACCTTCAATCTTGCCCTCCTCAACGTTAGCAGCGATGACGAGACCGCCACGGTCAGACAGTGGAACCCGAACACAAAGTTCTACAACCTAAATATAGCCAACACTTTCGGACACGTGAACAAAAACGGACAAAATCTTGCTGTTTCAGCCCATACCACAAATCAAGGGTATTATGGGGTTCAACTATGGGGTTACCAAGACACACTCCTCGCCAACACCGGCAACCAACTCTACGCAAAGAGCCTCATAGTTGGAGCAATCGACTTCATCTTTGGACAAACCGCAACAGCTTGGTTCGACAAAATCGACATCCGCACCATCGCCGCCGGGTGCATAACAGCCTCCGGTCGTTCATCAGCAGCCAATCCCTCCTGGTACGTAATCAACAACTCTACCGTTGCGGGAATCAACGACACCATCCCTGCCGGCACCAACTTCCTCGGGCGGCCATGGGACTCTTTCGCGCGCGTCGTGTTCCAGAATACGTCCCTGAGTGATGTGATAGCGCCTGCGGGATGGAGAGTCTGGAGCACGTCTGTTGGAGGCGCGACGAACATTGGGAATGTGACGTTTGCGGAATATGGGAATTATGGGCCAGGAAGTGTGTTAAATGAGGGGCCGAGGGCGAGTTTTAGTGAGCAGTTGGATGCACCCGTTAGAATTGAGAGTATTCTTGGAGCGGCGTATCGGGATGAGTGGTGGGTGGATTTGAGTTATTTGGACTGAGTACTTGAGTATTTAGATATCTACTCCTAATGCTCTTCATAACTTAATTAAAAAAAAAATTTGTTCTGTATGAGATGTTTTGCTGGGGCGAGGAGCATCGAAGAATCTTTCCATGTCATTCGAACAACTTGTGTTCATTGTAAACACCTTTCAACGAGCAACAGACTAACTTGTCCTTGGGAAATGTGCCGCTGAGAATTTACTTTCAATTAAATATAAAAATAGCTCTTTTAAATAAATAATCTTACTTTAATAATATTATGCGAGTTTAAATAAGAATTTAATCAGAGTTAGTAAAACTATTAAGAATCGTAATTAAAGGGGTTAGACAGGGGGGTCCACGACTCTCGCTTAAAATTGATAGAACTAGGATTGAACCTTACGATTCTGGTATCAATACGGATCAATACCCGAAATTAGGTATAATTGCCAAGCCTGGCCGAACGAACAATAGAAGAAGGGTCACGCTTACAGTTTCTGACTAAACTAATAAGCCCCTCAAATAATCAAATAACAAAATCGGGTTTATAGTTGGGCCGAGAGTTTTCCAGCCATTATAGGCTCGACGTAACGAAGCTTGTCGTGAATTTTTTTTAGTACTGATAGTCGAGATTCTTAGTCGATGGACTTTACTCTAGGTGGTACGGGTTGCCTTCGGGGGTAATTCGACGTTCACTGAGGAGTGAATCACAGACACTTGCTTTCTCCACAGGTTTGGTTCGACGAAATCCGGGAGACGGTGTTGCCCAGAATGTGCGGTGCGGGAGAGGACTCCTCACTGAATTCGTCCAGGTCTACCACTTTTGGACATTGCTGTCATGGCATGGTTGGGTATAAAAACTCCGGACTCCAAACTCCACTTTGGCGGCCTCGTTGTTCCATCCCCTTCAATTCATTCAAAATCTCATTGCAATACACGTTTTACACCAGTCATTTATACATTCTTCTCCCCACCAGCTGGAAACCTCATCTTCAGTATCCCCCCGCACCTCGTAGCATATATACCCGCATCGGCAAGCATCTCAGTCCTTCCTTTCATCAATTTCAAGATCCTCAGAGCCTCTTCGCAAATCTCCTTCTTCTGACACGTCACACAAACTACAAACAGGCCTTCAATCGGACCGATATCAAATGCGAATGTTTTCCTGTAATATGGATTCTGGACGATGCGAGAGCAAAATTGTATCATCGCTAGGGATTCGGGTTCGAAGAGACCAGGTGTGTCAGAGCCATTTCCCAAGTATGCTCGTTTGACAACGAGGACGGATGTTAGGCCATACGTGTGCAGAATGGCATACCGGAGCCAGTCGTGAGATCTGGGATCTTCCTTCGACAACAGTGGTTTGCAAAGGTCGAACCATTGTTGCGCGTATTTCATCGTCTTCTCGAAATAACCTGGGGGTCCTGGTGGAAGCGGATTGATCGATTCGTCCTTTCCCGCATATATATCTCGGAGACGCTGAAGGTACGGATAACCTCTATATTGCCATTCTTGCATGTAGTTTCTTACTTGTTGGATATTTCTGAACGCTCTAGGCATGTTGATATTTCCCTCGATGAATTTTATCTGAACTAGACGTTTGCCCGCCATGAAATCTGTTACTACAAACATGCTGTCGATACGCGCGAGGAGTATTGACACCTCATCTTCAAGGCCGAAGACCGAAGAAACCGAATGCCGCTTTGGATCGTAACGGACGCTGGAGGTGAGATGCGTTCGCATGAAGTTCAACGCGGTTTTAATGTGTTTAATAGCTAATTCGGTTTCTCCTTGCAGATTCTCGAAGCAGAAGATGAGCAAAGAGGCTATGAGAGAGATGCGGACGGCTTCTAGGTCGCTGCGAGAAGCAAGAAGCTCCCGAATCCCTCTGAGAGCCTTACCGTACTTGGCCGCCTATAAAACACCTCAGTCAGTGGACGTTTCGTAGGATGTCAGACTGAATACTGGGGGGGGGGGTTGTTCAAAGGGGCCCTGGTACAGTACATGTACCTGGCAGCGATTGTTCATATTGAGCACCAGCAGTACGATAAGAAAGGATGATACGCACACCAAATTGGGAATGTGGTACCGGCGAAGAGGAATTCCGGGCTTTGTTCATGGCAGAGACAGCGAGTGTGAGATTGCGTATCGCCATGTGGCCAACATTCGCACGGGGTATAACTTGGCTCCAAACTTCTTCCGGCATGGCCCCCGAGAGATCTATGACTGTTTGGTTTCGATAATGGAGAAAATATTGGTATTCCTCCTGGGTCTCAAATCCAGTTGTCGATGAAGGCCGGTATATCGAGAGGCCCACCGAGGTGCTCGGTAACAATGCAGCTGGTTTGCGTTCTCTTGACACTGGCGCCAATGAATAGTCTTCATAGCCATCACACTGTACGCCAAACTTGTCGCATCTAAGACACAATGGCTTTCGCTCATCGCACTTAACTCGGCGTACTCTGTAGAGCATCAGCCATATGGAATGAGCAACAACTACCAAGCATCCGGCAGCGTCCCAAGCCAGTAAGAAACTACTCACTTGCTAAACATCGAAAGCGGGTTAGTACTTAGAAGTGACTGGGAAGGTAGAATTCAAAGTTGAGGTGGAGTCCTGTGGAACATCTTCCACTAGCTAAGACACGAGGGATGAGAAGCAAGGAATCAGAAATGGAGACCAACCATGTTTTACACCCCGTTCTAACCTTCGGCTTTTTGGATCTCATACGAGGACGCTTTGCTTGACTTTCTTCAGCCATCCGCAATGGCATCAAGGCTGTCGAGTGACCCGACCCCTGAACATTTGCCATGATTCTTTCCATTCAAGACTCGCCAAGAGCTCGCTGAAAGCCCAGTCATACTCAAAAGGGGGACTTTAGACAGAAGTACTCATCGATCTTGAAAAGCGAGTAATGGTATGTCCGAAAAGTCTGCCGAACATGGACGACGGCATTTCGCTTCACAGCCACGCACAGACAACCCGCTTGCGCCCCCTGCAAAAAGTGCCCGGTTCTTTTTAAAGGGGTAAACATTCCCTCCGAGAATGCGGTGGCAAACTGCAAAACATATCCCGGAAATAAGTACTCCCTCTCAGGTACCAGCACAATAGGCAAGTCCCGGTGAAGCTCAACAAGGAAGTCTAGGAACCTGTAAGCCTCCCAGAAAGCAATCGTCGGAAAAGATGAAGCTTTTGCTAAACGCCGTATGCTAACTTCAAGCAGAACAATAATTTGCAGGACGGCCGCGCAGTGGCACTCGGCAAGCCAATTATATTCACCATCAGGGTGGAAGGTTGGAAGTTGGAAGTCTAAACTCCGAAAGAATTGGGGGGGAGGGGGAGGGCATAAGAAGCCGTCAAAAGGCGCTCGTGCTGCGCTAAGATTAGATAAGATAAGCACGTCAACATTTGCCAAGGTCAACGGGCGAACTTTCCTCATCCCCGTCTCGGCCTGAACACTAAACTCCGCAATGACCCAAAATCTGAGGAGAGAAATAAGTCAACTCTTCCCTACATAAGAACGAGATCCACTTGGATAGGCCAAGTTGCTTTGAACTTCCATTGGCCAACTTCCGCGACTTCTCTAATAGCTTTCCAAGATGTCTCTCACAGTTCTCTCCGACGCGAATGTTAAGCAAATCCTCAACAACCTCACCAAGGACGAGGTTGAGACTCTGCAGGCGGGTTTGCGACACTCTCTCCATGAGTACTCAACGGGGACAAACAATTCTGGAGCAGCAGCTATAAACCAACCCAAGAGAACGGTTCTCGAATCAAGTACTGGAACAACGAGTCTGTTCATGCCTTCAACTTCCACCACTGGCATTGGGATGAAAGGTGTGCATTTCCCCAACCTCTCCCAGAGCCAGCAACTAACTTTTATATAGTCGTCACTCTTGCCGCACCTCCATCGTACACCACCAACGAATGTTCAGTCCCAGAAAACAAGGATACCACACCTCAGGGAGCGATCACCCTCATGTCAGCCGACGGCAAGCCATTTGGATTCCTCAACGCAGAAGAAGTCACCGCCTTTCGAACTGCACTTGCGTCTTCTCTCCTGATGATTCGACGAAGGAAAGTCAAAACGTTGACAGTTTTTGGAACTGGGAAGCAAGCATACTGGCACGTGAGATTGGCACTTATTCTGCGTGGAAACACTATCAAAAAGGTCCATTTGATCAACCGAGACTTCAACGAGAGGTCGACTAGTCTGATGAAAGCATTTGTGTCTTTCGACGCTGCTACGAAGAGACGAGAGGGCTGGTTTGATACGACGTTTGATTTGACCTCGCTCAAATACGTTGAGGTTGATCGACTGCTGAAGGACTACGTCCGGGCCGCCGATATAATTATTTGCACAACACCGAGCACCGAGCCGCTCTTTGATCATACGGTACTGACAAATACCGAGGGAAGGAAACGAGCACGGCTGATTATCGCTGTTGGAAGTTACAAGCCACACATGATCGAAGTTCCTCCAGAGGTTGTTAAGCAAGCAATCAAAGTCCACGGACATGGCCACCATTTCCACAAACGCGCGGAGGAAGGCGGCGTCATTGTTGTGGATACCCTTGATTGCGTTGAAGAGGCCGGCGAGCTGAAACAAGCAGGGGTTGGCCCGGATCGGACCGTCGAATTGGGAGAGATTGTTCTCCTGGAGAACTTGGTTCCCCTCGATGTTCACGACGACGATTCTCCGCTAGATAGTTCCACAGACGATAGCTCTCGCAGCTCTGTGGATCTGCTGTCCACTCCTGGCGACGGAATGAGCAGTTTAGCAATGGCATTCAGGGACAGTGCCATCGAAGACGGATCCGCCACACCTACCTCAAAGAGCCCGTCGCGAAAATCTTCGTTCTCGTTATCTCGGAAGGCATCGTTCTCCCTGCGGTCTAGGAATAGCAGTCAAGGGCCACGGGAACGCAAGAAGAAACAAACGGAGAGGGAAGACCAGATGTGTAGCTGGTTGAGCAGCGGCAATGTTATTTACAAGTCTGTCGGTATGGGATTGATGGACCTCACTGTCGGAGCAGATTTGGTGAAGATTGCACGGTTTAAAAAGATTGGTACTACGATTGATGAGTTTTGATGGGTTTTGGACGAAGGGGGACGGGGTTAGGTTTACGGAACTGTAATGATTGCACAGCATGGACAGGGGTGATACCAAACTTGAACATACAACAAAAGGAGTCTTCGGGGTTTCGGAGTAGGATGACATGCCAAGTACTATATTTCTTTGGACTTGGACTTGAGTGAGGGACTTATTCTAACGCCTGAGCTTCAAGCAACCCGCTGAGCCCTATTCAAAACCAGACCACCACCCGACGAATCCTGGGTATTCGATCTATCTTTTACACGTCCCCTCTGCCCATTCTCTTTCAATTAGTCATCAACTATCATCTCTTAGTCACTCATCTTCTCTAGCACTCATCGAATCGTCATACTAGCGCCATCTCCTCCAAAGACCAGCATCCCATGATTCCCCTTCACAATCTCCGTCTCGTCCTCTTTCACGCCAGCAACGCCCTTCTTCCCCGCATTCCCACACTTCAGATCTGTCATCCGGCCACAAGCAACATCATACACGCACCCGTGGACCTTCAGCCCCCTCTCCCTGACCGCCTCCTCAATAAAATACGTGCTGAGCAAACTCTCCACGCCACTCTTCACATTCATCTCCGCCAGCCTAACAGCCCTTTTCTTCTCATCCCTAATCGCCTTCAACTCTTCTTCGTTTTGCTTCCGCAGCGCCTTGAGCGGCGTGATCCACGCATCGATCACACCTCCAACTCTCGCGTCAGAAAGAGCGGCACCGCATCCGCCGCACGCACTGTGGCCGCAGACTACGATGTGCGAGACCTTGAGGTGGACAACTGCGTACTCGATCACGGCTTGCGAGTTGATGTCTGTGGGTGAGATGATGTTCGCGACGTTGCGGTGCACGAAGACGTCTCCGGGGTGCAGGCCGAGGATGGTGGTCTCGGGGACGCGGGAGTCGGAGCAGCCGATCCAGACTATTATCCATCGTCACGATTAGCTACCCTTCTTCCCAAAATACTTTCTTGCTCTTGGAGGGGAGTGGGGGAATTGGGCTGCGAGAAGGAAGGGGAGGGATGGGAGGGACATACGGATCTTTGGCGATTGGCCATTTGCGAGCTTCTCGAAGAGACCCGGGTTTTGATGCGATTTGTAGTTCGCCCATGACTCATTGGACTTCAGGGCGTATTCGAAGTCGTCTTTACCTGTGATTCCAGCGTTTGGGTTAGCAATTGATTGCGTTAATTGGCGTTCTCAACAAGCTTGAGTTGGTGAGGTAGCTGCTCGTGTAACATACCTTGGGAACCCATTGTATTTGATGTGTGTGGAGGATAGCGAGTGTGCTTCTCGTCGTTGTGTGGAAATAGAGGGTTAAGGGAGGGAGAAGGAAAGGTGAAAAAATATGTCGAGGAAAATAACTATTACAGTAGAGAGGGTTAATGAGGTACCGCGGACCGAGTTTGTTGGATTTTTCGATCGCCGTTTCTCCGGCTATGAGACCGATAACGGATAAGGTTTGGGCCCAATCAGAAGTGTCAATTGCGTCGGGTATGACGTTCAAGGGTTTAAGGCTTCCAGGAAATTGGGAGGTGGAAGAGCGGAGATCAGGTGATGTGGAGAGTTGTGAGTGAACACGGACGATGATGGAAAAGAATGATGGGATGGAGGAGAATCTGGGTATATGAAGTGAAGCAAACCCCGGTCCGGACTCCGGACGGGAACAGCGGGAGAGCTCTTCTCAAACACGTCGAGTGGCTCACGGATTCGTCCGAGACTCAGGCAAGCACCGACTGCCTGCTTGCAGGTGGGCAAGCCATTTTCTGCCTTTGAATTTTGCATCTCCCGTGCCAAGTGATGTGTAAAGAAGTGATGTGCATGGACAAGAACGTGTGGGATGACAGCCCTTCTGCTGGGCTTCGGTGCCCGGACATCCACCCTCCACCCCTCCACCTCTCAATCCTTGTCTCCACCTGACACTTGAAGAATTTTACTGGAGATGTGGCGGTTCAGCCACACACATCAAAATGCCTCATCAGCCCGCGACGAAGAATTCTCGTTGGTTATCTGATTTTTTCTTCTTCTTTTGAGCCGCGCTATTCAGATCATCATTTTGGATAAAGGGATGCGGATTCTAGATAGAAAAATGAAGTTTACGGAGTACATTTCGGGTGTTCGACCCTGGTATCGATCCCGGGATGGTGAGGCTGGGCAGAGGAAAGGGCTATCGTTGCTCCAAGCGAGTATGAGCATTGCGGATATTTCTTGGCGGTTGATTTAGAACCAAAGCGTCCAGAAGCTGCTTTCATAACTGCGATCATGATTGAGAGATGAATCTGACAAGGAAGTTGCACCAGCTAACAAGAAGCTCAGGGGTATGGTATCATTCAGTTCATTTTTGCTACCTAGCGACAATCCCTGCCATACCATAATGTCAAGAAAACGCCAAGGAAGATAGCCCTACCAAGAACACATTTAGATCTTGATAGCACTCTCAAGAGCCTTGCGCTTCTTCTCGGTCCGAGCGACGGCCTTGGCACCCATAATACCACCGCCCCAGTGTCTCTTCGCCTCTTCGTACTTCTCACTGTAACCCTCCTTGATAGCCTGGACCAGCTTGGACAGCTCAGTCTTGTCCTCCGATCGAACCTCGGTCAAAGCAAGAACAGCAGCGGTCTTCTTGTGGACGACCGTGCCGAGTCTGGCCTTCCCCTTGATGATGGCATACGGGACACCCATCTTTCGGCAGAGAGCTGGGATGAAGATGACCAACTCAATTGGGTCAACATCGTTGGGGATGAGGACCAAATCAGCCTTCTTGTTCTCAATCAAACCGACGACGTGGTTGAGACCATACTTGACGGCGTAGGGCTTCTTGCTGACATCTTCCTTCTTCTTGCCCTCCTTGATGGCGGTAGCCTCCTTCAACAGTCTCTCCTTCTTCTCGGACTTGCTCTCAGGTCGGTACTTGTTCAGGAGCTTGAAAGCTTGGCCAGCGGTGTTGCGATCGAGGACATTTTGGAATTGGGCGATCGCGGGTGGGACCTTGAGACGGAGGTTGAGGATCTTCTTTTGGCGTTGCAGGCGGACGTACTCGGGCCACTTCACCATGCGCGAGAGGTTTCGTCGGGGTTGGATGTCTTGGCCGATGCCGAAGTTACGGGTCTTCTTCTCGATGAGAGGGTTCTAATCACATCAGCATTGGCAAATTTGTAAAAGGATGGAGTAGATGAACGTACCTTTGGGGCCTTCTTTGATCCCGCACCAGCTTTCGACTGGGGGAATGGGGCTGGGGCAGCCTTCTTTCCGGCTTTGGGAGGCTATCATTGAGAAAAGAAGCAATCAGCGAATATGTTCACTAATTATCTTCTTTGAACTCTAAAGAGACTACACTGGCATATTTGCACAGATGTAGCTCAAGCCAATCTTCATCAACACCCTCGGGTAGATGATGGAATGCATCTCGACCTGCGATTGCTCGTAGAGGTACGAGAGCGGTGGCGAGATGTATCACTTCATGGGAATATAATCAGCAGCTTACCATCTTGATCGAGTCGCTGGCTGTTGATGCAGCGATTTGTCGGAGAAGTTGTCGATGAAGTTCGCAAAAAGATTTGAGATTTCGCCATCACTGTGGGAGAAGTTTGACGCTAAAATTTTGGCGCATGCAAGCGAAGATCACGTGTAGTGGGGCATGTTTGCTCGATAAGCAAACTCGAACTTTTGATGAACTCCAAGACTATTTCGAAGATTGTAGTTTGCACTCTTCAAGAAGTGGACGTTTATTCAAAATGGCACCCGTTCCTTGCGCCATTTGCAAGACTTCTAGAGCTTTGATAATCCGACCAAAGAATCACCAGAAACTCTGCAAGTGGTGCTTCATCACTATCTTCGAGGAAGAAATACACCACACGGTCACATCCACGAAGCTTTTCACCCCAGGAGACCGAATAGCAATAGGAGCATCTGGTGGAAAAGACTCGACTGTCCTCGCATCTGTCCTCAAAACCCTCAACGAACGCTACAATTATGGTTTAGATCTGGTTCTTCTCAGCATCGACGAAGGAATCAAAGGCTACCGAGATGACTCCCTCGAAACAGTCAAGAGAAATGCGGTTCAATATGACATGCCACTGAAAATTGTGGGCTATGATGAACTTTACGGTTGGACCATGGACCAAGTCGTGGAAGCAATCGGCAAGAAGGGGAATTGTACGTACTGTGGGGTATTCCGAAGGCAAGCCTTAGATCGAGGAGCAAAAATGCTAGGGATCAAGCATGTTGTGACTGGACATAACGCAGACGATGTGGCGGAGACTATCTTGATGAATCTACTGAGAGGAGATCTTCCCAGACTGGCGCGAAGCACGAGTATTGTCACTGGAGACGAATTGAGCGAGGTCCGGAGAAGCAAGCCCTTGAAATACGCATACGAGAAGGAGATCGTGTTATATGCTCACCACAAGAAGCTCGACTATTTTAGCACGGAATGTCTATACAGCCCGGAAGCATTTAGAGGGAGTGCGAGGAGTCTGATCAAGAATCTGGAAAGGGTACGACCCAGTGCCATCCTAGATGTTGTTCGAAGTGGAGAGGACATGGCAAAATTAGTGCCTGAAGCTGTCACGGGGATCAGCCATTGCAAGAGCCAGAAAGTTTCGTTGTCAAGTGTTGATGGCGAAGAAGAAGGCACTGCTGGCTGTGGAACTAATGGGCGATCGAGTGGAGGAGAAATGGCAGACATGGAAAAGAAGTTACGGGAAGACGAGGAAGCATCCTCGAGGGAGATTAATGTCACGGCGACAACGTCGAATGAAATAAGCGGCCAGCGACATGATAGAATAGGAGCAAAGACGGAGCCTCGAAACGGGGCGAAGAGAGAACCTGGCAAGAAGCTCACTCGACAGACGCTTGGAACTTGCAAGAAGTGCGGCTACATGTCAAGTCAGGATATCTGTAAGGCATGTATGTTACTTGAAGGCTTGAACAAGAACAGGCCTAAGATAGAGATTGAGGTCGATGTCGAGGACGAAGAGAGCTCGACATTGCGACGGAGAATGGAGGGGCTTGCTCTGGCTGCAGGATAGCACTGTCAATAGAAGGTTGTACTCCCCAAGCTTACTGACCTTGGCTTTCCTCTGTGGTTCATGCTTTATGATTTTGAGCCTTTCGTATCTGTATCTTGCTTGACCTAGTGATCAAATTCTTTGTCTGGAGCCGAATCGTCATTCATCACCGAGTCCAGTGCGATTTTGAGCCCTTTGCATCTGTAGCCTGCTTGGCCAGGCGATTAGATATTGTTTGAATCGCCTTTCATCGCCGCATTCAAGTACAGTGGCCCTGTGCGCAGCCAACAATGCTTCTGTTGCAACGAACTTTCGGCTTTTCACTTCCGGCTTTCACCTCCAACCTTTCTTTTCTCTCAAATTGTTTTACGCTCTACAGGACAGTCACTAACACAATCGGCTTCCCCTCAAACGGCACCCTGAAAGCTTCAGCCTCGCTAAGTAGACAGTGGTGCGTGATTTTCCGCGCACCTGGGACCGGGCCAGGCCAATCAACTTGAGGCAAGTGTTTGTTCGCTTATACATGTTGGTGATTCTGCATCAGGGAGACAGCGTTGTCGCTTGTCAGCCCCACCAGGGCTGCCAGTGGCGCGGCCGCTAGCACCAAAACCCCTAGGGGCTACGAACATAATCCAGTGCGGTTTCCCACTTCCCTCGCTACGCTTTCCTCACGTCTCCTTCCTACGGTTCCCCAGCTCTGCAATTCACCCTGCCTTTGAGGACATTCTGCCAGTCATTTATCAGAACAATCTAACGCACACTGCTTCGATATTTGGTGTGCAATATCTTGTGCTATGTCTTCCTACACATATCCTTCACTTCCGCTCAAGGTCGACAATATTCGCCTACTTCATATATTGCCAAATAAAAACAAGGATGCGGACTTGCAATGCAAGCTTCGCAACTATTCCCTACAGAAATTAGGTTCAGGAACTCATTTGTACGAGGCTTTATCATACGTATGGGGCGACCCAGACAACCCTCAGCCTATCTACATAAACAAAATGAAGTTTTCTGTCAGGGCAAACCTGTACGCTGCGCTATTACAGCTTCGAGATCACTCTTTTATACGAATCATATGGGTAGATGCTGTTTGCATCGACCAAGAAAACCTAGAGGAGCGGCGTCAACAGGTTCAGATTATGGCGAAGATCTATAGCAACGCACATCGTGTTTTTGTTTGGCTCGGAGATGAAACAGTAGAAATAAAGGGGGCTCTGGAGGATATACGACTTGCTGCCGATGAAGAATATACGGAACACTCGAAGAAAGAAACGAAGCAAACAATTCTCAAGCTGCTTGAACAGGAATGGTTCCAACGCATTTGGGTAAGGGAACAAACGCTTAACGATAGTTACTAGACGACACTAATCTAGTTAATTTAGGTACTTCAAGAGGTTGCTGCGGCTCGACATGTCGTAATGATGTGTGGTTCTACGCAGATTGACGGACACGCGTTCTGCTTGGGACTTAAGTCATTAAAGCTCTCTTATATGGCCTCTCCGAATTTGCAGACTGTCTCTTCAGTGGTCTACCTGATAGAGCGCGCTGGTCTTCGATCCAAACATATATCAAATTTGCCAAAGAGCTCCTTACTAAACATTCGTTGTTTAGTTGAGCTGATAGACATGTTCCATACCCGTGGAGCTACCGATGTCCGCGATAAAGTCTATGCTTTACTTGGTATGAGCTCTGACTATCCCGAAAAAACTAGTTTACGACCTAATTATCAGCTTCGGTGGGAAGAGCTCTTCAAGGACCTCGTCAAATTCGTTCTCGGTAGCGATGTATCCATGGAGATTTGCGGTACTGAGGAGAAGGCGTTGGCATTGATTCAGAAAAAGGGTTGTGTTCTTGGCCAGGTGTCCCGTATAGAAGACGATGGCAAACAGAATATGAAAATCGCATTCAAATCCCAAAACGCAGCTTGGTGCTTCGGCAACGAGATAGAATGGACTCTTCTGGCGTCGGCGAAATCCATCCGACTGCGTGATATCGTCTGTCTCCTACAAGGAGTTTCAAAGCCTATGATTATTAGGCCATATAAAGATCACTTTGTCATTGTTATGATTGCAGCTACTACTCCTAACAAGCGCGAAAGTTTTCAACTGGAACTTTCCGATTCGATAACATACTTCCCGCGTAACTTCCCGCTTGTCTGGAACTGGGAACCGCTCCTGGAAGACTGGCAAGATCGAGAAGAAACAAAGAATTGGGTGTCTTCAGTCAAAACGACTGGAACATGGAACGTTGCGCTAATACGAGGGGACTTGGAGAATTACGAAATGGCACAAATGAGGTTTCGAGAAGTAATTGAGAGCTATGAGACGGCGTTTAGAGAAGAGAATCCGTATATGCTAAAAGGTAAATACGGTTTAACGCCACTATTATGGGCTGCAAGGAACGGGTACGATGATATAGTAAACGTACTACTTGCAAAAGATAGCATAGACCTGGATTTAGAAGATTCTCAATATGGTCAAACATCGCTATTATGGGCAGCTGAGCGAGGGCACGAGGCCATAGTCCAGCTATTACTTAAGACTGGCCAAGTCTTAGCCAACTCGAAGGATCAGTGGCATTGGACGCCGCTGTTATACGCTGCTGGGAACGGGCACGAGGCCGTTGTCAAGCTACTGCTCGAGCACCAAGCCGTAGCCGACTCGAAGAATGAGGTAGATCGGACGCCGCTGTCGTACGCTGCTGAGAACGGGCACGAGGCCATCGTCAAGCTGCTGCTCGAGCACCAAGCCGTAGCCGACTCGAAGGATGAGGTAGATCGGACGCCGCTGTCGTACGCTGCTGGGAACGGGCACGAGGCCGTCGTCAAGCTACTGCTCGAGCACCAAGCCGTGGCCGACTCGAGGGATGAGGTAGATCGGACGCCGCTGTTATACGCTGCTGAGAACGGGCACGAGGCCGTTGTCAAGCTACTGCTCGAGTACCAAGCCGTAGCCGACTCGAGGGATAAGTGGGGTCGGACGCCGCTGTTATACGCTGCTGGAAACGGGCACGAGGCCGTCGTCAAGCTACTGCTCGAGCACCAAGCCGTAGCCGACTCGAGGGATAAGTGGGATCGGACGCCGCTATCGCGCGCTGCTGGAAACGGGCACGAGGCCGTCGTTAAGCTATTGCTCGAGAGTATTAATTAATCATTTGTTTCATATTATATATATCTTTATAACTTTGATATAGAGGGGCTTGGGGGAGGTGAACTTTATATACTAGTTACGTGGTTTCTAAGACATTAGATAAACGGTTCCAGTCCATGGCCCCGACTCTTCTCGCCGTAAGTATTGGGTGGCGCTTTTCCAAAGCCTTCGTCCAGTTCCTGCCAGGCGGGTTAAGCTGTCTGTCCGCCGCGGGTCGCTGGCGGGTGACACTAAAGGCTATCGAAGGGATAAATTTTAATCGTATCGGTTGAGCAGGTTTCTCGAACATTCTATCGGCAGGTGGCAGCACGCTGGTGCCTGGGCGCTGGAGCGTCGTCTCTCGTCTCCTCCTACATCACCATCTCGACGGCAGGATAGCCAGTCAAGTCCTACCGCAAGGCGTACCTCCTGGCGTGCCTAAATTATATCGTGCTCTCGCAGATCATGGCAAGGTCCCTCGCTCTACACTCCATTATCGTGCTCGCGGACGACCCTCGATAGAAGCGAAGGCCCAAGGCCAACAGTACCTCAAACCGTACGAAGAAGATGTTGTCGTTAAGTATTTGTTACAAATGTCCGACTTTGGACTTACGCCACACGCGTAACCATTGTACGCCACACACGTGATCAGGCCTGAGAATCGTGGCTAAGAAAAATATAGCGAGCCCGGGCGTAAACAGTATTGTCACTAGGCTAATGCGTATTACTAAGCACTGAAACATATGGCCCCTGTATTCGCACCGGCGTAACTCCCGGACTGCATTCTTTTCCTCTCCGAGGGTCTTTAAAATTTGGAGCCATATTACTTTGTTATAGAACCTTTCCCTAAGTGCTTCCAATTTTAAAAAGACTTTAATCGTCGCGATTAAACAGGGGGGAACAGCTGAAGCGGTAATTGGTGGCGTAATTAAAACGATTAATAGTATAATTAACTATAGTCTTTTCTTTATTCCTAAGTGGTCTCCTTAGAGAGAAATAGTTAAAGAAAGTGGCATATTAATAACAAACTTCGTAGACTTGCCGAGAAAAAGTTTATAATTCCAAAACTATAGATTTGTGTGTGACAGGGTGCGTCTCGGGACACAGGGACAGACGTTATACGATCAAGTCATCGTAGCCTACTTCACCCAAGAAATCGGTGCTTAATCCTCTACCATGAGCATTTTCATTTACCTTTTTTGATTACTTTCTAGACATGGCGTTGGGGCTTTGTAAATTTGACCATCTGACCTCACGTTGTGGTCGGATTCTGGTAGACAACAAAGGAACTCCGCTTTCATTTCGTCAAAAAAAAAGTCTTCAAGACGCCTCTTGAGCGACGATTCAGTTACCCAGTCTCAATGTTGCGAGATCAGAAATCTGATATGCATTATTTCCTTTTGTGGTACAGTCCTCGGCCTCTGTCAATATTGCTCAAAGCAAGATAGACATCCTATTCTGATCCTTGAATCTTCACTTCGTCGCCACCTTCCTCGATCTTCAGCTCAGCAATATTCAGGAAGATGGCAGGAGCATCCGAGAGAGGTTTCTCCGATCCAGCTTCAGGTTTAGGTCGTAGCTGAAGCGTCGTACTGGACGAACTCTCAACCTTCTTCTTAGCCCTCTTTGCCTTCGTCTTCTCCCTTCTCTGTGCAATAATCATCCGGTTCCTCATCCTCCGCTCCCTCCTCAATCGTTCCTGCTCAACAATTTCCATCTTCCTGCCTACTTCCTCCCTCATCGCCCAGTACATCTGCACATCAAAGTGCTTCAGCCCCTTCCCGTGCATCCAATCCCCACAACCGTCAACAAGTGTAACCCTCAACAACCGCCAAGATCATAATCAAACGTACCTGAGAAGAAGCCATTTTCCTCAAAAGCTTCTTTTTATCCTGGTCATACACCTCTGCTGGAGGGTCCCACTCCCTAAACTTTTCTTGGGTGATTGTCCACCATGCCTCTTCCGCAGCTGCTCGGGTGAGACTGTTCGGATTCAGCTTTGCGAGGCCGACGAGGAATTTTCCGTATGTTATTGAGAAGACGAGCTCATAGAAGCCACAGCAAAAGATATAGTTGGGGATCTTGAGTCCGGCGATGGTGAGAGCCCCCTTTTGTGTCGGATGGGTCTTGAGATCATTGGTTATGGTGGTGTTGCTGGCTGGCTCAGATCGGCCTTGGGTTGTCAATACGGGTTCGGATGGATGGGGTAGGATTAAGAGCGGAATAAAAGGCTTACTCATGGATAATGTGCGAGATAGGGCATGCATGGCTTCTAACTCCTCGGGGAGCAAGCTTGGCTGATTCATCTTGGTGTAAGTTGAGGTAGAGGTAGAGGTAAAGCTCCTGAAGTTGTGGGGCCTGTAGTAAGTTGCCAAAAAGTAGTCTTTCTCCTTGTTTAAATAAGATTCGGCAATTACCTTATTCTGGAGTCACCTTCAAGGGAATTTATTGCTACTTGTAGGGTGAATAGGGGACGCGAACTTCGGGGAAATCACCAGGAATTTAAATGCCCCACAATATCCTAGAACATTGCAACCAAAATGCCCTAAAAGAAACTCACTAAATTGTATCTCTCTATGCAAACAAATTCCTCATATTATCCAGCTTTACAACTTCAACGCCCTCATCCCACAACTCTGGCCCCCAATAGTGGCAATCAGCGCCGTATCTTCAACCAACCGACTCCCATTCGACTTCTGCGTACTCTGCGGTACATCCAAAGCCGGGTTCTGATCAAAGAACCCACTCGGCTTCAGACTGACCGTCATCGTATCACACGGCATAACAGGATAATCCTCTGTCCTAGGATTATGCGTCAAGCTGATCGAATGCCAGATCACAATGTCCGTATTTTCGGTCTTGTCCTTGCGATCCGCCCAAGCCCCAAGATCGCTGGTGTTGTCGGGAAGGGATTGGTAGGTGTAGTCTCCAGCAGCATAGAGCTCGCCGTCTCGGTGAGCAGTTACCCAGAAGGGGTGGAAGGCATACTTGGCTCTTTTTCCATGCCAGGAATTGGCGTGAGCGAGAAGCATTTGTTTTGCTGGGCTGTGGATTGCGTATGCAACAGGCTTTCCTGAAGTTTTGTTGATGCTGGAGGAGTTTATAATTTTGTGTACCCGGCTTGGAGCAGAGTCGGAGGGTGTGGACCTTGAGAGAAGTTTTGTCTTGGTTACATAGCCTACTCCAAATGGATTCTTATCGTCCATTGGCATGGGGACAGAGTCCTCTTCGATAAAGCTGTTGTTGTCGCCGTCAATGGTGGGGTCAATACGTAGACTGAAAACGTGTTGATGGAAAGGTGCCATAACACCTTCGTTGACGTTCGTTCCCCAGGGTACGGCTGTACCAGAATCTATGGGTGCTGTTGATAGAATTCCTGTGGCTTGGATCTTGTAGTGAAGTCCAGCTGCTTGATCAAGGTGCCACATGAAGACATACTCGTAATTCCCAACAGTAATGATAGTTTGGAGGACAAGAACTCGGGAGCGAACAATGGAGACAGCTCCTGTTCTGCTGTTGGTGTGTTTCCATCCAATGCCGTCGTCTATTTCGTGCATGCATATTGCATTTGGCTTCTCCACAGGTTTTCCTTGGAAATTGCTGATGACGAATGAAAAGTACTGCTTCGGTCAGATTACTTCAACACTTTCCTCAAAAATGGAAGCTTGCACCTTGATCACACCAAGACAATCACAACCCAAAGCCAAGTTATTTGCAGCAACACCAGCCCCAATATCACCAACATCAAAAACACTCTTCCTCGAATACGGATACCTCGGGTCTCCATATGGAACAAACATCTCGCTCAAGCTCAGCCTGTGGAACAATTCTCGGCCATCATAAGTGACATCATGGAGCACCATCCCCTCGCGCCACGTCTAGTTAACGGGGGAATCAGCAATTATTCAATTAAGGTTGTTCCGGGAGAACCGAGACATTGTCTCGGGAGAAAATCTTGAAACAGTCAAAAATAGGAAAAGGGTTCTCCCCGAACACCTACGAAGCCCAATCGAAATCTCCATTTTTGCCACTTGATCAGATTCCCATCGATGGTGAAAGAAACACCCTCAGGCTGGTGAACAATCAAAGGCTTCAAGTCAGTCCTTTCTGGCTGTTTCTGGAGCTCATGATGATACTCCTTCGCCTCGTGAGGTTGAAATACAGCATCATGATTCAACTCAGCTCCCGAACCGGTCGGAAGTTGAATGATCTCGACCACGTCCTTGGTAATCATGTCAAGAACTGGCGAAAATGGAAGCGGCGTATCATAATGATTAGATCCCGGATGGTGGGCTCGTGCAAATAGGTAGCACTTCTTCCATCAACAGACATTCATCCCTAGAGATTGTCCCGAACCCACCTGAACGTAGCGCGGCAAGTTCTTCTCCGAGTCTCGTCCATACGGCCAAGGATCACATACAACCTCCAAATGCTCAGGAAGCTTAAACTTCTTAACCTCTGCTAAGACCTTCGGATGGCTGAGACAAGCGTCTCTCAAGGCCATCGACTCGTCAAAATCGTTTTGGCCATGAAGCTCAGGGGCTAGCTTCTTGACGCTATCGACGGAATTGGAGTCCAAGTTCACTTCGGCGAGGAAGAGGTCCGCTGTTCCCAAGTGATAATAGAGAGAAGAGGCCTTTCGGGGAGGTCTTAATTGAGGGCCTCCATTTCTTTCAGCTATCAGGAATGGACGAAGTTGAGCTTTTGGTGGCTCGAGAATGGTGATCATTTTGAAATGAAGGCTCTTGCTTGATGTTTTGGCTTTGAGCAGGGATGAGACTTGGAGGATCTCGTCTGCGGTCAGGGGGTCTAGAGGGTGCTTTGAAGCTGAGACAGTCATTTTGAAGAGCTGCATATGGGTTAGACCTCGAGCAGTTTCTGGAATAATGACGTAAGATCTTACCTTTTCAGGTGAAGTTACGGGTTTAACAATGGAGCGGATTCCGTGTACGTTTTCTGAAGAAAGATGAGGCAAGTTCGATCCAGTAAACAGGAAATAACAGGTATATATGAAAGACGCCCCAATAGTGGATATATGTGTGTCAGAGGCAAGCCTTCCGCGTCGGCCAACCCATGCTTATCAGTTGCCGAAGCGAGCAGCCCCTTAAAAGCTTATTGGTACCACGCGACCTCCACCCCCATCTTTGAACTTCAAGCTATCGGCCTTCAACGCCGAACTCCTATAGTCGGGAACTATTACTAGATCGAGAAATTGCATACATTAGTTTTATCTCAATTGCAGGCCAGCGCAATAGATGTTGTGCATAAGAGACCCGATACATTGCACGGAAAGGCAAAATGTCAAAAACGGTGCTGGAACTTGATCAAGAAGAGTAAGTTCTATTTCTATACTATCGGCTCAAAAATGAGTTTGCAAGTCTGATCCAGCGGTCGACTCGAAATAATCTGATCTGAAAGTGTCATTCTTCCTTTCATGTCTGGAGCAATTCGAGTCCTGAAGCGAGAATACACTTCCCGCAGGAGACATTTCATCTCCGCCATTGCAAGACTTCACTTCATCAACATATATTCCAAAAAAGTAGGGACCAAACTTACTGTCTGCCAGTACAACCTCTGCCTCCTATACCAAATGAGAAGAAGAGTCTGTTCTTCTCAAGATTCGTTTCAGCGTCTAGCCACCTTTCCGGGAGAAACTCATCGCCTTTGACAAAGACGTCTTCGTTGAGTCGATGAACACTCCATGCCTGACAGCTGACAATTGCACACGCTGGGATGAAATATCCATCGATTGTACGGCCGCCAGTTGGAACATATCGTGGTTGAGACATTGGTATCGGCGGGAAACATCGCAAGCCTTCCTTAATCACAGCATCCAAGTATGGGAGATCGTCTAGTGACTTGTCTTTATTCTCGTTGAATTCGCTAAAGAGCAGATCCTGCACATGCCAGCTTTCTGACAGAGAGAGCTGGTACATCAGCAAGCAGAGAGCATCACCGGTGGTATCGATTCCAGCAGCGAGATGGTCTATACATTCAGCAGCCATCTGGATCTGCTGGAAGTTGTCTTTGCTGTTCTGGAGCTTATATATGAGTGTTTGCTCTCCCGCGTCTGACTTCTGGATGCAATCCAAAACATATTCATTGGCAATGGGAGAGGGTCTTGGCTTAATGATCTTATCGAATATTGCGGACATCGTTGGCCAACGGTATTGAGCAAGGTTATCTGTAATGGCGTGAGAATGTTCCCATAGCGCAAGTTAAATAGACGAACTCTTAAGACTGTCGTGATACGAAAGTTCCTCCATCATTTCCAAGTCCGCTTTCTTTTCGATCGAATGTGTACCATATCGACCAAAAAGGTGATGAGAAGCACAATCTAATGCGAAGCAATGCAGATACACCTCCAAGACTCAGCTTGATTAAGAGATGGAGGAGAGGGGCTTTACGTATGCATCTATCCCAGATTGGCCAGACTCAATGCACTTCTTGACAAAAGCACCTGCTCGGTCCTGGATGCCCCCCATGACTTGCGGCCGCATGATATTGGTATTCGCATACTGACTAGCAATGAACCGCTTCTTTTGACTGTGCTAACGAAATGTCAATATCACCTTTTACAAACTATTGATCAAAACGGACCGTCCCCTTATCAAGCGTCGAAAACATAGTCCTGGCTTAAATTAGCAATGTCCTCCACCTAGAAGACTTTGGACTCGTACCTAGTATCAAACTGCTTAAACAGCGTATAGAACTCCGTCTTATCATACCCACTCCCACCGGACGTGTAAATCTCCTTCATCGCCTCCAAACTCGTGAAAGAGACCTCATTCGGTCCCAGCCGCACAACAGCTCCACATCTCTTGTGCAATTCATGGATGTATTCTCTTCTCTTGCCAGTAAATTCTTGGATCACGAGGTAGAGTTCTGAGAAGAGGGTGTATTTTGGTCCTGGGAGCCTGGAGAGTGGTGAGAATATGGCGCGGTAGATTGATATGCAGAGGTAGATAAGGGAGATAAACGCCAAGCTAATTTGCCAGAATGGGGCGAACATTTTGTCTTTGGTCAAGGAAGGACATTGATAGTGATTTTCAGCTTGACGGAGTCTTTGGTCGTCTTGATCTTTATATCCCGCTCTCTAGTGACCTGTTCAGCCTTCTCAGTCCCAAAAGGGAAAGACGTGAAGATGAGGAGCTAGTGCCGCTATGGGAATGTTAAAGAGAAATCGAATATAGATTAAACCCCGTTTCATCTCGGGAGGTAAGAGCGGTCATGCTCCATCCTCCTGGCGTGGCATCTTTATGAACCGGACCAAATGGTATGCAGTGACAGCTGTGGAGGCGGCGGCCCGGCCAACGGCAATGGTGGGGTGAGAGGCCGCTAGTCCCGAACGAGGAACTCCAGGAGACACTAGGCAGATTCAGGGACTTGTGGGGCGAACTACTGGGAGATAGTTTGATATCAGATGAATGATCTCGACCGGGGACGTCAGAGCGAAAGATAACGTAGGCATATACGTTCTGTTGAAATTAAGTCGTTTCTTTGTTCCTTAGCATATATAAACAGCGGCCTCGGAACATTCGGGCCCTGGACTTCAGACTCGAATCTCCAAAAGTACTTGGTACAATGAAGCTAGTGATTGCCCCAAAAGAGTTTGGAAATCCCATCAGTAAGGAATAAAATTCCAGTTCTTTTGACCTGGAACAATGTGTTAGCTTGAATGGGAAATGCAAGTGATGTGATACTAACACAGAAGCATTCCCAGATCTCCGTTCGTATTTTCATCCGCCCAGAAAGTTTCCAGGATTTCGAGCGCAAGCTTGATGTTCCGAATTTTCAGTAGTTCATAAAGCTGGTTCAATAACCGTCGAATGGCTTCTCTGTCTTCTCCTAATGCTTCACAACCCGCAGTGAACAACGGCGTTGTCAAAACGATAGCTGGTGAAAGTCCGTACGATGGGGTAATGGCACTGGCGCATTCAATGATCTTTCTCACTGAGTGCTGTATATCAGCTGCATCCCTAGAGAACCCCCGTAATTGCCATCGGACATAGATCAACGCCGTGTGCTGGTATGCTTGATTGCACAACGAATATTCCCGGATAGCTTGTGGTGTAAGCCTCTCAACCACGCCGGGATAGAAAACGGGTTCCAAATTGTTCTCCCGCTCCATGATGGTGAAGATGGTTCCTTCAAGCAGGTCTGCTTGCTCTGACGATGAAGCACCCTGGCTCACTGCTCCCACCGCCGTTCCAATCTCCCCGATCACATGTGAAAGCTCCGTCGAATATCCGTTATAATCATCCAGATAGGCTGAGACGCCATCGCTGTCTTCAGGGAAGCACCTATTCCCAAGAAATTGGAGTAAGCAGGTTTCTTTCAGGCGATTGCGGCAGTAGAAAGTTCCAGGAGCTCCGGGCATTGCTACAAAAGGTATTACTACACCGAGAAGCTGGGACTTACTATGTTCCATCTCCTGCCTCGATCATAACCGTTGTTCCACATGAGGCCAACATTGCCAAGGAATCCATGGCAGCGTACCACCGATAAAGGAGTCTCGGTCGAGCTCCTTTTCCACGTTGAGACCGGTCAATGGCATTCATCAATGCCTTGGCTCCTTTGATATGGACACGCCAAGCACTAGATTGATCACTTCCGGAATGAATTTCGCACTGGCAGAGAGTTCTGACTGTTGCAAGGAGAGCATCGCAATGCTCCATATCCGGCTTCTGGAGCCCTTGTCGAAGATGCTCGATACTCCTCGCCTTGAGACCAGCAATAAACCGAATTGGATCGGAAATCCCATTGACTTGCCCTTGAAATGCGACACTGTGCATTGCAGCCCAGGCCAAAGTTGCGTTCATCAGTGCAGGAAATCCGACGGCCATTGGAAGAATCAACTGGCAAAGCTCCTTCTGAACATGGGAACCACAACAAGTAATCCTTGACGCTTCTTCGGTGTAATGATAAAGCAATCCTGTTTCCGTTGCCGAAAGAGACGGAAACACCGGTAGTTCTTGTGGAACTGTCAGTGGAACTCCAGAAGCAGCGTACACAAATCCATCCGGAGAGTTCGCCGTCTTCCTCACACTTCCTTTTAAGCAATGCCCAAATCTCGACCGATCAAAAGTCCGTCCGCCCCATCGTAATCTTACCGAGTATTCGCACTCAGACCCAGCTTCAAAGCACCTTCGACACTGAGGCTTTTTCTCGTCACATTTTTGACGGCGACGTTTGCAGCGTGAGCAACCAGCGTAGGAGCGTTGCTTCTTGCTGCCTGGCTCAAGGCCACGCCCATCCATTGCCTGTGATGACAATGGAGTTTTTGAGGTGAAACGATTTAATGATGGAACAGAGATATGCATCCAGTACTGAGAAAGCCCCCTCCATTCCCCTCCCCCCACTTTTGATAAGACCTTATTGGATGAACGTCACATCATAGGAAGGACTTGCCGACTACGACAATGATATGCTCAAAGGGTGTTTGGAATTTAGAAGTCGCGGAATCTGAAGCCAAGACCACCTCGAGAAAGACAGGAGAAGCCGAGAATTAAATTGTTGTATTAAGTGTCTTAACCTTCATAACGAGAAAGGATCGCCATCTTATCGCCTCAAGCACACCTATTTTGCTATGTACCTTGTACACTGTACCTCCATATAACAGCACATTTCCGCTCACTTCTCCACCACTCTCAAGCTCTATTTGAGCAACGTATGGTGCCAGCATATAGCTGTCAATAACAATCCGCAAACTTCCACTCCTCACCACCCAGTGCTTGCTCACACTCCTCATCAATCAACTCCACAAGGCCCCTCCCACAATTCTCCTCAATCTCTTGGCCATCTTTGCCAATCAGCACGGCTTGATTATCATTAAGGGCATTCTTTAAGTGACCGATACGATGGAAGCGCGTAGCGCAGATGACCAACCACCGAACTTTGAAGGCACCGGCTGTGTCCCAATTGATTGCTTTTTGCCACTCGGGAACTTGGACTGATCCTGGGAGGGACTCCATTCTCGCCTTTGAGGAATTAAGGTTCAGTAGCAATATTTCACTGGCAGGGGAGAGGAGGGGACTTACGTAGCCTTGAAATGCGCGGCTTTTGTTGATTGAGAAGACGAGGATGACGTTCCTACATGTTTCGAAAGCTTCTTTGAAGACGCTACCGTTTTGAACTTGTGTAGTCCATATAGACTGAAGGTTTAGTAGAGCGTGAGGAGTGGCCAAGGGAGATAGAGGACTTACATCTTGTATGCAATTCAAGACGTTCTCCTCGTTGAAGGACTTAACTATGAAATAACGAGTGTCTGTATAAAAGTCAACAGGTAAAAAAATCAAGAGAAGATCACTTGACAAGAAACAAAATCACAAAAGTGGGCCAAAATCGGAAATTCACATCTCATGACATCGTATTAATAATCGAACAAAGAAGGTTCTCCGATCCAGTAATGGCCAGGTATGTAGTACTACTCAAACGAAGTCCAACATCGGTGTGAAAATGATCTGACAAGGGGAGCGTAATCACGGACCTCCTTTGCCACCTCTATCAAAGCCCTTTGAATCCTTGTATGGTCTACCGTTTGCAATCCTCGAACCGAAATTGGGCTCGTACTTCGCATCCAGATCCTGGGGGAGACGGTCATATGGATCACGGGCTCTTCCACGACCACGACCTCGAAAGTTGGCATCATAGCCGCGACCTCTGTAAGCTCCTCGATTCTCGTGGGAACGATCGTCACGGTAAGGGGGATCTTCGTCATAAGGGCGAGATCGAGCAGATGGTCTGCTTTCGTAAGCTCGACGGCCAGGAGACATCTCGCGTTCTCGGCTGCGACCTCTGACAGCGTATCTATCATCTCGAAGGTCGATGGATGAACGGCGCGCAGTTTCGAAACCACTGGAACGGGGACGGTAGTCATCATCGTCTTCCTTGTTTCGCAGACGGCGGAAATCCGGGTCGTGTTCTTCCTTGACTCTCTGGTTGTAAGGTCGATCATCGATGCGAGCAACTTTTCCCCCGAAAGGTTCATCCCGTGGGTCTTGGACATCGCTATAAGGACGCTTGTTAGAAACCACTCGATCACGTTGAGTGTCTATCGTAGAGTTTCCTGCTGACGTCAATGGAGGCTCGGCTCTGCCCCCTACTTGTACTTTGTTAGGAATCGGCGGTGGTAACATGGATGGAGCTGGTGTTTGGCCTCCAATTGCAACTGGAAGACCTCCACGTTCTTCGGCTTCCATTTCTGCAAGGAGCTTGTCTCTTTGTGCATCTAATGCCGCAATTGCTCTTCTTCGGTTGAGAATTTTGTTTCTGTACGGCGCATTGTGGTATCCAGTAATAACTAACCATTCTCTCAGGTCGTCGTCATGAGGTAATAAGTCATTGAGCATGGGAGGTTTTTGTTCTCGCTCTCGAGTTTGTCTGTTGTAATCTTCTCGCGGCGACTCGGCAATCAGCTCAGCTCTGCGATATTCTTCGTCCCGAGAATCTCGGCGCATATATGTTCTCTTGTCCGGTTCAGGATATTGCTTTCTTTCACTTTTGTAGTCTGGCTGATATCGCTGATCTGACCGCGCATCAAAGGAATCACGCCTATCATCTCGAATTCGTGGTGGAAGTTGAGCTTTTGGGTTGGTTGGCGGCGGTCGACGCGGCGGAGAATCGTCTCTTGGACCACGATTGTATGTCGGGTTGGGAGCTTGATCATCCCGAGGATTGCGAGATGGCTGTTCATCACCTTTGCTTTTCTTTGGGTCGATTGGTGTTTCCTTTGGCTTCGGAGGCTGTATCGATTTTGTAGGTGCATCTTCACGTATTTCGCCTTCAGAAGCCTCCGAGACAGATCCATTGCTATGATGCCTGCTGCCAAGAGCCTTGCCGTTGATGATAGGGCCCAGCTGCTTTCCATGTTGGGCTGGCGTTGTAACCTTCGTAGGGCTTCCTAACGAAGGTGCTTGCGACTTCGCGGTGGAATCTGGCTGTTTCGGAGTTCGCTGGTTGTCAGAAATGCTCGGAGTGTTGGGAGTCTTTTCCTGCTTTACACTTGCATTCGCAGCTGGCTTTGATTCCGAATATTGCGAGATCAAATCGTTGACGTTCAGCTCCTGCTCCTGCTTTTCTGCACCTATGGGTATCTTTGGGGATCCACGCAACAAGCTTGAATTTTCAACGCGAACTGCGGGTTTGGTCGCTAGTCCTGTTGTGCCAGCGGGTGGAGTAGACGAGCCACCTCGTCCTTCCCGTCCCTTCAGAAGTTGGGCCTTCAGTTCTGCGGCCCTGGCGTTTATCTGCGTAACAGGTCGAGGGGGTGCTGGGTTAGCTTTTATGGGCTGGTTGAAGGGCGAAGGGGAGAACTGGCACACACAGAAATGTCAGTAAGATGTTGTAATGTGTCAAGTATGTCAAATGTTTGAAATACTTCTCAGGAACAATGAATCTCTCGCCGTTGCAGGGCCTGCGAGAACGAGGTCGGGCTCCCCGACACATACCTGGGGATTTGCATTGATGAACTGATTTTGCATGAAAGCTCCTTCGTTGTAGAGGCCAACTTCAGGTTGGAAATCATTGTTCATGAAGCCTTCTCCATTGCTATCTTCATATGGCAGCATATTTCGCTGAGTTGGGAAGTACTGTCCACCTGCCAGACCTTGGCCAGGGGGAGCTCCAAAAGGAGAGGGCGGGAAGTTTTCTTGGTTGTTGAAGCCATTCGGGAACTGGCCATTACCGCCAAATCCATTATTTTGCCACATGTTGGTGGCTTCCGCTGGATGTGGTCGACGACGATTGATCTGCTCCGAGGGAGACGATCCGGCGTTGGGGGTACTTGATGTGCTTGAAAACCATCTGCACACGCAGTTGCATTGTCCTCTTGCCGGCAAGGAGGGTTCTGAAGCTCCAGAACTGCGTGCTGTAGTAGAATCTGCACTCTATCCAAACATAATCTATGGAGAGGTCGAATTTGGTTGTTGATGGGAGGAAGAGATTTTTAGGTGTGACGGAGGTCTCGTTCATTGATGATTTTACGCGAAGCGAGCTTGACCTTAGCGCGTCTTGGGCCTGAAAGGTGAACGAAAAAGGAAACATTTAGCAAGGCAACTATTGGAATTTTACTTCACTTTATGTGGGTGTGAATTTTTTTTCTGGCGATGTTGATAGTTGGGATGATGCCGTTTGCGTGGATGTCAGAGCTAGCTTAGCACTTTCGTCTGGATAATTTAAACCACACACGTGGGAGCCTGGGCCCTTGGAAGCAAGGATTCCCAGAGCTCCAACCTGTTTTGGAGCCACCTATCTATTTTTGATAGCTGGAAACAAGCTTGGGGGCGCCCTGTAATGATCCTCATGTGTTCTGTACCATAAAGCGTCTTCATCTTGTCACGAGGCGAGGAGACAAATTTGATCGGTGAAATGAATTGCTTCTTTCCATCACTGCCACCAGCTAAAACCGGTTCCAAAGATAACTACTATCTTTACATTACAATAGGTCCCATAACTCCTATGTGGGTTAACTCAATACCCAGCCCCCCAGTATTCCTTTACCTAGGCGATTTCTCGTAATTTCCCATCCACAAAACAAAATCCAAGCCCTCCGAAGGGAGGATTTCAAAGGCTGTACAGTATGAATAAGACGTAGTGATACAAGCCAGGCGGTTTCCTCCCCGACTCTAGTTGCTGGGTGATGTGGAGTTTGTTCTCCTGAACAGATTGATGATGGTCTTCCACCGTCCAACTTTGGGGGGCTTTTCAAGCGAATCCGGAGTCGTCTGCCCATTCGTGATTGACATGCTGTTCCTCCCAGGTTGCTCATAAGTATAGCTATTTTGCAACGCACTGGTTGGGATGTAGGCAGACTGTACGCGCCTTTGCGGCTTCGTCGGAGTATCAGGGCTGGCTGTTGACGAACCAGGAAGAACAAGACTGCCAGGCGGCGTTGAGACAGGGTTTGAAAAAGTGCCATTGGAGTTCTCGGTGGCGGCACGGATTGGGGGGCCCATCATGCTTTCTCCCTCACTATCGGAAGCTACGGTGCTTGGAGCGTTGCCAGCTCGACGTGCTGCCGCACGTTGCATGAAGGCGGTACCAGCCGATACAGCTCTTTTTGGTCCGTTCGATCGCTCCTGCTGAGGTGATTCCCCATTCACAGAGCTGGCTTTGCAAGATTGTCGCCTGATTCTACCACCGAGACCAAAAGTGCTGTGGCTAGATTCAGGAGTACTTGCGCACGTGGCCACTGGGCTGGGGCGGCTGGCGTCAGGAGTCAATGACATTGATCTGACCCTGGCCCCTGGTGTTGTTGGTTGTATTGCTGTTGCGGTCGAGGCAGAATTGTATTTGAAGTAGGGTGACCAACCCTCGCGCAAGGCCACCCAAACACTTGTAATCTGAATCAAAGTCTTCATATTCTCATCAACGGCGTGCGTAGTCCGCTCTGATGGAGGTTCGCCATCCATGAAAGGTTGATCCGGCTCTCCGGGAAAGGCCCGTGGTGATGTAGGAGGATGTTTGCCGGCAGATGAGGAGACAGACGTATAATAATCTGGTATATCCAGCTTGTTCTGCGTGAGGGACGATAGAATCGGATGGCGTCGTGTATTTGGATCTAGGATGCTGAACGTGAACTTGAGTTCACTGTTACCGGTAGCGGGATCTACTGCATCGGTGTTCCTGGGCTTCGGGCTTCTCCTAACCCAACGAGCGGTCGTCTCGTTCCCATGCTCATCGATAGTGACGAATTCATATAATCCATTTGGTAAAGGGGTAGCCATCCATACAGACCCATCGCTGAGCACTATTTCCGCCTTCCCATAAGAACCCCCAGAATCTTTCCGGGCCTGGCAGATCACAGCAATTAAATCTCTGTTCACCAGTCCGTCCTCATCAGAATCACTTCCCTCACTTATACCATCATCGACTGCATCGTACTCTTCACTCTTCACAACCATCACATCATGACGTCCAAGCTCCGCCTTGCCTTTGAACATACGTGGAAACTTTTTTGTTAACCGTGGAACGACAACAGTAGAAGGGAGGACATCCAGGGCAGGTTTCGGTCTGCAATCTGCCGACAGCTTTTGTAATTGAAGTAATAGTTTGGGCCGGATTTGTAACAGCTTCTGTTTTTGGGTCAAGGTAGGAGCTGGATGGGCAATTGAATACGTCGTGCTTGATCGTGTCGAACGTCTTCGCCGTCTTCCACCACTAACAGTAACTTCACTGGTCTCAGAGTTCGCCAAAGACCTGCCATCTTCGCTCATAGTATCCGTTTCGGGTTGTTGGAATCGTACAACAGGCTCGCTGGTGCGTGGTATTATATCTGACAGTGGTCTCGCAGCTCGATTGAGGATGGGTCGAGGAATCTCATAAGTGGTACTCTTGCGAGGTAAAGGTGTTGAAAACGCTGCTCTTGTCAACGGTGATCGTCTTGGAATAGAATTGCGTCGATTGTCAACTGTTGGAGGATTTGAATACTCGTGGCGGTGCATACCAGCACCTGGATATTATTAGCCTCGGTCTTTCTACAATCAAGAGTTGAACTTTACCTGAGTGAAGGAACATCTTGGCTGTTCAAAGAACGGAAGTGACGCCCCAGACTTTGGGGCGCCTTCCATTCAGAGCGGATGCGCGGTTAAGTTATCAAATTTGAAGGTAAGTTGAAGAGCGCAGGAAGTTGGGTGCATTGGAGCAAACAGAGCGGAGACTCGGTGCAGGGTTGAGGGGAGACTGAGGCGAGAACAGTAAGTAACTTGGGGAGCGAATGGATTCGAATTGTCAACACGATGCACACTCGATTACTCCAGACCGCTGAAGCCAACGAGAAGCTGGAGAAGAGAGAAGAGGTTCGGATGGCCGGATCGTGGTCAGACTGGAGTGAGGCTCACAGCGCGTCGAGGTGGGACCAATATATTCAGGGATGCCTTGGGAAGCAGGTATTTAGCTGGCTGCGAGTTCGTCAGCACGGGAGAATTGCACGAATCCGCGCCGCCAGGAGTGTTGAAGGGAAGCTTCATGTCTTGCTGCCTCGAAGAGCGCGAAAGAGAGGGGAGGGGGGGACCGCCGCACTCGTGGGTTCGTACGAGCGCCGAGCAGTCGGCGATTTGGAAAAGGTGCAAGGTGGACTGCTCAGGATTTAGCAAGCAGAACGCTCCACGATCCACGCTGCGGCTGGCTTGGCCTGCAGCCAAGAGGGGCAGCTTTTTCAACTCGGAATGCCGGGGCTTTCACGCGCAGCCAGCCATTGGTCCTTCTCAGAAAATGAAAAAATTCGAACAAATAAAATGCTCTTGAACACTTGATTATCCTGGATTGGCGGCCCCTGAGGATCAGCAGATATCCTCAATTTCCTCATTCTCCCTAGATTCTTCCGGGGCCGTCGGGCATAACCCTCTCCCGGTGAAGAAGCAGCCCACCCTCAGTTCAGCACAATTCGGACTCGGGATCTTGAACTCTCCGCGACTCCGCAGGCGCGTGGGTTGATTCGTAAGAACTCAAAGCTGCAGGACTAAGAATGTTTCAATTTCTGTGGGCGTAATTCGTTGATCTGGGAAAGATTCAAACAAGGATTTGAAGAGTCTAACCTGGCATTTTGGACAGCAGCTACTTGATGGAAAGAGGTTGAAACGACACGGGTCGAGGCGGGATACGCCCTTTACAGTACTGGGAAGAGTATAGGTAAGGGTAAAAGGAGGAACACGTGACCCAGAATTATGCATTCTCTCTCCTCGACTTCTCCCCTCCCCTCAAGCCAATCGGAGCAAACGCGACACGAATACGCTTCCGCTGTTCATCCAGTCTCTCGACCACACGATCCTAGCACAAAGAGAATAGTGCTCTCGCCTCACCAGTCTTCGTTTAGATTATGCAAGGTCCAAACTTGCATTGAACGCATTTTGCCAGAACTTCTTCACCGACACTTGGTCAGATTTATGTCTCTGCCGGGAAGCAGACGAGAGACCTCCCTATCGTCATCGATCATGCAAATATGGACTCGGCCCCTCGATTGCCCAATTCGGAGTCTAGTCGTTCTCTTTGCAACATGGAAGCTCCTTTTGCTACTCATCGCGGTTCTTAGTCCTGGCTCGGGTTATGATACTTCAGCCAGCCTCTTCTCTCCAAGCGCTGCTGAAGGCCGACAGCTACCACCACCTATCCAATACATTCTCGGCAAGTTGACAAGATGGGACGCTATATACTTCGTCAAAGTAGCGGATCGTGGTTATGTTTTTGAGCAGGAGTGGGCGTTCGGGTGGGGATTTACTAGCCTGATATCCTTGTGTGCTGCAGGTGAGAGATTCCTGTGGTCTTAGGGAAAACGCTGACAGGAACAGCACTTGAGAAAGCGGGAACACCCCACTATGATGACCTAGAAGGGCTCATAGCAGTTGTAATTGCTCATACTGCGCACCTGCTCTCAGTGCCTGTCCTGTTCAGGCTCACTTCAGCTGTCTTCGCTGAACCTTCTGCGTGGCTTGCCTTCACGGCAGCTTCATTGCATATTATTTCACCCGCCGGCCTTTTTCTCTCAGCTCCATATGCAGAGAGCTCTTGTGCGTTGTTGAGTTTTATAGGATGTCTTCTATTTACCAAGAGTCTTGGTGGAAATGGACCCGTGACTGCGAGTCACGACGTTCTCGTGCTGCTCTCTGGCGTGTTTTTCGGGATTGCTGCAACTTTCCGAAGCAATGGTATTCTTAATGGCCTACTATTACTTGAGGAGGCGCTCAGAACATTATGGAGCTTGAAGCATGGCGTTCGAGTTTCCTCGTTCCGTCGGCTTATAGCAACCGGTCTGGGCGGATTGTGTGTCGCTGTCGGCTTTCTACTACCACAGTATATCGCATACACTGAATACTGCGGAAACTCGGGCATAAATACGAGAACTTGGTGTAAAAGGACATTGCCAAGTATCTATACCTTCGTCCAGGACCACTACTGGTATGTCTTCAAACTTTTCGAGTTGCAAGTTGTTGACACATACAGGCGGTGTGGCTTATTCCGATACTGGACATTTTCGAATCTCCCGCTCTTCCTTCTCGCCACTCCTATGTTTGCTATCTTGGTGATCTCGGGGTTGTGGGCGTTGAAAATTCTACCAGGAGAGTCGGTACAGAATCCTAACAATTCAAAAAATGTCCACAAGAGCACTCAAGGGCCAGTGCTACAAGTCATCCGAAACCTCGCAGTCTCGCAGCTAATGCTAGTACTACTTACCTCCACAACGGCTCACGTTCAGATCATAACACGAATCTCTTCGGCGTACCCCGTTTGGTTGTGGTATGTTGCCAGCTCATGTCGGGAAGGGAAGGCATTGCTTGTTGGCAGGATTGTGAAATTTATGGTTGTATATTCTGTCATTCAAGGAGGACTATTTGCATCCTTCCTTCCTCCCGCTTGATTCATCAGAACAGCTAGCAGGATTGTACAGCAAATAGCATAAGGTCAAAAGCTAGAATATATCAGGGGTAGAGAGAAACTAGGATTGGCCTGGTTATTGGTTCGTTCCGGAACTGGAAAATGCCTCGGGATGAAATAACTTTGCACATGATTGCGAGAGAGAAAAAATCACCGAATGCCCAGGAATGTTGTGGGCATTGCCATCTGATGTTCCTTTTTGAGACGCCGCAGGCAAGAAGTGAGCACGTAAGGCAATGAGGCGACTTGCGTAGCTAGCTTGCCTAAGGAACCACCTCAGATAATGCATTAACCTTCCCTCTTTAAACCTGTGAGTAAATCAGAACAGAATTCTCGATTTCACAATGTGTTCCAAATTCACTTCAACAAATAAAAAGCAATTGTTTTGGCATAAAGAAATACTCGACATCGTCTCACGTGCCAGCTTCAGTGTTTGAAGCTGAGTAAAATTGTACAGTCAGCAAGGAGGCAAGGCTGCATCGCCGCGTTGACTTCAAAAAGCTATGCAAGGTCGATTTTGTTCAGCCGACTTCCCAGTGCCCTGCCAATTATTCAACATTTTAATGAGAACGACATCATCGCACTGTCAACACCCTTCGGGCATACACAGAACTGATTAGCGTATTGCCCTTCGCATTTGCCATCGAAAGAGTCGCGAGATAGAATCCAGAGTGCGAGCTTCTTCCACATTCGGAAGTGGCACTTCATCATTTCAGGTACTTTGCACCCGTTTCCGAGGTCATACATGGCTATTCCAATGAATCCAAAATAACCTGAGCGACATGGCAGACCAAGAGCCACCTCGCAAGAGGCTGAAAGTCTCCAGAGAGTCATCACCGACTCAAGAAGCAAAGCTTCGCAACATGGAGGAAGGCTATACGAATGGTCGCAATCATGTGCAGTTACTCCAGAACCTCCTCCAAAATGGCGGCCCGAATGACACAATATCGCGTGCAACGTCTCCCGGCCTTGGATTCAGCTCCAATGGCATAGGTTCAGAAAGGGACAAACGCTACCGGCCTCGAACCTTCCCCTACTTCCAATTACTCCCGTACGGCGTTGAAGAAGAATCGGAGAGAAATATAGCTTTGGACGAGATTTTGAAGCAACTTTACATTGCGATCAAGGCAGAGGACATACAACCAGGCGCGGTCCATTGGACTAGAGAGCTCAAGGCATGGCTTAACCTCAAATTCGAGATCACGCGGGAGCTACGAATCAAGCTTGTACATTTGTATTACATGCTTTCTCTGGCTCCTGGAATGGATTGGGTCGCTGCGGATAGATTTGAGAGCATGTTTCGCTTCTTACTGAAGTAAGCAACATCCTTTTCTTCTTATCTTTTATCTCAGAATTGAACTAACATATGAAAGGAAAAAGCACTACCTCAAGCCTGGAGATGATTTGATACTCGATTGGAGGCCTTTGTGGAAGGACCTCAAAAGCCTCGTCTTGCCAACTGAGACCGCACAACAACAAAGCGGTCGAAAACGAAGCCACAAAAACATCGCCAACATGTGCACTTTTGCAGCACAGTATTTCGATCCACGAGACAGAAAAGCTATGTTGGAGGAGCTGCTACCATATTTCAGCACGTCTGATGTCTCTGGCGCCTTCATTGTTGTTGGTGCTCTAAATATGTTGATGCCTACCCACCCAGCCTCGAGCGAACCAGATCAGTTACAACCACAAGACTACCTACCCACTTTCTTCCATCTATGGTCACTTGTAAATCGATCCAAGGCTTTCGATATGATCTTCTTTGATCTTTTCTCAAGACTCGCCCGAGACTCGTTGACTAGTGAACACGTCCAATTTTCTGAATTTGGAATCTTCACGAAAGACCAATCTGATCTTATATTTACCGCACTGTTGAGGTTGACTGAAATTCCTGTTGGGCAAGCGTCTTCGCCCTATAGTACGATGGTTGATCTTGGAGCTGGTCTTGGCATGTTCCTTGAACGAGACAAGAAAAAGGCGCCAACTGGATACTCGATCGCTCGATGGATTGTCATGTCATTATCACCATCGTGCATCGACAAGCCGGGGTCAATTCTTTCCAACTTGGAAGGCTTGATGCAATCTATCGATACCTTTTTCCACCCGTCCAACCAAGGTGCTTGGACGGATATGCTAGCACAAATCGTCTTCCATTTGGTCGACTTTTTTGTCATGCGTTGGAACCGAGAGCGGAGCGGAGAGATGGATACTCCACCAGATCGTCAGATCAACGATGAATTGAAGAAACGATTCGTACTGAGCCTGAAAGAGGTCATGTTCATGGGGCTCTTCTCCAAAAAAGCTAAACAATTGAATTACTACTTCGGCACGTTACAGGGTCTAGCTTACCTCGAACCCCATTTGATCATCCCAGGAGCTTTGCAACGATTCTATCCTTCATTGCAAGGATTGGTCGAAGTTCACCGAACTCAATCATCACTTTGTGGTTTACAGTTGACCGCCATCGTCATTTCGAAACACAAAGGCCTGCGATGTCATATCACAGCACTCCTAGCACTGGCGTTACCCGGAATCGATGCCAATGATTTGTCGAAGACGCTACACACCTTGAATTTCATACAATCTGTCGCCTACTGCGTACCTTTTGTTGATCTTACCAAGGATCACCACGAAATCCACGACTCCTCACTTGCAATACAATGGGTGCAAGGCGAGATGGAACGTATGGAGCGGGAAGGTCCAAACGTTGAGATAGACTATCGAACAGAGTTGAGTGATGAGGATGAGGCCAACATTGTGCGTTCGTCCACAGCAGGCTTCGGAGAGTTCGTCTTGTCTTTGCTCGGCAAGGTCTTCACGCTCCTTGAAAATCTTCCCGAGCTTTCTCGAGTACGGTCCGGGTCACCAGAAGAGAGCGTTATCAACACTTTACCAGCGGCGCTGACACCTCTCTTTGCGTCCCTTTCACCTGAGATTTTTGACATGGCGTTGGAGAAGGTCGCTGCTTTTGTCAGCGGCCATGTGGTTCACCAGGCCCGAGATGCGATGGCTTTCATTTGCAACTCGTTGTGCAAAGCCAATCCTGAAAAGACTTTAAAGATCTTTGTCCCCATGCTCATTGTTGGCATTCGAAATGAGATCGACTACAACGAGGCTGCGTCCGACAGGAGCAGTGGAAGTGATGTCTTACCTCGAGATCGTGCCTTGGTCTGGCATATCAGCATGTTAAGCATGATCATAGTCCACGTTGGGGACAGTCTTATGCCATACAAGAAAGAGTTGTTCGATATTGCACTGTACATGCAAGAGAAGTGCCGAGGCATCCCGACGATTCATGTATCGAATTACATCCATCACTTGCTTCTCAATCTTACCTTGATATATCCCGTCGACGGTGCCTTGTACGAGCCGGACGTTCTCAAGAGAGGTTTAGATGTTGATGATTGGGGCAAGACCATCAAGCCCACTGAGCTGACCATCAACTGGCACAAGCCCTCGACTGAAGAGATCGAGTTCGCAGTGGAATTATTTGAATCTCAAGTCAATACTGCAACCGTAAGACTCGGTAATCTCATCAGCGACAATCCGTCTGTTAGTAGGAAGGGGAAGAATAAGGAGTGGTCGGACGAAGTTTCCAGGAATCTGTCGCAGTTGAGACTCATCATCTCGGGTATCGCGACTCTTTTCGATCCCAAGAAAGCTTCTGGACAGTCAGATAAGGGTGAAGACGCTGATGGTGACGCTATCATGAATGGCGACGATGCTTTAGACGAGGAAAATCCACTCGCCGAAGCAGCGGAAGACGAGGAAACCAGACCTCAATTCCACTATCGTGCAGGATATCTCCTTGAGAAGAACAGTTCAACATATGAACATATTCATAGTCTACGGGAAGATATTGGTCTGCTTTTGTCAAAGATTCACGATTTTCTAAGTGCCCACCAGGAGGATGACGTGGCTTGCTTCACGGCTCTCTACCAAACATACCGGACTTGGATCACGGACGTTGGCAACGAGAGATCTGCCCACATGCTTGAACGTGTCAGCAAGCTCTACGATGCTGATATTCGAGCCTTTAAAATTAGTGGGTTGCGGAAGATATATCCAAGGCCACTCTTGGTCAAGCGAGCATCGATATATCACTTCCAACGTGCAAAACACAACTCATCAGCCCGCCACAAGTCTGAGCTGGACAAGAAGCTGCTCTTGGAGTTAGCTGCATCCTCTGTGTCCTTGTATACCGAAGTGCGCATCAATGCACAAGCTGCTCTCGAGTCTGCACTAAAGAGTCTTATTGGTGGTCGTCCTCTCGTCATTCGACCACTCTTGAGCACGTTCAGACAGGCCTTGGAGACGAACGATTATGACCGCATTAAAGGTGCCTTGTATACATTGCTATATGGCAGTCTTACAAAGACGATTTCCAAGGATTGGCGCTTCGCTCCGGAAATGATTGAACTTTATATCAAGACCGCTTCTGTGGACAAGCCATCAATCCAGAAGGTTAGCAATAATGCGTTATACGGAGGGCTCATGGAGTTCGGCAAGTCTTTGGAGCACTTCATCGTCATCGATCAAGTCTTGGTTGATGTCTTCGAGCCTAAAGATGATTATAGCCCAAAAATCACGTCTAGACATGAGTTTATCGTGGAGCGAAGACGCAAGGTTGAAGAGAAGAAGGCGTCATTGGCCTTAAGCCTTGTGGAAACCTCGAAGAATTCCCACTGGAAGATCGCAGGTCGATGCACCATCTTCATCCTTAATGCCGGCCTTCGAATTCAGACTCTCGCACCCCCCCCTCTTGTCGAGTTAGCTGTCAAGGGATCCATCGATGATCACCCAGGACTTCGAGGCAGTTATGCTGAGTCGTTCATTCGAATCTTCTCCCATATCGAGACTCGAGCTGTCTACAGTCATAGTCTTGAGAAATTTGTTCGCGAAGAGGAAAATCCGGTTAACAGAATTGAGGTCACGGTTCCAACCGATAATCCACATTGGACCGAAGAGTTCCTGCAAGGGTTCTCGAAGCCAGAGCTTCCAGAATATTTTGTCGAACGTGACTTTCCTGGATGGCTCGTGTGGGGCAAGAAGTTCAGGGCAACCCGCGCCCGGCCTCTCGAATTCACCGATTACGACGAGCTGGAGAACTCGGTCAGGAAGCAGATGGGAAGCTTGTTGACACGAGAATGGTACGAGAAGTTCTTCGGGTACATGAAGCAAGAGCCTCGCGATTCGTCATCAGATCGGTTCAGAGTGCACAATGTCGCTCTGCTGATTCATACTCTCGACCTCACCCTCAGCGGCATGACAGCTGCCACCTTCGAAGATATCAAGGAATTGATTAAAGCCACTTTTGAGGATGGCACTGACAAGCATCAGCATCGTGCTACATCAGAGATTATCGCCGCACTTCTTGTCTGCGGCTTCGAACGACCGGTCGAAATCCGCAATAAGATCTGGGCATATGCTGTGCCAATCATGTTAGACGTCTTTGCTGACGGGCTGACACCAGAGAACCTCACATATTGGATGACTTGTCTGCATATGATCATCGGAGGAAAAGATCCGAGACAGTGTCGAGAAATCTTTGAGAGACTCGAGTCATTCCGTTTGGATATGTCTTCGAATGCAGCATTCAAGGAAAGCTCCAAAGTCCAACTTTTGGAGTTTGCAATCCAAGATGCTGGCTGGCATTTCCGCGCCGAAAAGCCAATCCTTGAGGACTTCTTGGCACATATCGATCACCCGTACAAAGCTGTTCGAGAAGCCATTGGAAGAACGCTTGCTGCAATCTATCGTACACGATACTACGAGGCCTTTAAGGACGTTTCGACGCTGTTGGAAGAAAACAAAGCCTCTTCATCAATTGGTATCAAGCCATACGAACCATCGGAAGATTTTTCCGCCAGTCTCAAGGATGTCTTCAATCGTCTCGAGGTTTGGCGCGGAGAACGTAGTCCTGGCCAGCAAACACCGTCTTCTTACACCTCGGGAAGCAAGACTGTGCTCTTGTGGCTGGATACTACCCTCCAATCTTACGAGTGTACTCAGCTTCTGGACTTTTTCCCAGACGTCTTTATGGAGCAACTCCTTCATATGATGGATGTAAAGGAAGACCCAGAACTTCAGCGTCTCGCCTACCTCGTCTACCGCCACCTGCCCAATATTCCATTCCGCGCTGGAGAAGATGGCGAATTCATTGCTGCACTCATTCGCATTGGCAAGGTGTCTACATCTTGGCATCAGCGTCTGCGAACACTGATCAACATGCAAGTCATTTACTTCCGCCGCATCTTCCTTATCAAGCCCGAGCAACAAGAGGCTCTGTTTGCAGCTGTCGCAGATATGCTTGAGGATACTCAGCACGAAGTCCGCTCGGGGGCTGCTACAACTCTATCTGGCATGATCCGCTGCTCTCCCGTCGCTCTCCGGAACAACATCTTGTCTGACCTCAAACTCAAGTTTACCAAATCTTTGATGAAGAATCCGATGCCGAAGAAACAACCTGGAACAAGCACACCCATCAATAACAACCAGCAAGTCGTCCGCCGCCATGCCGCAGTGTTGGGTCTCGGTGCTCTAGTCACCGCATTCCCATACGTGACACCACCGCCGGAATGGATGCCTGAGATCCTGGCTCTACTGGCCTCTCGAGCTGCCCACGATGCAGGTGCCATTGGGAAGACAGTCAAGACCATCTTGGCGGATTTCAAGAAAACGAGACAGGATACTTGGATTACTGATCAGAAGGTTCGTTGCCCCTATTATCTCTAGGCCATATCTTTGCTAACTGAACTAGTATTTCACACCAGAACAACTAGAGGACTTGGAAGGCGTGTTATGGAAATCCTATTTTGCGTAATTGTCGTTCGTGCACTCATGGAATGGTCTGATACAAGCATGGGGCGGGCGTTCTTGTTTGGATTTTCGAGACAAGAATTTTCTTTTGCTTGTGGCGTGCGTGGAGAAGAGGAGTGCATAGCATGCGTGTGTTTAATCTGCATTTTGCCCTTCCTTTGGTATGAGTTATGTGCGATGGCGATCAGAGACAGATTTTCGGCAGTTGAGAAGAGATGAATATTGGGTGCGGTTCCTGGACTTGACTTGCTGTGCATGTCTGCTTTCAACGGTGGGAATGTTCTCGTGTGTGTATACACGGCGGCTACAGTCTATAAAATTATTCTTTGCCTACTTGTGCTGATTTAACCGATGTTACACTCATCATTGTTCCCTGCCATCAGCGCCTCCTACTGTTGGTACAAGCTTCTGCTGAATATTTATATATTCCTGGAAAGTCCGGTACAATGAATGAGATTGAGCAGTATCACTCATGCTCCAGGTCCAGCGAGTACAACCACGGCCTCACCATTGTCCCAACCTCGACTGGAACAATCAACCCGAGTACTGACAGAAAGGTAGGTCGTCGATTAGAGCACACTTGTATCAAAAACCATTGTACTACAACCTCGAAAACAATCTAATAGCTGCCCAAGCACCTGGAATACAGTGGTCTGAAGGAGTGGAAAAGAGTAGGGGTTATATCGAAAAGGTAGGTGGGCGCAGTGCCATTGAGCTGGAGAGGGTCGTGCTAATGCTGTGCGATTCGAAGGCGCTTCGCGGATGCCCTCAAGTCCGCAAGGACGAGAACCTCGACACTGCCGAAACCTACGGGGAGTTGAAGTCATTGCTAGTGGTGAGCCAACTCCGACATAAACTTGTGTGTAGTGATGATCGTTGGACGGGGATGTTGCTAGTTCCGTGCGTTTACGGTGCCGCAACTAACTTCCACCGGATGAAGAATCTACACGCAAAGTTCCGGCAAATGGGTCCAATAACTGCCTTTTTCATCGGTGCATTAGCCATGTATACTTGTTGGGACGTTGACCCTCGGTACCCTGAACTGGCAAGGCCGTTCGAGATACTCGAAAAATTCGGCTTTGATCATAGCCATTGCAGTTTTGCCTGCGATTTAATCCACTAGCTATTTTGGTGAGCAGGCTTCAAGTACACTAACCTTGCGAAAGTCATTGAAGCTAGAAAGAACAATACTCACATTTGGGCATTCTTTACTGCATTCCTGACTAACTTCTTGGTTCACTTCTTTAAGCGAGCTATCAAAGCTCTTGGATTATTTGTTACGTAGGTGGTGATGTCGAAAACAACTAGCCCCGAATTGACTCTAACCCAACTCATAACAAGAAAGAGAGCTGCGAAAGGGCTTGAATTCAAGAGTTGGTTTACAAGTTTGAAAGAGGTTGTATTGGCTTTGATTGGGATATTCTTGGTGGACTTGAAGGAGAAAGTTAGACGTTGGATGTTTCATGCGTTATGTGCTTCAGCAGCTAGCGAAATATTGAAGAGTGCTGGTTTGTGAAGCAGAATACGTACAAGACGCCGGATCGGGATGTGGAGGTGGGTGGTCCATGAAGGTATTTTCAAGGAAATTGAACTATGGCGATCTGGAGAATCGGGAGTTGTAGCATTACGAGGTGTTTGATTGTACTATGAGTTCTGGGACGTTGGTCATCCACTGTTTGTTTTATACGTTATCTTAAAATTTGGAGACGTGTGTGTAGAGGTCTCGGCTGTCTTGCTATGCCAATGTGCCGTGACAACTAGACTTTGTAGCATCAAGCAGGGGACGATTGCCCCACACCAAGGGGAACATTGAAGGGGAAGGATTATTGCAGTCAAAATTGATACAAGAAACTAGCTACCCAACACCTGTTCCACTCTATTTACTCCGCACATAGCCTATCTAGTATCGCCGTCTTCATGTATCCATTTATAACGACTCTTCAAGCAGTGCTCTCTTCGCCCATTTCAAGCCCGATTCTCGCTTGTTGTTGTTCTTCCCTTTCTTAGCAGCTGCGGTGGCAGTAGGAGTAGAAGCAGTAGCGGCAGTCGCCTTTCCGGCTCCCTTTGCGGCTTTGCTTGCCTTGGATGTAGCGGATGAGGTTGCGACAGAAGCGCCGGCCGCGTTGACACCGACGTTCTCGACGGCGAGGGTTTGGACTGCGGCAGCCTTGGATGTCACGGTGACGCCGAGGAGCGCTGGGGGTGTTAGCATGTGGAGGTGTAAGGAGAGAGAGAATGGAAATACCTTTCACTGCCTCGTTAGCTTGAATTTGTGCGGCTGTTCCTTGTTGTTGGTTCGCGGCGATGGCTACAGGGAGGTCGACGTTGTTTTCAGCGATCTGCTCAGTAACATCCGCGAGGGTTTGTGCGGTTGCGACTTGAAGGTTGTCAGGGTGGTTCCGCAGGGTGAAGTATCAAATGCAACAGGGAAGTGGAAGAGTGAGCACTTGGGTTGATGTAAAATTAAATTCATTCTACATGTTGATGTTTGAGAGCAGGACAACTGCTCATAGGATAGGAGGGTCTCGGGTAGCGGGACTACTTACTCTGGTTGGCGGAGTTGGCGGTAGGAGTGATATCGGTCTGTTGGACGGCAAAACATCCACCGAAAGGTCCGGCGACGGCGTTGTTGCGACAGCGAACTGTGCAAATGTTGCCAGTGGATGCTAAAGAAACTCAGTATACTCTTGTGGGCCTAGAAGAGGTCCAATATACCTCCAGTGCACGCAAGGTTTGATGGCATGGCAACAGTGATGTTAAAGTCTTGTGTTTTGCCTTGAGAAAGACCGTTGACGCCAGGCACATTGTTGGTTACAGTCAAGTTTTGTGAGATGATACCGGCGTTGCCTATGACTTCGATCAGAGTTTGGGACTTGATATCCCTTGGTTGTACTTACTGGTCTGATCGAGATCACATGTGTATGGTCCAGCTCCGTCAGCGTTGACCTGATAATATTAGCATGAACACATGAAGAATAGCGTAGATGCGAGTATTGACTTACTTGATGAATGGTCACAGTCATGAGGGTGCCTGCTTTGACCTTGGTTACTGCGCCAGCGGCGAGAGCATTCTCAGTGTTTTCTCCAACATCAATGTTGCCGGTTAACTCCGTTCGCCCGCACTCGTTCACAATGTTCGCAGAAATTTCAGCGTCACGAATGATGGTGGTGTCCTGTTGGCAGGGACTGATACCCGTGCAGTTTCTCGCAATGGCGGTATCGACTGAAAATGGTCAGCAGTTGTTCGACTTCGCCCTATGTTGGAAATTTTGTACCTTGGAAGCCAACACTGGGTGGCGACCCAGCCTCTCCCTGGGCAGCAAGAATAACACCGTGAGCATTGGCGAGGGACAGTAGAGCTGCACTGTACAAAATGGAGGAAAGCATCTTGAGTAATAGGGTGTCCAGCACGGAAAGAATGAATGACAATTGGAACAATGGGTAGAAATCGCCTGGATCCTGAGATGAATGTAATTATCGAATGAAGGAACGAAGACCAGAAGTCACACCAGGAACTGCTGACGCCTTTTTATTCAGCCTTCACCATCAGGAAGCTGCCCAGCAACGGGGCCATATTCCAACACCGAAAAATTTGCTGTCCTACAACACTTGTTGCATAAACGGCGGAGTCGTCAGCATCATTTCCCTTAAAGCAGACCACTTTCTAGGGATGTCCACACACTGAAAACAATCGAGAAACGTTTGCCAAGGCTCTCATCTCATGCCAGTCGTTAGAATGCAGATCATCAGATGGCACATCACGGTTGAAAGATACTCGCAGCGGTCGATCTGATACACCGCAGGGATGTGGTGCCGAAGACCGCATTTGAGAGCAGTTATTCCCGCAATAGAACGCTGTTTGACCCACTGCCAAGCCCAAGTGGAGGCGTGGGATTCGATAATAGTCAGGCCAGAATTGAGGTTATTGAAACAAATGCCAAGTCGCGTAGCAGCGCAGAGGTTGTTTCTCAGGCTCTTGAGCCTCGCATGGGGCGTTTGAGCTGGGTGGGACTGCCTAAAGGGGTAACCCGCAGCCTTCCCCACTGCCCCTGACAGTGACAGGCATGTTATTCCGGCCATAAGGAGACACAAGGTCCAATTAAGGACTTGAATAGTATGGCCCTACCCGCATCAGCATAAATTTCCGTGATAAGATTGCGATCACTTACCAGCAAGGCTCGGCAGAAATTTTGAATGTCGATGTTTGAGGAGGCTCTGCTTAAGGCCTACCTCCCCTCTAAACTCTCTTTCGCAAAAGCAACGGTCCATGAGTAGCTATCTCTACCGAGCTCCACTCGCCCGAACTCCACTGAAAGCTACTTGAGCATAAGCTTGAATTGAGAGGAAGGTCTGTCGAGATAGGATGAAACATGCTTCGATTTTTGGTTTCAACCAAAAGTAAACGGGCTGTTTATCTTACAATTATTGCCAAATAATAATCTTCCCTCCACCACGCCAATCCTTTTAGCGGCCGCTTGTCTGCCATGAAACTCGAATAAACCTAAACGCCATGGCCTCCCAGAGCCCCAATTCTCCGTCGCAAAGCTGGTGCTTTTGACTTATTCGTCTTCACCTTCGGCATCGACTTCCAAATCCCCCGATATGGCGTCCTCCATTTCTTCGTCCTCGTCTCCCACCAGCAGACTCTTTCCCATCCCTTTACCGAGGGGTCCCTTGCCCTTACCTAAGATTGGCTTACCCAATCCTTTTCCCCGGCCAATATCTCGGTGGCTTCTTTTCTTCATGGCAGGCGTATAGACGATGGCATCTTCGTCTTCCTCTTCTTCCTCTTCTTCGCTACCGTCTCTCTCTTCTTCCTCGCCATCTTCAAGCTCGTCCCCCTCCTCGTCTCCCAATAAAACCTCCTGCCCTAGCCTGCTCCGTTGTTTCAATAGCTTCGGAGGTAAACCAGGGCCACTGTCCGCATTGCCAAAGTCGCTCTTCTTTGTTCCCTTTGGCCATCGACCCGGGCCTCGACCTGTACCACCACTCTTCCTCCGTGAAGTACTGCTTCGTGGACGAGCAGACGAAGGTCTTCTCGATGAGCTGCCGCCGCCAGAGCGTCGAGGTTTGGGACGGGATGAGCTGGATGAAGATTTATGTCTGGGAGTGGGCCGGGAAGAAGAGGGTCGAGGGGTAGCACGAGGCCGCGCTCCAGGAACGGGAGGAAATACCTCAAAACGTGTTGGGGAAATGGCACCTGCAGCTTCGAAGTAGGAAAGCCTCCTCGAGACGCCGTTAATACGTGTCGTGGACTGGGAGCCTTCGGCATCATCCTCGGATGTTGCTACTCTGATGAGTTCACCTGATTCAGTCGTTAATTTGCCGAGGGACTCGGTGACTTGGTCAGTATCACCATTTTCATTGAAGGTCTCAAAATCCCGCTTGCTGCCCTTTGATAACTTCGTTTTGTCAAGGATATCGTCCTCTTCGTCCTCGGATTCATCGCGTGGTGCTACTGTATTAAGCGGTGGAGCATGATCAAAGGCTGAAGCATTGCCACGGCCCATGATGTACGGAGTCCAGACAAGTCCTTTTGGGTTGAGCTTAGCGTAGTTCTTCGCCTCGTGCTGTCGAATGACCTCGCGGTAGTAATCAGTCTTCAGCTTGAAGGCATAGGTGCCAGTGATAGGCTCTCGTATCAAGGCACCCAAGGCATCAAGTGCAGAAATCACGTCGTCGGGGGTCAAGCCCATGTCGTCCGATATCTTCCTGATGCTGGGTATCTGGTCACCAGGTTTGAAGTCTTTTAGGTAATAACATAACACAAGTCGCCAGTAGTTTCGATATGATACCAATCCCATATCGGAAAGAGGCTTCTCTGGAGATCCCGTTTTACGTTCAACCCGTGTAAGGAGGTACGAGAAGTCGATAAGAAGATGCCCATACCCTTTTCGCTGGTGTATTGGAAGGACCAGGATACAGGAGACATTATTTAAACTGCTGGGTCGTTTCTCTTTAGAAAAGTAGCCGACAAAATGGCATCCGAGTTCGTCATATTCAGTCATGACGTAGAATAGAAAGGGCTCAACGTCGTAATAAAGGGTTTTCGAGCCCAGGAACAGTTTGGCGAGGAGACAGAGATTTTGACAGTAGAGCGGGTTCTTGCGGCCATCGACCTCAAAAACCATGATTTTGCCATCTCGATATATCTCATCACCTGGAGGATACTTCCAAGGGCATTTTGTCTTGTGGCGCCACGCAACTATGTCCGATTCCATGTACTTCAGGCAAAATTCGCAAATGAAAAGTGCCTTGTTGCGACTGTACTCTTCCGGGTACGGTGCTGCATACCAGATGTCGATTTGATACTGGCCGAACTCGATGTATTCGATCTGACTTGCAGGGCCAGATACCTTGCGAGCTTTCTTGATACCGGAAACTGTGGCCGCCTCGGCTGCTGCTGCAACCCTCGCCTTCCAATTTTCCTCTGCTTTCTGACGAGCTTCATCGAAAAGTCGGCGGTGTTCTGGCTTGGGAAGTGTTAACGTGGTATCTGCCTCTTCTTCGGTGAGAATGCCACCATAAGGTTTAGATTTCAGCTCGTCATTCTCCCTGTCGTGAAGAGAATAAAAGGGCTGGGAGTAGATCGATGGAACGAAGCCTGAACTTGTGGATGGACGAGCTCCGGGAGTGGGGCGACTCTTTTTCTTCGGTTTTGGGGGTTGTGAAAGGATATGCCGTAACTCCACTGGATCAACCCGAAACGCCATTTTGATGGTTGTTGGTGACTTTTCAATGATCCTTGCTGGGGAGTGGGATGGTGAGGATTTTGGTCGCAGTGATCTCGATGTTCGAGGACTTATGGGTGAATCGATTCGTTTGTTGTTGCCGTTGGTCAGGGGGTGGATTGCTTTGTCGATGTCCATAGCATCGTTGCCTGCTGTGTCATCAATGTGCAGAGCATTTGATTGACCGGAGCTCGTGTCTTTATCTCGATTTCTTTTTCTGAGCAAAGTTGCATCTTCGACGTCTGCGTCCGCAGAAGATGTTTTCCTTTTACGCAGGAAACGCGAGCCATCCATAGGGTCTTCTGGAGCAATCAACTGGTTGAAAACAGAGTGAGAGTCCGGTTTGATGGCACCACGCTGAGGTGGCAAGAGGTCCCCTGCAATTCGATCTCTTGATATCCTCCGTGTAGCGTGGTCTTGCACCCCGACTTCTGGCACTGCAGGTTCGGGGACGAGATTGTTGGACACACAGTCAGGACAGTACCAAGCTTCAGCTTCTAGAGATCAATACTTTAGCTATTTTGGATCAGTTTTGCAGGGTAAGGAATATTCGCACCTTCATCAGATTTGAGTGCATCGGCATTCCTGGCGCATTGTCTGTGTGCTACGGCCTGGTCAGCCTTGTCAATGATATCGTTGAAGTAAACAAACCATTATCCCCACAAACTCCACAAGACAAATAAAGTTCAAACTCTTCTGAAGGGTCATTCTCTTCATCCTGTTGACAAAAAATACAGCGGTTTGGGTTAGCTGGCTCGTCCTCTTCATCGTCAGCTGTAGGATCCCATTCCACTTCTACTTCAGCGTCTGTCGAATCTTTGGACTCATCATCGCCTCCACTAGCAGCACTCTCAGAATCAGAACCTGACATGGCTTCTTCGTCGTCCTCTAGAACGCCAGGTTGAATCTTCACGGCCCCAACTCCTAGATGTCTGTCAGTTTCTTACCAAATTTACTCTCAAATGGCCAAGAACTAACCCTCTCCATCCTCTTCCTCGTCTTCTTCTTCACTCTCCTCTCCACCATTATTTTCGGCCATTTCTTCGTCTGACTCGCCCTCCGCATCTTCGTCAGAAGGCCCCTCACCCTCCTCCTCACCTTCTTCGGATGCTTCCTCGTCTTCGCTATGCCCCAACTCGTTGTGTAATTGATTATTGGCAGCAAACTCATCTGAATTCTCGCCTAGGGGGTCTGCAGCAAGCTCATCATCCTCTTCAAACTCCGCGTCCTCCTCAGAAGTGGCCATACCTGAACAACAGTCAGCATTACTCAACACGAAAGCTCGAATGTGCGACAAGCTGAGAAACATTTGGAAAGGACCGGAACAGGAATGTTCATGAAGTCACTGGACATTCAAAGAGGGCAAAGATGGAGATTGTTCCATACTGTGCTGAAGCTCCTCCTCCATGAGCACGGCTGCCGCCATCTCTCAGATATCCGCGATCATTCGCGTACCAGTGTAGGAAGGTATTTTTGTGCTGTGGCACTCCGGGCGCGAGCTGTGCAAAGGGCAGGTGGGTTGCTCGTATGTGCGCCGGCGACAGCAGCCACAGACAGATCGAAGGTACGGGGTCTGTCGTTTCCTAAAAGGCACTGACCTATCTGCTATCACTTTTGACAATTACCGGCCCACCACTGATCAGTTCTTGATTGTTGTGCGAAATGTTGGCGATGGGGGATGATGTGCGACCGTTGAATTTGCAGTGAACGCGCGATTTTAGGACACAACCCCAGTAGGACAATTGAACACTCGACAAAAGCGGAAGCATGTAGGCTTCCGACGCGTAGATCAAGCTTGAATTGGATCGAAATCGTTTTGTGGAGTTTTAATATCGCCCCCCTGGGTTCAGGGCATTTCAAATGTAGTTGCCGTTCTCCTGAGGCTTGTGTTAGGTAAGAACCCGTGCAGCCGACCCTCCGCCGCAATTTCAACGTCAAGTCAACCAGCTTTTGAAGATTGAAGCTCAATCCATCGCAGCACAACGATATCAACTGGGTAAGAGCACTGCTCCGGGATTTAAATGAAAGTTGTATGCTAATTGATCATTCAGGATTGGATTGGAATCGCCACCATGGGTGTTCCTTTCGAAGCTCTCATCCCTTATGGGATCATGCTCGCTGTCAGTATCTCCGCCTCGATACCCAGCAGGCAGCCCTCTCGATGGCGTAGAACCATTGACTAAGTATCGCAGATGTTCGGTGTTACTGGGGCAGGACTTTCGAAGATTAGACACATGCAGAACGGGGGCAAGAGGGCAAGACATTCGGTGGATCAATGGGACAGAGTCAGTACTCAAACTCGGATCAAAAAATTTCCGAGTAAAACTATGCTAACGTCTATGCAGCAAAGTACTTCCCTAGGCCTTCTATCGAGGATTCAAGCAATACTGACAGCAGGATAGTGATGGATCGAGACCGGAGATTGACAGGTTACTTGAGAGGGCAAACAGATAATCCGTCGGCACCTGCAGGCTTCGAGCTGAACAACCCTTGGAGAGTGAGTCAGAAAGCTATTTATTCGCCGACCGTTTGCTGATATTTCGTTTTACAGCTCGAGAAGCGCATCCTCTAGATTGCCTGGTTGATCCTACTACTTGATATATATCTTGCAGCTAGGGAGAGAATATCAGGAATCCGAATCCACCAACGTCTTTCTCTTGTGATCTGTGTGTCGGAAATGATGAGATTCCTCTCCTTATTATGGTTTAGTGACCTGTTGGAGACGTGATTTGGCCCAATTTCCTCTTACTAGATCCATGGGCCTCGGAGCACGTGAATATCGTACTTAGACACTACCATTGTGCCATGAGGACATAGTACACGTGCCGATTCTTCGACCAACTCAATTCATCTGTGGATTATCTCGAGCCTCTTCTAGGGTTTCAAGCTCAGCCCTGATCCGATCATCCGCTGAACATTCTGCCAGGGGATAATGCAAAGCCATAGGGGCCAGGCGGCAAGGCAAGCAACCTTTAGAACCCCCCATTATCTATCTCTTTATTTCAGTTCGTTTTGGTATTTGAACGAACAGATTTGGTACATTTTGTGATTTTGGATATACCACCTTTCTTGGTTCATTTCGGGACTTTGATTGTACGGCCTTCTTAGGTACATTAGAAGTGGCCACTCGCTCGATCTCCCAGAAACGGAACATTGAGAGGTGCTAAATCCCCCGATCTGACTCTAATAGCCACCTGGAGCTCCCTTCAACTCGGTCGACAAACCCCGAATTCCCAACCTCTCCTGCTCACCAAGCACGATGCCAAACCACTTCTCAAGGACATCCCACCTCTCCACCTCACTAACACATTCCACTAACGTCTCAGTGTTCCCTCTAATTCGCTGCTTAACCTTCCCATCAGCCATGGTAATCACACCCACCACATCCTCCTCTTCTATCACAGTTCGCACACAAAGAATCATCTGGTTGAAGAAGCTTCACCAAACATTCTTTGTACTTTTCCAATTCATGACCTCGATATCTTGCGGCAAACATTCAACCTCAGCGAAGCAATAAATACCGTCCCATTCTTCATTTTCCTCCCTCTTATGCTGCAAGATCCAACACTTCTCCGGGGTTTCAAATTCCGGGATCGAGCTCCAAATAAGCCTCTTTCTGTCGTTAGTACTTCCCCATGGTACCTCGATCCCATCGACCAGCGGAATAGGAGCCGCTGGACCTGCAGCGGTTAGACTCACCATCATCCATCAATATCGGAATAGCTCACCATTAGCACCAAACCCAAAATCAACAAGATATCTCCTCCCCTCAAACTCAACCAAATTAATCAAATGATTCCAGCCATCAAACGCCCCTTTCGGACCCCCATGATTTGCCTTCGCAACCCTCGCCGCCGCCATCTTAACCCTGAACCCCCAAACTCCTCATCACGGTGCCAAAGAATCCATTATTCATCGTACAAGTGCCTCCCCTCCCGCCACTCGGCCCTCTTCCATCCCGAACCCTCTCTCTTTCGGACCTCTCTCGTTCCAAAACTGCCCCATCGGCGCTCTCCCCCTCCCGCGCAATCCCCCCACTATTCAGTAAATACTCACACACCAACGCCTGATCTAGCGTACCCATATGGTGGCGACTGTAACGCAAATACAAATTCGCAAACGGGATTCTATTTTGCTGATACTTCTGCAGCATACCCAGGGAACCCCTCGCAGAGACAAAAGTCCCCCATCCCTCTTGCTTGTAATCCCTCACTGTCGCTGCCGCCACGGCTTCCGGGAGTCGGACGTGCGAGAAATACTTCTGCAACGCAGGTAGCGAGGAGCACGTCGGTCTTCTGTTCAGAATTCCAGAAACATCTTCATCGCCGCTCTTCACCAATTCATCGCACGAAACCAAGAAAGAGTGTGGAGATACCTCTCCATCAAAACCTCCCCCTGAAAGAAAGAATAAAATCCCCCCCAAACGAAATTCTGACGTGAGGAACAACCTCTCCCTCCCATCGCAATCGAAAAACCCTTAAAAATTCCAGCCTTTCATACAACTCACCAAATCCAAAAAAAAAAAAACAAAAAAGAAGAAGAAAAAAATTTCCCCTGCCAAAGCGTGTACGTGCATACATCATGGTAAGATCTTACGTAACCAAAGGCACCTTAACCGTCACTTCGCAGCAGCTCGCAGTCGAGTCGCCAAGCTTTCCAAACCGGAGATTTCCCGCCCCTCGGGTGCCAAGGTAAGCTTATCCCGCACTCCCCGATGCCCTGCCAAAGCCCATCATCCGCTTCATGCAGATCATTTCGCTTGTCTGCCTGCAAGCCACAACCCCGGCCAGCGGCGGCCCAAGTGCGGGAGCTAAAACTAGCACCAACGAGATGACAGCGGGAGCCAAAAGAAACCTCCCCTTCCTCGCCTCTCTCTTGATCTGCGGGGAAGTACGAAGGTACTTAGACGAGAGGGTACGTACCCAAGCCAGGGCTTGTTTTTCGCCGAGGCTTTTGCTGCATTGGGATATTCCTGTTTTGGGATGCATGCGGTTTGCGAAAAGAGGCGCCGGGTTATTGAAATCGAGCTACGCCGCAAGGACGACGATGCTCGTAAGTCAATTCTGCTGTGACAAGATGAGCAAAACATGGTGATAATAATGGTCACTGTTTAATGAGTTGGGAATAATGTTTGCCGATGATGATATTTTTTTCCTCCAGTCAGGATTAAAATATATACTGATGCTGACCCCATCCATCCATCACGCAAGTTTTTCCTCTAAAATACCATTTGTCAGTCCCCCTGGGGTATACCGGACAGACAAAAAGCCCTTCTCTAAGAATAAAAGACTCTGCATGTGTATGTCCCATCCCAACGCCTAACGATGTGCTGTGTCCTCTGCCACCACCCATGTTGAAGCCCTCAGGAATGCGACCTAATCCCTCACTATGAATGTGCCCTTCCTGTTGTGAACAAAGAAAATCAATGCAGATGCTGTTCACCTTTGCTCAACCCGAGCTTAGTAGGAAGTCCGCCAATGCTGTGAATCCTTTTTGATCAACGCCGGTGCTTGCCCTAAACCCTAGCCACGCCCATGTTTGGATTCGAACCATAATGAATATGTCACATCTACACGATGACTGGCAGTTATCTAGTAGCGACCCTCCAGTCCTCCCGATCCGCTTGTGGTAACAGCTGGTGACCTTGTCACGTACATTCCTGGTATTCCTGCCATGCTACCAGCTGAAAGATTTACGTTCGGATTCGGACTCTGAAACCCCGCTGGGTAGGAATCGCGTCTGCCCGAGCTTGGCAAATAAGGCATATTAGTGGCTATTCTTCCATACATCGGCGGACCCATCCCGAGTGCTGGAGGTGCTCCGATAGGGGAAATCGGGCCCCTGAGTCCAAGATTCTCCAAAGAACCCAAGGCAATGTCAAGGCGTGGCGGTGGGGGAGAAGGCGCCATCATCGCACCGTCGTATTGTTGCCGTGGTGATGGCTGATAATGAATAGCTTGTGGCTGAGGTGGAAAGGTCTGGTATTGCGGCGATCTCTGAGGCTGATCGTATGGTGAGGTAGTGCCAGTGTGTGTTCTAACCCTCCGAGAAAAGTATTGATCTCGAGCAGCGAGTGCCGAAGAATGGGGGGGCGAGGAATAGGCGTACGAAAAGTTACCTGCTTGCCCTCCTTGCGGCGAGAAAGAACTGAAGGGAGATTGCTGGGGATCTGGATACACACCCCTATATTGCGGGCTGTCTAGAGGCTGCTGTTGATTGAATGTTGGCGTTTGGCCATGTCCGGATCCAGTCCGGGGCCGTTTGTTAGACTCATCGTAAGACATCCCCTGGTATGAAGAAGTAGACTGCTGCGAGAAACGGCGACCCATTGGAGGGCGCTGATCGTAGCCGGAAAGCCCCTGTGGCGATTCGACAAAATCTCCCTGCTCATTTTGACCCTGACGAACAGCATCTTGGGACTCTGGGCTCGTCACTTGCCGTTCTACTCCTTGGCTCGAGTGTCGATTGGAGGTACGGTAATGTCTTGGCTGGTAGTCATCGTGAGCAGGTCCGCGTTTTCTGAGCAAAGTCCTCGGCTCCTTTCGTAATCGAAGCCGAACACCCTGATCACTGAACGACCGGGTCAGAAAAGTGGATTCAGACATTCCTTGGAAGTTTTTCGTCGAGTGAACCGGAAAAGAATTCGATAGGATGGCTTTGATGTGATAGCACTCATTTTGGCGCATTTCGTAGAGGTTGAATTGCAGTCGGAATGTTCCTTCGAGCTTGACCGAGAGGTCCCCAAAGACGAAGAAGGCTCCATCGAGGTTGTCAGAGTCCTTGAGGCGGTGGAGAGACGAAACCAAAGTACCAGCCAATGCAGCGCCGAGAGGTCCTTGCGGTATTCCTTCGTCTTCGCCTACGAGACTACATGACATGAAAAAGTAAGGACCTAAAGAAAGGGGAGATTAGCTTGAGTACTTCCCGCCAGTCAAAGAGACTCGTACTTTGCAAATAGTTTTGACTTGGGTCCGACTGCTGGCTGATTTTGAGCTGGATGATTGGCGGTGGATCTACAGGTTTACGATCTGGACAGTGGATCAGCTTCAGCTACAATGCAATGCCCACTTGAAGATGGTGTACCTTTCTCTTTGCCAACGGCGACTCTGGCATTCTCAGGCCCTTGTCTAATGATGAGCTGACAATGATCACTGAACAACGGCATGGTTAGCGAATGGTTAGAGGAAACACAATTCAAGAGCTTTGGTAGAGCAGCTTTGTGAAGGTGTAGGTCGAGAGGACGTACCTTCTCAGGCCTTGGATTTGGGCGGTGGCCGCGTCTGCGAACTGGTGGGTTGAGTGGACGACGTTCATGGATACTGTGGGGGCTTCTCCAGCCTGGTCTTTTGGGTTCCTTGGTCCTCGAGTGTCTATTGCGATCGAGATGCTTTTCTAGATACTTGAAGAGACTCTCCGGGGCAGAAGGATAGGGTTTGTGGTAGGATGCAATAATCGAGACCCAGAGGAGGACTGGCTATGGTTATAAAGATGCCTGGCATGAGGTGCGTCGTCTTTAGGGCTTCTGGAATTCGCACGAGCAAAAAACAGTGTCATAGAAGACGTTGGTGGGGTGCTAATTCCTCCCCGGACCGTTTGACTTTCGACGTCAAACCTGGTTGGGGACAGACCTTGGCCTTTCGATGGATAGATGGCGTCTTCGTCCCAAGTAGTGGCGTCCGAGGTTAGGCTGATGGCCAATGGAAGGAAGGCGCGAGTCTTGAGGTTTGAAGATGCTGCTTTGGGGGAAGTCGGGGCAGCTAGTGGACGCTCTTTTTCGGTAGGCTCCGAAGTCTTTGCAGCGGTCCTTATAATCCAACGTCGATCCAAGGTTAAGACGAGACAAGTGCGCCGGGATGATGTAAAGTGACAAGGCTGACAGACGGGAAGGGTCACTTAGCCTTGCCTTCGACAAGTAGAGCTCCTTGTCTCGGATTAGGGTAGAGCCGTCGAGCAGTCCGTCGAAGACGGTTTGGTGTGGAGGACCAGAATTTGAGGGGGGTTATGTGTATGGTCCCCCGGGGATAGTGAGAGACTGAAGCAGCGCAGGTGATTGGCGTGGCCTGCAGTCCAGTGTCGACGGGTGGTAGACAACGGGCGAGCAGCGCGCGGCACTGGCATTTGGAAGCAGGTACTTACAATGCGCAGTGCCGCCAGCCAGAGAAATGAGGTGACAGGAGGAAGAAGTGTCGAACAGCCAGCCAGCGGCCCAGGGAAGCCGTGATATGTGTGATACGGCTCGATTGGGCTGGGCAACCAGTCCGAATGCAGTAGCAGGCTCTCTCTCTCTCCCTCTCTCCCTCTCTGTCTCTCTTCTCTGTCTCTCTTCTCTGTTTGCAAGGTGGCGCCGTGATTGGGCTGTCCAGCTTCGCGGGACTCGATTTGATCAGATCTGAATGAATGGGCGGTTGAGATTCAGATTCGAACAACAGCGAGAGGATGCGCCTTTTGAGACACAGCAAGTGAAGAGCGTCTCAAGGATCCCGTGATGGCCGTGGCCTGCTCCGTTTGCCGCAAACAGAAAGTGGAAATGAGAGCTCTGCTGGGTTATTGGCGCCTCCTCGATCCTGAGGGCACAAGATCTGCCCCGCGAGATGGAAATGAAAGGTACAAGGCCTCGGCGAGAGGCCAGGTGTAGCGACGTCCTGCACAACGCACCAGCACAGGCACAGGTCTCTTAGGTGTCAAGTGTCAACGCTTCGAAGCTGGGAGCTGGGAGCTTGCTGCTGCTTGATAGACGGACCAAACCCAGCAGACTTGAAAGTGCCGGAGGCGAACAGTTCAGAGGGTAGTCCCAGGTATGTGCCAGGTGTGCGAGAGTAAGCTCGGACAATACAGTACGACTTGATACCCCCTTCCCAAGTCGCACTTATGGACCCGCAGGTAGGGGCAGATGGCAGGCAGGAACTCTTTAAAGCTATCTCAGCAACGCCACCACGACTGGGCCAGCAGATAGGCATCTCCGAACTGACAGGCAGGGCAGGCAGATGGCGCTGGGACGGGGGGCACAGGCTTGCCGTCGGCGAGCAGAGCAGGAGATGGGATGGGACTCTGGGAGCAGATGGGCCGAGCAAGAGCACTGCACTGAAGGGGAGGGGAGGCCGGATAGGCTGAAGGCACAAGACTGGACAGGATGAAAGCAACAAGGAAGAGGGCAGGCTGGGCAGGGCAGGGTAGGGAATTTGGCGCGGCATGGGTGCGTTGGTGACAGGAGTGGACTGTGCTGAGGATGTGGAGAGGGAGACGCAGCAGCAGCAGCAGCAGGGCCAGGGCATTGCTGATGTCTGGAGACGAGGTTGGCGTTCACGCTGGCGCTGATTGAGAAGTGGGAGGGCCAGCAATGCCAGCATCTGCACTGCCGTCGTTCGTCTGTCGTCCGTCACCGCTGCAGCGCAACGACCAGGCCCTCGATCTCCGAGTTGCTTGGACGCGATCGTCTGAGCGCTCCAGACAGACATGGAAGCTCCGCAACCCCTGCTGCTTGGGATGACTGAGTGCAAATAATACGCCTCTGCAGCCGGCATTCCAGACGCCTCCTGGAGATCGCGCCTGCGAGGCTGGCCGATGGAGAATTATTTGCATCGCTTCGGGTAGCTGCTTTCGGTGTCGTCGCCAACCCGCGAAAGAACCAGCGGAGTGACACGATCACGGCGGGCCCCGTGCGTACGGTGTACTAGGTACGGAGTAGTGGAGATCTGGATCTGGATCTGGATCTGGATCTTTATCTCCGTCTCGACTGGTCTTCGCCGTTGCGTTGCTTTTTCCCAGTGGAAAGTCTAGAGTATGTTCCATACTCAGCGCTACTACATTGTTCCTCGTACCTCGTCCCTCGTTCTTCGACTCCTACTCCGACCTCGAAGTACATGCTGGCTGGGTTTCCTGCAGCGGCCACGCACAGGGCGGCCATCTACGGTATATTTACACTAGATCCGGCAGTGTGGACGGGTAAGGAGGAGGCGCCCTGTCCATGGCAGCGAGCACACAACGGCACGGCATGCGTTCCTTCTCGAAGGCCATGCCTTGTGAATTGGGCGTGCAAAATCGGTCTCGAGGTGCATATCAGATAACCAGACGCACTGTGGCTGCATGGCCAGGCCTTCGGCGGGTGCCGGTACGCTCGCCTGTTGCAGCCATTCCGGATCTCTAGGACACGCGTTGCCCGTGGCAGAATATACAGCGGTTGTACAGTACAATGATTTGCAGTGCAGCACACACGCATACGGATACGCATACTATATTGCTGTGTGCACCCACACGCGCTGCAGAGCTATTTGCTGCGGAGCGAGATAAAGTACAGGCGTCGACAAGCGACGACCGCCTGAGGGTCCACCAGGTCTATTATTTGTCTATTCCAGGGGGGGTGGGGGAGCGGGATGAAGCTAGAGGGACCTGCATGCAGCCCGGAGCCTGCAGCGACGTGCAGCACCTGCCGCCCCGTGTCGTCAATACAAGTAATGGCCGAAGAACAAGAGCCGTCTACCTCGAGAATGTCGTTGGTTGCCTTTCCCGTCTCTACCAAGTAAGCCTCCTTTCCTCCGCCTTCCCCGGTTCCTATCCGGAATCCCACCCCCTCCCCTGAGTCCCCTCACCTCCGGCCCCCTCCGCCCCCCTCCCCACCAGCGTCATGGACGCCGAAGTCGTCCAGATGCAGCCCCGTCTGCAAGTCACCGGCCGGTGCACGGCTACCACAGGAGAGAGGCACTCTCTGCCCTCGTCGAACGTCAGACGTGTCACCCGAACTCACCCAACCAACAATATCCCAAGCCTCCATGCAGACGGACTATCGACAGACTGGGCGTCGAATCGACACCGATCCGAGTCGAACATTGGCGTCGTCTGAGCTCGCACGGCCGTCATTTCGAAGCAGCTTCGAAGTCGAAGGTTGTTGAGTACAGTACAGTTACAGTACAGTACTGTACATGTAAATTATGTACAGTACCGTAGTCGCAGTTGAGCTTGGTCCACCTGCTCGCGAGCTCCACCTCCGCCCTGAAGCCTGCTGCCCCGTCATCCGTGTCCTGCAACGCTCGAATGATCGCCCGCAACGGTTCCTTGGCATTTCGTCCGATGTCCACGATCGATTCCTTCCCCTCTCCCCACCCCACACGGAACGGGAAGCTTACCGTAATGTAGTACAGTGAAACCTCGCTATAAGGATACTCAATATAAAGATATCCTTGACATAAGGATACATCTGCTGGCCCCGCAGGGATTAATTTTGCTGTGTGCCACACCTCGTTATAAGGATACCTCGGTATATCCTTAGTTTTTGGGAACAATTTCGGTATCCTTATATCGAGGTTTCACTGTATCTCTCGGCCGGCCCTGATCAAACTACAAAGCACTTGGCCTCTTCGGCATGCTTCACGGTCTCGAATGCGTCCCGCGGCCCGCTTCACCAGGACGCTTTTTTCAAAGCGTGCACGACCGAATCCGGGCTTCTGTCTCTGGGTCTTTCGTGGCACGGTCTGCTCCCGGCCCCAGCCCCCGACCCCGACCTAACCTTAGCTCGCGACGGGATGCTGCAGGACGCATCCGCTTGGGACGTCGGCGTGGTGTCGCGAGGGAAGCACATGGCAGAGGCGAATCGGAACGACAGGCATATCAGAATCAATTGCGCGGGGACGAGGACGAGGACGGATCATGGATTCATATCCTCGCTAGGGGCAAAGTCGCCGAGAACTCTGCGGAACCCGGGCAACAGCTACAGTAACTGTTGAGATGCAATTCAAAAACAACATCTGAATCACCTCGCAATGAATTCTCGATGGCTGTCGAGGATATTGCTTTGTGTCAGTACGGTCTTCTGCAGAGCTTCGTACGAGGCTTTCGCGCTGCAGCATGTGGCTGCTGCGCTTTCGTTGATTCTGGGCCAGCCTCGGATCAGGGTCGTCTCCGCGACCCTTGAACATGACCGCGCTCAGTTGTTCAGCTTCGCGAACTTCTATAAGATCATATCATATCACATATGACCAGGTTATGCTCCCACGTAGGACGCATAAACCAGGTTGCCCTATATCAGAAGTCTCGTTTCAGATTTCTGTAAGGAGACGGCCGAGCACATCGAATTGACAGCCTCGTGCTTGTTCAGATCAGTGGGTTCGCAGCAACATGCGCCGAGGACTTAGGCTTTGACGATTGAGCTCGAACGTCTGAAGAGCGGGCATTTACTCCCGCACTCCCGCATCAACACCTTGACGTCATAGCAGGTATTCACGTCTCGCACGTGGTCTGACTTTTGTGGAGTTCGATGGCAAACACTGAAGCTGAGAGCGATCTTGGTCTTTTGGCCCAGACTTGGCGGGCTTCAATCTGTTTGACGGCGGACCACATCCTCTCGCCAAGTTTTCCCTCGAGAGCAAAAAGGACAACCAGTAGCGGAACTGGGCCTTTCAGGCGTCAGTCTGTCATGTCGCACAGCAGAGGAGGCCCCTTCCAGAGCCCGCGGGTAGCACGTTTCCGCCGTTCCAGCACGCGAAACCCACGCGGCGAGGTGCTTTTTTTGGGAAAAAGGCCATGCGGGAGAAAAAAGAAAAAGAACTGGGCTAGGCGCCCTCCGTTGAGCCTACCTCAAAAGATGCAAAAAGCGACAACCTCTGATGATGTCAAGAGAGCCTCAGAGTCTGCCTTCTCTTTAGGCCCTTCTCTCCAGCACTGAATCCGCAGTTGATGTTCAATCTAATCCAGGAACAGGAGGGATGTGCGCTTCGCTGAGGCTCTGAGCCAACCGTTGCCATTTCCGACTCGGGGCTACCGCGGTTTGGGAGTAGAGGCTGGATGCGCGCCACTTGCAGAACTGCATCTGCAAGCCTCTTCCATCAGCACTCCTATCTGCAAGTTTAAACCCCCCATGAATAGGCCGAGCAAATTCTTGTGCTCCCTTCTGCAGACTGCATGCCTCATTAAACGCCCTGGTGGCAAGATTTGCGGCCTGAGAGGAGTACAACGGATATCGCCTCGCCGTGGAGAGGGCCTTGAAAGACAAGTATCAAAAAAGTAACGACCTTCACCGCGATTGAGCGATTACCATCCATCTTGAATCTGAATCCCGGATGCAGTTCACTCCTTGGATGGGTCTTTCATGATGTCGTTGATCCTACCAAAATTGTGGCTTCAGTTGTCACAATCGCCTGTAGGCCAAGCCTCAGGCCGGGAGTGACACTTTCCAGAGCTCAGAGCTCAGAACTCAAACGCGCCGCCAATGCCGTCATGTGTCTCACGCCTCGGGAGTCGGGTCCATTGTCCAGGCATTTGTTTTATTTGACCGTTTACGAACAAGAGTTTGGCTGTGCTGACTGCTGAGTATCTTCACCACCCGGCCCTTTTGGGGGCTTGTCCATAATTTGGACCCATGGACTGACACGGTAAGGGCCGCACGCCCTTGCCTCCTCGGGCCTTCTGCGTGGCTTGACTCGACTCAGGTTTGATATGCCTCGAGTACCTACTATTATGTCTGATGAGTCTCAGCCACGAGCTAACTGTGAAGTCACTCGATGTTGCAACTTGCAAGCAATCGCGTCTACTTGTATTGCTCCCCAGCATTCATGGAAGCTAACCCGAACCAAGCCCTAAGTTCGCCACGATCGAACCAGGACGTGGCCCGTGGGTTGGGCAGCAAACCAGGCCCTGCCGCGACCACCATGTCCATGACCCCCCTGGAACACGCCAATCATATCGATTTCCATACTGACTCGAAAATAGCAAGGAACAACCAACCTCCGGTGACTACCCTGCCCCTGCGATGATGCAAACCTTGGAGCCCCAATCTTACCTGAGCGTCACCTGGCCTTGGTGAGATCACAATCGACAAATCTAGCTAGCGAACTCAGCTAAAGTGATGACCAGCAGCTCAAGGAGTCAAAGAACTCTCCGTACGCGCCGCTTAGTGTTCTGGAGAGCTCCTTCTCGACTGCTGTTTAATTTCCGAAGCAGGACTTGTGTCACAACCCACAGAACTTTGAGAGATTCGCACTTCAATGGCCGCCGGCATGATGACTTTATCGAGACCCTCCCGTCGATCATATACCCCCAGGCCGCCTTCCAATCGATTATAGCTATACTGCATGATTTATGCATACGCTCTATGAGAGCTTTGAAGATATCCGAATATCGGTCCACAGTCAGCGTCACGCATCAGTGCGGTGATTGCATTTGACAGCGTTTATATGAGCTTGCTTGCCATTAAATCGCATACTATCATACAAACTCTGTATGAGCCCGAAATGAGTTGAATACACTTTCACATGCTCTTGCATGGTCCCATCATCACTCGATCTCTACCAGCCGTCTCCGAAAGCTCGTCAGCAAGATGTCGCAGTGGCCGCAGGGATATAGATGAAATCTGCCTTTCAACTGCGGAACGGGTGGGAAACTGGGGTTCTATGGCTCGCCTCCATGGAGTTGTGGGGTGGACCGTCAAAAGCCAAGTATGGCCTCCTCATAACTCTTGCAGAATAAGTCAGATGATATGGCAACCGGAGATGCTGGCGAGTGATAGCCTCTCCACGCAGTGAACTGGAGGGGTTTGTTCCTATACTTGTCCTGCTTTTTATTATCAGCGTGCCGAGTCTCTTTCTTAATCCGATTCCACGAACTCTAGGCTTCGATCACCTGCCTCCTCGATTACTGCCCTCAGAGTTTGGAAGGTACGGAGCGTGCAGGGCGAGATGCTCGTAACAATGTATCTCGAGAGCTCTTCAGTGGCTGGTCGTAATATCCTGCCGCCCAAAGGATCGAAACAATTAGTTAACTTCGGATCCGCCTTGTTCTGCGAGATCGCGGCGTTCCGCAGTCGTACCTTAGTCGCTGAACTTCTTGAAAGGGGCGAAGTTCCTAATTTTAGACACTTTAAGTGCTTGCTATCAAATTACATGCTTAATTGAAGTGTATGAAAATTAATCTTAAGGGACAATTAATGTAAAATTTATGGTTTTAGGGCCCAACTGAAGATTACGATATTCCCCTACCTATAAACCAGCTCAGCATATCGAAACGATGTTCCACATATGATTCAGTGGCTTGATATAATGTTTGAACCACACTTTCGAGATAAGTATCCACTTCGAGTAATGTCACAGGAACTTCTTTCTGACTATGCAATCTCAGCAACTAAAACAAATGAGTTGAACTCTTAAACTTGGTAACGATCTTACTGAACTGGTGTGTCTGTTGACGTTCAAGGTAACCCATAACATAAAATACCGCTCTCGCCGCTGTCCTTCTGATGGTGCGATTCCTCGTTGGCGCTACGCATCCCCGCTCCCCTTTTGGAGGAAACAACATGCTCGGCCCTAATGGGATAGTAGCTTGAAATATCTCTGCAACCTATAACTGACAATGGTAAGATAAATCAAGGCATATGATCCCACTAATTGGTGGGCTCGTCATACCGTACCGGACGAGGGAAGCTGCGGGAAATCCTAATGGACCATAATCAAAGGGACGCAGCCCTCCTTGAGGATATTCCAGACTAGGTACTAACGCAATGACATGTCGATTTATCCCCGCCTTTTGTCTCGAAACGCGGATAGATCGGATAAGTCTCTTTACAGAAACCTTTGCATCCTTAGCTCATGGGAATGGCACGTTGTGACATTTGGCAAGACACCAAGCTTGACCAAGAAGACCACGAATACAATCTGGGAAGCCGCTGTCCTCGAGCGTTGGAGGCGGCCCCCAGAATCGTTGGGCGCCTCCTCGGACTCCTCGAGTCTCTTGCCATTGGATCTCCAACCTCCTGAGCTCTGCGCTCTGCGCTCGACCCGTCCCGTTCTGAGGTAGGAAAGAAGGATGGAGAGCCCTTGGGTGCTTCTCCTGAGCACAGGTTCTGCCCTTTTCGCAGATGCTCAGGCTTGTTACCCAAAAGGCTGCTTGTAAATATAATAAAATGATGTAGAAGCTTTCCTACGAAAGGGAAATCCCCACGACCACGGAGCTAAACACAAAATCTTTAGGTGAAAAACAAAATACCAGCGAATAAAGCCATAGATAACCGTACGTTACTCCTATAACATCCTCTCCTTCGATTCCGAACTCGAGTGCGACTCACAAACAGCCTGAACCATCGCCGAGTAGCAACCGACCTGCCGCGAACCGAACTCAAATCGCCGAAGCCCTCCACCTCTTCATAACGAGTCGCCGTTGACTTTCAACAAAGTACATCTCTTCCTCCAACTTCCATCAGACGTTTGCAAGCACTTCGCCGTTGTCGAGTGCTCTAGTCAACTCCCAAGCTCATTCGAATACCAAGAGACACCACAACCCCTTTTCTCCCACCGACCCAGCTGGCCGAACCTCACAAGCTTTTCCTCCTCTTCTCCATAGCTTAATTTCCCTCCAGCAAAACAATCGCAATTCCACAACCCTCATCGAACATCCGCGAAAGCATTCGCATCGTCGAACTCAATTCCAACCTTTAACCCCCTATCCTCCCTCCTTCACAAGCGAAGCCCAAAAAACAACACCAGAACCCTCACAAACCCACACATCCACATCCACAACGAACCTACAAAAGCAAATCACAGACACCGAACTCACATAAACTCAGCGCCTAACGTCCGCTATAAATACTGCTCCGCCTCAAGACATAAAGCGAAGTGAAACATCCGCTTCATGCACGCTCTGTGCGCTCGCTCACGCATACACGTCCTCCGTCCCCAAGATGGCTCGCAGGCTCGCACAATGCTAAATAGGAAAGAATTTTGTGTTGTGGGCGGGGTTGAAATGTCTCTGTTACCTTGTTATTATGCGGTGTTGTGATTGAGTGCGCTGGCTGATATTGTGGCGTGGCTGTGGAGGTAGGAAGTTCTTCTACTATACATAGTTGTAGGTTGGATGGAGGAGGTAAGACATAAGTTCATGCGAAGGGGATGATATTCTCATATTATAGAGAGTAGTTATGTTTCAAGAGCAAATGCGGATTAAGTCTTTATGGACACTTTCATATCATCACCGTGATATCCCCAAGATTACTAGTAAACACTTCCAAAGAACGTTCTCTTCCCTTCTCCAAATACCACATTGTGATTCCAGAAATTAGCACAATGCCAATCACGTTTCATATAAGCCTTTTGCTTTTTCACCCGTCTTTGGGAATGGATACGAGAGTCTTGGAAGGATTCCAATAGCCCGGGTTACAAGCGACTTGGAGTGACTTCTCGAAGTTGTACTATACGTATAATCTATGTAAAGGTACGTCGATGATACAAACATCACCACTTAGTAAGGCATTCTACAGACAAGTACATTTGCTTCTCTCCTGCCTTCGAACCAAGCTTCCTTTCTTACTCTCTCGCCAAGTTCTCAATCCCACTCATCGTAGCATCCCAGAATCATCAAGCAGAAAGATTGAAAACATTTCTTCAGCAAGTGGATCTTGCTACAAGCGGAATCACCCCTATCTCGCCCACAGAAAGCATATACAAATCAACAACGTCAACTTTCTTCTTCGCGTCACCTTCATAACAGAACACAATCCCTCAAGTATCGCCGGTCTAGACAAAAAGGAGAAGAAGGACGGCCTCAAGATTTCATTGCACTTCTACAGTTTCCTTTCTCCGTCTCTTTTCTTGTTGTTTCCTCGGCTTTGACTTCACTTCACCTCCACAATTAAATCATTCAAGTATTGTAGGTCGCCATTTTCGACTGGGAGTTGAAAAGAGACTGCTATCACGGCATTGCATTTGTTCACCATCTCCCTCGCTGTTCCATCGATTAACTTTTCACCTTTGATACTTAACTTTTGCCGGCTCCTTCGCCTTCCTGATCTCTCCAGCTACCCTATTCTTATTCAACTTCCGTCCTCAATACCTGCCCTTTGTCTTCACCTTGCTTCCAAACTCAGATCCTGAACTCCTCGCAACTCAAACTGGATTCACCTTCAACAATCAACAGAAAATGACCCGAGTCCAAGATCCTGTTGAGAGAGATTATGGCCGCCTATCTCAGGGGCACTGAGGCAGCAATCGCTGCTTCAAGAAAGCACAATATCCACAGGCCTTAGGACCAAACCTCAAGCAAGAGTGACGGCCGTGTTTCGGCGGCGAAGAAAGTTGAGCCATCTGGCACAACGCGCCTTCCTTGTCCCTAAGCCGTTTTAATGCCTCGGAATATTTTCGCACATTGGCTAGACTCACCACTGTTTCTGCGGGCAAATAATATCTGCTGAAGTCCCACAGCTCATTTATATACACCGTTAAACCTATCTCCCTTCTCGATAGCTATAAGTAGTCTAACGTTTGGTGCTGAGGGAAAGGTCTACGGGTTCTAATACGGCGAGAACTCAATATGGCTTAGCTTCAACAGATAATTTATGACTTTAATTGCGAGGAATAAGAAGATGTGTGTGCATTAGTCAGACGATTCTCGGTGGATTGGGAAGAGACAGGTTGGGTCAAATATTAAAGGTGGTAGATTTCTTAATCTCTCCGAGTCATTCTTGAATCAAATTGCGAGTCTTGGTCCAGAGGTTTGCAAGTCACTCTACTTACCTAAGGAGACATAATATTCCAGAATATAAATTTGTATATAGAGGTAGTTAATCTTAAGAGAAGTAAATATCAAGAAAGTTAATTGATTAGGAAGAGAGGATAAGGCTAAAGGCTATGAAGAAATGCATAGGCTCAAAGAGACAGCATAAACGGGCGATGTTGATATAAGGATATTGAGTGTTATAAAAGAAATCTGGGTTTTACCACTCGAGGATTCTTTTCCTTAGTAAAAAACACTCATATACAACTCCAATGTTGGGCCTTGCGAATGTACCAGGAGAGCGCCTAGAAAAATTTGCAATCAGACTTTCTTCATCGCCCCAGGAAACTTTGGAACAATTGAATCTAGCTTGCCGCCCAGAAATTGCCATTAAGCTTTCCATTTCCAAGTTCTCTTATCAACAGCATCCCAACACCTCACTCCAATAACGCAGAACATTGCACCGCCAAGTAACGCAGCATCAAATAACACCACGTTCCGGTAATTAACCAGCTTACTTTCGCCAAGAATCTTTCCGCCGACTGGACTTCCAAACATGGTTCCAAGCCCTCTCACGAAATAGATGAAGCCGTTGACACTAGCATAAGCTTGAAGTCCAAAGACGTCTGCCACCGTCTACTCTTATCAGCCAAGAAAATATAAAAATTGCAAGGAGACTCACAGTTGGGAACAAAGCATTATACCCACCACCCGTAACCCCATAAAGCACCACAAAAACAATCCAAAGCACTTTATTGCCACCACTCACGCTTCCCAACCAAAATCCCAACACAGAAATCACGCACAGCACCCCAGTCAAAATCAACGTATTCTGCCTCCCGAATCGATCTCCCGCAAACCCGGACATCACTCGACTTACCGAATTAACACCATTCGAAACGGCCAGAAGGGTCGCACCAAACCCGGCGCTGTAACCCAGAACGACCGAATATTCAGCCAGAAACGTCAACGGAAGGCCATTTCCACCAGCTTGGAGGAATCCCGCTCCAACACTGAACAGAAACGACGGTTTCATCGCAAGCTTGATGTCGATACGGGTCGGTCTCCTACCCACAAATCTAGATGGAGCCGCCATGCTCGCAATTGGCAAACTAACCACCAGCACCAAGAGAGCCAGAGCCCTCAGCGCCCATCTCGGCCCAATAGCTGAAAGCAGAGCGCGGATAAGAGGTGAGAAGATGAGCCCTCCCATCCCAGATCCAGAGAGGATAAACCCCATTGCCGAACCTCGATGAGCGGTAAAGTATTCCGGCGCCACACTGAGGATAGGGAAGTAGAGGAGGGAGGAACCAATTCCATAGAGGAGGCCTTGGGTGAGTAGAAGCTGCCAGACTTGGGAGCAGAGACTGGCAAGACCGAGTCCGAGACTCATGCACAAGACTCCGGTTACGCAAAGGGCTTTAGTGCCTTTCACATTGAGCCGTGCGAGGATGGGGTTGATAAACAGTGAGCCAGACCAAGTGAGGCCTGAGCCTAGGGTTCCGATGAATGCCGTGAGAGCTGATGAGGACGTAGATACGGGAAGTATCGTCTGCGAAGGGGAGGTATAGTAAGATTGGAAGACGCCGTAGGATTGATTCAACCCGACTGTTATGCAGATTGTTAGGAAGCTGGAGATGAGGACGAGGAGTTGGCGGCGAGGCGTTGTTGGGTGGAGATCGTTTGAGGAGGTTGCTACTGGTGTTGTGGTCTCTTCATCGTGACTTGAGTGAAGAGTTGTGAGCTGGACTTCGGAAGCTGGGGAGGCCATCATCCTGAAGCTATTAAGTCCGCACCGCTTCCGTAAGAATTGAAATAAGAGACACTTACAACTTCTTACAAGGCTGTTGATAATTTCCAACTGGTGTACGATGGAGGCAATGTATAATTATATCACTTGGGCCAAGTAACTGCCAAGGTAACCCCACTTTTGGGGGAGATCTGCACCCGCTTCTTCCCGTCTTACTTGGTCACGGGAACAAGGGCGGCGCTAGCAGTTTGTCAAGCTCGAAATGCAAGGCATTCAAATGTACCAGAACGTGTGGAACATTGGGAATGGGAAGACACGACATGCCCATTTTAGGGATCTGGGTGAGGTAGTTTGAAAGAAGCAACCCCAGTGACAGAAACAGAACGTGACGAGAGCGAATATAACTTAACGAAAGATAACGTAGACAAGATGAAGAAAAATTGCTTCAATGGTATTCCGGGACGCCCGCTATATTACATCAGTTGCTACAATTCCCTCCGGCTTAACGGCCCTTGAAAGCTGCCGAAACATCTGCCCGATTCCACTCGGCAATCTCTCCATCATACACATCTCTACTGATGGTCAAGATCCTGTCCTCGACCTTCTCGTAGTACTTCTCGCAATTCTGAATGACCTTAGCGACCAAACCACGGCTGAGTCCAGGGTCGTCTGCGTCTCCAAAATGCTTCTCCACTCGCTTCTTTAGTGCCTCAATACCCTTTCTAATCTCCTTAGAATCATAACCAGCAAGGATCTTCTTGAACGTTGCCTTCGAATGACTTGGCATTCCGGAAATCTTCGAAGGTGGCTCGTCCGGCTGGCGGGAAAGTATTAAGCTTTCGGTGCTCTCAAGGAAATCGAGGAGTTTGCCCAACGGTCTGCGAATGACAGCTCCAAGGTAGAGAGACATGTGCTCTTCCATTTCCTGTGCTGCGTTTTGCTTCCAATCTTCGAGAACGGGATTCGCGCGAGCGTCCACTTCCTCTAAGTAGTGATTCATATTCTCAATGAGCAGAATCTGGTAGTTTAAGGCTTCTTTATCCTCTGGATCAGCACCGGCAATATTGGCGCCTGGATTCTCCCTCGCGATGACTTTGAGGGACTCGAACATAGTCTTGTTGATCCGAGCGTAAGCACGATTGACTATCTCTCGAATATCGAGGTCATGAGATGTGGCAAGCATGGTCTCAAGCGTAAGAGAAAAAGACGGGAAAATTCGGATGAACGAGATGACACCCTTCCGCTTCTTAATCTTGACTTTTGTATCTTCGATGGCGCGTATTTGTTCGTCGAGGAATTTCGAGAAAAGGCCGACAAGTCTGGTGTGCACCTTTTGAAGAGTGCGTGCGAGATATTCTTGGTTCGATTCTTCGAGCTCCAGAACTTTTCGTTCAATGGCTGCAATGACACCAACACCTTGCCTAAAAAACGTCAGCAAATACAGGTTGGAAAACAAAGTTAGATGGTGGACTTACAGTGGATCTGCTTGGATTGCCCAATCAACAAGTGCCTGCATATCACCGGAGAAGAAATTGTACACTTCCTCCATGGATTGAACGACAAGCTTTGCAAGATCGCGATTTGGCTCCATTACCCTTGGCCGCCTAAGATCGACACCACGCCGAGTGTCCGGGGGCGCTGCGGAGACCGACTCTGGGAAATCGAGTTGCTCAAGGGAACTGATGTGAAAGAACTCGACAATGAAGTTTTGCTCTGTAGTCATGATTGGTACCATCTCGTCAAGAGCTCCGGTAAAGACTTCGTATGGCTGAAGGCGTCCGTCAGAAGTCTTGTCGACGCTTGCCTTGCTGCTGTTATCACCTATTGGAGAGCGTAAACTTTTTGCCAGTGTTTGACTTCTCTTCACAGTCAGCTTCCGAGCCGTAGTAGCAATCCCGTCGGTCTGCTTTTCGATTTGTGAAGTAAAAAGCGTTTCGCTCTCATCGCCAGTCGGTTTTCGGGCGATTCGTTTCCAAGCAAATACCGCATCTCTGAATTCGTCTTGGTATAATGGTTTGCAGAGGGTTTCATAAAGCTTGATTAGCTCTTCCCACTCAAGGCGATCGACCTCTCGGGAGAACAGCATGAGAGGACTGTATATCCACAGCATGTCTCGAGCAAGATCATGATTTCTGATGTCGAGCTTTGCTCTGCCAGCGGCCCTGGTAAGATTGTTTCCTTTCTCGCGCTCCAACGCCTTCCTGGTCTCGTCGATTGCAGCAGCGAATTTGACTTGCAAGAATGGTTTCAGCCGTCGTAAAAATAATGCAGCCTCATTTTTATAAACATCCTTCTTTTCCTGGAGGACGCGCATGCTGCCAATTTCACTGTTTCCAAAGCCACCCGGCTTTCCGGAGCTGAGGCTACCACCATCCTCGCTTGGTCTGGAACCTGATAGACTCAAGGAAGGATCTATGGTGAGCATTGCCTTGAACAGTAAGACTAGAGATTTTTCGATTTGGTCAATACCGCTTGGGGCTTCCAGGGATGCTTCGCGAAGGCTGTCGAGTTGCTCGGATGAAATTGATATCGTATCGAGAAGTGATTTGAGTTCGGCTTGGAGAAGTTTTTGATTAGCTGCTTGCACCTGCAACCCTTGCGATTGGGCCTCGATATATGCAATGTCCTCGTTGAGTGTCTGATCTGTTAGCGAAAATCTCAAGACTACCGTTGGGAGACTGACACTCAGCTCTACCGAGTACAATGTCAATAAGCCATCAAGCTCATCACACTCCTCAATACATTTGTCCAGGCCTTGCTTAATAGCCTCAATTCTCTCGTCCTCCTCGTCCAGCATCTTGAGCCAACCACCAGCTTGAATTTTATTCAGTTCTCGCTCGACCTCGTCTTTCATCTGATCGATATTTTTCGTTCGGATGCCCTCGCCCACCCATCCAAATTCCTCCCATGCAGCAACCAATTCCCCTCCCCTGCCACCAAGAATAGCTGGGTCTATGCCCAATGAAGCAAGCTCTTTTGCCATTGTTTCAGCTGGCGATTTGATTCGCTTGACCTCTCTGGTCTGGGGCTTCTCCGGAATCACTTTATCTTGCGCAGCTGGGATCGGACCTTCTACGCTGCTAGGTCGATCAGACTGTGGTACTGTAATCTTGACTTCCGGGATACTGTCGTGTGACTTGCGGGGCGAGGTCTTCTCACGGGGTGACATCTTGTCTGAAGCTATGGGGACTGGAGGCGTCAAGAGGTTTGAATTTTCGGCGCTCATACCACGAACGAGGGACGGCGCTGGCACAACGCTGGTAATTCCATCCGGACCATCGGAGGACTTGGTTTGCGTCTCTCGAAGGCGGTCTGCAGCTCCTCCCGCACGCGGCTTGAAAGAATTGAAGGCGTTGGCTGTCTTGGCAGCTTTCATAAACTGGCCTGCGATATCACCTTTCGACTTCTTGCTTTTAATCATAGGTCCGAGCCCAGGGCGCTCTTCTTCGGGTTCTCCTGGCTCCTCTGGCATTTGGACGGGAGGGGAGGTGATGGACGGGATCGATTTTGACGGTATGCTTGGATCAGCAACGTCGCCACCTTCACGAGGGACACCATTGGTATTGGGCGGAATGTCGTTGACTTTAGAATTTTGTTCTCTTTCACGAGGCTGAATGCGTTCGTTAGACCGGGCCGGTGGTCGTAAATCCTCACGCCTCATTCCAGGACTCGACAGTGGAGCAGGGACAATGTTCTCCGCAGAGGTCTGCCCGCGACGCGAGTCGCCGATTATGGGCATTGGAGGTCTTCGACGTTCTGGTGGAAGGGTTAATGGTGCCGGCACCGGAGGGACATCGTCTGCTGTGTCCTTAGATACTGAAAAGGTGCTATCAGGAGTTGCAGCCCGTAAGGAATTGGGTGTTATGCTACGGTCTTGAAATCTACCAGCTGCGCTGGGAAGGCCATTCATACCTCCTCGGGATCGAGGAGGCAGACTTGCACCATCATCACTTCTTCCAAAAGAGTCCTGGCTCTGATTGCCGCCTGCTAGTCGGCGCAGACTCTGCTGCTGTGGTCCACCTCCATTAGAATCCATGCTCCCACTTGGAGAACCTCGAATTTCAGGCCTGGAAGTTTGAGATGTCAACGATGGGGTACCCCTTGGAGGCATTTGAGCCTGTGGCCGCTGCACTGCATCTCGACTTGGCTGGCTTCGTAATGGACGTTCCCGGGATGGCTCCTGTCTCGGTGGAGGTCGATTTTGAGGAGTTTGCCCATACAATACTCCAGGTCTGCCGGGTTGCTGCGATGAAAACTGAGGCGTTGCTCCAGCGGCGGCGCCGACGAGTGACTCTCGTTCCTTTGAATCAAAACCAATCAGCTCAGGACTTTTGCCACCAGTGTACTTTGTGTAAATCTTGACAAGGCTTGCAATAAAGAACTGCTTCTCTTTTGCGGTGTTGGCCTGCCAGTAGTACGGTTTTCCTAAAGTAACTGTGAATCCAATTCCTCCTGCCCACTGTTTTTGTTGCTCTTCTTCGGCGTTTGTAGCAGTGACACCACTATAGGATTTCACCGCTGATAGATCATCCAATGGCCACGTTTTCCCAATGGAAAATGTCCCGTTGACGTTCTCCCTAGCTTTGTGCATGCGAACCCGCCCAGACTTGCGCACAGCGACAATAATGAGACGCGGTTTCTTCGCATCGGGATTTGCAGTCGGTGGAGGAGGGGAGGAAGGAAACGCGGCATCTTCGATAATTCTGATGTGTGTGATGTACGACTCCAATACTGTAGAACCACAAGTTAGCTGTTGCACCGAGTAGGCCGTCGCGTGGCCTGGAGGATATCTTACAGGAGCCGTCCTCATCCCTCTTGCCAAAGCAGCTGTCAATAATTCTGCGCTTCTCATCCTCAAATCTCTCGGCCCTACTCATAGCTCCATTGCTTCCATTGCTGCCGTTGACCCCGCCAGGTCCATTCTGAGATGAACCCTCCATTTGGCGGAGCCACGTCTTCTCCGCGAATTAATGCTGGATTGTTCGACCATCTAGGAGTATAGACAGCTTGGTAGATGCTTCTGAGACCGTTCCCAACTCATAACTTTGCGCATCGGCGGGGAAGATCTTCTCGAGATGGCGTCTTGGGTATTGGCAGCGAACGGGTGAATACTGTGCCTGACGAGAGGTGACTTCCTGACATCAAGTCAAATGCGGCTAACGGTGGACTGCACGGACTCGGGATGCAGAAACATGGGAATCATTTGGTCAAACACTTTACATGCAACATGTTGAAATAAACTAAAAGAACTCGTACAATCAAACACCACCACTTCCAAGTTTGGACCATAGAGGGGTAGCAGGTTGAATTGAGCATCACTGTTACATGAGAAATTCCTTGTGTTCCTGGGCACCCCTCTGGGATATTCGCTCTTTCTCTGTAGAAACCGCTAGTGCAAATTTAGTTAGCTCCCGCACTGTCGCTTGTCGGCGTGAACTTTTTTTTTTGCCGACAAGATCGAATTTTGACCTGCTCTTGAGCCCTTCAACCACGTCCTTGATGACCTAACCCGAGCATGTCTGGAAATCCAAACATGCAGAAGATTGGGAAGCGCAAGACCCCTGGGGGCCAAAAGCAGCCAGATTGGCTCTTTCCCCTCAAGGATACGGTAATGTCAACACCGAAATCCAAGTCCGACGATCAGCATAAGATACAGAAGGACGAACAACTTGCGAAAGATCTCCTCAAACGCCGAGCAGCTGGAGAACCTCCCAAATCAGCTCCTCCCCCCCAATTGCTTGAGATTGTCTCTTCCTTCCTCGCCGAATATGAGTTCACCGACGCTGCTCAAGCACTTGAGACCGAGCGCAAAAGCAGAGGCGAACGTGCAGAACCTTCCGATACACCTTCCCTCGGCACGATCTATACCGAATGGAGCGACATGAAGAGTCGGAACAATGGATCGGGCGCGGGCGCGGATACGAGTGCTGTGAAAGTCGAGTCCGTGAAAAAGCAGAAATCTTCGAAGCAAAGGTCGGACGCCAGCAGCAGTGACAGCGACCGCAGTAGTGATGACAGCAGTGATGCTAGCGATGTTGACATGGCGGATGCACCATCCGACTCATCCTCATCCACCAGCTCCGATAGCGACGCAGATGACGAAGACGAGGTCCCTGTCAAAGTCCAATCTGCAAAACCAAAAGTCAATGGACTTAAAAGAAAAGCAGCATCCAGCAGCGAGTCTTCATCAGGATCGGAGTCAAGTTCAGACGATGAAGCACCAAAGACCAAGAAACTCAAAGCCGAAGTCAATACAAGTTCAGATACCTCCTCTTCCGACTCTCCTTCCGACTCTTCTTCCAACTCTTCTTCCGACTCAAGCTCAGAGGACGAGCCTCCAAAGAAGATGAAGTACTTAACCATGAAAGAGAGCTCTTCTGATAGCGAAAGTTCTTCGTCAGACTCCCACAGCGATTCTACTTCATCAAATTCTATCGCTCAGAAGATTCCGTTGCCAGATTCTGATTCTGATTCTGATTCTTCCTCGGATTCGTCTTCCGATTCGTCATCTGATTCCGAAAGTGGTTCTTTCAAGCAAAAAGCGAAGAAGTTAATCGTTGGTTCGGACACAAGTGCTACATTATCCGACGGTCCCAAGAAATTGACAGCTTCTGACGATTCTCTCTCCTCATCCTCATCCTCAAGCGATCCAAAACTAGAATCCGAACCAGTGGAAATCAACGACCTCTCAATAGGGCACTCTTCAGGAGCAGAGCCGAAACCAGTAAAGACAATTATTAAACGTGAGCTATCGCCGCCACTTCCTCCGGATCCAGTTGCGAAAGCCTCAAAAGGAAAAGGCAATCAGCGTTTCTCCAGAATCCCCGAAAACATCAAGGTCGATGAGCGCTTGGCAAGCAATGCCTACGTTCCGTATGATTATGCGCAGAAGGCACATGAGGATCTGATTGTTACTAAGGGTAAGGGTTTTACCAAGGAGAAGAACAAGAAGAAGCGTGGAAGCTATAGGGGCGGATACATCGATGTTGAGGGCAAGAAGGGAATCAAGTTCGAGGATTAGATTTGAGTACAAAAATCTGATGAGATGCTGTATAATGGATAGATTGGGTCGCGTTGGCGCGTTGGCGAACTAGAGACATGATAGATGATGATACACCTTGCAGTAGAAAAAACGTAGCAATTCATGAATCACGTTTTCCTAGCATGTTCACCGGCACAAAGTACAATCAACCCCATCTCGCCGAATCTCCGTCCCATCACTTTCGATGTACCCACACCTCTCGTACAATCGTAGTGATATATTCTCAATGCACAACCGAATCACGAACAGTCATCCTAAAAATCAGCCGTCGCAATAAGGAGAATCGCGCAACTCCGAGGACAATAGTCACTGACCGAAGTGCGCCTATTCTCAAGAATCAGTGCAAGCTCGATTAAAAGCACCTTGTTTCGGGTACGTTGGTGACATGAAAGAAAATGAAAACCTTCAATGTCCTAGTTGCTTTCGAGACACCGACGGAAATTTGAATGATTTCGTGAGAAAATTTCAACGATCCACAGCTCCATTTTGCAAGGCAAAGCAAGGCACACTCGTATTATGACTTGCTCAATTTCAAAGACAGGTAAGTTATTGGGGATTGTGGATTGCTTTGGAGTTTGAAGGTCTCGGTGAACGAAATAAGAGTTGGAGGGTTGTACAGCCTCGTCAAAACTGTAGCATAGCCCACTCCCCGCAATTGGTCGAAGATGTCGTCAGGGACAACCAAGCCTTACCCGAGCAGGGAGTACATCATTTGGTGCGCAATTTCAAGTCACTTCCAATCAAGCTTTAACATGGGTCGCAGATTCACGGCTGTCGCGCATCTGGTGGCGTTAGAGAGAAATGTCAAGAGGCTGGGGCTCGTCGTGGTAGCCTTCTGGCCAGCCTTCTCTTTACCCACTTTCTTGCGACCTTTAACAAGAAAGTGTCACGCAGCCCTGCAGACTTGGAGTTTTCTTCAAAGCCCTTTGCCGCCATCAAGTCAGGGGTGAGCATTGCTGTCTCTGTTTTTCTTCTTTGCCGGCATTCAACTTCCCATAACAACTGCGACCTTCCTTGCAGCTGGGACGACCCACGTGATTGTACACTCAAACACCTGAAGTCGGCCGCGGTCTTTTATCTCCTTCTATCTCAGCTCCAAGGCAACAAGGCCAACCAACAGTGTTATCTCCCGTCTCATGCCCTTGACAGCCAGCCTCAAATTCCGGTGGCTGGTGGTCGTCTGATACGGCCCAATCACAATCGCAGCGCATTTGCTCCGCCACTGGCACCCCAACCCCCCGGTGCCTTGGACCTGAGCGCGAGCACGAGAGCAGCAGGCCCCGCCAAAACCCATCCTGACCCAAGCTCACTCAGCTCTGCCACATGCACATCATCCAGAGCGGTTCTCACATACCCCAAAACCGATCCGCAAGCGTAGGCATAGTTGCCATACGTGAAGAAGGCTGATGGAATGGGCGTTCTTTGTTCCACAGCCGTTGATAAAGACGGTGACGATCCACCGATGGAGAGCAAGGCTCAAGCTCAATTTCATCCTCAATCTTCGCGCCGACTGCGTAAGATGCCTCAGTCGTCAAGACCTGCAACAAGATCACAGCAGAACTGGCGAGCGCTCATTAGTAATCGCGATTTCGAGACTCCGGCAGCGTACAGCAAGGCTTTAGGGGAGCTCCAGGCGGCGGAAAAGGCTATCGCGTTTGATGCTGAGATCACGGCGGCCTCGTCAAATATTGAAAAGCAGGCTGCTGCTCTTGTCCGGAAAATCAAAGCGTATGATTGGGAGCATACGTATGGGCCACTGCGCGAAGCGCATACCGGAAAAAGAACGGAGGGGGAGCACTTCCTGGGCAATGTGGACCTTATCAACAAGACCGAGCTGATGAAGGTTGCGAAACGGATGCCAAAGGGCGCACATCTTCATATCCATTTCAACGCTTGCCTTCCAGCCCGATTCTTGATACAACAAGCACGGGACATTGATGCCATGTACATCCGGAGCACTCTTCCGCTGACCACGGACCAAAACATGGAGGCGTGCCGGATCTCATTTATGGTGATGACTCTGGACGAGGCTACTCATGCGAAAGATCCCGATGGGATCGAAACGTATGTACCATTGGGCGATGTCTGGGACGAGAATTACGTTCCCAACAGGTGGATGCCATACAAGAAGTTTCAACGCCAGTTCGAATACACGGATGAGAGAGGACACATTCTGAGGAAAACGCACGGAGCTGAGACTTGGCTCGAGAGAAAGATGATCATTTCGGAGGAAGAGGCCCATAATGCTCACCAGTCTAGTAAAGGGTGAGTCACGTGCCTCGAATATGTCAAATTCAGCTAACAAGTCCAGAATTTGGGAGAAATTCAATCACCGGACTCAGATGATGAAAGGTCTGTTTGCTTACGAATCAGCGTTTCGGAATTATACCCAAGCAGTTATCAAGGACTTCGTGAAAGACAACATTCAGTACGCTGAGATCCGTCCGAACTTTATGAGCACCAATTCGCTGAAAACGGACGATGGCAAAGGATCCATCGGAAACGAAGGTATCATGAAAATCATAGATGAGGAACTTCGAAAAACTATGGATCAGATTACCAAGAAAGGCGACTACTTTGGAGGCATGAAAGTCATCTACTGTACACCGCGCTCATTTCGGAACCAACAAATAGAGGTTGCGCTAGACGAGTGCATAGACTTGAAGAAGAAGTACACGGATCTCATCTGTGGTAAGCAAACGTATTTGGTCGGGTCCGTCGATTCATAGACTAATGGCCTCGCAGGTTTCGATCTTGTTGGCCACGAAGAGATGGGCAACGAGCTCCGTCACTTTATTCCTGAATTTCTTGAGTTCCGCAAGAAGTGCAAAGCACAGAATTTAGATATCCCATTTCTATTTCACTGCGGCGAAACCCTTGAAGTTGGCGACAAGTGCGATGGTAATCTCTTCGATGCTGTGCTACTCAACTCTAAACGGATTGGCCACGGCTACGCGATCGCGAGGCATCCGATGTTGATGGATATATTCAAGGAGAAAAACATTGCAATCGAGACTTGCCCAATCTCGAATGAGATCCTGGGGCTTACTTCCACCATTGCTGGGCACCACTTACCTATTCTACTGGCAAATGACGTACCTTGCACCATCAACAGCGACAATGCTACATTTTACAAGTGAGTATTTTGCCGCCTTCGAAGAATTGAGTTTTAATATCAACTAGATCGTCTCTATCTCATGATTTCTATCAGAGTATGATTGGCTCAGAAGCAATGACTTTACAAGGCTGGAAGCAGCTCGCCAAATGGAGTCTCGAGCACAGCTGCATGAATCCAGAAGAATTGGCGGCAGTGACAGCCGAGTGGACAAGGAGGTGGAAAGAGTTTTGCCAGTGGATTGTCGACGAGTATGGTCCTAAATTTCAGGACTATGAATTACCGACAGGCCCTCGGCATTGACAATCAAAGAGTCGACTTTGATGATTTAACCTTTAGGGAGACTTCTGCCTATGACCCCTCTATATGGCCAGTAATGTCCTCCAGATTTGGGCATGGCCGCAAGCAGCTCAGCTGTGACAGCGGGTGATGAGTTCAAAGCCAGAAAGCGAAGTTAACAGATTTCTACAGTGATAGGAGCAGGGGCAATTGAGGATACCCAGGAAGGAGGATTCTGGCGTTTGGCGTACGAGATGAAGGCGTAAAAGTACCCGAGAGGCGGTGGGTGGCATGCGCGCTTGTCGAGCTTGTGGAATAAATGATTGTACAGACTTCTCTGAACATTAGCTAGTCAACAAGCTTTTGTATTCTCTGGATTATGGTACTGGTACCTCGAAGCTAGTCATTATGCTTCTGCTGGCCCCCTTGTCAGTATGCCCTATTGAATCAGAGAATATGAAATATTGGGAAACAACCTAGAAAAATCCTTTCCTTGAGAGGCCCTTTTTGGGATGAAACACAATATCCTCTCCTGGTGGACATAAAAAGTGGCACTAAATGTACCAAGTCCAGTGGGACAATAACTTCTCAAGGTTTCCATTCCCACCAGTTCTATTTAGGACATAAATACCGGCACGAATTCTCATTGTCCTCAGTCACAGTTGGACGATGATCTGAACATTGAGAAGAGAAGACACGAATATTCTGAAGCTTTCGGATTTATGAAGTGTTTGAATGTACAAAGCTTCTGTGAGCATGAGGATTTTCGCAGGGATCTTTTCTCCAATGAAATTATGACCTCCTTTATTCTGGTAACGAACGCTCTGTACTTCGTCCAAACCTTCACCCCCAATACAACCCCCTGTGTTGTCGCGGCCCCTTAAAGACGCATTAAACAATTCCTTTTGAGGAAGCCATGCATTTCGCCCCTCAATCGTGGTTGGCCCGATCGATCACCACGTCTCTGAGCTGTGGCTGATTTCTCTTGGCAGCGCGTCTGTGCAAAGATGCCAGAACGACAACAAATCTCTCTCCCTATTCTGGGTGAATGAGCTACACGGCTATCCAACTTCTCGACAACGTGTCTTATCATCTCCATTCGCTCGTTGGTGAAGCCAGAGACAGCCAAACCTACACTCTTTGATCGCCACCGAGACAAAGCTCCTCAAGGCTTCACCCCAAAGCACCGAGGGACGAGCTTGCATGACCGCAAATCTTATCTCAAAGACCTCACCAGCAACACGAAAACCTGCGACGATACAAGTGGGCCCAAAGAGTCGAGATCTCAAGACCGACACACATACTTGACGTCAGGGCTGAAAAGTGGAAAGGCTCAACATGGGGATAAAAGATTGGTTCCCCCATGGGGAAAATCAGAATCATGACGGGTGGAGATTGGATATCGTTTCTCTTTTGGCGGTCATCGGCGAGAGTTCGATGGAATCACACTCGCAAGCTCTCACATCCTCGTGGACCTGCATACTGCCTCGAATCATCCCCGCTCCCCAAGCTCTACTGAAGCCATCCCGCCCTACTCGAATGCCACAGGTTAATGCTGCTGTTGTCGGGGTACATAATGGAACACTTGTTCAAACACTCAACTACTTCCCCAACATTCTACATCCAATCGAGGACTTCCCAGCATTCGCCTTCAAAGTCCTCAGGATCACCCACGCACCTAATGAACTTTTACCACCGACCCCGGCTGCAGGTTTAGACAAGGCGAAAGAGTCGTCCACTTCCAACGGCGTAGACCTGGGAATGATAGAGAGTGGGAATACACCTCCTCTTCCCAGACAATCAACTATCAGCACAATCAGGGACAGGCTCTCCATAGACAAAAAGAAGCCCCGTGTGCCACCTCAATCACTCTCACCCCTCAATATATTATCGGTATTGTCATTTCTCTGGACAATTGGTCTCATCATATGGGCAAGATTTCTGAACGACGGTACGGCCATCGTTGCTCTTGCGACAATCTCTTGTGCATCGTCAATTGTTGGTTATGCCTCGTGGTGGTCGCCGGTTCTGATGAAACGAACTTTTAAATCAAAAGTCCCTGCAGGGGATGTCATTATCCGAAATCGGGAGGGCGCCTTTCTACTCGTCAAATGCAACGAAGATGTGACGCGAGAGTTATACATTGGAACAGAAGAATGTCAATATTATGTGGGGACGCAGTTGTACCGGATTCTTGTCGGAATTGGAACATTCCTGCTCATGGTATCAGTCGTTCTGTTAGGAAATTGCAACTTTGCCATGCAAGCTGCCATTGGTGCATCCTACATTGTTCTCAACGGGGCTTTCTGGGGATCTTCTCTGATCAACAAACACAGTTTCTGGGATCTCTCGAACTACAAAGTCGAGGATGTTACACCGAAAGACGCTGCAGATGCCCATCTCGAGCAAGAGGATACTGTTGAAGGTAGGCCGAGCTTTACACGGACGCTATGGTACGCTATCAGGGAGACCAAGAAGATTGGATGGGTAAAGAGAGGTGGTGCAGCACCTAACACGGACGAATGGGACGAATGGCTCAAGCTTGCTGAGCAAAATGCTACTGATGGAAATAACGGCTGGAATGCAGTGGAAATACGAGAGACTGTCGTTGGCGTGGCAGAATCAACGCCTCGGCGTGCAGCTGAGGATGCCGCCCCTCAACATGTGCCGGCTTATGAGATCCCCCCTCCAGACAAGCGATAAGGAGGCGTCTGCAATAATTCGAGTTTGAGCCCTGTTGTATTATATCTTTGAGCATTTGTTGCCGATTCATAATTGAATTTAATGGCATTAATAATTCTATAAAGTTGTCTTGATCGTTTAGCTTGTGAAGTCCACCCGTGCTCTACTAATTAATTCACAGACTTCACAGGTGCCCCCGAGAAAACCAATACTCGTTCGTATTCATTATCTTCAGATGGCTGTGAATTTCGACATAATTAACTTGACCAATGTACCGAATTAATCTCAGAGATTCAGCTAAGCCATGAGACATCCTAAATATTGGTCAAGGAAGTAGAGATTAGGTAAACAGCTCGCAAAGCAACGATGACAAGAGGAACGGGAAGTGAAGCCGGAGTGAAGCTTGAAAGTGATCTCCGGAAGCAGCTTTATGATTTCGAATAACAAAAATCGACCCTATCTAGCCGGTTAACGTTTACTAGCAGCCTGGGCCTTTGTTAGTTTCTAACTGGCAGTGCAGTACCACGGATGTCAGCAATAAGTAGGTATCTTCGGCGCACCGCCTGTGGGCCTGTGGGACTAGGATTTGCTTGGTCATACAAACTCGACGGTACACTCAGTTACATGAACAGTAAAACAGGCTTATGGGTTCATTGTCGGCCCAGGAGAGACCACTGGGCACCCCTTCTTTTCTTTCGCCATCTTTTTTGCTTCGTTGTGTGCTTGATTTTAAAGACGTAGCTCTAGTATATATGGTTGAGAAATCTTTTGCTCAAATTTTTTCCAGTTCGAACTTAGCGAGACCAATGCAAACGAAGGTACCTAAGCGAGCTAATACAATGAGAAATATTTGAATTGTGAGGAGGGAAAAGTTGAAGCCGTGATGTTGGCGCTTCTTTCGCGCTTACGGCGTGTATTAGCGGCGATCCCCGCTTTGCCCGAATAGTAAGGTAACCTGCAGCTCCCAACCTGTCCAACTTTTTAATGAGACACCACATCCCAGCAGTCAGCATCTCCTGCAGAGATCCAGAACATCCAGCAAGTCATTCTTTTAGCGCTATGAATCTAAGGACCTGGCGAAAATTCCGGCGTACAATCGAGCAAACCCTGTGAACCCATTTTCGCGGGGCTCATTACGAAATCTTAAAATTCGTTGAGCGCAGGTCTACCGGTAGAAGCAGCACACCACCCGGTTTTCCTACGAATTCCGGCCAGGTCAACAGAACTCATCCGCTTGGCCGACCACTGGTTTTCGCTTAGAACGAGCATATCTACAACTTTCTCTCACTCCTCGTCTTCCTGAATTCGAGCGACAAGATGGCGAAGGACGGAGAAATTCACGAGCATATACCCCACAAGACGGAGCACAAGGAGCAGAATCCCATGTCGAATTGGGTATACGATGTTTTTCTATGGACCTTCTCAATCCTAGTGGATTTGTTCTTTCGAGAAGTACATCCACGAGGATCATGGAAAGTCCCTCGCCGAGGCCCTTTAATCTTTGTGGCTGCCCCGCATGCCAATCAGGTATGAGACAGATGGTCGGAAGAGGTTATACATTGCTAATCTATCTCTAGTTTATTGACCCTCTTATTCTTATGCGAACTCTGCGTACCGAGTGCCACCGACGCGCTACGTTTCTTATTGCTGCAAAGTCCATGAACCGATGGTTGATAGGATGGGGTGCACGGAAGGTCGGCGCAGTGCCAGTTGGACGAGCTCTTGATATGGTCAAGCCGGGACCAGGCACTATCTATCTACCAGATCCTATCAACGACCCTCTTCTTATTCGCGGAGTTGGCACAAAATTTGATGATGGCAAGCTGGTCCAGATTGGTGGCTTACTGGTTCTCCCGAGCGTCAATGGAACCGCGGCGAACGCTGAAATTGCGGAAATCATAAGCGCCGAAGAGATCAAGCTGAAGAAGCCATTCAAGAGTAAGGCTGCCATGATACAGATGACAGGCCGGGATGATGTGGACCACAGTGGGAAATTCACAGATCAGAGTGTCAAGGGAACCAAGGCAGGATTCGGAGGTTCGATTTACAAAGTTGCCCCAAAGGTCGACCAAACTCAGGTCTATGATGCTGTCTTCGACCGTCTCAGTGCTGGTGGCGCAGTTGGCATCTTTCCTGAAGGTGGAAGCCATGATCGAACAGAATTGCTTCCTCTCAAGGCTGGTGTTGCAATCATGGCACTTGGCGCTTTAGCAGCAAATCCTGACTGCGGACTGAAAATTGTTCCCTGCGGCATGAACTACTTCCATGCGCACAAATTCAGATCTCGGGCTGTGATTGAGTTTGGAAACCCTATCGAAGTGCCGGAAGAACTGGTTGAACTCTATAGGAATGGAGAACGAAGAGAGGCCGTCAGTCAATTGCTAGATACAGTCTACCAAGCTCTCGTTGCAGTCACAGTCACAAGCCCGGATTACGATACCCTAATGCTTATTCAGGCAGCTCGCAGGCTGTACAACCCAACTGGCAAAAAGCTCCCTCTTCCAATGGTCGTGGAGCTGAACAGAAGATTGGTTAAAGGATACACGCATTACAAAGATGACCCCAGGATCGTTTCGTTGAAAAAGTCGGTCACTGCTTACAACAAGCAATTGCGTTACCTGAACCTTCGAGACCATCAAGTCGAATACGCCAAATTCTCTATTCCGAAAGTTATCTTCCTACTTTTTTATCGACTGGGGAAGATCTCCGTGCTTTCCGTTGGTGTAATTCCTGGTTTGGTACTCTTCGCCCCGGTCTTTGTGGCGTCCAAGATCATCAGCATCAAAAAGTCCCGCGAAGCTCTTGCCGCGTCAACAGTTAAGCTGCAAGGTCGAGACGTTATGGCAACGTGGAAACTACTCGTCGCTCTTGCATTTGCGCCCATTTTGTACAACTTCTACACCGCCTTGCTGACTTACTGGACCTATCGGAATCGAGTCCAAGGCTATGTACCGGACTGGGTGCCACTTTGGGCAGTGGTTATCTTTGGATACATTTTCTTCCCAACAATTACGTTTGCTGCTCTCCGTTTTGGCGAAGTTGGCATGGACATCGTGAAGTCTCTGCGACCACTTGTCCTTTCTCTTAATCCCAGCTCCAGCAACACCATTCACAAACTTCGAAAACGACGAGCTGAACTAAGTGCCGAAGTCACCGATGTCATCAACACATTGGGCCCAGAAATGTTCCCCGATTTCGACGCTGCCAGAATCGTGGCTGATCCTTTCCGAGTTGATGGCGCTGCTAGCCCGTCGTCACCCACACATGGAGGATTCCATCGTAGAGATAGTAGTCACTCTGGCATCTCCGAAGCCGAAACTCCTCCTCAGTTCCGCAGGATAAACACCAACGCATCAATAGGTGGTGGATCTAGCATGAGTGGACACTTACCCAGGAACGAGTCTTTCAAGAATCTAGGAAATATTGCACTCTTTGCCACGCCCAGGAGTAGAAGCCGAAGTAGTAGCAGTGGTGGAGCAGTGGGGTCAGCGGGGTTCTCATTGAAGAGTTTCAGCACTTTGGACACCAAAGCTAGTTTTGACGAGGTCAGCATGAAGATTAGGGGAGCAATGCGAGAGAGAGGCCAGATACGGAGACGACAGAGTGAGGAGGCTAGAGATGAGGAAGATGGCAACGATAGCGATGGGGAGGAGAGGAAGGACGTCTAGGATACTACGGGCTTTGGTGCAGGTTTGCGAGCAGCTGGATTTGTGGTTGTGTTACCTTTGATTTTATGTAGCGTAGGCGTTCGGATAATACCACAGGCAATTTTTCGATTCTCGCACGCACTTATTGGTCTTTTGGTAACAAATAGTATAACTTCTCGCCGTGGATACAAGGAGCAACACCAATTTTCATTGTCCTCGGTCCAAGTTGGACAATGATCCGAACTTTTGAGAAGAGAAGAGGTGAATATTCTAGAGCTTCCGAGATTTTCGAAACACTATTGAATATTCGAGAGCTCCTAAGAGCATCAGGGGGGGTAGCAGTCGAATTGTCCTACTGTGCATTTAGCAAGTTACAAACTAGATTCAATATTTAAGAAAAGGGTCTTTGGATCACATGATAAAATAGGATAGTCCAAGGGGAGTTTCAAATAGTCCGTTAAAGCCAGAACAATCATACAGATCATTCTTCTACATAATAGAGAGAGTATCGAAGATGGATGGGGCTACGTCAACTCTGTGATCAAACTTCTGATCATCGGCCAGGCCACGAGACCGGAAATTCCCCTGGCCAAATCGGGGAAGGCCCGGTGATGGCCCATTTGGCATTCGCTAGCTTTTGCTAGGTACCCTTGCCCCTGTCAAGAAAGTTGGGAACTTCAAAAACCATGTCCTGACGACCATTGCTTCTCACAACAACCAATTCTCTTCCAAACCCAAACCCACTGGCAAGATGGGGCTACCACCTTGGGAGACCAGCGACAGTCAGCTGTTTGCACTGGTCACAGGCGCAAATAGGTAAGAATAATGGCGTTATCTTTCACGATCTCCACAGCCCCCAGCCCAACCACACTTCGTAGCTGGTTCTCCTTTCTTCAAGTTCTCGAGTTCTGCTGAAGTCCAATGAATGCGCAAAACAGTGTTAATAGCTTCACAGTGGTTTAGGGTACTCAGCTGCTGCAAGGCTCATGGATGAGTTCCTCATCTCCCCCTCGACGTCCCCGAACAAGCACCTCATCTTGATTCTGTGCACCCGCTCTCCCATGAAGACTCGATTTACCATTTCCCGTCTTCGAGGCCACCTGAGAAAGCAAGCCGAGTATTCCGAATTTGCGACAAAACAACGCGCGAAACTAAATGCTCAAGGAGTCGAGTACAATTGGATGGAGACGGTGCAAAGGGTACACTTCTTAGGCGTTGAAGCTGATCTCTGCGATCTCAAGAGTGTGTACGCATTGGCGGATAGACTCGTGAATGGTACTGTGGGTAGTCCAGATGCGACTACTATGGATGGACTCAGGCTTCCCCATGGTTCGCCCGGCACACAGAGCTTTTCTGAAGGCGTGGAACAAGATCGGTGGGCTTTGAGCCAGAAACCCGGATCGACCGGTGCGCAGAGGTCCTGGGGCTGGGGATTGAGCGGGATACGGCTTCCAAGATTGGATGTCATCATCATGAGTGCTGGAATTGGAGCCTGGATAGGTGTTGATTGGCCTACTGCAATACGACTCGTGTTGACCGACCTTAAGCAGGCACTGACTTATCCAATTTTCAAAGTGGCCAAATCTGGCGGTGTGGTGAAACGCCAGTCGACTTATCAATCGACCAAGCCAGACGAAGCTACACAGTCGTTGGTCTCGGAGCAAGAAAGTCCTGATGAGCCACCTCTGGGGGAAGTGTTTTGTTCAAACGTATTCGGTCACTACATCCTTGCTCACGAATTAACGCCGCTCCTGTCCAAGCCGGTTTCTCCTTCGTCCAAAGTTGGAGGAAAGATCGTATGGATTGGGAGTATTGAAGGACTTCCTGAGCATTTCTCCCTCGATGATATGCAGGGTCTCAAAACTTCAGCGCCGTACGAAAGCTCAAAACGACTAGTTGACTTACTTGCTATAACCTCAGAACTGCCTTCAGTCAAGCGCATTGCAGATCCATACTTCGACAGTTCAAATACCGTGACGGCCGCCAAATCTCACAACGAAACCCGGCAGAACGGCCAAACAGGCTCGGTGAAACCTAAGATGTATGTGACACATCCTGGTGTCTTTGTGTCAGACATCTTTCCCCTCCACGCTATCTTGTCGATGATCTTCCTCTGGTTTGCCTACATTGCAAGATGGTTTGGAAGCCCGTGGCATACAATCTATCCTTACGAAGGGGCCTGTTCTGCTGTCTGGGTAGCTCTCTTGGACAGTGATGAGCTTGAGAAAATGGAAGGACAAGGACAGAGGAAGTCGAAGTGGGGCTCAGCAACCGATATCCGGGGATCAGAGCGGGTCATGATGACAGAGATCCCAGGTTGGGGCTGGAATGGCGAGATAGAGAACTCAGTGGATGAGGCTAGGAGGAAGGGCCGAAGGAGAAATGCGGTAGATCCCACAAAGGAAGCGAAGGAGGATTTTGAAATCATGGGAGGAAAGTGTTGGGCGAAGATGGAGGAGTTGAGGAAGGAATGGGAGGGTATTCTGGGTGTCTGGGACAAGCTTAAGTGACGCTTCTTCATAATGTTTAACGATTGTGCGAGTACCTTAATACTGAGAGTTGGTAAGGGAGAAGTCGTCGATTAAGCTCCCAAAACTAATCATGATTCATTCCCCATATCGTTCGTCTGCATTTGCTCCTCATCTCGTGCATGGCAAGCTCCATTTTTCCAACACCGACCCAATTTTCTTGTCGGTGTGGGACAATAAATGAAAATCTCGTCTTCTATAGGTACTGGAAAAGAGTCTAAAGACCATCGTCCCACAATGTTGGGAAAATTGGCTCCGGTTCAGGAAAGCCTTCAAGGCGTGATTGTATATGGCCATGAAGGCGAGATCGATGTCCTACAGATTTAGAACATCGAGAGGTTGGCACTGAGTTGTACGGTTTTAAAATTTTCATTGAGAAAAAGAGTTTATTTGCCTTGCCGTTATCCCAGAGAACTACAAGTCCTAGCTCCGCCAATGTGTATTTCGAGAAAAAGGAAAGTGAGGAGGCTCCACAACCTTGAAAAGTCCACCAGAAGCTTCGTTGGCAAAAAAAGAGAGTTCAGTCGCCTATGCCGCCCATCCAAGACAAGTCAAGTCAAAGCCCGTGCCCGTGCCTATTTCACAAAAGCAAAATGAATAGGTTCCACGGCGGCCAAAAGCTCACCAGAAACAAACTAATCGGAATCAGAATAACAACGTTGAGCTGCCTTCTTTCTCTCCTGCTGCTCCCACATGAACGAGGACATGATTGATAGCCGACCCATGAAGGAGAAGTACCAAGTGTTGCGCTGATGCTGGATGCGGCAACCTTTGCCCCAATCCTCGTTCATACTGTGCATCCAATAGTCCTTGTCAATATCTCCAGTCCTGGGAGTAGAAATGTTCATACAGTCGAGACACAATCCTTGCCAATAGTTGAGGATCTTGGACCGAGTCTTGGCAATGTGGGCACCACGGAGCTTCTTTGTACAGGACAAGCAAGCACCTTCGGGAATGACACACTTCCATTGTACGAAGCCGGGACTGTCGATTATCGTGTGGTTGGATCTGGTGTGCATGGTGTGGAGTGGCCAGATCTTGGTCATCTTAACGCCCTTAAGGTATTCCCAAAGCGACTTCTCCTTCACTGAACAATTACAAAACTCATCAAGAGGATCAAAGAGGCCCTTGATGATCTCCTTTCTCATGCTGCCCTTAGCCGCGTTGATTTGTTCTATCAATGTTCAGTTAGAGCTGGAACAATTCACAAAGACCGAGGCAAACTCACGAATGACCCTGCCTTCGACATGGAGCTGCCAATGACGACTCGGGTTTTCCTCCTCAATGTGTCCCGTACAAATATGCGCAAGAGTCTTGGTGATGTAGGCGAAAGCGACGGGATGATCGAGAGCTTGGGCGGGATAGAGAAGCTCCTTGAGGTCGTCGGTTTCGAGGTTCTTCTTATCAAGGCGAGACCAATACGTCGCAAACCAGGGGTTCAGCTCCTCAAGGTGGAAGAAGTACTTTCTAGAAAGCGCGATCGCGTTCCATATCTCCACTCTCTCAATCTCATACGAACCATCGCCAATATTACCATGCAAGACGCGGAACCACAATTCAAGACTGTGAACCGTATCTTCATGGAGCTCAATAAAGTTGCTGCCAGCCTCCTTGAAGGGTCCGCTAAGCATCGTCTTGAGGGTAGTGGAGTTGTTCATCAAGACCTGACGGGAAACCTTCATCAATGCGGTCCTCAGGATATGATGGCGGCCGCGACCATCGGTAGTGGTGAAGTCGTACTCGATCACCTTGATCGTCAGATCGCCTGCCGGGTCGATCTCATAGTATCCGGCGTCCTGTTTAGAGTCAAAGGTGAATTCCAAGCGGTGCCGGCCAGGGGGCTTGCAATGGGGTCAGACATGATGCCGTCGCGATGACTTACTATCCGGAGTTCTGTTGGGTTGTTTGGTATGTTGATTATCTTCTGTCAGACACGGTGTTGTCCAGAAGAGGTTGTTGGAAGATGGATGTGGAAGGGAAGGAGAAGTTCCCGAGAAGGGTTGAGGGCGACTTTTATGCTCGTGGGAAGCGAAATCAAATGGTCCTATGACAGAGTGTTTTCGAGTGAATTGTTGGTTCACCTTTGAGTGGATATGTCGGTCTTGAATGCTTCAGCTTTGAGTACTTCACCTCTTGACGCCTTGTTCGGATTCAATGGGAAGAATCACCCACAGTCCCAGCTGAGCTCTTACTCTGGGACAATGCATCTTCAGCCTCTTATTCGCATCTTTGGGGCGCTGAACCCTCCACTTACTCGTTCAATGTTCGAGGTCATTGGGAGAGATTGAACGAAACCTAGCATCCATGGTCAATTTTACTGATCACTGTCACAAAGGCTAATTCGAACATCAGACGGGCACTTTTCAAATGCTCAACCGAATTGCGGTACATTCAAGCCGCGAATTTAGTCCACTGCTACAGCTTTCTGATTTCAACTCTTGTCAACAGCAAAGCTCTCACCTAGCCATCAGCCACTTATGCCACTTGTAACACGCCTCTGTACGGCACATTTCGCTCTTCACTTGCCGAGCCTCATGTGCACAGCACAGGAGGATCACCCAAAACATAAACACACCGGCTTTTCACCTCTCACTTGCGCACCTTTCATCCAAGGTATTCAACAGATCAACATAGAAACACCCTATTTCTTCTCCAGGTCAGTAGCCTTCTTCTGTTCCTCCTTAGCTCTCAGCCTTTCCTTCCTCTCCTTCCTCTCCTTCCTCCACCCCTCTCCATAAAACCACTCAACAACCAACAATGGGCTCAAAACTGCCGTGATTCCAGCAAACAAAGCGAACGTCGGTCCGGGTCCAATCGCGTCAATCACAAGCTGAACTACAGCAACACCAGCGGCCCCAACGGAACAACGCATCAGATTGTTCACCGCAGTGGCTGACGCCGAAGCTCCAGGGTACAGGTCAATGACGAGAGCACTGTTGAAACTGAAGACTGCAGTTGCCGTGTAGGCGATGAAGAATTGCAAGACCAGCGGGATGGTTATGATATTAAGTGGGAGGGAGAAGCCATAAAGAGCTACCGTGAGGACGAAAATCACGATGATCCACCAGATATTTCTGAGACGTGATTTCTCGATTGGAAAATCGACGAGCTCTTTCTTGTTCAGGGGTGTGTCGGCTGGGATACCTTTTGCTTGGCGGTATTGTCGTTCAACGGTCTTGTAGTCGTGGTCCATGAGATACCCAGTTAAATAGGAACCTGCCACGCAGCCTGCTCCGTTCGGCAGGAAGACCAATCCAACTTGCAGATCATTGAGATTAAATCGACCTTGGAAGAGGGCGGTTGTGCTTGATGTGACCATGCTCCAAACCGTGTATACAATCGAGCCGAAGAACAGAGTAATGAATACGTCTTTTTCCAATAAAAATTTGAGCGGCGCTACGATGCTGGAGATCGTGATGTTCTTCATAGGTGTATTATCTCGATCCAGCAACTCATCAGGAGGTGGCGAGAAGGAGTAGATGAGCGGTCGATGGATTGATGTTAGTCTGATCGTCCCGTTGCCTGCAATGCTTCGGAGAGTTTCAGGGAGCAATAGGAGAATTAGGAGCAGCGTGAGGGCGCCGAGACCGAACAAGAACCAGAAGATTGCATGGAAACCAAGGTAATTGGAGATAATGCCACCGAAGACGGGCCCTACAGATTGACCCATCATACGAACTAATGACGGCTTAGTAGAAATTCGGTACATGAGATGCGTCAACTTACTGCCTCCAAATATCCCGATAAGTCCACCGCGCTCACGGGCAGTAGTAATGTCTCCGATCACTCCAGCGCCTGACATCTGCTGTCAGTAATAACCTCCATAATTATGAGGTCTCACACTCACCAACTGAAATAGTAGCAGCACTTCCCGCAGCTTGAATGCCACGGAAAACCATCAGAGTAACAAAGTTGTTGCTAAAGGCAAGTCCTATATTTGCTGCAAGATAAACAATGAAAGTACCTGGAGGCATGTCAACACTTGACACATTAGACTCAGAACCCTAAACTTACCAATGAACGTGATCCTTCGCCCTTTGGTGTCTGAGAGCGGCCCCCAGAAGGAGGGAGCCAGTCCCTGAACTATCATGTATACAGTGATAGTTAGACTGACTAGCGACAAGCTCACGTTGAGATCCTATATTTTGTTAGGCAACGACTCAAAAGCTTGGACGCGCGTACCGACCTTCGAGATTTGACCCAAAGCTGGAAAGTAAATGTTACTTGAGAGTGGTGAGAAGAGCCCTGCAAGAGACACAATATACACCATCTGCTTTTTCTTTGCGAGAGAGAACACATGGTATGGAGGCTCTGGAAGTTTCTTTTCAAGACTGTATATACTGGTTGAGGAGGAATGTTGTTCATATGATGGTGAGTCTGGAGGACTACCATAATCGCTATCATCCTCTAGTTCAGTCCTTCGCTGTGCTCGACTGCCTCTTGGACTTTCGAACCTGTTGAAGTCGGCAAACAACAGGACGCTCTGTCTATTCCATCCCGATGGTCGAGGTGGAGCCGTTTGGCGGCGATGATTGAGTGGACGAGGATAGGGCATGCTCCGTTGTTGCTCGAACATGGGTTGATTGACCAACGACGAGAGTGATGTGGCATCATAGGTAGGAGGAGGTCGAGGAATGGAGAACATGATTGCTAGTGTACCAAGATCAACAAGGCCACCAACTGCGAAAAGGAGTGGGAATCACAGGGCCTGCTGTGTACAAAGATAGTCTAAACTTCGCTGAAGGGACGCCACAAGAAAAGTTGTAGAAGAAACACGGACTCGCTCGGAAAGGAAGATACGATGCCAGAGGCACCGGAAGAGGTTTATACGCTCATCAATGGATGCAGATCATATCTCGGCGGAGCAACAAAGATAGCGAGATGAGTATTCCGAACCAACCATTGTCATGGACAACGCTGTTGAAAGTTGTTGAAGAGAAAAGACTCACTGCAGTGAAGAATTAAGAGCTCGTTAGAACTCGCGTGTCTCCCAAGAATAGCCAACTGGCAGTTTGAGGTTCCTTGACCTGAATGCCCAGACCTCATGAGTTCGCCAGAGCCCCAATGGGATGAGTCTAGTGACATTTTGAGAAAGTACACTTGACGTTCTGAAATGGACATAAGAATCCCTGCCTGTTCGTCACCGATACAAACCATTCGCCCAGAGCACTTGCTCCCTTGGCAGAGCACCCCTTGGAGATATCGGGAAAAGGATCTACCGCAGCCGAATTCGGGTTAAAAGAACACAGAGGGGCGTTCCGCAAGCATCACGGGCTCTGCAGCGTAACAAGAAACAAAGTTGCGGCTCTTGGCAGCTCTAGTGCCGATTTAAGGAAACGGATTGCTGAGATAGCGGAGGCTGAGACGCCTGCCAAGATCTGATAGCTCTCTTTTTTGTTTCTTGGTGACTATCCGATCATCAATCTATTCGCTCGTTTGTGCATAGACCCGGCACGCCCAGACGCCGCGTCTCGTAGTGTGTCGGTACTCGAGCTCAGAATACTTGAAACCGGTTCGCTTCAGGTGCCGAAATCTTATCGAGACATCAGATTGTCTTATAGACTGTCACTTGCCAAGAAACTATAAGAACCAACAAAGTCCTCAGCTCGGAGTCGAGACAGAGTGAGGATGGGCGCCGGGGTCCTCGGACTGACAAGTGGATATGTTGAGAGTCAACCATGGCCGTAGATGACGACGCTGATCCGACTTCTGATCGGGAGGCCAAAAGCAGGGGAATCCTATCTTCAAAGATCAATCGGTCCTCATCTGTAGTTCGATGATAGTTGACTGATGGCGTGGAGCGAGACGGTTGTTTGGGTCGAGGGTTGTTAGTGGTTAAAGAGAGACAATGAGAAACACTCGGGAAGGAACTTTCATATCGACAGCGGGATCACGTGTGAAAGGGGTCTTGGCTCCATACTCAACCAAAAAGAACTTCCAAGCAGACAAAGAGAAGTTAAGTGCTATTAAGGATGCGTACAATCTGGCTCCATTCATGATTGAGGTTTGAACAAAAAATCTATAAGCTCACGACAAAAGAAGCTTGAATCGACATCACGTGCAGCTGATGAAACCTTTTGCACTCACTGGATTTGGACCCCAGTTCACGGTAGAATCCAAAGTGAGTATTAAAACTGATTGATCATTGGATGTACCGGCATATGCGCGTACAACTTGCGTCAGCAACACATCTCAATCGTACTTCTGCAGGGCCTTCTAGAAGATGTCACTGCCCCTGATGATCTTCGAAGCGCTCCTCTTAAAAACTCCGAGCCACTGAGATATTCTCCGCTAGGAGAATTTCAGTCACACATGCCATCCAGGTCTGTCAATTTATCACGCTTCAATATTCCCATGGAGTTTTGTCCCTGATTGTTTTAGGCACATTCAATGATCATCAACTTAAATCCGGTTTGACACTTCCCCTTCCAAATCCCATCAATACGGTTCATACTCACCCTTACACCCCACCCCCCTTCGAACGCCACTGTTACTCTACCTTGTTCTTAAAACCCTCAGGAGCTTTGGTTCGGCTCTATTTCGAAACCTGGCCTCCATCCAATGATAGCTCTCTCATTACCAACCAGCTTTCGCCCCTGAGTTTCTCACTTTCTCATCCCATCTCAACTCACTCTCATCCCATTACCTCAACTCACTCTCATTTCATCGTCTAAACAAGTGTCTCGAATCCATGAGGAATTATTATCTAGTATTATAAGCATTTACAACAAAAAAGCAAGGCATGAAGAACGTCTTTCATTCCACCTGCCAACCCAACAAAACAACAACGACCCAGAGTTTTGTCCTTGTCAGCGCTGTTAATCCCATATGCATGCGTGCAAAGCCCACCACATCCGCTCGCTTCAGACCAATTTGAAGCGAGCTTGCCAAAGACGCCGTGCATGCAAACCCATCAATGACAACTATTCTGCCTCGCGGAACGAAAAAGAGAAGAGAGTAGAGAATGCAAATGCCATGCTGCTAATCCACACATAGATACGACTGGCTGGCAACCCGTTGCACAGATCCCAGGTCACCACTCTCCAAGCCGAGATGTCAAAATTCCTTCCAAAAGCCTTCTCTATGCTTACATTATGATGGCTGGCACATCGACGTTGACTTTGATGCTCTTGTGTGGCAGGATGCTTCCTCCATTGACATAGATCTCATCTCCGATTGTGACGTCGTCGCCTAGCACACTGACATTCTCCAATCGAGCCCATTTTCCGACTGTCGAGTTCCAGCCGACGATGGTGCTCTTTACCCAAGCATGGTCCTTGACCTTGGATCCTGCCAACAGCACGCATCGTTGGAGACGGACACCATCGCCGACGATCACATCTGGACCAATGGTAACATTGGGGCCGATTCTGCAGTTCCGGCCAATCTTGGCAGAGGGGTCAATCAAGACGTTTCCACCGTGTACATAGGAGGTATTGGGGGATGTGAGAAGCTTGGAGCCCTTCTTTGTGAGAGAGGAGAGATAGAGGCAGGTTCCCGATAGAAAATCCTTGGGTTGTCCGACATCCATCCAGAATCCTTCCAAATCGAATGAGTGTAATTGTCCATCTTTGCAGATTGCGGGGAAAGTTTCTTGCTCAATGGATGTAGGGCGTAATTCGATTCGCTTCAATACACTGGGGTTCAGGATGTAGATACCAGCATTGATACGATTTCCTACGAATTCGACGGGCTTCTCGACGAATCGGTCAATCCGCGAGTGGTGGCTGGGCTTGTGGACGACCACACCGTATTTCGACGGCTCTTCAACTTTTGTGACAACGATCGTTCCCTCGTCACCGTGCTTCTTGTGGAAAGCTGCGAGGTCCGCAAATGGGTATTCGCAGATAACGTCGGAGTTTAGGACAAAGAATGGAGTATTATCCTTTCCGAGGATTTCTTCCGCGAGTTTAAGGGGTCCAGCTGTACCTAGAGGCTCGGTTTCGACCGAGAAGGTGATCTTAATGTTGAATCTGGTGGCATACTGTCGTGGACGACCAATCAGTATTTGCAGAGCTTCCCATCCCATTGATTCGAATGTGCAACTCACGTCTGCCAAAAATTTCTCCATAATCTCAGGTCGGTAGTTAACAGCCAGAACGATATCTGTGACTCCAGCAGCCGCTAGCGCTTCAATTTGGTGTAGTATCATGGGCTTGTTGCCGAATTCGACCAACGGCTTCGGGAGGGTGAGTGTCTATTGGTTTATCAGTCGCTGAATGCATTGTCGAAGCTCAAGGTATCCGCGCGAGTGTTTGGGCTCCATGTTGATGGGAGGAGGGAAAACGCACGAGGGGTCGCAATCTAGTGCCGAAGCCACCGACAAGAATAAGAGCTATACACCATGTCAGCAGATGCTCCATGGCCGTGGAAAGAGTATTCTGGGCTCACCCTTCATCTTCAAAGAATGTAGAGATTTGTGTTGTGACGATGTTGTGTTTCGAGGTTGAATAGCTCAATCAGGAGGGAATGGAAAATTAGGATTGCTGGGGGGTCAGAATGTGCGATTCGGACTCCGAGATCAGAGATGGTCGGAATGGAAAAGGGAAGTGGTCGTAGAAAGTTTCGAGTTCTCGCTGTTTCTTGAAGGACACCTGTCGCGCTGAAAACGGGTCGACGAGGTTCAAAAAATCTCGTTTAGCATCGGCGCTGGCCCAGAAAGGGGTTGCTAGCGCTGTCAGGGGCGAAATGAAATCTATTTGGGGGCGCGATGCTGCGTACGGAGGTAATTCCGTTTGTGTTCACGTTCTGGATCAATTGAACGAGAGCTCTCGAGTATGAGCTGCGGGTATTAATGAACAGCAAACGGCCGACAAATCTGAATCTTGGAATTCGGAAATGAGGTGCCTGCCAAATGTTCCCCCAGAGTCCACAGCAAGCAAGATCGCGACATTGTCAGGTGGTTCCGGGGAACACTTCGGTGGAAGTGGAAGTGGAAGTGGAAGGGTAAGACGGTGAGTGCAACTTCCAAATGTGTCATTTTTCTGTTCAATTCGCGGTTCACCGCCTAGAGCCCCTCATTCCCTTTCGTGGGGTGCGTTTTACGTTGCTGCTTGCTTTTTCTTGGATTTCTCGTAAACTCCATCACGAGCTTCGCAGGAAAAGTGGCAGTGCGGGTTCACGGGGAGGCCACGCCACACCCGCCCCCGTCAACCCAACTTCCGTTTCCCCACTCGCCGTTGGATCTTGGGTCACTCACGGGATTTCCCCCCTATAAAACACCCGGTATTAAGGAGTGGAGTGACAACCTTCATGGGTATCTCAAAAGTACTTTTATTTCGTCAGGTCATTTATCATAAGTCCATCCATCCATTATGCCAAATTTAAAAGCATCCGCTTTGCCAAATCCTTCCTTTCATAAACAAGAGATTCGTGATATCATCGAAACGACTGCAACGCTGCCGCCACGCTTGCTAAATGCAGAAAGTTGATGAGAAAGAGAATCTTCAAGCCGCCGCCTTGGAACACGCCTGACTTTGCAGTTGCAAAATCGAAAAAAAGCCACTCCGTAAAGACAGTCTGGTGAGTTGCCTCGGATATCCAAGCGGATGGTTCTGTAAATCCCACACCGCAATCATAGTCTTGGGAGGTGTATGAAAGAAAGAAAGTCATTCGTCATTATCTTGTCGTCAATCGTGGATGGATGGTGAGTCGTGAAGTCGTCAAGCAAATTTTTTCGCATCGTCGCCGGGTTTTGTCTTTGTCGAAATCGTTTCTCATATATCTGCTCGTCCGGGTGTTATTCTCGGGCAAGGCAGGAATTCGTGGCCGAGATGTAGGCCTGTGGTTCCGCCAGCTATTTCTTGGCTGTTCGGGAGACGTATCAGTTCAGCTTCCTCTATTCCGAGGACGTTGTGGAACTGGAACTGCTGAGATTGACAGAATGGCTGCGACCACCATGTCGGTGGTGTCTCCTGTGTCGGCCACTGTGCTCATTCGCAGGCAGTCCCTGAACAACGCCATTGCGTGCCAGCATACCTCCATTCACGGAAAAGTTCCTACAAACCATGAATGCCCGCATGGCTGCGTTCTCCTGAGCCAGTCCATCGGATTCGTACGCGAGATCAGTTTGGTACTCTCGCCCATTGACAAGCACTAAACAGGTGTAGCCCGACGAGCTCCTGTACGTCTCGTATAGGGGATCACGCCAACCTCGACGTCGACACAGACCTGCCCAGCATGTCAGTGGTAGTCCCGGGAAGGGTTGTTGTGCAGATCAGGGCTCCAAATATAGGAAAGTGTGGGGGTGTAAGAGAACACGACGATGAACATCCACGCATCAAGATGCAAGACTAGCAATCGGAGTCATTCGCCACTTAGGCGGCACGAAAAGGAGAGAGCAAACATGCTTGAAGGCTTTAGCTCCTTTCCTGCAGGATCTTGGAGACACGAGGAAGCCCAAGGAGAAATTCGGATGAAACAATCCAGAGGCTTGGAAAACTTTATTCCCGAAGCAGTGGATCAACGTACTCTCCAGATATGCCATGTAGAAGCCACCCATTGTATCGTTTCAAGAAGTATCGATGTCACAATTGACCAGATCCTTTTCAGGAACAAGTCCGTCACTCGTGGATGGTGTGGTAGAACAATCCCGTCGATACCAGGGTTTTTTTGACAGACAACGCCCAAGAAGTGTCGCGTTGTCGATGCAATTGAGCCCAATGCCGCAGTGCGCAAGGAAGAATGCACACAGTCAATGAAGTGTATGTGAATACAGTGATGTGTGGACGACGTCGTGGTGTTGAAGAGTAGGGCTGACGGATAGTGTGTGTTGTCTAGGGGGTTTGTGCAGGACTTTCGTCCATCAACGGCGAGACATGTGTGATTTATTGCAGAGTTCATGTTAGTGCGGGACAGGGATTATAGATTGGCCTCCTGTGGAGGGTTTCAAGCGCTGTTGAGATAGGACGAAGGGTTGAACCAGATGCAAGTCATGATGCGGCTCTTTAGGTGTGACCCATATGATGTGTTGTCGTAGGTCGTTGCCAGTCGATGAACCTCGAGAGATTAGGCAACTCCACCACAACATGGGAACGCATACTAGGCGATGATCTCTGATGGGCTAGAAGTGTCAATTCGCCGTTCTGAGGTCCGTCTGCAGCTACTGAACTGTCGATGCAGCAGTGGTGGCAAAAGGCTCAACACCCGCCCATAGGTTTCGGGCAAATTTTCAGTCCTTTGCAGAAAGCACAAACCAGGTCTTGGCCCCATCTGAACGCAACCTCAAATAAATGCTGCTGCTGTTTCGACGGAGATCCACGGGGCTGGCCGCTAATGCACATAAATCGATGGCACCATGGTTAGATGCAAGGAAAACGTCAGAAAATGAGGACTGCTAGCCCAGGGACACGATCCTCAATGCTGAATAGGGACCGGAATAGCCACATTTAGGACCGTTTCACTGGCTAAAGTGCCAGGGTAGATAAGTGGCACCTTTGCCCCGCACTACAACGGTGTTGCTGTGCATAGGAGAATCGCGACGAGCGACGCGTTTGACGCCGGATGGTTGGAGTACAACTTGACACGAAGTCGGTGAGCCCTTCAATGCATAAACAGTGGCTGGACCGCCGACCAGCTTGATCATCAGAGATCCGTCTGTACAATCTGCTCGAGCAGTGCGCGCCGCTGTGGGAAGGGAAGGGAATGGCAAGAAAGCGCGAGGCAACCAACCCTGCGGACGACTAGCCTGCCGTATGCAATGATGAGCTGGCAGTGCGCTTGACGTCTTAAGCAGTAAGGCCACATGCCGTGCAAATTGAAAGAGGTATACGCCATAGTATATTAAACAATGCCAGACGTGCTGGAACAGCGAGGGCTTCTGGGGACAAAACCGCCTGCTTGGTTTGACCCCGCGATGTCGTTGATGGTATGGGAAAAAGCAAATACAACTGAAGTACTCAAGGCCGCTGAGACTCCTCGGACGCCCCTAGCCGCCGACCACCATGTATGTACCTGACCTGAATGCTGTTGTTTCCGATGACCCCAGAATTGACAGCCGAGCAAGGCCGTTCGGGCCAGTTCGGCTTCGCTGCAATCCCTCGTTGGAGATGCATTGTCCTATCGCCAGAAGAGGCATCTCAGGAAGGCCGTTCTTTGGGCGTCTCCGGATCGCTGGCATCGGGCAGGGGTCTCCCATTCGCAGAGACGTAGATGCTCTGCAGTAGCGGAGGTGCATGCAGCAACTAGGCTGGAACGACACGCTGAACTGCAGAAAAGCACGAAGTCCCAGCACTTGGTTCTGGAGTCACGATCATGTCTCAGAACAACCGAAGTTACTTCTTGGGATTGCTGCATACCTCGCCGTCTGTCTTGCGGACACCGAGTTGCGCTGATGTTGTACGAGTATGCTGCATCCAATTGACGTCAGGCATTTTTGGAGGATGATTTGCAGATGAACGAGGTGGTGCGCGGCCGCTGTGCTGTCCGTGCTCTCTGAGCATGATTTGAATTTCAGAATGCGAACCATGAATGCGAACCACAAACCACTGCGTGGTATGCAAAGTCGAGCTGTCGTGCCTTCGTGTGTAGGCAACGCGAGGTGATCACGTGTCCCCCCTTATTGTTGGATTAAGCTCTTGCCCTCGAGTTATGTCTGAAGGTAGTCACGTTTCGATGTACCAACCCAATCCTTGCACTATCGATCGAGCCAGTACCTCCTCGACAGACCTTCTTTGCCTTTAGCAGCACAACCACTTTGCAATCACCAATCATAAACCTCCGCACCGGAGAAACTACAATCGTCCTCTGGTAGGGCTGTGCCGCCTGGTGGCATTTCAAGCGGATAAGAGTTTGGGCTGCCATGGGTGTTCAGGGTGTTCGATCACCGTTACACAGCACACCTAAAACCTTATCAATGCACTCATTTACTGCTTTCTGATCTAAAGGAGGGTTGGGATCATCCTCCAGCGTCGGTCACACCGTCGAAACATGCATCCTTTTTGCTCCAATCCGACAATGCCTTCACCAACATCTCGACTCCAACTCCCCGCAATTCCGATACTGCAACGCCAAAACCATACATCATGTTGTGTCGACAGTGTAGGAGCGTGCTCACCCTCGGTCAACGCTAAAAGCCCCCCTTGGATGCGAAGTACGCGCGTGTCTCTTCAGCGGCACCTTCAGGTATCACAAATACCGGGTGGAGTGTTCCCACTCGGTCTCCCTCGTTATATATCTGTTCTTCTCCAACAAAAGGCTCGCAGGTCCATTGATAAGGAGAGGCCAGATTCCCGCTTGTCTCAGTTTTCGTTTCTGTGGTGTTGAAGTGCCATTTGTGCTGTGCAGAGCTGAGACCCGCGAGAACATAGCATGTATGGTAAGAATCAGATGAGCTTGTTCTCTGTTAATACTTAGACCAAAGATCAGAACATGAGGTATATACGCACTGACTCGGCTTATCTCTTAGTCCTCCTCGCCTTGTCCGATCCTGGCAGCAACAAAGGATGTATCTGATTAGACCCTCCCGACTGTAGAGACTTCCAAGAGACTTTGTAGCTGCCGGTCGAGGTCCTCCCGCAAAGCTGCGAAAGGGCCCGTCAAGGCAAGCTTCTAATAGAGGCCAACAACTGCCCACCCAGTGACTGTAGCAGCCATCTACTAGTTTATTTGTACGGCCAGAAAAGCCCCCTTCTGGTGCGTATTGTCGGGCCGAGAGCCAAGACATGAGGCGGGGTACGTCGATATATCTTTGTGAAAGATATTAGCAGTCACATAATTAAATTAGTGCTTAAGAAAACTTACTTGGGAATCATTACATGTGGATCACCCAGTATGCATAGGCATGCCAAAGCGCAGAAAGCATAAGCTCCATGAGCCTCAACATCTGGAAGTCCAGAGAAGCCACCTTCAAAAGTTTGACCTAAGGAAATTAGGACAAAATTTCATCCTTCATAGAGTGGCCACCTACATCTCCTAACCCACTCAGCCAAACCCGTCAAGAGAATTGCGCCTTCACCTGACCAAGCTGGGGAGTCACGCGGAAGTTCCAGGGGTAGGTCGAGAAGGGTGATAATTACTGCAGCACAATACGCACCTCTATAGTCTGGTAAGTGTCCGCATGAGAGATGCCAAGTATTCTGAGCTCATACCTGATGTCTTCTTCACCTCCGACAGACACCTGGAAGCCACCATCCAGCTGTTTCAATGCACCAAGCCACTTCCACATTGCTCTTCGGTCGATGATATCCAGGGCTTCTTTCCCTCCGACGATGGCCAACGCCAGCACAATAGCGTATGTTGGTGCAAGATGCGACATCTGACCATTACCTCCGCCAAATCCTCCGGTTGCATTTTGTATGGGTCGGACAGTAGAGATGAGGGGTTCCCGATATTGGGAAACATCTTCTCCGAGCGCAGAAAGGCCAGCCAGTGCCCAGTAGAACATCCACGGTCTGCTTGCATCAGCAGCAACATAGGGAGCAGGTAGCTTTTTCAAGCTCTTATGTAAGAACTGAATGTGGCGTTTCCTCTCCAAATGTGGAACTCCATAGTCATTGTATATAGCTCCTGGTTCCAACCCAGATAGAAAAGGGAGGCATTCTTGAATCGTTTCTTCCTGAATCTGTGATGATTGCGTGTTGAGTAAGTCCCGGATGTACGGCAGAGATGTGAAGAGGTCGGGAACCATGCTTGCACGAGCTGTTTTTGTTGACATGGTAGCAAGTCTTGGAGAGCTGAGGACGAACTCCACAGCCTCCTCTCCACCTACGGAAGAGGGTCCTGCAAGATAAGGCTGCCGATACTGCGTGTCACCGTGAAGTGATTCTTCCACAGATCTTGAGGCTGAAGACGAGGGATCTGAGCCCGTCATTGCTCGCCTTTTGAAGACAACCCTATGGCGGTGCTTCTGTCCCTTGATGAGAAATTGCATGTGCGGCTCTTTTCGCCAGCGATGACATTGATTCGCTGGCAGCCTGCTTCACATTACTGTTGCAAATTCTTTCAGGATCATGTCACGTTACGAGGACGTTGTGGCTCGTGTGGCAAAGCCATTTCTCGCTTAAGGAGCTCGTGGCAAAGAGGGGCTGGGGCACGAAAGGAGGGGTTCACAACGTTTAACCTTGCTTCTTCCCATCCGCCAAAAATCGTCCCCAAAGCCTCGACCGATTAGAAACACCATGCACAAGAGATTCTGTACATCTTCTCCCGACGGGCGCACGTTTCGAATTACATTGCGAATACACCAAGCTGCTGCATCCGCCGCAGCCGCGATTGCCAGCCAGGCCCAGGTCAACGACCCCACCAAGGGATTTCTTATCGTTTCCGAGGTCGATAAGCAGCGGGCTTCAGAGCAAGCAAAGCTTTCAGCCGTTAGAGATCATACCCGGGCCAGGACGTATGGCAGTCAGCAAGAACGTCACACAGATTCAGGATTCATAGCCTCGATATGAAAGTTTCAGTCCGGGCTGCGAGCTGAGCCCGTCTCATGCGAGGAATCTGCCGGTATGCGCTGATTGCAGCACATTGACGGACTCGTCCAATGGAAACAATTCGTATATCTCAAGCCGCTGCGGGTGGCCATTTTACACCAGGACTGCATGAATATTGACATGCAGCTCGTTAATAGATCCGGCTGGAGAACATCACCCAACTGGGCGTGAGAGTGGGCGAGAGTGGCGAGTTGCACTGGAGTCCGGCTCGTCGCGTCGATCAGGAGGAGAGGATATCGGCGAAGCCACGGGGGAGAAATTGGATGCTTTTGAAATGAAACGAGAGTCCGGAGAAGCAGAGGGGCAGCGAACCGACTCGCGATTATTGCATTCACACGACCGACTCATGACAGATACACTTGTTGTACCTGACTACATGAGCCGGCGTGGATTAGCTGTTGATGTGGTCCTGTTGTCTTCAGGAATCATTTGATGGGCGCGAAGAGAGTTGGAGGAGAGGATCTAGATGGCGGGGCGTTTCTTCAATGTCTCCACGATGGCGTTGATGGCCACGGCGCCAGGAGGAGCAGCTCCGCTGATAGCGTCTCTCTTGGCCGCCTTCGACAAGTCGTGCAGTATAGAAAAGGCCTCGTCCCTGCCACCAACGAGCACGAAACTCAGATACTGCACCAAGATAGGGGATCTTCTAATGCTCGATCTGGGTCCTCGCTTCGTGATGATCTCGGCCAACGGGGCCATCAGGAGAGACGTGCGCGAGCAAACGCAAACGGAGAAGAGCTGGAAAAAGATCAGAGTTTGGATTGGCGGACTCAGGGATGGACCATGAACGACGACCTTTGAAAAAACGGTGAAAATATGGCCCAGCCAACCAGCCTTTATGTAAACACCTCCCCACCTGCAAACCGTCCGTCGAGATGCCCAGCAGCCCATGGCACGTTCGGCAAAGTGCCAGTCGCCTCCAGCAGATGCTGCAAATGGTGCAGATCGCAACACTCCGGCGCTCAGCGTGCGAGGGTCTGCAGAGATGGGATGCCGCAAGGGGGGTTGCCGGACCTTCAGTGGGCGGGAGCCGTGTTTTTCCAGGGCCTTCAGCGGGCGCGTTGAGCGCCTCCAGGCCTCTCACTCCGTCGCTAGGCTGTTCACGGCGCTGATACAGGTGCTACTGTAGCAGGGCTCGTCATCCCCTCCGCCAGAAGCAGCATGGCTGGGGCCTGGCGGGGGGCTGGCGGGGACCGCGTGGGCACGACTATTGGGCACATGACGGTTGTCTCGCAGTCGCCCCCGGCTGCCCCCGGTCGCCCCCCATGCAGTGAGCATCGCTCGTGCAGTTGAATTGTCGCACCTGATTCGCCGCGACGGGGATGGTCTGGGTAGGCGTGACAAGCCCGGCTATTTTTCCGGCTCTCGCTCACCGCTTCTTATGTGGATCCGCTGGTCGTGCGAGCCCGCCATCTCAACCCTCAGGCCTCTCACCGACTTCCATCGTGAGGTCTTCTCTTCCTCAAAGAGCGGTGTCACCGTTCCTCCTCCTTACAATACTATTGACCATTCCTGCCACCAAACGTTTGCGACAATGACCTCGAATCTTGAGTTCTCCCCAGAGGGTCTGCTGGACCTAAACTTCGATCACCGAGATCCGCGTTACCCATTTACCACGAACATGGCGGCTCGCGCGAGTTGGCCTATGCCTCTCGATATGGCCTCAGGAGCCGCTGACCAGAGGCGGGAGACTTCCCCAGGCCAAAACACACATCAGCAATTTCCTCAGGCTGGGCATAATAACTCCCCGACCCTGTTGACAGACTGGCCGATGCAACAACAGCCACAACAACTGCCGCAGTACATTCAAGACAACTCGTTAATGGGGGCACAGTTCAATGCTTTTGGAACCACATTTCAGACATCACCGTTAGACTACACTATGCCCACGACACAGGCAAATTTCGAGGCTGGACTTCAGATGGAGACCCCGTTCAATGGATTGGCACCGACGGTGGAGGCACAGGCCCAAGCAGCGATGTGGGCAAACTGGCAGGAGATTGAGAATGCCATGAACTTCACGGGGCACGATGGGCTCCCGGGTGTGGGTCGCCAAAGCCTTGGAAGCAACTCGCCCACTGGGACGTATTTGGAAGTTCTGTCGCTCCCAAGCTCAAGTAGTGACCACGGATGGAACACGGTTGACCACTTCCCCAACTTCGAGGCTTATCAGCAAGCACACAATGCAGCAATCTTCAACCCGGGCCAGACTCTTCATCTTCGAACCCACTCGGACTCGTCACAATCGGACGGGACTGGCCACACCATGGAGTCCTTTGGCAGCTTCGAAGATATCTCGTATCCTTATTCTCCATACTCTCCCGAGTCTGATAACTATCTGGATCCTGTTGGACATCGAAATTGCTTCCATGGAGAGTCTCATCATCACTCCCATGAGACTGTCAGCCCCGCCGCAGCCGTAGCCCCTGTACCCATCAAGATGTCGCCGTCGTCGAGTCGAACTACCCCTTCCTCAACTTCATCACCACCAGCCCGAAGGAACTCGGCACCACGGAAGAGCCCAACTGCAAAGGCAACCAAGGCTGTCATCCGTCGCACGTCGAACGGAAAGAAGGATACCGAGAAGCGGGTTGGTCGTCGACGTGGACCATTATTACCTGAGCAACGGAAACAAGCAAGTGAGATCAGAAAGTTGCGAGCATGTCTTCGATGCAAGTTCCTCAAGAAGACTTGTGACAAGGGAGAGCCTTGTGCCGGTTGTCAGCCGTCTCATGCCAGACTGTGGCAAGTTCCATGTACGCGCATCGACATCAAGGATATCAGCTATTTCATGAAGGACTGGCGTGCAGACTACGAGCGTCACGTGGGTCGTGGGGTATCTGTGTACAACATCAAGGGCTTTGCTCAGAAAGAGGAGCTCATTTGGATCACCCATGGCTATGGATTTGCCCTTCCCATCATGGCCCGGGAAGTATACGTTAGTGACGACAGTTGCTTCTCTATTGATTGGGTTGAGTCTGAGCACGACGAGCCCCTTGAGTTTGACGTCCGAACAGAAAAGATGTCGGCTGGGTCAGAGGGAGTTTCTACGGAAGCCTTGTCCGAGTATCTCGACAAACATCTTGACGGGCCGTTCGAGGAATTCATCGATGATTATTTTGAAGGCACTCCTTTCATCACCGAGATCTTGAAGACTGCTCACCGCTACTACACCAAGGAGAAGGTACCCGTCATTCGCAAAGCCTTGAAGCTTGTCCTCGCCTACAACTTGACCCTTCACGTCACCATGGTCGAACAAAGGGGTGACGAGCATCCTATGGATGGCATGATTGAGGATGAAGACTCCAGGTACAACGGCAAAATTATCGCACCGGTGATGATCAACTTTCAGATCAAGTGTGCACTGGCCGACATGTGGCGCGAGCTGCAGAAGGAGATCCTCGAGGAGTTGTCCTCACTCTACTCCAGCGTGTACAGCGGTGATCGCCTCAAGAACTGGCCAACTATCTTCATGCTTGCCTCCATCCTCCTTGCTGTCTGGGAAGAGATGCAATTCGACTGCCACTACCGTGTGCCTGATCAAGCTGCGGTTAACAAGTTCTGCAGTGACATGGAAACTACTCCAGTGGGTGTCATTGTCGGTCTCTTCCACGCCATCTCCCAGAAGCTTCCTTCCTTCACCGAATGGGATACAAGACGGCACGGGCAGCTCCTCAACAACAACGTCGCGGTCTGTGATGCCATGACAGAAATGAAGGATCATGTGATCAAGCATGGTATGTTCCTTCCGCCACCTCAGTTATGCTCTTCTGACATGTTTCCACAGAATCCTACCTCAAGACCCGACCTGATGCCAGGTTTGACCGAAGAGACTTCGACTCCTTGTCCAACAAGTTCCTGTCGAAGCTAGTCATCCGCGCCAACTAGATTCTTTTTCCCAAAATACCCTTCTATATACCCACTTCGCATATTCGACTGTACAGATGCAGTGATGCTGCTGATGGAGGGCCTCGATAGGCCATTTCCTCTATTCTTCTCCCCTTTGTAGTCTGGAACCTCAAAAACTTTCATTTATTCTCCAAACATCAGAAGGAACGCCAACAGCGAGGGCATTTTACGTGGATTTTGGTTTCTCATTATGATGGGCATAGCGATGCGAACAGTCACCTAACGACTCCCTTATGATTGTGCCAGGGCATTGTACGAACGATATGATCGATTTCATCACGAAGATCATGGCTTTATGGTTTACGGTTTATGTTTTATCTTACGAGGAATTTTTGATTGATGGAAATGAAATGAAGCATCTTGGGCGTTGGAAACCCATGGCCGCGATTGAGGCATGCTTGCATGTTGCAGGAAAGACAGTTACTGATGTGTACGGCTGTATACACCTGACAAGACATAGATTTGGATGATATAAATGAAAAGAAATTCCGGATCAATTGATCAATCTGAGTGTGTGAATCCATCGATAAGTGAATATCGGTCTGGGCGGTCTGGGCGGTCTGGAATCTGGGGTGTCTGGCTAAATTGAGAATTGAAGCCTGAGGCAACACGGGCACCGCGAGGCATTTCCCGGATTGTTCTCGCAACTCTGAAGTTTGATGACGCAAGAGGCGTCGTGTTATCGGCCGGCCCGTGTCTCCGCGCTTGAAGGTGAAGGTGAAGGTGGAGGTGAAGGGTAAGTAAGTAATCAAGCAAGCAAAACACGGAGCTGCGAGTGCCGTTCAGCTGGGCGGATTCGCATTCACAGACCTCCTTATTTTTGCGTGTTGTTAGGAAAATGAGACATGAAGGTACTGTAACATCCTCGTGACCAACCTCCCCTCCGCCTCTCCGCTCCTGTGCAACGCATGCGAGGCCGAGACACGGAGTGGCAGGTTGAAGCGCCAGAACCCAGCTTAGGTTTTCAAGGAGGCGGGGTCGAGCGGCTAGGCTCCCTTTGGAGGCAGTCCTTATCTTCCAAGAATCAGGTGGCATGACGGCTTACAAAGAATGGCGAAAGTCAGCTTTGTGCAGCGAACGCCTTTCAACTGCAGATTTTTTGATGTGGATGTACCCAAAGCAAAGGGGAAAATGAGATCATTGTAAATTTGGATGGTCAATAAATGTCCTAGAGCCAATGGAATGTTTGAGAACTTTCGAGATTCACCCGTAAATTCCAGTTGCTGCAGCTGCCTGCTTCGCCTTCTGATTCAACACTAGCGCAGCTGGAATCGAAGCGAAGATTCCAAGCCTGCGCAGCCGCCACCGCCCTACTTAAACCTCGCTGGCCTGCATCCCTTCTTCCTCCTCCATCACACTTTCATACCGCAACGTCTTCGTCCCGAACCGTCAACCACTCTTCTGATCATCAAGATCTCGCGTCAATACACATACTCATACACTCCACATACCGTCAAGATGCAAATCTTCGTCAAGACCCGTAAGTTGCTCTCCATTCCTGGCGCCTAAAGATAACGCCGCCTCGTCTTCCAACTTCAACTAACATCTTCGCAGTCACCGGCAAGACCATCACTCTTGAGGTCGAGTCCTCCGACACCATCGACAACGTCAAGAGCAAGATTCAGGACAAGGAGGGTATCCCTCCGGATCAGCAACGCCTGATCTTCGCTGGCAAGCAGCTCGAGGACGGCCGCACCCTCTCTGATTACAATATCCAGAAGGAGTCAACCCTTCATCTCGTTCTCCGTCTCCGTGGCGGTATGCAAATCTGTAAGTTGTCACCTTTGCCACTCGGCCTCGTATCAAATTCTAATATCCAAAACAGTCGTCAAGACCCTCACCGGAAAGACCATCACCCTCGAAGTTGAGTCCTCCGACACCATCGACAATGTTAAGTCGAAGATTCAAGACAAGGAAGGCATTCCCCCGGACCAGCAACGCTTGATCTTTGCAGGCAAGCAGCTCGAGGACGGCCGCACTCTTTCTGATTACAACATTCAGAAGGAGTCGACTCTTCATCTTGTTCTCCGTCTCCGTGGTGGTATGCAAATCTTCGTCAAGACTCTTACCGGCAAGACAATCACCCTCGAGGTTGAGTCATCCGATACCATCGACAATGTCAAGTCCAAGATTCAAGACAAGGAGGGTATCCCACCTGATCAACAACGTCTTATTTTCGCCGGCAAGCAACTTGAGGACGGCCGTACCCTTTCAGATTACAATATCCAAAAGGAGTCTACACTGCACTTGGTCCTTCGTCTTCGTGGTGGCATGCAGATCTTTGTGAAGACTTTGACTGGCAAGACTATTACATTGGAGGTTGAGTCGTCAGACACAATTGATAATGTCAAGTCCAAGATCCAGGATAAGGAGGGTATCCCACCGGACCAGCAGCGATTGATCTTTGCTGGTAAGCAATTGGAGGATGGGCGTACGCTGAGCGACTACAACATCCAAAAGGAGTCGACTCTCCATTTGGTACTTCGTCTTCGTGGTGGTCAATAGATTTGGGTTCGTTTGGCATGTGGGATATCTGGGATTTGCGACGGCGTTCTGGTACACAGCTGGGCTTTATGACCATAGCTCGTACATACGACATGGGGAATGATGCATAGGCGTGGCGATACCACTGACAGTGGGTAGTCCAATGAACATACATTCGGACAACTTTATTGTGCCAGATGACAATTTGTGACTGTGACATGAATTCTTCTTTCGAATTGCGTTTAAATAATCAGTATGTGAAATAATTGTAAGAGTGGCCATTTTCGTAGATGACGGAAATGCAAGGCTACAAACCTCGGACTTTCATATTTCCAGGCGCTCCAAAACCCATGATAAGACCAACGCGGCTTCCACAACTGCCACAACCCCATTTTCACCCTTCATCAAAATCTCTGCAACCTAAATCAGCCTCCACGCCACCCAGAACCCTCTAGAAAGGCTCCGCAATCTTCCCGCAGTAACCACCGCAGAGATTGCACAATGAAGCTTCCCATCCACAACCCAACATGAAAGGATGCCCTCTTACTTCTACCACCTGAAGTTTGAACTGTATCCTTACCCTTCCGTCGACGATCAATCCATACCTTCCAATACAAGCCCCTCCAAGCAAAAGAGAACAAAGGAGGAGGAGGAGGAACGCAGGAGGAAGATCTGGTTTCCGGAAGAAGGGACGGACATCTTTGAGAGTGGGAAGTGGCCTAGGCATAAAAGGGTTAAGGTGAAGGAGAGAAGGGGCTTTGGGAAGAGTGGTGGAACCGGAGAAACACGAGCGGCCGGGGTTGGAGTAGCAACTGGAACTGGAGGCAGGGGAGTCATTGATTGCGGATTGGCACGAGCAAGTCATACGCCGAACGAGAACGAGGACGAGGACGAGGCGCTCACCGTCCAGATTCCAAACGAGAGGAACATCGAGTTCCCGCCACCGAATACTGTGAATATACAGAGGGATCAGAGGACTGCGGTTAAGGACTGGCGGTTTGGCAGGGTGAGGATCGAGAGTTTGGATATGAAGGAGATTGCAGACTTCAACTCGAACACAGATACGGATACAGACATGGCGTCTGCGCAGAGACCAAGAGGGGAGAGCAGCTCTGGTGGGACTGCGAGTAATGGGATTAATGCTGGCCTTGCGCCTGAAGCTGCGGGTGTAGGACGGGTCACGAAAGCGAGATATGAGGTCGTTCAGGAGAAGAATACAGAGGTTGGGTGGGGAATTGTGCATTTGTATCGGGATGGGGAGGAGACTCCTGGGCTTGGCAATACGGAGGTGGTTTATACTGCTGGAACTGAGGCTCCGGGTCACCAGCGGCAGCCAAGTGCTGGGTTAGGTGTGAAGGATGAGGAGGAGCATGGAGAGGATTGCACTACGTTGTGTATTCCTGCTGTGCCGAGCTACCTTACACCCAGTGATTTTCTGGGGTTTGTGGGAGAGAAGACGAGGGAGGAAGTCAGCCATTTCAGGATGGTGATGACCGGACGGATGAATAGGTATTTGGTTCTTATGAAGTTTAGGGATGGGAATGCGGCCAGGAGATGGAGGAAGGAGTGGGATGGGAAGGTGTTCAATAGCATGGAGGCGAGTTTTCCCCTTTCTGATCTTGAAGTAGAGCTAATATCATCTTCAGCCAGAAACATGTCACGTAACCTTCATCAAGTCGATTACTTTCCAAACACCGACTTCTTCCAGACCTAGTACCAGCTTCCCCGAGCTCTCCCATGACCCTTTCATGCCCTCATCCTCAACATCCTTCCTGAAGCCATTCCCTCCACCAACTCCAAACCTCGTCGAGCTCCCAACATGTCCCGTCTGCCTCGAGCGAATGGACGACACATCCGGCCTCCTCACCATCCCTTGCCAGCACGTCTTCCACTGCAACTGTCTTCAAAAATGGCGAGGCAGTGGCTGCCCCGTCTGTCGACACACAAATCCCTCCCTAGCACTCTCCTCCTCTACCAGCACCAGCACAAACACTTATGACCCCGCAAGCCCACCATTTGGCAGCGGCGAAGCCTCCCTCTGCAGCGTTTGTGACTGCACCGACGACCTTTGGATCTGCCTGATCTGCGGCAACGTAGGCTGCGGCCGCTACAAAGGGGGGCACGCAAAAGAACACTGGAAAGACTCCGCACATAATTTCGCATTAGAGATAGAAACGCAGCATGTGTGGGACTATGCGGGCGATCTGTGGGTACATCGTCTCATTCGGGATAAAGGGGATAGCAAGGTCATTGAGCTGCCCTCTTCTTCCCGCTCGGGTATGGGGATTGGTGGGGGCAGAGATGTGGACATGGTGCCGAGGGAGAAGTTGGAGGGGATAGGCATGGAGTATACGCATCTCCTGACTAGCCAACTTGAGTCTCAGAGAGTGTACTTTGAGGAATTGGTGGGCAAGGCGGTTGCGAAAGCTAGTGCGGCGTCGAGTGCTGCTGCGGGTGCTTCGCAGAGAGCCGATGAGGCGATCTCCAAACTTGGGCAGCTGGAGAAGGAGAACAGCGAGTTGAGAGGGGTAGTTAAAGGTCTAGAACGGGATTTAGAGAAGGAGAGGAAGAAGGGCGAGAGGAGCGCGGAGGTTGCGAGGGGCTTTGGGCGCAGCTTGATGGAGGAAAAGAGGGTTGGCGAGGGGTTGATGGAACGCATTGGCTTCCTGAATGGCAATGTGGAGAAGATTACCGGGGAATTGGAGAAGGTCAAGATGGAGAATGCGGAGTTGAAGGAGGAGAATAGGGATCTGCTGTTTAGTATTAGCGCCCAGCAGAAGCTGGCCGAGATGGGGGAGGGAGAGGGGATCGAGAAAGGGGAGTTGGAAGGTGGGAGTCTGAGTTTGCCGCCTGAGAAGGAGAAGAAGAGGGGTAAGGGGAAGGGGAGAGGGAAATGATGTTTGTGTTGGTGTCTGAGTATGGGCATTGGGACGGCGTTAGGTGTGGGCTGCATAGGATGGAGGGGTATACCCAAGGCATTTGGGTCTAGCATGGTCGATGAAGGCGACGTCTTTTCTGAGCTACTCGCTTACACGACTCTTCTTCTAAATCGAAAATCGAGTCAAGTTGTGGAACTCTCAGACTTTGCATAAGAGCTGCATATCTAAATGCTTTGCAAGCAACGGCACATTTTATTTGTTCTTCTCAAGGTCTTAGAAGTTGGTACTATACACATTCAACTCCTTTCCCTCAAAGTTTTCGCACCATCGATTTCGTTCTTCTCGTTGTCCCTCTCTTCTTCTCATTGCTCCAGAAATTGTGGTGGGTTCTGATCCTCGCTCACGAAAATGGATTTATGTTCTGATAAAGACAAGGTTAGCAGGAGCTTGCATTCAAGAACTGCCGTACAATTTTGATCATGAGAAGGAAGATTTTCATGCTTCGATAGGGGAAGGTTCTCGCGGGACTCGGATGCGTAAACTGTCAAACGAGCTGTTGGGAAGGACTATTCCGTGATTTATAAATTTGGGGAGGACTTAATGTAAGATTACCACCATTTCTGAGAGAGTACCTCCGCTTTGCTTCAACGTTCACATTTATTTTTGGGGTTTTTTTGGGACGCGTGTATGAAAGTCCCAGCAGCCTTGATTTAATATGGCAAGACGAGAATAACTCGAACTTTGGGAGCATCGCGCCCAGGCGCATTGTTTCATTCCCAAGTGGAACATTGGAGAAGATTCTTGTAACTAAATTTGATACATTAAAGTAGCTACTCAACACCTATTCTGCTCTACTTATTGCGCACACAACTCACCTACCTTTCCCTTCTTCCTGTACTTATTTATATCGACCCCTCGCGCAACGCTCGCCTCGCTTAAGAAGCAGAAGATGTTTAGTCTGGTGGATTGGGATGTGGAGGTGAGTGATCTGGAGAGAAGCAAATTTTTGAACATCAACTAATAGGAAATAGAAAATAGAAAGTTGGGGATAATGACTATGAGCCGATGCATAAGCCGGAAGATTCGGACTATAGAGACGTTGATGATGCCAAGGAGCAGGCAAAGGCTGCAGAAGGTTTGGTTTTCTGACCCATTTGAAAAGCTTCTTCTTCGAATGTTCGTTCGATTCATGGGTCATTCAAACTTTCGCCACTTCTCAATGTTCCCTTGATTTGCCGAACATTTCAAAATTCACTAAAGTCTAGTTAAATGTATCTCCTTGAATGAGGACAATGCAAACCCTCATGTCGGAAGTTCACTTTGACATTGACAAACAAGACTCAATGTACCAGGTTCTCAAGTACAATAAGAAAGACGGGAGATCCTACGTGGCGGAGGCATGCAACTTTGTTGTACCGGATTAGTCATGAACAATGGGGAGAAGAAGGGGATGATTGTACAATAGAAAGTTGGAACAATGGGGCAGAAGAGGGAATGGATGTACCATAAGAAGGCTGGGACATTGAGAGAGCGAAGAGGGGCGATTGTACCAATGCAAACTGGGACATTAGGAGATTGAGTGGGAGACTGTTCTCCATGATAGGGGAAAATGAAACAAAGCCAAAGGCTTCAATAGTATCTCACCGATTGAGAAATTAGCTCGGCCAGATTGTTCAGCACAGAAGCTGAGCTCTTCTCCTCAGCGACACTCGTACCTGAGCCTCTCAAACCCCAAGAAAAGGCCTTCTTGCCCTGAAAAAGCAACTGCTCGCGAGCTTATGTCCCAATTCGGCCGACGAAGGCGGCGACGGCTGAGCCAGCTCACCACATCGCAGACGTGCACCCCACACACTAATCATTTAAGCATGAAGCCCACCTCAGAAATGCATCGCTGCGCCGTCGTGTCCTCGTATTCACCGCCGCCGCTCCTTCAGCTAGCCTTTTTGCCCTCTCTCGTGATCACCAGTGCACTCACTCAGCCTCAAACAATCTCGAACTCGAGAGGATGAACACGCTGGCTTATTCTGTTCTTATTCGCAGGATCGTGGGGTGTTCTGGATGTGAGGATGTGCTGTGGGGATCACCGAGTAGGAAAAATTTGTTCTGTGCAAGGGCGGAGATTGTGGTGCAGAGGCTCTGGATTGGCTGGCGTTGTTGAGCCAAATTTTTGGATTAGCCGAGGAAAAGGGGCTGAGGAGGCTGGATGGATGCGTGAGGGCTTGACTTCGCCTCCTTTTGCGACTAGGCTCTTTGGGAGGCTAAACTCGGTGCTGAATTAGAATTTAGGGTTGAGAGGATTTGAGGGGATGCGGGGATTGGTGGGAGAACGAGGACTCGGGATTCCGGCAATGGTGGGAGAGATAGTTAGGTCACATGACTCAAGTTCACGTGATTGAACGCCACACGATCGACTCAATTTCGATGCAAGGTAAACTTTTGAAGGTGGAAGTCACAGGAGTGAGTTTCAGGATGGCATAGAGAATTGTTGTAGACTTTTTGTTATTGGTAAAAGAGTGCGTATCTTCTGTCATGGTACAGCGCTATGTAAGGGGGCACTCCACCAGGCGATCCAGTTCATCCCAGATCAAGCCCATCCATGAAGAATCCCACCATTATGCTAATGCTCCTTCCCAAACGCCATCTTAATGCTCGAAAATGCAGACACATGATTTCCAGGGAGGCGTCCATATATGAACATCACATTATGTCCAACGCCCCAAAGACGCCGCCATCTTGTTCACATCTCCTGTGAAATGACAAAAGAAAGTCGTAATGCTCCTCCATAATTAGACATGATGGCTTAAATTTCGTTGTCCGCCCAAGAACCGTGAGAAGAGGTTGCCGCCCAAGCGTGCTTTCTTCGCGGGCTTTTCTTCGATGACTTCCCGCTCGATCTCGTAGGGTAGCATGCCGTGCTTGCCAGAATGTTGACCAGCGATCTGGACATGGACGATATCTCGGCCGGCGTGCGTGGGGCTATCGAGATATGGTGCTGGTACCCGGTTGCAGCTGTTCTCCAATTCCTCCACGTAGCTGCCGAGACTTGACTCTGGGGTGCCAGTCCTTGAAATCGAAGAGATGTAGGATGATGCTGACGAGGAGACAGTGGAAAGGGTGTCGCCAGTGCCGCTGCGTGCTAGGCCAGGGACATCTGTGGAGGCAGGCGGGGAGTCGTATCGTTGCCTTGATGCTTCGAGATAGTGACCGTCGTATGCCAGGTGCTTCTCTTGATAGGCCGGCATCCAGTATTGTTGAGCAGCGTCGTATTGGATCCGACGAGCTTCGTCCGCCAACAATTGTCTTTGCTCCTTTTGCGCCCGCTTTCTGGCCTCCGCCTCTCGTGCTGCTTGCTCTGCTTGCTCGATCTCCTGTCGGATGGGTGCTAGGAAGGGGTCGAGGTGGGTGTAGAGATCGTCTTCGCTAATGTTGAGATCCCAATCGAGGAGGAACAGGAGTTGCTTCTCCATCAGATTGACCTCGGTCCTTGAAAAGCCAAATGGTTCGTAACCTCGAACATTCGAGTACTCAGCCCAGTGCTTGTTCTTTGGCGAGGAGTCATTGAGGAATTTTGCGGAAAGGATCAAAGCTGCGAGGAAGATTCTGTGGACAGTGCACCTCAAGCCCTTGGCAACAGGAGGTAATCGTTGCTTCAATCGCTCGAGGTAGACCAAAGTCGTCATCAGAGTCGGTACTTGAACATTTGACTTCCGTACCAGCGAGCTAATGAAGCGTTCAAGAGAAGGTAGGTTAGTTTGAGGTTCTGAAGAGTCGTGTGGAGGTGTTTGCGGTGGTGAAGGAGGAAGTCGACTCGATTGATGGGTTGTGGGTTCGCACTGGATAACTTCTTGTGCCTTTTGGGCAAGATACGCAACCATCGAAGTGCTGACGGGCATGTAGATGAAGTGCTCGAGGGCAGCCTCGTTCAAGGCTCTGGAGGGAGACATGACTGTATGTTGTCGAGGATGGTGTTGATGCAAGAGTAAGATGAAGGCTTGTTGTTTGAAGATCGGAGAAGGTTGGTCGAAACAAAAGAAGAGCAAAATTAATAATGGGTATTGTATAAATCGTAAATTTCTTGCGGTATTGTCTTCTTCCTATTGTATAGAGGCGTTGTATTAGGCCCGTCGACTATTGTTGCTGGCGAAGCGAGGCTGAGGAAAGGCTGTGAAAGGAGGCGGCGCAAGGGTGGTGGGGCGGCAGAACAAGACACCCTGCAATAGTGAATTCGCTGGCAGGGCTCGAGCTCAGGAACACGAATCCAATGATGATGGATCTCGGAGGGGTGACGAGGAGTGTCGTGGACGCTTTCCGGCCAGCGGGAAGCTTGAGATGCCAAAGGCCAAAAGCCAAATTATATGTGCCTGACGAGGTGTTGTTGGCGCAGCACACAAACAGTCATGCAGCGGCGAGGTTGACGAATGTGAGCGGCCGAAGCGATGCAGCGTGCAAGTGCGAGCAGCTGCTAGTCGAGCGTCGGGCTGGGGAAGGGATGGGGGATGCAGGATTCTTTTAACAATGCCGCCTCGCTAACAGCCTGGAGGATTTGCCCGGGCGATGTGCTGACGCTGAAATTATTCGATCAGATGAGGATCACCAAAGCGGCCGAGTACAGACTTCCTGTCGAGTTGATAGGAGGCGATGCAGCTCACGGGTGTTTTTCGTGGGGACGCACAGACTGAGGGCGATGGCGTTTTGACAGTTCGTCTGTTCCGCGTTCAAAAGGAGGGGCCGGGCCTGAGTGTTTCGTTTCGAGGGCGTCGAAGGTAATGTACTCCTGAACCAGGAGAGGAGAACGTGTGATGGACCGGCACCGGGATCTGACAACAGCCTGCTCGAAGTCGAGATCGGGGGTGGGGGGGAGATGGCGAGGATGAGGATGAGGATGGGCGAGGAGGTTGGTGTAGCTGCAATGTAGTAATCTACCAACCTCGAAATGAGGGCTTGATGGTGGTTATATGTATTCGAGTACAAAAAGGCACCGGTATGGGGTTGGGCCAGTAGGGCGTCGGCGGCGGTCTCTGTCTGGGCGGGATGAGGATTGACAGGCTGGTGGATGCCAGGAGTAACTGCTACTACTCTAACTTAATTGTTTTCTAACACGCTCTGCACACTCTAGCTTTGCCTGGCCAGGAGCGATTATTTTCGTTCTCCAGTAAGGAATTTGGGGACTCTCGAGGCGATGGTTGGCCCTCGATGGATGGCGGTCGATGGCTGGGCAAATAGAGGTGCGCTATGCCCCCTAGGCGCTGGAAAGGAATGCTGACCGTCAAACCCCTCGTTCCAAAAGCAGCCAAGGATGCTGGATGAGTTTCAGCCCGCCGCGCAGGGGTCGACGGGGTCGAAGGGGTTGAAGGGGGCAAGGGATGCAGATGATCGCCAGGCGAGGGACCAGAAGGGAGGGCAGGGAGGGAGGGCGGCGTGATTGATTTGTCTGCAAGGCGTGGCGCTGGTGTGTGGCCCTGTGGCACTGGAGATGCGTGCTCGAGCGAAGTGCTTTGTACTGTACCTCTCTCTCTTGCCTCCGGCAGTCGTGGTCGAGTCGTCCTCGAGCCGTCCTTGACTCCTCCTGCGGCGCGCGCGGTGTTTCCAGACCTTCGTTTCTCCTGCTGGACTCGACCTCCCTGTGGCCCCGTCGTTCGTCCGTTGCGTCTCCTGTCGAATCTGAGTCTTCCGCTAGCTCCAATAGCAGGACCGCGATGCAAGGCCGCGAGGATCGTGAAACCAGGAACAAGCGGACTTCTCGCATGCAATATCTCGTGTCTGGCCAGGAGCGTCGCGATGTGCGTGCAAGAGCACGACGGACCGAGATATGTGCAGAGTCGGGGATACCGTGGATAAATCAATGTTCCGTGGTGATGAAAGGGGGAACGGGAGGAAGCTCTACGAGTAATGTATGCACTTATGCACCGGCGAGGAGGTTGGTATATCGCCGCCAGTTATTATTCCCACATAAAGGATGGGGATGACTGTCGGTGCAGAACAAGAGGGTGTGGAGTAAAGGGCATCAACGGGGCTGGATGAGTTGTCCTTTTGCAGCAGCTGCTAGTTAGCTGGCGGTGAATGGGAGCTCTCCCGTGGTCATCCCTCTCTGCCAGCGATCACGCATCTTGATGTTCCTTGCACGATGGCCGGGTCAGTCGCTGGAATGGCGACACATGATTGAGGGTGTTGATGATCGCTCCCCGCCTCCCGGGCCAAGCGTCGGCGAGTCGAGCATCATGCGTTTTGGCGAGATGCTCGGAGATGGCTGGGGAGGGTTGGCCACCTGATATTACGACGCGTGAGAGGCTTTGCAGCCCACACACCAGCACAGCAAATCTTGGACATTTAAACTTCGCCATTCTGCTGAGTTTGATGGCGCGGCCTGATTGGCATTGGTCCAATTTCACGCATCTGCCACCCGTGAAGTCGGTGGCACGGTGGCCAGCCCGGCGATCTCAGCAGCGCACCTTATTTCCCCTTTCCCCTTTCCTTCTCTTCCTCCTACTTCCGCAGCTGAAGATCTCCACCTGTTGGGCTCGTCCGGGTTGCGGCACTCGGCATCGACGAGCACCAGCAGTCTTGTCTCTAACTAGATGACTAAGGAGGGGTGGCTGAGAGAGGAAGAGAATGCAGCAAGGAATCGTCAGGCACCTGGCGGGGTTTTCATTGAGCGTCTTCGCCATCTGCGTTTGAAACACCGGAGGAGCCCGCGCTTTAAGTGGCCCCCCCTTTATATTGAATGCCCCTCCAGCCGGTGCCACGCAACATCGAGAGTTCCATCTTCGCTGAGGCCTCGAGACATGCGGCTGATCTACCTTCCAAAACCATCTGACAGTGGGAGGCACTCACGATACACACTCCCTCATTCGTCGAGACGGCCTCTCAAATCGACTTCATGGAACATCCCCAATCTCCTTGAGTGTTTGGAGCCCATCGGAAAATGGCCTTGAGCTTGCAAGCTGTGGCTGTGCTCGACATTTCTTTTCTTCAGCACCAAAAGACCGCGAGAATTGCCTGGCGCTGCGCCAGGGGCGGTCTCTCCGGCCGAGGCCCAGCAGCGCTTGTATCATCGTGAACTCTCGCGGCAGCTCGAACTTCTCCCATGTTCCGCTGAAGTCCTTCAAACATCAACGTTTCTACCATGCCCTCCAAATGATACGTACCTCTCTCTTCAAGGCATGGCGAGCGAAACGCTGAAGGAATGGCGGTTACCTGCCTGGGCGGCTGTCGCAGCCCGCGCGTCTGGAAACCCCGTTCGAGCAAGCGCTCGCGGGTTGCTATTTCTATATTTGGCTCCCAATGAAGCGCATGAAAATCTACCAACATTTCACTTATTAATATCTCATCGTGCAACCTCTCGCGTCACTTGAAGAGACGCCGGAGCTGGAGGCACAGTTTGCATCCTGCAATGCGAAGGTCTTGAATTGTTGTTGTTTCCGCTCGTGGGTTTGTTTGGAAAGTTGTCCTTGCAGAGCTTCGTGGGATCTCCAGTCAAGCTTCCACGGGGCGCAGCATCTTCCAGAATGCCATTCGGCATCTTACCGTCATCACGGTCCTCACCGATACCAACATTAGAGATGTCTCAGTTATTTCCGACCATTCACCTCCACAGTTCTCACTGACAGATCCTCTGCAGAAGCTTGGAATATTCTTCAATGCTACTCACACACTCGCAGGATATCCTTCAATCCCACCTCCTCCTCGATCCTGCCTAGATTGCACCCATACAGCGCATCTAAGTATTTCCGGCATCCCACTCAAGCAATTCCTCTTCCCCACACCATCGGAAACCGGCTCTCATCCCTTGTGGCCTGCTTCCCCAACTTATTAATATCTAGCAAACAGGTCGTAACTATAATATAGGCAGGTGTAGGTCTACCTCCATATGCTCGAGTCAAATCAAGCTCCACAGTTCTTCCCTATTAAATCTTGTACATAGATATCCAATAAAAATCCTTCCACCCACAGCAAGATCTAAATAGACAACGCAATAACCTTCCCCCCATCCCCACGGGCCCAATCTCTCCGCTCCGTTCCGTCAAACAACAGCCAAGACCCACCAAGCATCACCGCATTACCGCATTACCCATTCCCTCACAAATCCCTTTGCAATGCGGCCCGTCCAGCACGTTTGTTCGTGCCGAGGATTCTCATGCACTGCAGCAATATATTTGCGAGACGAAGGACAGGAGGGAAGGCACGGATCCAGCGGCCGTTACACCCGAATTGGTATTTCTAGCCGTTCAATCAATAAGCTCATTTATGCAAGGAGAGACGCGTGGGGTCTCCGTTGGTCGACAAACCGAGCGCAGGATGGACCCCGACCCGACGTTCTGGATACGCTGACTGTGACACCCACGGTTGGGTATGCGGATGAACATGCAGTGAGCACTCTGGGAAGGAAGGAGCTTGCTTAGGTGCATGTGGGGCGGACCGCAAATAACCTGGGGGAGTATTGGTTCGATTCCTGCGAAAATTGTGATATGCAAGATACATGTACTTTTTTTGCCTTACTTGGACGTTGGGAAGTATGGAATGGGAAATATTGATTGATCCCTTGGTTGACAGGTACATGTTTGAGGGTTCCTTGATCCAAGAAGATGTGAGACAAGTAAGCGACTTTGTTCAGTCGGTGGTAATAATATTCCTCAATCAGTATGAAGTGATGCGAAACTTCAATGGGTATCCAAATCCAACACCACCTGGAACCCTCCACATCTCCCCTTGGTATCAATTTAAATACATCGAAAGAATTCCTTGTTCCACCTCTATCATCAGCGATGTGATATTTCGTCTCTCACTGATCACTCATCTTCATCCCAGCCTCCCTGCTCCATCAAGAACCCCATGACTCTGTCTCGGAGGCTCTTGAGCTCGTTGCCAAGGGAGGAGCTCCACTGCTCTTCGACGCATCTAACACGCTCCTTCAAATCATCTGTAAGTCTAACCTCCTCGTCATTCTCCACCTCCTTCAGCTCCCGGACTACCTCCTTCTCATCTTCCCCCTGCACAATCCGCTGCGTGCGCATCAATCTGCAATTCGCCAGCGTGACCCCGCTCTTTACTTCATGCAGTAAGCACAGTAAATTCGTTTGGCTCTCAATAAATTGATACGTGCTCTTCTCGCAGTGCTCTAGCAGGCTTTGCAAATACTGCATCGGGAAGACTTGATAGCTTGGATTCTCCTCGTATTCTGACGCCGGAATCTGGATCTTGAAGTTCGTTAAATCTTTCGGGATCTGCTCCGTGATGCGTGAGAGTGAGGGTGCGATGTCCCAGAATGCTGAGAGTTGGACTTCGACGCCGCGCTTGACGTTCTCTTCGATGATGTCCATGAATTCTTCTGTGCGTTTTAGGACTTCCTGCTCGAAGGCGAGTTTTCGTTTCGATGCGTCTTCTGTGAAGAATGTCTCGGCGTTGCGGATTTTCTCTTCGTTCTTTGCGAGGCGGTAGGGTGTGATGACCATGTCTCTGTATCGGTTGTTTCTGTCGGACAACAGATCAAAAAGCTCTCGGTGGAGCTGCTCGCGAGCTTCGAATATCCATTTGAGCAGGGTTAATTTTTCGAGAAGCTCGGGTTGCTCGTCGCCTTCCTCTTGCGTCAGGTTGGGGCTTTGCTCCTGTGCGTCAACGAAGAGTTGACTCCGTAACGTAGTGAAAAGTTCTGTTGAGCGAGCCACTCGGTCCATGAGTAGGTCATTGAGCGGGATGACGACCTCTTTCTGGAAGAGCTCAAAATCGACCTTGCAAGCTTCCTTCTCCTTTTCTTGGGCAGCAGTTACAGCAGTTGCCTCAATTTTTGCAGCCTCCGCGAAGGATATCTTCCCCGACTCGATTTCTCGTTGGATGTTCAAGCGCAGAGAGTTCCGGCGTTTGGAGGCTTCGGTTGCTAGATCGTCTTGAATTTGCAGACTGGTATTTCGGAAGTGGGATTTGGTAGCTTCAACTTCGGTAAAGTCAGAGAGAACACGGACGATGGTGCGAATAGAGGTAAGGTCGGGATGATTGTTATTGACTGCCGGGTGGTGACGGGGATAAGGTGGGGGAAGGGTGACGAGGCGTGACACATCTAGATGATTTGGATTTGGAGTAATGGGGGTCGCTGGATATGGGGTTTGAGACTTCGAAGGAGTTTGTTGCAGTGCTGGAGACGATACATCTTGTTCATGTAGCCCAACTTTCTCTGGGGGGTATTCGTTCGGCCCGTAAACATGCTTTTGGCTTGGTCCAGCTGCGTCGGGGCTCGTCATATTTCCATTAGTCTGTGGATCCCCATTCTCGTACTGCAACGCTTCTCGCAATTCTCGTGGCATGCCCATGTATTTGGACTCGCGCTTGGATCGTTCTAACCTCTGTGAACCGGCGCCGTCTGAGCGTCCTTCCTGGCTGACCTCCCACCATCTGCTTGATGGCCTGCCCCTGGAATCCGACCCATCAAGTGCTTCACTCACGCTCATGCTTGGGATCGGCGACAGAGATGGCATGTAGCCAGACCACCATGTAGAATCGGGCCGTGCGAGTGCCGGCGATGCTGGACCAGAGCTGGAAGACCGCTCAGTGTTGAATTGTGGCTGCTCATGCAAAGCTGCTGTCAAAGAACCCCGATGAGATCTCTGTCCAGGTATTCCAGGAGATTTGGGTCCAATTGACGAGTCAGGAGTCCAGCCACTTGAGCGTGATACACTTGATTCCCTACGAGGCTGGTTGTAAGGTCGAAACAGGTCACGAGTCAGCTCCAAAATCTCGGATCCCATTGCATCGATAGCACCAGCATATTTGTCTCTCCGGATGCGGGACTCGGTGACAATAAAGTCAGCAAATATGCGAACTCGTTCGCTGTCAGTCGTAGCAGCAGCTTCCTTCTGTGCAAAGGTTTTATGCCGCTCAATAGCATTACGAGCGAACTGCTCCGTTGGAGAAACCTGGGAGATTAGGCTCGTGCCAGATTGACGTGATCCGGGTCTGGATGGGACTAGTGGCGGGGGTCCTCCTATTGACTCGTTGTTGAGGATATACAACTGGCTTAGGGGAGGGCGGCCAGGAGAACCGAGTGACATCCGACTCTGAGGAGGCGTTGGCAGAGCTTTAGGGGGTATTGCAGGTGAACTTTCACTGAGAGCAGCTTTTAGCTGTGCCGGGGAGAATGGTGGCGTTGGAGCTTCAGGCCGATTGGACGAGTGAGGTGGACGAGGTGTAGATCCGCGTGAGCTAGAGTCTTTCCTTGCTTGTATGGGAGTTGGGTGCTGAGAGATATCTCCAGACTGCGGCGTCTCGACCTGATTGGACCTTGCACTTCTGGGCGTCGATTTCGTAATAGTTGGTCGGCGGCTGAGTATAGTGGAAGGGACAACAATATCTGAAGGAGTAATAGCCTCAGCCCAGGGGTTATTTGACGGCTCTTCCAGGGCAACTGCACTTCTCCTCGTCTTGCTTTCCGTCCTTCTTTCCCGAATGCTCTTCGGCTCGCCTCGGACCGCATGGGCTCTTGCCAAACCCGAAGAGCTAGATCCAGAGTTGGCCAAGTCAGAAGTAACTGTGCTCGAAGAGGCAGTTGACGTATCGATATGAAGTCCTTTGTTAGGTGACCTTCCTCGAATCGACATGTCCTCGTGACCGTCGACCCAACCAGCAGGAGTTGGTGGAACTGGACCTAAAGTTGAAAGTAAATGAGGAGGCCTTCTGGTTGGCGGCGATACCAGATGATCGTTCGTCCGGGTCATGCTCTGAGATCTTGATTGTGGGGGTGGGCCTGGCGGAGGGGGAGGTAGTGGCATTCCTGGTTCCCATCGTGTTGTTGAAGAGCCCCGTGACCGTGAGGATGAGGGTGTACTGATTGCCCCAGTAGATGCAGCTCTCCGCGAGGCTGGCGGGCGAGAACCTGCATTAGATGGCTGGTCTTCCTCAGATGAGGAAGGTGCTTCAATAGATGTCGGGATAGGCCACCGTACAGCTGGGGGAGGGAGATTTTCTCTGCTAGGCTGGGGGGAAAGCCGTGCGGGCTCTTGTGCTGTCCTTCTGGGAAATGTAGAAATGTTAAATATGGATGGTGGTCTATCGTTGGAGCCTGCACGGGTCCGTTGAGGAGGCGGAGGGGGAAATGTGGGGTTTGACACGGGTTCGGGGGATGACCTGTATTGGTTGGCAGGCGAGACTCGAGTAGCAGGTGATATGCCAGAGAGGACCTCTTCATTAGAGATCATTGACGCCCGTTGACTTCGTGGTGGAGAGTATGGCGGCGGGGCAGGTGTCACGACTAGAAGATGATTAGCCTCTTCACATCTTGACAACCCAAGAAAATCATGTGCAATGAACATGAGTATATACAGAGGGGATAGTTCAAAATACCTTCTGTATCTTGAACCCTCCCTATGGAATGATGAGTTCCAGCATCTGAAGCAACAGCCGGCGAGTTCAGCCATTGCTGAGGATTGTAGGGCCGCGCAGCGCTGACTGGCGTGTAGGTCGAGGGATTGTACCCAAACGGCGCACTCAGAGCATTCGAGGAGATGGCCGAATTGGGCGTCTGGTGAACCTGTGGGGCGAGGCCAAGGGACGTCGTGAGAGGATTGAGCTCCAGTCGACGACGAGCTGCATCTCTCAAGGCGGACATGGTCGTGGCTTAAAATAGCCACAAAAGCCTATCTGGCGTAGCGACTTGTGCGGGGACGAAACAGCTCAAGCCCAACGAAGAGCTCTGGGCTGCGTCTTGCGGCGACGGCTTCGCCCCGAACTCATCTGGAGCCACTGAGCCAGAGAGTAAGGAAGAAGAAGTTGAGGCTCGTCGTGCAGAGATCTCGAAAAATGGAGGGGTCCGGCCGCCCTTATGGTCTCATCACAATCCATGCCTGCCTGCCTGCCCATGGCCGATGCCCATGCCCATGCCCATGCCCATGCCCGTGCTAGCAAAGAGTTGCCGCGAACGTGGAAGAAGTGCTGCAGCGCTCGCTGCAGTCTCCACCCGCGCACGGGCCAGGGTCTATATATGGGAGACCCCACGATTGGCCGTGCTACTGTGATGTGCAGGCGGGCCTTGTTGCGCACCCCGGCGCTGGCCAATGGGGCGCCTGGTGCGGTTAAGTTGCTCCCAAAATAAGCGCTGGACAGAAGCCTCTGTATGCACAACTCGCACGTTAAGGGGCCCGCTTGCACCACTTGAGCAGCGCCCATATTTAAGCTTTCCCACTGGGAGTGATAAAGTGTGATCACGATAAGATGCCCGTGGATGGAGACTTCCTTCGTCATGCGTGTGCAAGGCCGCAAGCCAGTGACGGCTGTCTAAATGTGGACGATGGGCGGTGGAGTGTGGAAGTGGAAGTGGAAGTGTTCGACGCAGGCTCCACCGCCGTACCGCCGGACACCCACGGCGTTGAGGTACCCGAGATTTCAATATCGCCATGCAGCCAGCCTTTCGGCATTTCCAAACAACGTCGCGGGACTGCATCAGGTGCCAGGTAGCCCTGCCTCGATGCTGCGCGGGTCTGGCCTGTATAGTTTTCGCAGCATGAAGTTGTAAAGTGCTGAAGTAGATCTCGAGGATACTAACGAGGGAACGTCGAATCCGAATCACACTACAGTAAGGTACGTGATGGTCGTTGGCGAGCGGCGAGCCAAACCAAAATAGAACACGGTACTGTACAGTAGTACTGTCACCTCACCCCATGGCTACATATTCCCAGAATAGCGGACGGACCGAGGATGGCTTGCCGGCCGGAAATTCTTTCCGCCTTCTGTAAAGCCACCTGCTCGCCGGAGGCACAGTTGTTTCCAGGACCACGGTCAAGCTCAAATTCCAAACATGGAAGTCCACAATAATAATAATCAAAGACATTTCAATCCAAAACAGACAGGCCAGGTGAGGCTCGAGATGATGTGGCTGCGGCGTTGGAAAATCCGAGAATAGCTTTCAATTATGACGCCCGAACTCACGGGTTGTGACGCTCCTCAACGCTATCTATACAGGTTGCTGAGAATGAGCGACTCCAAACGAGAAACATTTCCAATCGTGCAAGTCCGAAGGGAGCTCGATGACCATATGCTGACGGATCCATCAGACCACGCAAGCCGATTCCAAATCTGAGTCTCATATCATCGTAGGTCTAGGAGTCCGCGAGCTTCACTCAGACCTCTCACTGTGGCCCAGTGCTCCCCACGCCACTGTGCCTCATTCTCCGTTTCAATCCGTAGACAGTTCAATCTGCCTTGTTCCCACTTCCAGAGCTTTCTCCCGAACCAGAGTATGAAAATTCGTCCGGCAGATCCATTCCTACTCTCCTGGCGGTCAGGCGTACTCTTTCCTCTTCATCCATGCCCATGCCCGGGTTGTATCTTTCTAACAGCGTTGCATACATCCTTTGTGCCTTGACGTACTGAAGGAACTGCTCTGCTTGTTCGATTGGAGTTTTTGACTCCGAGACGATTGTGCTTCGGATGCGAGCTTGTAGAGGTGATCGAGACTTTTCTGACAGCGGACGAGAGGGCAATTCGCGTAGAAATGCCCGGTAGAGGGACCGGAGCTTCGTAGGTGTAGCCATTGTACGGTTAGAGTGGGCACAGCGATGGTTGTTGCGGAGGCGCTCATGCGATGAAGCGTGGAGTTTGACGCGATTTCTTGAAGTTTGGGATCGGCGAAAACAATGTCCGACATTTTGTTCGTAAATTCAGCCTCGCTCAAAATTTCCACTTCACTTTGAGCATAACGGACTCCAGAGCATCTGTGCATTGTGCATGATCCGCTCGATGTCTTTGAAGCTGCAATCATGTCTTCATACACGAAATACTCGTGCTGGGTTGTCAATGCTCAGCTTTCGGTCCCTTTCCAGCCATGCTGCCTCTAATCGATTCCACCAACAGCCACCGAAATCACCAACAGTTCGAGCATTCCCTACCTCGGCGCTATCATACCATTGGGACACACTGCCGCCGACTCTAGCTCAACTGAGCCATGCTGCAAAGTTCTTCAAACTGCAACCTCCAACGTTCTTGTGGTCTGCTGAAAAATTCAAGACCATGGACTTCGGCAACAGCCCCGAGGTTTGCTTCCTCGGACGATCGAATGCGGGAAAGTCATCACTTCTGAACGCTCTTCTATGTAAGAATATAGCACACACAAGTTCGAAGCCTGGCCGAACAAGACTTATGAATGCCTTTGCGGTTGGCGGTGCCGAGGACAATGGAAAGAATAGGCTAGTCGTATTGGACATGCCTGGATACGGCAAGGGAGGGAGAGCAGAATGGGGTACACAGATTATGAAATATCTGGAAAAGAGGAAAGAGCTGAAAGGAACATTCTTGCTTGTTGATGCGGAGCATGGCATAAAGAAGAGTGATCAACAGCTTCTGGCTATGATCAAGGATATCGGCATACCATATCAAGTCATTCTGTCCAAGGCAGACAAAATCGTCTTTCCAGGAAGTAGGACGCCGAGTTCTCAAGCATTGGAGATAAGACTTACGGAGCTGAGAAGGACCATGGAAAGTGTGAAGGAGGCAGTTCAACCAAATTCAGAGGATGATGGAGGAGCGGTTGGAGAGGTCGTTGCCTGCAGTTCTGAGAAATGGATTGAAGGAAAAAGAATGGGCATTGATGAAGTCAGATTTGCTATGCTTCGAGCCGCTGGATTGGAATATCGGCCCAATGTCCCCTTGGCGAGACCAGTGGAAATTGTACCCCATGAGGAGATTTTTGGTTACGGTTGAGGGAAGAATGCTGCAGCAATTAAAGACGTTGGTTGATTTGCAAAGAGAGTATCAAGGAGGACTGTGAGAGACAGGAGAGTGCTTCTGAGGCGGGGCTCGCAGTGGACAAAAAAAAAGCGGCATCAATTGTCAATGTTCTCAATCAAAGTTGGACATTCACCTAAACCCGGAAGGGCGTCGGACTTTGAATCCCTAGAATCTTGAGATATTCAAAGGGGATAGGCTTTGAACGTACAAGGATACAAGGGAACATTTGGAGAGGATTTGTCTGGCTTGACTTGGGGCGTTGAAATTCCACAGCCCAGTCCCGCTTTCCTTCGCCACCACGAGGCAGGCAATGAACTCCAAGGACTAGAACTTGGGGCCGGTCACTCCGGGCTTGACCCTGAAAGAATCATCAGTCGCCACTAATGGAAACTCTGAATCATGGAGGGTGCCAGCAATATTCATGTATTCAAGAAGAAAATTAGAAGGGGAATAGAAATCTCAACAGCAAATATTGCCACTGCAACAGCAACTAAACAATTCCAACAAATAAAGATGTAGTTCAGATTAAGGTATCGAGAATCCTTGCACGTGACGTGGCTATTCTGGGCACGCAGGCACTTCGTCATCCGCCCAAACTTTGGCCACTCGAGCTGTTGTCCGGTCCGAGCATCCTTTGTCCTGTCGCATAATCCACAACGAGAAGATGTTCTGCTGAGCCCGACAACCATCATTGAAACACTCTTTTTCCACCTGCGTTCCCGTCTCTAATTCTCCCTCCTTCTTCTTCTTCTCAATCCAGCGACTGCAGGGCCACCGGTTCGTCTTCCTGCAATCTCAACCGCTGAGGCTAGACGACGCCTCCTGCCACCGCATCTCCACCCTACTCTGCAGTCGTAGGAGTCGCACCTTCACGCCTGGAGCGATTCAAAGTCGCAGGGAAGCTTGGTAATTGGCCAAGACGTCAACTTTGGCCTTCTCCTTCTATCTCACCATAATCGCCGCCCGAGTCTCGCTTCGCAATCATGTCGAAGGTCATAAGAAGCGTTAAAAATGTCACGAAAGGATACTCCAGCGTCCAGGTCAAGGTCCGGAACGGTACGGCTGATGTTCTCTGATGGAGGAGTTCTTTCTGACTTTAAATAGCGACCAGCAATGATCCATGGGGACCTACGGGAACGGAAATGAGCGAAATCGCTCAGATGACATTTAATTCGTACGCACTATTCACTACAGGCTGGACAAATCTGACATGTGGTCTACAGATCGAACGAATTCTATGAGATAATGGATATGTTGGACAAGCGACTGAACGATAAAGGAAAGAACTGGAGACACGTATTGAAGGCGCTTAAGGTCCTGGATTACTGCCTCCACGAGGGTTCGGAACTAGTTGTGACATGGGCGCATAAGAATTTCTTCATCATCAAGACATTGAGGGAATTTCAGTACATCGATGAGAGTGATCGAGACGTTGGACAGAATGGTAAGAAGGGTTAGATCGGCTTTCTAGACGCCTTGGCTAACAGTGTTATTAGTTCGGGTTTCCGCAAAGGAATTAACTGCGTTGATTCTAGATGAGGAAAGGCTACGAGCAGAACGTAGTGACCGCAAGACATGGAAATCGAGAGTCACTGGCATAGAAGAATTCGGCCCAACTCATGAGCAACCTCAGCGCCGCAACACAAAACCTCACCGTGCACAGCGAGCGAACGAGGAAGATGCCGAGTATAAATTAGCGATTGAGGCTAGCAAGTACCAGGAGGAAGAAGACCGAAAGAAGCGTCAAAGTCGGAATGGGGAGCCAGAGGACGATGACCTCGCAAAAGCCATCAAGCTAAGTAAGGAAGAGGAAGAGCTTCGAAGAAGGGAATTAGAAGAGCAGAATGCCCACTCTCTGTTCGATGACGACCCTATCCAAACTGTGCAACCTACCGGTGGCTTCAACCAAGGATACCAGCAACAGCCACAAGTGGACTGGGCAGGCAACCCGATTGACCAAACCATGCAGCAGCAGCAACAACAACAAACGGGCTACATGGGGAACATGTATACAGGCTTCCAGAACCAGTCGACTGGCTATCAGAATGGATTCTCGAATGGACTTGGAACGCAAAACGGCTTTGATCCTTATGGCCAACAGCAGATGCAGCCGCAGCCACCACAGCAAACTGGCTTCAATCCTTATGGCCAGCAGAATGCCTTCTCTCCTCAACCACAACCTGAACCATTGATCCAAGCCAATACGAACAATCCTTGGGCAACCAATAATCAGCAAGCACAAGCTATTAACTCCACACCAGCTGGCTCCAATAATCCCTTCGCACAATCGTTTGGCCGACCTCAAACAACCTCAGCTGTGCAATCAAAGCCAACACTGGCTACACTTCAAGAGCAACAGACAGCCACTTTTAACAACACTCCTTCATACAATCCTATCACTTCTTTCACACCTCCGCCCAAAGAACAAGACCCCCACACTGCCAGACTCAACGCTCTCCTTTCGTCAGGTGAAGGCATGGATACCTTTGGCAACACTGGTAACCTCCGCATTCCGGCCCAACACACCGCCCCTGGAACTTTTGTCAACAGTGCAGGAGCAGGTCTGGGACGGCTCACGGAACAACAGACAGGCACGAATCCCTTCCTACAGAACCAGTATACGGGTATGCCCCAGACGTCATATGGCAACCAATCTGGTGCTTTTGGTGCTGGTCGACAGGTTCCAGCGGCAACAGGTCCGGCGGGCATGTCGAATGGATTTGGTGGTGGTTATGGTGCACAGTCAGGTAATCCTTTCGGGCAAAGACCTCAACAAGGATCAGGCGGACAGGATTTGATACAATTTTGAGCCCACACGATCACATGGAGTAGTGGTTCGAGAGATACACCTTCGTTCATTGCGGTTCGCTTGAGAGCTTTGGATTGCACAATTGTCTTTCTTAAAGCAGGCGTGCAAATGGTATTCTTTTTTACAGAAGCGGTCGATTGGCATGATAAGTCATTGCTGGATCAGGGCCAGGGGTTCTTTTCGTTGTCCTTCAGTTAGATTTGAGGTGACCAATTCACAACCGCATGGCACACGGATCAATGATCTTGAGCACTGAAGTGTGCCATAATTCACATATCCCTACATGTAATGCTCCGTCCAATCGCGCCTTGACTCCATCGCTTCCGTGACCCATAGAATTGCACTTGAACAGAAATCGCTCCCGGATTCGGCTGCGCCTCTTTCTACACCCTTAAGGATTCCAGAAAAGAAGTTACGTGAAGTGTGTCACCCCATGCAGATATTCACAAACTCCTCTCTTCCTACTCCCCCTTTCCCCTCCAAATCAAATTCCTCAATCATAGCCACCAATTCATCCTCTTCTAACCCCTCGCCGAGTTCCCTCGCCACCCTCCTCAAGTCCTCCAAACTGATGATGCCCTTATCCTCGGTATCAAACAGCGCAAACGCCCTCAGAATCTCATCCCTCGGATCCCGCTCACTAATCAGCTTCGCAGCAATCGTCTGGAATGCCTGAAGCGTGAGGACGAGTCGCCCAGGCGGTAGCTGCTCCTTTTGCTGTTGCTGTGTAAGAGGCTGTCTAATATTTGCAGGAGGGGGACCTGCCAGTTCAGTGTTTAGAGGGGGAGTGCCGTGGGTGTTGAGGAGGTCGAGGATTTGTGGTTTTGGGAGGTCGAAGCCCAACGCTTTGAGGGCGACTTTGAACTCGTGGTAGTCGATTCGCTGGTCTTTGTCTAGGTCGAAGAGGCCAAACTGATCTCTGTTAGCAATTGGATTTAAGAGTGGGAGGGGAAGGAAGGGAGGGCAAGAAGGCTCACGGCTTCATTTATCTCTTCTCGTTGCTCGTCCGTGATGTTGTGTATGGGTGCTGAAGGCCCTGCGCCTTGCGCCGCTTCTCGTTGCGCTCGCTCGCGCTCTTGTCGGTATAGTGCGTTTTCTCGACCTGAAGGGTGCGCAGAGGCGGAGAAGGCATTGGGTGCGTTGCGTTCGGGGAGTTTGCCATGCAGGGTGCTGGAGTAGGGGCGTGTGGGGAAGGAGGGGTGCGGTTGTGTCGTCGATGCCATTGAGTTTTTGAGGCCGTTTTCCTAATCGTAGAAGAACTGCGATTTTGTAATTGGCGGTTTAGGAAAACAGAGCAGTGTTTAATGTTGCTTAGAAGTGTATGCGATGTTTACAGTAGCACTGCACAAGGGTTGTTGGTGATGTATGCAGGTCCGAGGGATGGACGCGATTTTTCGCGCCTGCGTGATTTTGAAGGCGCTAGCGAGGAATGTGCTTGAGTAGGTGGCACAGGGGGTTTCCAGGGGTACTTGGCTTAGACGGGAACCTACAGATGCTAGTAAAAGCATGGCTTCGAGTCATTCAAATGTTTTTGCTTCTGGTTACTGAGGAGTTCCCTTCATGGCCCCAGCATCCACGCAAAAAGAGAAGAGAGAACAACCAACTATGCACAACCAATAGAAGCAAAGCGACCTGTGCCTCGTCCTCCTATGATCGAAGGCATCCGTCCCTGGTGCGTCAAAGTGTAGAAGATTTGTAATCCAATCGACACTTGGCCTCAACATCACTGCCATTTCAGCGGTCGACAGCTGAAGGTCTCCCAGCGCTCGTAAAAGGAGTCATACTGAGAAAGCCTTACACCACAAGTAGACAGAAGATGCGCTCATAACCAACCAAAACCCTCAGGCAGCAACCTGATCGTCTTCAGTGGCGCAGAGGAGTCTTGCAGTTGAGTTTGGATCATGCCGTGCTCTCCTCGGAGTCCTCCTCTCCACCAGTCACAGCCGCAAGAAATTGCTAGTGCGGTGAAATGCGCTTAGGCAGCAGTGCTGCAGGCGTATTTTTGGTCATTGACGAAAGTCACGAGCCCTGATTCGCCAAAGCTAAATTTGCCGCTAAGCGGGAGTGACTTTGAGAAAGCGAACCTGAGCTGAGCTTCACTCACCACGCGCCTTCCACCATAAAACTTCTGGCCGATCACGGCTTCCTCTTCTTCCTCCCAATACATCCACCCTCCCGACGCTGATGCTTCTCGTCACTCTTTAATCAATTCTAATGTTTGCGCCAGCTCGTCGTCTTTGAGCGCGATCGTTCTCCTTTTCTGTACCGCGTTCCGCGTAGTCTTTCAACCTTTCACATCGACCTCTCGCAATCTGCGATCCTAGCAGTGATCCAAGACTGCATCCTCTCTCATCTGCGCCATCTTCGCCATGTCGTTTGGCGGTGGATTCGGCGGCTTCGGCCAGAGCAATAATCAGCAACAGAACCCAGGCTTTGGTGGGTTTGGAGCGAGCAACAGTACGAACACAGGTATGTCCGATCCTCTTCTATCTTTCGAATGCACCCCTCCCTGCGATGTCCTATTCTGGGGACCTTAGGAGATCAGCGCGAACCCATCACTTACTCGAATCTTGTCTGCTCGGTACAGGGACAGGCTTTGGTTCTACAGCAAATACCGGCGGCTTTGGCAGCACAAATACAACCGGTGGTGGACTCTTCGGCAGTGGCTCTACTAGTTTTGGAAGCACTGGAGGTATGTCGATGATGCTCTCCTGCTCTGGAATCTTCTGCGGCCTCGATATCGCATGACGCTTTCTTAAATCTCAATGTCGATAAACAGCATGGCTTCCAAAGTTCTCCTTTTCCTTGCACGTATTCTTCGGTGGATCCTCGAATGACTAGACATGGATGGTCAACGTGGTACTCCAGCGCGATTATTATCTACTGGCAACTTTCCGGAAGACGCAACTGTCCTGAACCACTACTAACACGGCAAAATATTTAGGTGCCTTTGGCAGCAACACAACAAACAATGCTTTCGGGGCTGCTAAGCCAGCATTCGGTGCTGCTACTACAACAACTGGTAGTAGTCTATTTGGAGGAGGAACGGCCACGGCAGGTACATCGACCTTTGGGGGTGGTGGATTCGGGTCATCGACAGGAACTACATCATCTCCTTTTGGCGGCGGCACGAATACCGGAGGTGGGCTGTTCGGCTCGGCACCCAAGCCTGCTTTCGGAGGATCAACTACTTCGAATCCGTTCGGTGGTGGATCTACAAGCTCTCCATTCGGGGGCACGAGCACAACAGCATTTGGCTCACCAGCTTCTACCGCTCTGAGCACAGGTGTAGGCGAGTCTCCAGGCACTGGCAATGTTCCATTTCAAGCTTTCGTAGAAAAGGAGCCGAATAGCAGCACAAATCAGCAAAATGCTTTCCAAAGCATCTGCTTCCAGCAACCTTATCAGAAGTTCTCTCCTGAAGAGCTAAGATTAACGGACTACAACCAAGGTCGAAGATATGGTAATGCCAGCAATCAACCTGGAGCTTTCGGCACAAGCAATTTTGGGGGAGGATTTGGTACCACGACTGCAGGTACAACTGGAGGATTTGGAGCTGGTAGTACTGGTACAGGTTCGAGTTTATTTGGTGGAGGAGCAACAAGCTCACCGTTCGGTGGATCCCAGCCAGCCTCTACTGGCTTTGGTGGCGCTACGACATCAACCGGAGGTGGTCTATTCGGCGCAAAGCCAGTTACTGGTGGTCTATTTGGAGCACAGCCTTCAACACAACCATCCGGTGGTCTGTTTGGAAATACGGGAACCACAGCATTTGGCGGTACCGGGCCAACGAGCGGCTTCGGGACAAGCACAACCACCCCTGGATCGTCGCTCTTTGGAAACAACAATACGGCTAACAAGCCTGCCTTCAGCTTTGGAACCACGCAGCCAGCAGCTTCTAGCAGCACAGCATTTGGCGCTTCTACTACGACCGGTGGCTTTGGAGGTGGGGGTCTATTCGGCAGCAACGCCACCAACCAGCCCGCCAGTGGATTTGGAGCACAACCAGCTGCGAGCAATCCTTTCGGAGGTTTCGGCTCGAACACACAACAACAGACCGGGACATCTGGAGGACTCTTTGGCAATACTCAACAGAAGCCAGCGGGTGGACTCTTCGGCGCCGCTCCTGCAGCAACTGGCACCGGTGGTCTGTTTGGCAGTACGTCCACAACCAATACCAATCCCTTTAGTGGTTCCACCAATACTCAAAATACCGGAGGTCTGTTCGGCAACAAGCCAGCTACTACTGGTACGAGTCTGTTTGGTTCTACGAATCCCCAGAACAATACTGGTGGCGGTGGTCTCTTTTCTGGGTTTGGAAACCAGAACCAAAATCAACAGCAACAAAATACTGGCGGTCTCTTCGGTAGTCTAAACACTAATGCACAACAAAAGCCCTCTTTGTTTGGCTCTCAGCCACAACAGCAGACTGGCGGAGGTCTCTTTGGAAGTTCAGGAACTCAACAGCAACAGGGAGGTATGTTTGGCGGTCTCAACAACAACAATAATCAGCAACAACAGCAGCAGCAGCCCCAGAACTCGATGTTTGGCGGTAGTTCGATCTTCGGAGGCTCGCAACAAGGCCAGCAGAATACCCAGTCTCTCACGGCATCCATTGCCGATAACAACGCCTTTGGCTCGGCGTCCCTGTTTGCAGACTTGTCATCAGCTCAACTCAACAACCCAGGTCCCATTGCTACGCCACTCTCCAACAGCGTCAAGGCCAAGAAGGCTGCTGCCCTTCCGTTATACAAATTGAGCTCAGCGTCAGCCTCACGTTTTACTACTCCACAGAAGCGAGGTTTCGGCTTTTCCTACAGCAATTATGGAACTCCAGGCAGTGTTTCGAGCACATCCAGTACTCCTGGAGCTTTTAGTGGCAGTCTGTTGAGTGGCAGCAACTTCGGACGGACTCTCAACAAGAGCATGTCGACGAGCAGTCTCCGCCGAAGCTTCAGTACAGAAGACAGTATTCTTGCGCCAGGAGCCTTCTCGGCGAGCCCCAGTGCACGGCAATTCGGAAGCACTGGCAGCGTGAAGAAATTGACCATCAACAGAAGCATTCGCCAGGATCTCTTCACACCACCCAATGGTGCCCCAGCTCTACCGCCTGCATCTACTCCTGCCGGTGGCATTCTGAAGAAGCGCGTTTCATTTGATTCGAACACAAATGGCAATGGCCCCGCTAGTCCGCTTAAGCAGGTCAACAGTGCTACCCCGAATGCAGAAGACCTGGGCTACATCCGACCACGAAATGGTGTCAATGGTGCGAAGCCAAACGGTACCTCGACACCACCTGAGATGGAACAAGTGAACAATAACCAGCAGCTTGCCATTGTCAACGAGGAGGAGCCAGCCGCCCCTGTAGCCCCCAAGCCGCCATCTCAACCTGTCAGCCAGGAGGATCAACCGGCAGGAGAGTATTATATGAGACCTTCGAAAGAGGAAATCGAGAACATGAACCGCCAACAACGCTCGAAGGTCAGTAACTTCACCGTTGGCCGAGAGGGCATTGGCGAAATTCGCTTTGAAGTCCCTGTGGACCTCACAAACATCCCCTTGGATGACATTATCGACAACATCGTGCAACTTTCTACACGGTCAGCCACGGTGTATGCGATCTCTTCGAAGAAGCCTCCAATGGGCAAGGGGCTGAACGTACCATCAACCATCTCTCTGGCAAATTCCTGGCCACGCAAGAGCGACCGCAAGACTCCATCCGGCGAGAAATCTGGTGTTAGATTCAAGAAGCATATTGAACGCCTCAAGAGAGTTCCGGACACCATCTTCGTCAGCTACGCCAAGGATACCGGAATCTGGACGTTCAAAGTTGAGCATTTCACTACATACGGCTTCCCCGAAGATGATGATGAGACCGATGGGGAGGGTGTCAGTGAATTTGGGCAAAGTACTTTGAGCGCTCCTCCCGACACTCCTACCCCTAAGACTCGCACTCCCAAGTCAAACCATATGGATCAGTCCTTCACATCAACCTCGCAAGTAACTCAGACTGAGTCCGATCCAGATGACACATTCGAATTCAGAAAGAAGAAGCTTCTCCCAGGTGCATTCGATGATCAAGAGATGTATGTGGATGAGGATATGGAGCAGGAGCAGATGGAACAGGAGCAGGAGTCTTTTTTAGATGAGCGCTCCGTGGGTTCGCAGTCTGAAGACGGCGTCGAAGAGCCAATGGACCAAGACGACGTCTTCCACGACGACGAATCTGTCAGCATCGTGGATCAAGAGATGGCGGGCTCTTATCCAGAGGCTGGCAATACCGCGGAGCTCGGTGGAGACTCGCAAGATGACGATGAGGATATGGATGCGATTGCCGAAACACCAGGTGCGATTATTAGGGCAAGAATGAGAGCAAAGAACGCAGGAACTCCGGCAAAGCAACCATTTGCGGCAAGTAACGACTGGGCAAACACATTGAAGACTACGATCAGCCCACAAAAACAAGATCGTGCATATCTCAAGAGTTTGGCTGAGGAGAGTGCCGATGATTTGCCACTTGATGGAGAGCCTACTCCTATGCCCAGAAGAGTGGTGTCAGATGGGCGTGGTTTTGCAAACAGCATTGATTTGATGCATTCTCTTTTCCCAGATACCAAGAGTCCGGTAAAGACAGCAATGGCTACGGCAACGTCCAAGGGGTTTCAGGTTGGTGTTCCTTCCCCTATTTGATTTGATGACTTGGAGATGAAGAAACAAGGGCCGAATGTTGCGTCCGCTCATGTATGTAGCAGCAATAGAATACTTTGCTAAGAATATGTTTACAGTTCCCATATGCAAAGAGAGCAAAGACTGGCGACTATGACACCTCCAATATGACCGACAAAGAGCGCGCTTTCCATGAGTCTATGAAGTCTAGCTGGGGCCCTGATGGTACCTTGGTCTACGCCGCACCACCAAATGCCAAGCCCTTCGGCAGATCTTCTCGGCGTGCTCGGGAAAGAGACGGTATACTTACTATTCAGAAACAAGCCATTGTGTCTGAAAACAGAGACATCCACTTTGCTAAATTCTCCAACGAGGTTTGCATCGTCCTGTCTCATTGTGTTGCCCATTGCTGACCAATATCTAGGCTTCTGCAGAACTTCTCCAGAAACAAAAGGATATGACTATCATCGACGGCTCTGGCGATGTTCCTTTCGCCACTCTTCCTCAGCACTTTTCCTTCGCTGACTTCTTCGATGATGCGAATCCTCGAGACCCTGCTGCTGCTCACGAGAAACTTGTTTGGCAGCTTGCCAGTGTTCTGTTCGACCAGATGACCGTCCCAGAAGAGCTACAGCAAGTACCAGGAGTATCTGAGCGCCTGCGAAAGGACAATTTATCAGCTTTCTGGCAGAAATTGGTTGATGATGCTTGCTCCAAGCAAATTGCAATGGGTAGAACCAGCGAGGAGAAGGCTATTGCAGCTCTGTCAGGCCATAGGATCCCTGACGCCTGCGCACATCTCCTTGACAGCAGAGACTTTCACCTGGCCACCCTCGTTGCGCTCATTGGTACAAAAGACAGCATGAAAAAGGACATGCGGGAACAACTCAACGAGTGGCAGAACTCCCAGATGCTTTCTGAGTTCAGTCAACCAATCCGAACAATTTACGAGCTCCTTGCTGGCAATGTCTGCGTCTGCGATGGTTCAAAAGGACAACCCGAGGATCGCATCGAGTCGTTCATCATTTCAAAGCGCTTCGGCCTCGACTGGCGTCAGGCGTTTGGACTCCGACTCTGGTATGGCATCATGTCCAACGATCCAATCGAGTCTGCCACCGAGAATTTCGCTGAAGATCTTGTACAAGATAAAGAAACGTCAAGACCTCTGGCCTGGTACGTTGAGCAGAAAGTGCCCACCTTGTGGAATGATAAAGCGATTGGAGAACGGGAAGATCTGCTTTGGGGTCTCTTGAGGCTTTATACTTTCACAGATTTGGATATCGAGGATGTTCTGCGTCCGGAAAATTCTCAGTTATCGCCCCTCGACATCCGTCTTTCCTGGCAACTTAGCCAAGCCCTGACAGCGAGAGGTGCTGCTCGTTACACGGAGGATGACGAAGACAAGGCCGATCGACCAACCTTGGCTTTTGCTGCTCAGCTCACAAACGAGGGTAGTTGGCTCGATGCAGTTTTTGTCCTGCTCCATCTTTCTTCGGATGAAGTTAGAGCAAAGTCCATCCAGAACCATCTTGCACACCACGCCGGCAAAATCGGATCGGAGGACAGCCAGAGCTTCAACACCTTGACACAAAATTTCAAAATCCCAGCTTCCTGGATTTGGGAGGCAAAGGCATTATACATGCGAAGTGTTGAGAAGAATCCGCGAGGAGAGGTTGAGTGCTTAATCAGAGCTGGATCATTTAACGAAGCCCATCTCACATTTTCTAAGGAGGTAGCACCGAACACTGTCGTTGAGCTTGATTATGATACTCTTCGGACTTTGCTTGGAGGTTTTCATGGCAAGGAGAATACCATATCTGAGTGGCATCTCGGAGGAGAAATCTACCAGGACTTTCTGGAATTGCTCGACTCAGAGAAGAGAGGATGGCCTGTAAATCATGCTCTTCTGGCGAGATTGTTGGCAGGTCTTCCAGCTGTGGTTGAGGAGTCTCGTCATCCAGTATTTATGGAGCGGGTGGCTATTGAGACGATTAGCGGGATTGTGGCCAAGACGGTGATCGCTCTGGGAAAGAAGGGAGAGGTGAGTTTGTCCATACACGTTGGCTGAACATTACTAACACAAACTAGAAGTCCGACTTGCACAAAATTCTTCGTCTTCCACTCACAGAAGACAAGTATCTGAAGCACACCGTCGAATTAAGCTTGGAGTATTATCGTGGTGTGATGGCCAACTCTCGTTAGATCGATCAAGGGGACAAGAAGGCTGGTTTGAGGGGAAGATTTTCCCGAAAAGTTTGCAATTTCACCCGGCATTTTGAGGATGAACATGATGCCATGGAAAGAAAGGAAGGAATGTGAATGGATGGCGAGCAAGGAATTATGCCTTGATGAATTGAAGTGATGGATACCTTGAAATACCTGTAGATAGATAGATATTCTGACGGATGGAAGATGGGTTCTGCATAGCGGAGTGGTCATAGCGAGCATCAGATCAGATAGGTAGTTAGCATCGAGCCATGAAATGGTATCCGATGATCCTTTACTTTCTTTCCTCTCGTCCTCTCGGTTTCCGGATACACGCGGTGTGGTCCTTAGGAAGCTGTTTGCTCTACCTTTATTCGTTTTTATAGTTCGAACTGGGGCTGTTACATTGTGAATATTTTTCAACACTTATTCTTCCAAGTGGAGCTTGTACATTGGGAATACCTGTCAACCCTCATTCTTCCAACGTGAGCTGGATCATTTCATTCTTTTACAATCTTTCAAGGTGCAATTAGTACTCCCCTTTTCCAATTAACACTCTACTCTCTGCGAAGCACGTTGGTTAGTTTCAATTGTCCAAATCCACGAAATCATGTACCTTTTTCATTGTACTGATGGCCATGGGACCATTGAACGAATCTCTAAAGATATAGTGGAGTTCCTAAAAGCTTATCTTTAGGCATAAAATGAAGCGTTAGTACCCTCGTCTTATCTACATAATCTTAGAAGTAAAGCCGAAGCAAGCAAAGCCTTCTCTATCCGCGACCTCCACCTATCTAATTATTCTATCAAATCATACACTCCTCTTGCTTCCTTCACATGCTCTTTCTCTTCCCGTGGCGACCCGATATCTATCGCCCCCCCCCCCCCCCCCCCCCCCCCCCCCAATCTAATCTAACAATCCCAACAGTGCGCACGCCTCCCAACCTTGGACCACACAACCGCCACCACGGGCCCGCTATCGGTCACGAGACGGCGATACTGATGCACCGGCAGGAGGGCGTGCAGCCGTAGCGCGTGCGGCGGCTGATGCTGTCGAGGGAGGCGTGCGTGATGGGGTTTCCGCCGCGTGTGAAGTCGATTAGGAGGGCCCGCTGGTGTTGTTGGTGCGGATGGAAAGCACAGGGGGGAGGAGGCAGGGCGGGAGATTGTGGGCGGTGGTGCAGGTGGTGTGTAGTATTCGTAAGGGATGTTTTGGTTCAGATTTGCCTTTTGAGGTTGAGCTTGAGCTTGGGAGGGAGCTTGATTGGGGTTTTGATACAGGTTTGGGTGCGGTTGGCGGGACGGTGGGAAATGAGAAGGTTGGTTGTTTAAACTAATGGCTTTTGCGTTGAATGAGGGTACTAAGGGGGCGTGAGGGTAAGATGGTGGAAGAGTTGTGGGCGGTTTTGCGAGGGGGGTTCTGGTTGAGGTAGGCGATGTATTTTGTGGAGCTTGAAGTTGTTTTCGTGGTGGTCCATCCTGTGATATTTGTTGTAGTGTTGTTTTATTTTTGTGTGCGCGTGGAGGCGGAAGCGGGGGTTGTGGCCCTTCTTATAGGGAGGTTGGTGAAACCTCTTCTTTTTTTTTTTTGGACTTGCTGTGATTAGGAGATTCGTAGAAGGGCTATTCTTAAGAAGTACAATTAAGAATAATTATGGGACTTACAGGGGGCACAGAGAGGTCGGATTTAAGTTCGATGTCATGTCGATCCATTTTAGCGCACGCTTACCGCCGACGACGCGCTAACGAGGAATAGGGGGGACGTTGTCGAAACAATGGAACATCTTGAACGCTAAAATATCCCTGGGGGCCGCAAAAATATATGAGATTTCTTCCGAGGCACCAGCCGATCATCCAGGTGCGTCTGCCTGCTCAATTCGGTATCACGAGAGAAAATGAAATTGTGAGTGCTATTTGCTGCGCATCAGCAGCAGCAGCAAACAATTTTAATCTATTTTTTCTTAAATTTCCCTCTTCAACGGAGGTATAAAAAGCTCCGAAGAAATTCCTACATATGTCCCGTAAGGTTTCTATGTTGGGGATCTTTTCCTCAATGTAGCAAACACAACGACTAGTATCAATGCCATTGTAATTAAGCCCATGACGACGAGTGCAAAGATGTAGTTCGGCCGGTAGCAGATCCGCCGTTTGTCGGGTTGGCCTTCTGTTGGTGGATAGATCCAGTAATCAACGCCGTAGAGGGAGCTTCGGTACGAGGGGGGGTCGCCGTGAGGACGTTCGCGCTCTGTGTGTTGTGTTATTGATGACAATGGACTCTGTGATGAGTGTTAGATGAAAGTCTTGGTAAGTTGGTAGGGCAGAGGAGATTTACCAGAGCGGCGAGTGGAGTGCAGTTGGGAGTTGTCATGTTTGGAGGTCTTACGCCGCCGGGCCAGCGGTTATGATCTGCCACGGGAATAGGGGGGATCTTGGCAAGATAACCACATTTTTCTGAAGGACGACTCTAGCGGTGGAGTATTCGAAGCCATGATTTTGGGGCTCGGCTCGGCGCTTTTATATGCACTGCGATGTGTTTCCTTCGATAGGGTAAATTCTGGGGTGCGGATGTCGGGAAGGGCTATTGAGCCAAAATTTATCCAGATCGAGCTCCTCGTACGCCATGCTCCTAACCAAAATAGGAGTGACTTGTTAGTATCTGAGTGTGGATTGGTGCTGGATGTAAATGTAAAGTCCTAGACCGACTCCGAAACCTATCATAAACAACACCAGAATGCACAGGCAGAGGCGCACTTTGCGTTGTCGTGATCTGAGTGCTGAGGCGCCGGTGTACGCCCTAACGTCAGTTTCGGGTGAGAGTTGACTGCGATTTTCGTAAGGAGAAGCCTAAGGATTTTGAGGTCGGTGAGTTGAAATGTGTATTGGGGCAGGATATGGGGGAGGTTCTGCTGTTGCATCGTATTCTGGTGGTAGTCCTCCTTGAGCTGTTGCCAGTGGCTTCTATGACTGAGATAAGTTAAGCTAACCTTGTGAAGAGCTTGGGGACGTACCATAGGAATAATGCATTCAAAAGACAACATTTTCGGGCGGTTATTAAGGAAACGAGGAGGGTAGTGAAGAGAAGCAGCGTTGATCTGAGAAGCAGGGCGCCGGATAAGTAAGAAGGAGATTCAAAAGAGAAGGACGGGGAACTGTTTGACGAATCATCAGGCAATTAAAAGCCCTTGCCAAACTGTACATCTTATCGGTGTTTTGGTGTTTTGGTGTTGCCAGAACTTGGGGTGCAGCGAACGATAAAAGCTGTTTGTACTAAACCCTTCTGGCGGGTCCATAATGTCAGCTCCCCTTTGTGAAATAACCCGTGTTCAGAAGTCCCAGGCCTGTTCCAAGTCCAACTACCACTAATCCGGTCCACAGAAGACAACAAATGAGGCGAAAATACTTAGGAAATCGGCGAGGCCCATGGTAGATATTGTTTTGTTGAGAAGCATCTGGGGTGAGGTGTGCATGGTTTTGAGGAGGAGCATGCGTGGATGTGGGGTAAGACGGCGGCTCCAAGGTTGCGTCGTAGGCAGGTGGTGGTAAGATTGTTGGCAATGATTTCTAAAAACATGAATCAGACTCTAGAAATAGACATATGGGGAGACGAGTTTGCCATAGGAATAGAAGGTTCGCCAGTGGAGCGGTGTGTTGAAGCCATGTGTGCCTTGCGGTATGTTAACCGCTATGACCAAACTGAATCGGGAAAGAGAGGCTGATGGTAGGACTTTCGCCACACTAATTAAATGTTGGATTATTGAAGTGAAGTCGGTTGGGAATACAATCCACGATGAAGATTCTTTACCGTACGAGGAAATGGTGTTGTGGCTTAGATACGAACTCAAGATATAGGGTCACGGCGTCGGCCGCCAAGAGGTTGGGGAAACGAAAGCAGGGCTGAATTCTTGGAGCTTCACGGTGTTGAGAAACACTTCCTTGACCTTCTCATTTTTAACTTCGGGGAGACATTGCCAGATTTATAGTACTAAATAGTAGCTGTTCAAGAGTAGAACAATTTCGTTTGTTCGAGGCTGCGCGGTCAGAGATATCGTGGTATGTGCAGCAAAAATGCGGATGCATGATCGCGTGATAGCTTCACACTTCAGATGACCTCGTCTGGCACTTTTCGCCGTTTGACTGGGCTCAAATCGAAGGCGTGCAGTATGTCCATTTCATGTGAAAGTCACATGAGGCCGTGGAGATGGGTGGGCAAGGACATCGTGCAGACAAGGCTGCGCTTATAGATGAAGCAAAGCACAAATTTTAACGTTGCTGCATATTCCAATCAATAACTTGATTTCTAACAACAACAAACACGATGGCAGATGTTGGAAGACAACCTCTCATGCCTCTCCTGTGTTCTCAGTCTCCGAGAGTCGTTGCTGACAAAAATCTCGTGGTCTCGACAACTGGACGTATGAACGGGGGGTTAGCCCATTCTATATAGGCAGGTGGCTTGACCGAGTAGGGCTGAGGATTGACTTCCTTGATTTCTGGCAAGCTGCACGCGGAGAGGGGTTCCTGAGAGCGGGGCAATAGCAGATCGGTTTTAAGACGAGCAGAGGCGGAGATCGTACCGTGGCGATGGGTTCTGTTTCAGCCGTCATGCTGTCTCAGTTCTTGATTGCCCGCGGACGCCGCTGCCCTGCACCGCACACCTCCTGACGGCACTCAGAGCCTCGAGACTTGCAGCTGTTCCTGGCAGACGGGCGGGGCATCAGCTGGACGGCGACTGATACATCACGGGAGGCTGGTGCCTAGACTAATAGGTGCCGAAGAGGCATACTATGACGCATTTCTCAGGGCAGTGCAAAACCGGACGAAGGGTTTTGCATAAGATGGCTGGTGATCGTCTGAAGCTTCGACGCGGGTGTGGAGAGGGAGAGAGGGAGAGAGGGAGAAAGCAACAACATCCCTTCCCCTCGCAGCACCACCCCTCCACCCCTCCCCCCTCCTCCCCTCCTCCCCACCCGCCTTCACCCCCGCCCCTGTCCTTGCCCGCCGCGGTCCGGCACGTTTCACTGCGCCTGTTGACGGGCCCTGTGATTGGGCGGGCGCGTTAAGCGTGCGTTTTTCGCGGAGAGCGCTCCTGCAGGGATCCCGATAAACAATTGCTGTCACTGGCCCAGCCTCACGTTTCCTGCGACCTCCTGGCCTGCCCTCGGCCTGCGCTCGTCCAGCCCAACCTTCACAGAATATCCCACACCCCATCGGAGCCATCCACGGCCCTTCGTGGCGTGGCCAGCGCAGCACATTCGACAGAATCTCTGCAGAGTCTCTGCGTCGCGCGAGGGCCCTGCATCGCTACCCACAACTTAAGGCGGACCATTCTCGAGTGGCTGGGGCGAACGGGTCTTCTGCCGACAGGAAGCTTTCACTACCACCTCTCCACCATTCAGAGTCCTTTTCCCTGCAACGCTCTTCTTTCTCTATCGCGCATGCATTCTCTCCCCGCGATACCTTCAATCAGAGTCGGTCGCACTGCAATCAAGAGCCCAAAGTCGAGCCTAAACGTCGCGTCACGCGGTTCCCCAAGCAGCACGTAGACGTGGGGTCATGTCCTTGATTGCCATAGAGAACCACATCCACCTGGCATTAATATCTCTCACTATCGCTCCAAGTACCTTCCTAGCCCTTGTGGTTGTCGCATTTGTCTATCTCTACCTCCTTCACGTCCGAAACAACCCCCGACCCCGCGCTTCAATCGAGCTCAGCGGCCATGGCCACGATCGAGGAGCTGGAGGGCCTATTCGACGACCATCCTTCTTTAGACGCCTCTCTGCAAGACTTCGAACCCGGAAGCAGCGAGATAGGCCAATCGCCCCACTTTGGCTACCCTTCCCATCACTCTGGCTTCCGCTCAGACACAGAATCAGAGAACGCAGATTCGACTTCTGGAGGCAGATACAGCCCGCCGGCGTGGCGCCGCGACGGAAACGGCAATCGCAGCAGCGGCTTTTGGAATAGGCAGAGAACTACCTTGGGGAAGCGCAGTCGGGGATCGAGGGATAGCAGTCCAGAGTATGAGAGCGCGGACGACGGAGAGGATGCGACTCTTGCTGCGGCGGCGCGGACAAGATTGCCTACTGGGTCATTGTCGCCGGACAAGATGAGGAGCATGAGCCCAAGTCCTTACCCGGCTGGAGGCCAAGACTTTCGCAAGACATTTGGAGGTTCAGTTAAGCAGGAAGGCTGTCAAGATGTCGCTGCTGGAAAGCCCGATAGCCCTAATAATTGTACGGAAGCTCCTCTCCTTATCGAATAAAGACTGACTATTCACCAAGACATTCGGTTTGCAATGCGCGCGGAGGTACAACATCGTACAGAGCCGTTCGAAGTTGCCCATTCTTTCCTCAAGACAAGAATCGAAAACATGACGAAGTCTTGGTATTCCTTCTTCACTTCAATGCTTGTCATATTACTTTCGTTCTTGGCTCTGAGGACGCTGTTCCAACCCGGAGTTCCCCCTCCAGTTCCGGACTTAGTCAAGGTCGCAGGACTCGCAAAGGCATTCGAGCCTCTTATCTTCTATTCAGAGAACGGTGTGCAACAGATTGGCGATTTGCAGGCAACAGGCGTCGCAGTCTGGGATCTTGGAGAGAGTGTTCGCTCAACAAACATGACCTCTGCGCCAATCATTGTTAAGGAATTGGACGATCTCAGTGATAGTCTCAAGACATTGGCTATTGAGCTGACTAGATTTTTCGCAAATGTGGATGGAGATGTCGATGGGTAACCCCCCCTCCGCCCCCCTTTTCCCCCACCTGACCAGCACTGACTCGTGCAGAATATTAATCGTAATGGATTGGGCAAAGCGCGAGCTCTCCCAATTACAAACTCACACGCCTTCCTCGATGTCCTCTGCATATGACAACTTCCACTTGCTACTGAGCAAGTGTGGGGTCTTCGAGACTTCGTTGGGTACCCCCACCCGACTGGGTACACTTGCGACCTCCGTTTTCGGACCTTCGTCACGTGAGCGAACTCGACACACTCTTCAACGAACCTTCCAAGAATTCCTCTCTATCCTCGAGGAGTCAATCAGCTCCGAGCTCCAGCATTCCCTCGCACTCTTCTCCCTCTTCGAATCTATCGATAGGCAATTCCTCAACCTCGCGCGCACCGTCATTCGCGAATCGGATGCGCAAGAGTCGGCTCAAGATGATATGCTCTCGTCACTCTGGACGAAGATGCTTGGACCTAATGCCAGCACGTTGCACAAGTTTGAGAAGAACAAAAAATTATTAAGCAACATTCGCGCCAAGACGGTTCAGAATAAGAGTATCCTGGAGGATCACAATAGAAAGCTACTCACCCTCAAGGCAAACCTAGAAAACCTGAGGAGGAAGTTGGTCAGTCCGCTTGTTAGAGCTAACGGCAGTACAATTGGAGTGGAGGAGCAGATTAGAGGCTTGGATGAAGTGAGTACGCATCTTGGCGGTGTTCGAGAGAAGCAGAAGTCGAAGTTGATGGAAATGTTGTATGGAGCTGGGAGCAACAGCGGAAGGAGGATATACGGTGTTGATAGGAACGAGATTGACGGCCGCTGGGAACGATGATGACAATCTCCTTGGGTCGTGGTAATTGGGTCGCAATTGTGGGATTTAGGTACGCATGCTTTGGTTTGCTTGGTCGATTATCATGATTGGATGGTGTTTTGGATTGGTTAGATACGAGGACACGCAAGGTGGTGGTCTGCGGTTTAAGAGCATTTCTGTGGTGCATTAGGCGTTGATGCCTTCCCTTGTAAGCTGTCTTTGCTTTGATCTTTTGGGAGCCTGTTCCTAAAGCTGTTCTTAAAGCAACGAGACCACGAACACAATACAATCCCACTCACGTGCATGTATATCTTGACTCTTAGAGAATTCTTTATCGCGCTGTGATACCTAGCTTATCAATTCAAATGCAACTTACCTGTCCTCATCCCTCCACCAACTAGCTGTCCTGACAGCGTCACACCCAACCCAAAAAAAAACTACCCCCACAAGTTGTGGTTACATTGATACCCCCCCGCATGCCTCCAGAAGGTTAGTCATCGCACCCATCCTGCCAACTCCAACTTCCCTTCCACGATTCAATCCTCTGGCAAATAGGTTTCCCGTTCTCTCGTGCCTACATTGGAATCTTGTTGCTGTAGGAGAACTAACCTCCAGGTCAGAGTGTCGCTCTCACCCTCCCCCACCCGGAGTACTCACAGGGTTTGATATCTTCGAGCTTCCGAAGTGGTCGTTCCAGCTCGAGAGGATTCTTCATTCCTTGCAAATGACCAATACCCGTCTTCAACGTGCTTCTCAAATGCAATTCAAAGAGCTGGCTGTAGTTCAGGTTCCTCTGTAAAACGAAGGAGCTTCCAGCCAGAACGTGATTGCCACCAATATTGGCACCATCTCTCGCTCCATCTCGTCGCAGGAAGGAGGAGCTGCCGAACGAAGAGCTCCTGAGGCGACTCGGAATCTTGGCAAGTGCAAGTGATTTGTGGTGCAATTTTCGCGGCTCGGAGACTGTGCGCCAGAGATTGTTCTGAGTTTCTCAAACGTCGTTAGCCTTTTGTTTCTGCAATCATGAAGGACACTTACCTGGATATATACCTAGCTTGTCTTCTCTCGGCCGTGGGACCTTTGGAGTGTCAAATCGATTTCCGCCAGCGTAAGGACATGCCCCTCTGGGTGCCATTTCGCAACATCCTTCATTGAAATCCTCGAGAGTCTCCAGGCCTTTACAATCTCGATAGTCTGGAATCGACTGGAAGTGTCGCCAGGCGCGGTATTCTTCGTCTTGCATGCTGGTGCAGGTGCTTATCCTTGTCTTTCGGCATGGGCAGCAAGCGAAGATTATCAGGGTTTGTGTGCACATATTTTCTTGAATGTACTTTAGTTTGTTGTAGAATGCGTTGAATCTCGATTGAGTAGCTAATTCTTGGCATGTCAAAGGTTTCCGGATATACTTCACTCACCCCCATGATTCACGCCTTAATTCTCACAATCACATTTCTCTTGGTCTAGAGACCCCGCTCGAAGTCATCTCCATCCCACCTCCCCTTCCCATCTCCCTTCCTCCTCGCCTTATGCATCGTATTCCTCCCCAAGTACAGACAAGTGCCGCCCGGCGCCATCTCACAACACCCACCATCAACTTCTTCTTCCGTTTTCAGATCGGGACAGGCCCTGTAGTCAGGCGCTGATTCCAGGTGATGCCATTCGTGTTCTTCTTTATGTCGGATCACTGAGCAAGTACTCACGCGTGTCATGCGACATGGGCATGAGGTGAAGGTTATGACCGTTTGGATGCACATTTTTGATAATTGGTGAGGTTGCTGAGTTGTTTCCCAAGTGGGATGGATGTTGGTATAAGTACAAGTTGGGTAGTTTCCACCCTCGTCCACCAAGTTCGCTGAGAATCATGAAAAGCTATGAATCAACAATGCAATCCACCACCGTCATTCAACCCACTCCCACCAGTACATTCACAAGTCGCCGCTCCTCTAAGTTCCTTCGAGACCAAATCCTGTCAACGCCTCACTCTCCTCAAGCAACCCTTCCATTCGACATCACTGGAAGCGACACCAGTCTCCCAAATTCCATTGACTCCATATCCTCACCCTTCTCCTCTCTTTGCATCTTCATCTCTCTGCGTTCCGTAAACATACCCCCTCCGCCTTCCTCTTACAACATCCAGTCCACAGGTCTCTAGCAATCATGAAATTGACACAGTATTTGTATATCAGCGGTGGCTTTCGCTTGCTCCTGGTAACTTGCTCCTCGACGAATTCTTGTGCAGAGCATTTGATGATGAGGACTGGGGTGCAGGCACAGCGGGTGAAAACTATGTGTCTCTGTATACACATTGCGATGACGAGTCGAACTCCGATTTGAACGTGAGAATCCTCGTTAATAATTTCCGATGGATTTGAGGGCCGTATCAAATGTTGTTTGGTCTTCTTTTGGAGGTGAAGAGAGACATTGGTAAAAAAAATCAATCTCGCAGCAGGAGTTTGCTCATATATATATTCTCTCGCCGGTATGACCAATTCATGATTCACGACGCTGAAATATTCCTTTTTTCTTTGATTCATCAACTCCACCAAGCTGTTTTCTCCCAAGCCAACCATGGCTTCTCGTCCAAACTCTCTATTTCAGATCCTTCGCCATCGCTATCACACGCCTTACAGCGATAAAATGGGCAAGGTCCCAGCCCTACGCATACTCCTTCTTTGATCTCGACTTCCGTCTTGAAGTCCTTACACTTCTCACATCCCTCACCGGGACAACGAGGACAGCAGTCGGCTTCTGGGATAGTACAGGTGCAGTCTTTATATATGGTTTCAGTTCGGACGCACATTTTATATTTATGGTTGCTGTGTATTTCGTCTCACTGGCTGGTTGGCGAATGTTCCTCTTGGAACCCGTACTTTGGACATTTATATCACGAAAGTTGTGCGATTTGCCAAAGAGATTTATACTCTATTTTGCAGGAGACAGTAATCATAAGTGCGAATCATCAGCTCTTTCCCAATCATGATTGCCATGAATCCACAGCCAAAGTACTGGCCCAATCCAAGTACTTTGCAAATCATCTCCCTCACTCCCCACCAATGACTCCGCTACACCTAGTCACCACAACACCCAACCAAACCAAAAACCTCACCCCAATCAGCGGCTTCCGCTACCATCTCCTTCCTATCTTCCTCCACCTCTTCTTTCCCTCTACTCTCAACCTCGGCGGGACAGGTACCCAACCCCACACAAACGCCCTCTTGCTCTTCTTCTACAGTGGAGAAGTCGACACATTGTTTGTATCCAGTTGAAGGACAGCGCGGACATCGGTCTACGGAAGGGATGCGGCATAACAAGAGTGTATAGGTTGTTGTTGTTTCTTTGCACATTTTGCTTCTTCTTCTGACTTACACGATGGAGGTTCTTGAGTCCCAGGTATGGGGAGGAGTTTCGGTGCAGGCCCATGGACGGAGAGTGGCAAAATAGTTAAGTTATTCATCCAGTGTTGATTGTGGATGATTCGCAGTCCGCCAAAGGGTTACAAGAGAAAGATTGCTGCTTTTGACTCCCATCACAGCAACTCATCGTTAAACCACCAACCAAATCTCCCAAATTTAGAAACACGACGTCGTTCGAAATTTTCATTCAAAAAAATGTCGATTCCATGCAAGATTTATTCACCAGCCCCTATTCCCAAAACCCCCCTTAAATTAAGCGAGACGTCAGCGCTGCAAACCCACCTTCCCCATTTCGCTGGTTTGCTTCTTAATAAGTTTGGTAGGTTCCGAGTCAACATTTACGTCTCCGAAGCCGCTAGGGCAGCTTTCCCATTCTCCATAGCCAGAACAATCTCCATCCCTGTGCTCGTGAGTGCGCTTGTAGGCTGGACAGCATTTGTAAAGACCGTTGGGTGGGATCCGTTTGCAGCGTGCTAAGGTGTGGGGAGCTTCACAGGGACAGTTGGTGAAGGTTAGGATTGTGAGTTCGCACATGTTGCGGTTGTGGCCGGGGAGGTGTGTTGAAGTTCAAGATGGGCTTGAGTGAGTTGAGCTTAATGAATCGAGAACAAGCTGGGTCAACGGAGAGGAGGAGGGTGTTTGAGATGAGAAAGGAGGGTGATAGGTCAAGTTCAAATCAAGGGAGATGGTAAAGGTATAACCTTGCATCTCTAAGTCTGTGCGAGTCATAGCCCAGTCGTGCTCCGTGAATATTCTTCCCTCCTAAACAACCTCGCTCATACCCAAGCTCCCATATCCCCCCTCTTCCCCTTCCATTCACACCCCTCCCCTCCCCTCCCCTCCCCTCCCCTTATCCCCAATCCCCAATCCTTCCCATCAACACCACAAATCAACCCCATAAAGCCACCTCTCCCCCAGCACATCCTCCTCACACTTTGGTGCAAACTCAAACTCCTGCCCATGCGCACTATACCACACTGCCCTGAGTCCAATCCCCGCATGCGCTTGATACCCCTCGAGACACTTAAACTCCCACGGTAACCAGATACCTTTGACCTGCTCCTCTCCCTCCTCTCCTCTTTCTTGCCCCGCACTCCTTTTCAAATCCTTTTTCAAGTTCCCCGTCTTCCCGTCCTTAGTCCTATTATTCCTCACAAGCTCCGAGGTAAGCGATATCTGCTTCTGCTGCTCCTGCTGCTTCTGCCGAAGTGGTTTAGTTCTCGCACGCCGATGATTCGAAAAAGCAGTCTGCTGCTTATCATGCTGGTCGTACGTCATGCTGATCCAACATGTTACCACGCTGTTGTCAGTGAGTGTCGCTTCGAAGGGGAGGTGAGTGGCGTAGGGGAACGTGGCGGAGTAGTGCATGCATGCTGATGTTTGTCTGAGGAGGAGGGTTATGAGGGGAGAGAAGTAGTGGATTGGATGCATGACGACAGCGAATTTGAATGAATCTGCGAGGTGAGGGAAGGTATGATATGAGGTCGCACTCACGACTCAGGCGCGTTGAGGTTTGGTGTGGTCATTTGCATTCCTCACTCCACCGCGCTCGCAGATAGGAATGAGCACTCGCCCAATACAACACTGACCCTCACAATCACCAATGAACTTGAACTCCGAGTTTTAATAGAGAAGTTAAATTCTGAAGGCATTCGAATCACATAGAAATGGGGAAAGCGGAACTCAAATTTGGCCTAAGAGATTTCGATTCCATAAGATATGTTTCCTAGTTCATCTCCCTGGTCTGCCGAGAGGGAGCTCGAGATATCCACCCCACTGTTGAAAGCTGAGTATCCCAGTGGATGACAATGATGCCACCCAGCTGCTCGAAATCGCGGTGTTGCCCACAACAGACCAGCACCGATTTTGAAAAGAAAAAAACGGGGTGTCCGCAAATCGAAGGCCAAGAGAATCCATCCATGTGGCCAATTGCATTGACACCCGAAGGGAAACTCGCTGACCAGGAGGAAAAGCTGGCTGCTGGTATAGGTAAAGACTGTGCTGGTCTTCTATAATCACCCATCACAACCCCAATTCTGGAAATTTCAAGTGGTTGCGTATTGCCGTTCAATATATTCCGCTACCTTCCGCTTGCCATTGGTATGTTGCAGGCCGAAGAAGCTTGGAAATTGTGTTCATCCATCATCAACCATAGTTGTCGTAAAATTCCACTTCAGAATTCAATCGTAAGAAAGTAGAAGAGAAGATATCGCCGCACCCAGATCCTACGCTCAGATAGACGGTTAGATGTAGAACATGCTGTCCTTCAAGTTATCCGGAATTTGTACGTCGAAAGACGTCTGCGGAGTTGCACCGCTCGCAACACTGGGAGCCGCTGAACTGTCGGACGGGTCAAACTGATCAGCAAGATAACAGCGTAGTCGAGTGCACAACAAGTCAGCATAATAGGCCGGCGGGCACAAGCTGACGGCCTTGGTAGCACGACCGAAGAGATGGCACATGTTGTGCGTCAGCTCTTCAAGAGCATCTGCTGGGCTGGTGTGCGGCGGCTTAACAACCCTCCCGCGGAAGATCTCGTCGAAGATTACAGTGTAATGGCAAGATCTAGCAGTCCCTTGAAGACATGCGTGGGGTTGCAGATAGAAATCCCAGAACCGGACCTCCGTCACACCTCTGTCAACCACGGTACCAGGCTCGCAGTTCGAGGACTTGTCAGCATTTTCTGTGCTAACAGGATAGAAACGTGTGTGGTGTCGTTTGCCACAGATGATGATTGAAATCTTCGGGAAGCCCCGATCTGTCGCAGTTGCTGGGTATACTTGGCGACAAGCGTTGCGGACGAGTGGGAGCTCGAGATCCAGAACCTGTTGAAATTGTCCTTCGCTAACACCATCTCTGTAAATGAGGATGTTTTCAGGAAGTTGTTTGTTGTGTTTTTGCCACAATTTAAGCAGAGACAAGACCATTCCCTCAAGAGCAGAGACCATCTCTTTGCGGGACTCCTGAATGCCGAATCTGCAAGGCCACTGCGCAAGGTATTTATCAATGCTCGCTACGACCGCAGCCACACTGGGCGCACCGTCTTTTGAGCCTGGCGAAGGGTGGGTTACATCAATACCAAAGACCATTGTCTTGGCTTCGCCGATAATGCCCATTTTAGGAAGGTCGAGGATTTGGTTGATCCCGCCAGCCTTGAGATTGAACTTCAACGAAATATTGCCGAAGTATTGCTCTTGCCGCTGCTCTTTCATGAATTTTTGTCCGACAACGCAAACAGTATGGATTCCGGCCTTGGTATCTGCAACAGTCTTGATGCTGTTGTAAATTGCAACGTCGTTGAACGGAAGGACACAGAGAACGAATCGGGGACGTGTCGTGGCGTTGTAGAGTCTACGGAAGCTTTCTTTGATCATCTGATCATTTGTACCCTCGTGTCCATCGGATAGATTAACAGGCGGCGGAGGCGGTAGAATGAGGCCGCCAGCATTAACGCCAGATCTAATGAGAAAATCCCTGAACCGAGTGACCGTGTTATCAAGTCCGCGGGGATCCAATCGGTCTCTACTTCGGTTGGAATGGAAGTAAATATATGTCCAGGGGCCGAGGTTGCTCCCTGTCTGGAACTTGATGCTGGCCATATTCCAGCTGCCGAATCTAGGGTTGACGTTGTGTTCCTTATTCAGGGAATTGCGATACTTGATGCGCGGTGCCGCAAGGACACGTGCAGTGACTGTGATTAGACTTGTACCGACAGCGAGGCCAAACGTCTTCTAGGTAGAGAAATTAGTACGAGTTTGAACAGCAAAGGAGGTGGCATATACCGCAATCGAATTTGCAGTAGGGTTCAGTCCTAGGACCGCTTTCCCATCTCCAATAATCGAATCGGCATTTTCGAAGGGCTTCCGGCACGCGAAAGTAATCATCGCTTGAGTCTGTTCCGGACTCAATCTGCGCTTGATTGTCTGCCCAGGCAAGACTTGACATACTTCAGCTGGAAGGTAGTTTGGGTTCTCCCGGTTGCCAACGTTAAGAACAGGAGCGCTACCATTCAACGAAATCTCGGGGTACTCTACAGATCCAGAAATCAGCTCAAGCTCTCGAATATGGGAAAAGACTTACTGCTGCGGAAGTAATCAAAGACCGAGATGTATGTGTTGCTCCGCATGGCCGGCCCACCGCCTTTCTGTCCAGCCTTTCCTTTGCCTGGAGGATTTGCCCCAGTGGCTGCTGGGGGTACATCGGACAGCCAGAATTGGACCTCCTTTGGACCTGCACCAAATGAAGCTACTATTGGAGGGTGGGCTTCGGTTTTACCATCCTGGGGGTTAGCCAAGCCAAAGATGGTCTTCACTCTTGGGATAGTCTGGTTCGTCTTTTTGGATGTCTTCCCTGGAAGATGGGTAACCCGAACTCGAACAAGCTTGAGTTTCTTTTGGAGCGTGGCCTTGTTGCCGGTTCCCAGTTTTGGAAAAAGGAGCGCGAGGGAGATTGGCTCGAAGAACACACCGTGTGTAACGTTAACGTTGAGAAGCAGACCGCCGGTGGCGGATCGGACACTCTGGAAATACCCGCGCAAAGCCTCGAGACCGCCAGAGAGGTTTCGAATGTTATGCGAGTTTCCCTGGGTGTGGTCAACCGAGAAATGTCTGTTTTGACCAATTGACACGACGCCACTATGTGATTGAGGGTAGTGCCCGAACAGAACATTGAGAACTTGAATAATCTCTGCCTTTTGGACAAAATCGGGACTAGGGTTGACCGATGACAGATGGTTGACGAGGTTAGAAACGGAAAATGTCAACGGTGTGACAAGCCTGACGGTGTAGGTAACCGCACGCGGCAAAGGCTCCTCTTGTCCTTCGGCCAGGTAAATAATCTGGACAGAATAATCGGGCGGGATGTTGAGTTGCCTAACAGATACGATCATAGATCGCAAATCTGAAGCAACACCAGCAAAAGCGGGCAGCTCAAGAAGTAGCTGGAACACACGACCTAGTTTCTTTCCTTTTACCTCAGGCACAACCTCAACGCTGTACCTCGTCAGGGACAAGTTGTTCGGGACGATGAGTTTGAAATAGTTGGCGTAGACTAGGATCTTCTTGCCAAGCGTGCCGTGACCTGGTCGAGGAGGCATTTGGGCAGTTACTGAGAGGTTTGCCATACCACCCAGACCTTTGTTGGCTGTCATGTAGTTATCCTCGATGTTCATCAGCCGCATATCGGGAGCTGGGGCGGGGACACTGGGATTAGGGTCCCTGATGGAAGGGTCAGTCATCAACACAGTGAAGATAAGACAGGATTTACGAGGTACATACCGAAAGACTCGAATCTCACCAGGTCCACCACGACCACCGCCGCCGCTGCCGTCACCTCTACCCCCACGGAAACCGCCACCTCGATCGCTACCACCGCCTCGGACAGGGCTAAAGGAGCCTCCGCCACGGTCTCCACCCCCTCTTCCACCCCCTCTTCCACCCCCTCTTCCACCCCCTCTTCCACCCCCTCTTCCACCCCCTCTTCCACCTCCACGTGGGGTTCCTCGGTAAGACATATTTTCGAGATGTCACAGAAGCTGAAGGTGGTTGTGTCTTGATTCCCTGCGTAGTGGATTATGAAGGTGAGGACTATCCTTTGGGGATGAAGTCGGCTATCAGATCACCGAATGTCTTCAACTTCAGTGTGTGGAAACCGAGATGCAGCTGAAGAATGAGAGAGAAAGATTAACCAGCCTGGTCAAGATATGACTGTCATAGGTATTGGATGATCTTCGACCGAAAGTAGCTGAAAGTAGTAAGTGCAGGAAGGGTTGATTGAACTGTGTAGTGTAGAACTAGCTGGTGTAATCAGGCACCAAAGTGTGTCTGAAGGAAGTGGCTTGTCTTGGAAGATGAATGTTAGCGAGAGCCGTTGAGTTTGTTTGTGGATGGCCGAAAAGTGAAGGTAAAGGAATAAACTAAACAGGAAGCAAGTTGCCAGTTAGGATGGCGAAGAAGCAGGGCAAATATGGTGAGGGATTGTGTTTGTAGACAGATGGTGTGATCGAATGTGCAGATGCAGGCAGAGAGATGATAGTATGGGGATAATGAGAGAGGCGGACGCAATGAAGGGAACCATGGAATGGAAGTTTGCTACATGAAGTTTGGATGATGAAGTTAAGTTGGCAAAGCCACAAGTCAACAGTGGTATGTTTGTGGTAAAACGTAAAGCGTGTAGGAAGTGCTAAGGAAGGACTTGCCAGGGAGGGTCGATAGAGGAAGGCAGTCGTGATTGTTGCAAGATGTGGTCTGCTCGGAGCAATCGGACGACGGGAAATCCTTTAGAAGAGTTTGTTGGTAAGCGGGGTTTGTGACAACGGTGGGATAGTACAAGAAGAAGAAACGATTGGTAAGGTGACAGCCTGGCTTGGAAGATGATGGAGTGGAAGGATTGGAAGAGAGATAGTGGGTGAAGGGTAATTGATGAGGAAGGACATGTCCTGAAGGAAGTGAGATCTCGTCAAAGAGGAAGGAGCAAATTCCATGTGATGCGAGACAGCACAACGCTTCAAAGGAGAGACTTTTGCTCCGAGATCGCCGGGGAAGTGAAACTAGGTGATAGGCAAAAAGGTGAATTTGAATTTTGAAGTGTGAAACCGTATGACGTACCTGACGTGTCTTCGCTGTGAATCTCCCAGCCCTGCTATGGATTGCGGGAGCTAGAGCAAACGATCAACGGGTGCGGGGAGGGCGAAGTATTTGTTTGCGAGCTAGAAGAGAGCAGCAGGATGCGGGAGACACAGACTCTTAAATATGTCAGGTCAGTGAACAATTGAAAGGACGAAGCAGCGGTGAAGTTGCAAGTTGCAAGTCAAGGCCGTGCATGAAAACCCCCTGCCCGGATGGCCATCCGGTGGTCTAATCAGTGTTGGGATAGGGATACCGACATCTCAGGTGACGTGTAAGGGGGATCGTGCAAAGAGAGAGGAGACGGAATGCGAGAGAGTCGGCGCAGGTGGACATGCGATGTGACGAGAGTCGAAGGAGAAAGTTTCTTTTTTGCGAGAGGAGGCGGGGGCGTAGTTTATGGCATGGATGGGAAGGGATGACGGAGGCCTACTGAGGTGGTACAGTACGTACAGGGAACCGCGACCGACGCGCCGACCATCGCGCCAGGTCCCGTGATGCATTCTTGTCCCCAGCACCAAAACGGCGGGTCTGCGAGTTTGGGCGTGTGGGAAGGCTGGCCTGGTGTCAGAGAGTGCTGGGCAGGAGCTGGGCAGGAGCTGGGCAGGCCAGTGTCTGCCTGGGTGCCTGTCTGGGTGCCTGTCTTGGTGCCTTGCACTTGCATGAACTGTTCCCAGCTTCACGCGTCACACACGTCACACGCGTCACGCGACACCGACACTGCTTGCCTCGTGCCTCGCACGCAGGCCAGAAACAACCTCCTCAGCTTTTTTTTACTTTGTCTCTTCTTGCCACCTCCCCTCACTGGAGGAAGAAGGCTCGGCGAGTCGGTGTGGACTGTGGATCATGGAAGACCCTTGGTCCCTCCCCGTCTACTACTGGTAGTGCGGTGGGTCAGATGTTTGCTCGAGCCTCTGGGGCTGTACTTAAAGAAGCCAATCGGGCCCCATACAAGCAACCTGCCCCCAGCTGGCTGTCTGGCTGACTCGGAACCGCCATAGCCGCCTCACCGGGCCGAGTACAAGTCAGCACTCTCGTCCCTCCACCAGCTCGTCGGCCGCTGGGTTCTCGTTTGGTTCCCACGATCGATACTTGGTAGCCTCGTCATCCAGCGCTGTCTGCAACATTCAAGGACTCAAGGTTCCCCCTCAGCCCTGCAGACCTAAAAGTCCGACTATCTCCGATTGGAAGGGCAAATGAATGAATATTGTAACACGGGCATTTCAACAGTCCGAAGCCCGCAAATGTGGCTGGAAGGCTGCATTTCGGGGCGTGTACGCCAATCAGGTGCCCACAGCGGCTCATACCCCTGTAAGACTTCCAAACATTTTGATATCACGATCATTCTCTCTTAAAGCAACGACATTCTTGGACCTCCCACAACAAGCCGTACGTAGGGCGCAGTTGCCTTCTCAATCTCCTAGAAGAGTATTCCAAGCCTTAATTTTTACCTTTGCCGAGAACATTGGACGGCATCATGGCGCAGGCAGAGACACAAGGGGGATCAAAGGCCACCTCCATCACCGAGACGACCTTTGAAGACCCGAAGAAAGAAGAAGTAGAAACCACCGAAGCAACGGAGCAAGTCGACATGGATTCTCAACCTACAGCCCTCAAGGAGCAGACTACCGCCACAGAGAAGGAGGCCCAGGCCAATCTGGATGCGGAGGAGGACATGCAATATCCACATGGCCTCAAGCTGGTTGTTATCCTCGCGGCTCTCTGTCTTGCCGTCTTCCTCGTCGCCTTGGACCAAACTATCATTGCAACTGCAATCCCAAAGATTACAGATCACTTCAACAGCATCAAGGATATTGGATGGTAGCGATTTCCCCTCATCGGCCCCTTGGCAGCCAGCTAACTGTAGTAGGTACGGCAGCGCATATTTCCTTACGGCAACGGCCCTTCAGCCTACCTTTGGCAGGATCTATACTATCTTCAATGTGAGTGCTTGAGCCCAATCCAACTAGAGAGCCACTGACACAGCCGAAGATCAAACTTGTGTTCATTTCTGCCATCGTGCTCTTTGAGCTTGGGTACGTCATATCAGCCCAACAGCCGTGCTTGCGACTAATCATGTAACAGCTCTCTTGTCTGCGCGACCGCTCCTAGCAGTGTTGCGTTGATTGTTGGAAGAGCTATTGCTGGTATGGGCACTGGAGGCTTGTTCTCAGGCGCGATTGTCATTATGGCCTATTGTTGTAAGTACCACCAACGGAATCGTTCCATCGAAGAACGCCAAATCCTAGATTCGCATTCCGTTATACAACGAAATGAGGCACGCCACCTCCTTCAGAAGGCTGACACGTCCAGTGCCTCTTCGAAACCGGCCAGCTGCTTTTGGATTGATTGGGGGTATGTGGGGAATTGCCTCCGTAGCTGGACCTCTCCTCGGCGGCGTGTTTACGCAAGTTGCCCTTTACAACTTCAAGACTTTTCTAACCAGCACCTAGTGACCGAATCAGTTGGAGATGGTGCTTCTACATCAAGTAAGTACCTGTCCTGCAGCCGTAAACAGTCATGAAAGCTTACACCCTCAGCCTACCTATCGGTGCCCTGTCGATCCTAGTCATCGTCCTCTTCTTGCACATCACACGAGAAAACAACCCAGAAGGACTGACAATCCCTCAGAGAATTCTCAAGCTCGACCTAATCGGCGCCTCGATCCTTGTTCCCGCCGTCGTCTGCCTGCTTCTCGCCCTCCAGTGGGGCGGTTCTACATACGCATGGAACAGCTCTAAGATCATCGGCCTATTCGTCGGATTTGCCATTCTTGCTCTTATCTTCATAGCCTCACAACTTAAGCTCGGCGACAAAGGAACACTGCCTCCGCGTTTGTTCCGCAACCGCAACGTCTGTCTCGCTCTAGCATTTTCATTTGTTTTTGGTTCCGGATTCTTCACACTCATTTTCTACCTAGCCATCTACTTTCAGTCGGTTAAAGGCAGCACCGCAACCCATGCAGGCATCCAGCTCCTCCCTCTTCTGATATCCACGGTTCTCTCTTCGATGCTCACAGGCGGACTGATCACGGTGATCGGATCCTACGTCCCCGTCATGCTCTTCTGCATGGTACTCTTCGCAGTCGGAGGCGGCCTGATCACAACCTTCTCGCTCACAACCCCCCTCTCAGCCTGGTTCGGCTATCAAGTCCTCGCAGGCCTTGGAATCGGAGTAGGTTTCCAAAGCGGAGTCCTGGTCGTGCAAACCGTCCTTCCCCTCTCCGACGTGCCCGTCGCTACGGCCTGTGTCTCATTCTTCCAAACACTAGGCGGTGCTCTCTTCATCTCCGTTGCACAAACACTCTTCCAGAATGCACTACTTAGCGGCATACAAAAGAACGCCCCCCAACTTCCTGCACAACTGTTCTTGCACAGCGGTGCCACGCAGATCCGCGAGATTCTTGCCAAACTACACCAAGAAGATGCTCTCGAAGCCGTCTTACAGGCATATGTTGATGGTTTGACACACTGTTATTGGATTACGACTGCTTGCGCGATTGCTGCGTTCTTCTTCGTTTGTGGATTGGAGTGGAAGAGTGTAAAGAAGGGACATGGACAGGATAAGAAAGAGGGCGACGCGGAGGCTGTGAAGGAGCCTGTTACTGCGTTTGCGTGAAGTGGAGAGGCACTCGGTCCTCTTCTCTACTCCGAATGTTCAGGATGATTTGGCTGTATAAAAGATGATCTTCTCTCTCTCGTTTCCATTTTTTGTATGATTCTTGGTTAGTAGGGGTTACTTAATTCAGAAATCAAAACCAAAAGTACAAAGCCATCGTCGTAGCCAACAAATCTCCTATCAAGAAACAACGGAAACCCCGTCGTTTGATTGTGGATTGAAATTCAGCAGTACATGGGACGAGCCAGGGTGACAGTGGCTGGTTTCTACTCAGTAATCAGTTGATCGGCCAAAATTGATTGGCTAGCTGATTACGGTTAATCAGTCCCGATTGGGTAAAAAATTAAACTCCCTAATCTATCAAAAAGTTGTAAAAGAAAATTTATATAGGGGTATAGCTTACCTTCCTTTTCATCAAAAAAAAACTATAAAAAAAATTAAAAAATAAAAACTTAAAAAATAAAAACTTAAAAAATAAAAACTTAAAAAATAAAAACTTAAAAAATAAAAACTTAAAAAATAAAAACTTAAAAAATAAAAAAAAAATAAAAACTTAAAAAATAAAAACTTAAAAAATAAAAACTTAAAAAATAAAAACTTAAAAAATAAAAACTTAAAAAATAAAAACTTAATAATAACTCGTTTTAATTTTAAAAGATATCTCGTGTTCGTATTAGGAGACCTCAGATTTTCTCGGATCTTTACCTTCCGTACGGATACCTTCGTAACCTGGTGCTACAAAGGCGTAATCGATTGGCAATTGACAAAATTATGATCAGAAACCAGCCTGTTGGGAACAGCTTGCGAGCCGAGCGAACACGTACCACCGACTGACTGTATTCATCCCAGCACCACGCCCGGTATGAATTTCTGCTGGACACAGAGGGCAAGTAAGACATTATCATTACGCTCTTTTGGGGAAATTACTTTTAAGACCGATCGCCTTCTGAAAGTACCGAATCGCTTTGGGAGAACCAGGCTTCACGTCTCATACATCCTTCACTGCCACGCTTGTCATAACAGATGGGCATGATCTCAATTTCTTTCGATTAAACAACTAAAGCACCCATCTTCTCTAAATCTGATCAAACACTCCAATCAATCCACGCAGTATTCCCGAATCTCCCATCCGGATACTGGAAAACCTTCTGCGGACTACTATACTGCGCCCACTCCTCCGGGGTCAACTGCACGTCAAACTTCGCCGCCTCCCTGCCCGTAACATTATATCCGGGTCCGTAATCCCTATACTCCGCCTGCAGCGTATAATTATTGTATCTCGCGGGATTCCAATCAATATAACCCGTGCTCAGAATGCTCTTGTCCAAGTACGTGTAGGCGAAGATCGAACGCATCTGAGCGTTCCAAGGGCGACCTAGAGCGCACTTTCCGGTGATGTTTAGGGAGGAGTTGGCGGCGTGGACGTTGGAATCGACAATGTAGATTCCGTAGGCATTGGGGAAGGAGGTATTGGTGCCTTTCCAAGCTGTTATGCCACCTCCGCAGGAGCGCAGGGAGATGGAGGTGGATTCAACCCAAGCGGTGCCAAAACCATAGAAGAAGTCGGTTTGTCCGGCTACCTCGCTGTTCTTTATGTATGCGTTTCCGAGCTTGCCAACATAAACCTAGAAATTATCAGACCTCGTGAAATAGCAATCGGTCAGAACAGCCTTACTGTATCTTGGTAACTATAGAAACCGGTGTAATAAAATCCTCCATTGGCATAACTGATACTCAATGCCAACGAGGGGTCATCCGCTATTCTTTATTAACCTCTCCCTCCGCGTATGGCAACGGCAGACTCACAATAAGGCGCAAAATTGTTAACAAAGTTCAAATTATAAGTCCTGAAATCCACACATCCGAACGGTGTCCCAGACGGCACAGCAAAGCCTGTGGGTCCGCTGCCTGTCAGGGAAGCGTTCAGATTCGGGGCTACGGTCAAGGTGCTGGTGAAGGCGTTGTCGAGGCCGGGCACGGCAATGGCGGCCCATATTATGTTTACTGTGTTGTGAGACTGGGAGGTTGGGTGGGCGGTTTGGCCGATGAGGTAGGTGGGCCCGCGGCGGGTGACATTTACCTGGGGAGTTTAGTAGGGGATCTAGAGGGATGGAAAGAGGGGAGGTACTTGTTCGGTGTAGTTCCCGGAAGCAATTAAAATTATGTAGGTATCTGCGAGTCCTGTCAATGCCACCTCAAATCTTCTCGTCAGATCAAACAGTCATACCAGTATTGTTGGGTAATGATGCCACAGCTGTCATATTGTCAGCTCGTGATTGAGTTGATGGAGGGAGAAGCTTGCCTGACTGCACGGTCTTATATTTTGAATCGCTGCTCACAACATCCACGTAAACTGTCCGTTTACGGTCACATCCCTCCAGTGGATCTCTGGAGTATGCCTGGCAACTATGTCGATCATTCTGACTATTGATATCCCAGCCTGAGACTAGAGATAAAAACGTTGCTAAGAATAGGAGCAGAATTGGAAAGGAGAGATTGCGAGTCATTCCGATTTTCGTAAGCTCCAGTGAATTTCAAAGTGAGATGACGAATTGACGCAAATTGAGAGGCTCCACACTGATCTTTTCGAGGAGCTCAGTGTCACATCAGCGGCTTCAAGAAAGACAGCAGATTAAAAGAGCCCAAGCACAACGAGGGGAAAGAAAAAAATCGAGGAAATTCATGACTTCATATCTACCCCTTTCCATCCACATCGTCGGAAAAATGCCAATCCATACCATCTCTCCAATATTCCCAGGATTTAAATCCCCATGTCCTGGTCCCCGACCAAGAGCTCCAATCCAACCACGACATTAGGAAGATCGCTCCCACGGCCGAAATAAATTGAAGCTTTCGCGGGCCAGGCCAGGCACCGCGGGGGTCTAGCGCATTGCGGCAAGAGCCAGGGGCCCGGATAATTCGGTGGGGCGGAGAAGATGGAACAATCGTTGCGGGGGCGGGGAAGAGTTTGTCCGCGAATCAGGGGGAGGCGGTGTGTGAAGTGGAGAACGAAGAAAAGCATTTCATCATGTTCATGTGGAATATCCGCAAAGAAAGGTACTCTCTCGCTTTCATTTGATCATATCAGTATGATGTGGAGACAGTGGAGTCGGGACAATACTGGTGATTGGTGGAAAGGGAGCCAGGTCTCACCTGGGCCAATCTTCTTGAATCCACGTGAAGTCTGTACCACCAGATTGGGGCTTCGACTTGCCTTCATCTGCGCACAAATTGGCACCCTTCAGCCCGCTGCTCCGACAAGCCGCTCGATTCTCGCTTCATTCGTCACATTTCCCACGTTCTCCTTCTCGAGCCTCTTTATCTCAAGCCATACATACATCCTCCCAATAGTGCAGAAGTTCTTGACATTGATATTGTGAAACCCCTCTCTCGCACGGTGTCGAGAAGCCTGATAGCACATGTCTCTCTTTTTTGGAGAAGCCGATCTTGCCCTTGAACTGTCATTGTGGGTGGTCGTAACTGCATTGTGTCTAATGACTCCGAGCTAGGAACTTATGAAACGAAGACACTTAGCCGCTCTAACCTCACTTGCTCACATTTAGAACAGGAACTCTGCAAAATACTTGGCCGTGGTCGTTATGTTGGAGTCGCCTTGCCTTCCCCTTCCTGTGAGATCTAGTGCAGCTTACTCTGCTTCTTACTTTGCAACTGATCTGGATGATCATTGTCCAGTACTCCACTAAGCCTTTATAGAATCTTGGTAAATGTCAGTATGGCTGTTCTTCAAAAACAACCAAGCATAAGATATTGCGTACCTTTCTTCGGCTGGAGGCTTGGCTATCCTGGATAAAATACAACCCGTTTGTCCTGTTGAGACAAGCCCCTCAAGGTTGCTTTGGTCGTCCCCCTGATTGATACTTCATTGCGAACAGCAACTCTCCATCTTGTAGATGTGAAGCTTGATGTTGGGCGGTGCGCCTGATCTTTCTAGCTGAATCAAGTGTGACTTGTAAACAGCAGAGGATTGTTTCCCCGCGGAAGCTGAACAATGGACCGCTCAAGAGTTTAGACCAAAGCAGAATTCTGTAATCGTTGGATTGTTCACCGAGCCCGTGACGGAAGTAGTGGCCGCACCGGGCTGTTTGATGGATCAACGCGCACCAAATCAAAGCATGATGGTGGCCTTGAAGCAAGCGGTGGGGGCTATTGTCTCAGCCATATCAAGCCTTTTGAAGGGACGGAATCGAGGATATTGACAAGTGCCAGTGAGGTTGAGGTGCTTAAGTCCACCAGTGATTCACGCTTGTAGGTCGAGCTATGTTCCGCTAAGTAGCTCAAGGCCTAGAATGTTCAATTATTAGCCAATTGTCAGAATTGCAGAGTGATATCAGACTTAAAATCTTTTAATTCGGTGGTTTTATCCCTCCAGAGCCCACCCTTCTGGCCGATATGGCGCGGTGTTGGCGGCCGAAGTGTGGAAAGGCTTCCCATTGGGGAGGAGGGGGGGTGGGGGCGGGAGGACGTCGCTGCTGAGTATTCGAGCCAGTGTCGTGGTTTGATCCCTCCAGAGACCGCCCTCTTGCCGATGTGGCGATGATGTTCGACGTGGAGATAGATAGGTGGTCTCTGGAGGACAGGATCTGCTTTCTGGCCACAATGTGAAGGTATTTTTTGCCTCTCCAGATGTCTCCCCGTGGTCGATGTGGCTATATTTTGAAAAGGAGAGTGTAAGAGTATGCAGGGAGACCTCTGGAGCGGTCTGAGGAAGTCACATGGTAACTTTGGTGGAGCAGAAGATTGAAGTTCGAAGAATGATGGAAGAAGTGGTGGAAAAGGGATCGAAACTGAAGGGAAAGATCATAAAAATTGGGCTTTTTGCTTAGTGTTGACGGCCTCAGGAGGATTTCCGCCAGGGCAATAAAGCCCATCTACCGCTTGGCTGTGCTATAATAGACATTCGGTTCACCCACCATCTAAAAAGCAATGGTACCCCGTCAGAGAACGTCAAAACGAGTCATTGTATTTCTAAATGTACAATCAGAGCTTGCTGGCAGGCGCAATGAGCGCAGATGCTTTGTTCAAAGTCTCCTCTGCCTCCCGCTCAATCCTCTTGACCAACTCATCACATGTAGGGATATCATGAATGAGGCCAATTACTTGGCCTGCGGTCCAAACCTATATACTGGTCAGTCATTTATTCAGAAACAGAACATTGGCTTACTCCATAATCAGGATCTCCATTGATGAAGACCTCTCGACCCCTTTTGCCGCTTACGTATGGCGCGACCTCCTCGAATTTGCCCGTCTTACTCTCCTTCTCGATTTTCACCGCCGCATCTGTTACTTTATTCTTATATAACCGGCTGGTATTCTTCCATCGTCGGAGTACGAGCTCTGTATCGGTTTCTTGGGCTCTGACGATCTCCTCCTTGATGTTCTTGTGGATGGGTGCTTCGACAGTACACATAAATCTGGTGCCCATATTGATACCCTCAGCTCCCAAGCTCAGAGCAGCCGCAAGTCCTTGTCCATCTGCAAAGCCTCCGGACGCAATGAAGGGCACATCGAGAGATTGCCGAGCTCGACTGAGAAGAATGAAATTCGTAATGTCTGTCTCGCCAACATGTCCAGCACACTCGAAGCCGTCGATGCTTAGGAAATCAACACCAAGTTTGATGGCACTCTGGGCATGACGGATGGTGGTACACTTGTGGAGGATGATTGTGCCAACAGCCTTTAGCTTTTTGATAACTGGTCCAGGGCTGTTCCCGGCTGTCTCGACAATTCGAATGCCCTCATCAATAGCCACTTGTGCGTATGCTCCATAGTCAGGTGCATTCATGGACGGAAGAAGTGTGATGTTGACGCCAAACGGTTTATTGGTCATTGTCTTGCATTTTCGGATTTCCTTTCGAAGGTCTTCCGGTGTTGGCTGCGTGAGAGCAGTGAGGATGCCCAACCCGCCCGCATTGCTGACGGCCGATGCGAGCTCAGCATATCCAACCCATTGCATGCCTCCCTGAACGATGGGAACTGGAGTGGCAGAGTATCAGCATCATCGGCCTGAAGGATATTCGAATGGGGCCTACCTTTGATGCCCAGCGCCTTCGTCAGCTTTGTATTGAATGGCATTGTGTTTGATGTATGATGTGGGTGAAGAGAAGGTTGGTGATCTGTACAAAAGGACGCTCTATTCTATCATTCTCTATAATTTGTCGTCTACGGGAGTGGTGAAGTGGTCAACACTCATGTCGGCTTTGTTGACATGAGCTCTTGATGTCCTTCCCCACGATCGTTTTGGCCGGGGCCGAGGCACAGGCACACTGAAGTGTACCGAGCGTCCCTGTGAAGATTACTCATCATCTCTCCTCTTCTCGCGATCTCATGACTAGAGCTTGTTGACTCAGACTGCTCATCACGATCATTTATTTGCAAGAAGGATTTCAGGAATTTCAAGAAAGAGCAAACTGCTCACGTGAGCAGGCCCAACGGAGGTCCATCTCCCTTCCAAGGCGAAGTCGAAGTCGAACTCGTCGTCGGACCCCAATCCCCCGAATCTCGCAAGGAAAATTTCAGCCCGAGGAAGTTCTCTTCTGGAAACCGGCCCCTGGCTCGGAAGCAGACACTCAGATATCGGAATGATCAATCCCGCGGCCTTTTCTATGCAGTCCTACCCTTGGCTTACTCCCGTTATTCCAGGGCCGAAAAGAAGGCTGCTCTCGTACCACTTGGGCAGCAATGCTGGATGATGCGCTGGTCAAGCAAGGCTGCCTCGAAATAACAAGGCTGTAGCAATATATTACTTGGCTTCCTCTGACGTCGCCACGCTACAGCTCCATCGTTTGTTTTGATGAGTGAGCACAGCTCAATGGATGAAGTTGTGTATCAGCAAGGCGAACCGCCAAGTATGCTCAATGGTCTGAGATCTGAAGGCTTCCAGACATGACGCACGATCCGACTGGCCAGTGTGCAGCTTTCTGTATGCTTGGCTCTTCAACCGACGTTTGTTAAGACTCTTTGCTCTCATCTGATAAAACGCCTGCTCTCTTGAGACGCAGCATCAGGTCACCCCGCGGGACAGGGGCTTGCCCGTTTCTTCGATCTTAGATCTGAACGTTAATGCAGGAGTGGTCAGACCCTGGGCTCAAGCCGGATCCGCAGTCCATTTCTTCTTGGATGGTCTGGTCTCCCAAGGCGTCGGGATCTTTCTCAGTCTAGATTGGCAGAGCGGTGAAGGAATATGGTCACGATGGCAGATTGCTGATCAGAAGATTCTGGACAAAGATGCAAGTTGCAGGGCTGATTGCTTGCACAGTACCGTCTGGTCTTGCACCGATCACCAGTCGAATGGTTTCTCCGAGCCATAACTTCGAATCACGGAGCTTCCTTGCAGACACTGAGAATCCGTCGTATAAATTTCATGTAGCCACCCGTTCCTGCAGTGGAGCTCGATCGATGAGTCTCGGACATCTACCGCATTCGGGGAATACAGATTGATAGTCACCCGTTGCAGGACTTGAAAGTTTAGTCCAACCTATCACAAGAAACAATTTTGATCTCGTCGAATGTCCGGCATTTTACTGTTTGGCCTAGAGATGGTGGTTCAGTTTTCATCTCCGCGCAATTGGGTTTTTGAAAAGTGCCCAGGATCTGCATCTACAAACGTAGTATTGGTTTTTCGATCAAAAGGAAAATGGATAACACTGAGGAAATTGCAAAAACTTATCAAGGTCTCAGCAGCAATTACTGCGCTCTTAAAAACCATTCATGACAAAAAGTATTGGTACTTTGGTTCGTCCTACTTTGGTCTCCATGCAGCGCGGCTTGTTCGAGGCAAGAAATACCGTTCTTAATTGGGCTCCCATTTGCCTCACTGCGATTTCCCCCCTCTCCCCACCCGAAGCATGCTCACGCACCTGCCCAACTCGACCCTCTCTCCCACCGTCCCATGACAATTCGGGCCTGCAAGAAGCTGTAAGAGACTGTAGCGCTGGCTTTGCATCTCCACTACTCCCGCCTCATATTGCTTTTTCGAAGTCATTCGGTACGGTCGTACATGGACTTGTGGTATCTCACCGATGGGACCAGCACACACGACCCTATGTTCTTTTCGGTTGATCGACGTTACTTCTTCGAACAACATTTCTCCATCTGTTCAGATGCATTCTGCCGAAACCGACCTGACTCTAGCTGCCGTGTTGCAGTTGCATGTATGGAGACGCAAACGCAGCAAGTTTTTTTTTCCCTCATAGTCTGACTGCCACCTCACTGCCCAACACCTCCCCTTCTCCCCTTAGATGTTGATGAGCATCCCAACGACCTATAAGAACTCCATCGAGCCTCCGCTTCCTGCAGACCATAACGCCATATCCGGCACCCATAGTCCCACTGTTTCGGCTCCGCACCCCAAGCTATACATAAGCTCTTCCTCTTAGCTGTTCATCTCGAGAGGATAAACAAGAATGTCGTATTCAAGCTATGGCTCTGGAGCTGCAACTTGGCAAGAGAGACTCGAAGGTACGGCACGACCACTCTTCTGTAGCAATGGCTCTGTCTGACCATGAATAGAAAAATGCCGCGAAGCTCAACTCCACCCTCCGGTATTCCAAATCATGTCAGACAGGCGAGGTACGCAATTGCTTGCTCAGAAACTCGCAGAAGCAGCAGTTGGCTTACAATACCTTAGGCGGACGGACAGCATGGTCTAGCACGGTGACAGTTCAGGGACAGAACATCGCCGCGAGGTTCTGGTATGATGGACAGCACGTCAACAACGCGAAAGAGGACGCCGCAGAGGTAGCGTTGAAACATCTCGTTGGATCGAATCCGGGCTCCCCTCAACAGAGTCGAAGCAGGTGGTAGCGACGCCTGAACACACATCGCCGGATGATGGAGACTTCAGCGGATATGTTGAATTGGCATGTAGGATAAGGGTCATAAAGGATCACCATACGGTACAGCATTGGTTGGCGCAAAATAATTGGCTTTTTGGCGTCGGGTTTGCTATGGTCTTCACGGGACGGCTTTGGCGCTGGATTATGACAGGATACTTTTTTTGGATATTTGTCTACTTTCTTCAGAAGAATGGGACGGAAAAGCTCTAGACATGACCACGGATTTGTTTCCATACGGCTTATAGTTTCAACTACATAGTATCCTTACTATGACTGGATTCCTTTCTCGGAAACAGGCTAGTAAGCCATTTCTCTGCTGTGTGAATAACACCCATTTGGAACGTAACCAGTGTTGAAGAAATTCTTGATAACGAAGATCTCGTCCAAGGTCTTATCGTCTGACAAGGGTCCCAGCATCCCGGTTCTGTCAAACAGGAACATCGATCTCCCCTGGAGTTTACCCGTGCTTGCGGTCCCTTCCCTCGCGCGTCTTGTCTTGTATTACCACAAAATTCAAGTAAAAAGCTGAGAACAGCCATGATTTCGTCTCTGTCCTTTCCAATTATAAAATCTTGATTGAAGAAGAGGAAATTGCTTGGTGCTTCTCGAGAAGTTTTGTCTTCAATTTCGGAAAGGCGTGTTTTGAAAGCAATTTCGTTGCGGAACCCCCTCTTTGGCATTTTCGTGGACGTTGATTGGCTGATGTAGGGAGACTTCATGCCTCATATCTCTGGCCACAAGGCGCCCAAGCAACTCGTCCAAAATTTGAGCATCTCGAAATTCGATGACGAGACGACAGCTTAACAACCTTCACTATGTCTCCAAGATTGAACTTATTTGGCGCAAGCCGATCGCTTGTTATAAGGGCAAGGCCTTCAATTACCTCCCATCAATCTTGGATTCTACCAGTGGTGTCACGGAGAGGCTTTGCAGACGAGAAGGGCCCGAATGCTCCAAAAGGCCCCAATGAAAATGCTCTTGGGCATGTCAGCGAAGAAGCTGCTGATATGAGCAATATAATGGGGGAGACAGGACCTGACTTGGGTCAAGGAACTCCTGTACAAGATGTATGTTGAAGAATGCTTAACTGGATAGCTTCCATGACATCAGAACTCGGGACAATTTACTGAGCATTCGCAGATTCTCAAGCGTGACAAAGAGGGCAGGGGCAAGGCTCCAGAAGTTATTAAGGAGGAAATGGATGGCAACAAAGCAGACTCAACCTCATTCGCGAATTTGCTCTCACTGGGACAACTGGAGAGCATCGCAGCTGGCGGCCATGGCACAGATCCAGTCACGGTAGACACTGTGGGTCACAAGTACGCGCTGCCCGACCTACCATTACCCAAGAATGCCAATTTCAAGTACCGTTATGATCCAATTGTTGCCCAAGTTACAAATCTCCTGATGAAGGATGGCAAACTGAGCGTTGCCCAGAGGGTAGGCTCGTCAGTTTCTCTATTTTTATATCTGCGTTGCTGTGCCGCGCAGACTCCTCTTAGGAATTGGGATGCTAATATGATCTTCGTTCTGATAGAATATGTCATTCATTCTAAACCACCTCCGAACCGCCCCTCCGCCAGTCCCTAATCCCGTTCGACCTCTCCTCCCAGGTGCTCCGCCGCCAACCCATCTACCTCTCAACCCAATCGGCTATCTAACTGTTGCCATCGACTCGGTAGCCCCGCTTCTCCGCATCCGTTCTCAAAGGGGTGCAGCTGGTGGTGGAGCCGCATTACAGATTCCAGTGCCTCTCGGCCTGCGGCAAAGGAGACGCCAGGCTGTACAATGGATTCTCGATGCTGCGAACAAGAGGAAATCACGGGGGAGTGGAAAGAATCAATTTGCGTTGCGGGTTGCGGATGAGATTATAAACGTGGTCGAGGGGAAAAGTTCTGTTTGGGAGAAGAGGCAATTGGTACACAAAACTGGGACATCAGCGAGAGCAAACCTGAATTATAAGCCAGGTGGATTCAGGAGATGATGCATGTTTATGTTTGGTGTATTATACTCAAAATATATGGCAAGAATTGCTAATGCAATGACACGGCAACTCAACTATTTTTGGCGACGAGGAGATCCGCCAGGAAACGCTACGGAGGTCATCTGTAAGGGATATGTAAGTACGTTTCTTGATAATGTTGGGACATTCGACTCGATCCTCCCAAACAGGTCACCCTTTAGAAGGGACTAGCGTTTTGCAGAGACTAGCCTTAAGCCTTTCAAAGAACCAGCCTTCAGACATGCCAAGCCTCCCGCCATCAGACCTCGTTACATACTGCCTAAATACCTTTCCCGCCCCTCCAAACATGATCCATCACTTTCCGAAATTTCTTTTCCTCTCACCGTCCAATCCATCTCTCAAACCTAGCCGCGAGGCCAATATGACAGCTCTTCCCCGCGTTTTTAATCTCTAGGCACCCAGTTTCTGGGGCGGCCGAGATCTCTGGCACTGTTGCTTCCTTTTGGATCGGTGATAGGGATCTGGAGGCGTCGATGCCATGTGGTTGAGAAGAAGAAATGTAGGCTCCATTCATTGTAGAAGTAGGGGAAGGATCAGCATCTGAATAGTTTCTTGCTTCTTACAGAGGTGGCGATTGGGATTTGGATGTTCACACCTCCGGGGACTAAAGGGAATTACTTGTACAAGCTTACTAACATGTCCACGCAATTAAATATCTGATGAGGGAATTACCGTCAGGACCTCGTAGTTAGGTCTTGAGGTGTTATTGCATCAAACTGGGTTCGGCAGAGGCTTGCCTTTGGCAGATCCAGAGCCCACACTTTCCTTAAATACCTTCAGGCTACAAATTTCTACAGTCGATTTCCAAGGCTGCTGTATTTCACTACTCTTATTTCCTCCCAACTCACTGGCTTCTCCAAACAGCAATGAATGCCTTGGCTTTAGTCTCAAAGAGCGTTTACCGATCGCCTTGGCCCCACAGTCCAAGGCGTTGAATTGCAAGCAAAACAGTTTTGAATTTCGCGCCATGAGAAATTCCTCGACATGAGTCATGACCAGGTGACCAGGAGGAAGTCTGCATTCCAAGATGTTCTCGCTTTGATTAAAATTTCCTCCGTATAAGAGTTGTCTCACGCTTTGGGCAATCCTGGCGTTGAAAAGCGGGACGGTTTCTATGTGCGAAAGTACGAGGAAGATAAAAAACATTCATCTTTGAGAGGTTTAATGAGCCGAAAGGTAAGGCGGCACCCCTCTATCAGCCCAGGTCCGGAATCTGACTGCTGAGGCCATTTGGGGTGCTCGAGTTCGATTGTTAAGCGTTAATAGCTATCGGCGTCCAGTCTTGTGCGGTCGTTGAGGGTTCGGAATAATTGCTCTACCAGTGTCGTATCTCCTAATAAGAGTCAACTTCGTAAAAATGTCAAGCCAGTATTCGGAAGAAGTTAAACGTTCACAGGGATATTAGAATGGACCATGTTTAAAATGGGGGGGGGGGAGGAGTTGAGTTGAATCTAAACTTGAGCGTTAATGTAGCTCTCGTCTAAACCCCTGAATTTTATCCGAGCTTCGGTTAAATTTTCAGATAAAAGGGGGAGAAGATCAGCAACGGTAAATGTGAAGAGCTTGAGGTTTGGGGTGAGAGATGCGAGGCTTCCGATTTCGCATTTCCATTGAATTATTCCTTGTGTCTTTAAGTTTTCAGGACGAAAAGACCCGGACAGGCATCTAACGCAAATTGGAAGCCGCAGGTGCCATTGCCCCACAATATGTCACCCAATATTCTAATTTGAAAGGCCCGACTTTGCTCTTGACATTGAGATTCAAGCTTCACTGCAACACTCTCTCCTGTCTTTCCTCTGCATATCAACATCCTAATGCATTGTGCATGCAGAAGCGCTGCCAGAGGTTGCGATGCCGCCTGCGGACATAGGAGCTAAGAAACGGGCCGTTCCACCTCCTTTGACAAGTTCATTCGGTGCTCTTCAACCTCTTTACAGTAGTGCAATATGATAGATCACAGATTTAAAAGAGAGGACGGAAGAGGCCGGAAGCGCACACCGTTGAAGTACATGCCGCTTGGTAAGATTACTTTCGGCGAAGAAAATCAGCCGTACGGGAGTAAAACAACTTGCAAGGTACCCGGCGGATCATGGTCAGTATGGCTCTAGAGTAATGACAGTGATGCGATACTCGGGAAGAGAAAAGCATTTCTAACAACATGGGTCCTGCACGTGCTCTCGTCATTGGCGACGTGTCGTGGAAGCGATGACCTTGCATCGGCCTGCAGAACATGGCTGTCAGAATTGCAGGGACGCTCGCACGCAATAGCTTCTTATCACTGTGGTCCGGCTATCTTGCATCTGGGTACGTATATTTCAATATGATGTGGCGTTGTCTGCCTTCAGTGCAGGACAACGCCGGCAAAGCGAAGAGGACCCTCTTCGTACTCCGCCCCGAGCGAATAAAGAATGACCACGCCAAGGGCTTTTCAGCTGGAGATGCAAAGCCAAGAGCTTGGATGCATAAGTTTCCATGGGTAAGCTTTAGGATTACCGGAACATGTCAGCCAGGAGTGGGGAGATAAGAAAGGGACAGCTTGGCGGCATTGCTGCGCCCTCTTTGCTTTTGATGCCAACAAGTCGACTGGGTTACGCAGCAGCGGTTGGTTTTCAAATTCAAGTGGACTTGTGCGGTGAGAGACAAGGACTTCTTTTCGCCCGAATTCGTACGCGCGGCAGAGGATCGACATCCGTGTTGTATATAAGGCAGGGCCAAGTCGAATTGGAAAGTACTTGAAGACAATGTCGAAGAACGGGAAAGTGTGGGGGAATAGAGTGGTGGCGGCGCTTGACAGGCAATGGCTGCCGGTCCCTTCAACCTTGAAGGACACGAGCGGGGAATCCTTATAGGGCTAGCCGCCGAGCTCTCCCCAGAAGGGACTTCACCATCTGTAACGCTTGGTACTTGGGGTCAAGAGAGATTGACTTTTGGACGGCTAGGAAGCCGATACTTTGGCCATACAGAAGCAACGGGAGCTCTGCACCTCAGAGCAAGATATCCGACTTCGGTGACCTGACGATCTCAACTACTCTGGTCGTGCTGCAAGTATGCAAGCCATGGTGCCACATGCATGCGCATGGGGTCGACACTGTGCATATTATTGTGCTCTGCGGGCGTCGAATCGCTGGATCCTCGCTGGAGCAGGGTGCTGTGCCCCCCTGTTTGATTCGGTAGAAGCCAGCCGGCCGCTAAATCTTAGGGATTATCCGACAAGACGAAGAGCTCTCTTAAACAACCCCGACAGCACAGCTCAACTCGACGACGCAACTCACCTCTTCCCCCCCAACTCTCACACTTCGAATCGCAGTGTGACTACCCAAAGCCGAGAGCATAAGATACATACAGTACATTTAAATCCCCTGCCAACCTGCCCAATCAGTTCTGCTGCTCTTTCCACGGCAACGACACAAGACCTGCTCACTTTTTCAACGCCTCCTCCGCCTCCCTACCTCGACTTTCCCGACACGTGGCCCACCGAACCTTTCTCTTTCTACACCTGAAGCATATTTCTCTGCGATTTCCCGCACAGCCTCCACCTCCACCGGGGCAGCGATCTACTGTACGTCGCGCAAAATCTACAGGCAACAGCACGCTCTAGCAATGACCTGAGCGTGAATCGAAATCTTGACCTCCAACCACAATGCAGTATCTCGAACTTGTCTGGACACCGCGACAGTTCATCAACCGATAACGCTGGAATATCCAAGAGCTCTAGCTGCTCTTGCCATATTCGAGTATACCCATCAGTTTGTCTTGGCATCGCCACAGCCTAAAATACTTACCTAGTTCGATATCGACAAGCCACAGCGCACAGATTCTACAGCAATCATAAATATGGCTAAGCATATGTCATTGGAGTCTATGTTGGATGAGGAGCGGAGAGATGTTCTAGCTTTGTTGGAAGGCCCGACAGCGGGGCGAACAAGAGGGTCCGCGAGCTCTAACACATCTGGACGAGCCTCGTCGCCTTTCACGAACCCTCGATCCCCTGTTCGAAGCATGTTAGATATCGATGGAGACGTACCCCCCAGGCGCTTGTCCAATGTGGGAACAAATGGTGGCACCACTGGTTCTCCACGGATGGCCCCGATTCGGAGCATGTTGGATATTGATACGCCGCCAGCAGCTCCCGTTCGAAGCATGCTGGATGTCAGTAGTCCTCCATCAACAGCAACTTCAAAAAGCGCCCAAACATCGCCAACAGAGGTGAATCATCGAGCACATATAGCGAATAGCGCACAGCATAGGAGTCTATCTGATGCGGCATCACGTCCTGTTGCATTCGGGCCCCGGACGAGTGCTACGAGTCTTAATAGCAATCCCGAATCGGCGTACCAGTTTTCTGGATATTTACCCAGTAACCCGGGAGGACCAGTGATTCCAAAGCGGAATACGTTGGCCGGCAAAAAGAACTCGCTACCGAGTGCTATGGCGGAGGTCGTGAGAGGGGGAGACTTCAGTGGTTTCGGGCCCCGAGACAGAGGACGGAACTCTTCAATTGGGGGAAATGGCCTCGTAGCAAAATCAAAATCTCCACACAATCGATTGGGCCAACGATCGAATTCTCCTCACCTCAGTCCAGACCCTTCCCTTCTTGTAATGGATGATGGACGAGTCATTGACATGAATAGCGCATACCGGCGATTGTCAGATGCAAATCTTGCGCTATCTCATGGAGGGTTATCTTCACTGAGTGGAAAGGGCAGACGTCGGCGTACAAACAGTGGGACCGCCGTGGGGTCAGCAGATTCCAGACTGGAGAAAGATTACACGCCAATAGACGGTGAAGATGCACTTCTCGATAGTAGTGACGAGGATGACTCGGACGAAGAGCAACGTCGGGGCAGAAAGAAGGATAGTAGACCTGATTCCAGTGAAAACGATCTCGAGAGCCAGACCCTTGGGACGGGAAAGGCAAAGGGTCCTCGAACAGCGCTGAGTTTGATGGCTGCCGCCGAGGAAGAACGTAAGTCTTGGCCACCACCTATGTGAGAATGTAGAGCTAACATGGCTAAAAGGCTTAGAAATCGCGACTCAACAGCACGAAAAGTACAAAGTCCGATCGCTTCTAGAGCCCGAAATTACAGTCACAGCCCCCTCGGGAGATAGAATGAGGTCGAGCAAACCTGGCGTTCATCCCAATACCAGCTTCGACGAAGGGGCATCCGGATTCAACACACCTGTGGATTCTGATACGGAAGCTGATCTCGAAGATGTCAAACGTGCTCAAAAACTTTCTATCAACATGACCTCCGTTGTCTCTACACCTGCTACGAGTCGTTGTGTACGTACGATTTATCGTGGTGATTTTGGCAAGATGCAGAAGGAGGCGCAGGACAATCAACGGCGGGTTCGTAAGTATCTGGTCGCTACGGATCTCAGTGACGAAGCTGCTCATGCCTTGGAGTGGACTATTGGAACTGTCCTTCGCGATGGAGATACTCTACTGGCCATTTACTGTGTTGATGAGGAGCTGGGAATCAACAATGATGGCAGCGGAGACGATCAAATGAAAGAGCAAGCAGCCGCAATTGCGGCTTCCACAAAGCCTTCTGCATCCACACCAATCCTCGGTTCTATTCATTCGTCAAGTCCTTTGGGATTCGGAGTTAGATTAGGATCTACGAGCAGTGCCAGTGAAAGTCCGATGGGAAGAGAACGGAGCAAAGCAGAGCAGGAACGCTATCGAGCTGTTCAAGATATCACTGACCGGGTATCTAAGTTATTGAGGAAGACAAAGCTCCAAGTGAAGGTCGTGATTGAAGTTATTCATTGCAAAAGCCCGAAGCATTTGATTACAGAAGTCATTGACTACATTGCTCCAACATTGGTCATCTTGGGAAGCAGGGGAAGGAGTGCGCTCAAAGGGTAAGTCGCCAATTCCTCCAATTATATATTTACTCAGCCCACTAACATGCAATACAGCGTCATTCTTGGCTCCTTCTCCAACTACCTTGTCACCAAGTCCTCCGTCCCAGTCATGGTGGCACGAAAACGTCTCCGGAAGCACACTAAGTATAAGCGTCCAGATATCCGCCTCGCCAACAACCTCTCCAACCCAGCGGTCAAGAGCCTGGCTTCTGCAAAGATTGATTAGAAACAACTCTGGTCTGATTTCATATCCCTGTCCATCTTTTAGCGCATTCGGCACCAAGGATACCTTTCATGGACTCGTGCTCCCTCACCCTGATTAGGATGTGCTGTACTTCAATTGGAGAATGTGCCCCCTGTGTCCTCTCCAATATACTATAAAATAGCATTGTATCAGCTTGCTCTCTTGGAATAGTGACTTACTCATTATCAAGGAACGGCGTTGATGGTTGGTTGAACGTGCGGTAAGGGAGGGATAGTTTTGTGTGCTTGTGTTTGGTTCCGAAATGAGGCATGACTCATGGCATGAACTACTGGTGGTCTTTGTGTTTTTCAAGGAATTGTTCTTGAAGTCTATTAGCAAGCTGGTGTTGGGGGCATGAATACCACTCTTTCTGACCATTGCAAGTTGATGTTATAATGACCTTGCGTCTGCCGAGGTGTTTCAAAAAAAGGTATGCACGCCAGCTTTATTGAACCCAATGATGCAGAAGACTCGACTCTTTAACGCACTACTTGGAAATGGAAATCTAAAAACCAAACGCGAATTGTTTCCAGGGTAGGTATATAAGGGATATTCTGGAGCATGTATCTCTTATGCCTCTGTGAACGTGAGTGCGGTCGAGAACTTGGGAACATAGACTAGATCCAATCTTACCTGCGGACGAGGAAGTTCCTCATAGGTCTAGGAGAGACCGCCCTGCCCGCTACTATGCGCCCTCTCTCCGCGCCTCTGTCTGGATAGCCTGGACCAGATCTTGTCGGGAATTAATCAATTTTCCTCTTCTTCGTTGGTGGGAGTGGCCTAAGAAACGTCAGAAGGGTTGGGATTGTATTCGAGCAGGGAACTTACACGGTGTAGCTGTGGCTGTGGGCATGAGTGTGTTCGAGTACTGGGTTCCCACTGGACTCTGCTGAGTCCCTTCCACATGGACTTCCTCCTCAATGGGAAGGGAAGCAAGCTCAGTCTCATATTGCTCGTGTTGCCATTCGGAGGCTTGCGGGACAGCAGTGACCTTTGTTATGGCATCAAGGCGGAGACGTGGGGTAGGAAGCTAGGCAACTTGTTCGTTCACCCTGGATCACTCTCGTTAGTCTTGTAAGATTACCAAGACTTAACAGAACAATCGAGACTACGTTGAATATGACCAATTCCGATCATGACATTTGCCCATCGTAGTGATGGCTTCCTTCAAGCGAGAGTTATCAGCATTAAGAAAATCATTCCGCGAAAGTCACATCAGAAGACACGGAGTATAAGTTTGCAATGTTTTTGTATTGATTCTTAGTCTAATTTAGAGCCGCATCAGCAGAACCAGACTGTCCAGACACACCCTGCAGCGAAAGCAGCAAAGTCATGAATCAACCCATCCGTCTTCGCCAGAAGCAAGGAAAAGAGACACCGAAAAGCAGGTAATGTGCCAGTCCACATGCGAGAGTGAAGCCTGCGGAAGCCGATGAAGCCCAGCGCACAAATAGTCTATGAGTACATGATCGAATGTTCATCCAGTCGATGACAGTCAATCAAGAAAAAGGAAATGTCGTGTAGAGGAAGCTAGCCGCAGCAGTAGAAGCCGAAAATCGAAACTTTGTGCCAACCCAGAAACAGAGAAGCGCAAAACTTTTCCGGCAGCCCGTCGCCGCAGCAGATTGACAATACGTGAAATGTGTATGCAGAAGAAGAGTCATTAGTGGGTATTGTTGTATGTGTAAGAGATTGGGCACTTAAGCCTTCTCTTCTGACTTCTCATCCTTCACGTCTCCCTCGCCAGCCTCGCCTTCTCCACCTTTGTTGTTCTTGACGTACTCATCATAGACGGTGAGGGCCTCGTCGACCTTTGCCTGAAGAGCAGAGTTGTCCTCGATGCTGAGTTGTGTTAGTAATAAGTTTTATTCCCAAGACATTGAAACTTACAGGTTGACAAGCTCCTGGTTATCCATCTCCAACAGCATACCAGTGATCTTTCCGGCCAGCTCGGGTTGCATAGCTTGGATCTTCGGGAACAAAGCCTCTCCGAGGAGTTGCTTCTGTTGCTGAGAAGGAACGGTCGCGAGTTGTGTTTGGAGAAGGGTTGCACCGCCAATTCCCTCTGGGCCAGCTTGGGGCATACCTGGCATTGGCATACCACGGCCAGCTTGAGGTGGGAATCCACCAGGGTATTGATTTGGGCGACCACCTTGAGCACCACGTCCAGCCATACCAGCCTGTCTAGTTCCTTGCGGGAAGCCAGCCATTCCTTGCTGACCAACACCTTGAAGACCAGCCATGTTGGGAGGCATACCCGGCATACCCTGCATTGGGCCACGTGCACTAGGTCCTCCGCGGCCACCGGCAAGAGCAGCAGCTTGTTGCGCTTGCTGCATGGCAGCTAAGAATTGAGGATTGCCTTGCTGGCCATACGGAGTTCCGGGGGGGAATTGGCCGGGGATACCGTACATGTTCGGTGGAAGCTGTTGGGGACTTGGGCCACCTCGTCCGCCTTGTTGTGGGGGAAAGCCACCAGCGAATTGACCAGGGCGAGCACCTTGAGCACCTGGCAGAGGCATACCAGCTTGAGGAGGGAATGGCATACCACGTCCACCGGCTTGCGGGACAAAACCAGGCTGCTGACCAGGAGGATAGAACATTGGAGCTTGCATGTATTGCTGGGGCATACCTGCGGCAGCGGCAGCTTGTTGCATACGGATTTGATTTCGGGCTTGAATGCTGGCCTCCAGCTGGCTCTTCCGAACATCCTTGCGTTGGGCGAGGGCAACGTAGAGAGGCTTGCCGTTGACCATGCGTTGGTTCATGTCAGTAACGGCCTTGGTGGCTTCCTCGGGGTTGTTGAAGCAAACGAAACCGAAACCCTTGCTCTTGCCCAAGGTACGCTTCTCTGTCTTTGCAGCCGCCTTGCTCTCGGAGTCTTCGTCTTCGGGCTTTGTCTCGCCCTCCTTCTCATTCTCCTTGTTCTTTTCACTCTCTTTCTTCTCCTTTTCCTCAGCCTCGGCGGTCTCCGCAGCAGAATCACGCATGACCTTGGCTGAGGTGATGGAGCCAAAAGGAGCGAAGAGCTCGCGAAGCTTCTCGTCATCAACCTCATCGTCAAGATTCTTCACGTAAAGGTTGACACCTTGGTACTTGGATGCTTTCTCGATACGTGCAGCCTCGTACGACTTTCGGAGCTCCTCCTCACGCTCGTGCTTCTTCTGAGCTCGGCCGACGTAGAGGTCTTGGCCCTTGAAATCCTTGCCGTTGAGTTCATCAACAGCCTTGGCAGCATGTTCATGGTTGATGAAATTGACGAATCCAAAACCACGGCTCTTGCCAGTCTCCTGATCACGAGCAAGGGAAGCAGACGTGACCTCTCCGTACTTCTCGAAAAGCTCACGGAATTCTTCATCTGTGACTTCAACTGGAATGTTCTTGACGTAGATGTTGGTGAAGTTGGCCTTCATCTCCTCAAACTTGCTCTGGCGGTCCTTCTTTGGAATGTGGTGGCCTACGAAAACTTTCTTCTCATTCAAGAGCATACCGTTGACGTGCTTGATAGCCTGGCTGGCAGCTTCATCAGTCTCGTAATGAACAAAGCCATAGCCCTTTGAAGCTCCGGTCTCATCCTGGGCGACCTTGCAACTGAGAATGTTTCCAAATGCTGCAAATGTATCGTGGAGAGCCTTGTTGTCGATAGCAGTATCCAAGTTCTTGATGAAGACGTTGCCCTGACCAGTCTTGCGAAGGGCAGGGTCACGCTGGGACCACATAATACGGCAGGGGCGTCCCTTGATCAGGGTGTAGTTGAGTTCCTCCAAAGCCTTCTCGCCATCGATAGTGGTATTGTAGTTGACGTAGGCATATCCAAGAGATCGGCGGGTCACAGCATCGCGGCAAACACGGATGGATGCGACGGAACCAATTTGAGAGAAGAGCTCGAAGAGCATGGCTTCGGTGACAGACGGGTCGAGCTCACCAACGTAGAGGGAGGCAGAAGCCTGCGGGTGAGGAGCGGCAGAGCTGGGGGTAGGTCCAGCAGTATCAGGGTCCTCGGAACCAATGTTGGAGACATCAGTGTTAATGGCCGGAGCGCCGTTTGCGTCGCCTCCGTTCAAGGACGCATTATTGAGGTCAGCGGCGAGCTGGTCGACAGCGGTGGTGGCAGACATCTTGAGTAAATGTAATGCTGTGATGGTATTAGCCTTGTTTGTGCGAAATTTTTATTTGAAAGGCGAGGGTGTGAATGTGCCAGAGCTTTCGCGGTGAACCTAACAAAGAGAACCGTACCTTATTACGTCGAGATGTCTTTGATGAGGTGGGGTAGACAACAGTCGAATTGTGCTTCGAATAGAGCTGTACAAAACAGAAACTGAGACGATGTGCGAAGACCGAAAGAGTGCTGTGGGGTGCGGGCTCAAACGGCGGAGGATTGAGGGAGGGCGAAGGTGAGGCGGTCGACGAAATTCGATCGCGAATTGGGGTTTTATTAGGATTTTCAAGTTTTTTTGTGTCTCCGTAAGAGGGGTTTTCTGAAAGAAGAAGGCGAGAAGAACGAAAAAGCACGAACGGTCGTACTTTATCCGCGATCAAAGGGTGATTTCGTGATGTGGTTTGGGGGAAAGAAGATTGAAATTCGAAATCACGCTCGCGACAAAGGCGCCTTCCAAAATTTCGTGTGGCCCGTTCTCAAAGCGGCCTAGCGCCAAATGACAAGGCTTCGGTCGTTACCTAAGCTCGGAAGGCTGGCTCTGGTGGCCACCGGCGTAGTGATAAAGCATGTACGGTAATCGAACCAGGCTGGAGCAATACAGAATCTCATCGAAGCACACTTTTAGCCCCAAAAACACTCGACATCCCTTCCTCGAACATCTAGAACCCGCGTGATCTTATCTTGCAAAGCGGCTTGTTTGGCAAATCCCTGGCACCTGAGGCATGACTCGCCGGAGATAGTCAGTGTCAACGACGGCGGGCAATATCGAATCATCTCGACATGTTTCAGACTTTCAGTGGCAGCTCTCGTCGTCCTCGGCAAGTCAACCTCTCAGGCCAAAATCTGAACACTTTTGCGGCAAGCTCGTGGAGCCCTTCGGCATCTGGCACCCAAAAGACAGTCGCGAATGCTCAGCAGGAGAGGGAACAACGGAGACAAGAACGAGAACGACTCAACGCATCGAAGCGAATACAAAGAACATGGCGAGGGCATAGGAGCAGGAGGCAGTTGGCAGATTCGCGGAGAGCACTATGGGACGAAATTGAAACGAACAGTTGCCAATCGAGCACGGAAGTGGTGCTAGTTGAGCAAGCAAAGCTCTTCGTAGCATTCTTTAGCCCAAGGCGACGGGATGATGTTGGTAGACTGGCCAATTTGAGCTCGAGAATAGCAGCTTTGGGGTATCAAGATTTTCTTGGCCTGAAAGATGTGCAACCGTTGCTTGCCCGACTAGCAAACGTTACCTTGGAAGCTCTTCAAATGTAAGTATTACCACACTTCGACACCCAACCGAGAGATTCTTGGAAGTCTAGACTAATACTGTTTGTAAATTAGCTCTGTGCCAGAATGCTCCACCGAGCTAATACAACTACTCGTGGCGGTAATCAATCAACGTCCCGAAAGCTTCCCGCAAATTTCCAGGGCGTATTATGCTCTTCTATCAGATCTCATTTCCGGTACTCGACGATCAAGTCTAGATATAGGGCATATATTGACCGCGGTACGAGTCCCATTGGCGGAGCACATCGAAGTGGGCAATAATGGTAAGCTGTCATTTTGAATTCCACACTTTGTCCCTACTCGACTGACTGGCATAGATGAAATTAACTATGATGCGTACGCGGCTTTGGCCCTTAACTTCCTAACCACTCCCAATTTAGCAGAACTGCTGGGTTCATTAGATGAATTGGCAGCCGTCTTGAACTTGAGCACTTTATCCTCGGCTCTTGTCCGTGAATATTCCTCGAGCTCTGTTAATCAACTTCAAAGTGAAAGGAGATTGTGGCTTCTAGCTCACTTCATATCGCTGCATCGACTTCAGCGGCGAAGCGGTCAAGAGCCTGAATATCTTAGGGCATTATCCTTACAATTGTCTGGTTCCTCCACTGAAATCGTGGGCCGGATTGACGCAGCAGATCCAGAAACCTTACAAGAGGCTGCGGACAGCGGCGATGCCGCCAAGACTGCACCGCGGTTACCTATTTTTGTCAAGGACGAGCTCCTGTCTTTGGTCAATCAGGAGAGCATTTCCGGGCTATTGGCCAAATTCAATATTGATTATGCGAAAGCTTCTGTCTCAGGAGAGGAGGATGCCAGCTTATTAGCTAGCTATGCCCTCACCCTCCTCAGAATATTCCCGCGCCGAGGCGACGAAATTCGAATGTGGCTGTACCGTGGATCTATGACTACTTCAATGGGAGGCGAGATTCCAGCTTTGAAATTCTTCTGGCAAGCTATGAGGTTGACAAACACGTTTTCTGTCATCACGGCTGACTCTAAGGCCGCTCTTACTTTACTGCGACCTCAAACCCAACTCCCAACTGGCTCCGCATCATCAAGTGACTTTCAGAGAGACCGAGAATGGCGGACCATACTATTGTTCCTCGAACTTTACACTTTCGTTCTCAGGTTTACGGACGATGAGGAGTTCCTAAGCGCAAGCACTCCGAATTTAGGGCAAACAGATACACCCGTTTCTAGAATTCGTGAAAGTGCTCTCCCACTTGAAGACGTTAAACGACTCACGATCTTCTTAAAGAATTTGGCATTTACTACATATTATAACGCCGGGGAATTATCTGATGATGGACAGCAAGCTCCTGAAACTGGACTCGGCACTTATTTCGGAACAAGCACCCCAACTTCACGGTTTCAAGCTCCTGAAAAGAGCGCAGTAGCAAAACGAGCACCGAACCGCCCATTTGCTGGCATCGCTGGTATGACTTTCGACTACGTGAGGACGATTGTCACAGGAGTGATGCGCATGCTCTATGAAAGAGATTCTCGAAGACGATTTCTTCCCAACGATCACTGGCTGATGACATCGCGATTTGAGATGGAAGGTTTCATTCCCGATGTAGTTATGGAAGAAGAGAGACAACACCAAGTCAGAGAGGAAGGCGAGGAAGAAGATGCAGACGACACTGATTTCTTGGAAAGGGCTGATGGCATGGCTATGGTTGGAATGGCCAGACCTCGTCGAGCTCTTCAGATTGAATCTATGAGACGACAGCAACAAAAGCTTGCACGTCAAAAGGTTCTAGCTGCTGTAGGCCCGAGGCTTGAGGTGTTGCAGAACATGCCATTTGTCATTCCCTTCGAAACCCGTGTCCAGATCTTCCGAGAATTTGTCTTTCTAGATCAAACCCGCCGACGCGGTGGTAACGTTGATCCTGACATTTGGCGTATGTCTATCATTCAACAATCTCAGATGTCAAGGCACAATCGAATGTCGGGGCAGGAACTCCTGGGTCGGCACCATGCAAAAATCCGGCGAGATCAAGTCTTTGAGGATGCTTACTCTCAATTTTACGAGCTAGGAGAAGGGTTGAAGGAGCCAATTCAGATTACGTTTGTCGATCAATTTGATACTGTCGAGGCTGGTATTGATGGCGGTGGCGTCACGAAGGAGTTCCTCACAAGCGTCACCAACGAAGCTTTCCGAGCGGAAGATGGACCGAATCTCTTTGTCACCAATGACCAAAACCTTCTCTACCCAAGTCCTTCGGCTCCTGATGAGCGTCACGAGTTGCTAAGACAATTCCGGATCAAGGAGGGCTCGGCTGAATGGCGCGAGAATATTAAAGAACTCCTAAGGCGCTATGAGTTCCTAGGCAGAGTTGTTGGGAAGTGCTTGTATGAAGGCATTCTCGTTGATATTGGCTTCGCGGGATTCTTCCTTCGGAAATGGGCTGCTTCTGGTGCTGCGGGCACAGAGTCTGGATACCGAGCAAATATCAACGATCTTCGAGATCTTGATGAGAGTCTCTATCAGGGCCTTCTGAAGCTGAAGAACTATCCTGGAAATGTTGAGGACTTCTCTCTGGATTTCACCATCACCGACACTGTATCTCTACCTGGAGCACCGACTCAGACCATCACGAGAGAGCTTATGCCAGGAGGAGCAGATATTCCGGTCACCAATGAGAATCGACCTCTGTACGTGGCTTATGTCGCGCGACACCGATTGACAAACCAGCCCAAGCACCAAACACAAGCATTTCTGAAGGGCTTGGGGGAGATCATCAATCCAAAATGGCTCTCTATGTTTAATCAATCGGAGCTTCAGACTCTCATCGGTGGTGACGCTTCAGAAATTGATGTTGAAGATTTGAGGCGGAATACTCAGTATGGTGGAGTGTACCAGATCGGCGACGATGGACTTGAACATCCTACGGTGCGGCTGTTCTGGAGAGTTTTGAAGGAGCTCGATGACGCCGATCGCAGAAAGGTTTTGAAATACGTTACTTCGACCCCGCGAGCACCGCTCCTTGGGTTCTCTCAACTCAATCCGAGATTCAGTATCCGGGATGCTGGCAGTGACGAGGAGCGGCTGCCGAGCACGAGCACTTGCGTGAATTTGTTGAAGCTCCCTAGATATTCGACAGCCACTACTTTGCGCCAGAAGCTGCTGTATGCTGTCAATTCAGGGGCTGGGTTCGATCTTAGTTAGGATAAATGGGGCATTGGTGCATAAAACATGGGCGTCATGGAGCTTTCTTGGGGAGCGTCTGCATCTTTGAGCGTCATGAAGCGAATGAAAATGTATGGTTCTAACTAGATGAACGGAATAGATCACAAATGATGTCAAATATATTTCTATTGCGCTCAAAGACTTGTGACGAGTAGTTTCCTCTGTTAGTGTTTCCTAATTCCCACACCTCCGGAACTCTCGTTTAATTGTACCCATCTCGCGCTCGAGAAGAAAGGTGGCACCGAGCTTTCAATATTCTATGTCGAAAGCGAAGCTTTATCTAGACTACAGGATTCAGTTTTTAATATTCTAAATCTCGGAGACAGTGGAGGAGCGATACTTTGAATGTCCTCTACCTCGATGGAACACCCACATGGAGAGTATCTGAAATGATCTAGCTTGATTTGGAACATTGATAATTCGGTAGCGCTTTTTGGTCTACCGCAAGTCTTTTCACTCCTTCTACAGCTTCTTTCCCAGAAACGACGTCCCCTTAAGAGGTGTGTCATAATAAGCCTCAATCTCCTCAAACCCATAACGCTCATATAACTTTCTCGCCCCTTCCATGCTCAGGAGAGTGTCCAACCTCATCTCATCATATCCCAGTCTTTCGGCTTCCTTAATAGCCTCTTCGACTAGTGCTCTTCCGACACCAAGTCCACGAGATGCAGGATCACAGTAAAGTCTTTTCATTTCACAAATGGTATTGCCTTTCCCATCTCCGTCACCACCGTTTTCATCTAGAGATGTATTTGGCTTTGATTTCTTGAGCAGAGGCCGGAGACCCACACATGCAATTGCCTCTTGCTCAGGGGTGATAGCAAGGAAGAGAGCACCAAAAGGTGGAGCATAGAGACCCGGAAGTGAGTCCAGTTCAGCGGTGAAATTCTGGAAGGAGAGGTCGATGCCAAGAGAGGAAGCGTAGGCGGTGAAGAGGCTTTTGATGGCGGTGAGATCTGCAAGGGAGGTTGCTGGTTTCAACGTGAATTTTGAGGCGGTGGCCATTTTGAGTTTCGTTTCGAGGACTGGAAGTCTTTACCCCTGAAAAAGACGATAGTTGTTTCCCGCTTTTGACGAGGTGACAAACCGAGCAAGTGAGTCAGAAGAAAGGCGTCTTTTTTGTTTCCACTATCAAAGAAGAATAGGCTTCCGATCCACACCATCAATATGAGAATGAAGTTAATCTCATTTGAGAGTCTCTTAAGCAATACTTAAGAGAAACAAACGACAATCAGTCACGTGTGAAATTATTTCACGTGATGTATCCTTATCACTTCCGACATCGTGTTTAGTTTCTTTTCCTTCAACAACCTCAACTTCGAGCGTCTCCCAAATCGAACTTTGGCATCTGGGCAATGGCTTTGACTCCCTAAGACTATGGCACTGCTGCCAATCCCTGGCACTCACCGCTTTTGGGTTTCCCAGCAGAGTCCCGATCAGCGACATCGATATCGATTCGAGCAGCCCCTCCATTCAAACCAAGGAAGAGCCATCAAGATGTCCCGAATCCTCAAATACCTCAGCACCTCTCCAATTGCCAACACCGGCAGTGTAGCTCGCGACCACCTCGCCAATGAACGTACCTTCCTCTCATGGACACGAACCGGACTCGGCTTCGTGGCTCTAGGCGTAGCGCTGGCCAAGCTCGAAGCTTTAGAAGCTCTGTCACCCACACTGAAGCACAACCATGGAGATCTGAAGCTTCCGTCTGCGGCTCTTGTTGGTTCTGGGACGGGGTGCTTGTCTTATGGGACGATTAGGTACTTTCGGTCACTGAAGTTGTTGCAGAAAGGGCTTTTTAGACCGAATGTTGCAGGGATTGGGTTGGTTGCTCTTACTAGCGGCGCTGTAGCTGGGGGAGGGATCTATTTGGTTATTTCTCAGGAGACGAAGAGATAATGGGTAAGTAGGGTCCGAGAGGACGGCTCTGCTTGGAGTGAATTCTGCATAAAATTACTCTCAGGAACGGAAACTGGTTTTGAGGCTATGATCGGGTGAAAGAAGTTTGAGAACAGAGCTCAAGCATCTGTAAATATCAGTGTACGATATCAATCGAGGACAATCGAGGAGGGATATTCCAGTTCAGCTCGCGCCTCGAAGAGCTTGTGTAACTGGTATACCGTAAACCAGCTCACGCTGGTCACGTCGTTACACAGGAGCTGGCAAATCAGACGAGCGTCTGAACAACCACAAGTAGTTCCAAAAGAACTGGTACTTTGAAGTTCACCCTTTCTATCTTCTCAATGCTATGTTCGTTGTTCACCATTGGGCATAATACAGCATCCCTGCCAGTGCAGCTTCAACTCCAGGGCTGAAATTCCACACCGTTGCCGCTCTGTGCGGTATGGAGTTCAGAGCAGTTTCACGGTTCACATCTTCCTTCCTCAATAAGTTCAAGTGATATATGGCTGTTCATAGACGGAGGGTATGTCTAGTCGAACGATGGCATAGTCAGCTCAAGTTTTGCCTATTTTCAAACCGAAGATATTCCTTCAACAATGCCCAATCCCAAACTCAACAATAACGTTGAGATACCAGCGTTGGGTTTTGGAACTTTTGCTAATGTCCTGGTCAAGGGGGAGACATGTGCTGCAGTTCTTGCAGTTCTCGATGCGGGATACAGACACCTGGATTGCGCGTGGTAGTAAATTTACCGCAATACTCAAACCAAGTCAGGTCGCTGACCCGCAAAAAGCTACTTGAATGAAGAAGAGATCGATGCTGCCCTGAAGCAATGGTTTTCCATGAACTCAAGTGTCAAACGAGAAGATCTCTTCATCACGATGAAACTCTGGCCCCATCTTGCTGAGCCAGAAGATGTGGAATGGAGTTTAAATAACTCCCTGAAAACACTAGGAAAAACTACGTGGATTCTATTCTAGTTCATTAGCCATTTGCTTGTGCAAAGACAGAAGAGAACAAGGTGAAGTTGGGTCCTGACGACAAGGTACGGCTCTTCGAGCTGAGTTGCCTTTGAGTTTAACAAATGTTGTATAGTATATCATCAAGAAATCCCACACAGAGAACATCAAGCCAACCTGGTGAGCAATGGAAAAACTTTACAAATCAGGTAAAGCTAGATCAATAGGGGTCTCGAACTGGAAGATCTCGGACCTGGAAGCGATGCTCAAGTACGCTGAGATCGAGCCCATGATGAATCAAGTAGAAATCCATCCCTTCCTCCCGAACATCGAGCTTGTGGAATATTGCTTCTCTCACGATATTTTACCGGTAGCATACTCTCCTCTAGGATCATAGGGTCAGATTGAAACTACGCAGGAGACCCCGCTTCAGAATGCAGAGCTTGCAGCGCTGGCGGAGAAGAAAGGCGTGACTTTGGCGCAGCTGCTCATTGCTTGGGGGCCGAAGAGGTGCTTGCGGTGCCGCCGAAAAGTGCGAATGAGGCAAGGATTAGAAGTAATTTTGTGGTTGTTGACTTGAGCGAGGAGGAGTTGGGAACCATCTGTAAGGCTGCAGAAGGGAGGCACTACCGATTTGTGAATCCGAAGGTAACATCTGGATATGACGTATGGCCGGAGGAGTCGAGCTAGAGCAGATGATGCAAGCACATTATATCATGGTTTTGATGAGAATCTCGAGAAAGGCGGCACTGAGCAGGGAAGTTACGGCACAGCTTGCTTTCTACAAGAAGGTGAACGTGGAGTTGCTGACCAATCGTCTGCAGGTATTTACGTGCTAATAACGTGCTGCAAGGCCGCCGAGCAGAAAGGTAACTTGTGCTCATTAAAGATGGCCCTTGAACATCATGAACCAAGAAATTCTGTTCAGCCGAAACAACAGCCGAAAACTCATGGGCTACTTGTTACTCGTAACGAAAGAGACCTCCTTGCTTAGTACGCTTGAAGGACGACGGGTATAACTTGCAGCACGATCGAAATCGAGGAAGGAATGTAGATGCGCCGCAAACAACCCAGTCTTTGCCGTAATCTTACATTCTCCGGATGGTCGACGCGCTGATGTGAGATGCGTCGTTCCGATCCTGCACAGAACTGAATTGAGCAACACTTGCAGCCGGGTCTAACTGGAAACGTCGTTCGTTCTCGCCTTCCACCCACGTTTGCAGAGGGAATAATTGACCAACGAATTGGCGTGACGGCCATGACTATTCAAGTTATGAGATTCTGTTGCAGTTGTGGGACAAGATACATACGAAGGCTAGACTACCACGGGCTAAACAAGAGACCTAATTCAACATACCGTATCCTCCCTCACATCATCAACACACTTGTCAAAGTGATTATCCGGGACAAGATTTCAACGCTTAAAACCAACCAAATGTGCTCAAATCCATCATACATGCGTAGCATCAAACGATACAGAAACCAATCAGATTTTCTCTTTTTCCTCTTTTCGAGACTCCTCCCAATCCTCAACCGAAACTGGAACCTCCGTCATAGCTGCAAGACGAAAAAGGTGCCGCGTTTGTGTAGTGGTGTCATAATCAACGGTCCCCGTATCTGCAAAACAGTATGAGCTATGATTTGGATGAGAAGGGAAAACATCCAAGACTTACGAAGAGTCGTTCTCCCATCGAACATCACTACGCTGTTCTTTTCCCAGTGAACTCTTGCCTGGAAATCATGGCCCTTGCTGATAAAATCCAGCAAGAACTTTGTAACCACCTCTGCCTCCTGATCTTTGAGCCCAAAAACTTCATCTGGGAATTCGGCGTTGTAGTAGATTGCTTTCTCGCCTGTGACTGGGTGAACTCGAACCATGGGATGAATCGAATCGATAGGATTGGAACGGACCATCCCTTTGCTTGCTTTTGCATGTGCAATCAAATGTCTAGAAGTATGATTAACTTTCAACTTGTTAATCATGTCTTGGAAGACTGGAGAAAGCCGTTGATAAGCCATGGCGGTGTCTGCGACCACAGTGTCACCTCCTATTTCTGGGCAGGCAAGAATGCCCAGCATGATGTATCCTGGAGGCTGCCTCTCGTGGCTCACATCATGGTGCCAAATGGTCGTAGTCATCTTGTGTTTAAAGAAGGTTTTGATCTCCTCCTCATTTCCATCTCGATGAATGACGTGGAATTGTGGGAATCCCTTGATAGCACCAGTTACAGGTTGCCGGCTAAGCTTTCCAAAGTATTCCATGAAGTCAACTTGGAACTGTGGACCAGCATTGAGGAAGTTTGATTGTTCCCGGAAAACCACGAATTTTCTCTCGCAGATCAGGAGGGCTAATTCATCCTTAGCCTTTTGAGAAAGGGTCTCCAACTTGACTCCTGTCAAGATTGTTCCCATTCTCGGTGTGACTGATTGAATTTTGACATTGTCGGTGATAAGGTGGGGCTTCGTCTTGTCTGCTCGAAGTGCCGGATCGTGGTACTCGAAGATTGGGAAGTCGTCGAACCAAAGGCCCTCCTCCCAGACAGGTAGATAATCCGGAAACTCTGAGGTTTCCCGGAGACGACGCTCATACTCCTCTGGCCCAGAATTATATGGGACATTGATATCGTAGGAAACTTTCGGTTCCGGAACTTCTAAGTCCAGGGGCTCGGTTCGACTCGGCGCCATGTTGAGCGGAGAGATATCGATATTGTTCCAATGAAGTGACCGCTCTCCTTGATTTTCGACTATTTCTTTTGATGGTTTCCCGCGTGCTATTTCAGTGCAACAACGCCTCCTCAATGCAATTTGAATCGTCGGAGAAATGGGCTCATTTGTCCGGAGGTCGACCAGTCAGGCGGTGAAGATCTCAGCGGCCATGCAGTCCATGCTGTCAAGCGGTATGACGGACAGCACAGAGGCACGGAATGGATGGCCAGCCTCTTTTGACCGTTTTGATATCGATTGGGCCCTGCAAAGGGACTTTCTCAGAAGTAACGTGGCCTACATAGTTCAGAAGTCGCCCACCCCCTCCACAAGCCACAGCAGGTTGCGTGCGCATTGACTAGCCAATTCCTTTCGGACGATCCAATCTCTCCTCTTCATTCTCGGAATAGGGGCTGTATCAGGCAAAATATGATCCTGCGCCGTGCTCTTGCGTCGATCCTGGAGAGCCCTCGGCCAGCTGCATGAATAATGGGCAGGTGCGAATTAAAGGGATCTGGGGGAGTCGTTGAAAGGCCTCGGTCTCTGACTCCTCTTGTCCCCGACCCCTGCAATTCAGCGGCGTAGTACCCTCGCAGACCCAATTTTAGATGGCATCAACACCACTATGTACTATTTAAGTGGCTAGAAAAGGGGTTCACTGGAACAGGACGTAACGTGACGAGATATTTTAGAGTTCAGAGTTCAGGAGGTCTCTCGCTCTTTAGTTCAGCAGAATCTTGCGTCATCGAAATGCAACCCCTTTCCTTCCGATGCGAGCTTGGCGGTCACGAGTTTGAAGAAAAAGTCTCTGGATCGTTTCAGTGGGCTTTCTTCTGACCAGATATTGTCTCAATTGCCAAGCCAGCTGCTGCCTCATGTTCACAAAATAGTAAGCATGATTTTCGGGGAGCTTCTATTGTACCCTATCGAGTCCCTTTTTTGGACCCGTTAATATCTTCGAGTGCAGAAAAGATTGCAAAAGGAACTGCTAGTGGACCGTTATCCATCAAATATTAAGGTTTTTTTCTCGATCATGCTGTTGGTAGCTGGAACATTGCGTACGTACCTTGTTCTTTTTCTGGATACCTCTCTACTTGGATGGTGTTGTGTCGCACGTGACTTAGCTTAGCGCAACACCCTGTATCTTAGTTCTCGAGCTCCCCGCTCCTTCTTCCCTCTTTAGACGTACATACACACACCCAACAGAGCTGTTTCCTTCAGGTCATCAGCCCCGGGTCGTGATACTCTTGAGCCTACAGCCTTGCTGATACCCAGCAGTGGACAATTTAAGAATGGAACTAACTCAAATCCGCAAGACCAACCTCAGGTGCTTTCCCGCCTTGCTAATCCCGCCGTCATCGTCCAAATCAATTACCGTCTGGGTTTTTTCGGCTTCCTTGTGTCCTCAGATCTTGCCACTGAGTATAAGTCGACTACTTCGAAAGTACCAGTGTGCCGGGCTATTTTGCCAACTTCGGCTTGATAGATCAGACGAATGTCTTCGAATTGGTTTAAAGGCATATCCCGGATTTTGGAGGCGATCCAGCCAACGTCACAGCTTTCGGCGCTGGAAGCGGAGGTCTCCACATTGCACATTCTGTCCGGGAAAACACTCTTTGATCGCGCTATCCTAATGAGTGGCTCTTGTCCCATTATAGGACCTTTACCCTTGCAGCTTCTCGAGAAAGGATGGAAGACGCTCTTTGCGGCCGCTGAGATATCGGCCGAAACCCCTGAAAAGAGATTGGAGGAACTTCGTTCGTTATTCCAAGATGATATATAATGCAGAAGTACGGACCCGGGACTACATTCTCCCCTCTTGATGATGGCAAATTTCTGCTAACTTCATGGCGCCTCGGTGATCCGCATCCGGATAGCCGCTGTGCGGGAATCATCATCGGTAATGTTGGAATAGAAGGGATAGTCTTCGACGCTCTCACGTTGTTACTCCCTCAAACAATCTTCAACAAGGGTGTCCTTTCCGCCTTCAAAAGGGCTTCGGATGCAGAGCTGTTCTGCAAAAAAAAAAAAATTGGCTTCGCTCCCGCAGAAGAGCAAACCCCAGAAGCATACCTAGATGCAAGGCGCTTCTTCATTTCCGTGGTCCTATTCCACTTCCCAGAACTCCGAGTTGCCGAAACTTATAAAGGAAAGTTTACCACCATCACTTCGAGGAGCCGTCGCTGTATGAGGGGAAAACTCACGGACTTGCGGCCATGGTCAAGATGTTGTCTTTGTGTACAACACCGAAAGGGATGTTTGGCCTGAGTCTGCTCGGAAAGTTTCCTTAGAGATGACCAAGTTATGGACTACCTTTGCTTATGGTAACGAGCCTTGGCTGTCGTATGCGGACCCGAAAAAGTTCATGAGATTGGGGCCAGCTGGCGAGTGTAGTCTGAGAACCTTCGAAGATGACGAGACTAGAGATTATGGATATTTGAGCTGGATGAGGGATCATTTTGATGAAACGATGTGTCTCTTAATGAGCTTTGCGTAGAGTGAAGCTCGAGGTAGCCAACAAGAATTAGAAACTTTAGGCATGAAGGTCCTGTGCGCCCATTGGGAAAATCGATGGTTCTGGTGCATTGGATAGAATGAACTCAGGATTACAAAATAAGCAGTGCCAGAAATCCCCATATTGCACCAACCATTCCAAACTGTGTATGCAAAATGAACACCATCATCCCACCAGTCAAACAGAAGTGAAAGTCCTTTCGACAGAGATGTGCCTTGATATGGGCATAATACCCTTTCCCGAATTCTTCCAACTGATAGTCGATATAGTCCAATGATCTTGGTTGGGTCCAACAATCCCAATTTACATCGTCGATAAATCTTGGCAGCTTTCGTACCCTCCAATGCCAGTAGGGTGTCAATAGTCCACTGTCGTCAAATGGTCTCAGACTTATTATCCAATTCCTCCAACGATGGACACTTTTCAGCGCTGTTTGTTTATCAATTTCGTACCATTCTTCATGCTCCACCCACTGCTTAGGAGCATGGTGTTCATGGGTACACTTATACTTTCTCCTATCATTGTGTAGCTCGGCCTTAATGAGCGATTCAACGACTGAGTAGTGATCAAACGCGTTCCTGTAGTTGTCGTCGACCTCTACCAACGGAAGGCCACACATCTCCCACTGGATCTTACGCTTTTGAGGATCTTTCAATGTCTTTCCAATTTTAACGTGGTTGGGTGCTTCTGTGGGCGACTCGAATACGTATATCCAGCCTGGCGTCAAATGTTTGATTGGCTTTTTGGCAGGCTTTTTGGCAGCCTCGTGATGGCTCTTAATGCAATTGTAGATATTGTTGTTTATCTCGCGAGGGTGTTTCGGGCTCTTCCATTTTCTGAATCTTGGATCTTTTGGTCGATGAGCAGGCTCTGGTACCATCCGGGGTATTGAATTGCTTTGAATCTTTTGTGTCCTGATTCGCAGAACTTGGATCAAATGCTGCACGTCGTATCTCGCCTTCTTATGTTCCTTATAAATGTTTGCAAGAACTTGCCAATCTGCTGTCCTCAAGTGGTGCGCCTGTTGCATCAAGGATAGGACGGTGGGAGCATCAACAAAGTCTCCAAGAATTTGGCGTGCCTCATCGACCTGCTGAGCCGATTTGGAAGTGGCGGGATCAGAAGAGAAATACTCGACACCCATATCGGTGTCGGTATCTTGAGATTCGAATCTACCTGGAATTCTGGGGACATGGGACCGCTGTTGCTTCAATAGATCGATCTTCCGTTTTGAGGGCGTATCGTATATTGAAACCGCGACCTCTGATAGAATCTCGTAGAGACGCTTCTCCGCCGGTTCGTGGTCAAGTAGTTGCTCTCCCAGAGACCTAACAGAACTCCTACTCTCGGTGGTTTTACCGAACTGCGGGCAACTAGAAAGGTTCGGGGATATCTCCCCTGGGGTGAGAGGGGAGGTTGGAGTCTGCGCTCTCGAGGGGTTGAGATCGAAGATTGTATCATTGTCCGTTAAGCTGCCCGCAGAACTTGCAGACCTTGCAGAAACATTCGAATGTGAACTCGGACGACGCGGAGGAGTTTCGGTGGTTATTGCTTGAGACATTGGAACAAGGACGGGATCTGTTGGACGTGGCCTTGGTGGACTGGGAAGGTGTCGAGAGTATATTCGTCTTGATGAAGACATTCTACGAATCTTATATCAGCAGAATAGGCAATCAATAACTGTCAAAATAAAAAGTAGCTTTTGAGTGAGGCTTTTGGTCGTTCACAAGATGGTTCTTATCACGCTTCAGCGACTTGTACCCCTCACGGAGACGGGTGACGGGTCTTGCCTGCTTCGCCAATAAGCAAGGCGCAGGCTCAGCTGCGACTTCTGACTCGCCAATCAAATACGGGCCTTTTGATGTTGGTGTAACCGGAGATCCGCAGGAACCAACAGGCAAGGATTGGACAGGGCACCTACCTTCCTGTTTCAGATTCAGTCAACAGCGGTTGGCCTCGCCGTAAATAGCAAAACTTGCATCAGTGCCTCTCCCTCATGGGCTGCACTCCACGCGAGAAAATCTTGCTCGCTCCGCGCGGTCAAACCAACTCTGGAATCTCTCATCACCAACTTCTGTCGAGGCCTCTTTGATCCGCATCGAGAAATCGGGTGCAAGTATTCTGCTATCGACTCCGGATTCAATGAAAGTTTCTTTCTCGTGCTCCTGCCCGTCCCGCATTTGGGACAATAGTTTCCACCGGGTAAGAGAGACCGATGTCCCACGTATGTCGGAAATCTTTGAAGCATCGGAGAGCGTGGAGGGTAGCCTCTCTGAATGCAGGGTCCTCCTAGTTGATATGGTCGGGTTTTCATAGACTCGTCCTTGGACATGATTGTTGGCAATCAAGGAGCCGAATCCGGCTCTCCTTCAAACACATCTACCACACTTGGAGAAACGTCTTACTAAGAACCAGATGCCCCGGACTCCTGGAAGATCTTTGCTTGGTGGTTCCAATGAAAGACCGAGTTCTGCTGTTGTGCGAATTTTCTTTTTGGCCATAGATCCTCCATCACTAGGAATTGTGTAGACAATCATATCAACTCGGGGTCGACTGCTGATGAAAGAGCATGATATGGTATGAATCGGAAATGCCGTTTATTGAAAGGGCAAACCGTTCGAGACGCTGATTTGAGGCGCGCATGAGCAGATTACCGCTGGGCTTGATTGATTATACACTTACTTTTGAAAATCGACCACAGCCGCAAAGCGACCTGGCTCTGAAAAGACTTATGGTTAAAACCGAAACCTGACCATTTGAGCATAGCTGAGTGCCGCTAGGAGGAAAGGATTGAGTGAGAAAGCTTGCCCGTCAGGAGACAGGAACCAAGCACCGTGTTAATGTCTAAGCCCTTGCTCAATGCACCCCAGATTCCTGCAGCTTTCCTAATGATAGCCTCTAAGACGTGAGCTGCTTATGTCATTCGATATGTCGGGCAATTGATTTGATTGGTAGGAAGACATGTGAGGGTGTATATTGTGCTGCAATGTGTGAGGTTTGGAGCCATACGCCCAACAACAGCGCCATCTTGGCGGTGACACTGGGGTAAAATGCAGCCAGGGGGTTCAAAACGTTGCATATAACTAGTTCAGAGTGCAACAAGATCAATCCCAAGAGGAAGCTGGAGATTTGATATGATGAAGCACAGTCAAGAGCTAGGCTGTACAGATACTTCGACGCAGAGTAGTATGATCCATATCAAAAGGGCCTACATAGCTTAAGGATCAAAAGAAAGCTCGTTCATAAAAGGGCAAGGACAAGAGCTGGAGCCTTGCAGCATCAAGGAAGACTCCGGATACTTCGACCTTAGAATTCCGTCCAGGTATTACACAGCACTTCGCTTGTCCCATTCTCAGATCAGAATCCATCCCGGTCGGCCAGATTTCTTTTCGAGATGCCTTGCTACTCTCTCGAGTATGGATCATAATAATCTCAATCCAACTTCCTGTAATTGGGCAGTGCAGATTACACGTCATGCGCGCCAAGATAAGTTCCAGCAGTGGGATGCAGGCCTCTGCAGCTCTGAGACGCTCGTTCTACTTGGAGTATAATTTTTCTTCTATGAAGGCAGAACCCTTGTAAACGGGAGACCGAAAGGAACTTCGTAGAGAGTCCAAACATTCAAGAAGGATGGTCAAGAATCTCAGTGGAAAGACTGTTATTGTGACGGGTTCCTCGAGGTATGATGAAGCCCTCTGCATAACGAATCTACCGATAGTGACCGAGGCAATAAGGGGGATCGGCACAGGAATCGCAATTGACTTGGCAAAACGAGGTGCAAATGTAGTTGTGAACTACACTTCACCCAGAGGCGCAATTGCAGGCGAGGAAGTGGTAAAAGAAATCGGAGACGCTGGCAGCAAAGTTGCTCTTGTCCAAGCAAATGTTGCTCTTCTTTCAGACCTCAGGAAGCTTGTTGAGGCTGCGTTGGCATTATCGGGAAGTGGAAAGATAGATATTCTAGTCCATAATGCTGCAGCTGGAGACGATTGTTATATGGAAAATATGACGGAGGAATTTTACGAGTCCCAAACCGACATCAACCTGAAAGGTCGAGAGAGTTTCGGACTTTTTTGATCCGTGACTGATAACTTGACAGCACCAATCTTCCTCACTCAATTGACCTTGCCGCATATTGGTCGAGGAGGTCGAATAGTTCTTGTGAGCTCGGTATCCGCTCGTATGGGTATGCCACAGCGGACAGTGTACGCAGGTACAAAGGCTGCTCTCGAGGGAATTGCAAAAGTCTGGGCAACGGAATTGGGAAAGAAGTACGGAATCACGGTGAACTGTATCAGTCCAGGGCCGGTTGCCACAGATATGTGGACCGAGTGTGAGCCAGATGTCGTCGCTTGATTTCAGCCAATTATCAACGCTATGCCAGCAGCCGCGAGAGTAGGAGAAGTGTCAGACATTGTGCCAGTCGTGTCGTAGGTGATTCGAGGCTTCGAAGCAGGTAGTTGCTGACTCGATTCACAGATTCTTGTGTTCGGAGGACAGTCGATGGGTGATGGGGAGCACTGTCAGCGCGAGTGGTGGGATGAAGTTCATCTGAAGGTTATTCGATGATTAACGCTTTGTTAGTGCTATGACGATACTCGGATGGAGAGGTGAAAATATTTGGAGCTGACGGCTGCTTGTTTCGGCGTTAAGATTAGATAAGGATTGCAGAGCCATCTCACGACAACTTCAACATAGGCAACATCGTGAAGCTTCATTTGCAATCAATGTCCCTTTCAACTCGCACGAGACCAATTCTATCACGGCCTTTACGAAATCTTACGACCAGTGTATGTGTCGTCAGGTCCTGGACACGCAGCTGCTAACACCTTGCACAGCTTGCTCTAACGCACACGATGCATATCCAGTCGATTCCAATGTGTAAGCTCCCACCTTGATGGCTGGTGCCTTTAGCTTTTTCCAGCATGTTATGCAGATACTAATTCTAAAGTACAGGGACGGGCACTGGTGATAATTACGCCTACCTTGTCGTTGACGACAAGTCGAAGGATGCCGTGATCATTGACCCCGCAAACCCCGACGAGTTCGTATAAACTCCACAATGAGACAAGGGTGATGTTCTGATGTAGATGTCAGAGTAGCACCAGTCTTGAAGGACGAAATCAAGGCTGGCAAGATAAATTTGACTGCAATTATCAACACACATCAGTATGTCCCCTGAACCTATGATGGCCGAAATGAGTTTGGCTAATTGGTCAACAGCCACGGTGACCATGCAGGAGGCAATAACAAAATGGCGAGATACCCCCAGCATTTCTAATTCAAAAAGTCAACCCTAATAGGGTTTCAATAGCTATCCTACCCCGAATTCAAGGGCAAACCCATTATTGGAGGCAAAGACTGCCAAAGCGTCACGAAAACACCAAAGAATGGGGAAACTTTCAAGATTGGTGATATAAATGTCAAGGCGTTGTACACTCCTTGCCATACGCAAGACAGTATATGCTTCTTTATGGAAGATAGCACTGGAAAGGCAGTTTTCACTGGGGATACTCTCTTCCATGGAGGTGAGTTGCAATGGAGAGGGATCATCAGATAGGATTGTGAAGCTGATATGAGTTCCCCTGCTTAGGTTGCGGCAGATTTTTTGAAGGAACAGCCGAGGAAATGCACACGGCTTTGAACAAGACTCTAGCCGCAGTTCCTGATGACACCAAAGTCTATGTCAGTCCACCCCCTTCTTGTCCGGGAATCATTTTTGCTGATCTCATAAGCCCGGACATGAGTACACGAAGGCCAACGTTAAATTTGGCATCTCAATTTTGCAAAGCGAGCCAGTCAAGAAATTACAAGCCTTTGCAGAGAAGAACAAGGAGACGCAAGGAAAGTTTACTATTGGTGATGAGAAGGTAAGCACGCTAGATTTTAGTTCCGCCGGATTTGATGGGCTTGGCTAACTGAAGCACCAGCAACATAATGTTTTCATGAGAGTAGATGTAAATTTAGTCAGGATAGGCATTTGGGGTAGTCCACTGACAACCAGCAGGACCCGGAGCTTCAAAAAGCAACAGGCAAGACAGATCCAATCGAAGTAATGGCTAAGCTCCGAGAAATGAAGAACAACTTCAAGTGAGTAAGTATAGTGGCGGAGCCAAATCGGAAAGTCGACTTTGTTAAGATCACCTAGGCCACCACAAAACTCAAAATTCTGAAACGCGGTTCTGAAAGGAAGTTCTGAAAGGAAATGGGATAACACTCCGTACATAAAACCCCCAAAAGTTAGACTTCAAAAGTCACGGCAGAAAACCTCATCTCACTGGCACAATTTTCAGTGAACATCATTATGACGTCAAGCTTCTCAAAGTCCATTTATTCCATAATTAAGTTGTACGAAAACTATTTCTGCTCCTCTACTCAACCAATTGCCAAACTCCTTCACTATCGTTTTGCAATCCACCGACTGAACCATGGCTTCTCAAACGACCCACAACGTCACCGGCCCACCCAAAGCAACCAAAGACAATATCCTTGAGATCGGTGCCGCAGCGACCCAATCCTTCTGGCCCATCAAAGCAATTTGTGCTCACTTGAATGCCTTCCATGTCTATGCTTCTGATACTTCTCGTTCGGTAGAGGCTAATCATTATTGCACACATTTGAGTGCTGATGTATAATTGCTCTTCACTTGACCCCTCATTTGAGAATGAGATTGGGGACAAATTGAAAACACGGTAAAGCTGATGTGTTTCAGGTTAGACAATGCTTGATATATGATGCTCCGACCAATCCTGCGAGGTTAATTGGGGTTGAATATATGATTACGCCGAGATTATACGAGACGTTGGACAGGGAGGAGAGAAAGCTTTGGCATTCTCATGACTTTGAGGTAGGGAATTCTCAATTGTACCTCCTCCTTCAGAACATTTTCTCGCTTTCGTGGGCTCCCAGATTTCAAGAGAAACTTCAATTGACGAATAATAGGTTCGCAGCGGCATGCTCATCATGCCTAACCCCAATGTTCCCAATGCCGCCTGGGAGATTGCAGAGACGGAGGAGATGAAAGAGGTCATTGGTTTGTATGGGAAGACGTATCATTTGTGGCAGGTTGATCGGGGTGATACGCTGCCATTGGGAAAGCCAGAGTTGATGACAAGCTTCACGAAGGACGAGCAGGTGCCGTGGGACAAGGTCAAGGATAGGGATGAGAGGTACGGGGTGGAAACGAGCCGGAAAAAGGAAGCTAGGAAGGGGATTGAGGGCGTAGAGATTCATGAGGATGCAGATTCGTGCTGGGAGGAGTAGCAAACAGCGAAGAGTTGATGAATCGACGAGTTTTTGACTATGTGTGGGACATAACACAGAGCACAGAATAAATATCCAATTGTATCCAAATTGGCAAAAGACGGTTCGCTCACATCTAAAAAAGAATCTCTAAAATGTCTCCACGAAAGACCAAACACCAACTCGTAACGAGCAAATGGCTAGGCACCCCAAGGATATTCATCTTGCTCCACTGTCCACACTTGCCGCTCTGGGTTGGAGACAACGACAAGCTCTAGCATTTAATTTTGGAGCTGTATCAAATTCCCAGATTCCCTCGATAATGATAAGGAAATGTGCAAACCATAGGATGGGCAATGATGTACCTTATTTCGTGGGCGCTGACCCAGCTCTGAGTAGATTTTGATGTTAAAAGGAAAGGAAAATTTGCTGGAGACAATTTCATGCTTTGTCCCAAAGGCGGCCGCTAGTGACCTCTTGTACTCGTATTCGGAGTCTCGCTCACGATTTAGCCTCGTCCAAGCCGTCACAGATTCCCGAAACTTCACCACCTTCCTAAGAAGCTGCCAGTCGCCATGGTAACTACCACCACCTGTACCCAAGCCTGAAGTATCGGCTAACAGTATATCCTAGCCAGCAAAGCGGCGGGCCGGCTCCCCAGCTGTGGCATCCGCGCCTAAGCAGCGACAATCCAAGCTGGCGAAAGAAAACAAGATCACCAACGGAGAAGAGACGGAGATAAAGGAAGCCTTTGAGCTCTTTGCACAAAAGAAGACCGATAAGAAGGGAGAGAAGGAGAAAGTTCTACCAATTGGCGATGTCCGGAGGGCTATGATGTATTTCCCTTTTTGTACCCCGCCTCTTGCAACAAGACCTTTCAAGTTGGAGCGGGAAGAAGGGAGATACTGATTGACGGCATGTAGTGCACTAGACATCCCACCCACTTCCTCTGAACTCCAGGAGTTTACTTCGATTCTCGACCCAGACGATGAAGGTTTTGCAGCATACGAGCAATTCCTCGCGATCTGCGCCTTGAAATTCCACAGCCGAGAACGAACTTCAGATTCGCATGCACAGGAGGTCGATGAGGCGTTTCGGCTGTTTACGAGTGGCGGTGGAGAGGGTAAGATAACGTTAGCGACCTTGAAGAGGGTTGCGAAGGCGTTGAAGGAGGATGTCGAGGAGGACTTGTTGAGGGATATGATATTGGAGGCGAATGGTGGTGCGGGCGTGGGAAGAGGCGTGGAGAAAGATGAGTTTGAGGGTGTGATGAGGAGAGCGGGGGTTTGGAGGTGATGTTGAACGAAATGAGCTGATAATGTTGATAATACTGGATGAGACTATACGGGAATTCTGGGAGTTTGGGCGAAGTATGGAGTTGGAGTTCTAGGGCGTTATGGGGAATCAACTTGCAGTCACGGATGGGAGGCTTCTGCTTGGCTACGAAGTTTGTCCGGATGGACACGTTTACTGTATAGTTGATATTGAAAACGCCATAAAATATGCAAAAAACTCAGAACACCATTCCGAAACTCAAAATGCAATCAATGGCATCCATATATCTTCTTATGACTCCATAATCCTTCATCCCTTGGGTATCATTATACTTTTGGCACTTCGATAGCCGGTGCCGGCGCAACAGTAGTTATGGCCGGGGCCTTGAAACCAACATGATCCGAATGCTTCTTATAGAAGTAATTATCGGGCTTGGGCTTCAATTCTGCAGGCAGCTCTTCCAGGACTGTGGCAAGTATCGCATCGATCGACTTTTGCTGAGAGGCATCACGATGCCACACCGAGATGAGATGAGAATTGAATCGAACGGAAAGCCCAACGCCGCAAAGTTGATCTCCTGAACCTTTATCAGTCATTTCAAACTCATTCAAAGAGAGAATTATAATTCTTACCAACATCGAGACAGCTTTGCAGCTTTTCGCCAATCGCCATCAGCTGCACTCTGGTCCAGAAGTCTGGACCATTGACTTTCGGCACCCTGAAGGTCCAGCTCCCACCATTTATGTTTCTTCGGTCTTCCCACACTGGCTGGAAACCTTGTTTGAACAAGTAGATTGACTCGCGCATCTTGATCTGGTCAACTGGGGTGTTGTTATTGTATCTCCAGAAGTCCTGGACGGACTCGATTTGGGAGCCGAGCTGCTCGAGGGTGGCAGTATAAGTTCCATCGGTAGATTTGGGTTGATCCTTCTGCTGTCTTCGCCAATTGTCAGCTCTTTTCACACTTGTTCGAACCATCTGCCCATTCTCCAAAGTCAGCCGTATGGAGCTTACCGGTCGAAGTAGACATTCCAGTAATGCTGAGTCGGCAGAGGCCGCATTGCCTTCAACATGTTCTTCTTTGCATCATCGCGCTGCTCAGCTGGAGATCCAGTATCACCGGCTCCGGAGGCTGATGACAAGCCTCTTGTTAGAAGTGATGGTCTCAAAGCCATTGTCAGCTTAAAGGATAGCCTCGTGCAGTTCGTTAAGCGGTGTATTTATTGGTGTGATCACCAATAATAATACTGGAGGACGTTCGTAGAAATGAAGGGCAAGAGAGTCTCCAAGGAACAAAGTAAGCACGAAGATCCGGAACAAAGAATGGTAGTTGGAGGTGTTGAGACAAAACCCCTGCTGGGAACGAAGCTGATATACGGAGTAGCGACTATGAAACGCACTAAACGCGGGGCCTAAAAGCTTGGCAGGAGGCTCTGCCGCACCAGGCCCCTCTTTTAGAGGAGAGGTCGATTCGACGTTCGACATTTTCACGGGCTGGAACAGAGCAAGATCCCAATAAATTTATCCTTCTAAGATATCTAAAGGCGATAGCCTTCAAATATACCACCACTGGAGGGAACATTTGTAGATAAAGTATTTGTCATCGTCGGAAAATTGAAAAAAGTAGCCTTTTTCTGTCCGTCATGAGGCAAGGTAAGTAAATTGGAGTTGATCATTTATCATTGGATGAATACTCTCCTCAAGTCCCGCAAAGATCGGAAATAGACATCATGATTCATAAACTACAGTACAACAATTACGACTCTGATACTCCAAACACCATCGCTACCCAGATTCCATCCGCATAAATCCGGACAGCGCTCCAAGTACGCAACCAAACCAGTTTCTTACAGTCAGCTTTTATGCGACTAACTCCCCTCAAGGATAGAATTAGTCTGCGAGTCGGATCCTAAATCCAGCACTCATTTATTGACTCTCTCACCCAAGGGGGTGACGAATCGACTCTTATCATCTCCAATCTTCTTCTTGAACATCCCCAGATCTTTCAGCAGCTCCTTCATATAACCTTGGACCTCGTTTGCTCGTTCCTCGTGGACAGAGACATCGATTGCCTCATCATCATCTCTATACTCATCGTCTGGAAGTTCGGTCCTATTGTCGTTCTCCTTGTCGTCCACACCTCTGTCTCCTGCTCCGAGCATGCCTCCAATCCGGATTCCTCCTTGAACACTGCTCCTCGCGGAGCGAACCTCTATGGGATTCTTCAGACTATCAAGGGCAAGCTTCAAATGGAGTCTCAAGGCATCATTCTCCGTCTGTAGATTGCGGATCTTGCCCTCAGCAACCATACTTCGCTCCTCCATCATACGTTGCATAGCAGCTACTCTATTCTGGTATTCCTCCAACTTCTCTTCTTGCTCCTTGCCTTCTTTCTCGCGTCTTCGGTTGTCAGAAACGCTCAGCTGCAATACCCGAATCTCCTCAGCCATCGCAGCGATTTGAGCATCGCGCTCAGCAGCTGACACATGATCTTGGTTAACGACAGCACGGGTGCGAATTCTCTTTGCTTGATCAGCATAACGAAGTGTTGAGAGCGTCTCGTCGTAATCAGAAGGTGCGATACAGGCAATCATGGCCGTCTTGCTATTTCCTCCAAGCGAGTCCTTTAGCAGCCATGTGAGAATCGAGTCTCGATAAGGCACGATGTCTTTATTCCTCTTTCCGGGGCGGTGCTGCTTGGGATCGGCAAGTGCGGCAATCACGCGGCCTAGAGTTGTGAGTGATTTGTTGATATTGCTCCCCTCTCGAAGGCGGGCACCAGTAGCCTCAGTTGCCTTTGCCCGCTCACTACCAGCCAGATCCACAAGCCGGATACGGGCCATTCTCTCTGTGGTCTCATCCGTGTCCATGTCATGGTGAATCTGCTTCAACATAATAGTGAAGACTGCATGACTTCGACTACTCGTGTCGTTCATTTTCGTACTTGCTGTTGTTCGGCTCGAATCTCCCATCTTCATGTACCTCATGATCTCGGAGATGTTCTTGACAGGAGCATCGGTCAAGTCCTTGATATACGGTCCTTCTGTTGGTGATTCTCGAATCTTGAGGTAATAAGGAGGCTGATTTGGGTGAACGGGGACAAGGAGATCGCGAACGTGCTCATTGTAGACTTCGAAATAGGAGACTCGTACGTTGTAGGAGATGTTGGGTGTTTCGTTGTGGGCAGCTTCAATTCGCTGGAAGAGATCCTCGCAGGTCCGTGGAATCAGGCCTGGCTGATCAGGAGTCCCCATCATAGTATAACTCTTGCCAGAGCCGGTCTGGCCATATGCAAATATGCAAGTATGATAGCCTTCGAAATTGTGATCCAGAAACTCCTCCCCTAAGCTGTTGTAAACGTCCTCCTGATGTGCATAATGCTCGTCTTCCACGTCGTGACTCCAGAAAGAATTGTCGAATGTGAACGCCTTCTCCTCGACTACCTTTCGCATCTTTGAGCGCGAATTCGCTGGATCTGTATCATTTGGTACGAGGAGTGTTGTTGCTTGGTTCATTGGGTTCATCTTGATCAGGCATTCCGCGCCTCGCTCAACCTCTGCACGACACGTTATTTCCAGCCCACAAGAGCCCCATGACGCGTTGCTCACCTCTGGGAAGAAATGCTCTGACTCTGACCACCACTCTGACATTTCCCCCAGGCGCATCCATCGTGCCGAAGGGTCCAATGCTGTCGTCTCTTGATCGCAACGAAGGTGTCGAGGCAGATGATCGAACAGATCGCATTTCCGCAGCCACACCTGGCATTAAGCGCGGATCCAGAGCCATGCCAATAAGCGTTTCGTCTATATCATGAATTGTTGCGCAAAAGCGTTGCTTGAGGTTGAGATACATGAACGTGGGGTCGATTTTCGTGTTTACCACTTTGGCGCGTTGACGGGGTGATGCAGTCGCAGGGATGCACTGGTGCCTAAGTGCATGGAGACCAAGCAGCCGCCACCTGCTGCGCCACAGGGGTCTGATGACTAATCGAACAAAACCGGCTAATCAGCCCCTGAACTTTCATTTAACGATTTCTCTTGCTGGAAGTATGCTTCTCTTGCTGATCCAGAGAAATCGTTTGTCCTCGAAAAGTTGTACAATGAGAAATGAATTGACGATGTTTAATTAATCAGATGAGTGAACTCCTGTCTAAGAACTCTACACTTCATTTCGGAATATTTCATCCAGTCTCTGAAGCATTTGAACTTGATTCATGAGATGCTCAAATCGTATTCAGTGCTGTGCTTTGCAATATGCCGATGTCAAACAAGAAACTATCTCTCATAATTTCGTGGCATCAATGTGTCTCTGGATCATTTGCACTTGACCCAGAAGAAGCTCACCTAACTGAACGTTGTCCTTTACAGATAATTGATATTCCAATACTCATGAGCTCTAAAAGTAAAGACGCTCAGGTTTGGAAGACTTTCCATGGCTGCCTCTTCTAACCTACAGCCCAATATTTCTTTTTGCCGTTGCCAAGCTTCACTGATTCCGTTCTCTGCATGCTGCTTCTGCATTGCCCGAGCTTCTCTCATTGCAGTGCGGATCTGAAATGTACTGTACCATGAATCCGTTTCTAGCCGTGAGCAATGATCCAGTACCTGTGGGAAGCGGGATCTGGTATCTTAGCCCAGACTCTACACCAAGTCCAGAGCGGCGCGCTGCCTGAAGGAAGTGATCTAGTATCCTCGCAAGTTAGTGGCATGAGCTGCTAGCGCTTGAGACATCTCGTCGTTACCGTTTCACGTCCAAAGGACTTTCTCAGAAGCCGTAGTCTACAAAACCAACGAGAAGCACTTGATCCGGTAGTTGCTTGGGGGCTTTTGAGATCTCTCCACTGCACAGCACATCCCAGGTTCGGATTGATTCTCCAGTTCCTACCATAAAACTGTGAATCCTCTTATGTCTGACCCGATGAGGCTGACCTGTCATTCCGACCCCGGACAGACAACCAATTGGATTGGAACTACCGAGTCGCCTTAATCTCGTCGACTCCCAATCATGAACGTGCCCTCACTTAAAAGATAAATGATTGCCGCCCCAACATGTTTTAACCAGAGGGGTAGAGAAGACCCGATTTCGGGATGTAGAATCGGCGTCACAACTGGCTCAAATCTTATATTTGCCGCCAAGAAGAATATGCCAAATCAAACTCGATTAATTCCCAAATCGTTGGAACCCGTCCGACTATCCCAGTGTATGACCAAGTGAACACGCGAGGCCAGATGATTTCCCCCCAGTACGCTATTTCCATCCCTTTTTCTTCAAATGGGATTTTAATTACTGCATCCGAGATTGGCACAATCTCAAGAGTTCAAACCTCACACCCACAACCGCCTCCCAAACTTCGAAGGCCCTTGGATATATATTGAACACAAAGAAAAGATAGACAAGGGGTGTTGCCTGCCCCATGTTCTCACTTAACTTAGTATTCCATAGTAGCCTTACCCTGCTGATGTAGCTTCTGTCCAAACACTTACACCATAACAGCTGGCTAGGACCGGCAAATGCACAGCCTCTCGAGCAAGAAAAGACTCGAAAGGGACGAGTATGTCAATGAAATACACGTAGTCGAAAGAAAACGGAACGTGGAAAGTAAGTGGTTGAATTTCGACCCACGTCAAGACATCTTTGCTGACCCCTTTTTGACTAGTAGGCATCCAACAGAAGGCATTACAACAACAAGGGCCGATGAAAAACGCACGCAAAATATTGAGCAATAGCATGAAAGACACGACTGCGAGATTGTGTGGCCCTTGGAAATGAGATGGCTCCCTCAAACCCCACGTTGGAGTTAGTCCTTACAGACAGAACCTCTACACCCATCACGACAGCGCAGCACTAACAAGCCAACAAAGATGCCGTGTAATTGCATGCATATCTTATGTTAGCTCTTTGATATAAATGCTATGTCGCGTCAACATCCTTCTGTTGAGCGTCTTAGAAGTTGGCAAGCTGGAATTGACATAACTCCCCCCTTTCCAGAATCTCTACCAAATAACGAGTGGCACCTTCGATCACAGGGCTAGTCATCAATGTGCTCAACCACGCACTTGCTAGCGATTACTATCTTGGGCATCGCCCATTCAGGAACACTCCTATTGAGCAATAAGCTTCGGTTGAAGTTTCAGGGTTTTCAGGGAAGCCACTCTTACACAACCCCGACCTATTTTTTTGCACATATACCCCCTCCAACCCTGCACCCTGCACCTTACACAACTAAAATAGCCATCGGAAAATCAACTAATGTGTTTGGCCACAGAGAAACAAACCGCAAATGGCACTTGCCACACTCCTAAGGACCCAGGATTTGGTTTAATCCCCCATCTTGAGGGACTAGCCTTGGAATCTCTCCCAACATCATAAAAAGGAGCAATTGAGAATCACCGGTCGCTGTTCTCACAAGGTAAGTAAATCTCAATGGGAAACCCTTTGATTCTCTTGACTGATTACAAGGGGAGAACCACCATACCAGATCTCCGTCATCATTTCCTCCCCGCGTATCAAGTGCAGAAAAAGAAAAAGAAAAAGAAAAAACAGGAGGGTATCGTAAAAGGTTCAGCAATTCAAATTAGTAGGACAGCCCATTTCGAGAGGCAATAAAACTCCAGAAAGAGTCGTCATCTATCTCAATGAGATGTGTCGAACTAATAGCGGAAGTTGAGCAAATGTTGAGTTTTAGTACCCAAGCATCTAAAGTCGACCAAGGATGAAAGCAAGTGTTGATTTTTCCAATCTTCAAGTCAGTTAGTCTGGGCCAACTTCGTGCTGTTATGGTACATACGGAAATATCCAGGCTTTTGATCCAACGAAGGCTTGATGCAAGTGCAACTTTGTTGGCTTAGACGTTCAGTCAAAGAATCCATTGGAATGAAATGCGGACCATGTCGGGAAAGGAGGGGAATCTGTTCGTGTTCAACAGAGATCGGTCGAGCATCATGAACAGATCCATGACGCCTTGTATCTCAGTATCCTTGACTCCCAAAACACCAATCTTTGTCATTAGCTCAAAGTCTTCCTTGTATTCCAAGCCTTCATCGGTAACCAAGGCATGGATGTAGCGCTCGTCACGACCATCCCAAGCCTCGGAGACGACATCGAATTTGACCTCAGATTGTTCGACAGCCGAAGTCTTCAGCTGGCAACGAATGGTAAGGGACGTGAGGTTTGGCATTCCGAGAAGGTTGTCCATGATCCATTGCGCAGGGTTGCCATTCTCCAGATCAGAGATTTCGAAGACGAATGATCCAATGTTAGCCAAGTCGAAACCCTTGGAGAACATTCGAGAAATCTTGAGCATCGGGTTTGGTGCAGTAGCGGAGATCGTGAGGTTAATCATGCCGTCGACCTTGGGTGAGAAGAGGGTTGTACCGTCCTTGAAGATAGGGGCATAACCGTACTCCTTTGTGAGGTAGTTGAAGGCCTCGGTGTTGGCAGCCATGAGGTTGTAGTTGGGATATCCACCAGCTGAAGAGGACCATCCACCACTGCCGTTGTCCGTGACATTGATTCCAACTGACTCTGGCCTAGCGACGGCGTGGTCATAGATATTGCATCGGACCTCCAGGGGGAAGTTCGGGAATAATGTCAAGGAGTCTCCATTGCCGAAAGACTTCAAAACAGAGCGGTTAATGAAGCGGCGGGCACCAAATCGAACGATGATGAAGGCTTTGAAGCAACCGGTGGAGGTAATTGTCCCAGCAAGATCGAGACATTCAAATGGTCGGAACCGAGGATATTGGCCAGTGCCAGCGAGGTCGAGATGCTTCAATCCATCAGTGATTTCACGCTTGTAGGTTGAGCCAAGTTCTGCCAGGTAAGCCAAAGCCTTGTCCTTAACGGAGACGGAGACAATCATGGCCTGAATAGAAAAGTTAGCGTCCTGGTGTTCGAACAGATTGAATTCTCTATGTTGAAAGCACGCTGAGGTGAGGACGGTGTCTCCAAGAATGGTCTACAAGGTACGGCTTTGTACCTGGACAACGTGCCAAGGTGGATGCGCTCGAGTGGCAAATAAATAGGAAGAAATTAATGATACGGGTGCAAGTGTTGGAGAGAGATTTCAAGGTTGAGGACAAGGGTTGCAAACAATGACGAAAGCGGGGAGTAGACCCCTTGGAGAACAGTTACTCGAGGCTGCCTCCAAGGAGTCAAGAGGGAAGGAGTAGCTAAAAGTCTTGTAGCAGGAGGAGTGTCTGACGGATAAGGAAATGAAGCAGCGATGACGCACTCGAGGAAGGCGGGAAGCCTCGAGCGGACGCTTTGGTGTAGCCATCCATCGGGATGCTGAGTGAAGCGAGTATATTACATGGAAAGAGAATATGTGATGCGGAAAGGAGGCTGTTGTGGTGCTCGCAGGACAACCTTGATGCCACAAGAGTGGTCTCAACTGGAGAACCATCTGTCACAGGGAGACGACATTCAAGGATATGAAGCGCCTAGTGAAAGTATGTGCTTATGAAAGAGATCGAAAGCGCTCGGTTAAAAGAAATATGACGCTGAGCAAGAAAGGAGGTGATAAGTTTGAGGTCATCCCAGATCGGGTGGGTGAATCGTTCGCAACAGGATGCAGGCGGCACTCACAGACATGGCTTCAGAGTACGATTTCGACGAAAGAGGATTGTTCGAGGTACTACAAGAGTATTAGCTAGGTTGTAATTGTAAAGATAAAGGCTTGCGAGCTGCGGTTGCGGTGGAGGGGATGAGGTTGTGGAAGGGTTGATTTGTTTGGATGTGATGTGAGAACCAGGAAGAAGGCGGTAACTTACGACGACAGTATATTCTCGAAGCAGAGAACGCTAGAATACTCGAGATGCTTGCGCCACCTTCGAGGTTGTCAGTGGTGACGGTGGTGGAAGTGGTGGGGGTGGATCGGTGTTGATGGAGGAAGATCGCGAAAGGTTTGTGGAAAGGAAGGGGAGAGGTTGCGGTTGGGGATTTAAGGCAATGAAGGAAGACGAGAAAGACGAAAGAGTACTCACTGCGGTGGTGCTTGGTTGAGTCCAAGTGGACAATGCCTTGAGAATGCTCTGTCTTTGCATATTGTTAGCAGCTGATATTGTGGCTGTTGGCGCTCCGTTACACAGCGAGCATGCAGGAGACAGTGCCTCGAGGAATGATTCGTGCAGTGAGGGAGGACGTACTTAAATTATTGGGCGAGCTTCAGAGCTAGGAAGGGAAGGTAGGTGAGTGACGTTGTGTTATGGGGGAAGGTTCAAGGTTCAAGGTTGTGTTGTGTTTTGTGGGGTCAAGTTTTTTATTTTGGACTTTGCAGGAAAACCTACCTACAGCACCCACCCCTGTCTAGCGTCTTTCGGCTACTCATCCAAATAAGTTTAAAAGATTGAGCGCATTCAATGAAAGGCCCTTTACTGCAAAACCAACTGTTAACTGCTGAAGACTGAACAAATCATTTGCAGCATCCTCGATCTTTTAGCTAGGTCTCTGCTGCCCTAGGGATCGGCCCGCCATCCCTCACAATTACGAATTCCTTCGCGGCTCTATTCTCCTCCTTGGGTTAGTTTCTACGGCTTTGCAGCAGAATATTCTGTCGTTTTCGCTGGTGACCAGGCTGAGGGTCCTCGGAAGGCTGTCCCACGTGGCTTGAAGGCTTCGTTCAATTACGTTCGTCTCAATTGATGGTCAGCATTGAACTTACTTCCACGTATTCCACGCACGCTTTCAAATGAGTTCAAGTTCCTAGTGGTCAGAATTAAAAAATCGTCCTCCTCCACTTCGATCAACGCCAGCTGGCGTGCCCGTAATTGTTCCATCAACTGAAATTTACATAAGCTCAGATGCATGTAGGTGGATATAATTTCATCCTCCAGTCATCGCCATCAAAAATTAAATATGAATTTGATCAACGTTGCGCTTTCATCGTCACATATCATCTCGCTCACGTTAGCTTGATATCTGCGGGGAATGCAAGCCCCACCAACGGACGGCGCCACAAAACTTTAAAACGCCACCGACATCCTTGCATCCCTGTCCTGCGCTTCCGTGGTAATCCGGGACAGACGCAATTATTCAGTTGGCTTTGCAATATATCTTCAGTCAATTGTTGTTACCAGCGCCAAAATAGGTATTGTGCCGCGTTCTATTGTTTACTTGAACTCACAATACCAACCACCACTTGTCTTCCGACAATGCAGTCTCCAAGTGTGAGCCGCAAGGCTGATTTTGAAACAGCGACTTTTTTGACAGCCTATTTTTAGTCAATGCCAATGCCGGCTTTCCAGCCTCAGGTTTCCTTCAAGGCTGCAGTGAACCGGAGGGTTTGCGCAGTTATGTGCTAGCCTGATTGGGTTAATTCTCCTAGGCCTCGGTCTCATTGGCCCCCCCACCCGATGATTGACATCCAAAACCATTTCTCACCTCATCCCAAATCCATTCGAAGGAAACTCTCCTTCATCAAAAAATGGTGTGGACTTCGTAGAAGAGCCTAGCGAGTTCGAGCCCCTGAGGACTTAATGTTGCAGAATCGATTGGCTGTGCTCCTGTCACGATACGGCCCTAGTGATATTAATCATGGAATAAGCGAGAGTAATGGTGAAGTAAACCTGGCTGCAAATCCAAGCAGTAGTCTCATTGCTCATCTATGTCTACTCTAATCCTTTGCCAAGCAGCACGTCTCCAATATCCTTCACGAGTGCCTCTCCAGGGAAGAGCTTGCGCTTCGCCAGCACTGTGCCTCGAGCATCCATGCTCTTCAGCAGATCTACCAGCTCCCCGTTCTTTGGTGCACAGTATACCAGGTATCCAAAAGCAAGCAAGAACCCTTTCAATGCATCTGGTGATTCTTCCTCCACACCTATCGCTTCTAATAAGGATGCAGCAAGCTCAACTTGCTCTCCTTCTGGCAGAGACTCAAGATGCTCCTCGGTGCGTAATCTGCTATTCGCCGTTGCAATATTGAATGCCAAACTTGCAGCAGCTACTCTGACATTGTGGTGCTTGTCGTCTAGCAAGCTGGTGGTAATCAGCTGCACAATCGGCTCATCTAGTGTCGGGCATTTGAGTATGTGTATCGGGTAGAGAGGACTCGTGAAGAGGTTGCAAGCCATCTGCAGGGTAACAAGACGAAGAGTGTATGGGCAATCTTTCAGAGAATTGACGTAGGATATAAGAGGCGCAACGGTCTTGTGATCTTTTTCTTCTGCATAGTATCCGCTGAGCCTTGGATCGACCAGTGCCACTCGCAATAGGTCCACAATCGTAAACATGATTTCTGCTGGAAGACGAGAGGAAGCGTTCTGGAGGAATTTGCTAAAAGCGTCGAGGTCCGGAAGAGTGGTTTCAGCGGCGCCATCACCAGCGCGAGCAGAAACAAAGTGCATAACAGCTGTGACTGCTGCATCTTCGCTTGCTGATCCCATTTTCGCTTTGAGTTTGCCTAAGGGGGGGATCTTGCTGAATGAGACTGGTTTCGTGTTGGCACTGCGAAGGGCAGGAAGTGAAAGGGATTCGTGAGGATGCGGTGGCCATGCCATCTGTACGAGCAAGTTGATGTTGCCCCTCAGCGTGCTTGGGTCTGCTCCACTCCATCTATTCTCTTCCGCCCCGTGCAGAAACGTCATGAAAGTGGGTGTAGCGCTGATGGAGTATTTTGCCCCAATATCGTAAGCACGGGAGACGTCAATAAGGATCAATACAGCTTTGTGTGCTAACTGTACGGCCAGCTCATCGTATACTGGGTAGAGCTTTTTGCAGGGCGCGCAAGTTGACGATGTAAAGAAAATGACTGCGCAGGACTTTTCGGCCTCTTTGAGCAATTTGTCGAGCTCTACCATGGTAATGACTTTCCTCACAGACAATGCGAGCTGGTGGTATGTTTTAGAAGGCTCTGCCGAGTTTTCGATCCCTATTAAGCCGCCATTCTTCTGTTGTTGGCGCTGAACCATTTGATTTACATGTGGTTGCAGAACCCTGCCGAACGGGGAGTTAAGGACCTGCTGTGGAAGGTTGGTGATATGGTCAGGTATTCCTTTTCCAAGTAAGAAGGTAGCAAAGTCGTTCGAGAAATTATTGCAGTTGTGAGTCCATAGATCGTAGGCCTAGTCAAGTCTTAGTTTTGGTCTAGACACTCACTGCAAAAGCAGAGCAGGAATACCTGGGCTGTGTAGATTTCCTTCAGGGAATCCAAGTACTCCATTATCACATCCATTGGTAGGTCTGTTGTGCCAAGTTCTATTATCTGCCATGGTGTTTCCAGATGTGTCTTGCCAGCAGAAACTGTTTTGATTCCTCCATCATAAACGTATTCAATGTCTCGTATGACAATGGAGGTGTGGTAGACAGCATCAATCTGGGTCCCAAGGAGGCCTTCAGAAATCATCCGAGCCAAACCCTTGGACAGGTCGTATACGTAGAGCTGGACGTTCATGGCAGGAGGACGGTGGCGGCGTTCGAGGACGGAGGGTTGTCAATCTGAACGATTTAATCGTGGAAGTGTCGAACTGTTCTAAAGGTGGTGGGTCAAGATAGTGAGAAGCACATGTTAGAGGAGAAAAGAGCGAGTGTAGGGGGGGCGAGGATTACATTCTTCCTTCTGTTCTATTCTATGTTGTCGTGAATGACAGCCTCCACAGGCAGCGCCAGTGACGCGGGACCTGCCTTAAGCCACAAGTCGCTTTCTCAACCCTTGCCCTCGACCTTGACATCATTGGACACATTTGGCGCCACACCTCAGCTAAAATTCAGCCAGGGGCACGCGGTCCCGAGAAATTGACAAGTTCCTGCTTCTCTGTCTCCCTCCTTTTTCTTCACCCCCTCTACCTTCTTCTATGCACAGCCCTTGTCACCACCATTATCAGATCTTTACTTTTCCATGAGCGACCAGGTTCCTTGATCTGCGATCCTCACCACACTCCCTTATGAGACGCACCTCGGTCTCGCTGCCGACGAGAAACGTAGCACACGACCCGCACGAGAAGCCCAACAGATATACTTCCAAAGGCGCAAGGGTTCGCGCCGCCAGCACACTGGAGCGAGTTAAAGCCGCCTGGATGACTCAAAGTCAAAGATCCAGATACCTGAAGACGGGAGGCATTCTGCTCTTCGTTATCTTCCTCTTCTACTATCTGTCCCCGAGTGGCGCCGATGTATATAATGGAGGTCCGCGTGAGTTGCCCTTTTTCTGATAGCCCTGTCGTCGACTTACTTTTTTACAGTGACAAACATAGCAAGTTCCGGTGGTCAAACGGCCTCAGACTCTTCGGTTGGAACAACGAAGTGCTCGAAGTCCAGCGATAAGTCGAAGCCGATCGTCCAATATGCTCTCATGATAGATGCAGGGAGTACTGGTTCTCGAATTCACGTCTATCGATTTAACAATTGTGGAGATACGCCAGAACTGGAGGATGAGATCTTCGAAATGACAAAGAAGAAGGATGGAGGTTCCGGGCTCAGCTCTTACGGGGAGGACGCTGAAGGAGCGGCGAAGAGTCTGGATGTTCTCATGGATGTTGCAATGAAGCACGTTCCAGAGAAGCTGAAGGGTTGTACGCCGCTTGCCGTCAAGGCAACGGCAGGCCTTCGGAAAATGCCAGGAAACCAAGCCCAAAATATCCTCGATGCTGTCCGAACTCGGCTGGAGACAGTGTATCCTTTCCCAGTCCTTTCCAAAGAGGAGAATGGTGTTGCTATCATGGACGGAAGTGATGAGGGCGTCTATGCTTGGATCACCACGAACTACTTACTCGGCAAGATTGGAGGACCTGACGACAGCCCCACCGCCGCAGTTTTTGACCTGGGCGGCGGCTCAACTCAAATCGTATTTGAACCAAGATTCAAGGCTGGCAAAGATGGAATGCCCGAGAAGTTGGCAGAGGGTGATCACAAGTACAAACTTACCTTCGGCGGAAGAAACTTCGAACTCTATCAACACTCTCATCTTGGCTACGGTCTTATGGCCGCTCGCGAGTCCATTCACAAGACTCTCGTCGAGGATATCCACTCAGTCAACCCTGGGGACTCAACCTGGGTCTCGGAGCCAGTCATAAACCCCTGCATTGCACCAGGAATGGCTCGTGCCGTCAAGGTCAAGCTTGATGAAGATCATCCTCTTGGAAAAATGATTACAGTCAACATGACTGGTCCTTCATCTCCAGCTCCAGCCCAATGCCGCAAGCTCGCTGAGAAGATTCTATTCAAAGAAAAGGAGTGCTCACTGACTCCTTGCTCCTTCAATGGTGTCCACCAACCTTCCCTCGAGAAGACCTTTGCCAGAGAGGACGTCTACACCTTTTCTTATTTCTATGACCGCACTGATCCCCTTGGAATGCCCGAATCTTTCACGTTGAAGGAGTTACATCGCTTGACTGATCAAGTATGTGGAGGTGAATCTCACTGGGATGTATTCGAGAGCGTTCCAGGTGCAATCGAGGAGCTGAAAGGACGTCCTGAACACTGCCTTGATCTCAACTTTATGACCGCTCTTCTCCACACTGGATATGAAATGCCAATTGACAGAGAGGTCAAGATTGCCAAGAAGATAAAGGGCAATGAGCTTGGTTGGTGTTTGGGTGCGAGGTAAGCAACATATAAATTATAGTCAAGACCTCCCACTGACCCCTTCCTAGTCTCCCGCTGTTGAGCCAAGGGTCAGGGTGGAAGTGCCGTATCAAGGAGATCTCATGATTGGTTCAAGGGCCATGCATTGCAGGCGTTAGGTTTCTTTTGTCTAATCGGATAAACGCAGCCAAAAGGTCAGCTGTTGGTATATAATTCATTCGAAGTTTGGTCCCCCGGAATCAAGACATGAGATATTTGAACGTAAAGCATTACCCAATCCCGCACTGGGATCGGTCAATCATTACCCACAGAGTCCATGCACGAGTGTTCATAAGATCCAAAACTTTGTGACTTAGCCAGGGAGTGCAATGAGGGCGAATGATGTTGTGGAACCTTGATCGGTCTTGGTTCAAGTTCGACTTCGAGTTCGCAAAAAATAGTTGGTTTTTATCGTTCTCTTGCGAGTACAAAGGATCCTCTGAGCTTTCTCTCTATTACAGTATACAGAGGCCCATCATTGGTCTGTCTCAATCGTCCTCTTCTCTTCCTCTCACCCTATCAACACTCACGTCCATCTCACAACACAACCAATACTAGTGATTCGCTCGTTGTGCAAGTTCCAAAATCCCTAGGCAGTCGAATTGTGTTCGCCATCTAAATGTTTATTAGCCTTCGAAATCCGAGCAACTTCCTTGTTTGAATTGAAGAGGGTGGGCGATGGGCACAGGAATTGAGATAGGATAAGGGCACGATGGAGGTAGCCATTTCTTCCTCTTGCTCTATTTCAACTTTCGGAATGGCACCATCGTTGGAGATTGAACGACTCACAACCTCAGAAATATCGAAAGGCACAATCCAAAAGGAGGCCGAGAGACTTTGAGATCATCGCGAAGGCCATAACCAGAAATAGCATCCGAGAAAGAAAGTCGAGCCCCTCTTGAGTAACCTCGAATCAGGCAATGCTGCAAAAGCGGTAACAGGCACATTTGACACGGGCCACGGCCCTCAGTTTTGACAGGGTAGCGGAAACGAGCAGGTTTGCGTAAGTTTTGGGATCAGAAAGTGCTCTTATTGGCGAGATTGAACACCCTAGACGAGCCATCGGTTGGAAGTTTAGGTAAGGTCCAAGGCTAGTTGGATCTTCGGGGACGCCAAGAACAGGGGTGGGGTAGAATTATCAATATCCTCGAGGGGAACGGAGTAGGAATTCCTTTATGTGAAGTGGGACTTCGGATGTACTCTCCCTTGTGAGTTGAAGCAGACCATCAATTGTTGTCACAGGAATTCTTGAGTGCGAAATTTCTGTTGAATAGCTTCGATTTTGGGGGGGAGTTGAGATCTGCTTTGCACCGAGTTGATTTGGTTTCCAGTTGTTCTAAGAAGAGGACTCCTTATATATATCCCATACAATTGCTTAAATTGCTCTCTCGCTTGTTCGGTGCAACTTTTCATTTTGCCATGAGCCCCAATTGATTACAGAAGGCAGGCCAAAAATGAAGCAGATCCGACAACCATAACCCAAGCTAACATTCCCAACCCACTGTATCCATAATTGCTATTTGCAGCGGAAGGCTTGGTGGATGAGGTTGGACTCGAAGTGGCTGTTCCCGAGCTTGTAGCACTTGCAGTTGCAGTTGAAGGCAAACTGGACAGGGCGGCATCTGCGACGAAAGAGGCAGTCGTACTGGACTCGTTCTTGCAAGAGGCTTGTGTGGCACCGACGCCCGTAACGAAGTTGACTGCCGCACACTGGAAAAGGTCAGTAATGTATTGGCCATTCATATCCTCTTTTGGCTTACCTGGTAGAGGATACCGTCTGGAGAATCTGCAGCAATTCCAATCACACCTTTCGAGCCGGCGAAAGTTGCTGGGACCTTGACAGCTGGCTCACAGAAGTTATTGAGGCCAGTCTGCTGAACGGCAGGCAAGAGATTGGTCCAGTTTCCAGAAGCTGTTTGGTCCAATGTAGCACGAAAGAGCCAAGTCACCTGCGGGTGGAAGGATTGCTGCAAAGTCAGGACATGGTCTTTCCAAATAAAAGGGCGCCTTCTTACCAATGCAAGTACATCTCCGTCAACATGGAAGTCTGTTATGTTGTCCTTGCTGAAATCGACAGAGAAGCCTCCACACGGAGCGTTGCCTTCAATGGCATCGTCAAATCCGACGCTTGGAGGGTAAACCACCACGAAGTGGCCAGCAGCTTGACCAATTAAGGCTGCCAAGAAGCAATTTGAGAGAGTGAATAACTTCACCATGTTTGCGGAGAATAACTTCAAGCGTAAGGTTTGCGATGTGAGATGTTGGTCGAAAGTTGGCAAGAGGGCGAATTTGAGAATGGAAAGAAGGATGCAGAACTCGAAAGTGAAATACAAACCAGTTTTAGTGCACTTGGGAGCTTAGACGAGGGTGCTCATAGTGAATTTCCCAGGGTTCCGAACTCCCATGGCAATTTCGACAAGCATTATAAGCTTCGAAGAGCATTCTGGCGTACTGTTACAGGGTATTTGTGGAGCCATCTTGGCGGCCGGTGAGCAAAACCCACCCGTACATCTCTTGGCTCACGCAGTATTGTTCCGAGAAGCTTCACAGATGCATGAGGCGCCGCTTGGTCCTTGATGATAGTGGGATTGCATCCAGTGCATTGGATGGTTTGGAGGAAGCTTCCAACGCGAGGCCCACCGCGTGAGAACAATTGAGCGAGTTGTGGCTTACTCCGTACTAGCCCCTGCTTGGCAGACTTGCTCAATCCCCCTCACCTCACCAAGACGTCCCGTAGCGGGGGAAAGTCATTTTTCAATCCAGTCAGTTTGCAGCTTCTGTCTGAGCTTTGCTGATTCATGATTAGCTTGTCGGTCTTTCCTCGTGGTATCGTGATACTTTAGTCTTTATCTTCGGCGACGATGCTCAGTGGCAATTTCAAGGAAACAACCATAACATCCCACATGCCAGATCGATATCGTTTCAAGAACAATCCAAAGACAATTATCTGCTACTGATTAATTTTCCTGGGAGATTCCAAAAGTAGCAAAGAACAAGAAGGATTGCTTGGGAGAGGGCCTCCTACCGTCGTCTGAGGAAGGAGTCACCCACCTTCGAGTCTGTCCATTGATATCAACCCAGCAAGATGGATATGAGCAGTATGAATGGGATGGGGATGGACTCGGCATCCAGCCCGATTTTCAGACCATATAATCAGACGCTTGCGCGAGGGTACTGGTATATCATCGGCGGTGTCGTGGCGTTCCTTCTCCTCCTACGAGGGATAGAATATTATCAGATATGGGCTAGGTAAGTGGTTGGCCAATACCTTTGCTCTTTCCGGTACTTAAATCTGACATGCTATATGGCAGGTTGAGGCGTGTTCGAACCAGGAAGTCGATGTTATATCCGACGAAAGTGGATGACCTTCCAATGCAGGTTTTCGCGACTGCGACTGCCATTACAAGAGAATTGAGCTATCCCCAGCCTCATCCAGGGGGATGGCTCTCATTCTTCCGACCTCTTTCCTCTGGCAGGGCGATCGTGATCGCCTGTTATTGGGCTATCATCGCATACATGTTGACGGATCGTGCAATAGTAAATGATGCATACTATTGGGAAAGAGTAGGCTTCCGTGGAGCGTGGATATCAGTCACGCAAGTTCCCCTGGTGTACCTCCTAGCATCCAAGTCGAGCTTCATCGGCTTCATCATCGGAACCTCCCACGAAAGGTTGAACTGGCTACACCGATGGGTTTCCCGTACGCTGCTCGTAAGCGTGACCGTACACGGATTCTTCTTCATGGCTGAGTGGGTAAAGGCAAACTTTGTCACCCTTGAGCTCTCGATGATGCCGGTGGTCAAATATGGTCTTGTAGCGTGGGGTCTCCTGGTTTGGACGTTCTTCACTTCCCTCTCTCCGATGCGTCGTTTGGCCTATGAATTCTTTGTTTTGCAGCACATTGTAACATCAGCAGTCTTTTTATGGGTGCTGTACATCCACGTGCCAAGCTACGCCAGATACAACATCTGGTTTGCAATCGGGGCCCTGTTGTTGGACCGAGCAGTAAGGATTGTTCTGCTCTTGATTCGAAACATCCGAATTCGACGCGCCAAGTCATGTGGTGCAACTCAAAAAATTGGGCACCAGGTCGAGCTTCAAGCGTCGTGTAGTGAGATTGTGGTTATCACCATCAAGGATGTCCATCTCTCCTGGAAAGCCGGTCAACACATGTACCTCTGGCTTCCTCGTCTTGGGCCACTCGAATCCCATCCGTTCACAATCGCCAGTCCTTACAAGAAGGCAGAAGAATGCCACTGCAACCAGATTCAGTTCGCGGTCAGGGTTCAATCTGGTTTCTCCAAACGCATCCACCGATATGCGATGAAGACTCAAGAAACTGGCAACTCACTGACAGGTTTTATTGCTGGGCCATATGGAACACCTCCAAGCTGGGAAGCATACGAATCCTTGATTCTGATATCTGCATCAACTGGAGCGTCCTTCGCTATGCCCATCCTTGAAAGCATTCTTGCCAGCAGGACAACAATATGCACACAGCGAATCCACTTCCTCCTGGCTGTGAGAAAGCGCTCACACATAGATTTCTATGTGCAACGACTCAATACTGCTCTTTCCCATGCAGAAGCTCGAGGAATTGAGCTGAAAGTAGAGATCGCCATTACAAGTGATGCCAGCTCGTTCGTTGAGAGTGAAGAGAGTGATAAGAGTATCGATGATGAGAAGCATCTGCAACCCGAACACGTTGTGGAGAACCTTGGAGAAGAAAAGATCGTAGAGTCTAAACAGGATAAAGAGGAGACAATGATCCACGTCGACTCGATCTCAGCCTCAAGCTTAACATCCTCTCGAAGGACAGCTCCCGTCGTGAGCAAGTGTTGTTGTGACAATGGCGAAGGACCAAGTGGGATCGAGTCCTCTCGCCAGATCGTCTACTCTTATCAACGACCTGATATTGCGACTTTCATTCGGGGCCCAGTCGAGGCGACGGGTGGGGAGACGTCTGTTGCAGTGTGCGGAGGAAAGTCCTTGGTAGCTACCGTGAGAAACGCGGTGGCGAGCTTAAGTGATGAGAGGGCGGTACACAAAGGCACCGGAGCTCAAGGAATACATCTACATGTCGAAGAATACTGTTTTTAAACTTAGTCATGAAAGGCACGGGTTTGAAATATAGGATATGGCGTCTTGGGAAGGATATTCTGCTGCATTTGGGGCAGTATGAACGTGTACATGCTAATGAATAGGAAGCTTTAGACCATCCTAGACCATGACTCAAATGCAATCTACATACCAAGATTCCTGAGCGCCTCCGCCACCAATACGCCTTGATGTCTCCCTTAAAAGAACTCCATATTTGCCATGATTCGGGTTAAACTCGAGAGAGGCTCAGGGGTTTGGTCCCCTTCTATAATTCGTGCTCAACCAGGAGCTTCGTATCTCCAGTACTTGACTCGGACCATTCGTTGGTGGCCCACTGGACTATGAGTTTCTTGGCATCCTCGGACATCGCATAGAAGCCTGGATTGTCTTTCGGGTAGAACATAGCTGCTTAAAGTTAGCGTTATACTCCCTTTTTTTTTTAAAAAAAAAAAAGCAACATACACATATGTGCCCAAGCCTCATCTGCAGCCTCGTCATTGATTGCTTCGTGCCAAAACTCCTTCGACTCCTTCTTGGGCAGATTGCAAAAGGTCCTTTGATTCCCAATAACACTCCCGACCATAGTCTTTCCATCCCCTTTGCTGACAGCCTTCTTCCCCAATCTGGTGTAGAGATTTCCGAATCCGACATGTAACTCTTTGTTCAGCCGCACTATTCCAGCGACTCTCTTCTGCAGCTCAGGTCCCTTCATCAAACAGCCCACAAATTCGAGATGAGACGTTGCCCAAGACCATCCTGATGTGATCTCTTCCCTTTTCAGGTACGCTGCGCCTCCTGCAGCAACCACAGCAGCTCCAGCTCCAGCAATAGCCGCGACCTTCCCCCATCTTTGCCACATTGGTATAGGGGCGTCTGATGGAGGTGGAGCAGGCAATGCTGTTAAGGGTTTCTTGTCTTTGGAACCCTCTGCATCTGCGGCGGCTTTAGTTCCCCAGATTGCTCCTGTAAGCCCGCTCAACTGCGTAAGCGCATTCGTTGCTGTATTGTAATGTTCTTCCGCTCCGTGTGCAACAACGCCAGGCGAGATTCCGAGGTAAGGTGTGTCAAATGCTAAGACGCCTTGAACATATGGAAACATGAAGGAGTTTAGTTCTGGCTTTTTAAGGTCGGCGGGAGCAGAGGTATCGATGGGGAGGTCATTCGTAAGGGCGAGTAAGGTGTCTGCTGCAACGATGCCACCCATCTGTAAAATCATGAAGTCAGCACTGGCGGTTTCCTAAGACAGCCCGGGACAATGGCATCTTTCTTCGGAACGACTTACAGAATGTCCCACTAAAATAGCCCGTACAGAAGGTTCGACGGTGGGGGATGGAGTATGATTTTGGACTTCAATATCGATGACTTTCTCCAGCAGCCTGCTATTATCAACCTCTTCCCATTCGTGATCTGACGTAGCAGCCTACCAATCTCTAAACCTGCTCACGCATTCCTCCAAGGCCCCTCTGGTCTCAAAAGCGGGATACACCAAGAACCGAATGTCCAGTTTCGGAAGCGCATGTTGGACAAGGGCGGTAATGTGGTCGGGAAAGGTTCCAAAGGTTGTATCACCACCCTTTTTGGTCAGCAGGCACTGGGAGATATTAGAGCTTTGAAGTGTACCTTGAAGCCGTGGATGAAGACCAGCAACAGGACCTTACGCATCCTTTCGCATTCCGGGGGGATGAGTTGAGCTCGAGTCTCTCGAAGGTTGAATGCGGAGGAGAACGTGTGCTCAGCCCTGTGGTGGTCTGCCCCACCTCGAGACAGATGCTCCTGCGGTACGACCCCTGGAGACGGGACAACGTCTGTCCGATGACCCAATTCGCAGGTGTTAAATAGCCAAGGTAGGCCAACAAATACGAGTACAAATTTGCTATCATGTCTTCAGGCAGTAGCCGCGATACTGTATACGAGTTATTGCTGTGAGGACACAAGTCTCCTCTGCTCCAAGCTACTTCTCCCGCCAGATCTCAACATGCCTCGAACAGATCGCGACCGCAATACCAAGTCGCTCCCGGGCATCATCACGTTCGCGGTCCTAGGCGCCTTGACCGGTCACAGTCGGGAGCTCAAATCTTTTGACAGTTATGCCATTGCCCGTAACGCAAACCTCAAACGACGGGAATCCATTAACTACGTACCTGTACAAGAACCCACCACTCACCGGAGAGAGCGTGCTCTCACCCCTCCACCTTCTGGAAGGGCCATTTTGCAACCAAGCCAACTCAATGAGCAAATTCAGTCTCCGATGTTCAAACTTTCTGAGGAATTACTGCTACTGATCTATGAAGAAGTTCTTGGTCGCAACCTGTTCCACATTGTCAGGAGAACGACTTCATTCCAACTTGGACATATTGTATGCAAAACCAATATCCCAAGACGCCAAGAAGAATGCAATGAGAATGAATGTCGAGGCTTGAAGGTCCCGACTGGTATTCATGCCAAGACTGGACCAGGTGACGGAGGCCTAATTCCACTTCTTCAGTCATGTCGGAAAATGTAAATCTACTGCTCTTATGTTTCTAAACCCAGTTGCTAAGGGGTATCTTCAGATATATCGACGCAGTCAGAGTGCTGTATTCGTCTAACATATTCGACTTTGACTGTATGGAAACTCTGATCTACTTCTCCACTGCCCTTGTCCCAGCTCGGTTCGACAACCTCATCTCGCTCCAACTGGACTTTCGCTTTCCCCTCTCCCTCTATTTCCATGAAGCAACTCCTCAGAACGACCTCGCTCGCTGGGAAAGAACGTGGAGAATCATCGGGAGTATGAAATCGCTGCAATTCCTCTGGGTTCGTATTGCTTGGCCCAAGCAAGAGATGACTGTTCGTGAAGAGAGGAGGTTCATGGAACCTTTGTGTCAAGTCAGGGAGTTGAATTGTTTTGAAGTGAGCCTACAGTCTGTTATTGGGACGGAATTCGAAAGCGGGAAAGAGGAACACTGGGTTGTTTTCAGGAGAAAGCGCTGAGGGAGAGATGAAAGGATTTCACGAGCTGCGGGGTATACCACTACTTTTGCGTACTTGCTTCATTACCACTTGGTACGTTTGACTTTGCACGTCACGCATTTGGAGGTGGGATCCTCCAAGTGTTATGCTATTCTACAACCTAACAAGTCGGCTAGCTTGAGGAGTACGACACCCGAAGTCGTTAACTACGAATGCGCTCTCCAATATCTGATCAATACTTCTTACAAAATCATTATTTCGTTGCGCTGTTATTTACTGATACCCGAATCTTTGCAAGTCATTCTTCGAGTCTTGCTCATCACACCAGCCTGTGACATCGTACATTTTCCCGTTGGTATTGGATATTAGCAAACGCGCTGGATCTTTTACGGAAATAGGTCCGGGATCTCAGAGCTAAAGGAATTGTTAAAAACAACCACCTAAAAAATTCAAGTGTATCGACAGGAAGGCAGCACTCACCTTTTGAATTTCGCCATCTTAGTGTCCGGCCATCCATCTTTGACGCTTTGTAGAAAGTCTTCTACTTGATTGGTAAAGCCAAAGAAAACATACGCCTCGGGATCGTTTAGCCAAGGGCGTGTAATCTTGACAAGCCGTTTTGCAATACAGTAGTCGAGCTTGACAATGCGTGTGGGCTTGATCAAGCAGGGACCGTAATCCTTGCCTCCACCGACTTTACCGCCCACATAAGGGCAGTACATTCCCTTCTCTAAACGGAGCCAGTGTGGGGTTGGGGTGTGATCCTCTTCGCTCGGCCAGGAGAAAAATTTGCCGTCTTTCATTGGATAACAGACTCGGTTGAGATCGAAGTTGTTTCGATCATCTCGATCGGAGGGGACATCATGTTGAAGAGGGGACAAAGTGTACGGAGATGTTGTCTGCGTGGAGACGACTTTATTCGTGGTGGTTGTAAGATATCGGTTGTCACGGCTTGGGGACATCGAGCTTGACTGCGGCGCTTGCGACTGGCTGGCTCCCTGTCGTGGTTTTCTAGGTGGGGTCGGGGATGCCGCGCTTCGCTCTCCTGCTATGTTCCGTGATATTGTTGGTCGTTGTCGTGCTGCGTTCTGGGGGGCTGTTTGTCGTCGTCCAGCTGGCATCTGGGAAAGCGGTTGCCGATGTGCAGTCGTGATCTCAGACATCTTCGACCTATCGCCCAGCTGAGGCTGGGACAATGCCTTCACGTTTTCCATTTGAGACAAACTGAACTTGTTGTCGGAAGTCCTTGCGCGTTTGACCGAAAGGAGTTTCGCGGACATACCACCCTCATTCCCATCGCCAAAATCAAAATCCAACTCGTCAGGGCGATCTTTGGAGGAATATCCGTTTTGTGGGGAGCCATTCTTGCGCTTTTCTCCAAGCGATTGTGACGGAGTCCTCAACATTGCCCGGCGCTCTCCCTCTAGGGTTGGTGGTACCACGCCTCTGCTCAAACTACCTTCGGACTTAATCGTGTCAGGTTTTTTGAGCCGTGAGGAGGTCTTCGTTGGGGTTCTTGGTGGCAAGCGGACAGTAGCCTCATCAGCGGCTCCTTGCAAACAACCTTCAGGAGTTGCAGCTGCCTTAGCTTGGGGCGGACGTTGTGTCTTGGATAGTGTGCTTTGTGAAGCCGTCGTGGAGGTGCTAAGAAGTGACTTGCAAGGCCCTTTTGGTGCAGGCGTTGCAGTGCTTGGCGCTGGTGTCCTCGAAGGAGCTCGAGCGAGTTCTTTGTGAGAATTGCTACGAGTTGCATTAGCTGCGGCATCCGAATCAGGCTTTGGAGCACTCGCAGCCGGTGTTCTCGCCGAAGTTTGAGCGGCTTCTTGCTGAGGAGTGGTAGGAACTGCATTGGGCGGAGTATTCGATGCCGGCTTTTTGTTTTTAGCAGTCGGTATCTTCGAAGAAGCTCGAGAGTGTTCCCCCTGAGGAGTACCCATCAGAGCGTTTTCAGAGCCGGCCACTCCAGGATTGGGTCCGGTAGTTGCATTCTGAGGAGTACTCGTAGCAGCACACGTAGGGCTACCATCCCGAGGAGTGATCGGACTGACGACTGGTCGATTCAGCGGAGCGCTGGCCTCTGATCGGCTTGGAGTCGCCTCAACCGGTCGTGGAAAGCTTAGCCACAAATTTGTTGCCTTGAGCAAAGGTGATGACTCGACTTGCTTCTCGACCTCGAAGAAAGCCAGTCGTCCGACTTCTGCTTTCTCTTGTTTCTCCTTCACCTCCAGTTCCTTCCTCCGCTGTCTGAATTTCTGCTCCATCAAAGCCTCCTGCTCCCCAACCCGTTCGTCCAAATGAATTTTGGCTTTGAGAGCCTCAGCCTTAGCTTCTTGAATCTTCTTCTCTGTCTCGATTTTGAGGTCAGCTAACTCCTGGACATGACGAGCCTGTAAAGCCTTAAGTTTCCCGTCCTGATCGCTTTGAATGCTCCTCTGACGTTCGGTAGATTGGCATTTTAAATTATCTTGTTCGGTCTTTGCTTTCCCCTGGAAAGCTTCTAGTTCCTTATTGATCGAGGCTTCAAGATCTTCCTTCGCTTTCTGGAGTTGATCCTGATGAGCGTCAGCTTTGGACAGTCACCAACAAAACAATGCCAGAAACGCGCATGCACGCTGAAAGGCAATGGTGACACGCTTCAATGTCTCAAATTGAAATACACACTGAGAACACCAGGAAATGATGGGAGCCGACGCGTTACCCAAAGCTGTGCCTTGTAGTGAAACAGGTCAATCGTCAACTTGGAACAAAATATTGACTTACTCTCATGGAGGCCCAGTGCAGCTCAACACGTCGGTAGGGAGAAGAATCCATCTTTTATGCGCTCATGCAACGGCAACTAGGGTGCAATCTTACCACGCGTTGCCGCCATTAGCCAAGTGTTGTGGTGTTGGGTTGCAAGGTCTAAAGCGAGATCTAGGTCAAGCCTTTAAGGCGAGCGACGAGAACACACTTGAGCGATGGGCAGAATGGAGCCTTGCTAACCTAGTTAGTGAATTGACCAAGTGTATGCCTTTGCAATCCTGAAGTCTGAGGTTCAGCATTGAGTAAAGGCAAACGAGAATTCTAGGTGCTAAAGTGGACCTGCAGACTAGAATGCTACCAAGCACTCAACATTACTTGTCATTTAGTCTACTCATCTGTTTACACACAGTCATTTGCATCAATCGGTACCAATCGTGTCTTGCTATAACCATAAAGTACAATTCTCGCCCGACACGTTAGAAGCACATACATTTGCCATCCAATATTCAGCATCAAGTTGACGTCACACAGCAGCACTGTCACGACGTTCGCATGTCTCGCCGCTGCCATTTCCTAATTCCGAATCGGTAACAAAGGCATTTTCCTAAAGAGAAATCCAAAACAAATTGCATGCTTTCATATTGAAAATAAAACACGGTAAAGTCCTCTTACCACATATCGAATGAGTCAACCCCCTCGACGATAACTTGAATATAATCTCCAGAAGCTATAGAATTCCCCACCAAACAGAGTCCATTGTGCCAGGATTCCGAACTTTACGAAACTTGTAAACTTAGCACAATCTTCAGCCCAGCACCAAATCGGTTGCAGCAAAATTGCAGATCCAGATTCGAAATGTGGCAAAACAATGGCTTAGAAACGTGGGTTAAAGGAGGTTAACTATGGGGAAAAGGATAGAGTTGTTTCTTCTTCAAAAGATTCAACCCCCATACGGCTTATTCTTGAGAAGCAGATTGTCAATATACATTGATAGAATAAGCTCCTTTGCCTTCACGAATTTCGAGGATTGAAGCTAAGCACGATACCAAATGCAGCAAATTTACAACTTCAACCTGGCATTGTGGCAAGATGAGGACCGAGAAAATCTCCCACGGCTTTTAATCATGGGCGAGAACATGGGATGTAGTAAGTAGATCGCATTTCGACCGCTGCCGTCTTCCTCCTAGAAGATTTTGGGAGGTATACAGCAATAAGGTCACCGGCGGAAGACGTTTCGTAACCAGATGACGGAAAGAGCATAGAATTCGGCCTGTCGCTCTTCGGTCATAGCTGCCTTTCCATGAGAACTTGTGGGAGATCACGCTTCAAACGACTCTGCTGAGGAACGACTCCGAGCGAGATGAAGGAGCTGCTAGTGGAAAAGCTGTTGAAGCAATAAATCACGCAGGAGCCATCAAAATGGAGCCGGAGTCTTAGGAGGCTGGGCCCGTTGCTCAGGCCGCTCAGCACTATCATCTTGATGGTGGCAGAGGGCAATGCCCGCATCACAAAGAAGCAATGCGAGAAACCCGAGAACGTTGAGAATGCAAACGTACCTTGACCGCAAACGCCTTTGTCAATAAAGAGCAAGCGTGAAAGTCATGCGGAGCCATATTTCGATGCTATTTCGTTTGTTCTTATGTTAAACCGGAGACAAGGAACCCAAATGGTATCTTGCGGCTTGGTCCTCCCAATCAAAGTAGTCCCCCAAACGCCTGTATCAGCGAGAGCAGTCAATGATCAATCCCATATTGCCCATACTCCATGCTATGCAAATGCAGCGAAAAACCCTCAACCGGCTATGCTTCAACTTATGTACTCTGTGGTAGGATGATGCCAATGTCATCAGAGGCTCATCACAAGAAAACACCGACCCATTTGTCCTTATTCCTAATATCGCTCTCACAATCATCAACGGAACAAAGAAGCTTAGTAGTTTTGCTTTTGCTGCTGGTTGGTGGCTTCGAACTTGCGCGGAAGGAAACAGCGCCGTATTTGCCTGATTGGGCTCGGTTTTGGAAGCAACTATTACAGTATACCTAGAAATAATCAGTACGAGGGTGACGATATCCAGGGGGAATGACCTACGTGACCACATTCCTTCACGACCCAGAACGGGTGCTCTTCCCTATCCTTCCTCGATGGCGCCTTGCCACCCTTTTTTACAATAGGCTCTTCGTCCTTTCTGTGTATCAATTCCTCCTCGCAACTGGGGCAAATAATCGTTTGGCTCTCTTCTGGGGAACGTGTAAATCCTTCCTTCGCGGCTGGAGGTGCAACATGCTGTGGTTTTCGGTCCACAAAAGCGTGGTGTTGATAATTCATGAGCCCTGGCATAACCTGTTCGTCGTGGAATGCCTGTATATGGTCCATGATTTCTTGACCCATTCGTGCCGCAATGTGATATTCAGCTTCCGCAGGAATTCGACCGCGCCTTTCCACTCTTCCACTGACTCCAATGACAACTCCGTGACGATGAGTGGGAAAGACTCTGTTGATCGGTTGAGGTGGCAAGGGCACAAAAAGTGAGGGTGAATCGTCTCGTCTAGCGGGTGGAACAGGCCGAGCAGCACTCGGGCGAGGAAGAGGCAGTTGACGTCCTCCCATAATTATGATATCAGGTTCGCCATTGTCGTCCGTCAAATCAATGAAGTCCCCGAGACTGACTGCATCACTTCTCCCAAGCTGTGGTGGTCTTTGGGATCGGCTCCGTTCCTCATCGTTCCGACTAGGTAACGGTAGTTCCTCGGGCTCGTCCGTGAGATCAATAATGGTCTGGGAGGCCCGGTGCTCGAGGCGTGGCCGCTGCTGAGAGTGGGAACGCGCTGGCATCTCTTCCGAAGCTCTTTGTAAATGTTGGTTGTGGGGATGGGAAGTGCGGCGCCTATCGAGGACGGAGGCGAGGTTTTCGTTAGAAGGTGCTCTGGAGTACCGGTGGGAGAAGAAATTCGAAGTAGAGGGATCTCCAAAATTCATAGGAGAGGGTGAGAGTGTTGCTGGATGTGACATTTCGGTGAAAGATCTCTGTGGTCGAGTAATCACGTTAGATCGGGCCAAAAGCTCGGAATCGTGGGTGGGGTCCTACTTTGTGGCGCTGGGACTCTGGTGACCATATATCCATCACATTCGTATGTAGAATTCAAGGTCTCTCGCTGGCATCGAGAAGGTACCGGAGGTGTGTATGAATGCTGGTGGTTCAGCTCGTGGTGCAGCCGCAATGGGCGGATGGCGAATCTGGTGTTGTGTTGACGTTGAAAAGGATGTGGTTCCCGAGCGTGTGAGATCAGAGGTCCTAGCGGCCTTCGCTAGGATGTCGCCGCACTGCTTAAATCCGACTGAGCGCCTTCGAGATGCGATGGGTCGACTGCTACCTGCTTGCCTAGTTTGAAGGACGAAGGGATTCCAAATTAGTAATTTATGGGTTCAGGAGGCGGCAAGAAGAAGCAAAGGCTCAAAACACAATTTCGCAAGGGCCGCGGACAGCAGGCGCAAAGCTCCAAAAATCCCTGTAGCGGCGATCAAAAATAGAAGGAACAAGCGTCGCAGAACCGCAAATTACGAACTATTGTTTACCCCGAATTTCTTTCAGCACCATAGGCAGGACGAGGCATCTTCGCCTCCCGCTGAGTCGCCCATTACTTGAGTCAATCCACATCCCATTCACACATTACTGCCTGGTTCAGGATCCGAGCATTCACGTGCAACAGTTTCATTCATTTTCCCAGTGCATCACCTCTCACTCCTGTCCTGCTTGCTTTCTAGAATTACATGCAAGAGAGACTGTCCAGATTTGCTTTTGTCAGAAGCCAGAATGTCAAAGTCCAAACTCCATAAAATCCCATCTTCATCCAAGTACTGTTATAACACCATCACCGTTGACCGTGATCAAGGTCTTTGCCTCTGGTCCCCATGCAACTGCAGTAGCCGGAACAGCGGTGCTAATGACGTCTGACCATGACTTCGATGTCTTGGTATACTGTGAGATGGTGAGGCCTCGGGGGCCGGAGGCTGCCAGATACTGGCCGGTGTAGTCCCATCGGATGCTGTCAACCTGTCCACCAATTTCGAGCACCTTGGCTTCCGCAGCCTTGCCCTCCTTTCGCAAGTCGAAAATAACCACGCTGTTGGAGCCTTTCGCAACACCTGCAAACCAGATGCCATTTTCTGAGAAGGCAATATCCTGTACGGGGCCTTCCAGATCGAAGTTTGCAGCATTTTCGCCTGTCTTGACATGGAACAGCTTGATCTGCCCGTCAGTGCCTCCAGCTGCAAATAGATGCCCATCCGGATGGAATGCAGCAGTGGTGAGTTCTGCGAATTTATTGTTAATATTTCCCAATACAGTTTCATGGGATCCCATACCTGAATTGCTGTAAACCTGAGTAACAGCCTTACCTCCCGGTAAATCGTAGAAAACGAAGCTCTTGTCGACTCCGACTGAAGCAAGAATATCACCACTTGGATGCAGCGCCAAGCCGTTTGCACTCCCTGCATGTGATGCGAATGAAATCTCGCTGTCCCCAAAGACCCTTACCGCCCCTGAAGCAGTAGAAACAACTGGTTGGTTGCCAAACCATACCGAATCTGTCACAGCAGCACCAGCCTTGAATGATTCCACCACCTTGTTTTCAGGGATAGAAAAGATTCCAGCAACACCATCATTTCCACCAAAGACAACTAATTGGCCAGCCTCGTCCACAGCAAGAGATTTTGCTCCAGGATATAAAGCTTTGGAAGTAGTCGCAACGCCAAATTTCTCAATGAGCTCCGCGTCAGCCCATTCTTTTGGCACTGGCCGCTTTCGGCGGCTCTTGGAAAGTCTATTAATAATTAGCATTCTGCTGTCTTTGGCGTGGACCTTGGACTCATACTTTTCTTGAGTGGCATCCACCTTCGCTGCCAACTCGTCTGGAAGGCCTTGACTATCAATTTGCATGGCATCCCCATTGCTCGCGCCACCAGCATTAATCGTCACTTTTGATAACGCATCTCTAGCCTCGTCGCGCTCCCTCGTCAGACGGGCGATGACTCTAACTGCGGCATCATGCTGATACAACGCCGTAGCCAATTCCTGCCGAGTTTGCTGCAACTGTTGCCGCAGGTTGAAAGACTCGAGAGCTAAGGCATCCCATTCGTTTTGGAAGGTCGAGAGGAGAGAGGGAATGGATGTGAGAGTCGGTGGTCGAGGAGCGACTATTCTCGAGGACTTGAGATCGATGAGGTCTGTAATCTCCAACTCTTCTCCGTTCACAGGGTCCTTATGGTTCTCTGCGATATAAGTTTCGATCAAGCGCTTCTCATAGACATTGCCTACCACAAGTCAGTCTTGCATTGAGTAGAGAGCGCTGGTGCCTTTCTTACCACTCTTCGAGGAAGCGACTGGATGCTGTGGAGCTTCGCCGGATACTGTACGCGGTCAGTACCGGACTGTGACTGTCGGGAGATCGAATGGAAATACTTACTTGAGCACAACATCTCTAATCACGTCGAAGATCGAGTTCTGAGCTTTGGCGCATCAAATCGTTAAGCAGAACTTCAACTTTGAAGGCGCTGGAAATTTGTGACGCTAGTGCCCAATCAGGTCTAGACTCATTTTCAGCTATCTGCTCAAGCAAGTTTATCTTCAACTTCATCAATCTCTCACATTATCCAATTCACATTGATCACTCTTGAAAACTTCCATTATGTCCGGTTTCCAACTTCCACCTATTTTCGACGTTCCTGCTCTTTCTACAATTGAGCGAGCAACTGTCCTGGACGCTCTTTTCGAGCCTTGCACTGCTCTGCACACCTTGTCTCTCGATCTTCTCCACACCGAGAAGTTCGAGTCTTACTATGACCTCATTGCAAGCGTTGGAGTCCAGTTGATAGATCTGTCTGAAAGTCTCTCTACAAGTGACACAGAATGGCTGGACAATATCCTTGGTGCTCATCCCAGACTTGGTGAGAAGAAAGTCGAGAGTGCACAGTCACAAGCCGAGCAAGCCCAACTGAATACCGGTGGCGAGGAGGAGGCTACTAAATTACGGAATCTGAATGCTGAATACGAGAAGACCTTCCCTGGTCTCAAATATGTGTATGAACACTATCTATATTCTGACGATAGGAACTGATGTCAGTAAGGGTATTTGTGAACGGAAGGTCAAGGCCAGTCATCATGGAGGACATGCGTTCGAGGATAGACAGAGGAGATATCAAGCTCGAGCGAGCAGAGGCTATCAAGGTAAGTGCTCTTGAAAGAGTAAATAGATTATTCGAACTGATCCACATCACTTCAAGGCAATGTGTGATATTGCAGCGGACCGCGCTGTCAAACTCCAACAACATTAGATATGCATGCACCTGTTCTATTCCATGTCCAACCTTGACCATGCCCTGACCCAAAACAATTTTGTGGGCGCCGTATGATGCATGCATTGCACGACGAAAGAAATGATTATAGTCATTACTCCATCTCGTGGATCAGTCCATGACGGTCACAAAGTAGCCATCCCCCTGACGCTCCTTCTCCCTTAGCAAGTCAACAATACTGTCCTCTGGCGGAGCTGGCGGCGTGTCTGGCAAGTCCTGTGGTTGAATACCGTCCAAAGCGTCGAGGAAACCCCAGTCGTCTCCATCCCCTCCCTCGCTGGAAACGGGATTCATGATATTGAAATCGCTATAGATTGCCGAGATCCTATCAATACCGTCTGACCTGTCGATCCCGAAGTCCTCCTCGTAAGGGTCAGATATGTCATCTTCCATGTCCAAGGCGTCATAGGCTGACAGTCCAAGTGGTGATGGCGGAAGTGGCGTATCGTTGCAGCGAGGTTTCTGAATAACAAGCTGACGCAACGACATCCGTCCCTTGGTTCTCTCTTGCTCAAGACGCATGAAGTCCTTCGCCGCATCCATACTCATGCGTACTCGGTTCATGATGGCGGCCTTTCTTAGTACAGTCTTGTTGTGAATTTTGTTTCTCGCTCCCCAGATTGCAACTCTGGAGACGCCGTGGTTGACGATGTTGGAAGCCGGCTGGGAGAATGGCCGACTGAGACGCGAAGTGATGAGGTGTAACCGTAGGCGTCTTTTCTTCCTCCCCTCATTGCCGTCGCCGTCGACATCAGACAGGGCCCGTCGACGCTTGAAGGGCCGGTTTGACGGGACAGGAACTGATAATGGCCTGTCGAAGGAGAACTTGCGGGACGGGCCTGCGGAGAAGGTAAAGGTGAAGGTGTCTATAGATGACCTAGGGTCGCAGTATATCTCTACCATGCTCACGTGTGGGTCGTGGGCTCGAAAACTGGTCGTTCGTTTTGTTCCAAAATATGGCCCGGTTAGATGGGGCTCTTCATCTCCTCCACGAAGATGAGCACTTGGAGACACTCGCTCATTGGGTTTGTTGACGAGTGGAAAGATGCAGCTCTGGCAGTTGATACTCTCCAACCTAACACCAGTGTGTAGAAAGGAGAGCGAGACAGGAGAGACGACCAGAAGGGCCAGAAGGGAAGTGAAGGGAGGAGGCGGAACAGGCGGCTGGGGGAGAAGGAAGGGAGGGAGACTAGAACGAAGTGAACCCGCAGGACTGGCCTTGGGCCCATCTCATCCCGCACTTCCACAGCCATGGACATTTGCGGGGAAACAGTGTTTAGTTTTGCGCAGGGGAGCCCTGAGGGTGCACATACGGCAAGCGGCAGCCAATCCGAACCCTGGGCCGGCGAAGAAGGCGACAGTCACGAGCGCCGCGAAAACATTTCCTGAGTTTTCCTCGCACTCGCTGCTATTGGCGCTCTCGCCCCGGTCACACGCCTGATTGGCCCCGTGCTGGCGCTGCGTCGCATCCACCAACCCGCTTTCAGGCATTTGCTGGGCCAGCTTGCTTCTTTGATGAAACTTTTACGTTTCTTGGGCTTGACTGGCTGGCTGGCTGAGCAGCGCTCCTTTGCTGCGAGCGACTCATTTCTCTTGCCTTGCAAGACACAGGGGCCATGGCCCATGGTGGGCCTTTGCGGGGCCCACTGATCTCCGAGTGCTTATGCGCATCAAATCTGTTGTTTGGACCCAGATCCGGGGAGACTTTCGATCCCCGGTGAGGGGAACTCATCCCTGTCGCCTTTCCCTTAGGCTTCAGGACTTCTTGACTTCTTTGGGCGAGCCTGGCCAGAGCGCGAGCTGCGGAACTCCACGGCGCCATGGAAGCTTCGAAACTTCGAAAGAACACTTTGACCAGTCTCACCGCTGTTCGAACTTCGCACCACATCGCTGTGCGGGAATTCTGGAACGACATTCCCAGGGATCGGGCCGGAAGTGGAAATGGGCGTTTTGAGGAGGAACCCCCCGCTCCTTCCTTGTGGCCTGGCGGAGGTTTCCATGACAATGGCGTTGTCTTGTTTTCAACCACAAAGACATCTTTCAATGATGACTGGCCAAATATAAGTGGGATGAGGACCCTCCGTCCGACCGTCTATCAGCCTCAGTACCAGGCCACCTCACTTTTGTCGCCAGCAGCGCTCCAGAGACCTGAGATACTCATCACGTGAGTGCACATCAACTTGATTTTCTGAAAAGGAGTCACGGAACTTGCCAATGTTATCTGTGTTTCGTACTACACACTGATGGTCTTAAACACATTGAAGGCCTCGCCAGTACCAACCAAGCAGCCAGGTATCTGTGGGTGGAAATGCAGCTCCTTAGCCTTCTCCATGTAGTGGACAAACAGTAACTGAGGAGGCACCTCATTTACTCCACCGGTATCCTTGCTCTCCTCGTCGTCGAGCTCTACCGCCAGATCCCACAAAGTTAAGGTATCATCGCCAGCCGCAACAGCTACAATGCTATCATCTGTCGGATGCCATTCCACGCTGGTGATTTGCTCTTTGTGGAAGTTGAAGCTGGCCACAGGTGTAGGTTTCGACGGTGCTGATGAAGAAGTATTTGGCTTCCACTGACGCAGATCCCAAACAGCCCAAACACCGTCGTCCGCACCTGAAGCGAGGAGATGTGTGGTTTGGTGAGACCAAGACATGACATTCACGTCTGTATTGCTGACTTGAATACTGAGTGCTGCTTTTCTACTCTTACTCCGCACATCCCACACCTTGATAGTCCCATCACTCGATGCAGACGCAAAGACGTTCCGCTCAGAAGGGCTCCATTGGAGTTCCTCGACACTGCCTTCATGACCAGTGAAAGGCCTCGAGTCGGTTGCCCAACCTTCGCCAGCTGTACGTGTGGTGACATATATGCCTCCATTATTGTCGCCGGTTAAGAGCTTTCCGGTTGACACGAGGGGGGACCAATCTACTGCGTAGCCTTCGGTCTTGTGCATTCGAAGTGTAGATATGGCTTTGTTTTGTTGTGGGGTGATAACAGTGCCAGGGGTATCAAAGGAGGCGAGATGGGGGGTAACGTCGTGGATGAGAACTTGGCCCGACTCCATCATTGAAGCCGTCAAGGTTGTTGGAGGCTGTGAAGAGTTTGAAGAAGGAGTTTGGTGAGCGCGGATTCGGTTGGTGGTAGATGTGAGCGGTATTGAAGTGGACTCGAGTATTGGATCTGCGTCCTCGTCCTCGTCGTCAGACGAATCCTCATCATCCTGCTCCCTCTCCATCCTACTAAGACCGCTAAACTTCATAACCATCAATTGGTTTTCCTTTTCTCGTTTCCTGTCTGCTTGGGTTCCTGCAACAGCGTACATCGTGGCGGGGTAGGTCTTCCGGTTGTCTCCCAAACTATCCTTCACAATATCGAAGGAAAGACAGGGCCAAGGTGTACTCAGCGCATGTAACATCTCATAAGTCGAAAGATCTGGGGATAATGTCTGGCCAGGTTCCAGCTTATTTCTGCCAACTATGAATGTCTGCTGGTCCACGTCCATAGCTTCTAGTATATGTTAGCAAAACGCCATAACTATGCGCCCTAAACCATTTTCAATCCAGCAATTGCTCACCGGTCTTCTCTTCAGCTTCTCTTTCAGCATCCGGTCTGCCATCCACGCCCGCCTCAAGAATCTCATCCTCGCTCTCATATTCATCCTCGAACTCGTCCTCGAACTCTCCCAACTCATCTTCCAGCTCGCCTTGTCCCGGGCGCTCTCCACCCTTCAACGACACGCCGCCATTCTCTTGTTCTTCTGCCGGGCGCTTGGACATCTTCACCTGTCGTTTGCGAGGTTGACTGCGTTGCGGAAAATTGACGGAATTTCGTAGACAATTTTCTTATCGAAACCGCAATCGTGGGTTTCCCAACTTTTTTTCTGGTGCGGGAAAAACGTTAATCCGAAGCGGCTTAACTTCAACATCAGCTCCCGTCGACTTGAGAACGGATACGGCACCGATGCAAAGCTAGCCTCAAGATGTTGTACGAACTTATTGCAGTTGTAAGTATGTTATCTAAACCCTTCTGAATAAAATGCTGACGCCGCCAGGTCCGGCCCGGCAAGCTCGGCGAGGTCAAAGAGTACAGCTCTCCTTCCTCTCTCCTTCAGCCTCAGAACTGATCAATTCTCTCAGAATCGTGCGTACGGCTGGCTCCCTGATCCTCAAGTCCGGCGGTACCATCCGCGGTATCAAGAACTGGGGTGTGTTCTCGCTGCCAAAACGAACACGAAAACATCAAGCGCAGCACGACAACGGTCACTACTTTATAATGCGATACGATGCCTCAAGCCGGATACAAGACGATGTCAGGAAGACGTTGGGCCTGGATCCGAGAATGATTAAGTTCAGTAGCGTGAAGATGGGCGATGGGACGTTAGAAAGTTTGAGTAAGATTGGAGGATCTATTCCGTGGGATACGAGGGAGGAGTTTTGAGCAAGAGGACGGATTAGATTGTGTAGAATTGTACAATATGGCACTGCATGGCGAAATCGGAATTAAGCACAACAGCGGTCGTGTTTTATCACACATGTTCCAGAAGAGAAGGGGTTTAAGATGAAAGTCTTTTGCCATAATTCGTGCTGAGTCCATTCGGAATCTAGAAAAGCAAACGATGAACGCCGCTGTGCAATGCCCGCTTAACAAGCAAAGAAGAGTCAAGTCAAACTCCAAAGAAGAAACCCTATTAAACTCTCTAATCCGTCTCCATGGTGTCTGGAAGATCACCCCTCTTTTCCTTGACGAACGCAACAAACTCGTCAATAACCCCGGGCCAGGCACCATCCTCGCTCCAGAAACTCAAGGTCTCATCCCGCATTGTCTTCTGAAAGAACTCAAAGGTCTGGTTCCACATATCCTTGTTGACTGTCTTTGTCCAGTTTGCCCTCAGAAATTCGATCCACAAGTTGGTCCAGTTGGTTGTTGTGGGGGGAGTGCCGGTAATCCACGGCTGTCCAGGTGAATTGAAAACCATCTCCCAATACACGAGAGCATTTTCCAGGGGAAGGGCTTTCTGGCCTTGTTCTCTGGAACAGACAAATGTGTGTCGGTATACTTTCTTGAACAGCGCCATGTCAGTGGACAATTGCTTAAGCTGGCCAGCAACGTATGCCTTTTGCTTTGGGATCGTATCGGCGCTGAGATGTTGAGTTAGCAGGCGAATGATCTTAGTATGTAAGCAAACGCACCCAACAGTCTTCCATCCATCGATGAATGCCTCTTTTGACATCTCTGCCAAAGCTGGTGCTTGCACAATCTCAAGAGGCACCAAGATCTCGGCACTTTCAAGATTCAGGCCCAAGTCTTGGAGATATCTCATTGTACCGTTGACACCTGTCTTGTCTTCTTCATCTGTGGATTCTGCAAAATCATACTTCAATCAGCCTCGTCAATTCTACAGTAACGGCTTGGGTGTGCTAACCTCTGTACTTCTCGAAGAGCTTGGCGAGGCTGTCCTTTTCCTTCGCAAGTGGTGCAGATCCGTTAGATGTAAAGTAACTGTTGGTTTTTGGGTTAGCATTCTGTCCACGCTCAAAAGGAAAGTCGGATATCGATTTGCTTTTCAATTGGAAAGAATTCAGGATGGTGCTCCAATCCACGCCGTTGTAGCTGATTTGCACAATATGAACGGGTGTGAAGTTGGGTCCTGCATCCGGGTCTGAATCGTATCCTGAACTTGGTCCTGGTCCTGGCTTGGGTTCTGGCTTGGTTTCATTTTTGGATTCCGGCTTAGGTCCTCTCTTGGACTTTCCTTTCTCACCCATGGAATTGCTTTCGGAAAGAGTCGGCCAAGGAGGACCATCTGATGTTGGGTCTGGTGGAGTCAACAAAGCCGGGACCGTGGAACTGGAAGGAGTCTCGCCGGCGTTCGAAGCCTCGGAATGTTGTCTTGCCAACTGCTCAGCGTTGGTTAAAGGACGAATCCATACGCGGCCCCTGCGACGCGTAAATGTGTCCTCGATTCGACATCGTTCACTCGAGGGAAGCCGGCGAAGGAGACTTTCAGGAATTTGGTCGAGACTCGTGAATGGTTGGTCCCAATCAATGGGTGGTTGGTTTGGAAACGCGGTTCCCGGTACCCGCCGCTCTTGGGTGTCGGATGGTGGAGGTGGGCGAGGCAACGAGGCCCTGGCTGCGGAATCGAGAGGAGTTTTTTCGGATCTCGAAGCCTCAGCATGCTTCGATGACACACGCCCAGCGTTAGTCGAAGAGGGACCGATCAAGTTCTGCACGCCGCCTCCATTGATCGAAGGGGGAGGGGACTGCGCCACAATGGCAGCCCAAGTTAGAGGTCTCTTTTGAGAATCTTGACTAGCTGGGTGACGTCCTGTCTGAGACCGGAAGTCACTTTCCCCGGCGACCTGAGGATGAGGAAGGGAGACATGAAGACGTACGCGATCACCACCGTAGGCAGGATGGTCGGCCATCGTAGTTGGTGGTAGAGATTGCTCTCTGCTATTCAAATCTTCGACGGCTCTGGAGGCAGCGGATGCTGGAGTCCTCCTTGGGGTCGTTGAGGACAATATTTGATTGGCATAAGGGGCAGGGTCCTTTTTGGGGCTTGTTGGGTCTGAAAGGGGCGAGTAGATTTCACTGGAGCTTACTAGGATAGGTCAGTTGGATCGATTCGCAGATTGATGTATGGGTGGTACACACCTCTCATCAAGTCCTTCAAGGCTTCCTCATCGGTGGAATCCCGATCGGCTGGGGCCACAGAGTGATTCAGATGCGATGGAGCTATTGGCCTCACACCTCCATCCAATGCTGGAATGTGTGGTTGAAGATGTGGGGGAGGATTATAAGAAGATCCATTGGTGTACTGTCCAATTGGTAATTGACCAAATGGCTGGTGAGGGTTATGTTGATAGCCATTCAGTAGGTCAGTAGGAGCGTCAACTGCTGATCCGAATTGTTGATTCAAATTTGCAGCCAAAGCATCCTGGCCGTTTCCATAATGGGGAGTTGTAGGAGTTCCAAAGTGACCATTGGCATACGGCTGATGGTCAGGTAGACCCGGGGGAGTTCCAATTCCCAATAGTGAGGCATCGGAGAAGCGATTAAACTGCGGGTCCCAGGCATTTTGAGACAAAGTAGTATGGCTCATAACAGAGCCTCCGTAAGCGTTGGGTGGATGGCTCCGAAATCCCGATGCGAATTGGAAGGCACCCGTTCCCGTTGGTGAGGTTTCAAAGAGGTCATTGGTCTGCATGCCATGCATGCCTTCTCCTGATACCATCTCGTTTGTCGCACTATTCCTCGTTGGAAAGTTCCTGGAGGGGTCTGTAAATCCTCCGGGATTGTCCCTAGCCGGAAAGCTTTGAAAGCCCGGTGGGGGCTGGATGATGCCCCCTCTCCTTCCCGATCGTGAAGCAATGGAGGTGGCAGCGGCTAGATAGCCTGGAGTCTGTGGATGCTGGATGGGACCCATTCCCGATTGTAAAGCATTGGGGGGTTGGTTGACCTGTCTGTCTGTTCCCCATGGCTTGCACTCAATCGAAGCTGTACGGTTCCCGGGAGTATCTAGCAATCTTCGGGGACGCTGGTTGGGTAGTTGTGCTCCCGGTGCACGTGCAAAGTCATTGGCCCCCGATTGTGAGGACTTGTCGGGCTCATTGGAGTGTCTGAGTACCGTACTTTCCCTCACAAGGTCTGCAATGGATGGCGTTTCTTGACCTTCGGGTGGTGTTGTCCCTTGTTCATCGCCGTGTGCCGATCCTTGGGGATGGCCGCGCTATGTAGAGGCGCCGCTCCCGGGAAGTTCGAGCGGTAGGCCTGCGCTCGACTTGGAGATATTGATATTCTCGTGGCGTTCGAATGCCTTTCGAATGTTGTCCATATTTGATACTTCCGTGCAAACGATTAATGAAATAGTTGTCTTACCTGTCACAAGCTTGCTCCAGCTTCCAGTTAGATCCCTTAAGCAACTGTCGAGGAAGGAGCTGTCAGCCATGGTTCTGTCCATTTGGCAGATGCCAGACACCAGGCAGGAACCTTACCCTTTGCGCTAACTTCTCGTTGACACCAGTGATCGACATGAACTGGCTGGTCAAGTTCTTCTGGGCAGATTTCGAAGCCATGCTGGCGATGTCGCTGCCGCAGCAGGATGGTGGTCTTCGGCGGTGGTGGGGAAAGAAGGTGAACTTGAAGATGGTCGCATTGCCGTTCAAATGTGTCGCGGAGTTCGATAGCCTTCTTCATTATCACAAGCGAGGCTGGGCTTGACAGGGGTCGAGAGGGGAGGCCGGAGGGGTAAGCAGTCGAGGCAGTCTCGGGTATTACGCCTGCGTAGAATCAAATTCAAATTCGATGCCGCTTTGAATTTGAATTGTGAACTTTCTCCACTTTTGTATATTTGTCCTTAGAATTAGGGCGATGTTGTGGAGGATTATTTGGAGCATCACATTCAGTTCTCGATGAATAGTCGGAACACGGGCAGCTTGCTTCCCATTAGCGCTCGAGAGAGACCTCAAGTATTCACCTCTGTTCCGGAGCTACTCCCTCAAGTGTATACATACAAAAGCCCATATGAGGCCCTAGACTACCCTGAATCAATGCCGCTCAATCATGAAGCATAGTACAACCGGAAATGTACAAAGAGAAATTAGGCTTTCCAGCGTCAACTTAGTCGCCCAAGGGCATGCTCTCAAGCTCTTCCTGCAACTGTTTCCAATTATCGGCCTGCAGTTCCGAATATTTGACTCTCTCTTGCGCCCAGTCCTGATTCCATCGGCTCACATGATATTGAGTCGACTGGAAATAAATGAGTTCGTCTCGTGTGCACTCCTTGATGAAGACTCCCCGGGCATGCTGGGCGACGATAGATTCCTTGTCCTGGAAGCATATTAGCATTGAGATTTGGCCTGAAGATCGTTTGACTTGCCTTAATTATAGCCTCGGTGACTTTCTCAATCTCCCCTGGCTTTACCAAGCCCTCTGGTTTCGCCCGAATTGCCACAAGCTTAGCTTCATTGGTCTGTATCCTTCGCTCTAGATATGGAATGTTGTCCTTATCATATCGGTCTCGACGATCGAACATCTCTCTCATACTGACTAAGGCATCTCTTTGCCTCTTCAGATCTTCCAAAACGCCTTGATCCCACGCTCTAGCCTCGTCTTGCAAAAGGCTTTGGCTATTAGAAAGATGCTTAGCTGTAGCGTGGAGACCTTCATTCAGTAGTGGAACATCATTCGTGTCTGTTGCATATGTATCCTGCGATGCATCCGTCAATGCCTCTAATGAGAGCGACAAGCGCAATTGATCGGCAGCGAGACCTTCATGGCGCTTTGCAAGTCGATCCATCAGATTACACAAGTTAATGTAAATCTCGGCAGAACGCCGAATGCCAGTTCGACTCGTCTCAAACAGCTCATTCAAGGTAGGGGAGAGAGAATCCTCCAATCCTGGAGGTAATGGTCTCCCTACAAACTCCTCTTGAACCGAGATCGTGGCTTGCTTACGCCACACAGCAAGCTCCTGGTACTAATTAGCTTGAACTTAGCCAGAGTGTATCTAACTCGGGCTCGGAATTGAAGCTTACGGTTGGAACAGTCAAGAACATGATAACGAGTTGTTCTTGGCCCAGCACAGGGTGTCTGACAAGCGAATTGGAGAATCGAGCGAGCCCTCTTCTCCGCTTCTCAATGAAAGTGCTGTCAGCAGCGAGGTGATTTCCATTGACTATCCACTGTCAGCAGAATTCGTAGTCCAAATAGGTCAGACTCCATACCTCCTACTCTCTTTGGCGGCAGAAGAGGTAATTGTCGAAATGGGTATCTCTTTAGTAGGCATTCCAGGAGCCATACAAAGTCGCTAAATCTCCTGACAACCTTGCTTCCTCGCCGGGGACTTGAGACTTGGTAATTATGGTGTTGAAACATGAACATTCCCTCCTTTTCCGGCAGCAAGGTAACTGTCACAACCTCTTCCACTCCTCCAATCGTCACCTGTCCACCACCAAAGGACCTGACGGGAGGGTTTGATGTAGGACGATCTCCTCCACCGCCACCAAATCCACCACCTCCAACTACAGATTCGCCTGGGTTCGGGAAGGGTGCGCTTGAGTCCCCGTCGTATGAGCCCCAGACACCCGCTACTGGAGGGGAAGCTATACTTTCAGACGCCTGATTGGAGGCGCCGTTCGAACCTTCTGTCGATGTAGTTGTGAAAGTACTTGTAGTCCTGACCGGCTCACGAATTCCATTACTTGGTTCCCTTGCTGTCCCGTTCATCTTCGGTGGGCTCGAATCGTGATTGTGACCTCTGTGCATAGCTGGACTTCCCCAGGGGTCCGCTTCCGGGAATTCGAGTGAGACTTTCCTCATCGTACGAGCTTTTGGGGGCGAAACAGATGCGGGAGCTGGAGGAGGGGTTATCGGTCGCTGGGGAGGCTTTGCAGCAAGTTCCGATGCTCTAGCGAATGCTGCAGAGGTTGTTGACAGACTTGGAAGCTTTGGTACTGGTAAATCTGCAGCTCTGTTAGCATTGGTCCTGCAGGTCTCAGTCCAGAAAAAGCACCGACTTCTTCGTCTCTCATCAACGCCATCCAGAGTAATATCTTCATGCTCCTGCGCTAGCCCAATCAATGCGAGAAATACATTGAATTCGTTTCTGCTGAGATCGGAGAGCTGTCCACCAGAACTGACAATGCTCACGATACGGCTCTGCTCATCAGCACCTAGTTTGGCGGTACTCAAGAACTTTGTAGCTCCGGCGGCAGTTATCCTTCCCCCGAGGCCATCTCCCGCCTTGATCATGTCGTCGAAAGTATCAATGTAGCTATCAGGTACGTCTGATGCTGGAAGCAGATTCTTGATCACATCTCCTCGTGCAGCTTTCTTCGGAGTTGGCAGACCCCAAGGCGATGGACCTGGGGCACTATCGTCGTCTGCGAACAGGGAAGACTTCGATCCGAGAGCTGGACTTGGTTCATCGTCAAAGAGGGAGAGTCGGGACTTGGAAGCTGGCGCTGAAGGAACAGAATCCTCATCTCCAAATAACGACATGGCGAAAGAGGTTACCACTGAGTAGTATCTATTTGGAATATATGTGCAATCACAATGCAATTACTGGGAATGCCGCATACGTTTGGCAATCCCAATCAGACCGAGGATGAGTTGGAAGCTCCGTTGCGCGAGGCGAAGCTCCAGGCTTGCTTTAGCGGCAACAGCCAGACCCCTGTCAATTAATGCTGGAATGGCTGGGAATCCCCTCATCTATGGAAACTTAAAACTGGCGAGCATCTTGAGTACCCGGAGTTTCTTTAAAAGCGGCAAATATTGTTTTGCTCTATTCTTAGAAAAACCTGGCTATAATTCACTATCTCCAGTGCATTAAATGTAGAACTGTACGTCTCCGATCGATTCCAATTTTACAACAAGAAGATGAGGGATCTACAATCATTCACTGCGAGGTTACCTTGACAAGCTTGGAAACTTCTTCGTAGGGTTCCAGCCCCACTGACTGTAGAAAGTCGTGCAACAAAATGTCAAACGTGACGATCCTGGTAGAGGCAAAGTCATCGGTTGCTCAACAAAGATCAATAGAAAAGAATTTAAAATACCCTCAAGGGTAGGGTTTATTAGATCACTCAAGAATGGGAAAGAAGATTCTCCTTCCTCTATTCACATTCTGTGGCTGCAGTTAATGCTGGTCGACCCAAGACACACTTCGTCTTACCAAATTGGCTCTTGGTTCCTAAAGTTACATTTTTGCCTTCCAATCATGCAAATACTGTTCAATGCCGAGACGTTCAAAATTCCCAGATGCTCAAACTGCTCAAATTCTTATTTGCTCAGATGCAGTGAAAGCCCAAAGATTGTGAAGGATGCCGATCGACGCATCTTTGTACAGCTAGTTTATTTGAACACATGGAATCCTATAATACACCTGATAGCCACTGAACTATCTACCAAAGCTTATTCTCCCCCGATAATGCTGCTCCCTTGGCCTTCTTCGCCCTCCGCTTCTTTCCAGTGCCTGGTGTCTTAAAGAACAAACTAGGGCCCTGTCCTTCCTCCACTAAATGGCTCAAATAGCCTCTATGCGCTTCATCTCTGTAGTACTCCATATCTTTACGACTAGTTGGATCTGGCAACCGGTATGAAAAGGGTGATGCTGAAGCCGCCACAGCCCCAAGTATTGGGGACTCCCCAGTGCTAGGGGGCGTCATAGCAAGAGGCGTGAAGCTCGATTCCGATTCGCCTTTCAGCAGTCTCTTGATCGACTTTTTGGTGTAGAATCTCGTTGTAACGGTGCCTCCAACAGACTCAATTGCTTGAATGGCAGTTGCAGATGCTCGTGAAACCAAGATATTGATTGGGGTCTTGAGTTCCTCCTTGCCCCGAGCCAACACCTTCACGCCGTCCTTGATACCGTGAAGACAGCGTGATTCTACCAGCTCCTTCAAGGTAATGGGTCGTGTAGGATCAAGCCGACCTTGATCGATCCAGGATTGTATTCGGTCCAGGTTGATGGGTGACATATCAACAGAAAAACTGTAATTGCGTTAGCTATTGGTTATCCAGATTTCTCGATGCCAGAGGATTGTAGGGCTCTCACTGGTTCTCAAATCCCCGTTTTCCATGAACAATCTCCTGCGGCGTCTGACCACCTTGAAATCTCGCTGGAACCTTTCCATGCTGCTTCTGACCCTTGTGGCCACGTCCGGATGTCTTTCCTTTTCCTGAAGAGGGACCACGACCACGTCGAATGCGTTTGTTGTAGGCCCCTGGATTATCTGACAATGTTGCTAGAATGGATGCACTTCGAGCCTGCATGAACGGAAGCAGAAACGATCCCAATGATGTTGTAGCGGCTGGCACTGCCCGGCAGGCCCGGCAGTGCGCCGTGAGCGCCGGTAATCGCGGAGGCATGATTGTGTTGACTTCCCGCTGATGTGCTAAATTCCATCGATACAACTCGAGAAAGGTTGGAGACGACGCTGCTTTTGTTCCCGAGAACAGAAGTAAAGCGGCTAGTGGCGTGAGCTTGGCTTTCAGCAAATCAGCGCACATTCGCTTGGGACAGGGGCTGCCGAGATGAGCTTCGACAGGACAGCATGACGCTAGGCCTTGTGAAGCCTGGCTGATCTAGAAAAATAGGGACCGATTGCTGTCGAGGCATCAAGGGACACTTTTCAATTCTCAACATCTCGACATCGAGCGCGCATGCAATACACCGGCACGCGCGATCAATGGACGCCCTTTCTGTATACTATTTCTTCTAATAATGCTCTTCACGCTTATAGAGACGTGCTGAGTTCCCACCGCGGGTCGCCATGGTGGCTTTTGACCGCGGAGTGCGGAGACTTTTCCTCCTCTTGACCGCTGTAGCTTTCATCGTTCTTCTTACGAATATTTTCTTACTGTCCGGGACCGATGTGCGGGAAACTATAAAAAGCATACCTATTCCAGGGCAGGAGAAGGAAACAGGACAAAATGTGCCCCCAGATCCCAACGCAAGTTGATCCTCAGAGTGGTCCTAGAAACACACTGACATTGTCTGCCAGCGTCCCGAACCCCCTTCGACGGATGTAGATCCTGGAAATTTTGAAGATCACGCAGCTGTCAATGATAACCATCCGATTGTTGGGTACATGAAGGAGGCCGATGAGAAATGGCAAGCATACGAAGAGGAGAGGTCCATGACTTTTAAAGAAACCGTTTCAAAGTATAGGAGGAAATATGGGAGAAATCCGCCGCCAGGGTTCAGAGATTGGTACAAGTTTGCCAGGGAGCGCAATGTCCACAACGTCGATGATTTCGCTCAAATCATGGATGATCTGCGGCCTTTCTGGGGAGTCGAACCGTCTGTCATTCGATCTCTGGCCGCGCACATGCATGAAGAAGAACAAAATGGCATATCAGGAATATTCATAAGAGACGGGAAATTTTGGAATACAACCAGAGCAAACTGGCGGGCAGAGACGTTGGTAGAAATGCTGAAGCCGTTCGTGGACAAATTGCCAGACATGGATATTGCCATGAATCGCTTGGATCAACCTCGGCTCGTTGTACCTTGGGAGGATCTGCAGGTTCTATTGAAGAAAGAAGCTACAACTAGGCAGATATATCCTGATGCTGCTGCTGAATGGACCACAAACATGACTGGATTTTACAAGGTTGATGACCCAAATCCAATCATCACGGACCCGAACTTTTTCCCGGCTCATGGGAAGCAGTACATGGACATTGCGAAGGCTGGATGCCCCCCAGAATCTCATGCTAGAGACAGGAAGTCCACCTTGACCTCGGCGGAGGCGCTATATAAGGATCCCAACGGTGGTTTCGTGACCAACTTCAATCGCTCTTCTGACCTGTGCACTATTGGACCTGAGATTGAGGACAAGCATGGTTTTCTATTTGCTCCAAGCAGCGTAGTAGCCAGCAAGTCTCTTCTCCCAATTTTCGGAGAATGCAAGGTCAACGTCAACAACGATATTCTATTCCCAGCAAACATGTATTACAGAGACGACGAACGCTATACCTACGATGGTAAATCTGACTATCCGTGGGACGATAAAAAGGAGACCATAATTTGGAGAGGCGTAACATCAGGAGGAACTAACACCGCCGACAATTGGGAGAGGATGCACCGCCAACGACTCGTCCGGCTCTTGAACGGCACTGTAATTTCCGATAAAGACATTCGAATTATGAACGAAGACCCTGATCATCAAGGAAATTACCGAAACTTCAAACACTTCAACGCCAGCAAGTTTGCCTTGGATCACACTGATGTTGGCTTCACGGAGCCTGCATCCTGTGTCCCGGATTGTTCTTTCTATGACAGTATCTGGACCTACAAGAAAATGACTACTCTGAGTGAACAATTCAGATCAAAATACGTTGTTGATGTTGATGGTCACTCATTTTCAGGAAGGTGGCGTGCCTTCGTCCAGAGCAGGAGCTTGGGCATCAAGGCAACAATATTCAGGGAATGGCATGACTCGCGAATCATCCCCTGGAGGCATTTTGTTCCTCTAGACAACCGTTTCGATGAGATTTATAGTCTTTTGACATATTTCATCGGCCTGGGGTCCCCTTCAGATGCAGGAAACAGTGACATTCCTTACGTTCCGAGGCATGACTTTGAGGCCAGGAAACTGGGACGGCAAGGGAGGGAATGGGCAGCGAAGGTGCTGAGGAACGAGGATATTGAGGTAACAAGCCCACCTTGAAACAATAGTTCCATGACTAACTCGCTGACAGATTTATCTTTACCGCTTGATGATAGAGTATGCAAGAATTATCGATGATAACAGAGACAGAATCGGCTATTCAGGGGATGGAAGCGAGCTTGATAAATACGATGCAAAAAATTCCGTAAGTTTGTCCAATGGTGGCATCAACGCCGGACACGACGGAAAGGAAGGGTACACATGATTAGTGTTGAAAGCGTGGCGTTTGGGGTCGTCATACTGGTGTTGTACTTATTCATTGTACAGTAGCCGTGGAATGAAACATTTCCAATGTTCAGAATTTTCTACGAATTTTTCTATGCTCCTTGATATCAAATGGCCGTCGAGTATCACCAAAGTTACGTTTAGCCTCAAGGAGTCTACTTCCAAGCAAATCCAACCCAAGCAACCATCTCTACTCCCACACTCCCTTCCCTCTCATCATAAGCTTCGAGTTCCTTCACTTCCTCCTTCAGCACACCCGTCAACCTCGCAAGTTCCTCCTCACTGTACCCTTTATAAAACATATCCTTCACACCCATCAAATTATCCACCAACTTCTCCAAACTCCCAGCTTCCATCCGCCCCTCGACTCTCTTCACAGTGACGCGGTTCCCGAATCCCGCATCCTCCAGCCGTTTCATGAGCCAGGAGCCTCGGGCCCATTCTTCGGGAACATCCCAGGAGTAGGGTTTCTCAGTGGGACGGATACGAAGAGCCGCTGCTTCTAGAGGGCCCGCGAAATTTCGTTCTATCTACTGTCAGTAGAGCTTCACCCTCTCAGTCTCATTCTCGAACAACTATAGTTGTTGGAGCATGGCTCACAAACCCCCAATGAAAAGGGTATCATACGAGCCCAAGTCGTAACAACAGCAACACCTCCGTCCCCCAAGACCCTCCAAATCTCCTTGGCAATCTTCTGCGGCCCAGACGTATCTTCAGTGCCAGGCGTGAGCCCGAAGTTCGTCACCACGTGACTGAACACCCCGTCCTCCACGCCTTCCAGTTCCCTGGAATCAACGACCTTAGTCTCAACGTTTTCCCATCCCTCCTTTCGAGCTTTCGCTCTGAAAGTCTCAATCATGCCTGGAGCAAGATCCGTGCCGAGGATACGGACATCCGGGTGTTGACTTTTGATGAGAGAGGTGACGATTCCTGTTCCACATGCGTTGTCAAGAATGTAAGAGGAAGGAGTGATTGGGAAGGAGGTGAAGAGGTGGTCAGTGAGAGCAAGCTTGGCGATAGATAGAGTAGAGTTGCCGGCCATCTTATCATAGTTATTACTGTATGTACTGTGGAAGATTGATGAACCTTTTGATGCAGAAGCAGTTGCCATTGTTAGTGATTTTCTTGTTGTTGGTACAGCTATGGTTGTAGCTACGGCTATTGTCTTGAGGGTCATGTGACCTCGCGTCGCATGCGTGACTCTACCGGTAGGCTAGTCCCAATTAGGCTTAGCAGATTTAGGGGAGCAGTCATTAATACCACGATACTGCCCTCCCTTCTTCAAGAATCAACCCAACCACCGATAAACGCAACTAGCATTCCACGATTACGTGACAGCGCTACGCGTTACAGGTGAACCGACACTTGTCAACTGTGTTAAGATTTTGGGTGACTTGAGATTTGGAAAGTGCTCGGATAGCATGTTATCGGATTTGAGAAGGTTTGAATGTGTTTATGTAACATTTGAGGCCGTATGGTAATGCCTCCGTGTAAGTTCCCGAAGGGAAAGTGGTAGCACGTGACCGGAGACTTTCCGGGGTGAAAGGGACTTGGGACCCTTTGAAGGGAATAAAAGTCTCCGGCCTTTATTAGATGTAAGCTCAGGATGCATTTAGCCTTACGTTTTGATGCATTGGTCATCAGGAAACTGAAGAAGTTGTGCAATTCGGGACCGGAGCCTGTGGCCTGTGGCCTCGAGCGGAGGGCCGGTGGGAATCCGTACTGTGGTCATTACGCTGAATGTTCATTCACAATTAGTACAATAAAGGCATTGAAGAGTCGAATGTTCAAGTACGCTTCGGTACGATACATTCTTCCCCAAGATGAATATTCCCAGCCAGCCTGGACATTCGCTACCCCATTGCTCCATGCCAAGTGAGACTTTTACTCGTCTTCATCGTACATTGTTCCAGCATTCCAGCATATGTGGTACATTTGCCCTCAACCACCACAATTAATCATACAAGCATTTGTGGGACATTCCTCTTAGCTATCGCACATTGTTCCAGAATATGTGGGACATCCAATTCCAATCTCACACCATTGTTCAAGTACTAAGCAAGACAATCACCTCTTCTTCAAGCTCAACCTCACCTTCAATGTTCAAACAACAAGTGGCACATTCACTTCCCATCACTTCGCTTCATTGTTCCAAGACAAAACGGGACATTCAAATGGTATGATCAACGGTCTATTCAACTCTCTACGTCTAAAGCATCACTAACAAATCCACTGCTTTTAATAAACCAACGAAGATCCAACGCAGCAATCACCCGGGGTATCTAAGTACAATGAAACAAAGCTTGCCAATCAAACCCAGGCGCCTACCCATCAACTCAGCGACACAGCACCTGGCAAACCGGTGACCTAACGACACGGCAACACAATGACAACTCATCCCTCCATCATAAAATCATCCGCTCGCTCCACCTGCGGACCACCAAAATTCCAAGCATTACCAAAATCCGGCGTACCGTCCGCTCCCCGAGGAATGTGCGTATGGACGGGGTTCAAGAACACAGCTCCCAGCATGCTAGGGGGTCCGACGGCAGGACGGTAACCAGCAGCAATTAGAGCCGGCGACGGCGACAGCGACCGGCTTGTAATAAACGTCGGATCGGGAATCTCAACAGCTGGCGATGGTGCCAGTGACCGCTCGAGTCGCGAAGCCTCAGGTCCCAGCGGCTCTGGTGACTGATCCCGAGACGGGCTGAGGAGATTAATGACCTCCCTCGGCTGCTCAACGACAATGGTATCCTCCAAATCATCTCCTCCTTCCTCGGAATCCACCTCCATCTGGTATCCTTCGCCGAACAGTTTCACCAGGAAGCACACCGGGAAGTCGAATCTGCAGTTGGGGCAATTCTTCCGGATGCTCGGACTGGATCGTGCGAGCCATTCCTTTAGACAAGTCTCGCCGATGACCTGTTGGCAGCAGATGATGAGCTTGAGGCCCTGCTCTGAGGTTCCCTCTGGTGTCTCGGTATCAAGGGGGTCTTGGCAAATATTGCAATTCTTGCCATCCGCAGGAAGGTCGGAGTTGTCCATCCGCTCGAAGCAAACTCGCTCTCGCTCTTCCTTTCGGATTTTATCAATGACGTGCAGACGATCAGCCATCAGAAGTCCGCAGAGGACTTTGACACCGTAGCCTGTGCTTTGGATATGCACTGCGTTTCCTTTGACCTTGCCGAATGTGGTGGTCTCCTCCATTAAGCCATAGACTTCTTCGTACTTCTGGTGGAAATTACAGAGGTGCTCCATGATCATAATGACAGATTCTCGGTCTTTCAAAGATTTGTATGGAGCTGTCTCTTTCATGATAACTTGTATCGCTGCAGCCCACTCTGCTAATGTTTCTCTCATGATCCTTTGAATGGTTGTGCCGAATTGCATCGTTAACCCCTCTTCCATTGGAGAAAACTGGCCAAGGAAGGAAAGTGGCTTGCTGTGCAGGTAATCCTTGGTTTGACGCCGAGCTGACTCATTGAAGCCTTTGCATAGTGGCAATACATCTTGGGATTTCGGTGTCCACACCTTCCTGAAAGACGCAGAAATCTATTATCTACCTGTCAGTGCATGTCCACAATGTATTAAGTGCCTATAGACAACGAGGAAGAGGCTGATTATTGACAATTTGCAAGAAGGATAGGGATAATGAACCAGACAGTGACTTACGGGTTGCTCTGTTGTGTGCAAAGGCTTGTTGCCACGTTCCGATACAGTGATGCCATACTCCTTCAGCACCCACAACATGGCTTCAATATCCTTGCGACATAAAGCTCCATTGCCTCGGTCCATGACCCAACGCCAGTGAAAGCTCCAAATGTCTTCGGGCTTGAATTCGATGCCACTAACCTTCTTGATCTTCAGCTTGATGCGGTCGGCAGACCAGCCGCTGCAATGTGCCAGAGCCAGGAGGAGACCGGTATCACGGCAAGACAGGATGGCAAGGTCTCCATCTTCATTCCGGGTCTTCATTTGAACTCCATTGCAAAGCTTGTTGATGGTGCGGGGGGATCTTCGGGGTGCGAGTACGTCGGAGGGTAGGTCTGCCATGTTGTTGTGCTGAGGACTTGTTGATGTGGTAGTTAGTTTGGTAATTGAATCGTTGAGAGTTCGGTTGGAGAGCAAGGAGGTACGTCAATGACGCATAGAGCAAATTCACCGATTCAAGACTGGGTGTGAATTAGGAAGGAGAGCCGGTAGTACAGGCTTAGGCCAGTTATTTCTGAAGGAAGCCAGTGAGAACGATAAGGTGTTGCAAGGTGAGCGGTAATAAAACTCGGCTATTGGAGTTGCTTGTTTGAGTGCCGGTTTGATTATTGATCTATGAAGAGCTCAGTTGGGAAGTAACGAGAAGTATCGATGACTCAAAAGACTTCTCAATTCTCAGAATTTGGGTGTGAATTGAAAAAGCTGGTCGACGAGATTGGAATTGGCAGATGCAAATTGTTGGCAAAGGAAAGCTTGTGGAAAAGACTTAGTGGTCGAGAGACAAGCGGCCAGGAAAGACTAATTCCACTAAGTTGTTGTAATAGCAAGGAGGTGATAAAACACTCAACTCCTAGTATTGTTGCCTTAGTTGCTAGATTGGTCACTGAACTGTGAAGAACTTGGTTGTTTGGAAGCCAAGAGGGATGTCGATGGCTCAATGACATCTACAGTTTTGAGACTGGATGTGAGTTGGGAAAATCTAGCAACTGCAATTGAATTTGGCACATGCAAGTTACAGTAACAAGCAAGCCTTTTAGTAAACTCTTTGTTGCTGCAACTCCAAGACGGTGGTGATGAACACTCATTTGTTCGTACTCCGAGACGGTGGTGAAGACTTAGCTGCAGAGAAAGAAGGAGTTGTTCCAGGTTGCCAAGGAACAATGGAAAGAAAAGAGCAGTAGCTGTCTTAGACTGCTAAGGAACCATGGGGAGGCAAAGGTGGAGATTGAAAGCCGGGAGTTAGAGAAGAAATGTTGTTGAGGTTGAAGAGGAGAAGTTGAGCCGCCGTTGCTTTGTTTCAAAAGGGGAATTAGGCGAGTGTACTATTCACGCTTCCGTATCCAAGAATCGAAGGAGCGATAGACGAACAGATAAAAGATTATTGTGACTTGTTCTAGGAATCGAAAGAACGATATAGCCTTTAGCGAGCTTTCACACCTTTGTCCAGGAATCGAAGGAACGACTAAGGCTAATAAACAATTCTCAGCTCACTAAAAATCAAAGGAATGGCTCATGCTAGTACTCACCTATACCAATTTCCAGGAATCGAGGGAACGACCAGCATCAGCCCTCACTGATTTGTTTGCCAGAAATCGAAGGTATGACTTAGGAGGCAACTCATCTCAAAACATTCTGCGGAAATGAAAGAACGATTTAGGAGGGCGTTTTTGGCCACAACATCTCCTGGATTCGAAGAAACAACTAGGAAGGGTGCACAGCTCATAATTCTTAGAATCGAGGCAATAGCTCGGGAAGGGTACAACTCACACCTCTCTTTAGGAATCGCAGAGATCGAAGACTTAGGGGGTGGGAGCGTGGGTCGTAGTACTCGAGGTTGTAGTACTAATCGAAGGCAGAGATGACGGCAGTTTCAAGAAAAGAAAGTCGAAGTTCTAGGTAATAAAGGACGCCCTTTTGGGAGGCTGTCTGGTATGGTGGGTGGGTACCCATGAGAAGCGAGAGAGAGGTCGGTGTTCTGTCGAGGTATAACAGCAATTCCAACCGCCGAGTCTGATGCCTTGCGGCTTTCGAGTATACGGATTCATAGTTCGGCACAGAGTGGAGCCAAGCAGTCTGTTGGGAGGAGTCGGAGCCTCGGTTTGGTCTTACGGTATCGTGGCATTCTGGCGCCCGCCAAGTGATGGATGGTCTGACCTGCTTAGCTCCCCCAGTAAACTTGAGTGCTGTTGCCTAGTAGCTTCGTGACAAGTCTCAGATGTGAGGTAGCTCTGGTTGGTCACAATCCACGAGAGTCGTGCGGTCGAATAGATTCTTGAAGGGATCTTGGCTGTGAGGCGAATGTCATGGTTACAATCGACCAGAGTCGTGTATTCGAATAGACTCAGACATTGGATACCCGGCCGAGGCCGCCTCAGGAGAGGGCGAGGGGATTGAGCAACACAGGCAGAACTATGCTACCATACCATCGGAGGCAAAAGGGTACGAAGTCTACCGGGAAACACAGAGAGAGAGAATAAGCTTGTGCGTTGCAGCTGAGAAATCAGATGAGGAGCCAAAGGCGCACCGGTTGAGTGCTAGTTCTCATGCCCACTTCTACGGCTTCTCTTCCCCCCCCTTTTCAGGCGAGACGGAGGCCGGGCCTGTGATAGTGACTCGCCGCATTATCAAAGAATCAAAACTGCGACGAGATTCTGTATTAAGAAGTGTTATATGTTTGTGTTTGAAGAGCATCGCTTGGTGCAAGAACCCACTGTCTTGTCCAGAAGCCAAGATGTGATGAACGCTCTGTACGGGGAGATGTGTTTGTGTCTTGCAGGGGAATTTTGGCTATAAGTAGCTTGATCCAGGACTGGATGGCCTAAAGGATTGAGGTCAGCGACTTGAAGTAGCATTGGAAAAGGATGCTGCTTCAAGGTGATAAGCTATCTGGCAATGGAATGAGAAATAATAGGGAAGGAATACCGGAGTGGACTCGAGTCTGGAAAAATCTTGCAGGAGAACTGTGGCCAATGTTGTGGGATTCAGCTGTGTCGTAGAATCGAAAATGCGCTGGAAGATTGGCATAGTTTCAGAGGATCTCCATTTGAGAGGTGAATGGGCTCAGCTCTTGAGACGTGGGGCGCCCTTGCAAAGATGAAGCTGGTCCAGCAAATTAAAGAGAGTAGGAGCGCTGGGAGTTGAAGTTCGTATCTTGATGCTGAAAATGCCGTTAGCGAGGCTCGGTTAAGGGTGAAGCTCCTGAATAAGAAGGGCCAACCAAGCTCCATGACCTAGAGCCTGAAAAAGACAAAATTTATGGTGGAAAGAGAGGCTGAAATTTCTTGTAGGTTGCTTCTCACAAGGAGAAATGGCTAGTGTTGGAACCAAGTGACTAGAAACTGCCGAAGGAGGACTCGAGGATCTTGAACATAGGCCTACAGTGCTCCCTCCACAAGGACCAGCGGAAGCGAGGATGCATTCCTATTGATGCAATATTGAGCTCAGTGGCTTTGTGACGTGCCATCTTGGTCGTAGGTCAAAGGGAGCGGAAGTCTGGAGACCCCGGAGTCTCTGAAGAAGAAAGGGAAGCTGAATTCAAAAGAGGCTCCGATAAGGATCTAAGAATTAATTCTGAGATAGTCTAGATGCTACAAAAGTGAGCGAGAGGTAAGAGCTGTCAACTTCTTAACCTCGCACTGATTCATAATGAAATGGCTACAACGGTGGACAGTCTCCATGACCCCTGAGGCTCCTTGCTCTGCCCCTGAATGCTCACGTGGTTGAGAAAGCTACTGGTCAAAGGAGATACCGAGGTATCCCCAAACCTCAACGGCAAACATTCAGTCGAGTGCATAGAGTGCGGGATGTGGCCAGTGTGCCACGTATGTGATCGAGACTCCCTTGTCACTCACTTGAGGACCTGCTTCGGTGACAGTTTCTCACACTCCAACTCGAACATCTGGAGTTATGACAATATCGCACTTGGATCCACCTCTCCCGGCTGGTTGCGGATCAACTCGAGACCCTGAAAAGACGGCGGGTGTGCCATTTCGTAAACCTGCATCCCGTGCGTGCAGATCCCCCACTACGAATTTCATTGGCGCCGAGTGGCTGGCCCAAGCAGGAGTTCGAGAGCGTCTCGCGTTCGCAAAGGTGCAAAATGCCCAGCTTGGTTGAGTTGGACTTTGCGGGAGGAGCGGAGGAACGTCCGGTCATGGTTTCTGAGGTTCAATGGATTCATCGTGAGATCTACGCAGCTCATCAATGAATTTACTTGACGGAGAGCGTTCTTGTGTTCGGAGACGGCTGATCATTACCGTGTGGCTGAAAATGACGACGTTGGAGGTCGATGGTGGTGTTCTGGAAGTGTGGCAGAGGATTTCAAATTTTTGTCCGGCAGGTCCTGATTCACCCTCAATCGAGAAGGTCGGACCTGAAAAGGGGGGTTGGTCTCAAGCGATCGGCAGCCGGGAGACCGTCGGAATTTGACAGGACGACGCTCAACACTCGTAATTGCTGCTTCGGGGCGAGTCTATTGTCAGCAATGTTTCTGAAAGACTACCTGTGAAGCTGTAATCGATAAAGAATTATAACAAAGAAATAACTAAAGTTTCACTGGGAGTTTCCCCGACAAAGGACGGGAAGAACTTCAAGCTTCCGTTTCAGATGGCTAATGTGATCTCCTGGGAAATGGCCGCCAAACACTCCTTAATTTTCACATCAGGGTTTTCTCGGAAATTGGTCTATATTCCTCGTCTCAGGGGCCGAGCAAGGCTACCAGCTCCCTGAGTCCGTGAGAAAGATTACGGGATGAGATAAATGGGAAACGCCGTCTTTCAATCAACTGTAAACATACGGCGAACCTGCGAGTGACGCAGCACTCGGCACTCTTTTTCCCTGCATGACGTTTGAAGAGCAAGAGAAAAGGCTGCGGCGTCTGGCAGGGGGCACACTGGGGTTGCCATTATTCGCAGAACTTCGGCATCTTTCTCTATGGCGGCGTACTGTGAGTGTGGATTCGTGGAATGATTTTCAATTATCAGGTGAAAGCATCGCGATTGGGCGATGCATAGATTACAGTATTGGGACGAAAGATCCTTGATGGTGGCTGGTACCTTTTCTCGAGCCTTTCTCACTCGCCTCCGAGATCTGGAGTCAGCAGGCCCTCGCTAGCATCATCCTCCACGATTACTCCCTTGCCTTTTGCGTCGCAAGTCCGGGGTAATACTAATATTGCCAGCCAGGTCAGGATAAAAGACGTTCCGGGTCAGGCTCGATATCTGGGGTTATCGGGTCGTCGGTCAGGAAAGTAAGGATCCAGGGGCGAGTAGGTGATGAGGATCGCAGGATCAGTTTCGTAAGCCCACCTGTCTCTGAACTTTCTGAAGCAGTGAGGCAACTGAGTGATGGGTTTCCATTCGATCGGAGATTAATTGAAGTGCCATCCTCTCCAGGGTTGTGGCCCGACTGCCTCGAACGTTTCCTGCAGTTTGAAGCCGTTGTGTTTTACGAGTGTAAGACCGACAGGCCAAGAAGCCAGCCTTCGCATCGGACTGGCTCGGTGCGGACAATCTTTCTTCAGGATGTCATCTCCTCGCTGCAAACCTCAGCTCCAGAGGAATTCCGTGCCTCTCCCGAGTGCCATCCTTCTCCGTAGCGCGCAAGAATGCCCAGCGTCCTCCCCGAGCCCAGCAGGCAGTGTGGAGCCGAGCGCGGCAGAGCCTTGCAATACAGGAGCGATACGGCAAAGCTCTCCGATCGAGTCGCTTGGGCGCGGCAATTCGGTGGCCGGACAGTACTCGGTATTGGCATAGATGGGGCTCTAGTTATAAATATCTACAGCAGCAGCAGAAATGGCCTTCTCCATCTCCATCTCCACGTCCATGGCCGGTTATCAAAGCACAGCGGCTGTCTTTCGAGGCAGTGTTGGCGGCACTCGCTGGGCATGCGGTCCGGATAAGTTGGTGAGGCATCTGCCGCATATCAGGAAACAGTTTGATCGCCTGGTGAGGCACGGCACGAGGGGAGAAGATCCGCACTGGACTGGATGACAGACGACGGAGGGGTGGCTTGAAAAAAAGCTGGGGAAACCAGGGTCTGGAGCCAGGGGGCCTGTCCCAGGAATCGCCAGGAATCGCCAGGAGTCGCCAGGATCAGCCACTAGCCCTTGGCTGGGCGGTCTTCCATTGGGCGCGGCGCAGGACAAGGGGAGAGCGACGACTGCGTGTGGAAAGGTGTGCAGGCGGCAGGCAGACGACGGCGCACCTTCTCTCAACGTCCTGCATGAGGGGGGCTGCACTAGTGACGCTGCGCTACTGACACTCCTGGCACGCTTCAGAGCTGGCAGCCTGGCACTTCGCGGCCCTCACGGGCCATCATGGGCCATGACTTGGCCGGGCGCCGAGTGGAGGGACAGCGCGTTCGTTTGATCGGTTGTGCAGCAGTTCGTGTCTTTTCCGGCGTAGTCTCGTCGTCGACGCTGGTGGGCTTGTGGGCCGTGGCCGTGGTCCAGCGCCATCCCCTCCCATCCTTGCCCCATCCCCTGCTCCCCTACCAGCCACCAGCCCAGCCCACCCTTCCCGGCCGAGGAGTCGCATATCACCTGAGCAGCAAAAGCCCTCACGACTCGCCGCGACGGAGCCGGTTGTCAGTCTGGCCCGAGAGGCAAGAGCCAAGAGCCACGAGCCAAGACTCAAAAGCCACGAGCCACGAGCCATGAGCTAAAGAGGCAAAGGAAGCTTTGCCGCAGGAAGCACTTATCCATCCACGTTCCGCAGCGCAGACTCTGCATCCCCAGATGCATGCATGGCATACCTGGTGGACGGCATGCGCGAGTGGGCGCCGCCATCATCGGCCGCGGATGCCTTTTCGCTATCACCGTCATCGCCAAGCAAGGTACAGGGCGAGACTTCGCGGTGTGATCTGCCTGATACAGTCCAGTCCAGTCCAGTACATTACAGTACTTATCAAGGCTGCCGCTGGGGGACTCGCTATCTAATCGCTGTATGGGGTACGGGGTCGCGGGTAAGTACCCGTGGTACTTGTCTAACTCTCTGGTATGTACGAACGCATGGATCACACGCTGGCCGAGCTGTGGAGTTGGGGCCCAGTAAAATCTAAAAAAGTGCCTCGGGGACTGAGAAGGAAGTTGAGAGAGATTACGAAGGGTACCGTATGTCCAAGAGAAACAGACCCCAAGTCGGGTTTCTGGAAGACGCTTTTCCTCGTCGTTCGACGCAGGACACAGGTCACCGTCACAATCACACATCCAGCCATCGCCGCTCTCGGTTTCTCGGAAGGGAAGCTGTGCATGAAGAGTGGATACCGAGAAGCAGTCCCAGATGGAGTCGTACTGTAGTATTTGGTGCTCTCTCAGTGTGCGGCTTTTCCGCTGATGCGTGGCCAATTGAGCTCGCAAGGCCAACCTCCTGCTCTGCTCTGCTCTGCTCTGCTCTGCCCCTATCCAGCATGTACCAGGTGTGTCTGGTGGTCGGAGTGACGAGTGACGAGTGACCTGGCTACGACACAGTGCAAGCAGGGCCGGCCGTGCTGGGGACTCCAAGCAGCACCATGCTCAAGGACTTTGAATAAGAAGATTTGTGAGCATGGCATTTTGCAGGAAACCTCGTGTCGAAACACATCTTGACTCACCCTGCTCGTCCACATCGGATTAACTGCATTGTGGTACTGTATGTATTAATATCCATTTAGCAGCGGCAGTCTCTCCACGAGGCACGAGCTAAACTCTCGGCCACTCAGGAGGCCGTGCTGGATTGCCATTTCTCGCGGGACCCGGTTTGGACCTGGCCTGCTACTGTACTGTAGTATTACTGTCCTGACGGGCTCTTCCATGCCTTGTCTGCGCAGCCCTGCAGCCCTGGCCCTGTCGTATATCGTGCATTTTGCACCTCGTCGATTCGAGGCCACCGCTTGAGAGAGCTGCTACTCGTACTCCCGCCCATTTTGTCATGTGCCCTGCCAGCCAGACTGGAACCCCCAGAGAATTGCTACAAGTAGCCCTGGAAACTCGCGGGCCTGGGGCCTGGCTTGGTTCTACTGTGCTGTACTGTGCGGTTCTGTGCTGGATTTCCAATCTCCCATCTCCTCTTATTCCCAGATCGATCCACAGTGCAGACTATGCCAGATCAGACAACGCTTGCTGCCCCCCCAGTCCCCCAAGCCCGGACTCAAAATCGTCGTCTCAGAGCAAGTGGAGCGCCAATTAGCATCCCTGCCGACCTCCCAGTGCATGCTTTGCCCTTCTGAGAGCGGTCATCCAGGTCAACCAGCCCCCGTCTGGGGCTCGAGTTTCTCTCTCTGCCTGCCTCTCCATAATTTTCAGTGGGCCCTGTGCAACTGGTGCTGCGCTGCTGGTGCTGGTGCTGGTGCTGTTCTGGTGCTGCGTGGACCGTGGTACTGTTTGCTGCTTGCTGCTGGACCCTCACTCTTGCTCCTCGCCCTCGCCCTCGCCCTCTCGTCTCTCCCTCGTTTCCGCCTTCTCCAGTTTCGCAGCCGGCACGCTGCCCCAATTGTGACGGCGCGGACAAGCCAAGAGACCTCGCGGCCATAGCCCACTGGACCTTCTCCGCGTGGAACCAGCGATCGTTGAACCACTATTGACTGCCTCTCTCAAAAGCAAGTCGACGGGCACCGCGCTCAAACAGAAAGAAAAGCGTGAGGCATCGCAGGTACCGACGACGACCTCCTGGGGCTGGCCATCGATTCACCGCAGCTCCACGCAGCGCACCACACCTCTCAACCCCCCGGGCGCGTTCTCGCTCACCTGGGCCGAAGTGGCCAGGATTCGGCTAAAGCTTGCAACTTGCAACGGCTCTCAGTGTGGTTGCATCAGCGAACCGATAAGTGGAAGACTGCAAAGGCCTGCCTGCACTTTCCGTCCTGCACCTCTGCCTTTCTTTTGCTGCAAGTCCCCAGTAACGGACCCGCCAGGCCTTGGCCATTGGAAAGCCGTGAGTTCATTGTCCATCCATCCTCATCCTTCCATTGCCACGACCGCTTTTGCTTTTCCGCCATGAACGAATGAAGTGTTGAAGTCCCTTTCAATAGCATGCGAGACCAAACTTCTGGAAGCCGTTTCCTCAACCTCGACCGTTCCTTCGACGACGACCATCTCGGACGACGATGCTGAGCGACTCCACAGCTCAACATCCGCAGCAACAGCCTCTCGTTATGCCCACAGCAACGTCATCCAGTGGCGGTGCGGCCAATGGTGGGATGAACAATGGAGAGAACGGTATGCGATCTCCCAATGCTTGTTCTTTCTGCGGTGCAATGCGCACGAGCTGAGCTTGAAATTGCTTTTCTCTTGTCCTACGATGTGTAGAAGTCCGAGCTAATCCATTGCTCCAGGTGCGTCGACGAGCTCCAAGGCCGTCAACAACTTTCCCCCACCCAAAACCGACAAACCCAGACCTCATGTATGCGGTACTTGCCAAAGATGCTTCGCCCGTTTAGAGCATCTCAAGCGTCATGAGAGATCACATACCAAGGAGAAGCCATTCGAATGTCCAGAATGTGCGAGGTGCTTTGCCCGCCGGGACCTTTTACTGCGGCACCAGCAGAAACTCCATATGACGACCACGCCCTCTTCGAGACCAAGAAACCGAAGAGAGAGTGCTGCGAGCAGCACTGCCGGTCCAAACAGAGTACGAAAAGGCTCCATTGCCAATGGACATCAGGCCGCGACAATGAGGCCAAGAGCCAATACAATCGGCCATGTTGACGGAACCCGTATGCAGATGATGGCAGCTGTAGATGTCAATGTCCAAAGAGCTAACCTTCAAGCAACCCACAGCCGTCATCCAAGTCTACCCGGACCTCCCATGCAAAATGATTATCATTTCGGTGGGATGTCTTCTGCTCTAGGGCAGCGGGGTATGCAGCATGGGCTTCCAAAGCTAGAAACACATGGTTTTAACAACTTGGATTTCGGAGGGGGTCTCAGAACTGCACCTGTCCACGGCTATTCAGAGGTGGATTTTGAGCGCCTGCTCTTTGGTGGCCCAGGCTCTACGATAAACCCGAATGCATTGCACTACAATGATTCCCCGCAGTCGATGGTAATTGATACTGCATCACCATATCACCACGCTTTTCCAGATATGTCTGCAAGTCAAACCTTGGAAGAAAACTTTGACTGGATGAATGGATTTGAACATCAAATGTCATTCCACGACGCCAATGACCAGGCACTCGATGGATCCTCACCCTCTGCTATAAGCACTGCTAGTCAGAGTGGTATCAGCGAAGTCATGTTGGATGGTTCAAACAACCCAGCACAGTCTTCGGCATCCATGTGGCAACAGTCAATGATGGCTCCTCCTCTTATGACACCCAATCCGTTTGCTATGGACCTTGGTCATACAGGATTCCATGATATGATGAACGGTGGGCCTATGTCTCCCCATAGCCTGCCTCACAGAAATGCGAACGACCCCTATTTCTCGACACCACCACCATCCATGAGCTCGTTAAGTCCATCTCTGATGCCGGGTATCACGACTCAAAGCTTTCACCCACCAATGAATCTCGGGCCGGAAACCCCAATCTCGATGAATGGGAGCACGAGTTCTATTCTGCCGCTCGCCACAATTACAGATTCCACCCGACAAGCTCTCCTTGCTGCTCTCGCACCGTGTACGCCATTCGGAAGCCGAAAATATTCCTTTCCAGCAACCAGCTCACCTCTTTCCCCTCATTTCCCCGGACGAGCGAGTATCGCTAGTGATGCAACACGTAACCTTCCCAGTAAGTCATGTCTTGGCATCAATGCAGGCCCATGAGTTTCGAAACAAAAGTTGCTCGAAGCATCCATGCCGAGAGTGCTATTCTTGGATTCCAAAGCTTCGTTTTTGGAGATACAAATAATTCTGACTTTTTCCCAGGCACACACGATCTTCAACGTTATGTTGGAGCTTACATTCGCTACTTCCAACCCCACTTACCATTTCTTCATATTCCGACTCTTTCTTTTGACGTTCCGACTTACGGGAATGATGGCAGAGGTCATGCCGGCCTCATCGGTGGACGGGGTTGCCTCATCCTTTCTATGGCGGCGATTGGTGCATTATACGAGATGGAGCAAGTCCAGTCGAAAGACTTGTTCGAGTCAGCGAAGAAGATGATTCAACTCTACCTGGAAGAGCGACGTAAGGCCGATGTTCGAAAGGCGGATCACCGGAAAGCTAGTCATGACCATGGCCGCCGGTCTCCTGAGAACTCTGTACATACGCCAGTTTGGCTTGTTCAGGCAATGTTACTCAACGTTGTCTATGGACATAACTGTGGCGACAAGACTGCAGGTGATATTGCTAGCACTCATTGTGCCGCTCTTGTCAGCCTTGCTCGAGCTGCGGAATTGCTCAGACCACAGTCTATGCATGGTTCCACCCAGGATGTCCAGATGGGCGAAGAATCGATGTCTCCCGAAGACTGGAATACCGGTAGAGCTAAGAGTGACATCCCAGAGGATCAGCAGGAATGGTACAACTGGAAGACCATTGAGGAGCGAAAGAGGACTCTTTATGCCGTTTTTATCCTGTCAAGTCTCCTGGTTTCTGCATATAATCATACGCCTGCGTTGACAAATTCGGAGATTATGTTGGATTTGCCCTGTGATGAAGAATTCTGGTCCGCCGATACAGCACAAAGTTTTTATTCCAGAGGTGGTTCTAGGATGGCGGATCACAATCATGTTACCTTCCACGATGCTCTGGGCGAGCTCTTACGTACCAGTGAGAAGCAACAACAACAACAACAACAGCAGCAGCAGCAGCAACAGAACGCGCATGGGCAAATGTTCGGATCTCCTATTATGCAAGATCTTCCGAAGGTAAGTTTTAGCAGAGCAGTTGGATCGTTAACCGCGAGACCGGATTTTTTAGTCAAATGCTGATACAGTCAACAGAGCGATCTGAAGCCGAGCACATTTGGTTGTCTTGTCTTGATCAACGCCTTGCACAACTATATTTGGGAAACACGACAAAGACACCACAACAGGGTCTGGACTAACGAAGAGACTGAGAAGATGCATCGCCATATCGAACCAGCTCTGAAGGCTTGGCAAGCTGCGTGGGCGAGCAATCCTCATCACAGCCTAGAGCGACCAAATCCGTATGGATTCGGACCGCTTTCTGCTGATAGCATCCCGCTTCTAGATCTTGCTTATGTCAGATTATTCGTAAATCTTTCTAGATCGAAAGAGAAGTTCTGGCAAAGAGACTGGGATGGAATGGCGGAAGAGCTCTCACGCGGTAGCGAAATAATCCAACACGCAGAGCATTCGCCCGAGTCTAACGCCGAATCTTCGGATCCATCCGAAACGTCTGCGACCAGTTCCGTCTTCGTTGATTCTCCTCCGACATCGACATCCTCGCCGGAGTTCAAAGCTAGTCGACTCCCTCCAGGATCCCTTCACATGAGCCAGTCAGTCTCGACATCCAAGCGTGAGCGTCACCTACGCAAAGCCGCCTTTTATGCCGCAGACTCGCTCTCAATGTCCGATAAGCTGGGGGTGACTTTTGCCGACTTTACGTCTCGAGAGCTCCCGTTGCAATCGGCCATGTGCGCTTTCGATTGTGCTCAAGTACTCGCGGAATGGGTGGCAACAGTTCAAGAACGAGTCGGCCGCTATCTGGGCATCCTTGGAAAGGATGAGATTGATCTCAGCCAAGTGCCAGGCATCATGCTTCTCGAAGAAGAGGACTGCAAGCTGCTCAGCAAGATCCAGGAAGTTTTGAACAGTGCCGAGATCAAGATGAATTACGAGCTAGCTGGCATGGGAGCCGTTGCTCAGATGAACGCTGCTCAGAGACTACCCGTGGGAGATAACAATGGCTACGGAAGCAAGATTTTGAAAGTCACGGCCTACATGCTAGATAAGGCCGCCGTGTGGCCTGGTAAGCATTTCAAGTTCGACTCTTTGATGTTCTCCACTAATTCTCTCCCAGTAACACACCTCATGGCACGCAGTCTGGAGACACAAGCCAACCACATGCGGGCCCGAGCTGAAGACTCGGTGACCCAGCGTGGATAATGGCCACCTTCCTTGCTTTTTTCACAAAAGGGATAAAATATTCCAAAACCAGGACCGGACCCGAAAATTTACAACCAAAAGTACTAGTATATTCTGTCGAGTATCTTCTGTAAAAAATTACCCACATATGGAGTGGCGGGACCTATTTGTGCATCTCGCTACATTTCTCGGTCCGTCTGTTACCTTTGCACCGGTGCATATGGGCGGATTGCTGTTCCTTGCACCATTTTCCATTTCATGTTTCTCGGAGGCACGAATCTCAAGACGAGTTACGATTCCATGATACAACACGAAACGCATTAATGGATGCCTCCGCGAAACATCTTTCCTTTTCTCAATTATACACTTCAAAGGCACGGAATTTGAAAATTTCCCTTCTTTGCGGATTGTCAATAATACACAAACAATCTCATATATACATTCGCTGGCCCTTGTTTGGACCTTCCTTCTGGTATGGCTCAAGCTTCGATCCCTGTTCGACTAGGGTTGCTCTGGAGCGGTCGAGATTCTTCAATTGCTGGATAGCGATACAGGATTACCTTGATTTGTTTGCTCGGCTTGTTCGGTTGCTTGAATGGCACGGCATGGCGCGGGATTGGGTTGCTTTCGGATTTGATGATGGATGATGATGATGAACACTTGACCGGAAGGACGGAGCGAAAAGGAGAACCAATTGCTCTTTTCGCTGTTGTTTTAAGGTAATGGATGAACATGGGTGTGGGGGCCAACGGAGACGGCCTTCAAACACGGGCGGCAAAAAGGGGTGATGACGGACGGATGGTAAGGTTCATGGTCGATTGGCTGAGCTTGCAAACAGGAGCATCGAATTAATGCTGTATGTACTGTACAGACAAAACGAAAACTCACCACGATTGACATGCTCCCCTCCCTACTTCCCAGCCTTCTCTGCATCTAAACAAGGTTCCGAAGAACATGCTCTAACCGCAGGAACGTCCCTTATCCTCCTCATCCTCCAATAGGCTCTTGATGAGCATGCAACTCTATCTGCCGGGAGGCACCCCGATCTCCGAAAGCCCCAGCCAGCCCCAGCCAGCCAGCGCCAGATCTCAGAAATTGACTTCTTCCAGCCGATGCACTGGAAGCACGTTAAACGTAAGCTCTACGACGCTGTGGCTTCCTTCTAGATCATTTCTGTGACCCTCTGCATGTTCTCCCTCCCTCCTTCCGCGCAGAATCCGGGGAACGGACTCGTTGGTGCCGCAATTACAATAATAAGGTCTGAGGATGATAACTCAGCCTGTTCCGAGACCCCAACATCGGTACATCCCTCCCTCGCTCCTTTAAGACATTGTTGTGAGACTATGGAACGGTGCATGTACAGCTGGAGCTTCTATCACATTTCTATTCTTTCCTTTGCCGGAGATGGAATCGCGAATCGGGAAAGGCTAAATGAGCAGCTTTCCCAACTTGGCTCGACATCTTTCTCTTTCTCCAGCCGAGGAAGGATGGTGTGCATGGCATGCCTGTCTTCGGACGGGGTACGAGAATGGCAGAGGCTTTTGTCGGGCCAGCCGGCACATGGGATGCAGTCTTGGGATAGTAGTGCGAAGAAAGTTCGTCTTTCTTGGACTTCTAGCCATCGAGACATGCAGGCGAAGTTCTCGTGATCTGAATCCATTGGATGTAGTCCCGTATTGTGGTTGGACAATCGTGGCGCCGTGGCGCAAAGCACAAGGCTGAGCGGCGTCCCCGGAATTGTGATTTTCGTTGCATGCAGCACCTCCAATGCCTCCGTTCGCATTTTCCTGTAGCTGCTTGCTTTTTGCGGGATCCAAAGCTTGATGTCGGCAAAGAGAGTGAGGCATTGGCTCTCTCGCCTACACTGCTGCATTGGGTGGAACCGGCAGGGGGTCTGATCAATGAGAGCCTCTTGTGATGCGTGGTGCAACCTCAACCATATGTACCCATAAATGGCGCAGGTGGTGGTGATCAAAGTTCAGCTGAAGTCATGCCCTTTTTCTATTGGTATTGTGTTACGAATGCTTTCTCGAGTGGGACCCGGATTGGCGCTATATAGATGACAGGTTGTGCCTTCTTCTGAAATCTGATATCAGATCGATGGATCAGTGATCGCGCCTTACTTAATCGAGGAATTAATAAGAACAGAATCCCCATTTCCAAAACGGAAGTCACAGCAAGGCTGGAGATTTTGAATGATCTCGTTGATCTTTCGACGTACTAAGAGTGCTTTCCGTGCCGAGACTCTGGGTCCCAAAGCTGTCATTCGAGCATCCTTTTCAAGAGCAGAGCCTCGAAGAAATTTCACGTCAAGCACTGTCATCCTAGCTGCCATGAGTTCAGACCAGCAAAATACAGTGCCTAAGAGAGCAGTAGGGAAGAAGTTTGTGATTGCTTGCGATGGTGAGTTTCACTTAATCTCAAGGTCTTCAAGGGATGCTGACAGTTCCAAGGAACTTGGATGGTGAGACTTTTCATGAGCGTCTCCTCACAAAGCAGAGTCTGACATTCTCACCAAAATAGAACAGTGATTCAGGAGTCGACAGTACAGCTTTCGCTCCTCCCACTGCACAAGTCCCAACAAATGTAACACGCATCGTGAGAGCACTCAACCACAGAGACCAAAATGGTATTCCTCAAATCGCATTCTACCAACGAGGGGTCGGTACAGATAGCGACGCGGAAGACAAGCTAGTGAGCGGTCTCAGTGGCGACGACATCTCTGAACATATTCGAGAAGCTTACGCTTTCGTTGCAAACAACTTTGATCCACAAACGCAAGAAGATCTGGATGACGCTTCGAAACCCATTGACGAGATTACCATTCTAGGATTCTCACGCGGTGCTTACACGGCAAGATGTATTGCGACGATGATCACTGATATCGGACTATTGACCAAAAAGGGAATGGAGAATTTCTGGGGTATTTTTGGGGACTGGATGAAGCAAGACATGAAGGGAAATGAGAGCGAGTGGTTTAAGTCGGCCTATGGGAAGTTCGTTCCGTTCACGGATCCAGAGTATCGTGGAACTCTGATTAAAGTGAGAGTGAAAATTTCGGAAAGAGCGTGTAGCTGACAATGAGCAGGAAAAATTAACGAGGTGGGGAATGCCAATTCGTGCAGTGGGCTGCTGGGATACGGTCGGTAAGTGGAATATTGTCAGAGTTCAGCTCCAGTGTTGCTGAACAGATTCGACTAGGTGCTTTGGGAATTCCTCTGCCTTGGAGCGCCGAGAATGTCAAGCCCTACTCCTTCGTCAACACCAAGGTCGCTCAGCACGTACAGCACGCCTTTCACGCACTAGCAATTGATGAGCATCGGAATCTCTTTTCGCCAACTCTGTGGGAGCAACCGGATGAGCCACATAAGCTCAATGTACTCAAGCAGTGCTGGTTTCCCGGATCCCATTCGAACATTGGTGGCTCTTGGCCAGACGCTGGCATTTCCAACATTTCCTTGGCCTGGATGATCAGCCAGCTAGAAGATACGGATGGAGGAATCCTGTCTTTCGACCCCGAATATCTGAACTTTGTTCAAGATCTTGCAAACAAATACTATACCAAAGTTGGTGAACCTATCAGACCATGGGGCTTTGGCAAGCTGTACGATTCTTCCATTATTGATGGTGCAGTTACTTTCACCGAAGCAGTCACACCTATCACCAGAACTCCAGGAAGATATCATCAGATAAGCTTAGAGGATGGAAAACCAACGATGAAACGATTAATGGACACGAACGAATGCATCCATCGATGCGTGAGAGTAAGGATTGACGCCGGTGGACCGGGAATAGAAGAATTGGCTACGACTTCGGTCACAGGCAAGATATTCAACCTTGTGAAAGAACAAGTTGGCATACACTCCCAAGTCAAGAAGGAATTGGCTACGTACGTAAGTTCAGCTTTGACGAACTACGAATTGCAGCAAGCTCCGAGCGTGAAAGTCGAGGTCGATCATGCCTATGCAGGATCAGGGGGTGTATTCTGGAAAGGGAAAGATGGGTTGGGGGACTTGCCCGAGGATACACTTGGAAGGACGGAGATCAGACTTTTGCAGAGGAGCGCGGAGAGGAAATCTTAGAGCAACGTGGCATGAGAACAGAGTGATGCCGCTAAGGATGCAGAGAGTGAAGGGTTCCATAACTCGAGGGACATTTGAGCGCGGTCGGAATTTTCGAGAGCATGCGGCAAAATTGGAAGATGGGATAGCAGCTGACTCTGAAGAAGATTCTTGGGAGCGTGGCTATTTCTTCTGCTTGAAGATGTCGATCTTTAGGGAGAATCCTGAGGCCTTACTGGGATCCCGAATGTTTTTTTGTTTTGTTTTTGGGCGATGATTTGCTTATATGCATATTGTTTTCCTTCAAAACCATAGGAGATAAATCGAAGCGTGTTTGAAGTCATCTTGTCTCTATGGTATCGCCGGTGGGAGAGCATAGGTGAGTTGGGCATCTTGGTGCAATGTCTAGTTTAAGCCAATAGTCGTGGCCAATTGGACGTCAATCAGGAGAGGGAGGTGTTCTGACAATGCGGAGGTCCTTGGCGGAATTGCAGTAGAGATTCTGTCGAACAAGGCCGCACAACCGTAGCGGATATCGAGACTCGGGGTGACACCAAAGTCTCCAAAATCACATCAAAAGGTAACAAATCCCATCGCTCTTCAATCAGAAAGGAACTTAAGTCTCCACATTGCAAGCTTCTTACATGTAAAAGCCTTATTTGCTCGGATTAGGCTCTTCGCCTCGCGAGGACAGAGGGAAAGCCTTGGAAGGGAGCGTGACCGAGTATGAGAATTTTGAGGGGCCGATTGGCCTTGGCGATTTTCATGGGAGGGACGGGATTGGATGGTGGCGAGATCTTTGGTGGAGAGGAAGATTGTAGGGACGTGGGAGGGAGATGGGCTGGAAGATTCCTGGGCTTTTGGGAAGGAGCAATCGTTGTTGTGGAAGGGGGCCGGGTGAGAGACTTAAGGGGAAGGGGCGATGCCAACGAACCCTTTCTCGCGGCTGGCTCTACTCATGTTATCTGAGGTGGCTTGAATGAGGCTTTGCAAACGAGAAAGCTTGGGTCATTAGTCAAGCCTCCAAGGAAAAGTCTATTTGAAAGAGGAGTTTCAATCCGTGGATTCGAGCTTCTCTTTGTCCTAATGAAGGGAGCGATAGCGAGGCCGTTAAGGAGCACTTGTTTCGTCACTCGATGAATGAATTTACAACTGACAACACTTGTCACATCCAGGACTCATAGGAATAAGGAATGTGCTCTATAAAACAAGTCTATTCTCAAAATGCAAAACGCCGTGTCATAGGGCATTCTTCCCTGAAAGCCTTCCACCAGGCCAAAAGCACTCGTCCACCAAAACTGCAGCGCACCAATATCTAAACATTATGTAATCTTCTCAACCTCCTGCTGCCCAGCAATATCCCTATCCAACGCCGCCACAAAGTCCCTAGAGAGTTTCTCATAACTCTCCTGTAATGTCGTCTTGATAAAGCCCATCAACATCCTGTTGCTCGTGACCTTGCCAGTCTTCTCAAGCACCGGCCCCTTGCCTTCCTCCTCCGTAGCCTCCCTAACAACCCACGTAGTAATAGAATGAACACCCATCGGTGCATGCGTGATGCTGACCATCCCACTGGGTGTATTTTGGATGCTACTCTCATACGTAATCGTATCCGGAATAAACCTGCTTGCCCATCCACCCCGCCAGCTTCCACTCTGTGCCTCTCCTTCTGCGGTCCCACTCTCCATCGCTTCAACGATCTCGTAAACGGGGATAACGCCATCGTATTCGCCGGTTGCAGGGGGCTTATTCTCTGCTGGAACGTGCTTAAAGAAGGCGACTGAGGAGGATTCAGGGAGGAGTTTGTGTGACTTGAGGATCGGGTTGAGGGCCAGCATCTTCTCGTTCGAGTGCAGCAGGGAGAGGGCTTGTTGGATGGTGATATTGGGGCCGAGGGGCGTGACGGTTTCGACGGTCGTAGATGTATTAAGAACTGTGTGATTGTCAGATGTGCTGGCTGAGAGAGGTTGGTTGGGCTTACTTGAGGACATGATGGCGGTTGGCCCGTGGAGGGATCAGATTCGGGAAGTATTGTTGAGGAGTTGGAGATGGTTGTTTGGAAGAAAGGATTTTTGGATCGAGAAAAGAAAGAAGAGAAGATTCCGTGGATATTTGGAATTACTTAGCTGGTGAGGTTAGGGGGCATGAAAGGAAAGATGGAGAAGTGAAAGGCCGTGACACCACTGAAACGCGAACACCAAAAGAGAGCGGCACAGGCTTATCAGAGGTCCTGGCGCAGTAGCCACAACGAAACCAAAAGTCTTCACAACAGACTTGAGAACTGTTCCGACGCCAGAGGATTCACAATTTCACAGCCGCGCTCTTCGGCTGCGTTTGTTCTTGAACCATCGAGGCGAGGTCAATGGCTTAGGTGAGCTTGGCGGCCGACAGCTAGGACAGCCTCATTAGTTTCCGAATATAAACCGGTAATGTTTACTTTCAAATCTGCATCAGAGAGGGAAACATCTTGAAAGTAAACAATCATTTTCCTGCCGAAAAGTTGACTTGGGATCCAAGACACGTCGTCCGTCTCGTTGTGGAGCCCCGCATCACATGTCCCAGCCCCCCTTTCACAATTCTGGCATAATTAGTGCACAATAAGCAAGCATAACCCACCCATTCGATATCAGAATTTCAGAAAAACTCATGATATTGAGAGATGTCGAGGGGCGACGTTGCATTCGGACCTTTTGTGGGTTGGAATTGCCAAAGAATAACAAGGATAACACGCTGATCATCTTTAAAGGTGTGTGTTCTGGCCTCAGCCGTTAGGTCGATTCCTGCTGCTGCTACGGATCCTCCACCTCGAGCTTTGGTGAGGGGGTATCATCTTTTGCTGATCATTTTCTGGAAAGCTGCAGAATCTTCCTGACAAATTTTCGATCCTCTTCTGACTTTTTGGCACTGTAACTGCAAGTTGCGCCCAGATCCAACGCCTGGTCATCAGCGGCCCGCTCTCATTGAAGCTCTTAGGAAACCCAATCCAAACCAGCTCGGGACACATCTCACCGAACCTTACATCTCTCTTGCAGGTATATCAGAGTCTATTGGCCAAAACAGAATAAGAGAGAAAGAAGAGCTCGTGAGCGGAGGCCTGCACCGGCCTCACTTCCCCCTGTCCAAAACCCCGGTCATGGCGTATGGGTGTGGCGCTCACAAAAATCTTGGACGACGCCGCCATCGTCATTTTGCACCAAGACCTGGGGCAGCACGATCCTCCTGTGCCTCGAGAAGTGACAAAGTCGCTGTTTTACATTTGAGGAAAAGCCAAGGAGAACTGTTATGGCAACTTCAAGCCTCCCAATATAGCGTTTGGAGCAGCAAGCCGCTGTCAGAATATCCTCATCACACTTTGTTCCTCGCCCCACACGTTCTACTCCGTATTTGACAGAGGCCACTGCTCCAAAGTTGCGGCGGGTTAGACTTGCTAGTATGTAATTAGTGCTCATATCGCCCGATGCTAGCCAAAGAAGGAGATGCCTCCTGGTGGATGTCGACTTGGACGGCCACCTCGTCATCCTTGTTTCGCATGCTTCCAAGGGCCAGGTTTACTCCCTTGCTGGTTTTCCGTACACCATCGCTTGAACTGCGAATACCCTCAAAGGATCGACAGCCCTAAATTTGGTACGCCGTGACCTCAACCAACGAGATCGAACTGGGGCTGGAGATCACTTGCCCATCAAACTGTGTTCGCCGCGGCGGAGTGGCCGTTGCTTGACGTTACCTCACTTGTGACCTTGGAGATATCCCAGCACCATGGCATGGCCAGGATTTTGTCGGGCTTGCTGGAGCCGACTTTAAATAAAATACCCAGACAACCCGCGCTCAGAGATTTACTCCTTCCTCAACATCATCGGGACTTCTGAGGTCTACTTCGAAGCCCAATTTTGAAGCATTCAAACCACAACTGACTGTTGACAACCACCTTCAAAATGGGATATCAAGTCGGCAACGTTTACGTGTAAGTGCTCGGAGCGAATTCCTCCTATCTCAAGACTGGGCAGACGACACCCTCAATCCCAGTTCAATCGAGCCATTTGCTGACCTCCCACCTTTGCGACAGAATTGCTGCAGTGGCGGTAGTCGGAGGATCGCTGTTTGGTTTTGATATCAGCTCTATGTCTGCTATCATTTCCACCAATGCTTACCTTTGCTACTTCAACCAAGGTCCTTTGTATTGGGATAAGGACCAGATCTGCTCAGGTCCATCGGCCAGTGTTCAAGGTAGAACCCTTGGAATATGTCCCTAAGATGGTCTCCCCCTGACGATCCAAACATAGGTGGTATAACCGCTTCTATGCCTGGTGGTTCTTGGCTAGGTGCTCTTATCTCTGGTTATGTATCCGACATCATGGGACGAAAACAGGCAATCCAAGTCGGTTCCGTCATCTGGTGAGGTTCTTTTGATAGAGTCACAATTTCACTCACTAAAGGACAAAATAGGGTCATTGGCTCTATTATCGTCTGCGCATCTCAGAACATTGGTATGCTGGTCGCTGGCCGGTTCATTAATGGTCTATCGGTTGGTATTTTGTCGGCGCAAGTGCCTGTCTACATCACCGAGATTGCGCCTCCGTCGAAGCGTGGTCGACTTGTTGGATGCCAGCAATGTGAGTTAGTCAAACTTTGGCGAGATATTTCCAGTGGATACTGACATGCATACAGGGGCGATTACTTGGGGAATTTTGATCATGTTCTACATTTCTTACGGCTGTTCATTTATGAACGGCACTGGTGCTTTCAGAGTACCATGGGGACTGCAAATGATTCCTGCCATCTTCCTTTTCGCTGCCATGCTCTTCCTTCCCGAATCTCCCAGATGGTTAGCCAAGAAGGATCGATGGGAAGACGCCGTTGGTGTCCTCACTTTGGTGCATGGTAAAGGCGATGTCAACTCCCCGTTCGTCGCCAAGGAAATGGCAGAGATCCGTGAAGTCGTCGAGTTTGAGCGTGCCAACGCTGACGTCACTTACATGGAACTGTTCAAGCCGAAGATGATCAACAGAACTCATATTGGAGTGTTTACTCAAATCTGGTAACCAACTTATTTCTTTGTCCTATATCCCGAGCTCCTTACCTCACCTGTCGGGAGGATGTTTCATGCTCCCGGGTCGCTCCCAGCTCTCTCATCCCTAAATAATTACGTTGCTAATTCTTTGGTAGGTCACAACTCACTGGCATGAACGTCATGATGTGTAAGTTTCCAAATTACAAAACATTGAAAATACCAGAGCTGACCAGGACTTCAAGACTACATCACTTACGTCTTCACGATGGCTGGTCTATCCAGCAACGTTCTTCTTCCCTCTTCCATCCAGTTCATCATCAATGTTGTCATGACCGTCCCTGCTCTCTTGTACGTCGATCGCTGGGGTCGTCGTCCCACACTCTTAGTCGGCGCTTTCCTGATGATGACTTGGCTGTTCATCAACGCCGCTCTGTTCGCTCATTACAGTGTGAAACCAAGACCAAAACAGTTCCCCTCTGCAGCGGAATCAATGTCCATCACTGGTGCACCTGCAAAGGCCGTCATCGCATGCACTTACCTATTCGTCGCCTCATTCGCACCGACTTGGGGGCCAGTCTCCTGGATCTACCCTCCAGAGCTGTACCCTCTCCGTGTCCGAGGAAAGGCAGTTGCTCTCTCGACTTCCGCTAATTGGTAACCAAAACACCCCCGGCTGTACTTAGAAAAAACTGCTAACCTCTCACCTAGGGCATTCAACTTCGCTCTAGCCTACTTTGTGCCTCCCGCATTCGCCAACATCAGATGGCAAGTCTACATTATCTTCGGTGTCTTTTGTGTAGCAATGTTCCTCCACGTGCTCTTCCTCTTCCCGGAGACCAGCCAGAAGCCTCTTGAAGAAGTCGAAGAGATCTTCGATGACACCACGCCGGGCAGCATCAAGTACATCGGTACACCGGCCTGGAAGACCCATGTTGATACTCGCACAGGACGCATTGAGAGGGGTGAGATGGACTCGGAGAAGTTTCACAGACATGGCAGTCACGAGGAGCACCACCCTTCTGCAGCTGGAGCTGACGTGCCGAGGGCTGAGGTCACGAATAAGGAGGTGCCTGCTGCTAATTAAATCTGAAACTGTGATTGGAGATGGGTTTTCGGAGCTCGTAGCTATTGAGATCTCACAACTTGATCAGGCAAAGGGTATATTGTGCTGCGGCACGGCGAGAACTCATAATGTCTTTGATAGGACTAAATTGACTTAATGATTCAACGAAGACCCTCTCTTCTGGCACCAGGCCTCTGAATGATGTATCCTATGTGAGCCAAGGCTTCGTTTCAAACTGTTCTGGTCCAAAGAGAGAACCGAAAGGTAGAACAGGAGCTCGCATTTGTCTCTCCAATTCGAACTACCCCTTTTTAGCGAGCTCCAAAAATTCCAGCCCAACCCAACTCACCGGACAAAAACAGCATGAAGTCTTTGGGATGGCATAAAAAACGGCAAAAGAAAACTCATTAGGACCCAGACACTTACCGTTTGCTCTGTTTACTACAGCAGAGCACATTTCTTCAAAACTATACTCTGTAGCAGAAATCATCAGATAAGAGTGATACATACACTGCTGATATTTCAAGTGTGTTTAGACTTACGTCTACGACTAGAGATGAAGTTTATATGAGTATATATGACCCGGATGAAATAAGCTGAGTAGAAAAACCAGGGCGCTTTGTTTAACACAAGCTTCACTACTTCAACTCAGAGACTCGAGGGTGAAACCTAAGCTCATATCATTGCATTTCCTTGGAGAAGAATGCTTGTGATATTGTTAGTGATGCATGACTTCAACCTGCCCAAGAGATCACGAAGCAAGCATAAATTCCACAGCATGTTCAAGTGATGTTAATTCATACAACACCTATGGGTTTCGGAGTCCAGGGCCTTGCCCATTTCGACCATCCTTTGGCTCCAGAATCTATGTCTACGATCATTTCCGAATCATTCAGCCCAAACTCCACATCCTCCTTTTTGTTCAGCTCAGCTTCCATCCTCGACATCTCATCCCTAACGGACACAATTTCCATATCTTGCATATCCTGCGACGGCATCTCCTTGTTCTCTCCATCCCTGATGGTCCCATTCACAATACTTCGATGTATTTGAAGAGCCCGCAACAAGATTTGAGTCTCATCCGTTTCGCCCTGAATCTCGATCAAAGCATCCAGCAACTGATCCTCATCCCAATTACTCAACGTCTTCTCCATGTTCCATCTCGCTTGCTCGTTCTTTTCCTCAACTAGCTTGCTTAAGAACGCCTTGCAATTGCTCTCTACTGAGTTTTCTGCTGTCAAATGAACCCAGTAATATTCCCAGATCCATCGCAGAGCTTTTTGGGTAGCAGTGCGAAGTTTGGAAAGTGATGGCAACTCCTCGTGAGTAGCTTGATGACGAAGTTCAACGTAGGTTGCTGGGAGCCCGATGGTCTTCGCAATTGAGTACATGCTGAGTTTCCGACGTTTGTCTTGGTGACTATCCATGAGACCGGTGACGAATCTATTTCCTCTTGATCAGCCGATGAGGAGGGATGGAAATTTCAAACCACGAGGTTCCGAACGTGTCCGAATACATATCCAATTAACAAAACACAAGTAAATCACTTGTTTTGGCTCACTACATCTTATCAGAAGCCAGATGTCTACTCAAACTAGAATAGCTCGGGTATGATGATCAAAAGACGCCGTAGCTAACCGCAACGGGGACTCTAACATAACCCCCAGGCAACAAGATCCATCCAAATTTTGAGGGAAAGGCCATGAAATCAGCGCAGTCGAGACATGTCTAAACTCACCTACAAAAAGCCGCCGCATACGCAGCCCTGACACAATACGTCGAGTTCCCACTCACATCATTCAACACCGCCGCCGTCAAAATCGCCGTGCTCTCCACCAAATGCGGACAATTCCCCCTCTGCATCCAAACTGACACCCTCGCCACAGCATGTCTCCTCTCCTCCTCCTTGACCTCCCGCCCTGCTCCCGGATACAGCTTTTGGCGGACCTGGAGGAGCTCGGCTCGGTTTCGCCACGGCGTTATGACGTATTGTACCATTTTTAGATGGATTATGTCGTAGCAAAAGATAGGGGGTAGTGGGAGAGAAAGAATGGATGGCGGGGAGCACGTGGTGGTGGAGTTATAGGGTGAAGAAAATTGAGTGTTGACGAGTTGGATTTGCAGTTGCGGCTGCCAAGCTTGAGGCTCTGCGGGAAGCGACTCTTTGGCGAAGCGACGAACCTTAAATGCAAGAGAGGAAAAGCAGTCACGAGAGGCTGATCTGAATCGGATTCCAGAGGAATGAGACAACGTTGGAATGTACTTGAGAAGGCCTTGGCGAGACATGGCGTAGCTTGTCATTCTTGATACTCATGGGAAGTATTAATGTGAGATAATTCAGAATTGGAATGGTGGTCGAGATCATGATCCGTTGTGCCTTCCTTATTGTTGTTTGATACATTGTATTTGTAGTACACTCTTTGAGTCTTTGCTCAACTGAGACATGCCATGAGACGCACGCCGGCGACATAATGCACCGTCCCATAGTCCCAGTGGTATCCATCCCGATGCTGTCTGCCAAACGCCATGCTAAACTATTGTAAAAATAACATCTCTTCATTCGTCCGTAATTCATAGCCACCCGCTGCGATCGTAACTTTGAGTCTGCACTGTGGTGGCGGGCTCACTAGTAGTGGTCGCAATGCTGGCAGTCTGCTCAGTTGTATCTTCATCATCTGATTCACCTTCGCCGTCTTGCTCGTCATCGTCATCTTCGTCCTCATCATCGCTCGGCGGTGGGTTCCATGTTTCCTCAAGTTTCAAACCCTTTCCAGTGGGTTCGACCCGACGACCCGCCCCAAGAAGGTGTGACATCATGAGAGTTCGATAGTTGTCCAGCTGCGGATCTGACGAGGGAGCTTTCGCTGGTTCGGGAGTGTCGTATAATCCCATTCCGATCAGCTCCTCGCCATCATCAGAGTCTGAAAGAGGATGGTATGGAATGGACTCTTCTGCTGGAAAGGTTGGTTCTGGATGTTGTATAGGTAAGAAGTTCTCAGGGGTTGGAGGTGCTGTCGACGAATTTTCGAACCCGTTCGCTGCGAAGTTGTTCCAGTCAAAGTGGGAGTACATGGATGAATCCACGTTCGATGTCGATTGTGGCACGAAATTTTGTGCCGGTTGTTCAAGATAAGGTGTCTGATTGATATTATAATTGGTGTTCGGCTGGTATGAGTTCGATTGGTTGGGATAGGAAGTTTGCTGCTCCGCTTGTTCGTATCCCGTATATGGCAATGATAATGGGGAGAAAGTTGAGGAGGGTGAAGTATATCCCGAGTATACGGCTGGAGTTGGTGGAAGGTCATATATCTGGAACTGGTGGTTGAGTTCCGGTGCAGGGACTGGATAGGCTCCTTGGTAGTTTGGTTGGGGAGCGAGATGCGAACTTGGATGCCAGCTGACAGGTCGAGTGGTATATGCAGGAAGTTGAAGGCCTTCGTTCGGGGTATATCCTCCAGCAGCAACATTCTGGTCGATCATTGCAAGCCTCCGCCGATATGCCCCATCGGTCATGACTGTCCTCCGTCTTCCTAGTCCTGCTGAGCCTCTTGGGCTATTGCTGGCACTGTTCGGCTTGACGATTCTCATCGATCCTCCTCCTGTCTTCTGTCCTGCCGATCCTCGAGAGTACCGGGAAATATTTGATGAAGCCATTTGTTTCGATACGTCGTCCAGCAGCATCTCGACAGTTGTATAACCCAAAGCGTGGCCTTCCCAGTTGCCGGAATTCATGCTTGCGTTAATTGGCTACCTAGAAGGGTAGGTAGTGAAAATTGGAAGATTGTTGTTGTTGAAGGGAGGGCAAAGTATTCAATGTCCGTGGGACATCAGTGAACATAAGTAGCTCATAGTCTGCTCAAGGGGAATGGAAGTTTGAGTGGTCTAGCAAGACAAGAGAAAGGGATCATCTTCCATATGAAGGCTAGACAACGGGAAGGGCAAATATGGACACTACCTTGCAAATGACTTAAAAAGGTCCCGGGTATGTTGTCTGTGTCATCTGGCTGCTGGCTTATGATGGATCCAACGATGAACGAGCATGGGTCTCAAGGGCAATCCGCCGCCGGGTCTGAGCTTCTTCTGGGGATGCATGGCTTTGTTGGCGGTCAAAGTCAAAGTAGTGGCCGCGCCCCTGGCCTGCAACATGCAGCTTCTGTGTCCCGCGGCTGGAGACGTATCGAGGTGAAGACGACGGAGGCACACAGCGTACGAAGCCCCTCTGGTGTGAGACGATCAGGCGCAGGAGTGGGAGGATCGGTGATAGACCCTGGGGCTGGGTATGATAGCGCTGGTGGCTATTACTCGTGAGATGTTTCGTACAGGCCGTGGATGGAAGATGAGAAGCGGTCAAGCAAGCCTTCGCATAGCTGGGGTCCGGTGGGATGCAGCGAGTGGCCGTATCAAGCCGCCTTACCTTGTCATGTCATTATTGAGCTCCTTAGACCTTTTCGAGGTCATACCAGTATTATTAGTGGAGGGGCGAATCACGGCGGGACGATGCCCAAACGCTGGGCAAAGGAGAGGAGGAAGGGAGGGAAGGGAAGGGCCGGCTTCTGCGCTGCGCAGAGAACGCACGCAAATGAGCAGCCACCAGCGGCCAGCCAGGCCAGCAGGCCAGCCAAGGGGGACAGAATTTCCGAGCCTCGCACATTCCGCGTGGAAGACCAAGGGTTGCAGGGTGGGTGAAGGTTCGAGGGACGCGTTGCCGGGATGGGCAAGTCGATGGATCGTCAGAAGAATTTCAGGTGTCTTGTCTTGGGGGTGGTGTCTCTCGCTTCGACGCGGGAAGCGCCAGGGCCAGAAGCAACGCAACGCAACGAAGATGGCACGCCGCACGCCGCACGCCAGGCGAGGCACTTCAACTCCGCTGCAATGTGTGGCACTGCACCCCCTGGCCCGCCTCGCACTCTCTCTCACGCTCATCAGCCAGCAAAACAGGACGACTGGGCCACACCTCTCGCATTTGTGCCTCCAGAGATTGGGTCTCCCCAGCGCAGGAGTGGAGCACCGGCGAGTCGAGGCTTGGAACTTTCCCGACAACGGTGGGGAAGCCATCGTGGCTTGGAGTTTGGCTCCGAACCTCGTGATGGCGGACCAGTACTGTATCCGACCGCTCACCACGAGAGCATTATTCGACCTAGTCTTCGATTCTAGTTCAACCACTTCTGGGCTGCAAATACCGCGCAGAGGCGCTGGGGAGCGACCAGCAGCCATTTCCAGACGATGACGATGCTCCGCCGAGGCGTTCTTGCCGGCCCCGAACGCGAACTTTAAGATTCAGGCCAAGAATAGCATCGAGCCTTGTTTCCGATATCCCTCTCTCCACTACTGAGTTGCGAAGGGGCAAGTTCCAAATGCCGGCAAAACTCCACCCAGGCGTGGAGGTGCATGGCGACGCCAAAACAGCAACTGGCTCTGAGCGGCACGATTCAGGATCCAGAACCAGCATGAACCCGCGAGGCACAAGCACACCAGCACCAGCACCAGCACCAGCACAAGCACAAACCGGATAAGGGCGTTGGCGGCCGGGCCACGGCAAGAACTAAAGATCGTGCATCGCAGGGCTCGCAGCATCATCATCCGCTAAAGCGTGACCGTCAGACCCATGCTTGCTGGACTGCGGGTGGATGCACTGGATGGCAGTTGGAAAACGTTTTGGACCCCTGCCAGGAGGCCCTGAGGCGCTTGTTTGGTGGTGGGAGCCCTGGTGGTGGGGAGCGGAGGGGGGAAAGTGCACGCTAGGCCCAGTCCGCTTTCTTGGACCTCGAAATCGTCGTCGAAGCCGAAAACGCGGGCCACAAGGTTGCAGGACTTGCAGATGACCCATGGCATTGCCTCGCGCAAAAAAAACTTTCGTTCGAGCCTTCGACCCCTCAACCCCTACATCTGCATCGCATCGATATCGGCGTCAGTCATTGGTGCAGGAGCACACGAGCCAAGGGTGACTTCCGCTCTTGCCTGGGACTCTACCACAAACGTCAAGTCATGCGTGGTGCAAGAGGAATGCTTATTGAAAGGCGGCGCTGAAACCGACAGTTCTCCAAGTATCGATCCCCAACTTGCGATACACAGAACAAGAAGCTGAATGAGCTCATCGGCATGGCCAGCCCCCTCGTCGGACACATGCTTCTTTATTGGAGGCATTAAAATCTAGAGTTCATTTCTGCAACTCCTCCGTCTGATGATCTAAAGATTTCTCTTCTCGCTTTGCCCGCCTCTCAAACCTTCAACCAAACCCCACATGTTTAATCCTAGCATCACCGCACCGCCCACTTGGAACATTGCGAGCTTGGGGCCGCTTAGGGCCCTGTACAGGTGGATCTGCACAAGTTCTTGCTAAGCTAGGCAGATTAGATGGAATGGTTGGTTCACGATGGAATGACGCGCAACCTGGGTTGATTCGTGGTGCAAGAATCCAAGTGGTGTATTCTCAACAGGTGTATCGCTCGGGGCCTTACAAGATGTGAACCGGAAGGTTGCCGGCGCATATCTTTTTGGGGACTGAATAATCCGTGGTTGCTGACCATTATGATTTGCCCCTGTCGACTGCTGTTGGCGATTCAAGGGGACTCCAGGATCGAGATGCGCTCATGTCTGGAGCAGCCGAAGCCCCTGTATTTGCAAACCAGGCGTACAAAACAGAGCTAGTTCTGCGAAACAGCAATAAGAGGAAGGCTGGAAGGCTAAAGGGCTGATCAGCCATCACCAATCAAATCGATGAATTTCGCATAATGTCCGAATTCTGGGTCTTACAATTAGGCACAAGGAAAGTTCCTTTACGAAAACATCTGATCCGTCACGACCACACCGAAAGGGGCTTGAGACACCAAGCCTCGTGCCTTCTTCGGCTTCTATCCAGAAATCCATCATCCCTGGACAAGGCTGGGCGACGACTTTGACCCACGTTGCATGTGGAGGCACGCGGCGCTACCGATGCCTGGTCTTAATCCTGAAATACCCCAGTCAGGCGAGCCAAGATTTAGAGGCGCCAGCACGGACTCCAACCCTTTTACTGGAAACTTGTGTTGGACAAGAGGATATCGTTCAGCCTGATCTGGATTCCCTCAGTCCCCGACAACAGCAATGCAGCGTGGTGTTTCGTTCTGCAAAGCAAGACACCAACAACTTATGTTTGACCGGCCACACGGACGCCGAAGAGCTGATTCAAATTCGGGCATCCAGTCAGACTGCGAGTGTCATGCTGTGGAAACAAGACCAGGAAACCGGCCGTGGTATATGGGCTGGTTCTTCAATTATTGGACCAGAGATGATGTGCATCAGGGCGGTACGCAAGGACCGCTTGTCCAACCTGACCAGTTCCGGTCAGGGCTGCACTTTGAACATATGGTGGCGCATCTTGTTGTGCACCATCCCGCGGTGTGAAATCGGTGTGAGTACGGATATCTTGAAACCTTTAACAAGGCATCCTTATCCCCGCTGCAGCCGGCTGTCAGCCCTGTCCGCACCGTTGCATGCGCGCAGAATCCTAATCCGGGCATTTCCATCTCCAAGGTTTTGATGACCGACCTCCATTACTTGTACCACTCACTTGTCGCTGATCCCACTTCAACTGTAACCGCCATCTACTCCACACAATCTCATAATGCAAGTAGTGGAAAGAAGAGGCCGTGCAGAAGGGCTTTTTACAGTGCCTTTGAAACACCTGGTTGGCAAAACAACTCAAAATCTGATTCGCGATTCTCCATTCGCACCGTGCGTTGGCTTGGAGGCCTGGAACAGACTCATCCTCAGAGAGCCGCTTATGTGCATTGTATCCAATGGACACATCGTGAGCTAAGTCTGTCCTATCACAGCCGTTCCCTCATAAGAGAGATCATCAGTTTTCGGGTTCTTTTGACCGTATTCCGCGTTTGGCTGCAGTCATCAAAAATCCTTCGGTAAGTCTTGAACCATGCGATCATGGAGGCTTGATTTATCTCAGCCGTTCGCCATCTTGCACCCCTTACTTTTTGGTTCCCGATGCCTCGGATGTCATTATGCCATGCTCCCAGACGACGGAGGCAAAGGTCTTTGAGCCTTGTCGAAGATGCCCCGTGCCGCCTTTTCTTCCCGCCGAGCTGAGCTCGTGAGGAGAAGCACAGCCGCCAGCCTTCTGAGCGAACCACACACTAGTCAATACGCACCCCTCGAGGTTTGGCAGATTACCGACTACAAATACAAACCTCGCACTCACCGCGGCGTACGGCGCAGAAAATTGCAATCAATGATGGTCCACGACGAACCTTGCCCTTGTTACTCACGAGCTGCGTCCGGAATTTCAGGAGTCTTGGACTTTAGAAGCCTGCTCCTTGCCTGGACCCCGCTGATCATGAGGATCCAAGTCCAAGAAAAGAGGAATGGAAGTTTCTTAGGAACTCGACTAGTGCCACGGAGGAAGCTGGATCGAAAAGTCAAACTGTAATGCGGAAGTTGTACCTACTTGGATGATGCAATTACCCGGGGACAGATGTTATTTGCGGAAGGGTCGATAGTTATTTTGAGTTCGAAACTCCTTGACCTGAAAGGTCACGAAGGTTTCCTTTTCGATTGCCGTCCTCGACTTGGTAGAGACCAGTTATTTAAGGTCATGCTGTAGTATCAAACAGTGCACACTCTCTCTGCGGCACATGCTGTCATATGCTACTCCACTGGCGTCCGGGCATTTTCAACACGGGGCGATTGAGTTGATCCCTTGTTCAGGCTTGCAGTGGTGAGAATAGTAAAGTAGTTCACCGCGTGTTCATCTTGGTGGGTGGTGGAAGGTGGATCTTTACGAAGGCTCGGAAGCGCATCAGTTTCATCTCGGAGAAATCGGACATCTTGCTTTAAGGAAGGAGCACTTTCTCCAGACCGGAAGCATGTCATGTCAATAGTGGCGCACTACAACCGCGTATGACGCATGTTCAGCTGTCGAGAGCTGGCTGATATTACGGAGCGAGGTGTTTCTTCTGCACCAAGCCCACCGCGGGCCCACGCTATCTTTGCATCTAGAACTCAGCCACGAGAATAATGCGCAATTCCTAAGGCGTTAAGTGCGCCAAGATTTGGACCGATAGAGGCGAGTCAACCAGCAGAAACAACAAACTCCCTCGCAGCTCGTCTCAGCCCGTCGAATGGTGGGTTGTGAAAAGCAAAACCCACACTCCCTCGCTCCCTTGCTCGCTCAGAGATGCCAGAGAATTGTGAACTTGACATGGCGACCTGCAGTGGGCTTATTATTATGAACCATGTCTTGATGCTGCTGCTCAGTGGCAAGATCGGATGGTGGAAGTTCTGCTGGCTTGGCGGACAGGAGGCCAGAGCCTGTGCGTACGTGCACGGCTTCTCGCACTGTGATGAATATCGCCATTGTATGGGCCGCCATCAGCGAACAATGCTGGAGCATGTGTGATGCCATGAAGGGCATGCGGGTGGATGGAGAATAGCACCGACAGTCCGCCATCCGATGCGATACTGGTGTGAAGGCAAAGTTCTGGGCGTATTTGCTCGTGGAGTGTCAGGGCTCCGGCGGTCTGGCATTTTATTACTCTTGTTGAGACCGAGGAAGGAAGGTTGGTTGGGCTGGGAACGGGAAAGTGAGGGAGGGCAGGACAGGAGGGGCATGCTGTGTTGGGTCGGGGAGGGGATGTGGAGTGGATGCACAGCAATGCGAGCATAATCGACAAGGGGCAGTCCGATTACGACTGCAGCGTCAGTTTTCTACTGCTGAGAAAGCCTTCGGATGACACACGGCCCAACAGCCGCAGGGTGGCAGAACGTGGGCGAAGTGGATCGTTACTGTTGCTGGACCCGACACAGGTGCTTTGTAAAGCCCTTTTACTTGCCTCATTCCACATCCCTCATCCCTCATCCCTCACCCCTCAACCCTCACCCATGCCGCGCCCCCCTCCTCCGGAGCCAATATTGGGAGGAAGGTCATCTGTCATACCAGTGATTCAAAGTTCCCTCTCATCTCGTTCCGAGCTCAACCGCAGCTCCAAGCCTGCGAAGCGGCTGAGGAGTGAGAGGGTCTCAGATCCACAAACAGAAGGAAGCAATAGCCCCTGAAGCGGGATGAAGAAAAGGGGGTGGTGGTGGGCTTATCGATAAGACATTGGAGGGGTAAATCCGAGTTGGAGGAACAGCTTGAGCTCTCTGAGTCTGAGCCTGATGGAATTATCATTCGATGCTTGTGATGTCCTTTTAGAGATGCCTTTGAAATTGCACTGGATATGGGTATTCGTGAACCTGTTGCTCGCCACCGGTGCTGGAGAGGCACCCTCGCATATTGCATCCAGAACGTGCCTTTCAGCAGATGGCCTTTGTTGTAGCGCCAAAGACGTCAGAGGATACGCGAATAACCAAAACCACAATGGATTGATTGATTGACAGAATCGCCCTCGCAAAACAAGAAACATGCCTCAAGCCGCCCCGCAGAGCATCAATTTGCCTGAGAATCATTTGTATGATGGCCAAGGACCCTTTAGTCCGCACGAGGAGGTTTGAGAACCCGACGGCGGCCGTGGAACGGCCATAAGCTGATCATCCACAGGTTGTATCCAGCGCGAGTGATACCGAGTACCAGCATGCTTTGGAGGTAAGACCCATACTCTAGAGATCGTTTCAAAGTGACTTAGCTAATTCTGTGTCAAAGGTGATCTTCGATGCCCAAAATGCGCATCGCAGGAAGTCCTCCCTTGTTACTGCCGAACCCCCCGCAAACCTACTACAACGGCGCAAGAACACTGAATGCTATGTACATGCATTACTAGAGAGTCAAAGGAAACATGGCACATCCAATACTGGGGGTCTCGAAGACATCGCCGAGACGCTTGCGGAACGAAGGATAGCAAGCGGTACGGACACGAACGCAGACTCGACTGTTGAACCCAAGCGTGAGATTGACGATGGATCTACAGGACAAGAGGACGAGAAGTCCTGGACAGATCGCATGCATGCCAAACACGGCAATCCATTGGCAGATGGCCAGAAAGTCAAAGTTAGCGATGATACGGACCCGAATGCAGTCCATAGTCGACTTCTCACCAAGAAACAGCTATCTGATATGGCCTGGGGAGTCAGAGAGCTCAGCAAACGGCTGGGAAGCATAAAGCTGAAGCTGAAGGTCAAGACTGTGTTCCTCCTCACCAAAGTACACGATGAAACTTTGATTGGCAATACTAGGGAAGTTGCCAAGTGGTTACTGAGCCCGGAGCGGGAAGTCAGATACACCGTTTACGTGGAAGATAATTTGCGTGATAATAAGAAGTTCAATTCGAGAGGTCTGATCGAAGACCTAGGAAAGCAGTATACCCAGAAGGACGAAACCAAATGGGATAATGGAAATCCTGAGAAGAGACTCCGGTACTGGAGTAACAATATGTGCAGGACACGACCCCATACCTTTGATTTTGTGGTTACTCTTGGAGGTGACGGGACAGTTCTATACGCCAGTTGGTTATTCCAGAGGATTGTACCTCCGGTTTTAAGTTTTGCTCTGGGCAGCCTGGGATTCTTGACGAAATTCGATTATGATGAATTTCAGGAAACATTAACGAAATCTTTCAGAGATGGAGTGACGATAAGTCTACGGTTAAGATTTGAAGGCACTGTTATGAGGAGTCAGAAGAGGAAAAAGAAAATTCAAAATGGTGATGCAGATCCGGGAGCAGCAGAGGAGGACTCGAATGAAACTCGGGATCTTGTCGAGGAGTTGGTTGGAGAGGAGAAAGAAGATGAGAGGACACATCGACCAGACGGAACATATGAGATCTTGAACGATATCGTCGTTGATCGTGGTCCAAATCCAAGTGAGTCTTTTCCCAATCTCCGCCAAACTCAAGCTCTGACATGATATTTAGCAATGTCCTCCACGGAAATCTTCGGCGACGATGAACACTTCACCTCAGTCCAAGCAGATGGTGTCTGCGTTGCTACTCCCACTGGTTCAACAGCCTACAACCTTGCAGCTGGCGGTTCCCTCTGCCACCCCGAAAACCCTGTGATCCTCGTCACCGCCATCTGCGCACACACTCTCTCCTTCCGTCCTATCATTTTGCCTGATACCATCGTTCTTCGAATCGGTGTTCCCTATGATGCGAGAGCAAGCAGCTGGGCGAGTTTTGATGGTAGAGAAAGGGTAGAGTTAAGACCGGGAGATTACGTTACCATTAGTGCGAGTAGATACCCCTTTGCCAACGTCATGCCGCATGGAAGGAGGAGTGAAGACTGGGTTAATAGTATCAGTGGGAAGTTGGGGTGGAATACGAGGCAGAGACAAAAGAGCTATAAAGAGTGGAGTTAGATGGTTGGGAATGTAGAAATAATTAGGGAAAGACTCGAAAACTTGATTGTGGGGGTGCTTTGTCGCCTGAGCCTTTGAATCTTCGAAGTATGGTTACACTTTGGAGCACTCATTGGCTCTTTGCTGGTCTTTGACCTCTTCCCCCCCGTTTGCTTCTCCTCTTTCGTAATCTCGACTCAATATGCAAAAGCACTTCCGTGCAATGAGCGGATCGGTAGCCGGCTTTCAGGGCAATCTCATTACACCAAAAGTTTTGGTACATTGAGTTGCAAAAATTGCATACGGAGATTCACTGTGGGAATCAACTACAAAATCCTCTAATATACGAAAAGACTTTCGAACATTCTTGTCAATGTGCAATGAAACCCAAGTAAAAAACCCTGCAGTCTCGATCCATTTCTGACTTCGTCTGCCCAGTTCTGACTTCCTCCCTGTGACTTCTTCAGTGTAGTTTCTGACCACTGCTGCCAAGAAAGGGGTAAATCTTCCGAGGTGAAGACATATGGGATACGACATTTTCTACTTCATACCAACACTAGGCAGCATTCACGCCGTATCGGATTGAATCTGAGTACAGAATCCGGGCCGAGCAACAGCGATCGATCCCTTGTGAATCTAGCAAGGACAACGACCAAGCAAGGAGTTGGAGAATAATTCAAAGGGTCTCGATATACACGATGGCCCTGCAGACTGTAGTTTGAAGTGTACACTTCTTCTCCTGGTCGAAGTTATGAGCTGAAGTCGCTCACATTGAACTGATCTTTTGACCTATTGAACAATACTCACTTGAGTAATCATTCCCGGGGCATTCGCAACTAATCCAGTTGACTTGGCTTGCGATGTCTCCAGTCTCTCGAAGTCCTTTGAAGTCCCCTACTTCTAGGAGACTCTCGAAGCCTCCCAGCAATTCGAATGGCCATGGCTTCAAGATCTCTTTGCTCTCTCGAGGGGAGGGCAAATTTCAGAAGTAATCCAATCAAAATCTTCCGGCGAACTGTGGTGTCAGGAACTGGCATTTGTACTATGCTTGAAAAGCCAATCTGCCATGCAATCCATGTCAGGTATCCCCAGAACAATCAAGCCAACCTCAATCGCCCATCGTCTTCCCCTCCACAAAAAAGCCCTGACCATCCACCATCTCAATTCTTTTGCGAATCTCCCATCCGAAAACTCCATGCAATGTGTAAATCCCACTGCCCTTCACGCAAATCGATTCTTCTCCTCCCAACAGCATCCTTCTCTAACGGTGCTGCAGCTATCATCAGACCCGGAATCCTTGGGGAAAGAGGGGGAAAGGTGTACCTTGACGAATCCAATATCCGCGGCCTTCTCTCTGAAGCACTGACGGCAGATGTTCAGACCATACTTTCGGATCAGACCAGCCTTGTGGGTGCAGACACGGCTATCACAACAATCAGCTCCTGTTCCAATCTCTCCCATCCATTCATCTCCACAATCCCCCTAAAGTAAGGATAAGGCGAACGTACCAGGCGCGAGCTCCTTTGCCGTAGGTTCTTGGGCGCGAATTCCAGACGGATTCGTGAGACATTTTGTGTCGACTTTGTACTGTTTCTACACTTGGAAATTAGGGTCCGTCTTCGTAAGTAGGCGGAGATGGAGTACCGACCGCGCGGAGTGCGAGGTTGTCTTCGAGGTCGAGGTGGATCTTTTTGAATTGGCTGGCTCTTGCTTTTCCTGGAATTGTCGTGATCCTTTTTACGAATGTGCGGACTAATTTAGCGAGTCACGTGGACTGTTTGATTCTAGCCCTTTTGGGATCTCAACCTCTCTTCATCTCTATCACCACTTATTTGCTTCAGTACTTACCTTCTACTTTTTTTGGTTTGGGAGAGCGCGAGAGATTGAGAGATGAAACTCCAGTAATAGTGATTGAGAGATGCCAGTGTGAGGCGACTCATAGTCTAACTGCCATGTAACGAATCCGCTGCGAAACTGGAGCATTGAGCATTGATAGATTGAAATGAAGAAATCTGGTTGTCTTTCTTATAATGGATTTCTGATATGGAAGTATGTAGTGCAATGTGAAATACTACGGTCATTTCTTGAGGAGACCAAATGGAGTTACCCGTGAGAGCTGATTGATGCAGAACTACTTCGGGGTTTACTTTGAAAAATCAGCCAGTCGATATTCTCTTCTCGGTGAAATTAAATTGTTACTGTGCAATTTCTGTAAATCGTATAAGATAACTTTGAAATCGAGATGACAAAAGAATCGGCGTTAAATTCTCGACTGCGAGTCGTGAAGATCTCGAAAAGCCCCGCGTTCCCACCGAAATCAACATCAACAAACGCGCCGATTTCATCCCACCACAACCAACCTCACAACACTGCTTCAAACTCAAAAAATGGTACATTCACCTCCCACCACTCCCAATTTCCTTTCGCTTTCTCATATCTTCACAGTCGAAAGACTCCTCCTACACCTACATCCACTTCAACCGGCCCCGTGACGCGGACCTCTTCGAAGACTTCTGCAAAGACAAGCTCCCAGACGACGAGATCTACGTCCCGCCGCACAACCAGCCTATCAACCCAGAAGATGAAGACGATGTAGTGCCTGACCAGCATGCGGCGTTTGGGATCCAGAGGGCGACGCAGAAGGTTAAGGAGGCTGCGTGGAAGGATTTGGGACTTGCGGACTTGATGAAGAAGGGTCCGGAGAAGGAGAAGGTGGGGTTGAAGGCTGGTTCTAGGTCGTTGCCGAGATGAAGGATATTTTGAATGGGGAGTGCGAGGAGCAATAGGGATGTCTTGGTCATGAACGAGGGTGCGAATTGAAGGTCATTTTTAAGAAAGGCCGTTTGATGGATTGATACCCTGTGAGAACAAAGGACTTGTGGAATTAGATGAGTAAGAGAGCACTGGAGCTCTGTGGGAATTCGGTTACAGCAGCATTTGAGGAATTGTACAAGGCAATCATTCCTCTTGACATAGTCTTTCATGATGCCATCTAGATATCATATGCCCAACCCTGAGCTCCCAGACTCCATAAATGCCCAAATACGCCGCCCAATGACCGTCTTTATTCCTCGCACAGGATTTCCTCTAGTTCTTTGGCAAGTATGCCTCCCTCTCCACAACCTCCTGTTGAAACTTCACCAAGAAAACCGTCTTTCCCGGCCACAACTCCCCTTCTTCCCCTTTCCCTACACTATGCGCCGTAACCCTCGCCGGAAACCCAGCACCATCACAAACACCCTCCACAATACCCGCCACAAACGCCGCACAATTCAGTTGATTCATCTCCTTCGGCACACTAATATACTGGTTCACCAGCGGATCATTATCACTGATCATGTACTCATCAGGCGTATCCGGATTTGAGGATTTTTCCAGAGCGTCTGCGGGCCGGGAGAAGAGGTGCCGCCAGAGGATTGTGGTGATGAATTGGAGCAGGGCGATGATGTTGAGGGGTCGGGTTTGCGTGCGGGGGGGCTCGCGGTAGAGGAGGAGGTCGAACAGCTTGAGGCCTATGGGATGGCCTTGGACGTTTAGGCTAGCAGATATTTATTAGCATTGATCCTCCAAAAACCCAATTTGTACGCCTTTCAAGATGGAGAGGGCACAGCAGCTGGGGAGCTCACCGTTTCTCAAGGTCCTGAATACCCGTTACCCGCTTCTGTGCATAACTGACCATCTCCCCAAACAGATACGCAAAGCTAGCTTGGCTGAGCTCTTGTGTTCGGCTGCGATTCAAAGGCCGGTGGTAGATTGTTTTGCCGTTGGAGGGGTAGCGGAGCCCTAGTTGGGAGGTTCGTTGGCTTTGAGATGCATTGCCTGCCAGCGATGGCTTTATGGGTTGTGATGCCATTTTGCTTGATGTGCCAAGCTGGGCATAAATGGCATCGAACCAGATTATTGTTATCGGATCTCGCGCATGTATTGTGGAGAATGGCACTGGTCAAGGTGAGATGATTTTTGGAGGAGATTCATGATCATGGCCGAAGCTCAAATTTCAGAAGCGAGGCTGAGAAGGAGCATCGAAGGGAGAGGTCAAAACAACCCTCTCCAGTACCCAAAAGCTTTTATAATTATTTTAAAGAATTAAATTTTTGTAAAGTCTATGGTATATTCCTTGTGGTGTTCTGCAACTCATCCTTCACGAAAAATGGAAATATGCGAGTCAATCCCACAGCAACTCTATCAAGCTCTGTCTCCCTCTGTGGTCAGAACCGGTTTAGGTGTCACTTCCATAACGTCCATATTCCCATTCGACTGTGTACCGCTCGTCTGAGCGGGTGCCTTGGATTCCTCAACTGGGGCAACAACTTCTTTCTTCTCTTCTGGTGCAGTCTCCTTGTCTTGCGCTGCCCCCTCCATACTCTCAGTTGGCATCGTCTCCTTCTCTGGCGCTGGAGCATCCTCATTTGCAGAGGGTTGGAACATACTTGAAACATTGCCACCTCTGAGATAGCTCTCACTCTCACCATAGTGCTTTCCTGCCTTGACCCAGCGCTCACGGCGCTCCGAATATCTCTCCTCAGCGAACTTCAAGAGTGCAGGCCAGTAAACGGAATGGTCATATTCAAACTCCATATCACCATGAAACTGATCCCAGAGCTGCTGAGGAGGGACATGTTGACGCATGTCGTCATTGAACTTAAGTTTCTGTCTTGTCAAGGGATCAATGAACGGCGTGATGAGTTTGAAGAACCCACTGACAACCCAAGGAACTAGACTTTTGTCAGAAGCACGTCACCAAAGTGAGATATAGACATACTGTTGATGATCAAGGCCCGTCCAAGTCGTTCCGGATAATGAGTCTGAAGAATGTTCAAGACCTCTCGACCTTGGGAAAGTCCAGGTGCAGTGTTTGTCCTAGTCTTACTCGTCTTGAAGTTTATCAAGAGAGCAAGTGTCTCCTGCCCTGGAACCATGATATCTATAACACGCTCCAGCATGAAGACCAAGTGTTGGACTTGTCGTGGGCTTGGCTCGGTGTTCTGCCTTCCGGGATTGAGGTAGTGGCATGGACGCCCGGCAATATCCCATCCAACGACGAACTGCTTGCCGGTCTCACTCTCCGGTGAGATGTGATCACCAGTGAGCTCTTCAACCCCATATTCTCTTCTCCATGTCAACGTTGACAGCAGTCGTTTCTCAGCGTCTGCTGTGTTCCATTTTGTAGCTCGGAGATATCGAAGAAGACATTCTCGGGTTAACCACAAAATCTCGCTTTCTGTGATTGGGCCTTCTTTTCCTTTCGTCGATGGAACTTCCTTCCAGGACTTCACAGTCTCCAACACTGCCTCATACTTCGACTGCTGCTCGGCCGTAAGCTCAGGAGGGGTCGGTATGGCTGCTGACTCCGGGGGATACGGAATTGGTGTCATCTGCGGTCCAGCAGGCTTTTCTTCTGCAACTGTTGACCCTTGAGATGATGAGCCATTTGAAGCATCGTACGCGGGAGGTTGAGTTGTACCATTCTCGAGCTTCACCTCGTTGAGCTTCTCGGAGAGGTTCTTGCTCTCTTCACCGACACGGACATCCTCAACAATGGACGCGGCTGACATCGTGAAGCACGAAGCTGGAAAGGGAAATCGTTCTCTGTAAATCGATTTCGATGGAGAATAGTCAATTGGCAAGCAGAGATGGGCACACAAGCCTGAAGCCTCCCCAGAAAATATGCTGATGGAAGAACAGAGAAAGAAGATCTCAATTTAATTGTTATTGTGGCTGCCGCTCTCAGCCTCGCGAATCTTTTTTGTGGAACCCCTGTCTCAAACCTGTCGACCAACCCCCTTTCATCCAATCTTCTCGCTGTGCCTGTTTGAATTCTTCAATGTGTTTCGATCAACACTTCGCCTTCGATTATTCTGAGAACTTCGATTTGTTTACATATTCGACTTTGAACGACTTTGCAAATTCTGTTGTTTTGAAGAAAGGAATTTGTCTCGTACACTGAAAGGCCTCCAGGTCGTGACTTGCCACCGTTATTTCATAACAATGCTGCTCTATAGTACAGGTAAGTTTTGTACATTGTTTATACATGGCTATTTTCATGTCTCTGGCAGTTTCTCCTGGCCAGAGGCGAATCGTCGAACCTATCTTCGGCCTAATTTCCATCTCTCGATGCGATCCTGAATCTCTGCCCACTTGAATGGCTTTCTTGTAACACCCTCCTCTTCTCCTTCTTGTAAAACAACAGTTGGTGCCCCACTACCTTTTCCGGGATTGTCTGCCATACCACCGACTACAATCCTAGCAACCCTGCGGAGATCTTTAACGGTTAACTCATCAATCTTCTTACACATTTCTCGTACGCCCACTTTCCTACCATGAACTTGCACCTGTCTTCCTAAGTCTTCGAGCTCAACCATTCTGCTTTCCAGGTTCATCAATAGACTAGATCGTAATTGGTTCTTTGCCCGGTTGACTTCGACTGTTTGGAGTGCGGCAAATCCTGTGTCAAGCGTCAAAGCTTGAAGCTCGCGACACATGACGTCTAGCATGTTAACCACATGGCCGGGCGAGCAACTAGAGGATATACCAAAGAGACCTGAATCGGTATACGAATGATTGAAGGCAACGCATGACTCCACCCAGGCGTGTTGGTTCAGAACGTTGGTGTAGAGTCGAGAATACATGCCTTTCCCAGGCCCACCTGCCGAGAAAGAGCCGCCTCCTCCGAGGAGAGTTTGCAGAGTAGCGAGAGCATATATATCCTCGGATGATATTGGAAGAGCTTCGAAAGCTACGTGGATATGTGTGAGTGGTGGTAGTGAAGGGTTGATCGGCGGCGGGAGGGACGGCAATGAGAGGAAGCCACCTGTATAGTGAGATGGCTGTGTGATATCGAAGGTTGTGGGAGCGTGGGAAAGAGAGAGACTATTAAAGGACTCTACTGAGGCGTTATTTGGGGCTGAGGTGGAGATGTTCTTGAAGAACGGTATCCGGGAGAGTAGTTTCGACGGTTGTTGCGGCGGCGTCGGTGGTTGTGAAGATATTGAAGATATCGAGCTATCATTGCGAGTGGATGAAGAATCCAATGACGTTTCTGATCCCGTCTGTGAAAGTATGGGTGCTTCCGACTTTGGCATATCTCCGAAGTATTGCTCTGTAAGTCGGACAGCTTCGTCGTGCTGCACCCCAGCAAATGCAACGACCATTCGCTCTGGCCGGAAGAAGGTATCCCTATAGGCCTCGATAACACTCTTGTTGATTTGAGTGAGCCTTTCCTTAGGACATAGCAATGGATTCCCGAGAGTGTTATCTTTGAAAGCAGCCATGTGTACCAGCTCAGGTAGAATTAACTCCGGCTTCGACCAGATTTCCCCGATCTCATAAGACGCGGTTTCCAGCTGTTGCTGTACCTCCTCTTCCGTTACTAATGGATCCCGGATTGTCTCGGCGAGGAGGGCGACTGTTGTAGGCACGGCAGAGTTGAAGGTGGCGGACTGATACATCAAGGATTCGCGGGAAGAAGCGCAATTTATGTTGCCACCCAAAGATTCCAGTGATTCCAGCATCTCATCACTTGTTCGTTTCTTCGTGGATTTGAAGGCCAGTCTATCCAAGATATGGCTCACGCCTCGCAAGTACTCGTTCTCATATCGGGATCCCGCATCAATGAAGACGCCCACTCCGGAAAAATGTCCTGGCAACGCTTCAGTAGCAACTCGAACGCCATTTGGTAAAGTAGAGATCTGGTCAAGCTCTGCAGGATCCTACACTTCAGTCAGCGCAGCACATTGGCGTTCGGTTTGGGAGGGATATACCTTTTGGATAGAATCAGCTACAGTCGCGAGGTTTCTAGACGGGAAAGTAGGCAATATGCTGGGAGAAAAAGATCTCCTAGGAATAGCCCTAGTCAGGGTTCGCGGGGAAGCACACTTCAACATCTTGGGTCTGGGAGGAGGCCGAGTTGTATCGCCGCACACTTCTGCTGTTCGTCCCGCGAAATATTTTGAGCGGCTTCGGCTCCTTGCCCGCAGAAAATCTGCTCGGCTTCAGCCGGCGAGCCAGTAAGCCGATTATGATCACGTGGTTGATAACTAACTGACCCTCACTTGGCCTGTCGTGTGTAATATAAAAAGTATAACTTTCTACTTTCTTAGACTTAAAAGTGAGGGTCGAGATTGAGAGTTCTCCAACATTGAAAAGGCTGCACATGGACGGCATCTCCCGATCAAAATGGAATGTGGTGTGTCGTAACGCTCCCGTCTAGATCGCGTATGCATCATCACTGACAGAGTCCGGGCTCTCTCTAGCTTGGACCCTGGGAACCTTTCCTCTAAATGCAGCATCCTCCCCGTGAACTGTGTCGGTCTGCTCCAGGATTTTCCACATCTTGGCAGCTTCAGTGCAGATATTCATCCTAAATACTTCGCCTCAGCCGAGGAATTCTGCGCTTCTCATGCTCACTCGGTGAATGTTTGCGTGCAATGCCAAACACGAATTCGAGGATTTCTGAGACGTCCCACTGCAACTCAGCCACCAGCCTCTCCCGGCACCATCCCTCTTGGTCCTTCAAGAGTCGGATTGTCCCCGAATATTGCCTCAAGGAAATATAACGAGGCCCCCATCGACTGGTCCTCGTTCTCCCCAATGTATTCCTCAGTCCCTGGTCCGCCTCAGCAATGGCACCCTGGCCCTGCAGCACCGACTCTTGATAGCTCACGTCCACCACTCCCGGCCTCTCCAACCTCACCTACGCGCTCTGGCCGTCTGAGAGGGCTGAGTTATCTGCGCAGCTATACTCAGACTCACATCCTGTCTCGAGACAGTCACAACAATAACAACAACTCGAACTCGAATAGTCAGCGGCCGTCAACGCTCGCGCGAGCCACCAGCTACCCGTCACCGACGTCAACGAGTCGAGGATCCGCACCTGCAACACCCCAACCTGCACCTCAAAATAACCCTCGACAAACGTCTCCGACTGCCCAGCGACCCACGACAGATCTCCCATCTGCAAGGTCCAGTACTCAAGATAATATAGGCTCCACGAGTGGGTGGTTGCCGACCGTGGGTGGACAAAGCGGAGTTTCTAGAATAGCGACAGAACCTCAGTCCACAGCGACAGAATCATCATCTGCAGTTTTGTCAGGAAACAGCGAATCCGCCGTAACGTCAGACCTCACGGCTTCAATGGCGCGAACACGGCCAGCTGTTGTGGCAGGTGCAACAGAGCCCCCCCAAGTGGACGGAGGAGGAGATTCACAACCAAATGGGCAAAATGGGACAGTCAACGGGGCCAGCGGTGCACAAGGCATGGCTCACCAACTACCTTCGATACGATTTTGCGCACACCAAGACCCACGAGCTCAACGGCCATCTCTAGTTTTCAGCCCGATGTCTCGTATTCTGCCTACGGGGAAGGAAGTCATCAAAGTTGGACGATACTCCGAAAGAGACAACCAACCTCCACAAGCAGCAAATGCTCCGTCAGCTGCGCCTGTTGGGTTCAAGTCAAAAGTCGTGAGCCGGCGTCACTGCGAATTCTGGTGCGCTGGTGGGCGTTGGTTCATTAAAGATGTGAAGAGCTCTTCTGGAACATTTCTCAACCACATACGACTCAGTTCGCCTGGTACAGAGTCAAGACCATTCCCGATCAACGATGGAGATATTGTACAACTGGGCATTGACTTCAAGGGCGGGGAAGAGATGATATTTAGATGCGTGAAGATCAGAGTGGAGCTTAATAAAGGGTGGCAGAATGGCCCCAGCAGCTTCAAGTCCGTTCCCAGCTTTTTGATTGATATGTCATGCTGACCTTCTCTCAGTGTCCAGTCTCACAGGCGTTTGCGAGAATTAAACAGTTTGGGGAGGCCACCTGCAAGTGGCTCCTCACAAGACTGCTCGATCTGTTTAGGTCCAATTGCTGTAAGATCACACAAATCCTTCCTCTGAAAAGCGTTTACTAACATTCTCTTCCAGCCTTGCCAATCCTTGTTTGTGGCCCCCTGTTCTCATACATGGCATTACAAATGTATCCGAATTATAATCAATGGGCCACATTGGCCACACTTTATATGTCCCAATTGTAGGAGTGTAGCCGACCTTGAAGCCGAACTGGACGATCCGAGTGGCGAGTGGGAGGAAGTGGACCCTGCAGAGGCCACCGTGCAAACTCCTCAGGCGGCGAATCCGCCAGAAACTGTCCAGCCATCACGGCGAGAGGCCAACTCTTCTGAAGGTACTGGAATTCTAGTCGAACCACCAGAGTCCTCGGAGCCACAACAAAACCAAGATAGGGATGGTGATATGGAAGCTGCTGAAGCCAGTGATGATTCGAGTGTGGGTGGAAGGCTTCGCGAGAATCTTGAAACCCTCAGCAACCTCCATATCAACGATGATCCACCTTCCCCTTCGGATTCGGAATCCCCTGCTCAGCATACTTCCAACGCAACAGTTGCTCCAGTCGATATCATCTCGAGAAAACCTGTTCCGGGGGTTTCAGATGCTGCCTCTTCACGTCTTAAGCAACCAAGTTCACATATTGAGCGAACCTCAACTCGAACACCAAGCCCGAATGGATTGTCCTCTTCAGCAGGCGATGCGTTGGCTGGAGTTGAAGGACCTATGACTCCAAGAAACGATGCTGGCCCCTTCATCTTCGATGGAAGCGCTGGTCGAGGAGCTGATGTCCAACTGGCGGCACTGGCAACGATGAATCTAACAGCTGCGGCTAGTACCCCTCCTCCGGCAACGCCTCAGCCTGCTTCATAGGTATCTCTTCGTTTTACTTCCATATATTGCATTCAGCGAGGCGTGAACTTGCTTGGCGTTTCCTTGAAGCGATATTCACGTTTTTGTACCATACCATATGGGGGTATGACGGGACCCACGACCAACATATTGAGCAGGATTCTAGGACAGGGGATAATTATCGAAGTTGATGAGTGGAGGATGAGATAATACTTGGCGTAAATGGCATTGGGAATTTGACTGGCTAGCTGGCGCAAGAGAATATTGCTCTTGGGGAAATGATATTTGACGATTTGCATATGCATCGGTGCCCAAGGAGGTGGTTTTGATACTTTTATTGCTTCTTTGTATCATGGCTAGATGAGCCTGAAGTTAATTGCACCCGATGAACAAAATTACTAGCCATTTACTACTATCATTTTCATCTCGTCTTCTCATGAGCATTTCCCGCTGAACTTCACGGCCGCTTGAGTCCAGCACCCAACCGTTCAATCTCTCTCCCTTCCACGGTCCCAACTCCAGCCAAGTTCCTCAGCCGATCAACAGTCTCTACATCCTTGATCTTGACTGCTTCTTCGGCAGCCTTCACCCGCATTCCGCATTTCTCGTACATGGCTATTGTCTCGCCTGGTTGCAGAGCGGGTGCCACTTTCGGGATGAAGACGCTGGCTAGCTTTGGGTTGCCAGCGCCGAGGATGAGTGTGAAGAATGGCTGCGTCTGTTAGTTGATGTGATAGATACAAAAAGAGTAGAAGGGCACATACCTCCCAGCCTATGGGCGATTTGCGGGTTTTGGACCACTCTTCCAGTTCGTTCCAGTCACGTTTCGACACCAATGCTCGGAGTCTAGCTTGTTAAATGAGATCGAAAATGTGGAGGGAAAGGGGACTCATACCGAAGCCACCAAGCTGTCTTTTCTGGTACTTTGAACTCGCTCTGCATTTTCTTCGCCCGACTCGCATAACCCAATCTAATGAGTTTGAAGATGGTCTCATTAACACTCAATCCAGTGAATATTTCTGTCAGATCACGATCAAATGCCTCTTGCATCTTAAGCAGTGTACTTGCTTCTTGCAGTGCTTTTAACTCGAAAGATGTTTCCTTCGAATCCGAAAGTAGCTTGGCTGCCAGAGTGAGCTTGTCAGATGCGGTTTTAGAGTCTGGTTGTTTGAGTGCTTCTCGCAGGAAGACATTTGCACCGTCGGTGCGGCGGTCATCTTGGTAGTATAGATCTTTCAGTAACTCAGTATCGTCCGCTTGTGTGGTGGATTCGATAAGTGAGGTTGCTACGGGGCGACTGTTGATAACACGGAAGAACGACGCCAGAGGTAGTTTCTTCTTGAGATGGAGGAGTACGAAGAATATGAGATCAGAGTCTCCGCTCTCGATGGCTTTATCGAGGGCTATTTCATCTTCTTCCATGTTGAGAAGAAGAGGGACTTGCTTCCCCGCTCGGGGTTCATGATTGAGGAGCTCGGTGGCTAGGCGGCCTCGTCCTTCGTCGTAAGCTGCTCGAGCAATCTCTTCAAACGAAATCCCACGCTTTCCTGCCAGCTTCTCGACTATGAGACGGCATATCGTGTCTTCATCTTCGGATCCCACACGAACTTTTTGTGATGCCCAGTGCACATATATGCGGTCTGTCGGCAAACGCAGGTAGGAGGATATCCGGAGTGCCAAAAGATATTCTCTGCGATTGATGAGACGTCTGATCAGCTTTTCGGGGGTAAGCCGCAGGAATTGTTCATAAGACAGCGGTAGGCCGATCTCATAGAATCGCACTGCATTCAGGACCCGAAGCGTCTCACACATATCGACAAAGTCGTCGCTGTTGTAGATATCAAGCACTGACTTGCCAAAAGACGCAGCTTTCAGGAGCTGCTTCTGCCAGTGGATGTTGAATTCATGACCAGCTGCTTTCACCTAGGTTATGTCAGATAGGCCAAAAATTCAGCATCAAGTCAAACTTACACATGTATCAACAGCTTCGACTAAGTTTGGCCGAATCAATTGGATGTTATCGTCAGCTTTTGGTGACTGGTTCTCCAGCTGTTCCACTGCATCGAGAAGTATCGATGCTGGTGACTCAGTACCAAACCTGAAGACTTCATCTGTCACGTCTGGGACTTTCTGAATGAAGTCGCAGACATCGTTCGTAATTAGACGAACACCATCATGATCTACATGCAATTAACCAGTGTTTATGGCCTTGCAGGGGAAGCTTTCTTCTTTTGAATTGATGCAATACATACCAGCAATGAGATGAACTCGACCATCATAGAAATATTTTGCTGCAGCATTTTTAGGTGCAATGATGTGAACCTCGTCCTCCCAAGCAATAACCACTGCATCGTTCCCGCACCATTGTACATCTTTTGGTGGTATCCTAGATTTCGAATCATACTCGCTGAGTCGATTCTGGAAGTCACTTGTGATCACATATGCCCTTCCGGTTTCTGTGTACAGTGCCACGTACTTGCCGTTGGGAGAAACGCTAATATGGCTAAAGGGGCCAATATCAAGCATTCGATCTTCCGACTCGGATGCATCTACAACGTAAATAGTTTGACCAATGCTAAGTAGCACTTCTACTGATCGAGATAGCGTGTAGGCCGGAGGAATGAGAGTCCAAGAACGAACCTCGCCTTCAGGAGGTGTCGCAAGTAACTTTGGCCGTGGCTCATCGTATCTCGAAACAGAAATTAGGTGATTATTTGCAAGCAGTGCAACGAATCCAGTGCCATAGAATCTGTGAAGGCCATGAGTCAACATTCACAAAAAGCTCACACTTCGATAATCACAAACCTGCAAGCTGTCACTCCATACTCCTCAGCTCCATGACCGAGGGTGAATTGGGTGAACTCCCCCTGTAAATCATAATAACATCTCACCGTACCATCTGCAGTTACGACGAAGAGCTTCTCGTCTTCTGACCATCCTAAGCCCTTAATGGAACCTTTGTCCCAATTTATGCGTCGGATCAGCTTTCCAGCGCAGCTGTATAAGTCAATGCTGGACTTCGATGCTTGAGAGCCACGAAAAGAGTGAAGCTTCGTCTCGTCGCGATGTAGAGCTGTACGCAGACCAAAAAATCAGTAAAAATCCGAGATACAAAGCTCCAGGGCCTTGCTTGGCGACCATATATCACGTGAGAAGACAATGCAGAAGGCAAGCATCTGCAAAGCTATCCCATTCTCACTGGTATTGATGCCATGCGGTTTGCATCCTCCTCTGGTCTCTGAAAACAACCCACTCGCGACCCTGACGAGGTTCGCTGCCACCATCCTCCCACGACGAACGCCACTTTTCCCGCTCCCACGAAGCAGATTGCAACGAGGGCTTCTCAAACGCTTCCAAGAATGGTTTTGAGAGCACTTTAGAAAGCTGGAGCATACCTATAGCACCGCCATAAGAGCAACCCGTCACAATGTAGTTCTCGAGCTCCAGGTCTTGATCAAATACCGCGGTATAGAGCTGAATCTTCCGGTAGAACTTGTCCCCAACCTTCTCCCAGTCCGCCGTCGGGTTTGCCATTCTTGTTGTAAGCTCTGTCACCTCATCCTTGGAAGCTGATGTATTTATGAACCAATTTTGTCGATGCCTGCTCCAACGTGACTTCGGAGCTTCGACAATTTAAGGTGTGGTCCGAGCTGCGCGCTAGTCTTCCGTGATGGGAGACGTCAACGACGACACACCACAGCTCGAAAGTTGACAATTTTCAGAAAGGCCCGTTAGAGTTGTCATACTCTCGCAACCAGTGCCGATTCAGTTGGATCTAGCTATGGGGGATTGGCTGTTATTGTTAGCCTCATGGCAGACGCAACACTCCTCGACAAAGTCCACGACTTGAGCGACTTGGAACTTGCAGCGCTGATCTGCCTCGTTGCCCAAGAGCACTGTATCATTGATACAGAACCTGATGCTCTTGATGATTTAGTTCAGGAGCTCGAACTAGTATAGTGTCACCGGGATTTCCACAATGCGCTTTTGCTGACTCTTTTCAGGTAGCATCAAAGGTCTTCGGCGTGACCCACGCTGTCATAGATTGCTCCGAACACACTTCTCTTGATGACTTCGCCCACGCAATCCTCTCTGTAGAAGCAATTCCGACTCGGTCGAACTCACCCGTGAGAACTCGACAAGACTATTTCCTACACTCGCCTGCATTTGGGTCCATGTCACGTTCGCCAGTTACGGATAGCTTTGGAGACAACAAAACGATTGCAAATGTAATAATCGCCAAGAACCTCGATGAAGCTCCACGGCAAGTTCAAATACAGGCATTGGAACTTATGAGAACGAAGCGGATATACACCAGGACTTCTGTACAGAATGCGCCGAAGCGGTTCTTGTTCATCGCGTTATTGGCAGGTGGCGAAGGTCCTAGGTTGACGAAGCACCTGAATGACTACATGTTCATCTCGCACTTCCATGACCCAGAGGATGGTTTCCCGAACCTGGAAGATATATATGATGATGGGAGTTCAATTTCTTCTGTTGTTAAGAAAAGTCCTTCCCAGGAACCGGATGTTACCTCTGACGCGAGGATATCTGCAGCTGTTCGTCATGTCCTATTTTCACACTACCTCGTGCTAATCATCTTCAGGATATCGAGCATCTGACTGAGTTGAGTCACCATACTACAGTCTGCGTGGAAGTCAAACAATATCAACAAAACATTATTTCGTTCCTGCGGCTCCACCGTGCTGTAGCTGGAGGCATCTCGGCCCCTGCAACAAAGCATTTTGACAAGTTGGCTAGATGCCTCGCTCCTCTCCACGATTTATCTTATGCAACACCGTCACTCGTTTCTCTCGCAGCCAGGAAAATATATCTGCATCGTGTCCAAATTGTGAAGCCGGAAAAGGAACGCAGCATGCAATGGGGGAGTGACCTTGATGCCGTGGCAACCTTGTTGGAAGGAATCGGAGCCGAGGATGTCATTGAAGATGTTCTTGGAACCGCGGGAGCTGAAACTCCTTTGTAGAATACTTATGATACCCAGAAATCTTTCAAGCGTAACATGGGTGCCTCGGGATATGTGTAATATTCCTTGTTTTGTTTGCCATTCGCAGTCGTATACAGAGATATGTTTGCTGATTATGAGTCGACCCAGGCTCAAATCCAGAACGGGACTCCAGCTCCTGTGAAAAAGAGAGGAAAGAATCGTTGCTCGAGCTGGGAAATGTTATTCACAGACTTCATCTGCTGAGTCTAACACCCATATTCCATCATATATCTTCACAGTCCCTTCCCCCTCCTGTGCAACTCTCATCTCGAATATCTCCGCGTTTTGACCAAGATGGACCACCCACTCCGCCAGTTCTCAACACGCATCCCCTCCATTCCAGGACATCCACTGTACTGCCCAGAATGCTGGGCCACAGCACGTTTCGACGACGAAGAAGAACGAGATCTCCACTATCTACAGCACCACGTGCTAGACACACCCATAGAAATGCTTCCGAACCGCATGATTCTGATCGACAACGGGAATTATGATGGGCCCATGGGGAAGAAGCAACATGTCTTCCCTGCTGAGAAGTATGTCCGGGAGCCGGAGAGTTTCTTGACGGAAGCAGAGAGAAGAGAGGATGGGGAGCTAGAGAAGGAAATGTGGGGAGAGATGGAGGTGTGTACTGAGGGTCAGGTAGAGCAGAGAAATTAAAAAATTGAACTTCGGATATCTTTCCACGCCTGAGACGAGCATTCAACGGGCTCTAACGCTCGGAACTTATATGGCGGTAGTCAAGTGATTTTCCAGATCTTGCACCGAGATTTTGCAAGCCTTGTCTTAACTCTTCAGCAGAACTCCATCTCTTGCGCTCATAGGGCGGAATTCTAAGCGAAAGCGAGTTGGGTCTTATATATCAAAATAAGAAAAATCCCAGCATCGGCAACCCGAGCCCCGCACCCGGTGGCAGGTAAGTCAAATCCAAAGCACGATATTAAGTAGCACTAACTGACAACTTATAGCGACAAATAGCGCACGGGCTCCGAAAGGAGAAGACATGCTTCCCGTTGCAAATTAAAGGATCCAAACTAAGGGGACGACAGCGGCTTTAAACAACCCCGAGTTGTTGGAACCTTGCTTGCAAGGGGAGTTTTCGAATCGAGCAAAATCTTATCCAGGGAGATTTTCGTAACTTGACACCCTCTTCTGACCCGATTCGACAGTCAGATTAGGTTGTCTTGTGAGCTTTTGCTATTTGAGTCTTAGTACAAGTATATATTATTTTGCAATCTCTTTGTGCCTCGCTTTAGCTGGCCTAATCTTTTGGCTTGAACAATGTTTTTGTGTTTGTAAGTGAAGTGAAGTTGTTGATGTTTACTCGAGATAAACGAGTTGAAGCTTTAGAGGCAACTCATATTTCCGATTCTTACCTTTTCTTCACAACCAAAGTCGTTTCCCGACGCAATCCTTCTAACGAAGAATTCCATCGTCTTGCATTTCTCCCCTACCTAAACCAGCGGCGCAGGCGCGTTTCCTGTCTTAGCGAAATCCCTCATTACGACTTGCCTAGCATCCTACTTCGTCTCCTTTCCAGCCTCTGCCCACATCTCGGCCCAGCTGCGCTCATCATGCAACCACATCTTCAGACTCCCCTCCACATACGCCATAGTGCCCCCCTAAGTCACCGCAGCATGGAACCCGACCACGATGCCACCAGATTTCGAAAGCGCAATGATGGACCGCAGCTTAGCTGGTTGGGTCTCCAAGTCCCATTGATGCAGGATCTTAGAGATGTAAATTATGTCGACTGTGTGGTTTAACACAAGGATTTGGGAAGTTAAGCGCACAATGTCTGATTCAATGAAGCTGGTGTGGAAGGTTTTCCGATCGTCAAAACATGTCAAAGCCTACATCCCAGTGAGAGACGATGTCTACTGCATAGAGCTTCTCTGATGGAGCGCCATCAAACCCCTGCTTGCGGTGAGTGTCTAAGTTTCAGACATGGTTCCCGCGAAGGAAGCTAATGATACAGATGCCAGCCATTGCCTCAACCTGGAAGAGGCTGCTCGCGAGCTTGTAAATGAAGAGTCCAAACTTACCAGTCTCCCCAAATCATGCCTCCAACTTCGACCAATCCCCCTCTCGCTTTCGATTTCTCGGGCATTTCAGGATATGCAGGACTTCTCGTGATCAAAGGGTTCAAGAAGAGTCCTTGCCCCGTGCATGGATACGCTCGAACCGTCCATGCTTTGTCTCTCTGAAATGAATCATGTCAAGCACCAGCTCGTGGAGTCTAGAGGGTGATGGTGAAGACCTGCTATTTCATATACGTGGGAAAGAACCTTGTCATCCGCGATACCGCTGTGACCTGTTATAAAATTGCGGAACTGTGGCCTTCAATCAGCCATCTCTCGACAGAGGGCTACAAAAAGTCCGCAACAATCAAAAGCCACTGACGAAATGGGAAGAAACAGCCACCTATTGCATGCCTCAAGAGTCACTTCATTGTCGATATTATCATAATACCGAAAGATGCTCGTGTCCTTCTTTTCACCACGAGCATAGTCAGGTTCTGATTCATCGCCCTTCATACTAAAAGATTATCAACGTTACGCAATTCAGTACCTCGAACAGACCACATTTTGGAGCTCAAGAATTTCAGGGACAGGTTGACATTTATAAGGGAACATCGGCAGGAAATGGAGTGGATGTGGTGAGAAATAGCCTCGTTCTAAGAGTCCCTTCGCGAATTCAGCCAATGAGCGGAGGTTCCCGATCTAAGAGAGAGAGATCCGCACCACAACAGAGCACAAGGTATCCGTATGTTTATTTTCATACAGCATAGCCCACTTATGTTTAGTTGAAGTTTATGGCTCGCTCTTAACTCCAACTTGAGCAGGGCGAAACTCATACCTCTGACATCAGTCCAGCAGGTACTTCTAAGCTTCACAGCTGCTGAAGCTCTAGCATAGATGTATCAGTCTTCGACGACATGTTTCCATGTTTTAATTATGGATCAGGGCCTCCAACGATTACTCAATGCAACCACCAAGCAGGAACTACCATTTGTGCTTGACAACAAAATGGAAATTGACAGTGAGCAAGTGGTTTACAGCACCACCGTGGAGATGTTGCTTTGGGAAGTAAAGAAACGCAGCTGCGAGTGCCTGCACTCCCGCAAAAGTTTGTGAGCAATTTGAGCTGGTGAAAAGGTGGTGATCAAAGCCCTCGCGAATAAACTGGTCTTCTCTCCTGATAAATATGAAACGAGCCTTCAAGGAACTCATATCGAGGTTTAAATACCCTTTCGTTTCCGACATTCCCACGAGGGCGGCGTTATGTGCAAGTCGCCCTCAACGTCTCGGTCACTCCTTCCTTTGAAGATGAAGTTGAGTGGTGCAAAGGGTTGAAGCAGAAGAAAGCAGCAATGCACTGTACCCTCCATTTCTAGATTTCTGATAGCCACGCATGATTCTCAGGTGTAAAATCGACGCGTGCTCAGAACCAAGAACCACCTCACAATAGCAAATACAGTACAGCCATGCTTTTGTCAATCCAACGCCACCTACACGCTTTATGCGTCCTCGTCACCCTTACTCGTTAATATACCCAACCTAATCCTTCTTCCCCTTCCCAGAACTCGTCTCAGAAGCCGTACTATCCATATTGCTCTCAGACATCGAAACCTTGAACGAGAAGTCCGTCTCCCCCACCAAATCCTTAACATGATCCACCAACCTCGCCAGATCATCCGTGACCAAGCTACTGCAAACCTGGAGCACAGCATACGCCGAGTAACCTGGCTCTTCAATATGTCTCGCATCCAGGATACCTTTATCTAAAGCTTCAAGACGACGACTAAGGTCGTAGGGTTCAGGAAGTTGGATAAAAGGTGGCAGAGCAGATCCTTGAGTCACAGAGGCAGAGAGGAGGGAGAGGATAGAAGTTATACCGTGACTCGTTGGTCTGACGATGTCGACGAGTGTGCTGAGGGCATCTAGCCACTCGCTACGTCTCTCGGAACGTGTGTTGAGATATAGAGCTCCATCGTCGTTAACCCAGGCATTGGTTGCGTAGGACATTAGGGTCAAGTAGTTCATGATTCCCGTGGCACGAAGGATGATCGCATCATATGTTGACTGCCACACTTATTAGCTTCTCGCCCCACCATGAGTACATCTTTAGAATTGGTACTTTGGTACTTACGCGCGGAAATTTACCGCCGATAGACAGTTCGAATTTCTGGAAATCGGCATGCTGTTTCAGGGATGGCAGAAGGAGAAGCAGTTTCCCGAAAATATTGTGGCGTGCTTTCTCAAGGCGCCGACCGGGAGATGATTTCAAACTGGGATCACCTTCGGTGTCGTGCATTCTGGCGCCAACTGTTGAGTGTATAATGCTATAGTAATTGGCAAGAAGATAGAGCGTTGAGCCGAGGTCTTTGCGGAGCCAGCTGCGGTCGGTGAGGGGATATGGGAAGATGGTCCAGATAAATGCCACAAAGGAACCACCAGCAACACAGGCCAGTCGATAGGGTGCAAGTTCGTAAATTGGATAGTAAGGCTGACCTGATGAACTCGCTTGGTAGAGTTAGCATGTTCCTCAGATGAAAGAAAACGCTGGGATACCCACCTGCGGCGATACCTATCTTGCGGACCTGTAGCTCATAGCCAATGATGAGGATTTGTGTGATAATCGCTACCAAAAAGATGCCAATGAAGCGTTGGAACTTGATGAAGAAGTACATTTCCAAAAATACGAAGAGCCAAAGCATCACGATAGCGCCCGGGGCCTTCTGATCCACGATATACCAGATCACGATAGAGAAGACCATTGCGAAAGCGGTGCCAACGACTCTGCCGATGAAGCCGAAGATCGATTGTCCGGAAGTCATGGACATGCCAATGGCCTTCATCAAGTTAGATGCCATGTCCAAATATTGAGGTGGCAACCACTTGCAAGGTTGCAGACAAAGGAACAGTATGCTTAAGGAAAAGTATGTTTACTCACGATAATTATCATTGCCCATACTAGCCGCTGTTCCATGAAAAAGGTTTGTGTATCTTCCAAGAAAGCCACGATGCCTCTGCGCAAGTGTTAGCTTCGCCTAGTAGAATAGGGGTAATACAACTCACATAGTCAATGTCGCGCAGCTTCGTTCGGTCAGCCATTGATTAATCAGATAGGGAAGATAGAAAGTTCACTTACGCAACTCGAAATCCAAAGGCTGACTCTGCTGATCCTAAAAAGTGAGGGATAGTCCTCAGCCCATTCCCAAAATGCTGCCAAGCTGTCTGCGGCGGCAGATGTTCCGGATCTTTCTTCGGATTGAATCCAGAGCCCAGATAAACAGTATTTGTGCCAGCTTCCGCGGAGTCGGGGGATTCAGTATCGATTGTCGTGTCTTCACGACCAATATTCATAATCCACTTCTTCAATCTTCGCTTGCCAGGGAAGATAAAACGATTCTTTGACATTGTTCCTTCCTCGACTTTCCGATCTGCAAATTTGATGAGATTCGAAATTGCAATGCCTGTGGAGTACAGGAGATGCTCAAGGTATAGGATGAGATAAAGCTGTTGCTGATCCCGGCGATGTTGTGCTTCGTCGGGAGTCCAGTCCTCTCCTCGGGCAGGGCTTTTGGTAGCATTGAACTGACTTTCGGATATTCCCTTTTGCCTCGCCCAGGTCTTTAAGGTCTCTCCTCGCTTGCTGTAAAAGTCCAACATCTTCTTATCGAAGTACTTAGCGAAATCTTTGTCTCCCGGCTTTGAACAATCTGCTTTCTCCTCGACATCTTCTTCTTTCTTTTCCTTTGGCTTGGGTATGAGCTCGAGAAGCAGGCCTGCGTGCTCAATGCCTTCATCCATGGCTGCCGTGACCTGTGACTGGTCAGTTTCAAGGTACGAGGAAAGGTTCAACGAGGATTCAAGGACCAGGCGTAATGATCCTTTGGAAACGTCTACGGAAACACACAATGGGATCTTACCACTTCGAATGGCTCGTGCAATGTCTTCATGATCTCATTCCAGGTTTTCTTCTCCTTTTCCTTCGCTTCTGTCCCGCAAGCTTCCCAAGATTCCACTCTGTCAAATTTCGAATTCGGAACTTCGACCCAACCACGTCGTTCAGCAATCCTTTCGAAGATATCCGTGATAGTACTCATTCCTATTAAAGGAACTAATATGGCCCTGAACAATGTGAAAATTTCGTCAATGTCTTTAGCGTCGAGCTTGCCCCATGCAGTTTCTCGTTTCCCAAAGCTCATATCGCCATGTAACTTTCCGTGTAGGCCAGTGAGAGCTGCGAGGTTTGCTTTTAAAGCCACAGCTTGGGCATTTGCTGCTGGGTGTGACTTGTCGTCTCTTTTCTTGCTTTTCTTCCCCTTTTTGCCGTCATCGGACTTCTCACCGTCGTCCCCGGCAGGCTCTTCAGGTGCGAACATATCGCTTGTTTCCAGACTCTGCAGATATTCCGTCTGGGCTCTCATTGTGGCTCGGATTAACTGAATGTATCCAGTTTGCTCCTTGAATACAACTGTCCTTGAGCTTACCGGAATGATGAAGAGACTGACGCCGGTTGAAATCGCGAAAGCCGTGAGAAACCCCTCCAACAGTTGCTTAACGAGAGCTTCTCCGGCAGCAATGGTGGGAAATAATGGGCCGTAGGTAAAAGCAATGTTCGTAAAAATGCTGTACACGATGACTGGGAATTGGAGAGCCGGCATCTTAGCACGCAAAACGTTCACGAACCAAATATTTGCAAAGAGCCATATTGCACACACCCTGTGGAAATTGGTCAGCCCACAGATCTAAAAAGTCGATGTTCAATTAACTTGCGCTGATTGTGAAGAGTTGTATCTCGCTGTAGACCCCACAGGAGTTGTATGCTTCCGAGCTTGAACACCAGACCAGATTCCAAGAAGAGCGACAGCCTTCATAGACATCCATTAGTGTCATATTCATGTTGCATTTGGAGAAAACCGACCGAGCCAAGGCAGACACCTAAGACCGAAGAGTCAGCAGGATTTAGAGGGAGTTGCTGCGCAAGAAGCGGCCGAGAAAAATGGAGTATAAGAGATCGACTCACCCAAAGTATTTAGAACCAGGGTTTGCAAGTACTTCGCTCGTGGCATCTATCTTGCAGTCAGATTTGATTGATCATAAGCTTTGAGCGTCCTTCAATGCGGGTCATATTAAGAGGGAAGGAATCTTTGAGAGCATGCATACAATTGAGACGGAAAGAACTGTGATGATTGGAACCAGATAGCCCAGAGTCGAATATGTTGCCGCAACACTGTCGGCTTGATAGAAAGCAATTGCTTGTCATGTTTAGCTTGCCATCTTTGCATTTTGCACCAGCGAACAATTCCGTGACTTGAGGCTCTCTCACCAATTGTCGGTGCTAAGCTCCCCCTTCAGATAAAATCAGCCAATTTCTCTGATGAATATTGGCCATACGTACTTAAACATCATCATAACAGTCCCCATATCAAGTCCCAGCTTCCCCCACATCTCCTCGAGCTTCGATGGCTTCTTCTCGTCATCCTTCTTCACTACAATCTCCGCACTCCGCAATCTTTCGGTATTTGATCCCTGTACCTCCTCCTCAACTTTCCCATTCCCATCTTTGACTTGTGAACGTTCGATTTCTGGATCCCGTGGCTTCCGATTTTCAGTCACATCGCGCTCTGCTGACGCGCCGGCGTCATCGGCCATGTCGTAGCTAGTGAGAGCCAATAGGCTCCTTTTGGCGCTTAAAAGGTAAAATTAGATCTCAGATCGATTGCACAGCTTGCCATATCAACCAGAGATCAAAGGAAGAGGAAATGGGGTGGGAAAAGAAATGTTATTGTTAACACCGAGTTGGTCAAGGTGCACGTGTAGGTCTTTGGCAGGTCTGTAGCACTGACGCCCCCAATACGGAAAGCCGTAAGAACGTGATGTACCAGCGCAAAACGCAAAACGCAAAACACTACCCTACCAAAAACCGCCCACGCCGCCCCCCCGCCCCCCCTAAGCCTCTACTATTACTTAAAATATTTACTCTCTTCTCTCTCTCTCTGTCTCTCTCTCTCTGTCTCTCTCTATATATATATATAAGTATAGGGGTAAGAGAGGTGGGATATAGGGAGGGGGGCTGTACTAAAAATCTCCGTGGCACCCCACGAAAAAGTCAAGCACTAAATTCTTAGCACCTATAGCCTATAATTTAGCGACAAGCAGCCTGTAATTATAGGGCCTCCTTTTCCTCGCGACTCACGAGCCTCGAAGCTCACTTCTCACTTTCCACTTGTCGCTTTTCACTTTTCACCTTTACTTGGTCGCCCTCCCAACCCCTTCCCCCTCCCCCTTCTCCTACCCCTATACTTATATATATATAAGAATTAAAGAGAGAGAGTAAATATTTTCAGTAGTAGTAGAGGGTTAGGGAGAAGGGGTGGACGTGGGCGGTTTTTGGTAGGGTAGTGTTTTGCGTTTTGCGCTGGTACATCACGTTCTTACGGCTTTCCGTACCCCAAATCTTACAGCAGCTCTGTGGAGCAAATTTGCGCCTCAGCCAATGACAGGAGGCGCCGTTCCCGATGCTGGCAACGGCTTCTCTCTTAAGGCATTTGGGACCGTATCTCACCCCTTCGCAACCTCAAGTTGAGATTGTGGTGGAGTGGTTGCGCTTGCCACCAGTGTAGTTCCGCCTGAGGGCGTAGATGAGGCAATATACACTCATTCCGCGTTAAATCCGAGGCTCTACAATGCGGGTAGACGCCAGGACTCGAGCTCTCTTCCTTGGTTGAATTGTTCGCACTTTCCAAACTCTGTTGCCATTCTATGGAGCAACTAGTCTGCCGGCTAGAATGTTTCATTAGTGAGAGATTTCGATGTTAATTCGCAGAAATATAGAAGTTGAAGCACAAGTGGCCGTAATGCATCTTACGGAATGGCACAAGATACTTTCCCAGCTGCGGCCTCTGACGGATTCCCCAATTTTGACATCCTCAAGGCAATTGCTCACAAGGAGGGGGCTGATCTTGATTGATATCGTACGACCAGCAGCAAGACAAGCTCAAGGCACCAGGTTTCTGCTGCCGTCTCACACTTGGCTTGGGGGTTACTCCTGGGTTTCAAAGCAGTAGGACCACTTCTGGAAACGTCTTCGACGGAGCAAAATAAAGCTAGGCGCCCTTTCAACGAGAGGGGCAAGATGAGACGGAGACGTGCAACTTTTGAGATGTCAACATCGTTTCTGTTGTCAACAATATCACCCTGCCATTCCCTCCCATTCTCTAAACCATGTGGTCCTCGAGTCTCCCTCCGAGTATTTGCAGAGGTCAAGGGGGCGCTTGGTGCAAAGTGCCAACGCCACACTAGCCATGGTGGGATTCGCGCTTCCTGGCAGAAGCTTCTCAATCAAAATGACAGACTTTCAGACCGTCCACAATGCTTCCAGGTCATCTGTTGAACCAAATACAGGAAGGATTACTCACCCCCAAGCAACTGTTCAAACGGACACATGCCGGCCCTGAAACCCAGCTCGCAGAATTCGTTCACCTGCATAAGCATATCCACTTGAAGATCCTTAAAGAAGAGAGCCAACAGCTTCAGTCTTCTCCATAATCAAGGCTTGCGACCACATCGCGAGTAGCTGCGATTCATTCAGTGGTCAATATCTTGGCTTGGGAACAGCGATGGACTGGGAAATTAGGACATGGGCAGTGGAATGGTGGTGTGGCCTTGAGAAGGATTGCAACTGCTAATGAAGGCACCATTGAAAACATCGCCATGTCCTCTACCTACCTTCCCAGGCGCCAAATCGAAGTCTGCGACTGCTTGACGGCTGACTTGCTGCAAGAATTCAGCCAAGCTGCGGTTAAATTTCAACCTCACATTCATTGCGCTCCGTGCAATGTGACATCGATTCCTACCTCGTCCGCAGTGCTGCTTCCGAGACCTGTCTTTAGCTCAACGTTCGAGTGAGGCTAAGCCTCAATTGGGAATGTGCGTTCTCTCTGCTTCCACACACTCTTAATCGAGGTTTCAGCACACCAAAGTGGTGGCCACATTTCGTCCGCCGTCAAACTTTCGCCCGCTGTCAAGCACGATTCGTCTGTTAAATTTACATGTGCGAAGAGTAAGCAGGTACATGGGCAGAAAGCTACCTAGCAGGACGTTGTCATGACACAAAGACAAAGCGGTACTTGGCGATAACAAACTCTTTCGAGCCGTGGTGGCTTGTTGACGAGGACTCGATGTTATGGAGTCCCATCGATGTGACTGAGAATTTCTTGTCCTTCCAACCAGCACGTTCAGGTGGATATATATATATATCCAGGAACGCCGAGGGAGTTGATCGAAACTTGACTTTGGAAGGACCGCGAGCGCAGGAAGGCACTAAGCAACCTCAAGTGAAGGAGGAACAAAGATTTCCCTCAAGACTGCCCATGCAGCAATCAGGTTTATGAGTGAGAGTGCTTTGGAGTATAAAAGTGGACTTTAGCGAGTCTGATAACTGCAGCATGTGCGTTCCTTTAGTCCCGACACTTGCACTTGACAATACGGACGCTGAGTATCTAGATTGGGCGTAAGGCGACCGCAGGGGACGCTCCAACGGAAGATTTGGGCGGCGGAAATTCTGTTTGAATTCAGTCCTGAACTTGGATCAGGAGGTCTCTCATGGAATTTACGCACAAGTGGGGGAAGAGAATGACTGTGATTCTTCTACTGACAGCAATGGGGAAAATGACAACAGTCTCAAATCATGATCTCTGGACGTTTTGAACCGCCAACTAGGAGTCCAATGACTGATACTCCGAGGAGCCAGCATGTGCGGCCTGCTGTAGGTAGTCTCAGGGCCAGAAGTTGTAAATCAGTGTCATGGAAGGTGAGTTACCAAACCGCTACAGGTATTGATGTTGAAATATCCCCAGACGGAAGTGAGAATGGAGGTGTAGGCCCAAGGACTCAGGAAACCTAAGGTGAAGCCGAGACGACGTAGGGGTTGGAAGCAGGGAGCTTAAGCATTGGAGATGACACGAAGGCGGCACAGTCTGCAGGGAATCGAAGTCTTGAAACGTGATGTGAAGTCAACACTGTCTATGGAGAATTTGGAGGCTTGGGACGCCCATCGTAAACAGTTGTGAAGTCGATACGCAGCTGGGCTTATATATGGGAAACCGACGACTTAAAGAAAGGCTACTGGTCAACCTCCATTCGCGAAGACAAGTATAAATCGACGCAGGGTACCGGGACGCTTGAAGTGCAATTACCGAGGACTTGTAAATATTGATGGGAGTTCGATTGCCTAGGCTCGAATTTGAGAGTGATTTGGTGTTTGGGAGCGGATCAGCGTACCATTTGCTTGGGGGCAAAGTTGAGGGTGTTTTGGTGCGTGAAAGCCGGACGCGTCACGAAGAGCTCTCGATTGCTTGGGTGAGTATTGGTGCCTGCCGCAGTCAGATCGATGGCATTGTCAAAGAATATTCTGATATGCCACAACTTGCGAGATATTCAAATAGGGGGAAACAAATAAGTTAGTATCCTTGCCCCTTAAATACGAGTCTGAATGTAAGATCTTACAGCAACTCGCAGGGTATTCGGAACACATGCTGAAGAGCAATATAATACACGCAGCTGTACCATGCATCAATATTATAACTTCCCCCTCCCTCCCAATCTCCCATTCTTCCTCATCCCCTCCTCCCACATCAACCTTTGCTTCTCACCCTCCTCTCTCTCCGCCCTCCTAATAAGTCCCTCCTGCCACGTAGTCGCAACATGCCTCCCACTCGGACTCCAAATCCAACTCTCATGCATCCCTCTCCCTTGTCCACTCCTCGGCGTCCAAGCTTCTTGAACCCACCAATTCAATTTTCCTCCTTCCTCATCATGTCCTTGAAACATCAGCTCCGAAGCCGGTACATGGAAGACAACAGAATGAGATAAACTCCCCATTTTTCCAACCTGGTCTCCGAATCCCAGAGCGTTGGAGATAATGAAGAGAGAGTTCTTGTCGCTGGCGTAGAGGTGTGCGCAGGCGTGGAGGTTTGGGAGGGAGATGGGCAGGTGACCGAAAGGGCGGTAGAGGGAGAGGGTGCGGTAGGCAAGAGGGTCGGAGGTGTTATGGTGGGTCATATTGACTTTGCGAATGTCGAGGCCAGGGAAGATCGGGAGGAGAGGGGGAGGAGAGGTGGATGCTTGGCGGTGGTACCTAGTGAGATGTTAGGGAGTGGTGAGGTGAGACGAGAGAAGAGAAGAGAGGAGGCGAGGCCTGAACCATGCAGCTCTACAGCAGAAGCATTTTGCATGAAAGTATTGATCGTGAATGGAGTTCAAGGAGTTTTCGAACCAAGGACAATATGGAAGTGCTTGAGGAGTACGCCAGCGTCATTGCTTGAGAGCAGAACTTCAACCCTGATGGTATGGACAGCTTGACCAAATCATTGGAAATGTTTCTTGACCTCCCTTCTCACCCAACATCCACAGCACACAGCGCAACAGAAGAAACCAACTTACCACGGAGCATCCACGCCCGGCGCTTTCTCCCAAGCCTCTCCATTCCTACTCCCAAGCACCTCCTTCCACCGTTCCTGCACACGCACTCCCTGATGCCCCTTGAACGTCTCCTTCTCATCCCTCTTAAACGAACAAATACAACTGAAGCAGATCTTGCCTAACTCTTTCCCCGCATCTTCTTCCTTAAACCTGCTCCTCGATTCCGGAGGAGTCGTAGGTTGCCTAACATTAACATTCCGTGTACAATAACTCTTCCCCTCCGACAGATGTGTAACTTCATAAACATACGGCCGATCCGGCATCCCGGGTAAGGTGAAGAATCCATGGACATTCTATCAATCTCATCAGCCAACCCCTCTCCTCCCATCCCCTCCAAGATAAGTTAGAAAGAGAAACAACAAGTCCCGTGACAAACTCACATGAACAACCATTCCGCTCCCCACCGTCTGAGCAGCCGCCCAGACACCCTGCGCGTACACATGCCCGCCAAACGAAGCTCCCGCCCCGCCACCTGCACAGAAAGCCGGGCGCACACTCATGAATTGCTCTTTTCCTCGCTCGCCTTCCCCAAAATCTAGGGTTTGCAGAGACATCAGGTCTTCGAACGTCATTGGATTTTCCTCCGCCATCGCGATCCACACAAGTTGAAGAAGGGGGGATCCGGGTTCACTTATAACTCAACCTAGAGGGAAGAAGGAATCAAACCTATCGCCCGATATGTACAAAAAGGAAAGGATGCAGTCGGGCGAATTTCGTGGACACAATTGATGGAAGTCCCAGCTTCGGAAGCTGAGTGAGCGAGGAGAGTTTAAGCCGAGGCTCGATTCCAGGGGCAGTTGTAACCGTGATCCCGTGACTTACCATATCCCCCCTTTGGTTGATCTCAACTCAAAAGCCTGTAGGATGGGCGATTTCGTCTTCGTCAAGTCACTGCAATGTTTCACATTTAAAAAGAGCATGATCAGGGGAGAATAGCGTGTTTCCCTTCGCAAACATCTAGTATCCAGTCTGCAGCTGCTATTCCCACCTCCCTCCATAACCTATTCCGCTCACTAGCTGGCCATCCCTCACTCCGTGCACGCTTGAGGCCCTTGTGGCCCCTTCCCGGGATGGGAGATGAAATGCTAATGCAGTACAAAGCGCTATCAGGCTCTCTCAGCCTCGACGCGGAAAAGAATGACCCCCAAACACCTTTTCATGCAATGGTATACTAGCGCCTCTCAACCATGAGTCTTCGCTGCAAATGGAAAAAACGCCTGTATATGCAGTTTGCGAACCCGAATTTTTTGGGGGCTCGGCTTTCTTTTAACTAGGAAGGACAGGGAAAAGATGCTCTATTCGCTAAACAGACGATTCGAATTATTGGATCCCGTGTAGAGGATTGGGAGTAGAAGTGATTAGGCGTGGAAATTCGGTTGTGGGAGGACGGGCCAGTGTTGGTAGGTTGGGTGAGGATGAGATGCGTAATCAGGCACGACACCTGGGCGGTAGTCATTTCTCTTTCCCAGAGGCTGGTAATGAATCTGGTCAATGTTGGCCGAGTAGTCGTGCATGGCCCCCGATGGTGGTGGGTAAAGGAGCGTATTGACATGTCGTACGGGTTTGTACGGCGAAGATCGTTGCTGGAGGAAGACTGAAGGTGAAATGTGGCCAAGATTCTGCCCTGGGAAGTGGGTAGAGATTGGCGAGGAGCCCAAGGATAGCAGCTCTTGGACGGAATGCGGACTTTGACGGCGAGTGGGAGTCGAGTACCCACTGTGGCCCGGGGGTCCAGTAGGAGTATGTGCTGGATGATGTGGTGTCCACGAGGATGGAGTTGATGGGTAAACCGTCGACATCGCTCTGCCGCTCAAAGGAGGCAAAAGAGGGATATTCTGAGACAAGCTTGGTACACTGTTGTAGCTCATCGGCTGGCTCGTAGAAATTGTCAGGTTCGGAACTGGCAATCGAGGAGCATCGAGTCTCATAGGTGGAGGCACATTCGTGAATGGGACAGGGCCAACGGTTGGTGGTCTCGTGACTCTCTTTGCAACTGGTTCCTCCGCCTCTCCATCGTAGCTTCGTTTCCGGCCGTACAAGCGCTGGTCGAGTTCGGGAATTGTAATTGGCGAGGAGAGGGGACCCGCGTAATGATTAGCAGACCAGTGCTGGTTGTTCGTGTAGGCTCCAGAGCTTGGGGGATACGGAACAGTCCCGGGCGGGGGCGAAGCTTGCATCGAAGATGGTGGTGATGGCAGGTTTGTCTGGAGAGGGCCCACTTGTGGTGAAATGTGTGTCAAAGGAGCCCTTGACGCTTCGTCGCAATATGTCCAGAATTTCGAGAGCTTCTTCTGCCATTCCTGCCACTGCTCCTTGGACGCCAGAAGGCTATATCTCATATTGCTCAAAAATTCGACTTCCATGACGTGAATCTCGGTGACAGAGATACCAGAAACCTCGGCCCATGTTTTGTTCGTGTACGTATTGTCATCGAGGACTACAATTTGTCAGTAAAAATTCAAATGCGTCACATTTTGGCAGAACCGACATTTATTGCCCAGCATCAACGCAACGGTCAATAGCCTGTACTCGCTTCCACTTCTTCCCTTCACGGCCGGGTTAATCGTCTTCAGTCGATAAATGAATAATAACGCCAGTAAAATCACATTTTGGGTGACTTGTGTTGTGGAGAGTATGGTCACGACCCATTTTCTGAATCCGCTCGAAGGAAGGGCCTCATCTCGAAGTCGTTTGATGGGAGAAAATGAGTGTGATAACGATTCAGCCTTGCGTAGTGTTTCGGTGGATTCGAACCAGAATAAACAGGTTATCTATTTTACAGTTAGTATTGCGTCTGCCAAAGGGTAGCCGGCGTAAATACCTGAGCTGCAAATTCGGCCAGACTGCCACCACTATTATTGATCGACGAGGGAATCTGCAGATTCGGGTGGATCATATCGCTCGTGGCACTTTTTCTGCGAGGTTGTTCTTCGAGGGCCAGGTTGTTTATCTTGTTGGCAGGTACTGGACTTGGTGGCTGAGTATGGATCGGCTGTGCCAGCACCTCTTTCCGTAAAGTTGAAGCTGGAGCAGGAGGCTGGTTGTGTATGGAATATGGTCTTGATTGCACAATTGCCCCATTATATGGCCCTCCGTAATTGCTTCCCGAAGCTCCCGCTGCGGAGTATGCACCCTCTCGTCGACCAGCGTAATCATTGTACTGCGTCTGGTATGCGGTGGTCATATCGTCGGCAGGTGGAGTTCGAAGCCCCTCCCTGACTGGAGCTTCGAAGTAGACAGGTGCGAATTGTGGTAGTTGTCGAGGAAGCCCAATATCCTTCCGCCTGTCGATGCCAAAGGTGGAATGTGCAGAGGGTAAAAGAAAATCGAGAGGGGCCGGTCTTGCTGATGTTCGATGCATGAGGATGGGTAGGGCGTTTTTGTAAGAGGGGCGAGTGAGGTATTGTGGTTGTGGTTGGTATTATCGGAAAATGAGTATTGATCCTAGCAGAGCCCGCTACTCGAAATTCTGTGTCGGTGAATTCGATTTCCCGGAGCTTCCTGCACTCACGACTGGGCCTTCCTTCACTTGCCTGCGGGGTGATTCTCGTTTTGTCGACTGATGTCACCGAACAGCCATGGATGAGGGTGCCGAGACTTGTACTTGATCAGCTCGAATTGGAGGGCGGATTCGAGAGGGATCTGAATAACAAGTTGGGGGATGGTGAGTCGAGGTGGATGCCGAAGGGAGGGCAAAGAAGGAAAGGTGGTGGAGTTTGGAAAATTGAAGGTATCGAAGAATGACGGCAATCTCGACCTTCTCGGCTAGGCCAGAAATGGAGGATACGAGTAACAAGCTATTGCTTGGGTGGGGGGAGGGAAAGTCAAAAATAAAGCAGACGAAGATGAGGAATGACGAGTGTCTAAAATAAAGAGGCAATTTGGTTTTGGGTTTGGTTCCAGACCGAGCAAGAGCACCGGCGACTGAACAATGTTGCAAGAAGTGGAGGCTGATCTCAAAGAAGTCGTTCAAGGTCTGGTTGATGTCACAGGCCGCCGACGATGGGAAGGCCAGGAGGTTGCAAGGTGCAGGGATTGGAGCAGGGGTGGGTGGGTAGCCAGCAGCCAGACAGGCCGACCGCAAAGCGAAAACGTGCGAGACGACTCAGACGACTCAGACGACTCAGATGGCTGAGATGGCTCAGATGGCTCAGTCCACACACCGTCGTTGGTGGCTCGCTGGCTCGTTGGTTCGCTCACTCGCTCACTCTCACTCACTCACTTCTCAGATGGGAATGGGGGCCAGCGTGCCGGGATCTCGTTGGGGCGGCACGGCGCCAGCCAGGCGTAGCGTCGCACGCAGCACGAAGGAGCGAATGGAGCCGTAATAATAAGAATAAGAATAAGGATAATAATAATAAGAATAATAATAGAAAGAAGAAATTCCAATAAACGCACCTGGCCAGGGTGAGCAGAGTCTGCTCCTGCCCTCCACCACCACCGCTGGGCCACTGCTGGAGCACTGGTCATGGATTGGTACCGGACCCGAATGGGCGGGCATGAGCGGTGGTGTTTGGAAGCGTCTCTTTGATACTGGCGCCCCGGCAGCCGAGCTAGGATCGCCCGCGGCGCGAATTCCATGGGTGTGAACTTGGGAAGTGTGAGGGAAGGGAAGTGAAGGGAAGGGGAGGGAGGGGAGGGACGTGAGTTGGGAACTTGGGCCAACCAGTCCCGCATCCAGGTGCAAACCAATAACGTGTCGAGCGTCCGACCAGCCCAGGCAATCAGAGTCCCGAGCCAACGCCGCGTGCCGTGCGTGGGTGATGAGCCCAAGTGTGCAGTGGAGTGGAGTGCAGGCAAAACTCAAATTGCTGCTGCTCATCCCCAGCAAGCAACGCCGGAAGCACTGGCGCCTCTGCGCGCATCAGTCATCAGCAGTGGCATGGCATGGCATGGCATAGCAGGGCTGGTGGGCTGGTGGGCTGGCTGGCTGGCTGGCTGGGCTAGGCTAGGCTGGCAGGGAAGCGAAGCAGAGCAGCAGCATGAGCGGCAGCAGGTTCGACAAGGAAGGCGCAAGAAAATGAGGTGAGGGACTGCGACTGTGACTGCGAGACTGACTGACTGACCGACCGACCGACGGGGCCTCGTTGGCGTTCCAGTCGCGGTCGTGCAATCTCGCGGTGGAGCGCGTGGAGGGAGGGAGTGCAGGCGGGCAGACAGGCAGGAGGGCAAGATTATTGAGAAATGGATGCGCGTTCCGTTTGGAATTAAAAAGTCCTTGAGTTTGGGACCGGTCTTGTCCGGTCTTGGACGCAGTGGCTAGGCTTGCTGGTGCGAGAGAGGTGGAAGTGAGAAAGCGGGAGGGAGCGAAAAAGGGGGGGGGGGGGGGGGGGGGGGGGGGGGGGGGGGGGGGGGGGGGGGGGGGGGGGGGGGGGGGTGCTCGGAGCGAATGCTGGACTCTCGGACGGAGAAGGAGTCGTGCAGCCAGACACAGGCTGCACAGCGAATCGCAACACGGTGTGGAGCAAATTTAGTGGAGGAGCAGGTGGCCTGTTCCGGCGACGAGTGGTTGGGGACAATCTCAGAACCTCGGGAACCTCAGAAGCCTCGAGCCTTGCCCTTGCAGGTCCGGCTCAGCAGGCTCGCCGGCAGCACTGAGCACACGAGCCCTGAAGCTGAAGCCTAAGCCTAAGCCTGAAGCCTGGCGCTGTTCTGGCGCACAACAAAGCTGCAGCATGATGGGCGCATGGTGGTGTCGCGACTCGCGGCCCCGAAGGCAGTCCGCAAAACGCCCCCTGATTGGCTGCAGCATGGGACCGCTTGCTGGCTGCGCAGTCAAGGTGCTTAGGTGACACCAAATGGTAATGCCGCTAGTATACACTAGGAAAGGAGGGTGGCATTATCGATTCAATCGCTGTGCTGACTGTGGATGAACGCTGCTTGGTTTGACTCTGACTGGGCTGGGTTCTTGCAATCCTTGGAAATGGAAACCCGATTATTCTCGGGTCCCTTTTCTGACTTCGTGACTTGGTTCCACACCTTGCCGTCAAGGAAGAAACACCTGCGCCGGCGCTGAGGAGCTCGTCAGAAAAGTCTGAAGCCCCTTGGAGGCGCGGACGGTGATACGCTCGTTGGCGTGGCTCTGGCTCTTGCAGGGAAAGGGTCAGGCTGCAGTCACGGATGTTCGCCTCTCGCTGCGTACAGCAGAGCCCGCTCCATAGCACAGCACAACACAACACAGCACAGCACAACACAACACAGCACAGCACAGGGCTTGCAAGCACAAACCCAGCAAACGAACGTCAACGATAGAGGCAGAACAAAGGTCTGGTCAGCAGGGCACCGGCAAGCAAGTATCCCCATTGGAACGCAAGAACACGCTTCATCATATTACGCGTGAGAGTGATACTTTGCTTGTGCATGCTTTGCTATGAATCGGGCTGAGAGCCGGGCTTGCTGAGAGATGATGATCCGTGACGGCGAGGCAGAAGAATCCATCCCTTCTTACAGCACCACTTCCGCCACTCCCGTGGCTGGCCTCCGCCAATAACCTGTCATACTACCAGCAGAGGAGGATTTCGATTGTCGGTGATCATCTTGGATGCCTTTCGCCTTCGCTGTCGCAAGGAACGGGGGCGTCCTTCATCAAGCGGAGGATGAAGCCCCTAATTCCGCTGATGCATCGGTCTGCAGCTGGACCTGGTCTGATTATAGACTATTTGATATTTGATCACTTTGATTCACTCATTATCGGAGAGGCTGCTAGACAGGTCGGAGGCTGGTAGTCGATACACCTTCTCCTTGGGGTTGACACCCATACGTGCTCAGATTAGCCGTCGGTCGGTGGTGGAAAATAGAAGCAGATTAAGCAAATCACAAGCCACGCAAGTTGCTGATCGTGCAAAGGACGGTCCATCCCGGTTAATTGCAATCGTAATCGTCGGGCGGAACCTGGGAACTTGGGGATCTCGTGATATCTAATTGCGGCTTGTAGGACGACAAAAACGAAGAGTGGAGAACCTGAGAAAGGAGGTTTGCCGTAACCGTGCTTCGCAAGCGTGCAAGCATGGAATCTGGTGGGGGTGACTGGAAATAATCTTCTCGAAGACGCCTCGTCTGGTCACCTCGTCACCGTGCTCCCCTTCATCCTTTCTAGACCCATGGTTGCTTTTCCTCGAAGCGTGAACTTTAGGCAATTGTCTGCCCTCCCGAGGCTACTATTGGTCCCATAAATGACAAGCCCCAGTCTGGCTACCGTGGAGGGGCCAAGCACGCCGTAGCAGCCCTTTGCGAGACCAGGCTGTCGATAGATCTCCATTGCTCCAGAAGGGTTCGAAACATCCAGCTTCCAAGAGCGACCACTCACCAGATGCCTGCAGTTGCAGCTGAACCACCGCATCCCTCCAGTTCCATATCACCTGCCGTGGTTAGTAGATTATCGATGGCATGGACGTGCTGCATAAAACAGACTGGCGATCCGGTCGTCATGGTGTTGTGTTGGTTCACAAAATGCGTAAGAAGTGACCCTCAGAGGATTTACCCCCTCCTGGTCTCGTTTTGAGCGGGGCAGATGCAGTGGGATGAGGGTTTGGAGTCGACCACAGATGTCCCTCGGCGCTTTCTGGTGGGCATTCAGATGATGAAACTTTTTTGCCATCCTTCCTCCTGATCGCCGCAGTAAGGAGAGCTGGAAGCTTTCATGTTGCTGTGTGGTAATATGCTTGAGACTCGTTTGGAATGCGTCATAAGATCCGTGTCATGAACCTGCGGCCATCGTCAATGTGAAAGTTACTCACTTGTTCCCCTGAGTATTGAGTGACATAAGGAATGTCTCCAGGGATGTCGTCAATTACTGGCAGAAACACAGTGAGTATCGCAAGGCTGGCAAGTGACGCCTGGGCGGTGAGGCGACGTATCAGAGCGAGGGGCGTCGCTATCACGGCTCGACGGGCTCTTTTCTCTCTACTTCGTACTGGCTTTTGATTCACGGGTACTGTTGCTTCGAGCTCCGCGCCGGTCGTCTGAGTCAGAAGGTCCGGCATTTCGTCGCTTCATTTGCTCCTCTGCTCTGGGCATGCTTGCCCGCCTCATTACGACAGCTGGACGTGTCATGACTGAGTGATACTCTGGAGGTATTGATGAGGTGGAGTGGGAGGCGCATCTCCTCCGCCTGTGCCGTTCGGGACCAGGCAAGCTCCAGCCAGAGCGAAGCAGCTTTCAAGCAAGCCCTCGGCACGCTGATTGGATCGGCGGGAGACCAGCGTTCACCAATCCTCCAGAGATCACCAGGCGGCCCTCAGGCCCCGCGGCTTCAGCTTCTGTCTTGTGGCGCTCGAGGACACTGAAGTGTGTGCAGGGGCTGCAGGGAGGCTCATCAATCCGAAATGCCACAGCAGGATCACCAGTGGATGTATCACCATTCCGAAAAACATGCTCACGCTTGGCCACTGCTCCAAATGGCAGCTAACTTCCGCCTCGGCTACGGCACAGCACAGCGTCGCAAGCGTCAGAATGGCGAGACGATCCATTCTTCAACCTCTACCGTCCTGGGCCAGTTGGTTTCGGCCTCACTTGCGTCTGAGTGCAGACAGATCTCCGAATCAACCTCGAATAGATGATTCAAGGATGCAAATTCTGTGGTCGATCGGCAGGACTGTTGGGGCTGGGTCCTATACGAGTCTCCACAGCTCCTGTGTCTCGTACTGGACTGTCATCTGCCAGATCCAAGCAAGGCTGGATGCCAGATCATCGATTTTGGTGGCGGACACGAAGTCGTGACAAAAAGATATGGAAGCTCGGCTCAGCAAATTCGCGGAGCATCAGGCTGCAGAGGAGCCAGAAACGCCGTTTGGCTTTAGCGCGTGGGAAGGGAAGGTTTGATTTCGTGATGAGCTTCAGCTTTGCGGCGGAAGCAAATGCGAGCCTTCCTACTCGTAGGCGTTCCACTCTCGCTGAGCGGTGCAGGCAGTAATTCCAAGGGATGCGGTACAAATGCAAATCTTGTCTCTCTCCAAGCGAGCTTGAGCCTGCAGCTTTAGTCAATATCGGGGCATCGATGGTCGTTGGTGCAAAAATAATAACTGGGCTACTCTGCAGTGTAAAGGCCGTTCAAGCTACAGTCCTCGTTTCCACCCCCTTTTCGCACATCGAGAGGCGGCCGAGAACCGTGAGCAGGAGCTTCCCGAGGATTCAACCCCTCCCCACAATCTCCCGCTCCCAGTCCAAACCTTCAAAGCTTCCCAGTTCAAACCTTGGCAGGCGAGATCATCTATTTTGGAAAACGCCGACATTTGCGTTACCAATCCTTATGTGGGGTGATTCAAAACGATTCATGCTCCATCCAAACGGCATTTGAAATGGATACGGAGGATGCCTGGCGCAGGAGAGGCAAAAGTAGCCTTGGTGGGGTCTCGGACGCCAATGTGCCATATGCAACTCACAGCTCTCCGGCAAAACTCAACCATCTCGTACGAATCCACCGCGAGGATCAAAACATCTGAGACTCTTGCCAATAGATCGAGTTCTTAGTCCAGTCATGCGATCTTGGTGGCTGTACAGTACAGTCCACGTTTGCCGCACTATAGAAAAACACAAAATCGAATGCAGGACTGTCAGCCGTGTTCGTTCAACGTCGCATGCAGCGCGGCAGACCTGTTTTTTCAAGGACACCGATCAATCCGCGAGAAGCTCAACGGATCTGCGATTCGTCGATCGACCGACTTCTCGCCCTTCTTCAGCAAGGTTGCACCACAACAAATTATGCATCTCGATCCGGCACACCACCGAGGCTTACCACTCCTTCACTTCCATCTGCTGAAACATCCAGGGCGTTTGCACCTTACAAGTCGTATGCAAACAGGCCGTCCTACATTTCCCGTCAACATGCCCACATCACCTTGGCTGATCAGTCGTCCTTTCATTTCTCTTCTCTTCCAGATATCACTTGAGGAATACAGCCTGGTCAGAAGCCTGCAGCAGGCTCTCCTCAAACCCCCTTGTACATTTTATATGCAAAGTCCCGCATACCCAACCTCCAGATTGATATGTCCTGAACAGCGCAACACTCACATTCAATTATTCAAGGAATCCTTGACCACCTGAGTGATAGTACCGTGCATAATTCGCCAACGCTTCGTTCGATCTCCTTCTCGGGCGAGGAAGGCAGCCTTTCTTGAAGAGTTGTCTAGCATCTATGCCAGAGAATCTTATTGGGACTTACGGCAACGGCGGTGATGAATTTTAGATGATCGGTGGCCTGTCTTTTTCTTATTCATATTTCCCCCACAGCATATGCCGCATTGTCTGTCATAATTCCCCTCAAAGCTCTGCCAGGCCGGGCGAGCTGGCACTCCCGTGGCTGCAGTTCGAAAGATATCATCCACCAAACGGTGCAGCAAGTTCTGACCACACTCGTGGATATCTGGTAATTCTAGATCATGAGGGAAGGGCCCGCTTGATGGCATGGCCAACACTCCGATACCAGGATTTTGGTATGGTGCTTCGCTGGAATACTTCGATAATGGCCCAGGCAAGCTCTGAGAGCATGCCCACAAATCATAAAAGACATTACGACCGACGAGGTGATCGAATGACAATCGTGAGTAGCCTCATAATCGGTATACTATCACAAAAGAAGTGGTGCCTTACTCTTGGTGGACATCATTGGAAGGCCCAGCACTACGAGCAACACAATCTTCATCTTGTTGAAGTATGAAATAGATTTAACTTCATACCACCACCTTCGTGATCCATTAGCTGCATATCATTACATCTTTGAACCATCTCCTACCATCAAAAACGAAACACAACTTTCTCCAACGCCAAATAGAGAATGATGTCTCGTATTACCCAGCACGTGCTTGCGCTCACGTGCCTCAGCGAAAATAGAAACAACGCTAACCTTAAAATCTTGGTTGCGCGGAGGCAACGACGATCCCCCAGCAGCCAACCATGTACGAGCTTCGTTGTTTAGGGCCTTCTTTCCTGGCAACAAACCTGCTCTTTCCCTCGCTGTATCACCATACCTTCAGGTAGAAGGAGCACCACGACCGCTACCTCCTCTGCCATTCACATTCGCTTTCTACGAGTTTATCCACGACTCAGGTTTCAGGACATTCCTCGCCGGAGAGGGTTGCCCCTCAACAACACAACATCATTTCCAAACATCAATAGGTCTTAGGATATTGCAGACACAATGGCTTTCGGGGACTTCTATTCGTTATGCAACCAAGCATCAGTACCGCTATGTTCGATGGTCGGAGCGATCAAAACGATTGCGGGTTCGCATGGGATTGAAGCAGAGTGTTATTCGCGCAGCATCGAATTGGCCAACACGATCATTTTCCAAGGCGCCGCGTCGTTCATGCACATCGCAGCACTAATCATGACTGTAATCATGATCCTGCACGTCCGAGGCAAATTCACAGCCGTCGGTACGTTCCCCAGACCCCCAATTGAAGGCCGGCCCTTGTTGACGTGATGTTTCTATAAACAGGTCGCAAAGAAATCACATTCTTCTTCTACCTCTACATGCTGTTAACAGCCTTCTCGCTCGTTCTCGACTCCGGAGTCATCCCTCCTGGCAGTAGCGCATACCCATACTTCGCCGCCGCGCAAAACGGCCTCACATCAGCGCTGTGTGCTTGTTTGCTCATCAACGGATTCGTGGGATTCCAGCTATACGAGGACGGCACCACGTTATCCGTCTGGCTCCTCCGAACAGTCAGCTTCGCCATGTTTATCATCACGGGCTTGATTTCGCTGGCAACTTTCAAATCATGGGCGGGCCTGGGCCCAACTCACACGGTTGGCCTGTTCATCGTGCTATACCTCATCTCTGGGATAGAATTATTGGTTTACGTTGTAATGCAAACCATTCTTGTAGTGAACACGCTGCAGGATCGCTGGCCACTAGGAGATATTGCTTTTGGAGCATTCTTTTTGATCATCGGCCAGGTCATCCTGTACGTTTTCAGCAACACAATATGCAATGCTGTGCAGCATTACTTGGATGGGCTATTCTTTGCTACTATTTGCAACCTTTTGGCTGTAATGATGGTTTACAAGGTTCGTGCTCTTTTTTTTTCTGTTCCTTTATGACATGCTGATATTGAGTCAGTACTGGGATTCCATCACCCGCGAAGATCTCGAATTCTCCGTCGGTACCAAGCAAAATAACTGGGAAGTCAAAGAGCTCCTCCCGGAAGAAGACCGCCGAAACACCTTGTACCAAGACACGAAGTACCAGGACACGGATTACCCAAGCACAACACTGTACAACTCTACTGCCGCCCCAGGGAGAAACTCGAATTATGGAGGGTTTACATACTAAGCTCCTTTTGAATCAGTGCTACGGAAGATGTTAAAAAGGGATAAATGAAAAGGGGAAGTGTAGTTTAAGCATAGCGTGGTTAGGTCTGCTTTACATTTCGGCGTAAAAAGGCGAAAAATCATTGAGTGTAAATATTGGATACGCGGTTATGGGTCACAGCGTTTGCACTGACTGCACTCCACAGCAGGCATGTATGTAGATAAATCAAAGTCGTAATAAATGGGTCCCTTCGATCTATATCCCGCCATGTTTCGAAGTATATTTTCCTGGAAGTCAGTGAGTACTTGAACTGAAGTCGGGACTTTGTTGCACATCGCCCCAATGTTCCAAAAGCTCTAGTACATGGAAACCATTCTCAAACTCGAGAGTGAATCCTCACAACTCAGAGTTTTTCTTCTGCACCTCGCTGACTTGATTTCTCCACAGTTCTAGGCCATTGGTATAAGCAACCGAGGAAACTTTGAGACGAAAAGTGGAATGGATTCGAATAGAGAGATGAAAGCAATCTCGATATCAATTTGCGAATCCACGTTACTTTTTACGCAGTGAGAGAGTCTGCTTCTAAAAAAACCAGCCAGACCATCATCGTCGAACCCCTGGTACTTTGTACAATCTACCCGCCATTTGCCCACACCCCCTCACAACCTGGCCCTGACATCCCCTCTCCACCCGGCCTCCCAAGCAATCAACTCGGCCGCCCGCTCTCCAACCGCAAGAACAGTCAACATAGGATTAATCGTCGTCATGCTGGGGAAGACGCCCGCATCCGCGATCCTCACCCCCTTCAAACCCCTGATCTTCAACTCCGGATCCACGACCGCCATCTCGTCTTCCTTGGCACCCATCTTCGTGGTCCCTGCTGGGTGGTAGACAGTATGTGCTACTTTCCTTCCATACTCGGACAGCTCTTGATCGGTTTGGACGGCTGGGCCGGGGGCGACTTCGCGCTTCAGCCATTTGGAGAAGGGCGCTTGTTGTGCGATCTTCCGAGCGGCTTTCAGGCCAGCGACGAGGGTTTGAGCGTCGTAGTCCTCGGGGTCGGTGAAGTATCTGAAATCGAGAGAAGGCTTAACGGCCGGGTCGGAGGAGGTAAGGAAGATTCGTCCTCTCGAGCGAGGCCGAGGGATGTTGGGCGTCATACAGAAGGCATTTAAGGGGGCGTCGTAGCCGAGACGGGTGGTGTTGAGGCAGAAGGGGATTTGGTAGCAGTGCATCATGACATCTGCTATTGTGCCGTCTGGGAGGCCCTTGGGGTTCAGGAAGGGGTCTGTGTTGGAGGTCGCGGCGTCGGGAAGCTCGCGGCGGAGGAAGATGCCGGCGTCGCTGTCCATGGTTGTTTGTGGTGGGATTGGAGCGTTGAGTTCCCACATTATTATTGTTTCGGGGTGGTCGAGGAGGTTTTCTCCTACGCCGGGGAGGGAGTGGATCACGGGGATAGAGAGGTCAGTGAGTTGCTTTGAGGGACCGATGCCTGAGAGGAGGAGGAGACGGCAGGTGTCCACCGCTCCTGCGCAGAGAATGGTCTCAATTTTAGGGGAGATGGTGAGTTTGGTGCCGGACTGGAGAGTGATGTTTACTCCAGTGACAGTCTTGTTTGAGACATTGACCTTGGATACCCAGGCATTGGTGAGGATGGTAAGGTTTGGACGGTTCTCGTCACCTCGTAGGACGGGATGGATATATGCTACTGAAGCAGAGCTTCGACGTCCATCATCGGGGTTGTAGGCAACGGAGAAGAAGCCAACTCCTTGCTGAAGACTTCCCGTCTCACAGATCTCTTGGTTGAAGTCCTTGATAATGGGAATGTCCATGGCTGTGGAGCATGATTTGATCCAGTCTTTGCAAACTTGGTTTCGGTGTCGGTTGTGAACAGGCTGGATCTGGTTGCGGAGATTGTCGATGAGACGCATCATGGTCTTGAAGTTCCATCCCTTGCAGCCCATGCTCTCCCATACTTGGCAGTCATACTCGAATGGCCTGAAAGATATCAGAGTATTGTGAGATGAACAGCCTCCGAGGACCTTGGCTCGGGAGTGTCTGATATGAGAGTTTCCTAGATCGTGTCAACAAGGAATGCTCAAACCAAACGCTGGGTGCTCACCATTGGGCTGTTCTGTAGTTCCATAGTCATAATCCAGGTCACCACCTAGCAAAGTAAGCCATTCCTTGAGCTTCAAAACTCGGTCATTGTTGAAGTCGCTTGGGCCCGCCTCGATCGTAAGAATTTTCTTATGTGGAAGGTATTCAGACAGTCTGCTTGCAATGACACAGCCAGCTGTGCCGCCGCCGACAATGACATAGTCAAAGTCACCGACTTGAGAAGAAGAGAGAAAGGTGGTAGTCATGTTGACTGCTGTGACTGAATTCGAAGCTCAATTCCTGTGGTTGCTTGAGTTTCTAGCGCAAACCCCAAGCCCTTGAATTCATATAAATTTTCCGCAAGCTGCTCGTCATGCCACTGTTATCGATAAGGATAACAAAGATTGTGAGCCGGTGGAGCTGCTGCGTGGCGGGATAACTCCAGGGTGTATTGACCAGGGAGGGAGGACCTACTTGGTTCAGAGGAGGGGGTGGGGACGGGGAGGGGAGAGAGAGGAAGGAAGGGAAGGGAAGGGGAGGAAAAGGACGGTGAAGCCAGAGCCTGCTGTTGATACGACATGACCCCCGTACCTGACCTCTCTGGTCCTACCTAGTCTTGGTTACCCTTGGGTCTTCCCTACATCCCTTGCCTTCACCCTTCACAATGGAGGCAACGACGGGGATGGCACCGGATGCCAGCCGGTTTAGGTCAAGCAGGTCAAGAGCGGGAAGTTTTTTCTTAGAGCCTTCTAGCGCCGAAGGAGAACCAGGGCTTTCCTCCACTTTTGCCCGCTGTAACCAATGGTAGCGCTTCAGTCTGGTTGACCATAGCGACCAAAAGGGTCAATGCCTGATTTTCACCATTTTCGCCATTTTTCTAAGGCCATACCTAATTATTTTGACCCCATTATCTGAACTATACTGAACAGCTATATGATTCACAGCTTCATATGACTATTTCTAAGGCCCCAGCCAATTATTTTAGCCCTATAGTCTGAACTATACTAAATAACTATATGATTCACAGCTTTATGGCCCTATTTCTAGGGCCCTAGCCAATTATTTTGCCCGCATTATCTGAACTATACCAAATAACTATATGATTCACAGCTTGATTTATAGCTTAATCTGAATCATTCAGGCTTCCATTTGAGTCATTTTTGGCCCCAGATATCTATAAAATAGGCCCTCAGCTCCCAATCCTCCCTCTAACTTCCTCACACACACATACACACACACACATATACACACACACTCACTCACTCTCTCTCTCTCCTCACACATACTTCACACACAACACTTCACATACATACAATGGCAGCCCAAGCTCAACAAGATCTAGTCGTCTGGACTCGTGTGGACGCCTCCAATAATGTTCAGTACTTCCTTCGTATGGGAGGGAATGAGCTCCAGCCCTCAGTCATTAATGGTAGCCCTCAGCAGAAGCGTACCTTTAATATCAATGATCCAGAACCCTCAGATATTGCGATTAAGGGTCCCTATACTGCTGCTACCTTTAATGTCCCACTTCTCCCTGAGGTTATTAATGCAATCTTGACCCAACGAGTGTAAGTTGCTTCTCCTAAGTTCACACGATCTGTACTAAGTAATCTAGTGGCCAAGTTAATACTCAAACTCCTTATACTGCTTGCCAAAATGGTCAAGGCATTTTTGAGGAGTGCTTAAGGGTTCCTGGAGGAGAGTGGCATGGAGCATGTGGTAACTGTATTCGTCGTGGTCATGCGACCCAATACAGTGCTCGAGATATCAATGATAATGGAGGAGAGGGCAATAGTGGAGGACAGCCTAAACCCCCTCAAATTACACGAAGTGGCCGGGTTTCAAAGCCTGGACGTTATCCTGGCCAGAGTGTCCCTTCTATTATAAATAAATAGATGGGACTACTCTTATTATATCATACGATTGCCTGGCTTTTGCATAATACCTAATAGATTACATTGAGCTCTTAATATTTGCCCTCTTTTAATTTTACTTATAATTGCAATTTAATTTGGAAATACCTAAAAACTAAGAAAAAGAGAATTTAATCTAGTCCCAAAGTATTATATAATAAGTATAGAATCTCTTGGTATTAAACCAAGTTGAGAAGCCTTATTTCTTTCTCAGATTCTTCCCTCCCTTCTTTAAACCCTTAGACTCAACTTGTTCAGCCTTTTTTATAGACATCTTTCTAACCCTTCCACCGCGCGATATACTCTGAGTAAGCGGAACAGCCCCCTCTATCTCTCCCTTAGCTAGAGCTTGATCCTTCTCAGTCTGAGTATAATCTGCCCCAACTTGCTCCTTAGCTTGTTCTCCTGGACGAAATACTCCTGGACCCAAGAGAGATTATATTTGCTCCCACGTACGATCACTCAAGCTCCCCCTTTCCTCAAAAGCACGGCTCACTAAGTCCTGAATTGTGTCTTCCTCCTCCATAGAGTCCTTAAGCTCTTGAAGCTTGGCAAGAAGGATACTCTCATACTCTTTAGCTACCTTCTTATGCTTGAGGGTTATAGATTACCGATTCGTACGTTAATATGTAGTCTCTGGGGAATCAGGAAGTACGGATTGGGGAGGAGGAGGGGTAGCTTCTTTTGGCAAGGCTGGAACTTGGCTAGAAGAAGGTTTCTTCTCAGAGCAATATTAGTATATAAATTAAATAAGTATCATATGATATACCGCTGGTCTCGGAAGAGGTTGAGAGGGCTCTACTTTAATAGCAGGCTCGACTTTCACACGCTTGGCTTTAGCCACTTTGGCAGGCTAGAAATAAATATTAGTCAAAAGTAGAGGAATAGCTCGGTAAAAGAACTTACTTCTTGGGCTACTTGATCATGCGATGAGATACGGCTTTGCGAAACCGGGTACTTCTCTTTTTTGACGGCTCCTGACTAGGAAGAAGTAAATCCTATTAAAGAAGGGGTTGGAGAGGGAGGCAAGGGAGGTAACTTCTTTCCTCTACCACGTGGTAGCTTAGATAGCTCAGGCAATACAAGAATAGCCTCACGTCTCCTTTGATAGTATTAAAGGCTTTTCTGGGTAAGGTCTTCATCCTCAGTAAATAGGATTAAATGAGCCTGGAACTCATAAACATCCTTTTGGACCGATATAACCAAGTAAGGTAAAAGATCCCCTATCGTACGAATCTCCCCAGGAGGAAGCTCTTCCAAATCTCGCGAAAAGGAATTATCTCTATCCTTCCAAGCTATGGCTGTCCAAGTCTTGTACTCCCCAGTTTAGAGGACTAGCTCCTTCGCACGACCACGTACTTGGCCATATCTTTTGCTTGGAATGCTCGTTGCAAGCTCATTAATAATAAAGGCTCGTATCGGGTCATTATCCCAATGCCCAAGTCTCAAGAGGTTTGTTCCAAAGACCTCACACTTGATATTACCCCCTAAGATAATATAAGCATCGCATGATTAATAGGTAAGGAAAGTGTATACGTACCAAGAATACGGAACTGAGAAGGTATAAGAAAAGGAGGGTCAAGCTCTTTATCAGATGGCTGGGCATAATACCCTTGAACTTCAAAGAGAGCTAATCGCATGATCTCCCTTTGAGACCCAAACTTGGATTTTCCTGTCTGGGATTGCGGACGATGAGAGAGAGCAAAGGAGCCAGCATTCGGACGTTTCTGCTCTTTTCTAGCAGTAGCAGCAGCAGAAGCTTGGTGCGAACCGGCTATAGTCATCGCATGAGGAATGACTCTTGGCCTATGTAATTGGGTAGCAGGTATAGGGGGGGGTAGGCTTGAATCGCTCGCTCCAGAGGATCTTGGCCTTGATTTAATCTGACCAGGGTAATTTGGACATGGTTTGGTAGCCCATGCATCGTGCGATACAAAGGCCTCCTCCTCCTCCTCTTGCTTGATCAGGGAGGCTTCTTGCTTAGGCTCGGCCCGGGCTTAATAAAACTTAGTAAAGAGCTCCTCAAGTAATGGAAGAGGAGAAGAGGAGGCCGTACGATAGGAGCTGCTAATAGGGGATACCGGATCGCTGTCTAAAATCTCAATAGCAGTCTTTTTTGTATTTTGGAATACAGGGGAAGACACTGTAAGGTCAACTGGAGAAGTACTACGATACTGAGGTCTTAAATCATGCGAATCGGGCGAACGAGGGGTTTCTGTACCACATTGCTCACACTGGAACTGGCCAGGCTCATCAAGAGTATTCCTGTATGCAGGGCACCTTGGGAGAAAGCCAGAAATCTTTCCAGGAGGCATTTTCAAGTAAAGGAAGAAAGAAGGTATGATTGCAAGTAAATCGTATGATAAAGATAAAGATATGGCGAGATCCTTGAGTAAAGATTTACTCCTTCTCTTAGGCCTCCTGCTCTAATAAGTCCCTCTCATCCGGCTGCTCCTCATCCCACTCCTCCTCATCTGACTCACTCAAATTGCCTTCTCCACTAATATCTACCCCTTCAATCTCTCTTTATTGGGATCGTATGGTCTCCACAAACTCCCAGTTCTCTGAGATTAGCTGCCTAAGGCGAGATCCGTTTCGCTACATCTCCTTAGTACCAATTTTGATCTTTGGGACAAGTCCTAGCCGTGGGCTTGAGTTTCCACTAGTAATATGACGTCGTACGGTAAGCCGAAGGCAGTGATATGCCTTAATATGAAGCCTAGAACCGTCTGGTTTGCTAGTTCCTTCTATAAGGCTTAAAGGATCAATCCCAATATTTGCAAGCTGTGATTTGCACCATGTCAAGGTATTATGCGGCAAGTACTCATTAATATCTATAGCCAATAATCTTAGTATATAAAGATAAATTTGTAGTCCAGCTAACTGAGAGGCCCTAGAGCTAAGAAGGGAAACTAGCAGTGAAAAGACGTTGGGGCTCGGTTTATTTACTTAAACAAGAATCGCGCGAGCCCCTGAGTCAAGCTATATTACAAGCTACCGCCCAAATTAGGAAAAGAAAGAGATTATAGGAATAACTTACCCCAATTAATATAATCTTGCTCTAATTCAGCCAAGAGCCCCTCATTAACTAGAAGTCTATATTGCTCGATAGCTGCATGCTTATAGAGAAATGCAGGAATGCCTGCTACGTGGTGTTTCCTCTTTGGATCTTTCCGGATCCGGTAGTAATTCCATATATCTATATACGATACTATGGCGTATCGTATAATAGGCATGTAAATAGCTAGCATGGTAATTCGGTCCGCAAGAGTACTATCAAAGTCCCCAGCTACTATAAGGGCTTGAAAAAAGTCCTATACTAGATTAGCCCAAGTAAAAGAATCATATAAACAGGTATAAATACGAATACGCCAGTAATATAGCCGGGATTTCTCAAGTTAACTCCACCAAGACTCGATTCTTTGATTCTTTGTACTAGTCCCAAAGCGATAGACCTTCTCAAAAGGAAGAATTGGTATTATTATACGAGAGAGAGCGTATTGGACTTCAGTAACAAAAGGGACCTCTCCTCCTTTATTAGAGGAAATCACTCGGGGGTAATAGCCAAGCTTTCTGAGTACCTAAAGGAACTGGCCAAGTACACTATATACCGTATGATTAGAAACGCCCACGTAGCACCAGATAATATTGCGAGAATAAACATTAATAGCAGCATAGATTTGGAAGCCCTATAGAGCTAGCTTATTATGCTAATCAAGAGACCACCCCCAATCCGGGCCTTTGACTACCATCTCTTGCTTCTTACGCTGCATATCGTTCGTACGACGCTTGTAGCCCTCACTATCTAGGCCCTTGACGATATTATAGATCAATTTGCGAGGAGCAGTAACCCCCATTTAACGGAAGTGTGTCTTGATCAAGCCTGCTCCATAGCCTTCAATCCCCCCATGGTCTAGCTCCTCTCGCACGATACCCACAAGCTGTTAGTACTTCTGCTCCCTCTCCTCTATTATTATTCTCCGAATAAGGCCAAGATCTAGCCTATATCGCGCGAGCTGTCGGCGGTGGAGGGGCATCCCCTCAACTGAGAGTACTTGGAGAATCATATCATTATTATAATTGCCCGCAAATAACTCAGAAATACGTAATTTGATCCTCTCAATCTCAGGAGACCCATTCTTCCTATTGCGCGATATACCCCAATCAGAGAGAGCTCGTTTCAGTGTTTTTAGGCTACATTCAACCTGTAGAATCCCTCTTATTTTACTTAAAATCTCAGGGATCGTATGCTTCTCAGAGACCCAACTAAGAATCTCATTTTTATAAGGCTCAAGATCAATCTTTGGAGGCATTTTTAGTACCGCGCAATGCATACGATACGTTGAAAGTGGAATAATTCAAGTAAGTAATATGTAATGGGTCAAAAATGCGATTTTCCAAAAATTCGATTTTGCGGAAAAAGCCATTGACCCTTTTGGTCGCTATGGTCACCCGTATTCAGTGGCCTCCGCGCAGCCTTGCCAAGACACAGGCAAAAAAATTAACGGCCAGTCCAAACACAGCCAAACTTTCCACAACGCACTTCTTGCCGCACTTGCGGTCTGCACCAGACACCGATGCAAGGAATGATTGCGGATTGCCTGACTTCTTCCAAATATCTTCCTTGTTAGGCATATCGCGGACGCCACCGTCCGCAATTGCTGAATCGCGTGTTGTGGCCCTGGCTCAGAGGAAGCTCGGCTTTACCCCACCTCTTATTGGTAAAGCTTCCCTTGCTTCAAGATTAACTTTCATATCTCAAGCCAGCGTAAAGCACCAGTAGTTCGAGGACATCATACCACAATGTCTCCATACGCCGTTCAGAAGCTCTGGTACAATGGCAAGGCCCAAGATGCTACCTCTGGCAAGACTTTCAAGTCCATCAACCCCGCCACGGCCAAATCAGTAGCAGAAGTCCAAGCAGCTTCACAGCTAGATGTCAACTCTGCCGTAGCTTCAGCGCAAAATGCATTCCCTTCATGGTCACAACAACCTCCTGTTGTCCGTTCTCGAATACTTCTCAAAGCCGTCGAGCTTCTGCGATCTCGAAATGACCAAATTGCAAAAGTCGAAACTGATGATACTGGCAAAGCATTCTCAGAAACCAGCACAGTCGACGTAGTAACCGGAGCTGATGTACTGGAATACTTCGCCAATCTTGTGGCAAGTGGAGGTCTAAATGGAGAGACAACACAACTGAGACCGGATGCGTGGATCTACACTAAGAAAGAAGCTCTGGGGGTTTGTGCTGGAATAGGGGCATGGAATTACCCAATTCAAATTGCGTTGTGGAAGTCCGCGCCGTGCCTGGCAGCAGGGAACTGCATGGTCTACAAACCTTCAGAAGTTACACCTCTCCATGGACAAGTGCTGGCGCAAATCTACACGGAGGCCGGAGTTCCTCCTGGAGTGTTCAATATTGTGCATGGAGATGGAACTGTTGGTGGATATTTGACCTCACATCCTGGAATTGCGAAAGTCAGCTTCACCGGGCAGGTCTCGACAGGACAAAAAGTTGCTGCGTCCGCAGCCGGGGGGATGAAATATGTGACCATGGAGCTAGGAGGCAAGAGTCCACTCATCATTCTTCCTGATGCAGAGATTGAGAATGCAGTAAATGGAGCTATGATGGCGAACTTCTATTCTACAGGCCAAGTCTGCACAAACGGAACCCGAGTTTTCGTACCGAAAAGCATGAAAGCCGGATTCGAGAAGAGGCTGCTTGAGGAAGTGCAATACATCCGAGCACTAGAACCAATGGATCCGAACAGCAACTTTGGTCCTCTCGTCTCCGAAACCCATTACAAGAAAGTTCTCAGCTACATCCACTACGGAATCGAAGTTGACAAGGCCAAGCTTCTATGTGGAGGTCCTTGGAAACCGAATAATATCCCTGCTGGTTATGAAAATGGCTTCTGGGTTCGACCGACAGTCTTCACAGACTGCACCGATAGCATGAAAATTACCAATGAAGAGATCTTCGGCCCTGTGCTCTGCATTCTGACGTATGATACAGTGGATGAGGCCATTGCTCGAGCAAACAACACAAAGCTTGGTCTTGCAGCAGGTGTATTTGGGAAGGATATGAATGAATGCCATGAAGTGATCAGCAAGTTAGAGGCTGGCATCACTTGGATCAATACTTGGGGTGAGAGCCCTGCGGAGATGAGTGTGGGAGGATGGAAGATGAGCGGCGTCGGTGTGGAGAACGGACGGAGGGGCTTGTCTGCTTGGGTGAGGGAGAAGAGTACGTTGGTGGAAGGTAGTGGGGTTGTTGGCACGGTGTTCGCGAAGTTATGACGATATGAAGGCCAGTTGCCTAGAATTTCGCTTGTGTATGAGAGGGCGTAGATTTGGATGGGAAGGCGTTGGATGCAAGTCTCAGTAGCAATTCAATTTTTCATTCAGGCTGTTCAGAGTAACATTTTGCTGGGTTCTTACATTCTGCCCTGCATTATTCTGGCACTATATGGACCTACCACATGGGTCCGGGGCATTCTGTTCATTCAGAACATACTCTGCTTTGACAAGTTAACATTTTCATACCGTCGCGAGAGAGGAGGAGATGCAAAATTGTCTGAAAAACGTCTGAAAAGTTTCTTGAAAATGACAATTCGTTTTATCTACTACACGATCTTCCTTCGATATTCTATAATAATGGATTTGGGCGAGAGGTCTCGCAAGGAGGTGTGCTTTGCCTTGGAGTTACAAGATTTATCTTAAGCTTGCTTTCCTACCAAGATTCTAATCCAGAACCAGGTACCGCAGTTAGGAATACGGATTCTCGAGCTGATGCAATCACTAAGGCCTTCTTTTGAAGTCATAATCCACAACTTGTCTATTGCCGAGATAGATAGAATTTTTTGTTTCTGTTTCTCTATTTCTGCTCAGTGCTTCAAAATCCTACTATTGCCTTGCGAAATTTTAATATTGAATGTGCTGCATTATCTAACACCCTTGTGTCCTATTTCAGAAGTAGTGAACCTTCGTTGAGCTAAGAAAACATAAAACAGTCTCCAGGTTCTAACACACCGATTCGCCATAGCCAAAACAATAACACCCGCGCTCTGTGTGACAGCATTGCTACACTCCAGCCCAAATATAAAAACCTGCTTGGCGTAATGGGGATAGTCTTGTAAGCAAAAGAAGAACGTTAATGCTGTTGTAAAAATGCTGGAGTTCGTCTGAACCTCGTCCGAAATAGAACTGCGCTATGACAACGTGACAAAGAAATCCAAGAACGGTGATGGGGTCACATAGCTTGTCAGGCACGGCACTTAAGGGGGTATGAAAGAAAGTGCCTAATGGAATTTATCTGAGAACGGTTGTGAGGCTAATAGCAAGAGACTTGATGCCAAAGCAAACGTGTACACACTTATATCAAAGTGACGGTTCGAGGTCGAGGATCATCCCCCCCCTCAAAACTAGCCTCGAACCCAGCGACGTGTGTCGCAATCATCATAAAGGATACGACACCAACACCTCATCCTGCCTTGCCTATGTAACAAGACATGCTGGTGTTCCGCTGTCGTCCTCGAGATGACCTTCATCTCAATCTATAGTAGTGAGGTAATGAGGATTTAGTCATAAGCTCTCGTGGAGAGCTCGATCTCGACTACTTTAAAGGGTGCAGCCCATCTCCTTCTCGTAGATGACCAATTTGCGCCGCTTTCGTTGAAGACGGCTTGTCTTCAGGAGGTTTCTTCTGAAGGAGCGCCGGATCCAAGCAAGATAAACAGATATTACTCGCCAGAAAGCAGGGACTTGAGCTTTCCTTTGCCCAATGAGCAAACCTGAAGTGAATAAAGAAGGAAGACAGACCTCAACACAAGATTCGAAAAGAGCGAACAAAACTCCAGCAAGCCATTGCACCAAAATAGAGAAACGGCTACCTCTTTTCTGTAAGAACTATTGAGAATCTCGGCCACATCAGTTTAATTTCGACTTACGGTATATCCTTCATCCCAGGGAAGATAAAGCAAGGTAGGGTGACCGATCAATAACCTGCACGTCGTTGCTTTAGGCTTGCAACGTGCTCAAAGTATCGCAGCTCTATACAAGCTCCCTGGGTGCCTCAGAAACGGGACCAGCAAAATGAATGCAGGAAGTGTCTCATAAAGGTATGCTTGACCACTGAGCAGAAGTGTATATATACAGCAATAAAGAGAAGTCACAAGATACTGCGTACCATTCAGCATTCTCTAATTTGATATGAAATTGGATCACCGGGTTCCAATGAATTGTACGGCGATACTGGTGGACCACTGACCGGAGCCGTGGCGATTCGAAGCTGAATATACCTGAGGGCCTACTCGGTACGAAATACGAGATTGAGAAACTCGTGGTTTGGTGAGGAATCTCTGTTGTCACTGTTGAGCTTGCTGTCAAACCTCATACAAAGACATTGATAAGGTCATTCTGGAAGAGTGTACTAGGAGGAGAGCCTCAGAACTCCAAAGGACTTTTAGAAGTAGTGGGCATGAACCCAAGTATCACGTCCCTGGGCTGAAGACCTGGTCTGGTAAACAGCTCTTTTTGGGTGTGTATGTAACGTCTAAAGAGAGAAAAGAAGAGAGGAGCGGGGAGCTCGAGCTAAGTACAGGGTGCCACGCTAGGGCCAGGTCATGTGACGCTGACGTCACAACACCAAGCCACAAATCCTCTAAGAGATAGCCAAGGCCTTGCACGTCTCCCCCCTCTGAATGCATGCAATCAGGAATTTGCGCCGAAAGCAAAAGATCCGATAATACCGCAGGGGACGTTATATACAGAATTCTTATGTCGATTCACCTTCCCTTGAAACTGTGAGACATAGTTCCTATTATGGCAAGACAGGAATGATGTCACGCTGAAAGTGAGAGATCCAACGGTACAGGAATGGAGCTTATATATCCAGACTTCTCTACTTTACCGCATTGTTGCCCTGTGATTCTAGGAGACATAATAGTGATTCTCAGTTTCTTAGAGCATTTATCCACCTTGTGGTATAATGCAACAGCTCTAGAGACATTCTACTAACAATGCCCAATCACTCCTGGTACATTGAACCTTCGAAAATACTGAAAAGAAGAACGCCAAGTCCAATCTCACAGGAATAAGCAAATGTGTTCTTTGAAATTCAAGGGTCTGTTTCTGATAGAACATTTTGTCAACACGTGATGTCTGGTTTGTAGGGCAATTCTTTGATACATATCCTCGATTAGGCACAAGACACCTATCCCTTTATAATCTCAAGCATAAAGCGGGCTTTTGCTAACCTTCGATTTCAAAATAATGTAGCTGAAGAACTCCCAGAATTCGCTAAGCTGTGTCGTCTTCAAGTCAGAAGGAAAAGGGGTACGCAATGTTGTGAGGTGAGTGCCTGGATACGCATCTCCGCCTAGGACACAAATTCTAGCACTTCTAGGAATATGCTTTTGACAAGAAATCCTGTGGCTGCCAAGATGGCAGTTGTTGTCAACGAACAGACGAAATTGCAAATAACGAATCGTTCACTGTCCTGGGTCGAGGATCTGAAATGAACACAGCTCTAACTCCCTTGCCCGGATATTGTCACATTGACTAACGTTCTAAGGCACTCCACCCCATGGCATGGAGATGAGGGCTGCCAGGAGACATTATATTGAGCAATGTTTCTTCCTCAAAGGCGCAAGACGAGCGTTGAATGGTCCTCTAACTACCTTTGATGCGACACTAGCCGTGCTTATCCATAGGATCATTCAAAACCGCGACATTACTCAATGGGGCAATGACCTTTTCAATTGAACTAAGCCATGACTCGTGCCTTCTTTGCCATGTATTCAAGTCAAATTGCCTCAGGAGGGAAGGATGCATCCATCACCTCCTGATTGTCTCCACTGCGTGTGGATGCTTTGAGGGGAATTGAGACTAATTGTCCCGGCAACTGCTGTACAGTACATCCAGATCCAGTATAAAGCCTGGCTGTCCTATAGGTACCAAGTACATCCAACTTCAGATGCATATCTCAGAAGGATATGTCTATAACTTAGAGAATACCCCAGGTCTGAGTGGGATATTGAAGCAGGAGCGTACTGCCAAAAGTGTGAAGCTGTGACACCTTTATATCCGTTCAAATAGCGCAGAACTCTTTAATAAAAGCTGTAATAAAAATAATTTCAAGTTCTTATCAATAAAAATTAAAATAAAAGAAAGTGATACCTTCCGGCCTGATTCCAATATTCCAATAAATTTGGGAACACTGAGCAAAATATAAGAATATGTCGAGGGCATGAACCACTTGAATTAAAATTAATGTTCTAGACCAGAACTGGGCATTAAGTCTGCGCTGCTAAGCATGCTGGGATCTGACTTTATTAAATATCTGTTGAAAGGGCAAGTCTTTAATATATTGTACTGGAAAGCTGGTTAACGAACCAGTGATATACAAACCACAAGGGAAGCCGCCATTGAGAAATCAGAATGCTGAACCATTGATCAGAGAAACAGTTTAATATTCAGAAAAATCTACCAGTCTATAAAGGAACCTTCTAGCATCCCAACCGTGGCCCAACCCAATCTAAATTCTAGATGAAAAGAAAAGAGCAGCTTAGAACAGATCTGTCATAGCTCCATGAGAAGCATCTCCAACAAGCTTGGCGTACTTTGCCAGAACCCCTCGGTTGACCGCACTCTTTGGTGGTTTCCAAGCTTTCAGGCGATTTGCGATCTCCTCGCCACTGACGTCCATGCTAATGGTATTTGTCTCGGTAGATATTGTGACGACATCGCCGTCTTGAACGACTGCTATGGGTCCTCCCACTGGCGGAAGTGAGCCTCGGATTTTTTAGAGGAAGGAAATTGAAGAAAAGAAACTTACCTGCAGCTTCGGGAACGACGTGGCCCACGATGAAACCATGACTGGCACCCGAGTACCTCCCATCAGTAACTAAAGCCACATTCTTGAGTCCAGCTCCCATAATCGCTGCACTTGACTTCAATTGTTCTGGCATACCCGGCCCGCCTTTTGGACCCTCGTATCTCACAATCAAGACCAGCTTCTCACCATGAGGAATCTGGCCCTTATTAAGAGCTGTGTCGAGTTCATGCTCTTTATTAAACACCCTCGCCTTTCCCTTGAAGACGAGGCCTTCTTTCCCAGTAATCTTCGCCACAGCTCCACCCGGCGCAAGATTTCCACGAAGAATCTGTAGGTGTCCGGTAGCTTTGATCGGATTCGAAATCGGTCGGATGATGACCTGATCCTGTGGCAGAGAAGGGAAGGGAGCAATGTTTTCAGCGAGCGTTTTCCCGGTCACGGTAGGGATATTGCCGTTCATGAGACCTGCTGCAACAAGCAATTTGAGCACAGAGGGTGTCCCGCCAATGTTATAGAGGTCTTCCATGAAGTATTTACCGCTAGGAGCGAGGTCTGCAAGGAAGGGGATCTTGTCGCTGACACGTTGGAAGTCGTCTAGAGAAAGAGGCACTTCGGCTGTGCCAGCCATGGCGAGAAAGTGAAGAACGCTGTTTGTCGAGCCCCTATTTAAGTTAGCCGAGAACCCCGTAAACGTAGGAATACTGACCCAAAAGCCATTGTCATCACCAGAGCGTTCTCGAACGACTCCTTGGTCATCAGATCGCGAGGCCGGATGTTTTTCTCCATGCATATTTTGATTGCGTCAGCTGCTTTTGCGCACTCTCTCATCTTGGCTGGTGATTCGGCTGGATTTGACGAGGATCCTGGGAGGCAAAGACCCATAGCTTCGATGGCTGTGCTCATAGTATTTGCCGTATACATCCCACCGCATGCTCCGGCGCCGGGACAAGCATGCTGTTCCAGGTCATCCATAACATCGCTTGGAGTGCGACCAATTTCCCCAGCTCCTTCAGCAGCTCTCAATCGACCATAGTTAAAAGCTCCGGCTGCTTCGTAGCACTAAAATCTGTCAGAAGCATGTTGTGTGTTGGAATTGGAGAGAAAGCCGGTCGCTCTTACTGTGCTGATGTTGATGTCCTTGTTCAGAAGCCTTGAGAAGCCTTTCTTGATGGTGCCACCGTAGATCATGAGAAATGGTCGATTATGTCGGGCTGCAGCTATAATGACCCCCGGCATATTCTTGTCGCACCCCGGTATCGAGATATTCGCGTCATGATGCTGCCTTGGTCAGTACTCGAAAAAGGCATCGAAAATTGGAATTCTCTACTTGTGCACATGTCACTGTTTCAACTTCGGGAAAGTTAGTAATTGCGAAGATGAGCGAGACTTGGAGCACGCCGAAACCTCCCTAGAGAGAAATATTTCGCTCTGAGAATACTTACTGCTGTCGGCAATGATTTCCCGAGTCTGCAATGAGAATCGCATGCCTGGCAATGTCAATCCTCGCTTAACCCCTTTCTGTGCAACAACGACGTACCATCTCCTCCCATTGTGATCCCATCCGAAACCCCTACCGTGTTGAATTGCCATCCAATCATTTCTTGTTTCTGTACCGCAGCTTTCACGGTCTTTCCGAGATCGAGGACTGAGATAAGGGTCGTCAATAGAAATCGAGACATTTCCGTCGTGGAACTTACGGTGCATACTGTGGCACAAGGTCAGTGCTACTCCATTATCTCGCATAAATGACTCACTTGCAAGGGTTTCCTTCCCACTGGTGGCTTAATCAGTTATCAATTTCTGAGGAAGGAGTTGGAGAACCCAGAATCCTCCCTGAGATGTTTGACGGAGTTCGAGGAGGGACTTTGTAGAGATGGCTGGGGAATCACATACCCATACTGTAGAAATACTGGAACGAGTGATTAGCATCTGCTCTTATATCTTTGATGTTGAATTACTTACCCAACTTGAGGATGGCTTTTCATTGCAGCTTTGTTTGGAACACCAGCAGCATATAACATTGCCTCTCCAATTTAGCAATGACCAAATACCTGAGATGAGCTCCTACCTGGGCCCCCGGAAAATCGTGGTCTTTGATCATTAGCTTTGAATTCCCTCTTGGGTTTGGATTTTTCACCTCTCGTAATAGTGGACGACCACCTGTTCAAAGCTTGCTTCCCGTTGACGATTGTACCATGTTTGAGGGCTGGGAAGGTCAAATATCGTGCCGTTGGGATATTCCCATTGGTCCCGTTGGTCCCGTTGGTCCCGTTGGAGTGCTCCATCACGTATACCTAACTGTTTGTAATTTCTGGCGAAGGTGGGTTAGGAGGTAGATCGTGAGGAGGGGCTGGGTTAGAGACAGAGCTATATCGAATATGAGTAACTGAGGAAACCTAAAATGGGGTGTTTTTGAGGCCAAGCCAAGATTTAAGGAAATCCAATTGTGGGACGATATGCAGATTGGTCCCGCTGTACTTCCAACAGAGATAATAAAACTTGACGTCTAGCAGGTCTGCCCCACCTGGAGGAGCAGAGGGGCAATCGTGGTAGCAGCGTTTCCGGCGGCCATGAGGGGTAACTCAGGAAAAGTAACCCGAGTCAGGGCCGTCATGGCTTCATAGCTCTTTTCAGGAAGGGAAAATTCTTGTCAAGAGCTCCGCGATCGGGGGCAGACACCGATGCCATTGCGCTTCTTCGATTCTGAATGTTGTAAGATGGGTAAGCTAGCAGCAAGCACTTGAAAGCCAGGGGCCCAGAGAGATAAAGTCGTGGCACGAGCTGAGTTGATATCTCTCTCTCTCATCCTCGGTCTGCGGTCAAATGATAGGGCGTACTCTGGATCCGTCTCCTGGGCCTCATTCCTACTGGAATAAGCTTTGGCGATTGGCCGGGAGGGTTACTGCTCTGCTGCCGCTGCTGCTCCTGCTGTGCACGCGGTACTGTACCTCCGTACCTCCGTATCTCCCTCCAGTGTCTCTTCATTGGGCCCGCTATCTGACCCACCGGGCCTGGCCTTCGACTCCGATGACTGGTGGCGGGATGGGGATGGCTTCAGAGACCTCTGGGCCAACGGCAATTGATCCGCGCTGCCGGCTGTCGACCTGCAGAGAGAGCACGCCGCGCCGCGCCCATGCTCATGCTCACGCCGACGCGAACCTGCCGCCTCGGGACTATCCGAGCACAAGCACCACCTCCCTCGTGATATTCCGAAGCTCCAAGGATGGTAGTGGCCGCATGGCTAAGAAGTGAGACCTTCAAGAAAGGTACCGTCCATGGGGAGGTTTCTGTTTACGCGCGACATTGGGTGCTGGCAACCCTCGATTGTGATTGGTCGCCGCAGACAGCGAGGCTGAGCCTGTCGATGACGCACGTTTCTCTCACGTTTCTCGTCCTGGGCAGGGCGAGGGCAGGGCGAGGGCAGGGCCGGGCAGGTCGTCGTCGTCCTTCATCAACGGCTCAACTCCAGTGCCCGCCCATTCCACGGCCCCAACCCGCTTCCGTTCCCCTACATACAAAGTCGATGGAAGGCCCAAGGCCCGCAAACATTCCCCGAGGACTCCGCGGCCGTCTTTTAACCTCAACCACTGCACCAAGCGACAAATTGTGCAAGCCGAGTCGAGTCGAGTCGGCCCGCGGGAGTAAATAGACTTCTGCTTCTCAAACAGCCGCTCGCTCGTCACATCTTCCTTGGAGAAGAGGATGGCAAATACCCTTCTCTCGTCATGTCTAATTCCTCTATATCTTGCGACTGGAGCCCTCGCGCTGTCCGAGAGCAGGATCTCGGCGCCGACTAGCCGAACCCGCATGCAACTACAGGCTCTGTTATCGGGAATTCAGCGATTGCATCCGCAGATCTCCTGGGAGACCATTGGTGTAGCGGTGGCTCTGTGCAGCATTATCCCAGGCCTCTGGTGGCTCAGAAGGTCGTGGAAAGCGTCACCCTCGAACTCCGCCGAATCTGAGAAGAATGAGGGAGGGATCATGAGGTACACTGCAGAGACAACTGGCAAGATTTGAGCTCCCAGAACCTTCAGAAACTCTCCTGACCATGGTAGATGCCGAGGCAACAGACCCGGGACTTCTGAAGAAGCATTCAGAATTAAAGTCGTTCAAGACCACCCAATCCGAATACTCTAACGTCCGCGTATTCTTCCGAAAACATCCACAAGCCGACAAGCTCCCCAAGCCTCCTTTACCGTTACTTGTATTTATCCACGGCCTTGGTGGGTCGTCTGCGCAATTCGCGAGCCTCCTCACTTCTTTAGTGAACCTATCTTCTTGTTTGGCAATAGATTTGCCTGGATGTGGAAGGAGTGCATATGAGATAACTTCTTGGAATGCCTATACCACGGATGCTCTTGTAGAATTACTTGAAGTCATCGTCGGCGAATATCGTGAGAAGGACCAAAATGTTGTACTTCTTGGACATTCGATGGGGGCCTCGCTAGCAGCTCTCTTGGCGACAAAGGAAACCTTAAATGCTACCGTGGTGGGTTTGGTGGCGATTTGTCCCAAGGCGGAGCCTCCCAGCGAGAAGCAAGTGTCTACGTTCAGGAAGCTTCTTTGGGTACCCAATTCCGTGTTCGATCTCTGGAGGCAGTGGGATCGACGCGGCGGAACCGAGAGTTCGAGTGTTCGTCGGTTTGTGGGTGAAGACGCCAGTTACGAGTGCAGGAAAATGCAATTCCGATTTAATGAGCAATCGAGGACCGCGGTCTGGAGAAGGATGGCTGCCGGTAGTCTTCCAACCTTCGGAAACCACATTTCGAACGGGGGTCTTCCTGGAAAAGACGTGTGGGCGGCACTTAAAGTTCCGGTATTCTTGGTTGGCGGTGAAATGGATAACATCACAAAACCTGCCGAGTTGGACAAGATAGCCAAATTTCTTGGAAAGTCTCACCCAGATCAAATCGAGGTTGACAAGGACAGCCAGCCAGTTAATGACTCCGCCGCTCCAGTTCCGGTCCCCTCTGCCAACGGCAAGGCGTCTCCCAGGCCGATTGAATCCATTCGGGAAAAAGAGTTTATCGAGCCCGATCCGGAGACATCGGAATCGCACGAGGATCCATCCACTCCGAACGAGGAGCCCTCTGTCATTCCTCCGCAGCTAGCGAAGCCTAGTAAAGTCCTCAAACGAATTGTTCTGCCCGCTCCAGCCACACACGCGCTTCTGTACCAACCGACCGAGGTTCGTGTTCTTGCGGGACTGATATCGGATTTTCTATCTAGCCAGATATCCCCACGGCTTGGCCTTGGCTGGCAATTGCAATTTTTGGCGCAGAATTCCAAATGGGATGTCAAAAATCTTGCGAAGTGGCAGAAGGTGGCACCTGTGTCTGATCTCATAGCCAGCACTTTCAGAGCCATGAAGACTCTTCGAGAGGTCGATGAGTAAGTGATAAGTTACTCCTATGTTTGTTCTTTCAGAGATATTGTTCAAGCTTTTCTTAACAAGGCAAATATTGACTGTCCGCTTACGATAGCACCCACTGCCCTGAGATATTTGTGAAGAAATGGGGCTCCACCATTAAGGACGTGATAGATATCAGTCACGATAGCCCTGTTTATGACTCTCGCGGGCTCGAATGCGGCGGCATACATTATCAGTAAGTGAAAAAGAGATTGTCTCATGCCATCACATTCCCAGACTCTTAGGTCATTACTAACTTCGCCTGCTTTTCCAGCAAATTCCCAACCATCAGCAAGATCCCTCCCTCAGCTGAGGAGGTGGAAGGGTTCATAGCTCTTGTGGATCGGCTAAGAGAAGAGCAGAAAAACAGAGCGGTAGTAGAGGAGTGGGGTGACCACTGCATCGGAGTCCACTGCCACTATGGTAAGTTGATGTTTATGTCAAGAAGAAAATACTAACTTCGTGATCCAACAGGATTCAACAGGACTGGATTCTTCATCGTATGCTACCTCGTAGAACGACTTGGCTACGACGTGCAGGCCGCTATCGACGAATTCGCGAAGCAGAGACCGAACGGCATAAAGCATGCTCATTTCATCGACGGGCTTTTCGTCCGGTACTGCAAGGGATTAAAGAGGGCGCCGACTATGTGACATTCTTATGATGACATGATTAGATGAAGTTTGTACAATAATATTGGATCGATGGCTCTTGTGAGAATATATTTGGATACCCGCCATTCATTCATTGATTGTAGATTTTGATTGTGCCCTTGTACTCTCGATCTTATTACACATGGGTTATTCGTTTCTTGATATCAGAAAATCAGACAATTGCTTGAAAACCGGCAATCTGTCCGAAGGGAGCCGAGCCCGGGGGGGTTTAGCGAGCCCCTTTTCAGTTGCGAGACATGTGACAATAATCCGAGTCGATCTGAGAACATCACTGCGATGCCGAATGAACAACTCCTCAACCTCTTCTGACAACTTTTTATATTTCTCGCTTCTACGACACGACTGAAAAGAAAGCTATATACTGTGTTGCCTACCGCATATAACCAACAAAAATATGATCCAATTAAGGACGTATCCGCTCCATCCTCGGCAACGCCAACTAATGCTATGCTCTACCGGAAGATCTCCCCCCAAACGTGGCCCTGGGGCCATTTATCTTACAAAATGAACTTGATTCAACACCGTCCCCTTATGAAGTCATCCCGCTAAGTATCGTCTTCAAAGACTTGCTCTTTCTCCTCGATGACTCTTCGCTATCATCCTGCCCATTGGATGATGGCGGCGATGAGTCGTCTTTATCCTTCTTCTTCAACCGATGGACGAAATCGAGCCCATTGATGATACTTCTTGAGCGAGTGGTCTCGCTATCGGTGATGCTGCCAGGCCGCTGCTTTTGATTTGCTGGAGTCATCATCAAGCCCATCGGGAGATGCTTCTGGTTTTGGCCAGGAGCTGGCAAAGAAACGACACTTGAGGTCGCGCTGGGAGTGCGGGTCAATTGGTTTTCACTTGCGAAGGAGCGCCGCGGGCTTCTGGATCGATCAGAGCGAGTGACTGAACTGGACCTATCGCTGTTGTCTCGGGAAGTGTCTAAAGCGGATGAGGCTAACACGACTGAGCTTGTGGCAAGTTCCCGTAGGCGATTCTGCTGAGCTGTGCTAGGGCGGTGTTTCGAGAACTTGTTGCCGATGATTGCCCCCGTGTGGGAAATCAAGGCCCTTATGACGTCCTTTTTGATAGTTTGAGCAAGGTCCAGGTTTGACCATGTTTTGTTCCGATATTCAATGGTAGGTAACTTGAACTGCACAATCTGGTGTCAGCTGGGCATTCAACCTCCGAGTCACTCGGAAGGGGAAATTGTTGAGGCTTCACAATTCGCGAGGCGCTCAGGCAGGAGAGAATGGAATGAGTGAAATCCACATACCACGAAATCATGAACATCTTCGATGTTGCGATCCCCTTTTCCTTTATAAGAAAGGCACAAGACCACGGACGGTATCTTGACATAGGCCAAAGTCATATATTCCGAAGCCCGAGACATCATCTTTGTCAAATCATCAGAAGGCTGCTCTTTTTTCTTGTGGCTGTTTCGATGAATTCCAAATCTCTTAGATTTAGTTTCGCTGTTCACAGACTGAGAATCCTGCAGCGAGTTGATTGTCGACGCTCGACCTAGAGTTGGACGTGAACCAATGCTAGACTGCAAGCTTTCTGCGGACGCCTTCTTCCCTAGTGTCTTTGTCGAGGAGAAGCGTGAGCTCGACGAGCTTTTGCCATTCGATTGGAACAAGCGGAAATGATGACCTTCCATCCCAGGGGAAGACTTTGTCTTTTGCGAGACTGCAGTTTTAGGCCGAGCTTCCGAGGTCATCGTCGGGTGCAACCGGAGTTCTAAGGAGCCTGCTCTAGTGCTAGAAGCAGACCCGCGTTTCTCTGTGCCAGAGATGGTCAATTGACTTGAGTTCCCCGTGTCCGCCTCACCCTCTTCATCGTTTTCAACAGGCTGCATGTTCTTGACCATAAAGGGCGACTTGGTCTTCGAGTCGCTTGAACCAGGAAACATATAGTCGAAGAGCCTCTTTCCAACCTCACGCTCAAGCTGGATTTTCATTGGGAAGAGGTTGACTTCAAAGTGATCCATCACCGGAATTCCGGCAATCGCCTCAAGCATGTACCAGTATACTCTCAACATATACTGATTGCCTCCTTCATTGAAAGCGCCTCGCTCAGCATCTGTGTACGGAGCAAACATTTCAGGATAGATCGCGTCGGGTAAGAGATTGAGTCCCACGATCTTGCCAATTTGCATCAGGTTGATATGCGATCCGTCAGAGTTATCGGTCCGATCATACTCAGCTTTTTGAAGTTGGAATTCCATCAGCGGCTCGTGGTTATCTCGGATCAGATGCCAAACAATCTGCTGAGATGAGATATTCCACCTCAACAAACCACTCGACTGGGATCCGTCATACTTTCTCTGAGAAGTTGTAATAGCTTTCATCATGAAAAACAATTCGTCTTCGCAGCTTGTCAAGTCTTTGTCAAGCGCAAGCCTGTCTTCCCAACCTTGTTTGTCCAGGTACTTGGAGTTGATTTGGAATTGTGTTTTGATTTCATCCAGTTGTCGGATCCGTTCTTGCAGACGGATAACCATCTCTGGAGCACCTCGGAGATCGCTGAAATCCGAAGCAAGCATGATCTTCTCCAGGCGTTCAGTTCTGGTCTTCTCCAATGGTTCACTGTACATGAGGAGATCCAGCACAATGATATACATTGCATAATACTGGGCTGAGTTACAAATGGCACGAACCTGGGGAAACTCAACCCAGAGGTGGTCCATCCGGCTCTCCACATTATTGGGGCTCGCAGCATGGTTCCCGTCCGCGCTGATCTCGTCATTGTATTTAAGTCGTAAAGTATTGTACTTGTCGTAGCGCAAACTGGCTGACGTTTTCTGCACAACGCGCTTGAAGCCAAAGGGGTCAACTTGGAAATCAAACATGACTTCCATAGGCACCCAAGGCGGCCAAGCAGATCCTGCGGGGACGCCGTAATGATTTCCGGAGTACATAGAAAGCAGTTGTGAAGAGAACCATTTTTGATGGGTGACAAAGAATTGTGTGCTGTCCATTTCAACCGCGAAGCGCCGTTGCACAAGACCACTCACATCATCGAAGATGCGATCCTTATCCATGACTTCGATAACCTTCAGTTCCATTCCCTTTGCTGTGACCAAGACGACTGCTTTAGGATTCTTCTCACTTTGAAGCTGGATTTGAGGCGCAATGAGCCGCAGGTGATAGCTGCTCTGAGCCATGAAGTCGCCAGCAATGTTCGCATCCAACTGCTCGTGAGAGACTCTCTCACTTGTTTCCTGAGTCTGAGGATCATCTACAGTGACGAAACTCTTTCCATCGGCAAGAATTTCTCTTATACGATCCTCGATGTCTTGAGACGCAACATCTTCACCCTGAAGTGCGGTAGGGGAACTTGCTGTTGCGGAATTTTCGGCTTGTGTATTTGTGCCCGGCTTTGCAGCTGCCTTCCCCTTATTTTGCTCTTCAACAATATCCAGAATGAACTTAACGGCGCGTCTTGAAAGATAGTATACAAAGCCACGTCTTTGACTGACTTGATGGATATATCGGAGGATGATGTTCCGTAACATATTATTCCACTTCAGCTGCATGTTATGGATAACAAAGCGATTGTTGAAGTCGCTCACGAATTCTGCCCCAGGATTGGTGTCCATGCCCTCGGCTTCCGGGTCGTACTTTTCGGGTGACGGGGTCTCGCCGTCGCTGTCGACATCAATGTCGCCATCTGGGACTGCTCTTTTCGTATTGGTTTTTACATGCATGGTCATACGATGCATTATAGACTCCAAAAAGATCTTTTTGTCTCGCAACACATCGCCATGTTGATTCAATTGCTCGAAGTCGTTCTTCAAAGTGGTGTTATTCTCATCCTTGATGTGTTTAAGCTCAGCATCTCCGAGAGCTTGAGTGTGAGAATCCATTTGTTGTTGGAGTTGGTCCAAACGGCTTTGAATCAGCTGGCATTGAACACGGCGAGGATCGTCATCCTTGCTCATAATGCAGAAATGCGTTGGCTCGTTGCCAAACGTGCTAGTTCGATCTGGATCCCCGGATATTGTGTCACCATGGCCGGTCTGCCGGAAATATGTAAAGCGTGGAGCGTAGGCAAGCGGCATTATCTTTGTGTCGGGGTTTGCTTCTGAAGGCAAGATCCAGTCTAGTTCGACGAAATCATCCATATCAATCCAACTGAAATCGTTGTCTGGTATCTCAAAGTGCGATAAGTCCGTGGCACCTTCTTCTTGTTGTGAAACAAGAAGACTAGGGGCGGAGGCTTTCCGAAGATCTTCTGGTGTGGTACCTGCAATGCTGGCTGCTACCGCTCGGATATCTGCCGATATCAAGTCGAGCTGGGCTTGATGCATTTTCATACCAGTTGTCTTGCCTTGTGTCTTTCGTCCCTTGTCTTGTGTGTTGAACTGTTCGCGCCTCTGATGCACGTCCAGCATAAAACTATCGAGCCTCATTTTGATTCCAGTAGCAGAAACAACGTCTTCCGAGTAGTCCTCCGCATCCTTGTGCTTGTAAATGTGGCTTAGGAAAAGGGGAGCTAGTAGGAGGCTGTATTTGACAGTGGCAATATGTCTGCCGAACTTCTTGCTGGACTTTTCGAGACCAGGCCATAAACTCCCTTGGCGGATGGGAAGTGACATAGTGCCATTAAACATGGACCACCAAGCGAAAAAGTGCGTGAAGAATCGAGGAGTCAAATGGACCGTGTTGTAGCTCTTGGAAGACTCTGTGTTAGTGACAACCCATTCTCTGTCCACAGGAGCTTTCACAGCTATTGACATGTGAATATGGTGACTTCGGAAGCCCCTGAAAGCATCGTATTCAAGACCAGGTGGGGCCTTTGCGAATTGTGGTTCTTTAAAGACGACGTTATAGTGAGGCTCAAACTCAAAGGACCGCCGGTGTCCTTTCTGCTCCAGATTTCTCTCAAACATCAAGCCTGCAAGCCACTGAACATTTCCTGAGAGTTTCATAACTACCTTCTTGAACGATGCGCCCCGCTTGAAGCTATCTGCACTAGAAACACTATCATCATCGCGGTTGTGCCTTGTTGTGCCACGGGCTTGGTGGCTGTAATCCGGAATCGCAAGAATGTATTCGCCGCTGTCCACTGTCATGAACTTCTTGGGATCTTCATCTCGGCATATGTTCCACCTCACGTCATTTCGCCAGCACATGAGGAATCCCGCACCGTTTCCGGTAACCATATACGGATCGCGAGTTCCCTTAAGCATGAGGTGGACATCGCCATCGCCCCGCCAAGCAACCTGAACGCGAGAGTGGAAACTGAGCCGTATTTTGTCCCAGAATCCAGTACGATCCGATGGATCGACCTGAGGCTTGGTGAAGCCTTCGATCACCATCATCATGTCCTGAATTGCTGGTTGATATGAAGCACCCCAGGTTATTCTGGTAGGGTAACCAGTATTGATATCCACGGTGATATCCGAGTATGTCTTCACTGGCGAAACAGTCCTTCGAACATCAATAGCAAATCCACCCTCGTTTGAAGTCTCCGGCTCGCGATTCTTTGGAGGGATAATATTGACTTTGACGTGGCGAGTCGATTCAGGACCTCGATATTCCTCTGCAATGACAAAGTCCGTCTTGAGTGACCATGCGGGCAACCTTGCTGACTGCCCAGGTTTGGTTGCTGGGACATGGAGGAGAGGTAATGGATAGTCTCGGAGAGTGACCCGCGCCTCTCCCATGTCTATCTGAACATGCAGAGGAACGAGCAGAGAATATTTCATGTCGTACGGCATGCCTTTCCCAACACGATGGATGAACTCCGGTAATTGGCTCATGTGAAATGAAGGTTTATCGATGGTGATGTGAAGGTCGCTGATCAACGTTGTCATTAAGGCCGGCCGTTGAGGCACTTCTAGGATTTCTTCCGTTTCTTCCATATCGTCAGGAAGCTCATCAGGTCCCCAGAACACACCACGTAGCTCTTTCATGCCATTTTTTGCCGAATTGGAAATGCGGTCGATTCGTTGTTTCCAACTTTGAGAGTTGTGGCGTTGCAACCTTTCGTAGGCCTCTGCAATCGAAATCTTAGCAGAGCCACTCATTCCACATGTGCCTTCTGGATCATAGCGCAACTTGCGGCCGCGGTGAGACCTCGATCGGCCATCCCGGGATGTGTTGTTTTCACTCTTGCTCCGCTGTCGAGCGCTATCCTTGTTGGTGCTACGGCCACGTGGGTGAGCCGATTTGGCACGGAATCGTAGGGAATCCTTCTGTCTCTCCTCCTCTTCAATCTTCTTGGCTTTGACTTTGAATGCTGCCTCACGTGCAATACGCTGTCCTTGCTCCACCAGACCAGCTCGGTATATTGCGGCCAATTTCCATTCAAATGCACCATCCTCGAGCTCAAACAGTAATGCTCTGCTCCGCAGCGAGATTTTGGGGACATGTTTTGGGCCCTCTGGGAATTTTTCGAGAATATACTCGTTTGTTCCAGTGACGAAACGATGGTGAAGCTGCTGGACAGATTTGAACGTGTTCATGAAATTGTCGAAGACTTTGTGAAGAATAAGTTGATGAGGAACAGCTAGTCTTATAGCCTCCGTGTTCACGTCGATCATCCGCTCGTCGTGCAATTCGCCATTGCTGTGCTTCCGTCTGTTGTCACGTAGATCAACTCGAAGAGTTTTCACACTGACGATCCTTGCCCAAACACGCTTCATTTTTGGGGCTTCAGCATACAACCGAGCAAGCTTGGCATGGACGAAAGGGGCCGACCACCTATGTCGGCCGGCTTCCATCCCATATATCTGTAGCATCATGGGGGGGTCGGCTGGCATGTCACCCTTCACTTGTACCAATGTCGACCGCACGTCCACGGTCACGAACTCTTTTGCGTTAAACGGATACACCGCAGAATCTTTCAATTGCAGATCTTCTGGAGATCTCAAGGGGGAAAGGTGGTCAGCACCACCAAAGACCCGCGCGGCTGCTCGTGCCCGCTCCGCTTCCAATACATCGGCTTTGGTGCGAACGAAGGCCTTCCTTAATACTGTGGTAGCAACTCCAACTGCGTAATGTCGATAGAGCGAGTATTGAAAAAGCAGTGTTCTTACGTGCGAATTGACATGGAAGATTGGCCCTTGGTTGTCACTTGATGTAGACAATGCCACTTCGAAGCGTGGCATGGCAACAAATGGTGATGCTTCCCATTTTTCGGTAGACTCGACCACAAATGCCTCCAGACCTCGAATGTGAACAGCTAAACGGCGGCCATCACTAGGAAGTTGTTGATGCTTCTTCCGCGGCGATTGTGGCATTTTCAAGAATGTTTCTGGATCTGGGGTCAAAGACCGACTCCCCGTTCTTCTTCGGGAGGCTCTTCGGTCTAGTGCTTCGGATTTTTGAGCCCGGTATTCCGCTGTCCAAGACTGCAATTGTAATGCTACGCCTCGGGTGTCATCAGAGATGTCTTCATCAACTCCAGCGACTTCCGCGCTGAAGTCAGAGCCCTGTATTGAAAAATGTAACAACCAAGCCGGTATTGCCCTAACAAAATTGGGGTCACGAGAGGTTTCCGCATGAGCTTTCTTCTCAGGCTCAACATTCAGTCGCAGTTGGCGAACTATCTGACGAACTCCATCGCTGATCTCTGGTCGAATCATGTGAATTGAAAAAGTCTGCAAAGTGCCTGTAGCTACAACATAGACTTCCGGATTCGCACTGAGTTGGACTTTCAGTTCCAGTGACTCGGTCTGAAGCAAGTCAAAATGAGCTCCCGATGATGTTTGGTAGTAGAGGTCATGAGACTGCAACCTGAGTGTCGAACCCAGGCTGTAATGTAGTTCTCCTACAGCTGAATGCGAAGATTCAATGTCCAAAGAGATCGAAGAGATGGAGGATATGATCAAGTCGAAGTCGTCTTCTTCTGCCGTCTTTTCGACGGGTGGAAGTGCGATCCGTATCACGGGTTCATGCATCGAGAATTTGACATTGGCCTTGGGTAGTAATCTAGAGATGAGAATGTGTCTCCGCGGTAACGTCCCACTCCTGGCCTTCGGTTTAGGCTGGAGAATAGCCAACAATAGAGGTAGATGCTTGGGATCCAGGTCAACAGACGGAGAAGTGATGACCATATTAGCGAAGAGGATATTAGCATTCCGTTCATCTGCACTATTGTCCCCACCGAACTCAACAGTCTTCGAAGGGAGAGTGGTTCGGACTGTCGTTGTCGCCATTGGAATATACATTAACCTGTCTGTCTTGCCTCGTCCTTCATCAACACCGATTGAAATTGATAGGGCTGCGACTAAGGCTTGGTGTGCAATGTCCTTGGAAGAGAAATACATTCGATGCGCGGGAGACTTCTGATCCAGCCTGTGCAAATCTACCCCAACCTCTTTCATGGAAGCATTCAAGTAGAGTGGTGAGCCGTGGGGCTGAACAGAGCTGATTTTCTTGGTAAACCCAACAAAACTGACGGCAAACTGCACCTCTTTGATGCCACGAAGGATAGAGCTCACAAATTCTTTTGAATCTGAGACAGTCCGCACCAGGTTCTCTTCTCGGCTGCCAGGTCTGTCGAGTTCCTCGAGCAGGTCCTGGACAGATATGTCTGCACCCACAGGCTCCGGCGGGGCGTACAATTTTCGACACCCCTTGTACCGATTGATGCAAGTATTGATGTCATCATACGGTATATGGACCCGGCCTAACTTCAGCGAGATAGCAGCATCTCTAAGGCCGTCGAGGTCCTTGTATAACAAGCCGTGGATGTTGAGTGTTGCATGATCCAGAACTTCCAAAGAATCCCTGCCTTCTGGAGTGAAGAGCACGCTGCGCATAGTAAGCATCCACTCTGCTGGACGCTGATCCTTTTTGGCTTTCTTGACATGGGAAAACATCCTCCCTCGGTCGACCATCTTGCGTCGGGTATCCACTGCCATTGTAAAGCTCCCAACTTGAATATGCCCCACGTCAACCAACGTCAGTGAGGAATTCGAGGCCACCACGTCCACCATGCGAATCCAGTTGATGTTTCGATGAAGGCGCTTTATTCGGTCCTTGATACCAGTAAGTCGTTCCCAGCTCTTGCTCCTGTGTGGCCCGGAGCTGGCTTTTCGTGACAATGGTTTTCGTTTCGGCTCGAATTCGCAATTGGGCCCATCTGCGCCTTCGACCATGCCGTTGGCCTCCCCGGGATCGCCATTCTTATCTCCTTCGGCAGCCTTCAAATCCACCGTTACAGCTAATTCCGTCAGGACGATACTGAGCCATGTTGGTTGCGCAAATGTAGGTCGGTGTAGATTTAGGCCGAGGCCCCTGATCTCTATCTTTATGCCATCTTTTGGAGTGTATGCAAGCCTTCTCAAAGATAAGTAGCCGATGCGCTGAATGGAAATGCCCGTGAGGATTCGTAGGACGGCGAAGAGTATGAACGATGACAAATATAAGAGGACGACCAGTCCAAAGATGAAGGAGGGATTCAAGAGCGCCATTTAAACCCTCAATCCTGGAACGCCATTCGCAGCGCAAATCTCGTCGCCGACTGGTAGGATAGGTGAAGCTCCTCTCGATGTCAGCTCCGTGCAGATGCAATTCCGGCAGGAGACAGTGCTGCCATTCGCAGTTTTGTCCTGCACAAAGAACCGTTGAGCTGGCCCAGTACACTGTTTACCCTTCCGCTGCTACCGACGTATGATGCGGGCGGAGGAGACGGACCAGCATAGTTCACCAGAGCTTCCACTGATTCGAGAAGAGAACTAGCTTGGGGTGAACGAGTTTCGTGGGAGAGCTAGATGGAGGCGGAGGCTCATTTTGTTGATAGTCGGAAATGACGTCTTGGAGTCGAGGCTCTGCACAAGCTCTCAAACGGCCGTCGTCAATTTTCGAGCCAAACCAGTGTTAATCGGCGCCGTCGAGCGGTAATGAGGGTTGTTGGGATATGCTACTCTGTTCTGGTGATGACCGAGACCGTTTGATAGCGAGGCTGCGCTATGATTGACAGGGGTCTGATTGGGCAAGGATGTAAGGTTTCCGGACATCCCGAATTGGGCATCCAGATTCGACGGTATGAAGCTGATCTACAAGCATCCATAGCGAGGCTGGAACAAGCTCATTTTAACTTTCTGTTCAAGTGACACAAAGCCTTAACTCGATTACTTGTTGCTATAGTTGTTCTAAAGGAGTCGATTATCTCTGTCAGTCTTCCATCAATACTTTCAGCACTGCACGGACCACTCATTTCAGGGGCTATGTTATCCAGTTGATATGGTAGAACCGTGGCTTTGAGTCCTTCTTTCGAACCAACCCTTGTTTGTTATATATTCTATCGAAGGTAGATGACGTTGAGGTGAACGTTCGGCGAAGATGCCAAGTATTCAGGTGATCTGCCCCATTTCTTGCCGACGGCTGGCTGCCGCTCAAGTGGTCATGTATTAGCATCTGAATGGATAGGAGCTGACCTCCCGTATCATTGTTCAGCAGTCATAAGACTTTCATGCCATTTCTTACATTTCACTTCTCTGGAAAATATACTAACAATGTCTGCGAGTCCTGGCTCTTCATCCTCGATTCTCGTGAAAGGAAACGATTTTGGCACCATCACTTCTCTTTGGTCATTTGAGTCAACGCTAAACATGGATTTTGAAATGGTCCACGAGAATAATGACAGCAACAAGTAACAATGACATTGCATCATCTACATAAATGCCATTCATTTCTGCTTCTTAGCAGCCCGTTTCAGAGCCCTGGTGTCCTTCTTCAACCTAGCATCAACGATCTTGTACTTCCCCTTTACGCCCCTTGGTCGCCCAGCAATACCCCTATTTCCACCTCTCGCAACAACAACCTTCACCTGTTGTTGGGGCTTCTTTTTCACCGCTTTACTCATCAGCTTCATAATGCTCTGAGCTTTCTCCTTCTCAGTCATTCCCTCCTCGTCTTGCAACATGGCAGACTTCTTCCGTAACTTCTCCAATCGCTGCGCAGCCTTGAACTTCTTCCTGTCTTTGGCTTCTCGCACCTTCTTAATAGGTCGAGCATTCAGGGCGCGGAGCTTCTCTTTGATGGCTGCGGCACCGGCAGCTGTAATGGGCCGATGGGGTTTATCGTGCCGTTTCTCGTCATCGAGAAACCATTCGGGTAAACCATCGCGGTCCTTGAAGGCATATTTGTTGAAACCTTCATCTATGAGATCTCGAGTTGTTTTCTCTCCCGAGGCAATCTGCTGTGCAAGAGTCATGGCTTCTGCTGTGATGATATCGATGTCTGTTGCTTGTTAGAGTTTAGACTTAGTAGAGATATATTTTGATGCATACCGAGCTTGCCATCTCTTCGCGGTGCCTCGTCCTCCCACTGTTTTTCTGCATCTGTACGTTTGACTACCTCAAATCCTTTCTCGTCGTCATCGGACTCAGATTCGGCGTCTTCTGCTAGTTCTGGAAGGTCGTCCTTGGATTCGGCCTCATCATCTGGTTGAATGATAGAATTTAAGCGATCAAGGTCTGCATCTACCTCCTCCTCATCTTCCTCTTCTGGAAGTCCTCCTATGTCCTTGAAGATGTCCTGGTCAAAGAACTGTGCTGCTCGCCGGGATAGGCCCCCTGACTTCTTCTCGTTGCTATCCAGATTGGTCAAAAGCGATCGCTTCGATGGCGCCTCCTCATCAGAAGACTCGTCACTGCTATCTTCCTCCAGCTCGTCGTCGTCCTCGCTGTCATGCTCTCCTGCCGAGAATCCCTCCCACTCGTTGTCGCCATGCTCTTTTCGTGCTTTCTTTGCCCGAAACTTAGCATCAGCATCGGATTTCCGATTTTGGTATTGCTCGTATAGAGAATCAAGCTCTCGGTCTAGCCTATCCTGCTCATTGTCGCTCTCCTCGTCATTTTCTCCTGATCCAAATCCACTATCTTGATCCTTCCGAGCATCCGCTTCAGTCAAAATTGCCATCTTGCCCTTGGCAATTTTGTCCACGGCTCCAGACTTATCGATAGCCTTGAGCCCAAACATCGAGCCTTCTCCATTGGGCCCTGCTTGCTCAAGACCAATTTCAGTTGGTGCAGTCATGTGGAGTTGCATTCGAATGATTTCCTTCTGCTTTTTCTCGTTTTCTCTTCTCCGTTCCCGCTTCTTTCTCGAAGTCTCCTTCTCACTCAATTCTTGTAATTCTTCCTGAATCTTTAGTTCCTCATCCATGGACTCGACTTCTGCGACTTCTTCTTCAGCAGCGGCGGCGTTCGCAGTCTTCTTCGTCGCAAACCCAAACTTCTCGCGAACTTTCAATCGCCATCTCAAAAGACTGCGGAACTCCTTTCGCCCCAATACTCTTAGATCAGCACAGCAATTTCGGATTTCTTGCGTGGTTTCTGGTAGTTTGTCCAGAGCCGCAAGAGCGACATCGCCGTTCGGTGGCTGCTCAAAATTTAGTCTGTTCAGACTACCAAGAATAGCAATGGGATCAGTCGTCTGTATGAACTCGCTAGCTGGCACCTCCTTGAACTGTGTATAATTCCCCTCCTCATAACCATCTCTCTTCCGCTTCTTGACTTCTGGATTGAAAACCTTGGCTTCATTGTTGGGTGTAGGATCTGAAAGCTCGGCGAAGACAGATCTAGGATCAAGAAATTTGGGGTCAATTCGTTTGGGGGCTTTGAAGCCTCGACAAACGACAAAAATTTCGGCGGAAACATTTCTCGAGGACGGCGGCTTTGTAGCTTCGACTTTGGTGAAGAGTTGATTGAAGACCCAAAGCAGATTGTTGTAATCCTTTGATCTAAAGACTTTTGTGACAAAAGTACCTCCTTCGACTAGAAATTCGGTTGCCAGCTTCATAGCCTGCAAAGCCAATTCTGCTTGGTTGAAAGAATCCTGAACCCATGCAGTACCAACATTCGGCGCACCATCGTGCAAGACTGTATCCGCCTTCCATGTCTTCAGATATTGACGAATCGTAGCTCGGCACTTATCAGTTGTGATATCGCTTTGGAAAGTTATGCATTTTGGGATTGCTTTGATGGGAGAAAGATCAACACCGACAATGAGGGAACCCTCCGGCATAGTCTCTGCAGCAACTTGACACCATGACTGTAGACACATCAGCTATTGATCTCTACACGTATAAAGAGAACCAACCCCAGGAGCAGCACAAAGATCCAACAAGACTTTGCTCTTCTCCAAGAATCCATATTTCTTGTTTAGCTGGATCAATTTGAATGCAGCTCGGGCCCGATATCCCTTCTCTTTGGCCAATTTGTACCACTTATCCAAACGACCCTTGCCGTGCTTCTTCTGAATACCCATGCTGGCGGGTTGGATGGATGTTGCTGGTCCAAATGAGGAGTTTGGTGTTCTCGATTTTGCTGATCGAGCCCGCGCTCAAAATTCTGATATTTCACGATAACGAAAATCCGCCAAGCCTATCGGGGAATGGTCGCACCTCCCAGCCACCATGCGCCACAATCGCGAGCGCGTCGGTTTGGCGTTAAGTGCTTAACCAAGTAAACGACGTGAAAAAGTTCAACTTCAAGCCCAGCAACAAACCACCCTCGACATGACTTGATGTTGCAGCTGGAGCTCCAGTGACTGCCAAAATGTCGTTGTTCGAGCTCGTAGACGATGCCAGTCCACCGGACTCCGAGGTTGCCCCATCATCGAGTCAGAATATATTCTCTTCCCCTCCTGGAGCTACGAGAAGTCGTCAGAAGGAAGAAAAACCACCATCTGTAACACCGAGAAGATTCAGGAAGTTCTTTACACCGCGGTCTCAAGGCTACCCAAACAGTTCTGCTCGTGAGGCTTTGCACGACATCACTGCACCGGCGCTGAATCGAAATCCCACTCAGTCAAGCCCTCTCCGTCCTTTTAAGAGTATCAATTCCAAAGAAGACAGTCCCACATCCTTTATTAGAGGTTCAAAAAGACAGAAGACAACACATACACCAGAAACCTCGCCCCGAAAATGTTCAAGACGAAAACCCTACAGCTCCCCTGAGGAAGCAAACGAAAGCGAACTCGGCGAGCACCTGCTGTCTTCACCTTGTGAAAGAGCTGTTCTGGACACAAATCATGAGGAGAAGGAGTCAATGGAAGAATACCAATATCAAAAGCCAGTAGAGCCCTTGAAACGAATTGTTTCCCGAGTGAACAGAGGTCTGGGAGGGCAGTTGTTAGACTTGAGCATCAGGAGCTCGGTTGGTCGAAGACGCCAACATCATGTCTACACGTCCAATGGTTTGTCAAGCACTAGTTTTCCTTGTATCCTGCTAATGCTGTTCAGATTGGCAAGATCACACCCAGTCGTTCTATTCTAGAGAGGATGATACCCACCTTTGTACAAGCATAACTGGGCCATCCCGTACCATCCCATTTTGCACAACAGGATGTAATAGTCAGTGCACATGTCCACAGAAGCTGGTTGAAAATATGTACTGACTTTCTTCTAGCAAATAGTCTCGTTGCTATGGGAGATGAAGAAGGTCGAGTCCGACTCATGGAGTCGGCCAAAGATCCAAACTCGGTACGTTTCTATAGATCTAATACCCATAAATATGGCCGAAGTCGAGTATTGAGCTCATTTATTACAGGTCTTTAAAGATGTATACCTTTCCTTTCGTGTCCATACCAACGCTATTATTGATATGGTTTTCTCCGATGACGACCGCTTCTTAGCAACAGCATCAGGCGATCAGAGCGCAAGAATTGTTGATATGACCACTCAAACCACCATTTCAATCCTTGGGAACCACACAGCTTCGTTGAAGCAAGTCCGATTTCAGCCTGGAGCAAACAACCATAGTATCATCGCTACATCAAGCAGGGATGGCAGTATACAGATATGGGATCTTCGAGTCCGCGGATACAGTGGTAAGCAAATTTTGAATTTGTCAAAAACTCCCCTTCAAGAGTACCTGTAATTACATGATTCTATTATTTTCGCCTTTTTGAGGCATCTCCCTCTAGATTTCTTTAGTCTTCTCGAGAACGCATTCCTGACGCTCTCCAGGCCCTCTTCATACAATGTACAGACCTGTGGATCCTGATGAGAACACAAATAACTCCCAGCCACACGATATTCAATGGGGCCGGGCTGTCAACAGCATATGGAATGCTCACAAGCCTTACACTCGCCACGCATCAAGTCTTAATCATCCTGATGCAGGTTCCCGTGGCGAATCAGTAGGCAGAGCAGGAGATGTTTCCGTCACAGCAATCGAGTTCCTGCCAGGTCGAGAACACCTCCTCATCTCTGCTTCTGAGGCAGATTGCTCAATTATGCTCTGGGACATACGATCTATCCATTCCAAGCGCAAGGTCCAGCTCCCACTTTCGGTGACGAAAAAGGTCGAAAGTCATACCAATTTCCGACATTTCGGTATTAACTCCCTCAATCTCAGCACTGACGGAAGTCGGATCTACAGTCTCTGCAAAGATAACACAGTCTACGCCTACTCGACCTCGCATCTGATCTTGGGTAACTCACCAGAACTTTCACTTACGAATCAAGAGCGCTACCTGCAACGAGACACACAAAAAGGACTAGGACCTATGTACGGTTTCCGACATCCACGACTACATGCCTCATCCTTTTATGTCAAGTCTGCCATCAGAAAAGCCAAGGATGGCAAATGCGAGATGCTAGCTGTTGGTAACAGCGGTGGCGACCCAATTTTATTCCCAACAGATGAGAGATACTTCCCGAAGGATACAGGAGAAAAATCAGCTACAGGACTTAATCCGGAACTTGCACAGAGAAGACCGACCCTTGCTAGAGTAGGCAGTGGCAGCTTTAATGGTCGGGCGGAAACTTCAATACCAATCTCGACAAACGGAACTCCCCTTGTTAGAGGTCACGATAGAGAGGTTGGAAATTTAGCGTGGACTTATGATGGAGAGCTGGTCACAGTTGGTGATGACTTTCTAGTGAGATTATGGCGGGAAGGAGGAAACGACGCAAGAGACCTGAGAATGGGTGGTGAAGCTGATGGCAGACGATGGGCTTGTGGATGGGCAGAAGTCAGTGAGGAGTACGATGACGACGATTGTTGACTGCTTTCGAGATACACATTTGCAGCGAGGTGGCGTTACAGAGAGAGGTCCTTTTCATTCATAAGCAGGTGTATGGCGTTCTGAAGCATGGTGGAGTCATGGTTCACCAATTGAATACTATTGATTCTCTCGCATGCAGTTCCCAAAATGGAACTCGGTGACACTGGATGGCCCAGTGGCTACCTTTCAATTCTTGAGAAAACTCTTTAAAGGCACTAGCATCCTCTGCACTTCAACCCCGGCTTTGATCATGATTGAGTATCTCTATCAGCCTGTTCCAACTATTTCTCCGAATGACATCTTTGGGGTTGGTTCCAAAGTCTCCCATCAAGTCTAGGAGGCAAAGTCCCTTTTGAGAAAGTTCTGCAAAGAGGTTAGCACACAACCTTAAAACCAAGAATTATCCACTTACAGGGATTCTGAGCATTCCGGCGCTGGAATTTCAACACTTGATTATATATATTGTTTCCTTCAACAAATTTTATGCCTTCGCTCTCTTCTTCTTCTGCCTCGACTTCTTCAATGAACTCAGATGGCTGGACGTTTTGTCGGGGTGATGCCTGCACGTTCTGCGTTGCTTGTTCAGCTCTCGTTTGAGGCGTCATTCTCTGAGCGGCTTGTTGGAATTGCATCATGTTCATTCCTTGTTGTTGAGAAGCTTCCTGCTGGAGACTGGCTTGGCTCTGTGCCTGTGCTTGGGCTTGGGCATGTGCTCGTGCTCGGAATGGTTGTAGCTGATGCAGTTGCTGCAACGTCTTTTTTTGGAACTGTCGCAAATGGTTCGGCATGATTTGACCTTGGAATGGCTGGTCCAGATGTTGTGGTGGCCTGAGATGTTGTATGGAGTTTTGCATTCTCTGGGCTCCTTGTTGATTTTGCATTATCTGCATGCTTGCTTGCAGATGAGTTTGCTGCTGAACTTGAGCTTGCGCTTGTGGCTTGGCGTTTTCCTCGGCTAATACAGTCACTGCTTCCACGAGTTCTTGTTGGACCTCCTGTATGGAATGGGGTATTGGCTGGAATGTCTGAAGTGGGATTTCAGCGTTTAACGTGTTCTGTGTTGTCATTGAACTCTGGGAAGTTTGATTGCCAGGAATTGCCACATGCGAATCATTTCGGACGGTTTGTTTAAGGAGATTGTATCTGCGTAAGACTTGTGCTTCTGTTCTAGTTGGAATGTGCCCAAGGAATCTTATCATGTATATGTCCTGTCCAGCCAAGTCGGCTTGTATTCCGTCCCTTATTTTTTGGTCTTCGGTCCGGGACCACTCTTTTTCTGTACTCGGTATACTCCGTCGCGGTTTAGGGCTCGACTGCTGTTGCTGTTGATGCCTTTGTGAGGAGCTACTAATTGGATGTGTTTGCTCTGCATAATTGTGCGGTCCTGTTATGGTAGCTTGGTGTGATGTCCAGAACCGCTTTGCAGTTTGCTCTTTGTCCAAAGCCTCTTCAGCTCTCTGCCCAGACTTTGTCAACCGAGTTATCCTCCGAGGCGAGGATTCCAAGAATACATGCTTACTTCGGCACTGACGTGCGGCGCAGCCGCCGTCGCAGGTGCGTCCGGAATCTGCTATCACAATCAACAAGAGTTCTTTTAATTCTCAAAGATCGACTTACCATCTTCTGGAGCTCGATATAATCCAGATACTTTACCAAGTCTGGTGTTTGCCATGGATCTTGGATAGATTGATTCGCATCACTTATCGAGTCGAGGATGGCTTGAATTCCAACCTCCAAGCGGTATCTGGTCTCGATGCAATTTTTGAGGGCGGTGGCAAGCGGTATGCTCTCCAAGTCAAACAACGCCGACTCGCGAGTCTCCCAGCACCAGAGCAACTGTCCTCGCGATATCGATAAGGTTCCGCTCGAGTCGCTGGCCGGGAGGTTGAGAATTTCGTCCATGGTGGTGATTCAAAAACGATACCGTCGATGTTAATTGCTGCAGACGAGTTTTGGAATGTCGAGACTGGGGGAAAAAGTAGGCAAGAGGCTACTACGTGACTTCCCGTTTCTACCAACATTGGTACGTATTTTGCCTCCCGTCCATCTGGAACGCTCTTTCTACTTTTTGATATCGCTCACGTTCAATGTTTCTGCAACCTCACATAATCGCACATTGGCTCTAACCAGACCTCAAATATTTTGTAGCAGGCTCCTCTATGTGGGACCATTAGGATGCAGAGTTGAGCATACTCGCTTAAATTCCGTTCTTGAGCGAAATGAAAATAAGGGGCAAGTCACATGATACTTCCTCAATCGAGTCTCGCGGTGGGCGAAAAAAGCACTGATCAATGTCCTCAGTCAACGTTGGACCTTGGGAAGAGACGATATTCAAATGTTCTAAAAGCTCGGGTACACTCGGAGGAGGTAAACTTCCAATATGCTATAAATTGACCAAATATTCAAAGAGAAAGCACCTGGAATAGTCCAACTTGACTTGGGACGTTGAAAATTTAGCGTCGCTTTTTTGTCCACCGTGAGCGTGTTTCCTCATGAATTGAGAGATTATTCATGTATCAAAGGAATTAATAAAAAGACCCTCAGCTACAACCTCTTTTCACATTCGCCGAATGCATCCCCCAAACCACCTTTGATATCCATCTCATCACAGTCATTAAACACTATATATCCAACCTCCTTTATATACAAACTCTACCTTCTCCACATCTATATATTTTTTATGGCAAATAATAAGCACTCAATCTATTCCCTGCCCCACAATATTCAAGAGAATTCCCCGGACACAAGAACGAGCAGTCACTCGCCGTAGCGTTCACACTCCCGGTATTCCAGGCGTTTCCACAATAACACTCTCCTCCGTATTCCACGCCCCAGTACTTGTAGCCGGCGCAATTAGACGCACACATCTCAAGGTTCATCGAGGTGTAGTTATAAAACGAGGCTCCGGTCAGGGCTCGGATGTTGGTCCCTTCTGTTTGGCAGCCGTAGTACTTATAACTTCCAATGACTGGCTTGATAGCTGGAGCGGTCTGCGTGGGCTTCGCCGTGGTCGTCGTGGAGGTCTTGCTCGTGCTGCTGCTTACCACGGTACTCAGCGTTGACGACGTCGAAGTACTAGATCTGAGAGATGATAAGCTGGTGAGTTTTGAGGTAGTTGACGATTTTGTAGAAGACGAGGATGATGATTTTGTGCTACTGGAGGTGCTGACGGACTTTGATGTCGACGTCTTGGTTGAGGAGGATTTGACGGAGCTTGTTGTCGACGTCTTTGATGTAGTGGAAGTGTGTACTGACGTTGAGCTTGATGAGGTGCTGACAGTTACAGTCCCAATCTTATACATTTCGAGGCGATTCCCTGCGCCACAATACTCAAATTCGTTCCCCGGACAAACCATTGAACAGTCACTCGCTGCGGCGAGAACTGAACCAGTATTGATGACGTTGCCGCAATAACACTGTCTTGGTTAGCTTTAATGTAAAAGGTCAGGATATGATCGAACTTGCCTCTCCAGCATACTCCACGCCGAAGTAGGTGTAGCCAACACAGTCCGCAGCGCATGCCTCAAGAGTCATAGCGGTATAATCATAGAATGAGGCGCTTGAGAGGGCACGAATATTTGTAGCTTCGGTATAGCATCCTTGGAAGGTGTATCCTGCAACAGTCTGTTTGATTCCAAGAGTTTGAGACGGTGCCACGCTAGACGAGGAGGATGTCGAGGTCACAGTTTTGGTCGTCGAGGTGCTGGAGGCTACTGAAGACAAGGAACTAGTCTTGCTCGTGGTCGATTGGACGACGCTACTGCTTGAGACAAGAGACGTCAACTCGTACATCTCAAGCCTGTTGCCAGCTCCACAATACTCAAAAGCGTTGCCCGGGCAAATGAAAGAGCAATCGCTCAAGGCAGCTAAAATTGATCCCGTGCCGAGGGCGTTGCCACAATAACCTGAACCGCATTAGAACAAAGAGTCACGGGATTTTGGCAAAGTTGCTTACATTCTCCTCCATACTCCACGCCGAAGTACGAATAGCCAGAACAATCACTCATGCATTGCTCAATCGTCATACCTGAAACGAAAATTAGAATGAGGGAGAAAACAAAGAGCTAACAAAACATTCGACGAGCCGATCACTCTGAAGATCTCGATGCTGCAGAGAATGTTCCGAAAAAGGTTTCAAAGGGTTCCCTTACCAGTGTAATTGTAGAATGCAGCCGATGAGAGAGCCCGAACCCCGACGCCCTCAGTATAGCATCCGAGGTATGAATAAGGACCGACAGTGGCCTTGTGAGCGAGTGTCGGGGTTGCAGTAGCCGATGAAGAGGTGCTTGTTTTGCTACTCGTACTCGAGGATGTGCTACTTGGTAGAGTCGTCCCAAGGGGTGAGCACGCCGTCCCCAAAGCAGAAGCATCTTTGAACGAGTCTGCGAAAGTTCCACTACCAACACCATACTTCAGCCCAGAAGAGGAACTATAAGAAACACTACCGCTATAGATATTGTAGGGCCCAACTGCAGCCCCCTTGACCATAGTGGTGGAAGTGGTGACCAAAGACGGCACTGGAGAAACGATGGGACTTCCCGCGGTCCGGGGAACCTTTTCGGTGACATTCAGGCTCACTGGTGTAGTGACTGTGGCTCGTACTGCTGCAAGGACGGTGAGATTTCCGTTGCTCAAACAGCTCTGAGGAGTCTGCACGATGACCGAATCCGAAATAGGAAATCCAGCCCCGTTATTATTGAAAGTTTCAATCGTACCGCTGGTACCCGTAACCACCACAGTGAAAGACGAGATGGATGAAGACGCCGGGATGTTCGCGTTGATGCCATAAAATGTAAAGCTATCATCAAAACCACTGGCCGTACCGCTGACAGCCGTAGTGATGGTTCCTCCTGCTGCCCCGGTTCGGTCAAGGTATGTGATGGAAACACTAGACACACTGCGAGTTGTGGTCCTCACCCGAATATCGCCAGTAAACGAGATTGTAGCACCGCCGGAGAGTAAGGTGAGCTGAAGACCTTCGGGCTTGACTTCGTACGGTGCAATAATAGGTGAAAGTGTCACAATACTTGGATCCACGGTCTCGATCATCCTCTGGAGAATGTCCTGGTCCCAAGAAATCGGAGTCAGCATACTTCTTGCAGGTATTTTCAGGGGTACAGTATTCCAGAAACTGTGGGACGTTGAGAACAGAATGTTCCAAGAGCTTCTGGACAATGGGAGTAGAATGTTCCACGAGCTCTTGAGACATTGCTACAAGGAACCACTACCGCGAGAAATCAGGACTTACCTGGCACATGCTGTTGAACGTTGCTGCATCTGTCATTGCCTGGATTGTGACATTCTTATCAGCAGTGAAGACAGCAAAGTCCGAGTTTCTTGTATTGGCGACCGAAATCCCAACAACCAGAGGATCAGTATCCGGACCGCTAACGTATCGGGTGGCAATTGCGTTGTCGAATTCCAAGGTGTTATCGAAGAGCTGGAAGTCATTGGCCACAGTTCCTGGTGCCACGATATTGTTGAAGTCGCCAGCATGAACTCCTCCAAGCGTGTGGCCACAAGCAGTCATCTTGATCATGTCGGTCGTGTTGAATCCCATTCTCGTGAACTGATTGATGAAGATTCCCTGTCCATTCTGAGGCTGCGGAACACCAATTGGGCCTGCAACTGTCACGTCTATCCTTCCACCACGCATGGGAATAATGGGTCCGCCACACGTTCGAGTACTTGCATAGACCCCAAGGGCCACAAGGTCACCAATAGACAGCTTGCTGTTGAAAAAATTGGCGTAGGTATGCAAGGTCGTGTTGAACCCGAGACCGATGTTCTCCCCGCTGCCATCGAATTAGTACAGAGTTTCCCTTAACTTTAAGGAGGGCTCAGGGGCTGATGAGCCAAGCTCCCAAGTCGAATGTGCAGACGGGTTCCCGTGAAGCTCTTGGGCTCTAAGCTCTTATAGAAGAAAGTAGCAAGATGTTGTAAGAAGGAGGCTTACTCATTCAATTCGAATTGTATGGACCCATCAACTCCGCCATGTGTTCCAACGAACGCATTTGTCGTTGCCATATCATGGAAGCCAATCCGAAGCCATTCGGCAGCCGTGTTACGTCCAGCTCCAAATTCTGAGAAGCTGCATGGCGTAACGTGGGTACCAAATCCTCTACTCCTATACCCCGAATTAAGAAACATAACATCCTCCAACTCATCAATGGCATTGGGCCATGTTACCTGGGCCTCCCCCAGGCCCAAGAACATGGCAACCAAGCCCAGAGTCGTCGGACACAGCTTCATGATTAGATATTAACAAAAAGATCGAAAGTGTATCGATAAACGAGTGTGAGGCTGCAACTTGCAGCAAGAGAACCAACGCGGCGCACAACAGAAAAACGAGAGAAAGCTGACAGCCACGGAGAATATATTTAACGGACATTGCTTTGCAACCCCATGCGGGTCAGCCGCATGTTTACTGGTCGTGATAGGTGCGAGTTGCCCAGCCTCGTATCCAGGAGAGCGGGCAGGGGGCGTCTGTCGATGTGGACCCAGTCAGCTCACTCGGAGCTCCAAGGGTCAGCCTGCACCCTCGCCCCAACATCTGCACCGTGCACGATAGGGGAGGGATTAAACATTGAAGAAAAGTACGGAGTCCCACTCGACTCCGATCGTCGACTAACTGAGACAATGAGATTAGATCAAAGAGATATGATGACGACGCGTGGAGGCGGACATGGCCCGAGATTGACATGTCCTCATCAGGCAAGGCGTGCCGAAGAAACATTGATATTGATGAGCTTCCCGCGTCCCGCAGCCGTCCTTGATCTTCTGCCTGGGCCAAGACTCAAGAGCCATGCCTGGAGTTGCACTATGAACAGTCCACATCTGATAAAACCCTGCGCCCACAGGGCCACAGGCACGAACTCGCGCCGAGCACTGTTCTCCAGCCGCCACGGGACGACATCCGCGTCAACGAAGGAGCGATCGCCCAATGACAAGCCGCTTTTTCGGGGTTCTAATTAAACATTCTGGGCTTGGAAAAGCCCCTCTCCCGGATCCAGGGGTACTCGTCGACGCCGCCAATCGTGCGGGACATGCAGAAGTCTATCGATTCCGTACATGAATCTATTTATGCAACGACAACGGGCAGCACATGGGATTTTGTGAAAGATGCACCTTCCATCTGCTTGAAACCTCAAGAGGATGAAACGGTGGGAATGATTGAGTTGAGGTTGAGGCAAGAAATTTGAAGGAATTGAAGAAAAGCTGCGGTTAAAAATAACCTTATCTCAGCCTTAGAAATGGTTCCATGCAGTATCAAACTTAAATCCCAACTGAAGTGCATTGTCAGAACTTTACTGTACCACCCACCATCACGACCTTGCCAAGTTGCTACACCTCCTGTGGCAAGCCGCAACCCTCTCTGAAGGCCCTTTGGGCCTCTGGACTCACCAAGCCCTAGAATCTCAGACCACATGCCGAATGCCGAGTCTCCCGCCCCTGAATGAAACCCTTCCAAAATCAATAAACCCCCAATTTTGACAGCACGCCCAGCATGAACCGCACACGGTCCGATCCTCTAGATCCAATCATCGAGCTGCTCACCACATACAATGAGCTCAACTCTTCGCGAATCGACGAGCTGTCAGAAGTGCCTTCGGCTTTGGAGTTCATGAGATATGTGCGTCTTAACAGACCGTTTGTGGTGCGTGGTGGAGCGAAGGATTGGAGCGCTACGCAGACCTGGGATATCAAGATTTTGAAGGAGTTGCTAGAAGGGCAGACTGTTCAAGTTGCAGTGACACCTGCGGGGTATGTTTATACCCCCTTTGGAAGGAAGACAGTGTATTGAGAGGCAGCAGAAACGCCGATTCGCCAACACGAAACGCAGAAGGAGAGCTCATCTTCGTCAAGCCCTGGGAAGAACAGCAAACCTTCTCCTCATTCATCGATTTCATCTCCTCACAGGAGCTGCACTCCTCCCCGTCCGTCCCAGAAGTCCGCTATGCACAAACCCGTCCGTACCTTCTCACGTGATCACCCCTATCCTCCTCCCTCTCTAACGCCATCCAGAAAATGACAACCTACGCAACGAGTACGCAACTCTCTTCTCACACGTTGAGAAAGACATCTCTTGGGTGAGGATAGCGCTCCAAGAGGAGCCTGAAGCTGTCAATCTCTGGATCGGTAACTCGAGATCCGTGACCGCGTTGCATAAGGATAATTATGAGAACTTGTATGTCCAGATTTGCGGTGAGAAGAAATTTTGTTTAGTGCCGCCGCTGGCCTATGCATGTGTGGCCGAGCGAGAGTTGAGACCTGCTGCTTATGTGAGTCTCAATTTTCTTAAATCATTATTTACTATTGCCCGTATCCTGCGACTTGTTTACGTTGAAGGCGGTACTGATCTGAGATCTGGGAAATAGGTACGGAAAGAGAATGGATCATTAGAAATCCAGGAGGAGGAAGGCGACAAAGTTCCCTTCCCAACGTGGGATCCGGACGGTGGTGGCCAAGAGACGAAGTACTCTCAATATGCGCAGCCAATTCGCGTTACATTGCATCCTTCAGATATCCTTTATCTTCCTGCTCTGTGGTAATCTTATCATGTTGCTGAAGAAACACTGCTGATCGAAGTAGGTATCACAAAGTATCTCAATCCACGAACGAAGAGGGAATTTGTTGTGCTGTGAATTACTGGTGAGTAATTTCTATTGCACGCGAGGGCGAGAAAACTACTGATGAAGCTAGGTATGATCTGGAATGGGGAGGAAGCTTCTACCCTCTGTGTAACTTTGTGAGGAGTGCTGGGATAGCCGCTCTGAATGGGTGATAGATAGCCCGGGGTACATCAAAGCAACCCAAACTCTTTACCTCGGAATGCCCTGATCAGCTTGGGACATTTAACAGCGGCTGAGTCACAACGTCCCGAGCTTTCCAAGGAGATTGTGGATTTACGAAGCCTAAGTTCCTTCGTTCGCTCAGCTTGGAGGGAATCGTGTCTACCTCCCATCCCACAAAAATTATCTCCACCTTCTTTGCAAAACGATGAAGCGGTTGGGCTATGCGATCGAGAATAAGGCCACATGTAATCTTACGACATGAGTATTGTTGATCTTCATCGCCTCTGAGAGGGTTAGGGTGCTCCGGGCTTTGAACAGCTGGATCATGCGACACATCAAACATTCGAGTATTATTCACGCGTTCACTAAAAACATGTCACCATGCACCTCAATGAGCAAGGTGAAATTGGCTGAACAACTTGTGTATTGTCAAAGGCCTGACATGCCACAATGAAAAGCATTTAAAAGTACAAACAAGCATATTCGCACCCCTTCATCCACTCTATGCCCTAGTAACAAGCCGCCGCCTTGCATATGGTGGAAGAAAAGCTGTCCATGTCATGGAGATCGCATCCAGCGACCAAACTTTTGATAGACAGCCCGCGTAGATACCAAGAAAGACGTTTGCTAGGCACACCGAAAGACACATGATGAGGAACATGCCATGAGTCGAGGAAAATGTTTGTGCAGAGGCCACCCGTATGCGATCTAAGTGTGCAGGTGTCCGTTTTGTGTGGAAGCGCAGTCTCCGAGGCCAGAATCAGCCTGGATCTGAGCATAAGATCTAACCATGAGTGAGATATGAAAAGATCCAACGCCAAAAGGAAGTCGTCGAGAAGAGGAGAGATGGCGATTAAAGAGGTGTACGCGGAGAGTCGTGATAGCCGTAAAGTTCGAAAAGACCATGCTTATAGAATGCTTTAAGCTTGCTCAATTCTATCGCCAACCAATTTTGAAATATGCGTTACAGTCGTAAGCCGCTCAGGATGCAATGACGCGGGCGCCTGCATTACCACCTCGGTTGTTCTTCTTTGGCTTTGATACAGTGCTCCAGCCGTCCTCCTCGGGGGCTGCAGCCTCAGGTTCGGCAGCGGGGGCCTGAGCGGCGGTTGCTGGTGAGCCTCCTCCATTCATGTTTTGTCTTGGCGGTCTATCTTCAAAATGTCTTGGACCTCCTCGACCTTCGCCTCTACCTCGACCCCGGCCTCGTGGACCACGGGGGATATCATCTCGCGGTGGTGGTGGGCCTCCGGATGGTCTTCTCCAAGCACCAGTTTCGGATGGCTTCGGCTTAACGTCTCGTACAATCTCCTTTGGTTTCACGGCCTTGTCGTCAACAATGTTCCCGTTCGAGTTCTCCTTCTCAACGGCTTCTTCTTCCTTGCCTGCGTCCTCTTCATCGGGTCTCTGCAAGATCTCAACCTTCTTCTCTCCGTCAGCAGCTTCCTGCTTGTCAGCTTCTGCAGCTTTAGCGGCCTTCGCAGCTTCTCGTTTTTCCTCCTTGGCCTTCTCCTCAACTTCCTTCTTCTCGCGAATTGCAGCCAATCTCTTTTCCTCGATTTCTCTCTCTTTTGCTGCGGTGTCGATTGGGCGAGCAGCACCAAATGGGCTTGCCTTGGCGTCACCAGAGGCAGACGACGGGGATGGTAGATCAGTAGCCTCTGAAACGGTTCTCTTGGCGAGGTTCAACTTCGGTCGACCCACCGGTAAGGCTCCAGCAAGAGTAGGAGATGAGGGTGCCTCACTTCCATCACGAGATGGTACAGGTGACTTGGCTGCTGGGGGGTCTGGTCGCATCTTGGAACGCCATTGGTTGTCTTGCTCCGCAGCAGTGGGAGCCCGCTCGACAGCTGGGCGCTCTTGAAATTCTCGCCTCGGCGGTCTTGAACCATCTTGCGATCCCTGAGGGCGGCCCTCACCCCATGCGGCTGGTGATGATCTGCGATCTCTGAATCCTTCTCCTCTTGGGCCATCGTTTGTTCTAGGACGACCACCCTCTCGTGGACCACGCTCTGGTTGCGCAATAGGAGACAAGGGTCCTTTGCGCTCCCAGTTACCGAAATCACGGATCTTCCCATCGCCCTCCGGAAAACGCTCCTTGCGCTCTCCTCCACCATAATCAGATCCGAAACCTCGGTCAGAGTCACGACGAGAACCTCCCCCTCCTCGGCCTGGCAAGTCTGGCAACGGGCCCTTCCTGCTCCAGTCCGTAATTTCTCTTGCGTCTGGGCGGTCTCGGTCCTTGGCTGGAAAAGAGCAAAGTCAGATGCTGAACGGAATAAATATGGCTTCCAAACTTACGAGGATCAGCGACGCTGATTCTGATGTTACGTCCTTGAAACTGGGTGCCATTAAGAGTCAAAGCCTGCTTCAGTCCGTCGAGTGTTGCAAATTCTGCATAACCGAACCCCTTTGGCTTCATCTCCATTTTGTCCTCGATAATTCGGACATTTGTACACTCGCAGCCAGCAAAGAAGTCTGTGACATCTCCAACGGTAGCATCAAACGAGAGGTTGCCAAGATGAACGGTAAACGGGGGTTTGTTGGGCAATGGAAGTTCCTCGCGAACAGAGTAACCTATCATATCAGCATTCGGAACGCAATTGGATATTTGAAATAATGACGACTTACCTCCCATGCTACTCCCACCATATTGGCCGGTCGTAGAGCTGTAAGTACGGCGTTCGCCTCCTCCGTAGCCAGTCCGAGAGTCTGCTATAGTTAGTTGACGTGCGCTTATTCACAAAAGCGTATAGCCTGTGCGGGGAAGTGAAAAATGCTTACCAGCTACAGAGTCAAAGGTCAGCAAAATTAACTTTCGGCAGATTGTGATATGCACTTACAAACTGGCATGTCCTCCATCTCATCTGCCCATGATCCCATTTCTGCAACATATTAGAGTCGGTCTTTCGGGGAAGGCTGAGGGTGCCTGATTCTCCTTACTTTCGTCAGTCAAGAAGGCCCCGAGGGACATCTTCTGCTGCTCCTTCTTTTTGGGAGCTATATAACATAGGGGTTAGCGATCATGGTACTGAATTGCATCTGCTCCCGCAACATTGCGATCCTGAAGCTGCAGATTGAAAATATGCGGAGGACAGGCTTACCCATGTTTGCGGTGCTTCCAGGACACTGCGCGAGAACCTCAGCTCTTGCGCTTTGTCCTCTGGAGTCAGCTGAAGGAAGAGAGCTCCTTCAGATCTATTGTCTTTGGGTTCTTCGGTGTCGAGACGAGTCCGGGAGACTCGATTGTGTCGTTGTGATGGATGAAGTCGTTGGGAAATATTCTGGAGTTTTGCCCACTGGAAGAATTTCAAGTGCAAGCCACTAGTTCTCGTTCTAGTCGACGCTAAGCTCTTTTCGGCATAGGCCGTGCCGATTGTTCCTTCCGAATATGAATGATCGATCTACTCTCTGCACGGAAGCAACAACCAATTTCGACAATGACTGACTGAGACGCTCTGAACTATGCAACCAAACATATGTGCTATTCAGAAGGTCAAAGGCGACATGGAACAACCTCAATCATCAAGCAGAGAGACTGGGCCTCCTCGAAGGAGCAACGGGTTGCCACCAGAAATACTTGAAATCATATGGCCTGCCCTGCAAGTTGGAGGGCTCTCTGGTGTGTATTCAATTTATCACTAGCTGTAACTCAACATCTCGAGACACTATTCTCCTCTCAACCAACGCCTGGAATATTTGCACGTGATTGTACCCCTCCTGAAACAGAATGCTAACCTTCAATCAAAGGCATGTCTGGAATGTTGGTTGGAGGCTTTGCTGGTGTAATCCGATCAACTACACCCACGCTGTTTGCCCTGGCATCAGGTATTCAATGGTTCACCTTAGGGACCACATTCTGCGGTGCGTGGCACCAGCTTTTGTTCAGAAGACTCAGCTAATAATTTGTTCCTCTATTTTCAGCCTCAAGGGGTTTCGTTATCCACGTCTGGGGAAAGGACAAGGTTGGACCTGGAGAAAAAGTCTCTGCTAGTGCAATAGCAGGCGGAGTTGGGGGGACAGCCGGCGGCCTTCTCCGTTAGTTTTCTGCACCTTCCTACATTATGATTTAACACGTATCCCAGGGGGCCGAGGAAATGTCATTCCAGGAGCTATCGTGTTTGCCCTATTCGGAGCAACAGGACAAGCAGTATACAATTGGGCAGATGCTCGAAATTCTCAGCTGGTAGAAAGGGGGGAATCCGACAAGAGGAACTTCATTTTGAATTCCAAGTGGAGTCCAATGAAAGTGTTGTCTGATAGCGAGTACGAGAACATGTTGAGAGAGAAGCTTCTCCGAGTCAACGCTCAGATTGCGTTAGTTAACGAGAACATTGAAGCCTTGCGAGCTCAAGAGCGCCAATTGGCTGCCGAGAATGACCAAAGGCTGAATGATCCCAAAGACACATCGTCATAACAAGCTTGTACAATACTAGTATTGTAGCTGGCATTTATTGGATACAACTTCCGACAGCTTTGATATCCTTCGATTATTAAATGTGCTTACGTGAGACGAGAACTGTAGCGTAGCCTGACCCCTGCATTTGAATGCTTGAATGCTATAAATCTCCCAAGTACTTGTAAAGGGGGTGGACATACCGGATTGAACTCCTGTACGTGCAGCTATATGTCGGAGACAGGTGTTGCTATAGTGAAAGCACGTGCACACCTTGTCTACTAAACTTTTAGGTGTAAAAGCCTCTATGGCAACAGCACAGCGACATATAATCACCTTACATGAGTCCAATCCGATGCGTCCGCCCCCTTTGCTGTCAAATTGCCAGTACTTCCTCTCCTTCCTTCACGAATTCTCAAGTCTAAAGCATATTTCAGAGCTCTGAAAAGCCTCTTCCTCTTTTCCAATACTTTACATATCGAGTTCTCCTCTATCTCTTTCTTTCTTTCTTTGTCATGGCCTCTACGCAAACCAAGCCTCCTTTTACCCCCGAAGCAAATGTTCCCTAAAACTGCCGCCTCTTTGAAGCAATCCTCGACACAACTTCCGAAGACATAAACAAGCACATTTTCACTCACCTGCTTCCTACTTTTCTTCCAAACCCTCTGATCCGCGACAGTGGCTGCGGTTGTGGCCAAGTAACATCCGAAATCATGCCACTCATCCCCGGTCATCGATCCGGATCAAAGCTACAGACGCCAACAAGTATGTATCTACTTTCTCTCTATGCCATTGAGTGTCTCTCGAATCATGGTCATTCAACCCGTTGTTCTCATCTAATGGTTTCACGAGCCGTCGGACACTGGCAGTTCTTCTCTTGTCTAGATGCCCACCATATCGTGACATGAGGGCAATCCTAAAATCTTCTCGGTACCAAATCGGCGGCTGCCAAGATAAGGGGTCGTTGCCAATCACTGGCCTGTTAAACTTCATCAAGCGTGCGCAAAAACTCACCTTTCCTGACAATTATTTCGACTTGTCCTTCACCAACTTCGTGGTCACCGACCTGGACGATCAAAAAATCGTAGGGCAGCACCTTTACCGCACACTCAAACCCGGTGGACAAGCAATTGTCTGCACCTTCGCTTTCTGTCCCCATGGTGATGCCAGAAGAGCCGCTCATCTTGCCACCAGACGACCAAATGCCAAGCTAGGGCTAGCATATGATCCAGAATGATTGAAGCAGAAGACGCTCAGAGATTTCTTGGTAGCAGGTGGATTTGGGAGAAAAGTTCAGATTAGTACTTGTGAGCTTTTGAGAAGACAAAGGATTTGAGGTGGCCGGTGACTGCATTGTGGGGATACATAGGGCAGAGGGATGATGGTTGGAAAGAGGAAGATGAGGAGAAGTGGGATGAGGCTATTGATGTTATGGCGAAGACGACGGAGAAGTCTCTTGGTGCGACGAAGGCGAATGATGGCGGGCCGCTGCTTAAATTTGTGGTAAATATTTCGATCTCAACGAAGTAGATAACCGAGTGGAGATTTCTGTTCAAATGGGGAGTGAATCTTGAATACTGCAGTTTTGTTGCACATCGACTCGATGCTCTAGAGCACCTGGAACATTGAGAATGTTGTTGAATGGGAGGGGGGGCTCTTTTTCACGCGGAAGGTTAGCAACAGTGAATGTTTCACATCATCCATTCTCCTAGCTAATCATTTTTGGACTTTTGTGCCTTCGTACTCCAATGCTATGCAGAATCGGAGAAATATATCAGAACTCATCTATTCGTCATCCCCCGGTTGACTCTTCTTCTGGCCCGCAGATCTCACCCACTCTTCAGCCTTCGCCTTGACCTTCTCCTGGCTTTTCTTATCTCCATTCTTCTCCTCCCATTCAGACCACCGCCTAAACCAAGATTTGGCACCCTTAGGCTTGAGACCTTTCGTCTTAACCACACGTTCAAATACCCCACGGATAATATCCTGGTCACCTTGCTGTATCTCAAGATCCAGAAGCTGATTCCAGATATCAAGTCTTTTAGGGAAGGTCGACAGTAAGCCCTCAAACATAGTTCGGCCACGCTCAGGAGATCCAGAAGAGGAGTGAAACTCGAGGGCAGCAAACTTGAGGGTGAGATTAAGATGTGTATGAGGAGGAAGGGACTGTGTTGCGCGAGGGAGAAGCGCTCGAGCGCGATCGGGTGATGCTAAAGTTGTGTGCAGGAAATGTGCATAATTGTACCACACCGTGGGCGACTGTGAGAATTTCTTAACGAGGACTTGGAAGAGCTCATCAGCTTTCTGTGTGGGAGTCAGGAGTCAGTACGAGTTCAACTTTTAGGACTTTGAAAAACTTACATCGTGCTTGCCAGACTGGATGTAAATACTGGTCAGCCTCTCATGGATCTCTTGGGCATCGTTGTATTGACAAGCTCTCTTGAAGGCTTCCTCAACAGTCTCATCACTCCCGTATGTGTTCTCAAGATTTAACAGAGCAATCCACACATTCATCTTCTCAGTCTCTTCCGTAATGTTGATTGATTTTATGGCACGTTCTGCAACGTCTCTTGCCTTGCCAAGCTCGCTGAGTTGCATTTGGAATGCCATATATTGGATCCAAAGTTCCGCGGAGTCTGGCTGACCAAGGAGAAGGCGCTCAAAGTCGCTAACGGATTGAGGTCCGTTAGCATCAAGGTCACCAGTTTTGTCGATCTTGATTTCTCCCTTCCTGCGCTTCTTCTTCTTCGGGGTTTCGTCTGCATCTTCATCGTCCGACTCCGCACCTGATTGCTCTTCAATCTGATCCAAGACATCAGCTGTCCAGTCAAATCCACCAGCATTGAGAGCAGCGACACCCGAGTCATCACCAGCATCGACCATTTCTTCGTCAGACTGCTCATTTTGCTCGGCTCCACCGTCACTGCTCTCAACATCATCGAGATCGATTCCGCCATGCTTGTTGTCCTCCGAGCCCTCCTCATCGTTTTCATCAGTGTCCTCTCCGATCTTGACTCCCTGCATCCCACTCAAGTCATCGTCATCACTTTCTACCTCTGCTTCTGCACCAGTCTCAAAGTACGATGCCTTGAGTCCAAAGTTGATTCGCCGTTTCTCAGGGTCGACCTTCAGAACAACTGCTTTGACCGAGTCACCCTCTTCATAGAGCTTCTTGACATCGTGAACAGGCTTCTCAGCCATTTCACTCTTGTGGCAAAGGCCGCTGACTTTATCTGAGCTATCGATGAGGATGAATACACCAAAGTCCTCGACCTTTCGAATCTTTCCAGTCACGACTTGACCGACTTTGATATCGTCAAATGTTATCGGTACGACGTAGTCGTTATCGAGAACAGTAGCTTTCAAACTCATCCTGACATTGTTCGACTGAGTGTCAACATGAACAATCTTACCCTTCACAAGCTGATCAACTGCAAATTCGGACTTCCAGTCCTTGACATAGGAATCTGAAAGATCAGAGACCCTGACGTAGGCCGTTACATTGCCCCCCAAATTGACAAACAGGCCTTTATCAGACACATTTTTCACGAATCCGCGAATGATATCGTTGACCTTCAATTGTGATATCGAGGATATTTCTGGATCTTGGACGGGAAGGGAGGAGTTCAAAACTCTCGAGGGCCTCGTTGATATTCTCATCTTCTTGTTAGGCGCATCAATATCTGTGATACAGACGCGAATGATGTCGTGTTTCGAATATTTTGTTAGGTCAGCGTCCGAATAGTCATCAGCTAGGTCGGTGAGGTTGATAGGACCCGACACGCTTTCGCTAAGTTGCACCATGATGAGTCTTTCATTTGACTTTGTCACCCTTCCCGTTACTACCATACCCTTGCTGAGATTCTTGAATGTCAGTGGTTCTGACGTCTGGGTTGAGCGGGCCGAGAGATCCAGTCGATTATTCGCAACGTCCACGTGGGTGACTTGGACTCTGATAGCTGAGCCTACCGGAAAGTTGGATCCCATATCTTTAAGTAATGAGATGTCGTCCGACACATCTATATTGCGTATTCGTCCGCGGACATTTGGAGATAGGTTGACCCATAAGCAATCGTCGCCGATATTGTTGACATATGCAATCCAAGATGAGCCGACCTTGACTTTGTCAAGAGTGAGCGGGTCTTGGGCCACGTCTGTTTGATCACTCGGTTTGGCTGAGAGCTCAAAAACCAAGGTCTTCCCGCCTCGATGAGATATTGGTAGAAAGCGATGGTTTCTTGCATCATGAATGCCCAAAACACGCACATCGATGACTTGCTTAGATGAGAACGATCGCAGAGGTTTCTTTCGATCCTTGATAGTCTCCCAAGTATCAAAAAATTGTGAAACATCAATACGTCCTTGGATGTTGTCGGCAAGTTGGACGTTAATCTGAGTATCTTTGACAGAAGAGATCTTTGCCTTCGTCAATCTTCCCAGTGTAAGATCATCTACACTTGTGACTGTTGGATCAACTGAATTCACCGCTGCTTGCGCACTACCTGCAGACGCAGTGGCCAGCGGAAGTTCAGTTGGTACCTCATTGCTAAGATCGACCATGGATAGTGCAAATCTTTGCTGGCCGTGGTCCACTGAGATGATCTTGGCTTCCACGGACTGGTATTTCGCCATTCCAAAATTAGGAAGGCGAATGGAACGCTCGGTCAACTTGTTCTTTGGGAGAAGACCAGTGAGACCTCCACCAAATTGGACGAAAACGGCCGTCAGCGTTACGTTCTTGACAAAACCATGAACAACCTTGTTCTGCTTGACATCGTCAAAACTTCTGAGCAGCACATGATTTCTCGCGTCTTTGAGGAGACTTGGCTTATTTGTGACGGTAACCAAGCGCTTCTGCTCGAGCTTTTCGAGAACGACCAAGTCTATTAAGGTCTGCCCAACTCGAATTTTCTTCATTGCTGATTGGTTCTTACTTGAAGACCCATCAGTGAGATGCCCTACAGCAAGGATGGCTCGTGACCCGAGACCTTGCAATTCTACAGAAATGTCATCGTCAGACTTTTCTGTGACCACCCCAGAGACGATTTCGCCCACTTTCAGCTTTTTCATGGCATTCTGCTGAGCGAGCCCAAAAACTGATGTGTCTTTGCATGACACGGTCAACTTTTCCGCTTCAGGGTCGACCTTCAACACATGAACATTCACAACTTGTCCAAGACGAAAGTGCTGATGGGGATCTTGGATATACGCCTCGCTCATTTCAGAAACAGGTAGGAAGCCCCGAATTGTCCCATAGAATTGGACAACAGCACCAGCGGGGATGATGTTTACAATCGTACCAGGGCTGTGCATGCCGACTTTGATATCATTGTAAGATAGAAACAGTGTCGCTTCGGAGTTTACCAAACTCTTCTTGAGGGTCAGGCGTATTTGTCGTTTTCCTGGGTCCGTTGATAGAACTCGAGCCGTCACCGTCATACCCTCCTTGAACTTCTTCTCCGGGTGTTGTAACTGAACGTCAGACATGTGGGTCACTGGCACAAGTCCAGTAATTCCCTCGGCAAGATTGACCAGGATGCCGCCAACACCCGAGGCGTTGATGACAATTTTCTCGACCTTTCCTTTCACCACCTCGCCAATGGTCAAGTCCTCAATGCGTAGGAATGGTTGTTCCAAAACACTGGGCTCTAAAGAGATAAGATAGACTCCGTCAAGTGAGTTGTAGCCGATCACTCTGCCACGGTGTGTTGATCCGACCTTGTATGCTCCCGCGGATTCGGACAGGGTTTCAATCTTGCCATCTTTGACTCTGGAAATGTGCACAAATCCAGATACACCTTTAACTCCTACATCGACGAACAATCCAACGTCAGCTTCGACCTTGCGGACGGTAACCTCTTCAATGATGGTTGACAATGGAAGAACATCCAGAGGATTCTTCTTTTCGCCGTTTTTGATCGCCTGCTGTGGAGCCAGTGAAACAACATGCTCTAGAAGAGACACTCCGAGCTTGGGTGGATCAGCCGCTGGAAAAGTGCAAACGATTCTCCCCTTGATCTTTGATCCAATTTTGTACCTCTTTTCCAGGTCCTTCCCACTGGCTCCAGCACCCGAATGCATGAGATCCGCAGTAACGTCCACCATACCCATGACTTTTCCAACGATCCCTCTCGAGGTTATGTCTGCAACCAAAACCTCGACGGCAGAACCTGGGAGGAAAGCATCTACAGTCGGAGCTTCGGTAAGGTAATTGGACTTTTTTAGATTGCCAATTTTCTGCCTATCTGCAGACAGTTTGATAATCTTTCCGCTGGAGTTGAGACCTGTTACCATGCAGAGAAATACTCTCCCTTCTTGTACATCGGGCAGCTTGATTCCGTGCCCAAGTTCCTTAGAAGACAGGAAACCCTTCAAATCAGAGCTTTCAAGCCCGAGATCCATGACAAGACCATGATCTTCAACACTTGCTACCGATGTCATAAGCATTGTATTGACAATAATATTTTGTGACTTAAGGACGTTGTTTGCCTGCTGGGGGAGAAGTGAGAGCTCTATTCTTCTCCTAGGTTTGCCGTTCGAAGTCGAATTTGGGTCGTCACTGGTTGAAACAACATAGGCTCTGAGATATTGGCCAATTGAGAACAACTCCACAAGTTCAACACCCTCGGAATTGACTTCATCGTCCTCATCATTCTCATCATCCTCGGCATCGGCTATGTCTTCGATCCTTTGGGTTATCTTGTCGGATATCGAAGTAATTGGGACATAGCCGGTCAAATTATTGGGTAGGGAAAGCGCAATATCATGGTCGTTGATTTGAGAGACTTGACCAAGTATCAAGGAGCCAGGCACAATTCGCTGTGCTAAGTTAGCTAAGAATAAAAATAGCACAAAGCCGGTAACATACCTTGTAACTTAAACCCTCAATCTTGACAGTCTCCTCCTCCGGTTCTGCTTTTTCTGTTCCCTTCTTGCCCTTCCCTTTAGATTTCGGCTTGTGTTTCTTTCGTACAGCAGTCTCCTCCCCCCCACCGTCTTGTTCGGGCCTCGAAGATTTCCCAATTTCTTGCTCGAACAAAACATCTCGGGTAGCCTCGATTTGAATCTGCTTATGTTCCAATGGTGTTAAGATGCTCGCCCCCCCTCTGGGAAAGGCTGCTTCTTCCTCTCGAACCCGTGATATTTTGGGTACCAAAGGGGCCTTTGGTGCGGTGCGTTTCCCGTCTTTCTCGTCTGGGCGAAGTCTTTTCGAGGGTCGATCGTCGCCCTCCGCAGGTTTTCTGGACCGCGCAAAGGACTCATTTGTTGGACCGTTCTTTCTCTTCTTGTCGATTGGTGCCATGGTTGCAGGTTCCCCTACAAATAGGGATTTAGGTGAGGAGACTTGAATGCGATGGCTGCGATTAATAGTCTCGAGAGGGGACGAGATTCGAACTTTTTTTACGTTTGCCCTGTTGAGCCTAAGATGCAAGTTTGCATTGACCCCTGTCACTTGGACGCGGGGCTGGCCTTCGTTCCTTGCCCGTGACGGCACATCATCAGGCTGCCAGCTCAGAATTGTCCACCTTATCCTGCCCTTTCCTTTGTGAACATTTCGGAGTTGTTCTCCTTTACATTTGACCGAGACGGATTCATTTCTGCATCTGCCATTCTATTTAATGGGCCCATCAAGGAAACGGGCCAGAACAAAACCTCCCAGTGTGGATGAGTCCACGGCTGCGATTCCCTCGCATCCACCGCCAGTCGTGGCCGAGGAATCGACAATAAAGACCTCGACCCCGGAGGCAGACAAACACAGTGATGTCGTCAATAAAGAAGAAGATACACCTACTCCTCTGAAGGTTGTCAAGCCTGAGTCGAGCTCTTCAAACCAGGTGAGGATTTCGCCTGTAAATCTCCCAATTTGTCGGATGAAGACTAACATCTAAGAAAGGTGAAACCAAAGAGTAATTGGTACGGCACTTGGCCGAGGAAGTCGACGGCTTTAACTCAAGTGGCCAGAGAGACTATCTTGGCAAACAAACCAGCCAACGGGGCAGCACCAGCGGATTTAAGTCGATTCGAACCCAAAAAATCCCCAGCCGTCACAGCTGCCAGGCCACCTTCGATGTATTTAGGAAAGGGCAAAGAGACTTTAGATATCACTATGGGCGGGACATTGGATGAGGATAAAGCGGCAGACAAGGACAAACAAGCTGTCGAACCCTCGTCAACTGGAGATGTTGAGATGAGTGGTTCAACAAATGTTACGGAAGACACTGTTCCTCATTCCCATGCCTCAAGGCCAGAGAACGCGCCAGAATCAGGCCCAGATGCTCCACGGCCAGCAACATCTTCAGGCTGGCTTGGAGGTTGGCTAACTAGGCCATCTTTGCAAGCTTCCACCGCCCTGGATAAAGACCCTTCGTCGGTGGAGTCGAAAGGTGTCGAGCAACCTCCCACAATTGAATCACAGCCCACGCAACCCAAGCAGTCGACTACAGAAACTCGTTCACAAGATACCTCGCAAGATACGCCGGCCACGATCACAGCACCGACAACCTCAACTTCGTGGTTTGGTTTGTGGTCTACCGCAGCACCATCTGCTGTTACGGAAGCACCCAAAGAACAGATACCTGTCAAGCTAAAAGATTGCGATCGAGATACAGTCATGGAAGACGCACCGCCACCGGCGAAAGCAGCTGCTGGGTCGTCCTGGGCATTTTGGTCCACAGACCCGCCGAAGAAAGCTGTGGAAACTTCGGAGACAAATTCGGAGGATAAGGGACAACTTGCGGTTGCCGGAGAGCCATCCCAAAGCAACCCCGAACCTGCGAAGGTCACTACAGTGAAAGAGAGTACTTCCGTGAAGGAGAACAAGAAAGTGTCGCCAAAGACGACCAAAAGGGGCAGACCTAACTCTGTCGAATTAAGTGAGGCGACGCGTAAGGTTGCACAGTTGGATCCCACCTCGTCCAAAGGAACTCCATCCCAAAGCCCAGCTCCAGCGAAGACCTCTCCCCCTAATCTTCTGATACCATCAGTAAGAAGCACCTACAAACTCGTGGAAAATCCATCCATACTACAGCAAATCGCACGATTGCTACTCCACGGCCATCAAGAACCTATGAAGCACGTCTCACTGGTAAAGGATCCACCAAAAATCAAAAAGGCCCTCGCAATTGGAATCCATGGCCTCTTTCCAGCACCTTTGCTTCGCACAATTATTGGCCAGCCAACTGGGACGTCAATAAAGTTTGCAAATCATGCAGCTGCTGCAATTCGTCGGTGGACAGATAAGAATGGGTCCGTGGAATGCGAAATAGAAAAGGTTGCTCTTGAAGGCGAGGGGAAAATCGCAGAACGAGTTGATAATCTGTGGAAGCTCCTTTTGAATTGGATCGACCATGTGCGGAAAGCTGACTTCATTCTGGTCGCCTGCCATTCCCAAGGGGTTCCTGTCGCTGTGATGCTTGTTGCTAAATTGGTTGAGTTTGGGGTGGTCTCAAACGGGAAGATTGGGATTTGTGCCATGGGTAAGCAGATTTAACGATCACAATGTATCTCCTCACTAATTTTCTTCCTAGCTGGTGTTTCCCTCGGCCCATTCCCAGATTACAAGAGCAAATTGTTCAGTGGATCTGCTGGCGAGCTGTTTGAGTTCGCAGATCCTGAAAGCTCGGTGTCGAAAAGATACGAGGATGCCCTTCGAATTACGGTAAAGTATGGAGTCAGAATTACATACTGTGGATCTATCGATGATCAATTAGTTTCCATGGAGGTTTGTGCAGTCAAATGCTCTTGATCGTGTAACTGGCTGACAGTCTACAGTCCTCTATCTTCTCGCCGGTTAGCCATCCTTATATCTACAGGGCTGTATTTGTGGACGGCCGCATACACGCCCCGGACTTGTAAGCCCATCTTAAAAGATTTAATAGAACATAGTACTGATCGGATATTTAGTCTCTCTCATCTCGTCGGATTTGCTCTCAAATTGCGAAATCTCGGAGTCTCCGATCATGGCCTCATTCGCGAGTTATCGGCTCCGCTGGCCGGCAGCCTGTATACTGGCGAAGGTCACTCTCGATTGTATGACGATGGTAAAGTCTACGAGTAAGTTAAAATGCCCCGCTGCTCTCGTCACTCTTGCTAACATTAGCAGCTTTGCCGTCGAATATGCTCTTGAGACGACTTCTGTGGGCGATGTTTCTCTCCAAATGAAAAAGTACGGGATTCCCACTAATGCAAACCCTTACGTACTTCCCTGGACAATGCGGGGAATCCTTGAGGAGGACTTCGTCAAAACCGAGCTCCATACAGAGGTCATAGAACTACTGAAGCAATTCGACGACTGGAAACCAGCTACGAAGGTGCTCAAAGATGTCAAGTACAGACTAGAGGCTGTAAGATCCAAGCTATAAATCATTGGGCAAAGAGTGGGTTGGTGGTCGGTGGGCAGGCATGGAGTTAGAGGTAATGATTATGAGGTCTGGCGTTGAGATGTAGAAAGATGAGAATTATACCCCCGTATGCCGCCGTCAACTGGGATGCTTTTCTTGGATGGGATTCGGCGTTGCTAGGAACCGCACAAGAACATATTTCAACTTCGCGCATCCTTGCTTTCCAACAGAACAAATTTCCCGGGAACTGCATTGTACTGTCCCAATGGCGTTGTTGTGTCAGCCCCAATTCAGGGGAAGCTCGCTTAAATGGGGAATAAGGGAACGTCTTCCGTCAAAGCCAACGAAAAGACATAGCAATAAGATATGAGTTGCACAAACGAGTGGAGAACTAGAAAGGCACTGGGTTTAAATAGGAAGTAAGAAGCTCTGTTCCATTTATTACAACAGCACGGATGAACGTCTCTCAAGTCTGCCCCACAGTCACCGTGTCGAAATATACAGCCGATGGATTTGAAGAGACACAGTAAGCATTGATGAAGACTTGGGTAGAGAATGAGGTCTTATCGGCGTTGTTTTCACTGATGTTGAATCGACTCCAAACCCCAGGCAGATCCGAAAGTGCAACGAGAAGTTCTTTATTACCCGCCTTGGCTGCGCCGACCCCTGGAGTAGTTGAGAACCATGCCTCGCAGGATCCTGTATTAAGAGGGCCTAGTAGCGTAAAGGCGTAGAAGCCATAGATTTGGTCGGGACAGACAGTGATAGTTTGTGAACTTGACAGAATGTCCGCGTGTGTTGGTCCCGCTGGGAATGAGAATTTCCTAGCAAGTTGATTAGAATATGCATGAAGATAAACATGTGAGTGATACTTACACGCTATTTGGTCCAACATCGACATAGCTCGAGTTCGTGTTCGTTGAAATATTAAAGCCAGAGCCGCCTACGATCTCCACCCATGAATTATCGGGAAGTGTGGTATCGAAATCCGAATTCGCAACAGTAGCAAGAGTCGAACATAACGGGGCTATATGGTAGGCGGTCGAGGTTACGTCAACCTCGATCGTGCTCGTCACAAAATCGTTAATGATTGAGGTAGCCGTGCTTGTGGCGAAAACATCAACGAATTGCGTGGACGTAGCGGCCACAGTCACGCCATTCTACCCGTCTGCGTTAGTCTGCCGATCGTCTTCCTCTCTGCGTAGAAATAGGTATCATAAAGAGATAATTGTATGCGGGTGCAAAGCTCGCAGCAAAAAACATCAAGCGTGAGAAGGGAAAGCAATGGAGGAGGTCAAAGACTTACAATTATCGTCGTAAAGATAGTAGTGACAACAACAGGAGGCGCAGAGGTGGTAGCAGCTCCAGGAGGATTGCTTGAAGAACTGACACTGAAGTGGCCGTGGCGGCAGCTTGAACGCTGCTAGGACTGGATACTGAATTGCTCGTGGTTGCTGCTTGAATGCTGCTGGACGAACTGGACCCTGAACCCGTGGCGGCAGCTTGAACACTGATGGATGAGCTGGATGAGCTGGTGGATTCCGCGGCCTGAAGTCTGCTAGAGGAGCTGGATTCTGAGCTGGCGGTCGCCGCTGCTTGAATACTGCTCGAGGAACTTTGGCTAGTTGTGTCTGTGGAAGACAGTTGGGTTGTTGAACTTGGTGCCCCAGAAGGAAGAGGATTGCTCGATGACGATTCAGTCTTCGAGCTTGGTGCTCCGGAAGGTAGAGCGCTATTCGCTGAGGACGAAGGAGAAGCAGGAACCGAGTTGCTGTTCGTCGAGGACGCAGCTGCCAAAGGGCTTGGTGAAGACGGAAATGGCGATGGAGGGCTTGACAAAGAGGATGGGGCTCTACTGAAGAGCGACGTTGATGTCCAGTCACAAAGTGAGGTAGTTACTGTCACAATGGTCGGATTGATTGTCAAATACACCGTTTGAGCTGCTACGTCTTGAGCGCCTGTTGCAGCTGTAATTGTAATAGTTGCAGGCAAACAGCTTGTCGTCTGTCGTACTGGCCAGCTGGAGAAGCGTGAGACAATGACAAAATCGAACAGACGGAAAGGAGAGTTCGAGTAGTGAGCATTTTTGAAGGGCCGCGGTGTAAAGAATGTAGGGCCTTGAAATAGAAGAAAGAAAGGGCCTGGCATGACTATATATTAAATGATCGAATTCAAGACAGGCGGCTTGAAATAACTGAGGAGCATGAGGCTATCAAAAGCGGAAGGGGAGTCTCAAAAAAAATCTCAAAGCGGTGCGTCAATCTCAATTCAAGGCTATACCAAGCTCAGCTGAAAGTAAAAGGGGGGAGGATATCTACCACAGTTGTGACCGAGAAAGGGGAAAGAGTGACGAGTAAGAGGCATAATATTCAAGGGCCCGCCCATTCTATCAAATTTAGCATCTGCAGAGTAATCCTTACAGTAACAAACTAATATTACACTCTCTCTCTCAGATATGAGAGAGACAGAGGTGGCAGAGGTCCGACTCATGCCTGAATGATCCGGACATGTTGGATGGACGCTGCGGACTTGAGCTTGCAAGACACACTCATTGCTGCGAGACTGGACTCACTTGGGCCTCGATATTTAAAAGAAAGATCTGATTTGACATGCAACTCTTGAAGGACTCATGTGCATCACCCAGATTTTCCATCTGAAATTCTGGGTTCTTCCTCACTTCCTAAGGGGTGAGTTTCGGGAAGGTGCAGGACCAAAGTCAGCTAAACTCTTTTTGGGCTAGCGTATATCGCTTGTCTGCCGCGGCTGCCCACACCGAGATATTCAATTTTCGATCGCGAACTTTCTCAAACCCTTCACGACAAACCAACCCTCCTCGAACGTCAATCCAACCGCACAACATGGCAGGTGGCATTTCCGTCCGGGACGTCGATGTGAGTATACACGAATCCACCACTTGAAAGCGAATACTCGTTCGACAGCGACCAAATCCGGCCCTTCGAACCACACATATTGAGCAGGCGAGAGGGTGTGAACAACATCCGTACGGAATCATGCTGATTTGAGGGATCACACAGGCCCAAAAGTTCATCGAACTGTACAGCCAATTCTTGAAGCGCCAGGTCAGTTATGCCCTTATTCCCGATGGATTCTTTACTGACACCTCCCAAGGGCAAATTGCCAATCCCCGGTTGGGTCGATACTGTCAAGCTTGGCCCTGCTAAGGAGCTTCCTCCTCAATCGATCGATTGGTTCTACGTCAGAGCCGCTTCAGTTGCGCGCCATGGTAGGCACTTCCAAATCCTATGAGCAGCAAAAATCGCTGATTCCGCTCTCTACAGTCTATCTCCGCAAGACCGTTGGTGTAGGAAGACTTCGAAAAGTTCACGGCTCAACTCGCAACCGAGGCAGTCGTCCATCCCATCACGTCGATGCTAGTGGAAGTGTTGATCGCAAGGTCATGCAAGCCCTCGAGAAGATTGGTGTGCTGGAGCAGGACGAGGAGAAGGGAGGACGTAGAATCACGCAGTCAGGTCAGCGGGATTTGGGTAAGTCGTCATCTCATAAAATAATGCTGCTCCGTCGCCCGGTTGCCAAGAGCATTTCAGCTGCTTTGGGGTTTTTTTCCTATTACGCGCCACCTTGTTCACAGGAAAGACATGTCCGAATTTCCAGCTCCGTCGACCTTCTCTGGATACAACAGTGCTAATTCTTTGTGTAGACCGAATTGCCCAGACTGCAGTGGAGGCCGAGGAAGAAGATGATGACGAGTAGATTCATCCGCATTGTAGTCATCTGGGTACGGAGTTTCGGGCCTACATAGTGCTTCTTAATGCATAAAAGCTCTTGAAATCCAAGTAGCATCGCCTCCCATCTCGTTCCCGATTGTTCAGTGACATCATTAATTTAAAAACATGTCGAGTCAAGATGGCCGTCAAACATTTGGAAACGCCCAGTCTCGGCCGTCAATTGTCCGTCTGGCAACATTTTCAATCCTTCAACATTCAAGAATCCCGCTTTCATGTTCCCCAACAGTCATCCCAGATGCAGCCCTATTAGGGACGTAGTTCAGGTTAGTTCCTCAGACCACAGTCGTCTATTAAAGTGGGGATCGGTTCTGGCGGCGGGCATGGGGAAGGTGGAAGAAGTTTCAAACGTTTTCTCTTTACAAAAGTACGATCTCTATCCACCCGCCTTGGTCCTGGTGCTACGATATGCTGAACCGAATCGACAACGTCCGAAACAGTGAAACTATTACCCACAGCACAGCCAGCATCTTAAAGTAAAGTGGGGTAGGAAGGAAGCCCAGGTTGGTGGATGTCAATATATTGACCTAAGCTGGGGACTCCCGTTTGACGTTTTGATGATTGTGGAAATTTGGGTTCTGGGGAAGAGTCATGGCCAGGCCGCACATCAGTTTCAATAAACGGCACAAGGCTCAAGCATTATGAAGCGTTCAAAGAAAGGGAGACGCTCTCCAGGATGTGAACTGCAGTTAACATTAGTGCAGTTAACATTAGTTGGCGTTCAGTATGTTCGTCCATGATCTCAGAAACGTGACATGAAGAGGATGATATTATCAAGTGACAAGCTCAACCTCTCAACACTCGGAGAGGAACACGCGTTTGCTCCGATTTGTTTGCTTCAAGATAGATATCCATGCCGTTACTTACTGCTTCCGAAATTCCGCTCATGTGACTTGCAAGTCTGCATTACCGGTACTCTATGAACCCCTTTGCTTCAGTCTTCCAAGCACAATGACCTCGGTCACCCAGGGCTCACTTTCGAAGTTGGTTTGAGAAGAATTCACCTATTTACCCCGCTTCTGCAGTCATGGTTCGATATCTCTTCACGCCTCGCTTCTTTTTCCACACAACCACTCCTTCCCCCCCTTCCCAACCATACAGACTTGCCATCATTGCTCAACACCGCCCATATATTTCCAATCCGCTCACTCGGGATTCTGTGGTCGTACTCCTTCTCTGCGAACAAACGTCTTTCTGAGCTCCCTGGGGAGTGTTTTCCAACACCACGTTGAAGACTTTTCACGAAGGCGATTCCATTTTGAAAGAATACTCACTTTCTCAAAGGTCTGATCTATCCTTCTCAATACCACAGCGCGACTTTCTCACACCTCGCAGTCCATCAATCAAACTGCTCTAAGTCCAGCCTAGAACTTTTCTGCGTTGCTCAACATACTCGAGTCTAATATCTGAAAAGTCATCGTATCTTTCGCTATGCCTCCACTTGGATGGAAGAAGGGTCTGAAACGATCAAGCAAGAGCAATTCCCATCATGACGCGGATATTGATAATTTTGAGTTTGGAGGATCTTCACGCGCCAAGTTCGTCACGAAGAAGAGGAAGCAAAAGAAGAAAAGCCATGGAACCAAAGAACAGATGTCAAAACAGCCGACAGTTGAAGACGCGCCCGATACATCCAGTGAGGGAGAGGACGAACTTCAGTCAGAAGTAAGACAAGTACGAAAAGCCTCGAAAAGCAAGAAGAATCATGCAGCAGAGGTTTTGAAGATAATCGAAGCTGCAGCAAAAGCACTCGCTGCCATTGGCGGCCGTGAAGAAATCGAAGCTTTTCTTCAGGCCAATGGTATTGAAGAAGATGATGCCATTGGAAGTATTCGAAATCACTGCGCAGCAATTATCAGACTCCTCCCGGAGGCAAAGTCTTGCACCGACTTGCCTGCCGAAGACGTACCAAGCACGATTGAATTGTACGATCAGTCGTTCGTTTATCGGGCTTCTTCAAGTCTTCTTTATTTACTTCGTCCAACGGAAGTTTTCAAAGGAAACCAAAATTATGCCAGGCAGAAAGTCTTCGGCTTCGTCAGATCCAAAGGTTCTCCTGATCCCGAGATGTGCGCGTTTCCTGGGTGGACTGTCTGCGCCGAAAAGCACCAAAAACTCCTTGATCCGGATATTTGGACGACGGTTGTGAAAGAGTTTGTAACTTTCCACAACCACGATTTCAAAGTTTCACCATTTGACAAATATCACGGACGCGAAGGAGGTGATACATATGCAGCGCATGTTGAGCCAAAATTAATGTTGTGGTTTGCCATCGACATCCTGCAAAAGCAGACTGGAAAGGTCCGGCCTCCGTCAAAACAGAGAGGTGATCTCTGGATGTTGAAGGATGTTGCCCGGAAACCAATTGAGGCCGAGATCGTCATTAGCCGTCCTCCTTGCCGACAATGCCTGATGTTTCAGGAATTCATGGAGCGGTACACACCTATAAAATTCTACTTCATCATATGCAAAAACCTAGGTGAAGTCCAGTTTACCAAAGGCAAGTACGGGCAGGTGTCACTGCCTCTATTCGCTGATGAGATCGAAGATCCGGATGCAGAGCCTGAGCCGCAGATGCTGAAGAGGACAGAAAGCAAAAAGCGAAGCAACATGGCAGTCGTCATCAGAGAGAAACCATATACCCGCCCTGCTTCGTCTACTTCGGCTGCTCCGCTTGCTTCACCACACGTTGCAGAAAGAAGACAAACCTCACCCTCCGAGGTATCATTCTCGACAACAATGACAACCCGAGACCACTCCAGCTCGAGGGTGTCAACGAGAGTAACGGTTTCACAAGCAACCCAGTACTATCCAAGCCCAAAAGGCTGCGAGAAAAAGAAGCGAAGAGAACGAAACTACTTCGGTGACTCCGACGAAGACGAGTGGACCCCACCTGCACGTTCAGGATCTGGAAAAGAAGACATATTCACGCCAGCCAAGAATGCTACAAGAACTCCCATCTTCACTCCCGCATTCACTCCCGATGCTTTGAAGCGAGCCGTCAACCTGAATGACAACAGAAAGCGTTCGAGAGAATTGGACAGTTTTCAAACTCCTTCGAAGAAAAGCCGGGTGAACAGATATTGAGGTTCCTTAGAGTTATGAGTTGAAAAGTCAGCAGGACTGGAGAGAACCCATTGAAGCAGGCCTTCGTGTGTTGAAGTTGTTGACCTGTTTCTGGAACGATGAAATGCGTATGCTGAGGAGAGGATGAAAAACGCAATGGATTTGCGAGACCAAAAGGGGCGAAGATGCGTTTGTTTTCGAAATTTCCTTTCCTTTCCTGGAAAGTTTTCTCGTCGAGATGGAGCTTAGACAGCGGGACTGTAGGATGCCCAGGTCTCAAATTTGAGGATAGTTGATGGGCGCCAGCTGTGAATTGGAGATCAACTATGGTCTTTCATGTTTCGGCATTGAAGGCATCGCAATGGAATGACACCGTTGCATCGAAATTAAAAAGCTTTAAAAACTTTTATGATATTGAAACCGAATGATATTCTGCCTTGCAAAATGATGTGCATTCCCAAATCATTCGGCTTTAGGATTTGAATTGCAGAATGAGATGTTAGTGCAAAGCACCATTTTTAGACATTAATGCTACTGTTGCAATTGCGAACGATAGAGGAGCCGCAAAATAGTCCGTGAAAAGACTTCCTTGGCCAATTATTGCACGATCTCCAAGATGGACTTTTTCCCAGCCTGGAGGGCATGTAGGTCGCTTCGTCACTGTCTATTCATGAAATTTCGTAGTATAATATCTCTCGGATAACCCGTCTGTTGCATTCTCCCAGCCAGAGCCATCGTTTGCACATAATGCTTTCCGAAAACCATGATATGCCCTCTAGAGGTCCTTATCACTTACAATCTGACCTTCCGACTGTTCCATCTTCAACAAACACGTTTAGTGTAATCATATCACGAAGTCTGGACAGGTAGCAGTTTTCACTCCGAGAAGATGGTCCATATCATCAAAGAAAAGATGTGCCTTTGTTCTCACAAGAAACAACTTCTCGAGGAAGAGGGTCCGGGTGTGCGGCTGCCGAGGTCAGTTCCAATATTGTTGTAGGTAACCTTGACATTGAGATTCTCATTTTAGCCAGCTCCCTGGCTCATTGGCTCCCGAAGTGGTCTCTAATATTGTTATTGTCGGTAGTCTTCAACGTTGAGATGCGCACTTTGGCCGGCTCCCCACTCATTGATCTGCATCAGAAGCTACAGACCTAAAAAGAAAGTCCTCTAATTATTTGACTCCAACTCCTTCCTTGAATCCTATGGGAATCAAAGCTCCAGCCACAGCGTTCAGCCCTCTTTCAGTCGCGAGCAGGTTGTACTGTGCTGCAGCATTCCTTGTGTCCTGGATATCGACTCTGACTCCCAGAGAATTAAGGTGTTGTCTTACTCGTGGGCTTATGGGTCGCATTTCCTTACCAAGACCAAGTATGAGCAAGTCTAATCACAATTGTCAGCATATTAATTTCAGAGGCGATATAAAGAGGACTCACCAGGCTTCGGCCACACTAGAGAAAACAAGCCCCATGCTTCATCCTCGACATCAAACTGTCCCTTCTCATTGACTAATTTCATACCGCCCTTCCCAGACTCCCAGGGCCTCCAATTGAATGCTTCTCCAGCAACTAGTAACACGCCCGAGCCTCCTGTGATCTTGACACCACTGTCCAGATGAAAACCGTCCCAAAGACATGCATCTATAGAGGTACTTGGGGCTGGCGTGTTTCCAAGCACATTGAGACTTCCAAAATCGGTTTGTGTATCTTCCGTACTGCGAGGTCCTCTATCATGGGACTTCGGCGCTGCATCGAGAGTATGGGAGAGGGACAATGCTCGTGTAGCAGTTGGTTGGATCCGGCGAGTGAGGTTCTTGTGTGTGCTCTGGGCAATGCATCGTCGTTTGCTAGGTTGCAGGAGATATGTCGTGAGATCACGAATACTGGGGCGTTGGACGGCGGATCGTAGATAGGACATTGTCAGTGAGCTGGTTTTGTGCTGCCGGGAAGTGGTTTTTGTGAAGTCGTCTGTCGTTGATGAAAGGAAGCTTAACCCCTGCACTACGGAAAGCCGTGCCGCACAGAGCTTCGACGCTAGTCAGAAATAGGCACTCTGCGACATCATCACGATTGCTTTGACGAAGAACTCGTTCCTCACAACGGCCCCTCACTTGGACGGGGATAATTGAAGCATTTGAAGCCCTGCCTTAAAGTGGGATTTAACCTCGAGCTTGAAGCTGAGAGATGTTGACCGCAGTCTAGTGCCTCTCTCGGTGGCTCAGACATCCTCACCTCTTCCCTCGAGGCTTTGCAATTCGCACTGGCCTCTAATATTTCAAGTTCGAGGCAGAGCCAGACTGCCCTCAACTCTTATCATTTGTCAAACAGTCGTATTATCTCATCTACGGTCGATACTTGTATTAGCGAACCGTAACCTTCTCTTCCCGTTTGTTCCCGTCTCGAGCATCAACGAGAGATCTCATCTATCACTTCTCTGCGAAAATAAGCGGCAGAGCTTTCGTGGTCTTCCATTACTCCTCAAGCAAACCTTGACTATTGCGGTCATAAGAGAGATATTTCATCCGTCACATTACATTAGGTAGTCAGAAGCTCACTCACTTTTCCTACCATCTCATTCCCTTCTATTCCCGTCCCCTTCACCTTTCATAGACGAGAATTAGTAAGGAGAAGCTCATCATAGACCTCGGCTTCATCACTCTCTTCAACCTTAAACGTCTTCAGTCTAGCCACGCTTTCCTTCAGGCTTCAACATCGGCAGCTTAATTGCCGCTAGTCCGCATCGCATCCAGTCTCATCCCCAATTATCTCATATAGCTCCTCAGTGAAGAAAGTTCCCTCTCTCTACAACATACTACACCATTTCCAGTTAATTCCACGAGGCAGCCTTTTTTCAGCACGCCTCACACACCAGACGACTTCACTTCTCGCTCAGAGAACTACTTCACTTCACCTTCCTTTCTTAACGTCTGTCACATGTATCCCTATTCAGAGTGCTCTGGCTGATTTTGAAGCAGGCCCAGCCATCATGTCTGCCAACAATCCGGACCAAACTTGTTTGAGGCCATTGCCTGAGGCTGGCTGGTATGAGAAGTACCCACTCGCCCCGATTTAGAAACTAGAGGGCGCTGGAGAGATGACCTCGTTCGAAAAGGTTTATTGGTCGATCGCGTAGGACTTAAATTGATTAAGGCAGATATGCTTACTCATTTTACGGCAAAGGTGGAAAGCGGCGAATGGAAGTTCGATGAATCGTTTAGAGGATTAGATGGGGCTGAGAAAATGAAACCGGTTATTGGTACAACGAAGGTGGAGTTTGAGCAGCAGTTGAGATGGGACCTTATTCCTAAAGTTCACAAAGTTTGGGTTGATATTGCACTATCAAGACTTCTCGTCAGTGTTAGAAGGACGCATATCCAATCATGCGAAAGGGAGAAGCAAAACTGAAAGGGAAAGGCCGCCTCTCTACGCATAGCACGAAGCCCACCAGTCCGACCTTCCCGCTCTCCTCGAAATGCCACAACACTGCGATCTCAAACATCGGCATCAGATACTCCTCCTCCAAACAACAATCGTCAGCACGAAGCAGCTCCGAAGTTCGATCAGCCTATAATAGTTCCTCAAGACCCATCTCCTCGGCCTAAGATTGACCTAGAGCAGAGAATAAAGGTAGCCAAAGTGGCAGAAAAACTTCGAGGATAGAACAAGCCCGGATATATCGATCTCACGAACGCAGCGTATTCTATTCAGGGTTCTATATCGGAGAATCAAGGCCAAAACCCAAGTAATTATCTACTTCCTATTATACCAAATCTTGCCGATCAAGCAGTACTTTCTCAGCCTAGACCATCTCTTGAAGCCAGTGCCTCGTATTCTCAACCACCATCACCTCCAAATTCAAGATTAATCACCCCAGGGCCTGTCTTTCAAAGAATGACTCTAGTGGTTGTCAACAACATTTCAAGCCCGAGAAAAAGGACGAAGAACCGTGGGAGGATATCTTAGTCGAATACCTTGCGGACGAAGTCAGGATCAAAGACTTCTCCCGCTCCTATCGTCCGACTTTAGTCTTGCCAAGTTCAGAGCCAATTTAGCTGATTCATCGCAATCGCCGTTTGGCTTCAATGAGGATCTGCATGAGCTTGTCTACACAAGCGAGTTCCGTGAACGCGTTATACACTACGAAGCAGTGTGGCGGGCGATCTTGCAACAAGCCGCCAATGAAGGAAAGAAAAACTTATTTTCAAGATTCGGAACAAGCTTTGAGCGTGGTTGCTATTTGGGCTGTGCGCAGGTGGGGAATTGACGAGAGGAGAGAACTGATAGTGCGGGAATCATAGGCTTTGGGGATGGATGGATGTGGGCCTATTGAGAGGAAAGGAAGCTATCGATGATGACTGCGCGTTGACTTTGCAATATTATAGAGGGATGTATGCTGACGCTGGAGCTCTGATGCTGAGGAAGGGGTCTTCTACGTAGACTTGCGATGATCTACTTCTCTACGTCCTATGCCACTATTCTCTAGCTTGCGTTGCTTTCTTCTGCTTTCAATTCACGCCGCTTATCTTCGCGGACCTGCAGTTAATTATGATAGGGAGCAAATCACGAGATAGAACGGTGAAGCCTTGAAAGATGTGAATCAAGCGCCAGAACCATGAATTGGCTTTTGCTTGCGATGCAGACATGGTAAGTGTAGACTGTGTGGTGGTTATGGTGATTCACAGGCTTCACGGGATTCAAGTGCGTTTTCAGTTGCGCCAACTTATATCTAAGCTCTTGATTTGCGGCAAATCCTCCTTCCATTAACTTTTTTCCATCTTTCAAATTTTCTATTCAGATACTGGGCTCCATTTGATCCGGTTTAGGGGTAAAGAATACCCGTGGGACGATGGCGAGGCAGCACACGAGGATCTAACTGGCTCCATGTTGCACCAAGTTCAGTCACACTGTCTCGAGAAAACTGTGCACGTTGGTCAAGCTCAAGGGTGGTGTATATTGGCAAAATAGATACAATACTTGAAAAAAAAAGGCAGGTGAATATTTGGGGATGGGTGAGGAGGGATAGAGCGGATGAGAAAGGCACTCCATAAGTTCGCGCACTTGTGGGGAAGGATGTGACACACCTGCCCAGACTCGATTTCAGGAGAGGAGATACGACCCACCCTATTCCGCAAGGTCGATGTACCGTGGATTGGTTCAATGTGGTCTACACCAGCAAGTCCATTGGGCCATGTAGAAAATGCAAGAAGTGGTGAACCGGGGCTTCTTTTCAACTCTTTCAAGTCTTTTGCCAATTTGGCATAAGTGTGAGATGCAGAGACCATCTTGTGGGCAGTCCGGACGAGCTTGTCGTGTCCGCCAGGGATGTCCAGAACTGACTTGTGGTTTGTTCCACGATGAGAGCCAGGCTGTCATTCACAAGTACGGGAAGTTAGACAAGGCTCGACCGTAACGCGTAGATTGAGGCCTTCTATTACCGAACATTCTTCAACATCACCGTGGGACAATGGTGAACCTCAATGACTATTCAAGGAGTTGGCCATGGCTACTAGGGATATGAAGATCAAATTGATGTCGCGTTCCACGATAAGGCTCGAGACAATATCAATGACTACCAGCAGCCGGACGAAGGCCAGGCCCAAATGCCTGTTCAGATAACTGCTGCTACCGCCGGTCATTTTCCACCATTGCTACAGAACGCTGGTCAACCTCAAGTGCCCATAACGCATCTGTTATTCTAAGGTGGGATGAGCCATGTAACCCCACGACGCTCGCTAACAGTGCTTTGGAACGTATGGTTTTGTCGGGAAAGGGATAAGAGATGGGCAAGCATACAGAAGAAGGGATAACAGCCAAGAAGAGCGCATATGTTTCTTCTGAGGTGAGATGAGCTTTACAAGTTCTACAAGCCAAATGAACAATCTTTCGGCAGTATCTATTTCAGCGGAGAAGAAGGTAGTGATGATCGAGCATATACAGGAAGCAACTGCAAAAGCAATTGGACACTGAACCATACTGATATGAGGTTCACTTGAGTAAAATGGTCCTCAACATCAAATGGGTCATTCAAGAGATAATTGAAGAAGGAATTTGAGAAATGTTTGACAGATTGACAAATTATCAAATTGACAGTCTATAAACAAAAGCCAACGGCAAAAAAAAGACAGCAATACATTGGCATAAAAACGCCACGCTAATCTCAAATCCGCTAAATCCAGCTCATATCTTACATTCTACTCAATTTCTGCACCTCCCTGCCCTCGCCTACTTCGGGACTTGATACTCTTGGCGTTGCATCTCGACGTCCCTCTCCTTATCCCCCATCATGGAGGTTATAATCCGACCAATGATCGTGTAAGACAACACCGCCATTATTTTAGAGCCGACTCCTCTCTGTTGCTGTTGTGGTCGTTGTTGCGTTTCGGTATAGCTGTTGCTGTCTGAGCTGGGGATCATTCTAGCTCCTTCGACGTGCTCTTCTTGAACAACCTTCTTCAAGGTCAAGCCGGTACCCTCAAAACACGCAACTATGAGGAGTTCTTCGATCAATGCCACACAGAGAAGGACGGTGGGATTTCCGCTCAGCAGATTGAATGATTTATTGGTGGTGAAGGTGCTGAATATCGAGTAGATCAATCTCACTAGGAGGAGCGGAAGAGCGATCACGACGGCTGTGAAGAGTCTCCTTTCACCATGTTCTGCGTGGGAGACCGAGAAAGCTGTAAATGCGGTTGCACTAACGAGCAGAACGTAAGCGAGAATCGAAAGACCTGTACCAGCTTTGTTGAGGGTGCCAGGTTGGTAATGCCCATCCGTGACATAGGCACTGGCAGCATTCACTCCGCCCACAATTCCGAGGACTAGGCCAACCACGACAATCAATTCAATCACCCTGAGCCAATATTGCCTCACGAAGGTGTGCGTCGACTTATTGATACTGTCAAGCAGGCGTGAAAGAAGACCGAGTGCCGCAAGTGTCAAAGGGCTGAGACCAATGTTGTTCAAAATCGCGCTGCCTTCGTAGAGACTCGTCTCGGTGGGGGAATTAATAGTTGCCAATTGCATACAAGCCCCGATAATGCGAGCCAGGCAAAAGATGATCTGCGGAAGTCAGCATTTTCCAATTTCAGTATATCTCAAGGGAGGAGGTTTCAGCTTACAAGGAACATCCATCCAGCATTTCGAGAAAAGCCGTGACGAACAGAGAGAAAGATAGCAATTGCTATGGAAGGAAAATAAACAACCAGTTCACTAAAGGCTTTCAGTGGGTGATGACTTCAATTGCAAGATTTAGTGTTGAATCTTACGCGATGGATATACCGCTTCGGTAACTGATGGTCATTTTGATGTTAAGTGTGGAGACTTGGGATGGTTGGTAGAACTGGAGTTGATGGATGGGATAAATGGATAAGAGATTTCAAAGCTGGATGAGGAAGTGTGAGAATGAATCGATGTTGTGATGAACGGAATAAATTTGACACAGAGAGAAAGGCGAGAATATATACAAACCATATCTGCAACTTTTTTCCTGGTCCTGCATCAAGCGTTCATCTTCGACTTCTCCCTGAGGCTATGAGGCTAACCTAAAATGGTGCCCACGACGTTCGACGCACAGCCACTCACCAGGGACCTCATGCTGATTAACATCCACAATGAACGAGCTGAGCATCTACGGCGCATGCCAATAGCAGCGCATCTTAAGTCCTGTACGGCAAAGTTGAGTCGTCCAATTCCTCCCGTCGATCGTCTCTGCTGTCGGTGTCAAATTGTCAATGGGCTGGGAGCTCGAAAAGAGACCGTATGGCCTTACATCGCTCGGGATCGGCGAAATGCGGGTGTGCTCCAGGTTTTCAGAACGTCAAGTGGCCTGAGTACGTCGAGTCCTTTGTTGTCTGATGCCTTCATGTTCAAGTTGTCAGGTTATCGAAGGTGGGTTGATCAGCAAGCTGCAAAGCCTGCGTAGACTGGGTACCTTTCGTAGCTAACAGGGGCTCCTTCGCTTGAGGGATACATCCACACTTGATAATTTTCATGGATCGAGTATTGAACATGAAATGCTTTGCCACGCGAGGTTTCAGGGGCGTTAGACTTGATTACCTCTCAGGCCCGCGAAAATACATAGAGCAGGAAGTAGCTCTTTCCTCAAAGTACCGCGGGATCTTTCCCAATCTTTCGATGCTGCCCAGCCCTTTATGGTCACGTGCTTGAAATCTTCCAGGTTCATCAAGCAAGAAGTGCTGCGCCTCGCCTCGCCAATTTTTCCCTGGCTTCCCGCTACGCAACCGTCTCCCGATCAAAGCTTGTCTGACGCAGCGTGGCTGACTCAACTCCACTACCCGTCAACTAGGCCCAAGAAAGAATGCTGTGCGAGCCTCTCAACCACTCGGCTCCATTCACAGAATCTCCTGGCGTCGATCATTTGGGTCAAGTTCATCGGGGAAGTCCTCGTCCCAATTGATAGGCAAAGATTCGAGAGTTTTCAGGGCTGAAGGCAGTGAGGCGGCGCAGCCCTCAGCATTGCGTAGTGATGGAGTAGCTGACTTTGCCCCTTGGAACACGTGAAGATATACTATACCTCTGCCTCCAGTTCTCGATTCATATTCAAAGCAATTGTTTGTTCAAGTTTACTAGTTCTATTACTTGTTTTGAATTGCCTTGGTTGCCGCTCAAATCTGCATTGAGTCTTTGAAATGGTGTATTGTGGTAGGGGCAAAGATGTCTTTCCCTGGGGACGTCGACTTACAATAATCAGGCAAGCCGAGCAAAGGTTGTGCCAACTGTCGCACGAGAAAGATAAAAGTGGGTGGGAGGTTTTCAATGTTAATATACAAAATAAGATAGCAATGCGATGACAAGGTCATGCGCGAGCTGCTGTACAACACATGGCGAGACCCTTGACTGGCGACCGCCACGAACATATCCGGCACAGAGGAAAACCACTGCTCAAGCTAATGTTTTGTTCAGTGCAACCAGGGCGTGCCTTCATGCGGACAATGTATGAAAGCCGAGCGTGCGTGTCCTGGCTACCGCAACATGGTGGACTTGGCCTTTCGGGATGAAAGTAGTGCCGTGATTGAAAAGGTCAAAGCCAAGGCTAGAGCCAGAACAGAACTTGGTAATGGTTCATCATCTGCACCGAGAAAAGTCAGCAGCAGGTCAAAATTGTCTGCCTCAAGCTCCCCCGAACCGCCGGAGATCTTTTCTTCAGCATCTTCATCGGTCATTAGCTTCGCTCCATCCTCAATTGAGGACCGTGGGATCAACTGTTTTCTCGGCAATTGGGTTTCCAAATGGAGTGGCCCATCTCATGGGTAAGACATATTTACACGTCCAGAAATCTTCTCTTACCAGCTATAGGTACTTCAACTATTGTCATGAACTTCTCGGCGAGGATGCCATGGGTTCAGTCTTGAAGACGAGTATAATCGCGAGTGGTTTGGCCATAGAGGCCAATGCAAAACGGGACTCACAATTGCTGGTACAAGCTCGGCGCAATTATGCCATAGCTCTTTCAAAGATAAATTCTGCCTTGCGTTCGCCTGCTGAGGCAGCAAAAGACAGTGTTTTGCTCGCAATCATTGTGCTCGCAGTATTTGAAACGTGTTGTGGTTCGAATCAGCGTAAGTGACTGCTTTTCGCCGTTCCAACGTCGAGAACCTTCACAGTTGACACCCTCCCACAGTCTCGATGAAAGCGTGGACAGAGCACATCAATGGCGCTAGCACTCTTATTCGTATGCGAGGAAGAAGCCAATTGAACAACAAAATAAGCTTTGGAGTCTTGTAGGTGTTGGGGATTTCCTACTGTTGACTGATTCGTCATTTTCTCTGAGACAATGTTTCCTCTCGAATCAATCTTAATCGAACAATTGCTAACTCACCCGCTATCTAGCATTTACGGCACTGGCCAGTTGCTACTATCATGCATGCAGAGAGTACGTTCCTTCTTAGAGCTCATTTCCTGCCTTGTATAGTCTTGAGTTGTTTACTCTCGAGATTTAGGCGGCTTAAGTACAGGGTGCTTATATAGTTCTAGGAGATTCCAATGCATCCAGAGATTCTCGAGCTTAGGAAATTTGCATTTTCAAATATCCCATCAGATACTGGTTGGGTGTTTTTGAGGAAGTGCGACGAATGGTAAGTCTTACTCTTTACTCATTGCTATGTGTCCGGAGATGCTAGCTCTCTCGCTGACCCGCTCTGTCCTTATTCCTTGGGAACGACAAACTGCTAATTTACTTGCATTAGTACTGTCTTCCGTGCAGCTATCAAGTCCGGGGGTAAGCCTTATTCTTATAACAAGTCTTTCTTCCCTCTTCACGAAGGCTCGAAGCCCGCTGGCTTCAGGGGAGCCGGGATGCGCATTCTTGAGATCTTGGCTCCTCACCTCCTGAGTTTTTTTGGGGAAATAGAAGAAAAACCCATACTAATTCGATGTCAGCCATCGCGGATCCAGAACTTATCTTGTCTACCGCACTTCGGTTGGACAATGAAATGGCCCAGGTATTTGACAACGCTTCACCAGGCTGGATGTACGAGACGGTGTATACAGATGTGGAGTCACCCCTTGTCTTTGGTGGATATTATGGTACCAGCTCTCTTCCTCTCACTTTTTTTTTACCTGCAGTCTATCTCGTGAGATAGGGACACTCGTTCCAAGAAGGCTGTGCTGACAATCATTTTCTTGACAGATATATACTACGACCATTGGATAGCTCAAATTTGGAACGTAAAGAAACCCTATTTCTTAGCTCCTCACCCTGAATTCCCTGTTACTATTTAAGAGAACGCCTTATCCTTCCGACTCGCTCTTAGCTCCCTCCCTTCTCTCCGAAGAAACATGTTATTAATTTGTTCTAGGGATCCCGATGTGTACGACTTGGGCTCAACGAGAATATTCGTTCGCAGCTCGTTAAAGTGAGTCCTGTATATACCAGAGCATATCCCTCTTTTGCCCGTCTTGAGCGGTGTTTGCTCTCCAGATAAGTCCGAGAGTGTGGCTTTTGGCATACCTCTCGTCCGCACCGCAAATTCGACTCTTCAAACATGTACTAAATAATAATATCAGGGTTTCACTTCAAATCCGCCGCGATTCAACACCCCTCAGCACCTAGCTCAGTTCCAAGCTTCGACCCAAATAATAACCCAAATGCGAAATGAAATACTGAGGAGCGTCGCCCAACACGTGGGCCTCGTTCCCTTATCACGCAAACCCTTCCAAAGCACCGCTACCCCCTCTAACTCGATGGCCCCGCCACTGCAAAACCTCTCATCCGAATTCCCCGAAGCCCCCCCCTCCTTCATCTCCCCCCTCTCATCCCCAGACTTCGTCCCCTACGAACCCCCTTACCAAACCCTAACCCCCGACCCAACCTTCCCGGCCGTCGGGGGGTACTTTCTCTTATGGCCCATCTATTTCGCAGCCGTAACCCGCGTTTCCCAACCAATACATTGTGTCTTTGCAATTAATGTTCTCAATTACATCGGCGAGAACATGGGGATCAGGCAAGCTAGTAATATGGCTTCGTTCTTGCAAGCACATCCGGCGTTTCGGGGGAGGGGAATGGAGAAAGTGAAGGAAGGTGGTGTGATGGGCGATATCAATGACTGGAGGATGGAGGGTCCTATGCAGCTACTGCGAGAAATGTTTGAGCGGGAGGGCGAGAGCAAGAGTTGATTAGGGCGGCTGGTGCAAATTGGTGAGGAGTTATGGAGAAGGCGAGGGCGAGAGTCAGCCTGGTACTGGAGTAGAAGAAGTTTGCAGGTACTAAAGGTTAGAGGAGAAGCACTTTGGGGGCCTGGATGCCAGTATGAAGAATAGATTCAACTATTAAGAATTGAAATTCGGTACCCGATTAATTGTGGCTCTGGATTGACCTCTGCACAGTGTTCACTAATTCTTGACCCACCCACGACCTGCCCTGAAGAGCTCTTTTGGATGTGTATTGAATTCATCTCACAGGTCGATCTGAACTCCTCTCACGATCTCTTTCCTCACACGAAAGACTTCAAGGAACAAAAATGAGGATATAAACACAGTCTAGCGTCAATGAGAACCCGAGACCAACCTCTAAAAGTACAGTACATCCATAAAAATGCCAAAGCCGGAATTTATTTCCCTTGATCATGCACCAACTTCCCTCTCTCCTCATCACTCCCCTCGTCCGACCACCGATCTCCATCTTCCCCAACGGCAAAAATCGTCTCGCCATCAAGACTCTCTCTTGGGATCTCCTTCGCCGTATTGGCTCCCGGAGGTGGATCATATCTTGGGCCTTCTTGACCCGGCTGCGTCCTATCCCCTCTGTGTGCTGCCGCACTTTCTGGATCATCATCATCGTCATCTTCTGCGCCAAAGTCTGCAATCTCAAAACCTTCATCATCTTGAGCTAACTCGTCCGACATTGCGAATCGTCGGTTGTTAGCGGTAGGACGCCAGAGGTAGGCGATGAAAATCACGTCGGCAAGGTAGACGAAATTGAGCCAGCCATCGAGGATAAACCAACGAGTCTTCCAGTGGAAGGGTACAAAGTCCGGGCTCGAAGATGAAGCAAAGGTAAAGGAGTTAAAGAAGAAGAAGCCAAAGATCACCATAATGGAGAGGAGGATTGCCCACCAGAGCTGTCGGTACATGGAGAGTTTGACGGTTTGTTTGCGCTCAACAAGATCTCTAATGGTCTCCTTTAGAGAGTTAAGGGTCCACACGTAGAAGGCGGTCAATGTGCCAGCCAATGGGAGAATAATGAAGAGCACAAGAGGACCTCAAAGATATTAGCAGAGTCTATCGGATGATCACATGACTCACCGGCACTCTCAGGGGTGACAGTCAAGCTTGCGATTGCATAGATCAAGCCAAAGACAAAATGTCCCGCAGCTAGATACCGAACATAGATCATCGTTTTGCCTAAGGTGTGTTTAACAACACCATAGCCCATGCAGACGATCAGGAGCAAGAAGAAGGAGAAGGAGTTTCGCCCGGCATTTAGGATTGCAACCACAATCATAAGCACTTTCGCACCGACTGTACTTCCATTCCGGTTCATAAAATCGTAGAATCCCCACGTCACTAGCATCTCGACTATCAAGAAGAGGATGATTGCAGTGATGTAGTTTTGCACGGGCACTGGAAGGACTGTAAGTATCTTGACCCAGTATTGACATTAAAAAACTTACGTATATCATGCCGGTGTTGAACATACAAGAACGCCCAGAATCTAAAGCTATTAGCAATGTAATGGAACGATCCAAAGCTCTACGTACGCTCCAATGACTGCGTAGATAATTGTGATACCACCATAGAACGGAAGCTTGGCAATCTGAGCGGCCGGAAGCTCTCCGTATGCGTTTCGAAATTCGACCGTGGCACTATACTGCGCATCTAATGGTGAGAAAGCCGCGGTGCCTACACAATAATACCCCGTCTTCTTGATGCCATAGTTGACTGGTAGGGGTGGGTCCTTTAGGTGTACCGCCTGAGTGAAGATGACGTTTTTTGAGATGTCAGTCGCATTTGGCGCCAAGATAAACTCTCCCGTTTGATTCGAATTGCAAAATCCGGCTTGGATCGGATCCGAATCACATAGGTATTCATTCTGCGAAAAAGCTCAGCATCCATGCAGCAGTTGTCCCCAAATTGGAGTGATGTACCTCTATTCCGATCAGATCGTAATCCCTCCATTCGAAGATTATCATGCTCGCAATTGGGTCCGAGCCTTCTGGGACGTCTTGCTTCACCCATTTGACCAGTATATGTGGGTCTACATCTCCTCCCCTGCTAAGCAAGTTAGCACTGTAAAATCGAGTAGAATCAATAAGAGCCGGGTCTGTCCTAGCTTCCAAGACACAGGAGGAAGGCGTCATGACCGCCCCTGAGACAGCCCTCAGGCTCGATTCCCGTATAAAACAGCACAATAGTATTGAACTAGGACTTGCCAGTCATTCTTGCTGTACATTCCACTACATATTTGTCTGTTGTCGTTCTCCTGGTTCTGCTTCATACGTTAGCGCCAATCATTTCTCTCTCAATTCAGTCAATACCATATTCATTTCATTTGCACCGGCTGTCACAACGGACAGCCCAAGCAGGAGTAGTCCATGGAGCCAGCTTCTCATGGTTGCTTGGAGCCTCGAGGCTGGCGAGGTGCGAGTGATATAGTAAAGCACGTAGAGAAATGGCGGGAGATCTAGGTCTGCTCGTAGGTTATATGGCCATCCAGAATTGATCCGCGAACTCCGGAATGGTAAAGGACCTTGATCGAGGGGACGTCGGATTTGATTGAAGTTATTTGGGGCTGTGGATGCGCAAAGGAAACGTAACAGGCAGGGACCCTTGGTCGGCCGCTAGGGGCGGCGCCTCCAGAGACAAGGCCAGAGCCTCGCCGTGACTTTGAAGCCCAAGAATTTCTCCTTCCTCCCGCCAACCTCAAAAATCCACGATGGCAGGTGCCGACGTAGCTCCTCCGAACTCTCTGTGCAAACGATGCAATGAAGAGAATGCTGTCCAATCTATCCGCTCAGAGAGAGTCTGCGAGCAAGTTCTTCCCGAAATATATTCTGAAGAGTCGCACTGACATGCATCCCAGTAAATGCTTTTCTCAATATGTCACAACCAAAGCAATAAAGCGCATGGAAACATATCGAGTTCGAGGTTCAACCGCGAAAGCGGCCAGGAAGTTGCTTTTCCCTCTCTCCTTTGGACCCTCGTCTGCCTCGTTACTCCACATATTGGACCAGCACCTCCAAGGACAATACGATCGAATGAACCGAGCCGCTTATGAATTGATCGTGTTACATATTGATCTACATTTGGATGTTGCAGACCGAAAGGACACTTCTGAATTGCTGGAGAAGTACAAAAGCCGCTTTCCAAGGCACACCTACTCCAGCTTGGGCCTTGAACAAGCCTTGCTCTTGGATGGGATAGACTGGAAGGCTTTGAACATGCCAGAACCCCCTCAAGATATTTCACAGAAGTCTGGGACTGAAAGACTACAGCAACTCATTGGATCAATGCCATCTGCAACCTCAAGGACGGATGTTATCACAACCTTGCTCACCCGACTTCTAGTGGATATTGCAAAGAGAAATGGCTGTGAAAGTATTTTATTTGCAGACTCAACCACGAGACTTGCTGAGAAGACACTCACAGAAACAGCTAAGGGACGCGGCTTTTCATTACCCTGGCAAGTTTCTGATGGGATGTCCCCACATGGAGTCGGGTTCAATTATCCCTTACGGGATCTTCTCAAGAAGGAGCTCGTGACGTTCTCTTCGCTCGCAATTCCTCCTCTCGCCGATTTCATCATATCCCACGGACCATCCTCTCAAATCTCTGCTTCGTCGAAGCTTACTACCATTAACGATCTCATGGCTCAGTATTTCGAGTCTGTCGAAGAAAACTATCCAAGCATTGTTGCCAACGTCGTTAGGACGTCCAGCAAACTCCAGCCTCTTACTGGCGATGAGACTACAGCTTGTGGATTGTGTGGGCTACCCGTAGCAGAAGGCACGGATGGTATTTACGGATGGGGAGGAGGCCAAAATTCGGCATCACGAGCTGCAAAACAAGATGGCAGCCATGAGGTTCTTTGCTATGGGTGCTCGAGATCTCTTAATGGCTGAATGCAGATCTACCGATATCTATCTAAACCCAGATCAGGCCCTTTCCTCAACATTTTGCAGAATCCGACGCCTTGACGTCAAAAGAGGTTCAATATTTACAACAGGATGACGAACCACTTCATCCTATTTTAAATTAGAACAAGTTGTCTGATCTAGACATTGTTTTTGATCGAAGAAGGGAGGACCTTAGCCTCAAACTTGCGCATCAGTTTGTTCGTTTGCTCCGCCAAGCTGAGCGTCAAGATGGTATGGGGCAAGATCCTTGCCAGATGGGGAAGGAAGCCCTTGTATATAGCCAAGACACCCTCTGTCTTTACTGTCTTCGCTAGACAGTCAAATATACCTTTATAAAGGTTGCCATCTTGGTTATACATTCGAGACATGATTGTATCTATTCCAAGTCAGTGTCAACCGCTCATCGGACATTGAGATCTTCTCACCAGGTGGATGCATAACACAGCACACCACAAACCCACTAGCTGTACTACTCGCAAGATGTAACGCTGGTCCTTCGTCCATCCCCAAATGCTTCACAAGTCTCCTCTTAGCAAAGAAGTATGTCGGCAGTTGTACGGAACTCCCAAACCCGGTCCGAACCATCGCGGCCCCTACTCCTCGATATAGCCCTGGCACTCCCTCGGCCTTGAAAATCTGTCTCATCCCATCCGCTGCATTCTTGTATGCATGCTGCGTGCCCACCGGTGCAAACGGCGAGAAGCTCTGTAACCTAGTCTTCACCAAGAAAAACGGACTTCCTGCCGCAGCGCCCAAAATGCCCGACGATGCGCCCGCGAATATGTTGATTCCTAGACTTTGTGTAGTCGGGTCTGTGTAGATGACGCTTGTGAGGGAGTGTCGTATCGGTTCGTAGAAGGCTAGGCGACAGCCATTGAGGAGCATTTGGTAGATGTACGCTGCGCCGATTCCGCGGTAGATGCCCTTCAGTCCTTCATGCCGAACGATTACTGAGACGCCGTGGAAGGGGCCTTTGTACGCTCTGGGTTGGAGGCCTTTTTCTTGGAGCTCGCCCTGCAGTTGCATGCTGTGCAGAGTGTTAGCTTGGGTTGAAGAGGAGCTTTGGAGCTTCATACCGGATCTTGACAGTCTCGAAGGGATGTGTAGCCGTCACTGCTCCGCAAGCTGCAATACCACCTGCTACGAATGCACTGTGCTTATTAGATGGTATCCCTTCTTCCAGGGGCTTCAGAACTCACCCTAAAGTAGTAGACATCTTGTCTCTCCCCTTCTGCCCTCCTCAGAAGGGGCTGTTGAAGCCCTGTTATTGCAACGACAGCTTGTGATGCTTCAGCTCTCAAGAGATGGGGTTTCGTGAAGTTGTGCTGGGATTTTATGCCAAATTTTTACAGCAGTCTGAGTAGATATGACAAGCTGACTATGCGGCTGTCGTTGTGTGGGCTGTAAGAACTATTTTGTGATCTTGATTACGAAGTGCAAGGCAATTAATGGTGCCGATTGTTTTGCTGTACGGGGGGCTGTTTCGGCAGCATTTTTTGGTCCGGCTTCGGGAGTTTGGAGACGGAGAGTCGGAAAGTCGGGCTCAGGGTCCACCTCCCTGATTTTGAGGAATCCAAGTAAAGTGTTCCTTTCGCAACGTTCGCAGTAATCGAATGTCTAAGCTCAAGAGCACATGCGAACCTGTGCCCAGGTGGTTTTTGTACAATGTTCGCGTTTATGATTTTCCGTGCACGTGATCTTCAATGTTCTAGCCAATGGTGTACAATCCCTGTCACGCTCTTCCCATACATCGATTTCTCCAAACAGACCAACCTTCACCCTTCCATGAAAGAGCGCAATAATGTCTTCCACGCCAATGGCTATTGATTCGCCCATGGGTGCAAATGGGCTTGGCAGCAAGTCGGGAGGGGCATTACCAACCTCCAAAGTGTCCGAAATGATCTCCTTATTCCGGCCTTCAAAAGTAATTTCCCTTTCTAGCAACGCGCAAACGCTGACCCTTCCAGCACTTTCGCCGCGAGCCACCAGCGACAGTTCCTGGCAAACCACCTTCTCCCTATTCCTCGATCCTCTCGTTGGATTTTGATGATGAAGGTGGCTTGCTTCTTACGTCCGAAAGTGACAACAGTATGCAAATATACAGTGTCAAAGATGGCAAGCACCACAAGACATTACTCAGCCAGAAGTATGGTGTAATGCACGCTATGTTTGGCCACGCCAGTGGTTGCATTCTTCATTCAAGCACAAAACAAAACCGTAAGTTGTCTCCTTGACATTATCAAGAGTCTACTGAATACTTTGCAGACACAATTCGATATCTATCCACCCATGACAACTCGTACTTGCGGTACTTTGAGGGCCATGAAAAGAATGTCACGTGTCTCTCCCTCCATCCAGGTCAAGACAACTTCCTTTCCTGCAGTGAAGACAACACCCTCCGCATCTGGGATGCAGCTACCAAGAACGCGTGTGGAAAACTTAACCTTCATGGCGCATATCTCGCGGCTTGGGACCCCTCCGGCAATGTCTTTGCAGTCGCATCTCCAACTGCGCAAACAATTCTTCTTTATGACTTCCGTAACTTCGACAGAGAGCCATTCTCCACCTTTGACATGCTGCCTTATTTCCAAAACGGACAAAATTCTCCCAGCAAAGGCTGGAACAAGCTCGAGTTTTCCAATGATGGTAAACACATCCTCCTCGGCACGACTGGTACGCAACACTTTCTCCTCGACGCATTCGACGGTCATTTGAAAGCCTCCCTACTCCGCGACCGAGGTGCTGTCAGAAGACTGGCAGCAGGAGATCACAACCTCGAGGGGATGGATCCTCAATCATCCGAGTTTTTGTACCCAAGTACGGGCGATTGTTGTTTCACCCCGGATGGCCGCTACGTGCTCAGTGGGTCAAGACAGCAAAATGTTTTAGCGTGGGATACGCTGGCTTCTGCTCAGGAGCGGTTCTTAAGACCTGTCCATGAGTTGGAGTATAAGGGAGACTCGGCTGTCATTGCCTTCAACCCGAGATACAACTTCTTTGCAACTGGAGATAAGGAGGCCGTATTTTGGGTGCCAGATCAAAGTTTGGCATAGTGGTGAAGTCTTTAATCTGTCTTTGAATCATCGATTTTCGGAGTGGATATCCAAAAGTGAACTGGCGTTTGGCGAGTTGGGGTTGATTTCCTCAGACCTTGGGACTTGCACCAAGGCATTATATCCCTGTATCTGGATCGTTATCCAGAATTATGATGGATTGTTCTTTGAGTCAACGACCTGGCTATGGTAATAAATACATCTTCAGAAAAACGATTTCTCAAGTGATAAAAAGCTGGAAACATGGTTCTCCGTGTCCCAGTAGAGGTCCATAATCAACCTCTTTGGTTCTCTTCTCATTATTGATTCCACTCGTGTCATCTCTGATACAGATACCACCCACTGAGTCATGCGAAGTACTCAACGCCAATTTAGTCAGGAAATGGAAAGACGGCAGGACTTCCATACCCCTTCGCACTCATATATCGACTTCTCAGTAGCTCTCCATTCAGGCTCGTACTCTATCGCCCTCCGACACCTTTTCATCGTAATGTGCTCTCATATCGCAGGACCTTCACCTCAATGGTCTCATTCTTTAAGAGTTCCGATGCACTCGTTGATTTGACACTTGTCAGCGCCTATGTGTTCAGATTTTTCCAGAACCCATACAGAACCAAAGTCTGGAAAGGTTATTTAGTTGATTGATTGATCAATTAGCACTGCAGCGGCCAATACTACTCATAGACGCATTCTTACTTCAACGATACTCTACAATTATTAATTCGGGTATCCTGATTTTGCACAATTCTCAGGTTCAAGGAAACCAAAACTCAACCTCCATGAACCGCATGATCCGCATGATCCGCATCATTTCTTCGCCAACGTTTCCTTCAAATTGTCGGCAGTTTCCTTCGCCTTGCGGTACTCTTCGTCGTAGGACTCTATCTCCGTGGGTTCAGTAGCTGCCGTGGCGTGCTTCGACTGAGCAGACTTAGGCTTGAGCCAGGGCATGTCTCCTTGAAAGCTTGAAGTCAACGGCGAGGTAGGTGTCCGGATTGCTGGTGACTGAGTTGAAGGCTGTTGGCGGGTATCGTGATTATATGGCTGCTGTTTTGTAATGGGTTTTGGCGCAGGTTGTATGGTCGGTAAGGCTGTAGCGGACATCGGCGGAGAGGGAAATTGATTATAATTAACACCAGGATTAGCCGTAGGGTGTGCTCCCGTTCTTGGCAAAGTCCCAGAAAACTGATTTGCGTTGTTGGAGTATGATCCCTTGTATGGGGCAGCGTTCATCTGGGGCTGGGAACCGGTAATAGCAGGAGAAACATGGGATTGGCCTTCCTGCCATTTGGGAACTGAGAAGTATGGGTTGATGGGTCGAAAGGGTTGTCCTGGCTGGCCTTGAGGTCTTTGAAGTCCACCAGTATGTTGATTTGCAGGTGGAGTTGGTTGCAATGTCGGTTTGGGTTTGCGCATGCGAGGAGCAGGGGCTTTGAGAGGTTTTGGTTTTATGGGCATGAAGGGTGCCTTCTGTTCGCTGCTGCTGGGAGTTGCTCCGAGTTGACGCTGGACTTGCTGGTCAAGCCACGAAGATGATTTCGAGAAGGATGCAGGCTGAATATTCGAGATGAAGATGGGTTTAATGAGACGCATAGGTTGGGGATCCGTTGATGACTTTCGGAGCCATCTTTCTGGGGGGTTGATGAGCAGATCCGGATACGACGTATGTTGAGGCTCGTTGGACACCGGGGTATGTTGAGGTATGGCCCTGCTCTCCACGATCTTCACGCACCCAACTTTCGCGAATGGATCATTTGAGACTGGAGAGAATTGGTAGGCGTTATCCGAAAGCTCGTTGATTGAAGGAGGTGGAGACCAGGGAGGAAGAGCAGGCGATTGCCAGTGACCGGGACGCCTCGTGGACTGCTCCATTAAGAGTTCTCCAGCCTCTTCTAAGAAAGAGATATCACGGTGATCCTCGGATTGTTGCAATAGCAAATGGATCCGTCTGCCAGTCTCGGAATCGTCTTCAAGATAAAAGTTACCCAAATACTTCTCGAGGGGGAGTTCAGCGAGAGCTCGAACTTCGTTGGCTACGAGAAGGTCAGAAACTGGCTGGTGATAGGCATATTCTCTTACCTGTAGGTTCGCGACCGTAGAGCTCACGTATCTCGGCCACGCGAGTGTAAGCTGTGACATAGCTGCTTCTAGAGCCATCTTCTGGTCCCGTCATTTTGGAGAATGGGGTAGCACTTGCAGGATTAAACTCGAGGAAGTAACGACCCGAGCGTTGCAAGAACGGGGGCATGCGCGCAAATACTCGGAAAGTTTTGTGTGACTGAAATTCACCTTTCGATTCGTCGAGGAGAAATTTCCTTCGTCATGAAAAGCATCGGATTTCCAAAAAGAGTTACCATGCGCATTTCGGAAGAAAAGAGGACTTTGTATTATTCTGTTAGCTAGAATTGACGAGGGGTGCTGCTATGTAGGTGCTATTTTGAGAAGCCACGCAACGAAAACATTTACTCCTCGAATGAACCATGGATTTTAATGCCTGTTGTATTCCCATCTAGTAAAAGACGTATATTTCAGGTCGACTCAACTAGAAAATGGTATTACGGCACTGATGACAGCCTGCGTCAACACAGAGCCGTGTAGGCACTTGCCTGACTTGCGATGGGCTCTTTCCGTTCTGGGACGTTCAGTAAAGCTATTCTTCGTCCAAAGCCCCGATTCAAGTACGAAGACTCAGATATTGATACTTGATTTGCAGCAGCCAGCATGTCCTGGAAAAAACACCTCTGACCAGAAGATCATTAATCGTGATTGAAGACTGGCCACAGCGGAGAGGACATTCCTTCAAAAAAAAGGTCTTGAGGTAGGATTGGTTCCTCAAATGTCTTGCATGATGAGAATTAGTTTCCCGGTAGCAAAGGATAGTGACACGTCAATAGACTGAAGCTGCGAATTGCACCAGAATAGAAGCGGTGATGTTGAAAAGGTGGGTCTAGCAAGCGAGATTGATAAGATTAGATTCTGCAAATCTTCCAGAAGGTTGCAGCCTCGCCTGCATGTTCAACCTCGTCGCACTCTGCAACTGACAAGATGGGAAAAGGCACGGATAAACTCTATGTAAGTGAAATATTCCGTGCAGATTCTCACGAACCTTCTTCTTACGCAAGTGTCCATGTTCTCGTGCTAATTATCTGCATTAGATTACCCATTCTGAGTGGTCCTCCTCAGACGCATATTCTGCAAGTGCCGGATCCAACGTTTCCCAAAAGGCCACGAACGGCGCGAACTTCAAAAGACTACCGTTTAACTTCTGTGCTGCCAGTCTGCAGCCTTTCAAACACCCTGTCTGCACGCCAGAGGGAACAATATTTGATGTCGAGGTGGTTACTCAATGGCTAGAGAAACATGGCACGAACCCGGTGACTGGAAAGCCATTGAAGGACAAGGACTTGATCAGGCTAAACTTTGCGCGGAATGGCGATACAGATGCGCATGACGGTGGCGGAGGTGCTGGGGAAGGGAAGGGAGAGATGGTCGACCCTGTCACCTTCAAGGTCTTCACGGACAATACACATATTGTGGCAATCAGACATGGCAGTGAGGCTAATGTTTTCGCTTGGGAAACCGTTGAGAGATTAAACATTAAGCCGAAGATGTGGTTGGATTTAGTGGACAATCGAAAATTCGGACGATCCAATATCATCACACTCCAGGACCCGCAGAATATTGAGAGCAGAGATTTGAGCCAGTTCAAATTCTTGAAGGATGGGGAAACCGTGTTAACCAAGGAGCAAGAGGCAGAGAGGCAAAAGGGTAGTGTGAACATTGATGCGTTGGGTAGGGTTGGAGAAAAGGTGTTGAGGGCAAAGGAGGCCGTGGAAAAGGCGAGGAAAGAACGAGAAGCTGGTGGAGACATCAATCGGTCCAAGATCGTCACCAAAACTGGACCGACCAATTCTGCGCCTAGCATGTCTCTGATACAGGAGAAGAAGACAGCATACAATGCTGCCCAATATACCACCGGCAAGGCTGCTGCGAGTTTCACAAGCACGGGACTCACACCAGAGACCAGTGGCGAGAGAGCACTTCTCACCGATGAAGAGTATATGTTAAGACCAAAGCGAGTCAAGATCAAGGGATATGCTCGAATCGAGACCAATTTCGGTTCACTAAACATAGAACTACAGACCGAGACCGCCCCACGAGCTGTCTGGAATTTTGTCCACCTGGCCAAGAAGGGTTATTACAATAGAGTGAAGTTTCACCGAAATATCCGAAACTTCATGATTCAAGGTGGTGATCCCACAGGAACGGGAAAAGGTGGCACGAGTATCTGGGGAAAGAATTTCCAGGACGAATTTGATGGACCTTTGACGCACGACTCAAGGGGCGTCATGAGTATGGCCAATAAGGGAAAGAACACAAACTCGAGTCAATTCTTCATTACATACAAACCAGCTAAGCATCTGGATCGAAAACACACCATTTTCGGCCGCGTTGTTGGGGGGATGGATGTTCTTCAGAAGTTGGAGAATGTGCCAACAAACGAAGCTAACAGACCAGAAGAAGACATTATAATGGAGAATGTTGTCGTCTTTGTTGATCCATTCGAGGAATTTCAGAAGCAAAAACGAGAGAAAGATGAACTTGAGAAGGTGCGGGAAGAGGTCAAGAAGCAAGGTGGAACAGAAGATGACAAGACTACATGGACTGGGAAACGAATTAGGGGTGATGGGAGCGTCGTCCAGGCTGAGCAGACTGGCGGCGTTGGAAAATATCTGAAGTCAGGAGCCGATTCCAGCAATGGTAAATATGTCGGGGATGACGAAATGCTCGAGGCAGAGCCAGTCAGGAAGAAAATCAAGCCTGGAGGCTTTGGAAATTTTGATAGTTGGTGATAATGATGGGGTTTGTGGCCGAAGCGAGTTCAAAGCCAACAACATTGAATTGAAGTCAACATACAAGCACCACCTGCCCTTTAATAAAAATTTGATTCCCCTCTCCCTTTCTTCAACGCTACTACGTCATCGACAACGGATCTCGGATCGAAGACCGCCCGAGTCGCAATACAAGCACCGATATTGAGTAGCCAAGATGAAGCAATCCAAGCCTAGTAAGTGGTCCTCAAATCCCCCCTTTTAACTGCTACTGACCTTTATTCACAGCTCCGACTACCTGCGAAGCCTACTTCGCCCTGAAGTTCAGCCGACCGAAAACCCTCTTCAACCTACCCAGGAATGTCCACCAGAAAATCATGAAGCGTCTCGGCCGCGTCTGCTCTACCACGCTCGGTCTTCCCTGCAAGAAGCTCCACGTCCGGCACAGGCAAATCCACGGCACTGTTGACCTTGACGAGATCTACGGCGCTATCTTCGCTTTTGAGGATGTCGAGTTTGGCGGTCAGGAGGCATCATTCTTTACGCTTGGAGAGATGTTGGATATGTGGGCGAGACGGGACTTGAAGTATGAGCTTCCTTCTGGCGCGGACTGGCCAACAAAATTCGTTCCGAAGGCCCGGTTCTCTTATAAGCACTATGTGTTTTCTCGTTATCAGGGTCTCCTCTTCACGGGTAAGGTAGTTCTGTCGATTCCAGCTGGGTGGAAGCCTTACCCAAGATGGACAATTGCGACCTAGAGGGCGCAATGGTAGGATAAGTCGTGAATGAGGCTCAACGGAACGTCCTGGGCCAAAAAGCCTTCATACAGTCCATTTCTTGGGACCGACGCTCAAGCTTGCGAAGGAAACTGGAGCCAGCTTCAATAGAGTCTTCAGAGGACGGAGTGGCACTGCAAGAATGATGCAGTGAAAATAAAATACAATGGCTTTGACTTTGACTTTGACAATGACTCCCAAAGTCTGCTGACCATGTGCATGTGATTTTTCTGGGCCGGGCGCATCACTGGCGAGGCAAGGGCAAAGACAGCCTCGCCGATAACGTTAAGAGGCAGCTGCCAGTTCGGCCTCATCGCACGGCGAATGCCACACCCATCATTCAACCTTTTCCGAGATGCCAAAAAGGCCCTGCTCTTGCGCTGAAACACGATAAGCCTTGTGGCATCGTTTCACTCGGGTCCTTGTGCACTTTGCCAACCTCCGCAGCAAGACGCTTGCAGCCTAACCCGTGGGAAAGCGAGGCGCATCGATTGTCGAGACGACTAAGCTCTGAGCTCTGGCGATGTCGACCACAACGTCCCAATATCCATTGCATCCAGAGAGCTCTAATGGATCCAGCGGCTCGCCGTCCGCTCAGCAGCAGCAGCAGCAGCCACAGGGAACGCCGCAGCACAAACGCGTCTACCAGGCGTGCATACCATGTCGGCGTCGAAAGGTTAAGTGTGATATGGGAAGTGTAGACAATCCGCACGACCCACCATGTGTACGATGTCGCAGAGAGAGCAAGGAGTGTTTCTTCTCTGCGACCAGAAGAAAGCGCAAGCACGACGATGGTGGACCTGACAGCCTAGACGGCTACGACTACGATGATTACACTGTCCGCAATGGAAGAAAGATGGCCCACACCTCCCCCCCAGCATCGATCAGGCAATCTTCAATGGGAGCTCCTCCTTCTGCTCGATCCGCAGTTCAATATGGAGACAATGCGCCTGTCGCTCCTGGGCCTCCGTTGACTCCTGGCGGATCAATTGGCCGCCCGCAGCCTTTGCGCCGGCCAAACCAAGGCTCCCGAGATGATTCACATAGGATGGATGGCAGAAACTCGGAGGAGTCGAACACACAGCTGGAAAATCTTGAGGCTCAAGAAGTAATGCGTCGGGAAGTCTATGGTCCACATGATGCACTAGATCTGCTCTATAAAGCTGCAACTGACAGGTGCGTTTCTTCCCAGCTTGTAATAAAACCTTACTGACACGCTTTCAGCCCGGGCCACAAGAGAACCAGTAGTCAGATGTCGCCAGTGATGGCAAATAATACATCCGCGCACCCGCATTTGCCATCGCCTATTCAAAACAATGGAGCTCCTTTCCAGAACAGCTATATGCGTCCTCCAGAAATTCGGCGAGAAGCGCAAATTGACCCTGCATTGACTTCAGGAGACCTGGAGAAGCCGAGCCGCATGCAAGAGCAAGGTTATAAAGACGCTGTCAAGGCTTGGGCAAGGTTCAGATTTGTCAGGGCTGGCTGGTTTACACCTACAGAGGCAATCGATTATATTGATTAGTAGGTCGATTCTCTTTTTCTCCCAGTTTCAAAGCTTATACATACTGCAGCTACTATGAGTACCTTTCACCGCTTACACCAATCTCCCCTCCAACTTTCCGGGAACCAGGAACCCACCCAACCCTCTTAATGGAAGAGCCTATCCTGACAGTTACGCTTCTCACTATAGCCACTCGGTATAGAAAGATGCCAGGACCAGGAGGCCATTGCAGGTCGCATGCCATCCATGAGCAGCTCTGGACGTATCTCAGAGGGATGATTGAGAGATGTTTGTGGGGTCAAGAAGCTTTCGGAGGTGGCTTTTGTGGGTCTGGGGCCGGTGATGGAGAAGCCCAAACTTCTAGCACAGCTCCATGGCGAGGGCTGCGGAAAGGAAGTTTGCGAACTTTGGGAACTATTGAAAGTCTCATGATCTTGACAGAATGGCACCCCCGGGCTTTACATTTTCCCCCGGCTGAGGCGACGGACGAGCTTATGCTTCCATCCTATGAAGGGCCTGATACCTACAGTACCGACGACGAAGGAGGCCATCGGTTACCTAGAGGGGTAGGTGGGAAAAGGATCGAAAGCTGGCTTGAACCAGCCTGGCGAAGTGATCGTATGTGCTGGATGCTCCTGAGTACGGCAATGGGCCTGTCCTACGAACTCGGCGTCTTCGATAACGTTGACGAGCTATTGGAATCTGGTGGAGAAATGACACGACCTGAGTACGAGGACGAAGCTTATCGGCTCAGAGCAGCTAGGATCAAGAGACTTCTTCTCATTTATGTCACCCAGCTAGCTGGCCGTCTTGGATGGACAAATATGGTACCGGAGAACTTGCGTGTGACGGATCCAGCATTCGCACCCCGAAAGAGAAGAGCATCGGTGGATGGCAAGACTCCAGATACGAACACGACGGTGTCTAACACTTTCAATTACATCCCGGATCTCGAACTTGACGACCAGATCATCCACTGCTGGGCCGGCATCAGCAATGCAATGCGCATTGGCAACGAGAAGCTCTTCAAGTCGAGACAATACACTACCAAGATCATCCAAGATGGGAGTTACGTAGAACTTCTCAAAGATTTCCAGCCTATGCTGGCCGCATGGACGAAGGAATTTCAGCGATTTCGCTTACCTCCGTACATTCGACACATACTCTCAATCGAGTACGAGTACGTCCGAATATATGTCAATTCGTTGTCGCTGCAGGCCGTTGTCGAGAGATGTACTAGCAACGCTGGCCAGCATAACACGGCTGGCCACAACGGTAACAACACTGGAAATCCTCTATCGCCCGAGACTCAAAACTATTACGGAAAGTTACCTCTGGCAAGACTTGGCGGGTTCAGTTCAGCCGATCAAGACTACGTCAGAGAAGTCGTCGACGGAAGCAGGAATCTTCTCAGAACAGTTGTCGAGGGGCTTTTGCCGGGCGACTATCTGAAGCATGCACCTGTGCGAACTTATTTTCGCATTATCAGTGGAGCAATGTTCTTGTTAAAGACTTTTGCTTTGGGAGCATCTAAGAGTGACGTAGAGATTAGCATTGGACTGATGGACAGGGCCGTTTCCGCTCTGCGGAACTGCGTTGTCGATGATGTCCATCTTGGTATTCGCTTTGCAGACCTTCTCGAGACACTGACGTCCCGTCTTCGAAGTCGCTTCATCAGTGCTCCCACGGGACCACCCCCAGGAGAGACTTCGAGCCGCCATGGGAGCCCAGCCTTGCAGCACGAAGGGCCTGACTCGAAGAGAGCCAAGACAGACCGCGGAGAGCAGATACGGGAATGGAACGCGGCGACTCCCAACTTCAGCATGGGAACCAATGGACCAGGTGAGATTCTCAGTGCATTTTTCGAGTGTACTTTCCTGCCAAGACATTGCTAGAAGCTAATTACCTCACAGTAGATCTCAACGTCTCAGCCACACCGTTTGACCTTAATCAAGGGGCCTTCTTTGCCGCTCCCGGTACGCCTTACAACACGGGCCCTGGTTCGACCTACGGCACTGATATGGGTGATGTCTTTGGTGGTGCGAGCGATTGGAATGGTGGCAACGAGATGTGGTACTTGCCTCCCGGCGCGGCTTTCTTCCAGAATGTAAATGAGCAAGGAGTGATGCAGACGGCGGAGGGCGTCAGTGTAGGCGGTATGGATTTGCTTGATTTTATGGCGCTGGATGGGGGGTTTGATGCTCCGGGCAACCCCGGATTCTAGTTTAGGACTTGATTTGGCATGAGAATGGAGATTGATGACTTGGAAGCGAAATGATTATGAAAATTATCTCTTGCGAATGCGCAAGCGCAAGCAAAGCGTTGGGGCGGCCTCTGGAGAAAGTTGGTAAAGAATGATAATGATGGAAAACTTCAAAATTAGCTATCCAAGTCCCTGTGTTCAAGTGCCGTTCATGGGCTGCGGGTTCCTGCAGCTGCAGCTGAGACACTTGCAACGTCGCTCAATGGGGATGCAACGACTTTACATCCGGCAGAGCGAAGTACTGGATTGGGAAACGGGTAATACACACATCACTACCGATGAAAACCCGATTTTTGATACTGTTGAGAGATTGATTAATTGGAAACCTCCATTTGACAAGAATGAAATACGATGATAGGGGTGCGCGAAGCGCCATAATGCTGAAGCCCAAGGATGGTGCAACCTGCCATCTCTGCCAACGCCCTTCGTGAACGCTACACTTCGCCTTGCAAGATATTTCCACACGGATCTAATATTACACAATGACCTCCGTTGTTCCGAGCAAGTAAAGCAATGGCCCTGTCCATGAGACTACAAATACCAGAAAAAAACGCCAGCGCAATCATGATCTGATCTCCATAACTTGAACATGACTCCGGAATGAGATGCTTATAGGATCTTGTGTTTCCGTAAAATGCTCTCTAGGGCGCGGGTATCGAATAGGGTATCGTCTGGGATTTGGTCAATAATGTAGGTGAGGTTTGCGAAGAGGTCGCCTTGGTTCTTGTACGCTAGGATGGCGGGCACACCGGCGTTGTCGAATTCGATGTCGGCGTAGTGGACGCGGACGAAGTGGATTGCTGGGTGGGTTGGGACGAGAGGGGAGAGGGCGTCTGAAATGATTTGGGAGACGGGGCACTGAGACATGCCTTAGTGGATGTCTTGGTTAAGGAGGGGGAGAATTACCTCGTGGTCGTAGACAAAGACAACGACGATTGTGTCTCTTGTGACTTTCTCAATGGCGTCCAAGTAGCCCAGCGCATCAACTTCATCAAAGCGTCCGTATCTCCTGATACTCGGACTAGTCCTTCGATTCCGGATATCGCTGCCAATAGTTGACAATTCCTGTCTCCGTTGCTGTCTCCACCGTTCGATGAATTCCTCCTCCTCACTCGCGCTCCCCTCTCCATCATCATTCAAGAATGTTGCAGTGCTCGCCCTCTTATCATTCCTCGTATTACTATTCGTCCTTGATCCTCTGTAGCTCCCCGTCCGTCTAGCCTCCTCGTAACTCCTCGCATCAGCAATAACACCCTTCACGCCCGTCGTCCTCCCACTATCAAAATCCCTATGCGGCAGATGGAACAAGCCTCCCCTCGGGTCCAAACTAGGCATCCGCATATTCTCGTCTACCCTCTTCTGCACGTACTCTGTCTCTTCGTCCTGCTCGCCAGTTGGTCTGTCGTGTCTATAGTCGTGTGTGTCTGACGGATGATGATTCAGACGGGAGGATGAAGATGCCTTCGAGACAATCGAGTCAAACTCTTCCTGTGCGGCGGTTCGGGTAGCCATCGTGAAGATGGGTAGGGGAGCCGTGTGCTCTTTATGGAAATGGCGGGCAAGGGGGGGGTGCGCGGAAGTGCTTGGTCGAAGGCTTCCAGAAGGTCGATGATCCGCACGGGAGAAGGAAAGAAGTGTCTGTGTCTTTGGCGCAGGAACCGGGCTGAATCTCCGCTGTCGCAGATTTGGGACGCCCGGACGTCGAGCAAGGAGTTCCTTTTCGAGTGGCCGAGAATAGAAAATCTCTGCGTTGGATGATGGCGGTGAAGTGGGGAGGGGAGGCGTGATGTAAGGAGGTGTTTCAGGGCAATCTTATGAGCTTTTGCTTATGCCTTTGCGGTGTTGTGAATGACCGGGTTGCCCCTCGTCTCGAGTAAAAGAGGTCGTCACCGTTATAGGATGTCTGAGGCGCTCGTAAGGATTGGATGGACATGCAGCGCGGAGGAGTTGTTGCACAGCAGTTGACCGCTCTGTGGTCCGTTCTGCTGCGTCCGCGTCGGTGGTCTCGAGGGGAAGACCCGGTCCTGCAGGAGATGGAGGCCGCCAGGGATCAATTAAAGAAATGCAGCGCGGGTGATGTGATTTGGCACGAGCGCTGAGCTGCAGCTGTGCCAATTCTTCTCCTTTCACGACTCGAGCTCTCCAACAAAAATGCACGCTTCACAATAATTGGCCGCTTTGAGACCGCCAAATTTGTTTCCTTGTGTCCCCGCAATCTATTGGGACTTGCCGTCATGCGAGGCTGCCCCCCCTTTTCCTGCCTGCTTTGCCAAGCACCCAATGATATGCTGGGCATCGATAAGGAGCTAAACGATCATCGGAAATCGATGGGGCGGTTTCTCGAAGCAGGCGGGGCGTTTCATATGCGGGCCCCCAATGCCTTTGGCGTGCGGTTTGGACCTTAAACACCGATGATTATCATTCTGACATCTGGTTCCCTGGAAATGCGCAATGGGGACCCTTCTCCTGTCCAGAGGCAAGTGTTGAAGTGAGACCGGTATGGACATGCTCCGCTCAAAACGCTGCACATGACCAGAAGCTGCACGCCCCGGATCGGGGTCCATCATGACACGGCGTTTGGTGGAGTTGTCCAAAAGGAGGACACAGCTGGGCTTGTCAAAGTGTGACATGGATTGGGTCCCGTGGGAGGACGCCCCAGACCATTGGTGACGATGTAGGGCTGGATCTCCGCGCCTCCTGTCGACAGGGGATTGTATACAGAGTTACATCTGCTGTGTTACTCCAATGTACCGTACCTCCATCGTATAACGTCCAAGCAGATCACTGTTCTTCGACTCGCGGCAGTCAGCGGCTCCCTACCTCTTCCCGAGCTATGTCCATCACATTACACGAGTTGCATATCACATCACATGAAACGGGACGTCATATATCTATCAGTGTTGCAGCTATTCGGACTATTTTACAATTGTTGTCACCAACGCCAATATCAAACTGGTCATGACGAAGTAGCAACAAAAGCGTGCTAAGAGTCCCCGCTGCTTCATGCCCACTAATTGACTATCTACACATACCCAAGGTACTCCGTAGGCCTCTCCCGAATTCTTCGACTAGTACCAACGAATCGAGAACCCACTGTTGCAATGTAGCAAACACCCCACCGAGACATCCTCAAGCTTTTTGGTTGAGCGCAATGGAGAAGGAAGAAAAAAAGAGACATGTCGAGAAGGAGAAAGAAGAAGTGTTGTGTAAAAGGGGCGGATCCAGGTGTCTCGGCAGGATATCATCGCAAACAGCCTGGGCTAAATTCGCGCAGACGGGAAAGAGCAAGCAATGCAAGAACGACCGCCCATACGAACAAGGATATTGGGAAAGAAGGATTATTAAGCACAGAATCAGATGTCGTAACCAGCAGCTCATCTCTTTCGGGTCAGATCAGATTAGTGCCTATTGACGAACACCTGCTTCGCTAAGCCATGGAGTGGTTTTCGTAACTTCGTCCAGTCTACGCCGATTCGCAGAGATTAAGAAGGCGTATCAGGTGTGTAATTAGAGGAATCGAGGATATTCGGGTCGGGTTGGGTGCAATTGAGCTTCGAGCCGCTCTGCACGGCTCGAGGTATACCGCCCGAAGTCGTAGAGTTATGGTGCTTCACATGGCCCAGATTTTGAGCTAGAAATGTCAGCAAAGCACTATGTGTTGGCAGAACTGGATTCTTACCAATGAATCCCAAGATCCAGTGCACAAGCTCATTCCATCGTTGCTGACACCCAAACAACTGACTCGGTTATCGTGACCGACCAGCGATCCAACCTTCTCGCCCCGAGTGATATCCCAGACCTAGGACCAAATATCAGTTGCTGATTCACGGTGCGATGCTGCCACCGGCTCATCTTACCTTGCACTCGAAATCATCATAACCCGCAAACAGTAGCCTGCCGGAAACCGACGTAGCAACAGACGTAATGCCGCAAAGAATAGCCTCGCTCTGTTGTTTCATTAGCAGATAGACCTATCTCAGTAGAAGAGACCAACGTACTCCGTATTGGTTAAGTTCCCGATCAGCTCGAATATCAAACAATCGGCAGGTAGCATCATCGGAACCGGTGACAAAGGAATGACCATCTGGGAAGAATTGGATGGCATTAATGTCGGATTCGTGGCCAGCGAAGGTCTGGACTGCTTTGCCAGCACGAATATCCCACAGCTTGGCAAAAGCATCACAGGCACCAGAGACAAAAGTGTTTTGGTTGGTCGGGTTGATGCTGATGCTCATAACATCACCGAGATGGTCCGCGAATTCAGTCACCTTTGATCCGGTTTCCACATCCCATTTCATACAGGTCATATCGCCCGAAGAGGTCAAGATGCTTCGGTCATTAATGAATCTGCAGCAGGAGAGATATCCAGAGTGTCCTGAGAGCTCCCGGGCAACACGAGTTGGTCCATCGCGGTTTGAATTTAGGTTGTAAATTGAGCAAATGTTGTCCAGACCACCGCAGGCGACGTAATTACCACTCGGGGCGTATGCGCAGGTCATGACCCACGAAGAACGGAGAGGAATGGCGTGGACTTTGTTGGTTGTGTATGCATCCCAAATAATAAGTTTTCCATCCTGCGACGCCGACACCAAATGTCTCCGATCCGTTGACCAATGCATGGCATAGATCTTAGCTAGATGTCCCTTCAGTGTTTTCCGGGTTTTCATCATCTGGTTCTTGGGGAGGGCTTCTTGTTGACTCCTGGCGATGCCGGAGACTGTATACAGATTGATCAGCATACGATCGCATTCATGGCGCATGGGGAGCTATGGCAATGCGGTGGAGCTCTCAAACAGGTCGGTTACTCACGAGTGCCATCGGCCAATTCATCCTTCTTGCGCTTTATTCTATCCTTCAGGTTTTCGGCTTCACGACGGGCTTGCTGGATGCGCGCCTGCATCTGGTCGGGAGAGACGTCGTTCGACATGTTGGCGGGTTGTGAGGTTGACAATTGCTAATCGAGCTGGGGGACGTTCGAGATGGAGATGGAGGAGATGGGGCTAGGGTAGGGGGGTGCGCCAAACGGAAGATAGCTCCCCGAGGCTGTTGACAGTGCGGTCGAGCAAGCAGGCAGCCCTCCTCCGGAACGAGGTGGTCACTAGCGATGGGCTGGGCGATGCGCGGGCAGAAGGACGATACTTCAATTGCGAGGTCGTCGACGCGATGTTGTAGATTGGGGCAGGAGGTGAAGGTCGATTGTGGAGGTTGCTGCTCCCTTTGCTTTTTGGCTAGTCCCAATTGACTAACCGAAGCCACTTTCCGCCTATTGCTGCTGCTTACAGGAGCAACGAGCGAAGGAGCAGACTGGGAGGCTTGATGGGGCCGTCGCCAGAGGCTTGGGTCCGATGCACAAACAAACTCGGATCGGGTCAGCGCTGGTGCACCTGGAAGGCTGGGAGGCTGGAAGGGAAAGGAAGGGACGGAAAGGAAAGACGAGGCCCCCGAGTTGCGGTTGCTGCTGCGGTTGCTGGGTGCTGGTTGCCGCGAAGAGAAGAGGGAGTCGGACGGAGGGGGATTTCCAGCTGGAGATCTCGTTCTGCGACCGGCATCCACTCCGTCCGCTCCCAGTGAGAACGTCAAAGCGCGGGCGCAGGCGCAGGCGTGAGGTCAGGGAGTGCTGAGCAAGCCGTTGGCCCTCACAGTCTCACGCCTCACTTCTCAAGTCCTGACTCCCCTCCGCTCTGGTCCGTCGTCCTGGAATTGGACTTGACTTCTAGCTGCCTGTCCTGTCACCTCCTGGCTGCTCTAGTCGCTATCATACCACCGCATGCAGCTTGCAGCATGGATGGGCCCTTTAAATTACGATGCATTTGCGATCACCCAGGGCCGGAGAGGCCTCAGAGTGGTCCACTACCGAGCTGGAAAGGAGAGCGAATGAACTGCGAGTGTTCACCAACTGGACAGCTCGTGATGTCTGTTCGTATCTTATATCGATATTGAGCCACGATCGTGCTGCTGTGTTGGAAGTATTGAAATGTTGCAAGCTCCAGTGCCCCTCCACTCTAGCTGCAAGTCAGCCGTCCTGATCGTCAGGGCTGGGCCTGCCACTGCTTCGAGACCCCATCCCCATCTGCCGGAGATGTCTCTCTTGCTAGCGCCCCCCTGTACCGTGTCGGATTTGACCTGATGAACGAACACCATGACTTCTGTTCGGGAACCATGCCCCAACCCCCATCTTCGGCCGTACGCCACGGCACCCCGAGAGCTTCAAGCTCGGAGAATAACCTTCGAAGCCAAGAACAAATCAAAACCCAAAATCAAAAACAAAACTCAAGCAGCACAATCAGCACAATCATATTTTGTGCTGCACACCTGCCGTTGAAGATCGCTCGATCGTCCTTAGCGCTCGACCACGACTCAGCTGCCCGTCTTGTCTTGCCTCTCCCGCCAGACAGAAACACCTGTTCCGTTCATCGGGAACCTCACTGGGTGCCGTGCCCGCGGATTCCACATTAAATCTGACTTCATGGGAAATTGATCTCCAATTTCGATTATGGACTTTCGGTCTTTACCCAAGATAGAGGTGCGCCACCCATGACTTGCATACACTCCGCCTCTGGATGCATCGGACTGCGGCTGGATCTCGTCTCCTGCCGTCATACAATCTTATGCAAAATTATTGATATAAGGCTAACGCTTCTGGAAGCTACATGCTCACCTGAGTGGAAGTATTAGTCGAGAATGCCTTCATGAGGTATGGCTTCAGAAAAAGGAGCGAGGAGAGACGACGTTGGAGGACCCTTTGGTTGAGATGCCAGCTGGTAAGTTTGATTATGATTTAGATACGTGAGTAGGATTGAAACCCGCCATCTTCTTTTCTTTGTTGACTTCAATGTCTCACGCGAGAGTAGCTTCTTTCCACTTTTCTCGAGATACATCTACTCTCTCTGTAATGACCTCTCTTCCTTGATCTACACTACAAACTCCGTTCTTGAAGACTTTCAAGCAGATGGAGTTGTCTATCTCGAGCTTCGCACAACTCCTCGAGCCATTCCATCAGCCAACATTACGAAAGTTGACTATGTCCAGACAACTCTCGACTGCATCTCAAAATTCAATGCCTCATCCTCCATGAAAACACACTTGATCCTCTCTATCGATCGTCGGAACGATCTCCCTGTCGCTCTCGAAGTCGTGGACCTTGCCATCAAATTTCGAGACCAAGGTGTCGTTGGTATTGACCTCTGCGGAGACCCAGCGGTAGGGGAGGTAGCCATCTTTCGACCAGCATTCGAGAAAGCCAAGAAAAATGATCTCGAGATCACCATCCATTTCGCTGAAGCCCCTCAGTCATCAACTGCACAAGAACTATGGACCTTGCTCTCATACAACCCTGATCGAATCGGCCACGTGATCCACGTTCCAGAAGACGTGAGAGAAGAGATCGTCAAGAGTAAACTGGGACTTGAGCTCTGCTTGAGCTGTAATGTCCATGCCAAGATGATCGCAGGCACTTATTCGGACCACCACTTTGGATGGTGGAGGGAGACGGGATGTCCGATTGCGCTGAGCGTAGGTCCATCCCCTCCCTAGTCTCATCCCAACTCGAGAAGAATCTTGCCAGTGTGCTGATGAAAACAGACCGACGATGTCGGCATCTTTGGCAGCGCTCTCTCAAATGAGTACGCGCTTATTGCAGAACACTTCGGACTCGATAGAAAGCAGACCTGTGATCTTGCTCGAGGAGCTATCGACACCATATTCGGAAGTGAAGAGGAGAAGAAGAGGTTGAGAGAGATAATGTGGAAATGAAAGTACATGGCCTCGCGACTAGTGCGAACTGACCAGGGGGCATAGATATTCATTGCTTTGCCTTTGAAATAGAATTTCGCTTTGCTTTTCTGAATTTCTGCTTCTTGCTTAATTGCGTGCTTTGTTTGGAGCGGGACGAAAAGATCGGATTCTGAGAGATGACTTGAGACGAAAGACTACCTAGAAAACAGCTGGAAGACTCTAGTTTGCCCAGTTGGCATTGAGCATGTTGCTCCATCTCTGGAATCGAACTTCACCTTGCTTGCTTCGTTTGCTTGCTTAAGCTCAGCATTTGAGAACCCGACCCAGCTTCTCGTCTCTGATTGATTGTGCGCTCGGAGAATGGAATGGGAAGAGAGCGGCGGGAAATGACTTGGACCACACATCGTAAAAACTAGACCAGTTCTCTCAGGAGGGCATGAATAAACGTGTTTGCCTCGCCCCTGAAATCATTACTCACCTTACTTTATTATGCTTGCTTGATTGTGCGCCTCGCAAGGTTGCTTTCAGCTCACGACCATGCTCCAGAAGGGAAATTCTTCAATGGATGTTGCGACGAGTCTACTCCAGGGCTCTCAAGTGTTCGTTGTAGCTTCTCCAGCCTCGCTGAGGAGGCTACCCCCTCACGTGCACCGCTTTTTCCTTGAATAGCATATGTATTGAAATAAGCGATTTTGCCTTTAACATCCAAGGAGCACTTTGTAGCTCAGTACGGCGCAACTCTATCAAACTCATCTGACGACACTAACGTCCCGTCCACTCAAGCCTTGTGCTTGGTCTTGGGGTTCGCGGTCTCGCGTCCCTTAAAATCATAGCCGGTGAAATCAGATGAACGATATGAGTTGCAGGTGGTTCGAGCCCACTACACTTGCCGTAAGACTGATGCACACGCCTTCTTGGCTCTGCCCCGTACATAACGATTTCAAGTGTGCCAATCTCTATCTCCCCTGCGTGGGCCGTAGAGCTAGTTGGTCGAGGTGTCTTCACTCATCCGTATATCGGACAACAAGCGCCAACGAAGGGACGGCCCGTAGGGGGTTTAGTCCATGCTTGGTCGTGAACCATCGGGGGTATTTTTTTTTGTTTCTTTGAAAGTTTGATCCTATCTTTTTACTAAATTTTGGTATTTTGTAGAGAGCGAGGCCATAAGCGAGGCATGGAGCCTGGTGCGGGAAAATAGGGGCATCGCTCCCGATCGATTGTTTTCCCTCCTTCGCAGTCACATCGAGGTTAATTAATCCTTCTCTAACTTATTATGAAGCACAGTCTAATTGCTCTTAAGAGGGGATTTTTGATTACGATTACTAAAGACCTATTTGCAGGACCTGATCTGACGTAGACGAATACTAGTCCGAAACTCCGATGGTGAGCACAATCAAGTCGACGAAACCGAACACGAGGATACGACTCTCTATACGAAGGGTTGGATGTCCTTAATCACTTCTTACCGGCGAACCCTCGGAAAGCTACAAAAGTCCTAAAGCTCTTCTAGGAAAGACCTCACAGAGTTCATTGTGCAGATCCGCGACCAAGAAAGCGTACCGAATATCCAAGCACTACTCGGGGGATACCACAACACTAGACGGCCCTTGAAAACCTCTGAAAGAAGTGGAACGGGCAACGAAATAGTAACAAGATAATCAGCACGACGAGATCCTTGAAGAAGAGGGAGCGCGGGATATGCTCGATCCACCTCAGTTCGACAACTCCCTCCACCGCGACCGAAACGCCAGTGAAGACATCGAGCAAGACAAATCCAAAGAAGGATGGAATCCGATAACGTGGAGGACGCCGAAGTCGAAGACAACGCGGCTCCCGAGTGGGTGATTGCTAGGAATAGATCACGATACTAGCTGCTTCGCCCACTCCAAGTCAACTTTTATGCCTCCTCAACTCCCCGTCAAGCCACGGCTGCCGTGGAATTCTCTCCAAATATCTCTGCAATCAAATCCCAGTAACCGCTTTGCTGACCTACGTCCGAACTATCGCCACTAATATAAGAGGATTTGGGGATTTGAGCGAACTCGCGTACGGCGTTGAAACCCGTCTAGCTGCGAGGAACACTAAAATCGCTACTTTTGGGAAATCACGCCGAATTTCAACGGAACATCCAAAAGTCTTTAAAAGTCTTTGAGTAACAGAAAAGGAGCAGATCTGACTTTCGCGAAATTTTTACGATAATTAAATACAAGGGGGAATTGTGAGAATTTCTGTATTGCGCAGGTCAAAATTGCGCCTTTCCTCGCTTAGGGTATTGGACTAATGTCAATGCCGCTCGCCTTTGCATGGAATACAAATGGCAACAATATTTACTTATGTTAACTATGACCCTTGGTAAAGCTCCAAATAGATCGAGGAACACTCGAGGACGTAGAAATTAGATCCCAAATGAGCCTTTAGTGTGGGGGCTCGACTTTGGCATACTACAGTACTAGGCAACTCATATTTTAATCAACCCCGCACCCCACCAAATATCAACATTACTACCAACCACTTCCACACTTAATTACTTAATAACTACTGGTCCAATTCGCATAAAAATTAGGTCATTTAATTCACTATAATTTGTTCTTTCACGTGCCCAAATATTACGCAGTTTTGTCTGTCTAATTATCTTAATATCTAGTATACCACCCGCCTGCCGCGATGCAAGCCTTCATTCTCGCCGGCATACTAGCATATAAAACATTAAAGATTCCCTTATCCAAAGTGTCCCACATAGCTTAAATACAAGACACTGGCCTCTGCCTCGCATACTTTGATTTGGACAGGTCCGCAGCTACCTCTAGAAACATCTCATAGACCCGTACTTTCAAGTGCCACCAGATATGCTCAATCAAGTTAAGATCGGGGGAGTAAGCAGGCCAATTTACTATCTGTATAATCCTATGGGCCCTAAACCAAGATTGAACTAAGTATACCCGATAAATAGAAGCATTGTCTTGTATAAATAAGTATCCGTTATTAAGCTCCTGAAAAATAGGAGCTACTTCTGCCTCGCAGACCTCAAGATAGGAGTTGGCTAAGTATCCATGCTTTGCCGACTCAAAATTACGGTCCATAATATAGTAATTAGACCTCCAAGGTCCCAAAAGCTCTCCCAAACCATGACTTTTATATTTTTGCCTGTACCATAGGTTTGGACCATCTCTTTATGCCATTTTTGTGCTGGTATACAAAAGCATTATTCCCCCCTTTTAACCTGCCCCTGCTTTACAGAACACTCATTACTCCAGTACACTAATCCCTACTCTTCCGCAGTCTAGCCCTCTCGTACAAGGCACCAAGCAAGTCGTGCCAACGCGTAAACTTCTATAAGCTCCGGGTACCTCTTTGCTCTCTAATTACATATGCCATAACGCTTGAGGATCTTCTTAATAGTAATGGGCCTGCAACGGAGGCTACAAGCCTTGATGACTTGTGCGTAAGTATCCTTTGAGTTTAAATGAATATGATAAAGTAGGCGTCTCTCTTCGGCATCGGTATACGACTTGTTCCTTGGCTTTCGTGGTAGGGAGTGGCTGTCATCGCGCAATGTGTCTTGCTAAAGTGTGTAATTAACGGTCGATCTATCGAGTTTTAGAGCCTTCGCAATCGCAACTAATTTTGCACCCTCAGAAGCCTTTCCCATAACTTGACCACGCATATAATGGGAGATCTCTGAACCCTTAGAACGATTCCCAGAGATGGAGCGCAAAGGAGTGCGTAAAGGTGGCATTTCGGCTAATATATATAAGAGAGATGGAGGGGGGAAACGCGTCGCGTCGCTTAAATACGCGTTTCGCTTAATATGAGTTGCGGGTGACTGCCCCTGGAACGCTGGAACGCTGGAACGTCAAGTGAATGCGCAGCGGCTATAGGACAAAGGAAGGCGTAGCTAGATGACAAATCCCTTTTTCCTGCATCTAAGAGGCTGGTGGATAACGGAACTTATTTTACGTGCCACCGACATTTTGAAAGTGTGGAACACGATTGTGAAATGTGCACTTCACTGTGTCCAGCTGTAAGTGAGGCCTCCTTACTGGCAGAACACATGCGGACAATCGGACACTAGTGGTAGTCGCTTCTTGGAAGTGTGTCCAGCTGTAAGAGGTGTGTTCAGCTGTAAGTGGGATACATATAGGCGTCACCACCCCGTCTTGATTTCCCTCTTAGAAGTTGTGTACAGTTTTTCCCTGAGCGAAGAGCATTGAGATTATTTCACACGTATAACGAGTGCAGTGGTCTCTTTTGAGTTCCACTTCTAGAAAAAGGCATCTGCTGCAAATATCACCTTGCTGAACGTCTTACATAGCAACACTTCTCTAAAAAAATGTGTTGAGCTAGATGAATGATTCCCCCAAGCAGATAAATTAGCGAGCCCCTGAGTCACGTGCATTCACCCCGACAAGGCTCCCAAATTTGATTTGACGCCTTCCAAGCCCTGGAGAACAATCGCCTACCGTCCCAGGTTTTACTTTGGTTCCTCCAAGAACATTAATTGCCCAGGCTGAAAGCCACACTCTCCTCCGAAGTCTCCTTCCTTACCCAAACAAAAGTCCCAACCTAATCGCATCTCATCTCAACTCGATCGCCTCGCCATTATGTCCGACATATCCGTTGCAGACTTCCGTTGCAAGAAAGAACATAAAGTGGAGAAGATGGAGAGCACAAGGGAGGAACAGGAACTGAAGGAGCAGCAACGCCTGGATGAAGAGGAAATCGAGTTTGGGACCTTGGATTATGGGAAGGAGGAGTTGGATGATTATGGTAAGCCAAACTGCCTTTCATCTTTGTTTGCATTAAGAGCTTGGGCAACGGCTTATGTCTATTAATCATTCTTTGGACGTTACTAAGGCTGCTACGCTCATGTTGTTTGCTTGTGTCTTATGTCGTTCTGAAATACTTTGGACGTTTGTAAAACAAAACTAACGGAGACCTAATAGCTAGCAGCCCCAAGGACGAGAACGAGTCATACCCCAAGTTCGACCCCCGTACTCGTGAACAGAAATTCGAAGACGCCCTCCAAACCGAGAACCTCGAGTCTAGCCTGCGTGTCGAAGCCATGTTCACCGACGTTGAGGAGAACCAGACCAGCTTTGGCTTCGACTTCGACGGCGCCCATTTCCACGGCCATGACTATGAATGGCTGTTGCGCCAGGTGTTCATCTTTCTCCATCAGAACCCAAATATTCGTGGTGTGGAATTCGAGGACTTTAATGAAGAGTTCGAGAAGAATACAAGTCTTAAACTGGATTTGAAGGCACTAGCGAAACTTCTCAACCAGCACCCTACCTAGCAGGGATATTTTGTAAGCACTTCAACACTTAGCATAATTGAAGAGAAGAATCGAAGTTGAAGTGGTATTAGTGGAGCAGTGTTGGTTTTTGGAGATGCGAAGCAAGCGGGTTGGGTCTCAGGTCATATTTTGGCGTTGGAGTTGAATACCCTTGAGCTTGGGCGATTTACTTGGCTTTAGAGTGGTGTAAATTATACTTACACTCTCGAACCTCATCGTCCGAAGATGTTGTCCAGTCTGGATTATTTGTCCCTTAGCTCCTATATCTGAATGCATACCATAGGACACCAAACATGACGTTGATGAGCAGCCAGAACGCCGACCTAAAGGTGCTACTTTCGTAGCCAGGGTAGTTCCTGTGATCGATTGCAAAAGTCTTCTTGACCATCTGTTGTTGGCTGGCGATATCCACACCTGCGAAGAAACAGAGAGTGATACCATGCCCGCATACCAGCAAAGGATCTGGCCAATGGGCGCCATATTCCCCTCTAACTGGAGGAGAGAAGCTCCGTATGATGGTTATACCGATGAACGTTACCATTCCACATGCGAGCATAAAAATGCGTAACGCCCATGTATGAATGACCATCCGAACGACCATCCGAACGACCAACCACTGCCACCTCCTCAAGGCTTTTAATCCGTTGTCCTATCGCACTCCTTATACATATCATGCATCAAGAAGTCGGTTGCGGGTCGAGGAGATATTTTGAGGTAGAAGATTTTGTGGAGAAGGGCATAAGGAATAGAGAGGTCGAAGAGCGTACAGAATGGGTACACAAACGTGGGGGGATGCTATGCTGGGGGCACAGGGAGAAGATGCGATCAGAGGGTTGACCCCATGTGTTTAGCAGAAGGGGGAGGAGGTCCAGAGGGCCGTTTGCCAGGTTGCTGGTGTTAGCGGGGCGGGGCTGCGAGGTTGGGGAGTTAGCTCGGTGAATTGTGGGAGTGGAGAAGTGGAAGGGAATGGTTGACTTACTGGTGTCGCTTCCCATCGTTGAAGTAGGACATTTGGGATTCAGAGAGAAAGAGTAATGGAGATGCAGAGGAGTGGAGGATCGTTGTACAGAGGTTGTAGTCATGAGGCTTACTGCAAGTCGCTCTTGCCGAGCAAGACACAATGGAGCCAGATTGGTTTTCAGATGAAGACTTTTGTAAGTCTTACTAGAGTCTTCACTTGGTTGACACAAGAAAGGCCTATTCGTGATATTCTTGAGTATGAAAGTCACTTAATCGATTGACCTGTCTTTCGAGGGCTCATCAAACCCAAAGATTATTGACTCCATGTCCAACTATCACCTTAAACCCCCCCTTCCAACCCTCCTAGTCGCCCTCGATTTCTCCATAAAATCACCAACGGTGACGGCCTTCTCCTTCAACCCCGTCTTCTTTGGCTGCACTTTCTCGCCCATCATCCTCGCCATCACCATCTCCCTCGCCTCAGTGCTGTCTGGATCTTCATACTCTAACTGAGTCGAAGGTGGTTGACTGTCCTCATCCTCATTTAGGTGTCCATTTCCATGCAACAGCAGATCGATCTGCTCATTCGCTGTGTGCTCTGGTCTTGGATTTCTAGGATCGTATGGAGGGTATTGCACTGGATGGCCATGGGTAGCTGTGGAGTCGACAGATGTAGCGCGCGAGCGGCCAGACCCTGTAGAGATATTGCTCGTCACTCTGCCTAGAATCCTACCAGGGCCTCGTTTTCGTCCTTCTGATGCCTCGTTCTGTGCTGGGTTCGCGGCAGCTGTCTTAGTCTTGGCAAGGAGATTTGATATTGCGTTGCTTATGTCTTCTTGTGGTCTGGATCGTGGATGGTCTGATGGAGCCGGAGCTGTCGACACAGTTCTCGTCGGCGAGTTGATACTTCTTTCTGAAAGAGGTTCTGATTTATATGATTGGTCCAAGGTTGCAGAGCCCGTTGTGTCTGCAAGTGACCCATTGAGTTGAGAATTATCCTCATCCTTGATAATTGGCTCCTCTGAGTCAAATGCAGTATTGTCGAGTCGTGCATTTCTGGGTGGTCTCGTGGAAGACTTGGAGGCAGTACTGCTGGACATTGCGCCCGGCTTCAGGAGTTCGCTCTTCGATCGCTCAGGTCGATGTAGAGCCTTTGCTTGCGCGCCCCCATTCGTTTTTGGCAGGGAATCCGATCGCTTCTGAGAGCGGATTCGATATTTTGAGAGCGATAACATAGTACCTTTCGCGATCGAATCCCAAAGCCAGTCAGCTGTAACAATAGGAACCCTCCACTCCTGGGCATGGTCGAATTTATCTTTCCTGACTGCAGTTGATGACTTTGTGACAAGTACCGTCGATTGTGGTGTCATATCCTCACTGTACTTGGCGCCAATGAGTTTGACGGCTTTCGTTACATGAAGTAGATCTATCCCGGAAAACGCGGAGGTCGAAATTGTGATTCCCGCAAAGGATTCAATAGGGAAAACAGGAAACGGTCTTCCAATAACCGAATCAGCGGGGTCGATGAACTCTTTCCTGTGTAGGCATCGCTCCAGCCACCACACTGTAACTGTCTGAATCGAGGGTTGAGATTCTGGTAGTGGAGGGGGCTGGGTGAGAGGTAAGTCGTGAGGGACGACTCTGAACAGTCTGACTTGGGGGGTCGTATCTGAAAGACGGATCAGATCATCCATTGAACCCGATACCTCGCCGTCGTTGAAAACAATGTGTTCATGAAGGATTTGTCCTTGTGCCGGAGGGAAGTCGGACAGGTAAAAACGGCAAGAATGAAACATGCCCTTCTTTCGTGGCAGGTTCTCGATTGTCGATTGGAGTGATCCGCTTTTAGTGTTGTCGTTAGATATCTTCTGCTCTGTATGTGCATTCTCTGACAATACTCCTGCATCGCCTTCCTCCCATATCCCACTTCGAGAGACTTGCGCCATAGCACCTCCTCCAACGATATCACCCCAGAGTCCGTCGTTCTGGGTGCTTAGTTTCGTGCTCGCAGTTCTCCGCAACTTCCTTTTCCCTCCCTCTAGACTGGTGTTGCTGTCATCTCTGGATCGCTTTCCCAATGAGGTTCTTCTTGGCTTAGTTCTGTCCCAGGCATCCTTCCCTCGCTCTTCCTCAGGCAAAGCAGGATCATAGAGCTTTTCATCCAAAATCATGCCTCTCTCTAAGCTATGGTGTAACCATTCAGGCGAAACAATTCGAAGTCCCCAGCTCTTGGCAGCTTTATATTTCGCACCCTCCGTCCGGTAGGATATCAAATGTGTGATTTGCTTCGTCAAATCTCCTTCATACACTGCTCCATTTGTCCTGACAAGCTCGGCGATCTCTAGCCTTTCCGCAGCTGATAAAAATTGATTAGTAACAGGCCAGGGTCTCAAGGCATTATCTCCTTACGATCGTCGCAACCGGTCATGCTAAATTTCAAGGAATGAAAGGTCGGTAGTATATGTTCTCGATCCAGTGACTTCATATCTATCTCTTCATCATTGATCCATAGTTCCCGAATTGCCTCGATCCATTTGGCAGTCATGGGCCGTACATCCGATCTTTCTCTCGCAACGTATCGATATTTAGGCGTGTTGTAATTGCCAACAATGAGGTGGGTGACGTCGAGGGTCAAGTCGTACCGATGGACAGCACCCATATCCTCCGCATACTTCGCCAGTTCGGTCTGCAGTGAAGACAAAGAGATTAGCAAGGCTACCAACTTTTGATGATGGTTGCTTGGTCGCATCTGGGACAGCCTGGGATACTTACACGCTTCTCATCTGGGACTGAAGTACAGCAGATGACCAGACCTGCCAACGGGGCGGAGAGGTCGGCTGCTCCATTCAGCGTGACGAGTTGATGGGATTGATTTGCACCAGCGCCCGCCATTGTTTTGTCCTCAATTCCAACCGTTGCCGATTCTGTTGCTTGACAGGCAAGGCAAAAGGAACTCAGAGACGCGCTTCGTCGCGTGCGGAATGGTGCTCACGTGAGATTGTTGACAGCATGGCCCAGTCGGCGATAAGATAAATAGGCCTTCCATTTCGACAAGGCTTCTCTCAGTGCGCTTCACTAGAACTATTGAGCATGAACAATGCAAGTGGTAGAAGTAGAAATTAGGATTTCCATTACCCTATTCTTGAGGGCCTTCAATCAGATTGATGATACAGTGTATTGCTAACATCTATTCCTAAAATACTTCCCTGTGCCTCGCTACAAGCAGTTGCATGCCTGTTCCCTTTTTTTTTTTTGTGTTCCATTGGTCGTTTTAGCTGCCTAAGGCGCGATGCTCGTGCTTGTTCCCTCCCCACAAAGATCCAGGACCAGGGTCCGTCTGCCAAGCCTAGCCTTCAGCCGACCAGATGAGATTCCAAATCCCTTCTGGGTTGTCTTATTCAGATAGGGCATCTTACGCGTCCGTGAAGGCGCAGCTTTGCTGGATCATCTTGGACTCGTGGCAGATGTTGGCATGTAGTGCGTGTGATGATCACAACACCTATTAGACCCTTGTCTCCTGTAGGCCTAAGCCCTGCTTTTTAAGTCTCGACCTCTGCGTACCTGGCGATCTGGCAGCTGCAAAAGGACTGATTGTTGCTGATTGTTGAAGGCTTTCTCTCGGCAACTTTTTCCAGACGCCACCCGGAATGTTCGGGGACTGCGGCTTCAGCCACATCTTATCTGCAGCCGTTTGTTTCTAACCTGTGGGATGTCACTGGCCGGAAAGGATGGAAAGCTCGATTCAAAAAGTCAAATTGTCAGTGTTGAGCTCCGACTCCGGAGCATCCGTGGCAGGGAAAAGGAAATAGATGGGCTCAAGGTCAAATACTCTGATATCGTCAACATCTAGCCTGCTGGACGGTTCTGAGCTAAGGATGGGACGGCCAGTTATCTAATCGGCAAGGCTTGGTATGGATGAAGATTGAGACGAAGCGTTGGATCGGGTTGTTTCGACCGTGAAACGGCAACCAGCTTGGCCAAGAGTCGAAAATGATCTGCACTTCTGCAGGTGCACGAGATCCATAGCCCAGCTGGGGCTCCATCTTCCTTTTCGGAATATTTTGGTGTGCTAAGGTATTTCCGGCAGTCATCCATACTACCCCATCGAGTTATCTTGAAACCTCATGCACATGGCACTTGGATATCTGGTGCGGTATCAGGGTTTGTCCCTTTTCGGGACCTAGCACTTAGCTTGACCGCAGACGTTGCAAAACATGGGGGTCAGGGGTCCCTTGTTGGGCAGGAATCGTAGTTGGATGAGATGAGATGTTTCCATTTTCTGCGGCTGCTGCCTGCAAGCGGAGCACTGGTCTGATGAGGTTGAAGTCTTGAAGATGAATATGAGGATGAGGATGAAGACGAAGATGAGGATGACTGATGAGCGCCAGTCGAGGCTGCAGCCCTTGGAAAAGCCTTCCTTGCAGCTGTCCAATGACGTGAAGGCTTCGGCCAATTCGGCATCATCGTGCCTCGTGCTAGCCCCGTCTTCTATAAACACTCGATGCTGCGTCTTCTCTCCCCTCCCCTATCTGCCGCAGTCCAGAGGCCATCGCCGTCGCCTCCTTGCTGCTCTCACACTGTACATACCTCCTCTTCATTTCAATCCAATTGGTGTGCAAAAGTGGCGTTTCGCCTTCAATCAAATTTCGCTGTGCAGCCAGGGGAGAAAGCCTGAATCAGATCGTACTCCACCTGCGTCACCGCCCGCACCCTTCACTGGGATCACGAAGACAGCCGGCAGCAAGAACCTCCGCCAATCCTTGCCAACACTGTCTCCAGTCCGTTTTCTTGCGCTTTCCCTGATATTGGCGGTTGTCCAATCTTTGATTGTGCGCATGTGCTGGCAAAATACAATCCCGACTCCTTGTCAACCGTCTTGACAACAAAACGCATGCTTCACTAGCACCGTAAGTACAATCATCCAGAGTCAGTCGCATGTTCCATAGCACTTCCCCTCATGATTCTATTCCCAAGCCCTACCGGCAACCACCCTGTTTGCTGTTATTGCATAACATTACTGGTCCTTGGGCTCTGATGCCAGCGCATCCCAAGATCTCATCTGCGACTGTGTACATACCGCAAAATGCAACCAGATCCATTTCTTTTTATGACCAGCCTCTGCCCAAGTAGTCAGTCGGATGCATCTGGGGCCGAAGTCGATCGTTAACGTCCACAATGACAGGACCGGTAATATTATCGTATGACACGAGCAGAGGGACTGTCTTCTACACGCCCACGAACAGATATCTGGAAAAATCACAACCTGCGAGACTCCCCTCCCCTCCGTGTCGACCAAGAGCACGACGGCCACACTCGATACACGTCACTCGTCTACCAGCTGGATTTATACCACTCGACCTGAGGCCTCCGCCGCTTGCTCCGGAGCCAAAGAAAGCATCAAGACTTCAAGTAAAGCTCAGAAATCTGGCTTCCCGCGAGAACGCGAAGCGTGTGCTTGGGTCGGTCTTTTCTCCCTTCTCCTCGGCTACCTCCGCCTCCACCGCTCCGTCCTCAGCGGCCACTTCCACCAGGTCCGCAAGTCCCCAAACGCTCAGAGCGTCATTCTTGTCAGCATCGGCAGACGCAACAACTATATTTGCTAGAAGGGCCGCTGCGGGGACATTGGTGGATGATTCTCCGGTAGCGATGTCGAGGCCATCTCTGGGAGGCAACCCACCTGGAGTTGCCCCCAGACACAGTCTCAGCGCCAACTCTGTGAATAGCTCTATCGCGCTTCCCTCGAAAGCTTGCCAGGAGACTGAGAAGCCGGTCTGTTCAGGAAATGGAGTATCATGTTCCATTATTCTGGCTGAGCCCGTCATATTCTTGACCGGTCTCGATCACGATGGCACAACCCGAGACACCTCGTCAAAATCTGGCCTGCTTCGAGGAAAGTTGCAATTCAATGTTACAAAAAGCGCAAAGATCAAGGCGGTTACTGTTAAGTTTACTGGCAAAACAAGGACAGAGTGGCCCGAAGGTAAGAGTGAGAGCTCTTCATGTAACGAAGTAATCTGACAAATAACTAGGCATTCCACCCGAGAAAACGAAGTTATTTGAGGAAGAATCGCTCAGAACACAAGTGTTGCCTTTCTTCAACGCTTTGTATGAAGGCTCAGAAACAGGCTATGGCACGATGTGTAATTATGTATTGCGCAACAAATCGGCCTCAACATCAGTCACAAGTCTGACAAGCACCGATCTTCCCTCCCCGGCTCAACAGAGTGGGGGCTTCTCTTTACCTGGCCTCGGGAACAGATCCAATAGATCAAGTACAATTTTGTCTGGGAAGGATACCAAACGTCTTTCCTTACAAAGCAACCAATCTCGCAGTTTTCAAAAAGGTGACTCTCCATTTGGTCCAACACCACAGCAAAAGGGCTACAAAGTCTTTCATCCTGGAGTTTACGAATACAGCTTTGAGATTCCAATCGATAACAATTTCCCAGAAACGACCAAATTGCCTCTTGCTTCGGTACTCTGGATGCTTGAAGTTATTGTTGAGCGAGCAGGCACGTTCAAAGCAAACCTGCAGGGTTTCAAGGAAATCCCCGTGGTTCGCTCACCATCTGAAGACTCCCTGGAATTGGTCGAGCCAATATCCATTAGCAGGAATTGGGACGATCAGCTCCACTACGAAATTATGATTTCGGGCAAAGCGTTCCCTCTAGGCTCCAGGATCCCAATTGCGTTCAAGCTCACGCCTTTGGCTAAAGTTCAAGTCCACAAACTCAAAGTTTTTGTTAGCGAGTGCATCGAGTACAACACGACCGATAAAAAGGTCCATCGGAAAGACGTCGCCCGCAAGATTTTGCTGCTTGAGAAGTCGGCCGGAAAACCTTTGGGTAAAGAGTATGTGGGTTCGGAAGTTATGATTCTCAGAGGAGGCGAGCCGAATCCGGAAGAACGAACTCAGAGGCGCGAGTTAGCAAGACGGCGTAGGGAGCAGGAAGCTGCAGCCAGTGGTAGCGAGCCAACACCTCTTCCCGAGCCGGTGGACAATATGCTCGGCGACATTGACCTTGGTCTCGAACAATTCTTGGGTCAAACCGAAATAGAAATGAATGTTCAACTGCCAACATGCGAAATGATGGAAAAGGATCGGACGAAGCGGATGGCTCATGATTGCACATGGAAAAATGTCGACGTGCACCATTGGATAAAGGTATGACCAGACATTTCATTCTGTTGACAATTGGTGACTGACGCTCGTAGATCGTCATGCGGATATCTCGAGCTGACAGTGAGAACCCCGGGAAACGGCGTCACTTTGAGATCTCAATCGACTCGCCGATATCGATTCTCAGTTGCCGTGCAACTCAAGCCAACCTTGCTCTACCAGAGTACTCTGGGTTAAACGCGGGCACTGTGGGTCAGCAACGAGTTTGCGGATGTCCTAATGCAGCGATGAGTAATATCTCGCCTGCATCGTCAACAGGAAGCGTGCCTACACTTGACAGCCTGAACAGGACGGAATCGCCATTTGCACCTGAGGCTGCACTCCTGGACCTTGCAAGACCGCCACAAGCCCACCTTGCAACGAATGCGGCTGCAGGGGTTCAGCGTCCGATTCATTTCTTGAGGAACCCAAGCTTCAACCCCCCTGCCTTCGATGCAGAAGAGCCGCCCCCACCAATTGCTACGCCTCCTCCTGGCTACGAGCAGGTAGTTGGCACACCAAGCCATGACGGTCTTGCGGACTATTTCGCACGGTACGTTTACATACACATTTCTCGAAGCAGCACGAAATTGATTCTGATAAATGCATAGCTTAGGAGAATATGAAGATGATCACATGGATACTGACGATGAAGATATGAACAGAGCCACCAGTCGAGGGCGTGTCAACGTTGCAAATCCTCGAACTCCAGGTGGCAGAATTGCTAGAAGCATGGATATCGATCGCAACTTCATGTTTTCTCCAGCAAGCTTCAACAACACATTGGCCCAACAAAGCGCTGAATGAGAAGACCATTCCGATCGCTTGGTCCCTATAATCAAAGATCTGTAGAAATGACTGGGGGAGGGAGTGTTGACCATGTCGGAGTTGAGGTGTATTCAAAAAGCATTACATACGCATCTTGGGAAAACGAAGGCAGGGTTGTTTGATGATTGTCGGAGCATTCAAGTACATAATGAGACATGAGGAAGGATTCGCGCATTGGGTCATGGTGTTTGGAAGAAGGGGGGGCTTGGTTTGGTTATTGGCGCCATATGGCTTCGTTGGATTGGTCCTGCATGGTGTATAAAGTTTTGGGAGGGGATGGGCTGGGTCTCATTAAGTCCCAATCGGGAAGGCATGGCATGAGAATCACGATGAATAAGGATGATGAGCTTCTTGGTTACAATGGGTCTTTCTAAGTACTTGACATTGCCTTCCTTTATCTCACAGAGCTGAGGACGTGACTCTCCGCAGCTTGGATAAAAGCTCACGTGATACTTCGAGATCTTAGGTGTGGACCCTCGCTTACATCTCTGTAGCGCCTCAACACCCTTCTTATAGGCCATCTAATTCTACACTTTCTTCCTGGTTTGAGTTCTTTTCGTGACAGCGGTCATGACTTTCACGAGAACCGCCAGAACTCTCCAACCCCAGCGCCTTCACATGGGATCCCTGTGAAATGCTGACACTCGGCGCGGCGATCACCACGTAAACAGCTTCTTAACAGGTATTGCTCCAAGATCACATCAAGCTGCCGACACTGTGCTGTCTCTATACCCTCACTCTAACAGTTACACACTCTCTTGACATCAAGGTAAAATGAGCTTCAACACAGCCGTCATTGTCCGCTCCGAGCGCGAGCGTTTTGCGAGCACAGTTTGCAACCAATGCAAACACAGGAAGAAGAGCTGCAATAAAGCAGTCCCAAGTTGTTCCAGGTGCAGCCGGTTTGTCATCCTTCAAGTATTTACTCACTAGGAGACTGTACCTGACATTGACACTCTCCTTAGACTTCGCGTCAAGTGTTCATATTCGGAGGTCACGGAGAGCAACAGCTGTCCGCTCCTTCCAGTTGTCGACGTCATATCTGGGCTAGGTGTTCCTTTTCCAGATTACTCGTTACCACCACAGCAATCAACCATGGTGTACAAAATAGCGCACCGTGTTCCATGTATTGACCATCAGGTATCGTCATCAGCCAGCAGACTCCTCAGTGCCATTTCCAGGAAACGAGGACATGCCGGCGATTTTATGCAGACTTACTTCCACAACTTCCATAAGACTCTTCCAATAATCAACAAGGATAGTGTGTGTTCAAAACTTGAGAATTCCACTTCGGATTCTCATTTCTCCACGCTTTTGCTTTCGATGTTCCTCATCACGCAATTGACGCCGCAGGTCAATCCGAACCCATCGTCCAATTTTGGGGAACGTGAGCTCTATCCTGCCGTCAAGACCATTTACTCTCTTTTGCAGTCAACTGGGAAGGTCTCAATGGAGCTCGTACAAGCTGGTGTTCTGGTTGCTTGCTACGAACATTGCCAGGCACTGCACCAAGACGCTTGGTTGTCGATTGGCGCTTGCGTGAGGATGGCTCATTCAATGGGGCTTCACACCGTACTTCGAAATATGTTACCAAAAGATAGGAATGAGCGGAACATTCTGGAGACAAAAAGATGTCTATGGTGGGGCATCGTGGTGATAGAACGGTGTGTCTGCCAAACCCCATTACTCTCGCAATTGCTAAATATCAGCTCAGGGTCATAAATGCAGAATATGAGGACAATAGGCTTCCTTTAGCATCTGAGCCTCCTACTGCTGAAGACTTCCTACCCCGGGCCTCCTCAGATACTGATACCTACTTTCGAGTCAAGGATGATTTACTTTTGCCAGATGACGTAGTGCCAGGCTCCAGTGAATGGCAGACTCCCCAGGCTCGTGAGTTTACAACTGTCGGTAGCTTTGGAGCTACCGTTCAAGCTACATTTCTAGCAAGCTGTGTCACTCGCCACATCCTTGATGCCGACAGAGATCTTGCCACAAGAGGAAAAGATGCTTATAAGCTTGACATTGCACTTCAAAGTTTTGTTGGCTCTTGCATTCCGCCGCCGTATGTATTCTTCTAATCTTCAGTGGAACATTCTAACTTTTGCTTCAGGGGTCAATCTCATGGCAACTACTGCGGTGCTTTTGCAACGCGGACTTGGTCAGCAGATTCTTCGTGCATCCTGCTTGGCCTCATCACTAATAATTAGGAACAGTTTTGCAATATATCTCCTCCGGCATGAGATGGAAGTGGCATCACAACTTGGCAAAGCCGATGATCTCTGCCGTTCAACAATGGCAATGCAGTCGGCAATTCGCACTATCGTATGCGTGCTTAAGGAAGGAATGGCTGGAATGCCAATGGATCTCGATACGTTATCATTTTGGTCACATCACATGATCTACTTAATCGGACTGATGCATATTAAGTTCAGTATCCGAGATGAGAAGTATATCTCCGATCTTGAGGCTATGGCCGATTACTTGCGTTACTTTGCTCCGAGATATAAACTCTATAGTACGTAAACTTTCCCCCTGGCTGTGTTTTAGGTCTAGCTAATATTTCCAGGCAATGATGTTCAAAACCTTGAACTCGGCAGACATGACCCTCCCACCGTCTACGGTCTAAGAGCCGGATTGGATTCGCCACCTATGCAGGAGTAGACTCCGAAGCTTCCACCAAATACTCCTTCAGTTCTCCGAATCCCTTGATGATTTCCGGCTTCTTATCAACCCACTCCTTCAAAGACTGTTCACCTAATGTCCCGGTCGAAGCGAGGCGCATGTCCAACGGCAACCCATACTCGAAAGGCTCGTTCTTGGCAAACGACAGCATTGGTCTCGTTTCGACAACATGAGCGTAGATGCCCTTGGCCAAAGTCTTTTGTAAACCATCATTTGCTGAACCACCGCCCATAATGCCATAGCTGATGATCAAGAACGGCTTGCCTTTGATCTCGTTGAAGAGATAGTCGATGGCATTCTTGACAGCAGCTGGTACTCCGATATTATACTCTGCGGTTACGATGACCTGAACCCAATTAGTATCCTGTCCTGGACTTAACATGACGGAAATTCTGGGCGTCGAAAGGCATCGATTCAGGAATGGAAATCTGGCTCTCACATATCCATCATATTTGGACATCTCGGCACTCCAAGCTCTGCTGTGTTCGTGCTCGAACTGAGCAAACATCGGAACAGTAGCAGGAACGACCGCCTCATCAAAAACGGGAAGCTTGAATGAAGCTATATCCACCTGGGAAAGGGAGAACTTGACAGCCTTATCCGTGGACTCTGAAAGATTGGCTTCAAGAACCTCAGTGACGAATTTAGCAACCTGGGGTCCGATTCGAACAGCACGAGTGCTGCCAGTGATGATGGCGATCTTCTTGGTCGTTGCCTCTGCCATTGTTGGAGTTTGACTTTTCAGTGTTTTTTGATTTGTGCTGTTGAAGATGAGAGAGTTCTCTGGAGCAAACATGATGAGGAAAAGAGGATTTCATCGCTGTTTAAATCTCCCAGAATTGGACTTACTTACATCTCATGTTCCCGGTGCTGGCCCAAATGACGCTACTTGCTTATCTTACGCCTATAATCGTACCCTCGGGACCAATCGTGATGAGAGGCTCGGGAACTTGCCTGGAAATTTCCTATTTGGGAGATGGTAATTATCTAGGACGACGAGAAGGAGGCTAAGAAAGTGACCTTCGGCGAGGTATGGGAGTGTTCATGTATCGAGTGTCGCGAACCCGAGTCCGGATTGAGGCAAGCGTGGTCAGCAGCCGGTGCAGTGCCATTGATTAATGTTGATTGGGCAGCTAGAGTCAGGGGGATGATCCGAGTTTCTTTGCTGTGCGTATTTAGCAAAGGACGGAACCAGAGTCCAGATCTCTTTTAATCTCTTGGAAGGAATAATGTCTTTCCCCCCACGGCTTACAGTTGAAGCTGAAAGCTGGCCATTCTGCCGACGTAGATTGAATCTTCCCAGAGGCTTGATCCTTGTGGGATTTCGCTATCCTAGTTCTGTGCTTTACGATATTCGTGTCTAAGAGAAGCACAAACCCACTTCCTTCACATATGGAGATGAATGCGTGCTTGAGCTTCGAGGGGGAAGAGAGAACCGTGCGCAATGAAGATACGTCATTGAAGCGTTCTCATAGCCTCTCACCCGCCCTAGCAAATGTTGAGATCCGGGTTGCCAGAATTCGTATAGCCACGGGGACTTTAAATTGTCCCAAGCCACAGGGTGAATGAGGTGAATCAAGGTATATGATTTGAGGTTGAGGTTTCCTTGAGGTGAACGTTTTGATCGAGTTTAGTCTTCACGAAGACCATTCTGATGACAGTGTTTGTTGGCCAGATCTGACCCCAATTGACTGAAATTTTCTTGGCTCTTCCTTCTCTGATTTTTCTTCTCTTTACAAGAAACGTTGATCTGACGGGAGCCAGTGTCAGTATCACTCCTGCCTGCCTTCTTGATTTGAACTGACCTTGCTGTCACACTTCACCAGGACTGACATTTCCCCGATACTGTTGGTACGAGAAATGAAAATGAAAGAAACCGGGCTCTTGACCACAAGTATTATAGAGAATGAGATACTCAGGGTGTGATACGGGAACAAGGGGCGGATGCAGAGGCAGCGGGGAAAGGTGGCCAGCATTGCCGTCGCCGTCTCGTCTCACTCAATCAATAAGATTCCAAATCATTCGTAGAGAAAGGGAAGTCTTTATCATTCCTGGGTGCTCAATGCTCTATAGATGGCCTTTTAAGGGAATTAAGCTTACCGATCGTTTCGGAGGACGGATATAATATTGACATAAACGAATATCCACAAAAGTCTTGGGATGCCGGTAGACCGTCTTCAACTGAAATCATTGAGCCGTCAGTACTCAGAGGTCTTGTTAGATATCACCCTTGAGAATCACTTCTCACCTCTATCTGACTTTTTCTGAAGACCGTAGCAATGCCTTCACAACGCTGCCTTCAAAAATGGAAGACTCCAAACTTCTTCCCCCAGGAATTCGAGACCCTTCTCGTCGAGTTCTCACGAACACGGGTGTAAAAGACAAAGCCACAATCGAAAAGTACGGTGCAGAGACAAACGGTGAATACTCTCTCATCCCGTGTTCGACCTATCCAGGTAGCGGGACACGAATTCGTTAGTCCTCTGTTCTTCTGAACCTCTTCTGAACCTCTTCTGAACCGAGATTTAGCTGAGAAGTCTTTCTTTAATACAAGACTAATCCTGGCATCCGATTAGAAAAATATGGAAGCTATCGCGAAGAGCTCAGCCCAGCCACCGGTACCTTAGGTGTCGTCCTCCGCGACTCAACTTTGACTTTTAAAACTGGAGGAACCACTGTGATACCAATCGGCACCAAACATCGGTTCTTCAACCTCGGAGGAGGAGACCGTCAGGTTTCTGGGCAAGGTCGTGCCTGCACATGAGGGTTTCGAAAATAGTTTATAGGCTAGCTGGGGAAGGAGAGTGTGATGCTCAGGGACTGCCAAAGAGCTATATGCATTTTCGCTTGACGGCGGACTTAGGGGATATGAGGTGGCCGGGAATGTTGGCCATGGTGAACCCGCTGATCCAGGCTGTTGCTGCTCATGCAAGATGGAGTGGAGAGGGGGAGAGGTTGCTAAACAAATACTGGTATTGAGAAAATACGAGACAAGGATGGACAATTGAGTTCAACTCACCCGTGCCATTATTTTGGATTAGTTCTTTGTCCCCAGGTAAGCCGCCACCTATATCGTTTAGATTCTTAGAACTCAGGCTCAATACTCCACACCCAGGTCGAGCTTCAACTCTCGCCCTCAACCCTCTTCCCTACGGGCCAAACCAACACCATCCTGCCCGTCTCCACCTCCCCAACAGCAGTGTCTTTCACAATCCCCTGAACGACCTTCGCACTCACCAGATTGCCTTCATCAACACTACAGAACACCTTTCGGATCCCAAACTCGTTAGCAGCGTACCGCAATACCGTCCTTCCCGCTTCCCGCATGAGCCTCTTCCCTTGATGGGACGGATGCAAGTAGTAACCCATTTCCACAACTGGCTCCGTGCTGCGAACAGTGAGTGAGATACAGCCGATGAATCTGTCCTTGTGACGGATAGCTGTGATGGGGATGGAATTTCCCTCGAAGAAGGCGGCGGTGCGCTTAGCTAATGTGGGGATGGCAAGAAGTTCCTTGGCAGAGGTCAGGTTGGCCGCTAGCCAGGACCTGGCATCCTCGAGAGTATATCTGATCGACGTTTAGTTTGAGTTTCTTGTTTGAGAGTTTTAAAGGAATATCAGGCGTAAGTGGTATGGGACAAAGGAGTGAGGAGATGAAGACTTACGGCTTGGGAACCCTGCTCAGACGGTCTGAGACAGAGTCGATGGCGAGCGAGTGGTTCTTCATCGCCGTCCTCAAAGGTCGTGAGAAAGTATTCTCCACTAGGAATATCCAGCCTAATTGATTGACTTGAAGCTATGTCTGTTTTCATTTATCAGCCTCAAACGAGACAGTCAAGTGGCACGCAGTGTTGCAAATAAACCTCTGTCCAGAGCACACGTACTTAGTGATTTGGCCATTGTCACTTCAGTAATTGACAGAAGCTCCCGGTTTGGAGTCCTGGAAATGTTTATCAAATCAGAAATGAAGATGTGGTATTGATCGTTGCTGGCATGAGGTAACCTTTATACCGTCGATTGAGCGATGAGTCTTATTATGTGCAGCACTTACTTAAACCACTAAGCGTAGAAGTGAAGTGACTCAAACCCAGCTCCGGTGCAACTCAGAGTGTTTAGTTGGTCATACTTGCTTGCAGTTAACCATGACAGGCCGCACTCAGGATAAATTAACTCCTACACTGGGTTACTCCAGGGGTCCGAGCGAATTTATGGGGGCCAGGATATGGATTGGCCAGTTTGCTGTGGCGTGAGTGGGGCGCAGTCGATTTTGTATGGGAGCGCTCAGCCCCCCTGGAGTACCCGTGTAGGAGTTAAGCTCGAAGAGTGAGAGAGCCCGCCCGATAAGATCACACCTTCTTTTCTCGGCAATCGCCTCAGTTCTCCCCTGACAGACCCTCACCATGTCTCCACAACAAGTTAACAAGTTCTAGGAACAGATTTTTGATGATTGTTTAACATCATTTCATTTCTATTCGCACAGGTAAGTAGGAATCTGCGTCAATAAACTCCTGGATACATCCAATCCCCTTTGCAGGTCCATCCTTTACTCCAACACAAAACCAAACGATATAACTGCGAAGGAGAATCAGACCATGATGCTGATATCCTTCGTCAAAAGTAGTAATCGAACAAGCAGAGATCTATGCCATAAATAACATACAAGAAACGAATCCGCTTTAGAGGAGAAACGCGCTGGGAAGTCTGGCCGTCGTCACAATTCGTCAGAAGCGTTGCTCATGACCTTCGTGGAGTGTATTCCTCGATAAAACCGGACAAACTTCAACAAAATCTATGAGAAACTAATGGACAGGGTTGTTTCGGAGGTTATCGCATCGGTCGAAATCTAAAGAATGAAGGACGCTGGTTGTTAGAATGCGTCTTCATCAGTCCAAGCGGCTTCACTGCCGGACACAATTCGATTGCCCTCGGTCTCCGCGTAGCAAGCACGGGCACCATATGGTGGGAGGCCCTTCTGCTTCTTAACTTGACCACCTTGAGGGTAGTCCTCAGGAGTGAAGCGCTTTCCTGCACGGGCAGCACGAAGTCTTGCATAATTGGCTTCGGAGTAGTCTTGTTCTGGTTCCGAGTCATCCTCAATTGTCTGCCAGTTCTCCGAGCCTGAGACAGTAGCGTTCGAGGTGTTCGAAATTTGACGACTGGGAGGGCCGGAGTGGTGAGAGGAGCTCAGTTGTGGTTCTCGTTCATTCTGGCGCATTGAAGACTTCAATTCATGATATGATTGGGGTCGAGTGCGCTGTTGTTGTGCATATCCTCCGTCGTAGAAAGTATCTTCTGGTTCAACATGTCGGACACTTCCGCTTGAGGCTACACTCTCGGCACGAGAATGTGCGATCGGTGTAGGCGCTGGTGGAGGTTCTAAAAGATCTCTCATCTTGGGTGGCGGAGCTCGCAGCGGCGGGCCCATCTTGCCTCGGATGGTTTCTTGTCTCGATTCAGGGCGAGGTCGTCGTTCAGGAGAATTGCCTCCATGATTGAGGTTTGCCAACGGGGCACGAGCAGGAATCTTCGATGGTGATTTTGCACCAGCCTAGATATATTCGTCAGCACCTCATCCAACATTCTTCAATTCCAAACTCAACACATGAGGATACTCAAGAACTCGACTTACTGCTCTCGATACGGACTCGGCAAGAGGGTTACGTCTGACTGTTCCGGTTGCAACTGGCGTCTTCGCACCAGCTCTTGGCGGTGGTGCCTTCATGTTGTTAGCACGGCTTGGAGGTGCAGACTTCTGGTTCTTTGCAGCAGATGGTGGAGGGCCAGCTGGAGTCTTTGATCGAGGGCCAGGAGCCGGCTTTGCCTCGGACGCCTCAAGCTCGTCGAGGTATCTCTCGCCATGGACAAGGAATGGTCGACCGTAATCATCCTCCCACCTCTCCAAGACCATTCTCACTTCAACTGCAACCTTAGGCAACTCCTTTGCAACTCGCTTTCTCATCTTCTCTTCTCTCAGCAAACGTGTTGGATCCCGCTTCTCTCCCTTCTGACCCCGACCCAGCAATCGAGATGCGTCTTGGCTGGAAGCCTGCAAATCGTCACGCTCCTTCACGAGGGACCTATGTTTTTCGATGAGGGCAAGCGTAGGTGCACGTTGCTCCTTGAGAGCCTCTAATCGACCAATCTCCTGTTCATGTGCCTCGAGGAGAGCGTCACTATAGACGTCTGAGAAAGCGGGAGTAAATTCCAGCATTTCCTCCTCTGAGAAATACAGACTATCCCAAAGCTCTTGAAGCTTGTATCTCGCATCTTCCACAAACAGATGGAGGTTTTGTCTCTTGAGTTCGTTCAGCCTCGACAGCTCGTCCTCAAACTCGTTGATCTGGCGAACACCACAGCCCCGATTGCTGTTAAGGAATTGCTTTCTGTCATGCTCCTCAACACCCAGACGGTCCCATAATCCTTGGACTGTTGTCTTCAGGTCCTTGAGGCGTTTTTCACGTGACTTCTTCTCTTCTGCAAGCTTGTCACGCTTTGCCCTCAACCTAGCGATATCTTCCTCGTGTAGACCCAGCTGCTCCGGCGAGTCGCGATAGTATTTAACGATCATACCATCAGTTTGAGCTTGCGGTGTTCCCAATTCTGCCCAGAGTTGAATGATGTGTTCGGAAAGGGCCTTAACAGTTGCGACACGGCGCGTATATTCTTCGTAGACCCGAGTAAACTCATCATCCAGAGCGGTTACGTACGAAGGGGAGAGGTCGAAGGTAGGAGGAATACTCGCATTCGGCGCGGTCGGGGGAAGAGTGATCTTAATGAAGGATGATTCGAGATGAGATGAGTAAGATTCCAGTGCTTGGACGAGCTCTACAAATTGTTAGTATGACTTTCATCTATTGGCTGGGAATAAACATGCGTACTCTTGACTTGCTCGAATCTCTCCCTATGTAACTTTGATATCTGGAGATGCCTATCCTTCAAACCTTGTAAACAGCGCGTCAAAGGGAAGGTGATCTTCAGGTCCTCGTCATCGACCTTGTGATCATTTCTATTCTTCGTATCGTCAAGGGAAGCTTCCATCTGCTTGATTGTGGTAATAATACGCCTAGCCTCCTCTGTCATATCGTCCTTTTCCGAAGTTACTAGCCGTACTTGATTGTGTAAAGTCTCAGAGAGCGCAGCAAACAACTGCAATAAGTCAGCATTAACTTAACATCTATTAATCTTGAGTAACCCACCTCTGACTCTCGAGCTTCACGCTCATGGATGGGAACTCCAATTTCATCGAAGAGACCATGGAGCTGTCCAATGATGGTCGAAACCTGCGAAGACAAATAGCTGGTATCCATAGCGAACAGGCACAGCAAGTCGCGTTCAACTCAGCAAGTCGCTGCAATAGAATTCGAATGTATGGTTGAGAGGTATCGAGGGTTGATGGAGGGGCCGCGAGGGTGGTCAGTTGATATAGTCGAAGGTTTTGATTGGCTCAGCAGTGATCAAGACGTGATCGCGACTGCGAAACCTCCCCAAAGGTTATTGTACTTGTCATCAATGGGTGTTTGAATGAAAGTCGCGCGTTTTGTTGGAGGTTCTCTCGATGCAATGCAACGCTGTAAGGTCGATCTCGGCTTCATGTCGTAGATCAGAGTTTGTATGGGCCCGTTGACCCAGCAACGACTCCTTCCGGTTTCACCAATAACGTTAGCGCGACCCGGAATATTTTGACCCCGCGGCCAAATTGGTGGAGCTCTGCAGGCCGGCAAGGCTGCACCTGCAACCTCACAAGAGTCCTCCCACGACGTGAACGATCACATCCTGGCAATCCGTCGCCATTCATCATGGAGACTGCACACAAGGCATGGGGTAAGTTATTACATCTCGATCCTCTTATCTCCATTCAAACTTATTTATCGATGACAGAGCTTGACAACAAGGTCCAACTCGTTGATCCTCAGCGCGATGCTCTCTACGCATACGATGCCGCGGAGCAGAAAGCAATAGGAGATGCAAAGCCATGGAAGACCGACCCCCACCACTTCAAGAATGTACGAATTTCAGCTGTAGCGCTTCTGAAGATGGTCATGCACGCGCGGTCTGGAGGCTCGATCGAGGTTATGGGCTTGATGCAGGGAAAGATTGCCGGAGATACCATTATCGTGACCGATGCGTTCCGATTACCAGTCGAAGGCACAGAAACCCGAGTCAACGCACAGGACGAAGCGAACGAATACATGGTTGGGTACCTCCAGGCATGTCGTGATCAAGGCAAGCTCGAGAACGCCGTGGGATGGTATCACAGTCACCCAGGCTACGGATGCTGGCTTAGTGGTATCGACGTTAGCACGCAGGCAACGCAGCAAATGTTCTCCGATCCCTTCTTAGCTGTTGTCATCGACCCCGACCGTACCATCTCTGCTGGCAAAGTCGAAATCGGTGCCTTCAGAACATACCCTGAGAACTTCAAGCCCACCGATTCTGGCTCTGCAGATGGATACCAGACTATTCCTTTGGCAAAGGCTGAAGACTTCGGTGCACACGCAAGCAGATACTATTCTTTGGAGGTGTCTCATTTCAAGAGCTCTCTCGATACACATCTATTGGAGCTGTTGTGGAACAAGTATTGGGTGCAAACGCTGAGTCAAAGTCCTCTCTTCACCAACCGCGAGTATAGCAGTAAGCAGATGCTAGATCTGAGCAACAAAATTAGACAAGCCGGCAGTGGGATCACGCGTGCCAGCAGAACTCCTACAGGTGGAAGCGCAAACAAGAATATGGATTCACAGCTGGAGAAGGTGTTGAGGGATAGCAATAAGATAGCTGGAGAGGAGATGACGGGTTTGATGGCAGGAGAGGTGAAGGCAAAGCTATTCAATGGTTTAGGAGAGGGCCCTAAGGAGCAAACGCCTCCAGCTGCTGTACCAATTACAGAACAGGTTGAGCCTTGAGTGGTTTTTGGGCGGGTCATTTGCAGTGAATGTGAGACGTGGTGGGGCCTATTGAAATGGGCATATGAGCATTGCGTTGGCGTAGACTTCACCAAAAGGCGTTCAGGTGGATGATATGACGAAAATGGCTACCGGAGCCTAGAAGTAGACAATGGCCCTTATGATATGATGAGCCAACCGAATAAATCCTTTCTCTCGATTATCCCTAAGGTGATGTTGCACATGATTATTGATGCAGAATAGAGTCTATCAACACTTCGATTCTTATTAAGTACATCTCCACAATCGTACAACTTACACTTTTTCTATTTCTTCCACAATACTCTCAATCTTCACTTGGTTCAGAACTTCTTCTGCAGCAGATAAACGCCTGCTCGTCTCCATTTTCCCTAGAAGCTCCATCGTCACCTGGCTCTCAGGGCCCGGTTTCGTGGCCACGAGTGCCCATCTCAAGTACTGATAAATCAACCCCGCCCAACTCTTCTCCACCTTCAACTTCAATGCCTCCATCTTTTTTCCCGTCTCAACTCCTCCCTCGGAGTTCTTCATCGTTATTTCAACGCCCATAGAAACCATCTTCGCTAAATAGGTTCTTATCGTATGCTCATCCCATGAATGGTCAGGTATATTCACGAGTGTTTGACAGATGCCTGTGACGGTGGCAAGAGAGAATTTGTCTAAGTATGGCGCCGGGACCTTACGTAATTTGAAAGCTGGAACAGTGGCGGTGAGAGTTTCGGCCGAAGGGGGCGTAAAGAAATAGGCGTTCCGGCGAATGAATTCGGTAGGATTAGTATAGTTCTGTGCATCTGCGAAGACGAGAAGTTGCACGAGATTCTGGCGATCTTCGGGTCGAGTGATATTCCGGTAGAACGAGAAGTCTGAGGGAGTGGAGGGCTGGTTTAGAAGTGCAAGAACAGGTTTTACAGCGAGTTGAACGAGAGAGTGCGAGGGAATTTGGTCGTATGGTGATTCGGCTTGGGTTGAGGCGTAGCGAGCTGCGTGCCGTTTTTGTAGGAACCAGAGTTTCTCGAACCCGACGACAGTATCTCCTCTGGTGTATTTCATGCTGGCCTTCTCTTGACATTAGGTTTCGGCAAAGAGGGAGAAGGGGGAAGCGTACATTTGAAATGAGGTCCTCCATACTCATGACATCCGAACCAGTGTTGTGAGACCACCCAAGTAGAGCGACGAAGTTAGTAACTGATTCGGGGAATACTCCCTTGTTTTGCCAGTCTGAGATGTCAATGGAGCCGGTTCTTTTGCTGAGCTTTTGCCGGTTTTTATCGAGGAGCAGACCAACGTGTGCGAATGCTGGGGGTTCCCACCCAAAAGCTTGGTACATTGCAAGATGTTTGGGAGTAGACGATATCCATTCCTTCGAGCGAGTCAGTTAGAAGAGGCAATATCGTAGGAAATCAAAACAAATACCGATCCTCTTATGACGTGAGTAATCTTCATAAGATGGTCATCCACCACATTAGCAAGGTGATAGGTCGGGAAGCCATCTGATTTCAATAAAATGGGATCGTCAAACAGGGTGAGTGCTGAACCTTGAGCTTTTTGGTCCCTTTTCACAGTACTCTTGGGCCGAATGAAGCCATAAACCAAATCCCTAAAAACCAAGCTATTCTTCTCGTCTGGGATTTTCAGTCTGATGACATGGGCCTCCCCTTGCGCAGCTCGATCATCCGACTCTTCTTTGGGAACATGTGCGCAGGTTCTGTCATAGTCGGCTGGGAGCCCAAGCTTGCTTTGGTACTCGGCTAGTATACGAAGTCGCTCAGGGGTACAGAAACATCTGTAGGCACTGCCAGAATCCAGTAGTTTCTCGGCATGGTCTCGGTATAATGCTGTTCTTTCAGACTTGGAAATATAAGACAAGATTTCTGTCAATAAGTGTATGGCTGACTGACTTGTTTGTATGGGCCGTATTGACCTCCAACGCTGGGACCTGAAGCCATCAGCAAGATCTACATGAATTTCAACAGTTTCATTACCTTCATCCCAATCAATACCTGCCCACTTCAAGTCTTCATACAGTCTTTCTTCAGCGTCAGGAATTGTCCTTTTCTACTCGGGTCAGAGTGAGTTTTCTGAGAATGGGGAAGTGAATCACCTGATCAGTGTCTTCAATCCTGAGGAGAAACTGACCACCGGTGGCCTTTGCCACAAGAAAATTGAATAAAGCCGTTCTCAAAGACCCGAGGTGAAGATAGCCCGTTGGGGAAGGGGCGAATCGTGTCCTGGCTGGCCCCCCTTCCCGAAGTTGTTGTGACGCTTGTGAGAGTTTGCCAGCTTGATAGGAAGGAGCCGTGGCGTGTTTGATGCCATGGCAGGAATGACAAATCCATCGAAGGTTACTCCTCCTCCTCGCCACTGTCAACAGTAGCTTCATCCCTTCTCGAAGTGTCTCCAAAATTCCAGAAGCATCGTCTGTCTTTCTTCTTTACATCCCTTGTGGCCAAAAATAATTCTTCAGCCCGGTTGGCCCGTGCGCCATCAGAAACTCTTGCCGCTAAGATAAAATCAAAGACGACTCCAAACATCGACACAACTTCACAATTCCCACTTTCAGCGTAAATTCTGCGCCTATTGCACATCGATAGAGAAATATTGAAAGCTTATCCAAGCTTACATGCGGGTAAGAATTTTGCTCCAGAAATTCTAGCACCTGTTCCGAAGCCCATCAGCCCGAAAAGCACATCTATCATGGCTTCAAATGGAGCACCGGAGGAAGTCGATCTCTATGGTGAGCAACACGATGGAGACAGATTAAATGATTCTGACATGAATAGAGGTTCTCGGAATCCCCAAGTCTTCGACCAAATCTGAAATCAAGAAGGCATATCACAAGGTTTGTTTTCCTGTCAGCCTCGTAAAACATGTGCTGACGCCGAATCAGGCAGCGTTACAACATCACCCAGATAAGGTCCCCGAAGAGCAGAGAGAAGAATCCGAATTGAAATTCAAGGCTGTCAGTCAAGCATATGAAATTCTTCACGATGAAGAGAAGCGACATCTCTACGATACTCACGGCATGGCCGCCTTTGACCCCGCCAGAGGGGGCGGGATGGGAGGCGGGGTAGATCTGGACGACATTTTGGCACAAATGTTTGGCATGGGAGGAGGTATGCCACCAGGATTCGGTGGAGAGAGTGGTCCAAAGCGTCCCCGAAGAGGCAGAGATGAGGAGCAAAAATACGAAGTTACACTGGAGGAACTTTACAAAGGCAAAACCGTGAAGTTTGCCAGCACGAAGAATATCATCTGCACCCATTGCAAAGGCACGGGAGGAAAGAAGGATGCCAAGCCCCAGACTTGCGAGCGATGCAAGGGTAACGGTATAACGGTGGGACTTCGATCTGTTGGGCCAGGATTGGTGACTCAGGAGAGAGTAGTCTGCGATACTTGTTCGGGGACAGGGAAGATTTTCAAGGAGAAAGACAAGTGCAAGAAGTGCAAGGGCAAGAGAACAACATCCGAGAAGAAGGTACTAGAGATCTACATTCCAAGAGGCGCCCGGGAGGGAGAAAGAATCGTTCTTGAGGGAGAGGCAGATCAGGTGCCCGATCAGACCCCAGGAGATATTGTGTTCACCCTAGTGGAGGAGGACCATGAAATGTTCCAGAGAGCCGGCGACGATCTTTCAGCAGAGCTGAATATCAGTCTTTCGGAAGCCCTCACCGGCTTCTCAAGAGTCGTATTGAAGCACCTCGACGGCCGTGGTATCCATCTCAACCATCCTCAAGGAAAGGTCTTGAAGCCTGGTCAGATTCTCAAGATTGCAGGCGAAGGTATGCCATTGAAGAAGAGCGATTCAAAAGGCGATCTTTATCTCGTGGTCAAGATTGAATTTCCTGAGGATGGATGGCTTGAGGATCCGGCTGCTTTTGGCGAACTTCAGAAGATTCTTCCGGGGCCTCCTCCAGTGGTTGAAACTACGGAAGTCGACGAAGTGGAGTACGATTCTGATGCCGATATTGAAGATGTAAGTTCTTTTTCCAAAATCCAAGGAATCTTGTTGACCTCTCTAGTTTGGTGCCAATTCAGGGGACCCCCGAGCAGGTGGTGGTTGGGAAGATGAAGACGATGAGGAAGGAGGAGCTGCACAGTGTGCACAGCAGTAAAAAAGCAGCGAAATAGATAATTTCATGTGGTCACAAAGCAATTTCATTTTCGGTGGGAACTTTGCGGCATAGACCGAACATTGAAGGTCTTCGATGCCTTTTCACGACTACAATCCTGGGTAGAATAGGGCAATTGACTTTGCAGACAAAGCTCTACTATGTATTCTGATGACACTGAATGAAGGCTTCCAACCTCTTTTGTGTGACAGTATGGAACATGATATGCACGTTCCGAAGCTCCAAGGAATGTGCAGGTTCTTGCGGTTCCATTTGGGCTTTTCGACACATACATGATCTATTTCCCTATCGAAGATTTAATATCACGTGTATATCATTAGTCATCTGGGGTAAGAGTACTGCGACATTATTGGCTCGCTTCCTGGGCCTCGCAGGCGCGACACACAACTGGATTTGAAAAACGATCATGAGAATTTACAACTTCAACAACACCTCGACCACAACACCGCGACGATGGTTTCAGCAAAGCGGCACGTACCGATCGTGAAGAAGCGTGAGTCTTCACTTCAACTTGAATCTGCGTAACAATGACACAAGCAATTGGGGCTAATATTTGCGAATCCAGGAACCAAGAAGTTTGCTAGGCATCAGTCAGGAAAGATTTTTCGATCGAAATTCCCTAGATTGGAGTATTCTAACTTCTCGATTATACAGACACATACAAATGCCTCGACGCCAGCTGGAGAAAGCCCAAGGGTATTGACAACCGTGTCCGAAGACGATTCAAGGGTCAAATGGTTATGCCATCGGTACGTGGGATCTGCTGTGGGAATTGGGGCGGCCTCGGATGGGATCACAAAGAGTGGCCTTCGAAGTCACCACGATTGCTGAGCAACGAGGTGGAGGACAAGGGCTGATGATACATGCAGATTGGCTTTGGATCAAACAAGAAGACTCGCCACATGATGCCCTCCGGCCACAAGGCTTTCCTCGTCAATAACACCCGAGATGTCGACCTCCTCCTTATGCACAACAAGACCTTCGCCGCAGAGTAGGTGGCTCACCCAAAAGATGGAACGGCGGGGCTAATATGGATATAGGATCTCACACGCGGTATCTTCAAGAAAGAGAATCGAAATCGTTGCTCGTGCGAAGGAACTCGGTGTTAAGGTTACGAATCCCAAGGCCAGAGTTACGACCGAGGTTTGAGCGGCTGGTTTTCATTTGGGCACTTTGCATGGGGCTTGGGTTTGCTAAACATCATGAGTGAGGGCGGTGCAAAGATGTATCACTTGCTCCACGATCAATGAAGATTTCAGCAATACGTTGTGCAAGGCTGCCCTTCTTGGAAATTGTCACGTTGATCTATGATCTTTCACTACTGGCAAACCACTCCGAAACCTCCGCCTATTGACTTCTAGACAGCATGAAATGTATGATCAGCCCTATCAGAATGTTCAAAGTTGGCAGATGAGCAAGTTTACAACAATACTCGCAGCATTATCGACGATTGTCCTCAATTACCCAGCTCCCAAAAATACGTCTCCTGATGGACCTCTTGAGATCTTCAGAAGTCTTTTCGCTCGGGCTCACGTTTACTCCCATTTCCTGTTCAGTCACCCGATTTCTTTCCGGGTCGCAAGTTTGATGGGTCTTGGGTGCTCAAGTGCAGACTGCGCTGTGCCAGTAAGGAGCCCTTACCCTGTTTAACGTACATGTAAGCACCTGCATGTTTTTTAAGTCCTTGATTAGGACCATGACTACAGCAGCATTAAAGTGAGAAGGGAAGTGCTCAGTAACGCATTGCCAGCACGGTGATGTCAAAAATGGCGCTGGGCACGTGTCCCGAATCTGGCCTGGCCCCTTTTTATTTTCCTCGCACTTTTCCCCTACAGGCACCACCTCCTGCCGACAACAATGCCTTATCAAGTCTGCGTTCCCCGCTTTCTTTGCTTCTTAACAGTGACATTCGGAGAGGTTATTGTGATTTTGAGGTCTTGCGTCGTGGTCTTTAAAGCTTTTGTCCGCTATCGCCCGCTATCACCAGCCACCTCCTCAGTCCTTCTAGCAAGTGCAAGATTGAAAGGGGGTTAGAATTATGTCGACGCATCTTTTACACCCCCCGCTTGTTCTACATAAAAATAGCAAGAAATGTTGACATTTTCCCACCTAAACATGCTTGCTCTGAGCTGTCGTACTATCCCTTTTCTAGAATCACGAAATCTTAGAATATCTCAACCCAGTGCAATAAAAGCTCACATCGACGTTCCATCTCCTCAAGCTTGTATGCAATCTCTGGCTCTGTATTAGCTCAATTGGTTACCAGCTTTCTCCTCTATCTCAAACCTACCTTCGTTGATGAATTTGTCCTCAAGGTGGGAAGTAAGACTGTACCATTCCAATTTGGGACAATTTAAAGATTGCGGGGGAAATGCAGATGTGCAACAAAAGAACTGAACAGTATTAGCTCTGGATGGACCCATAGTATGTTATAAAGCTAGCTGTTCCAGTTGTTGTTGGTAAACACGCTTGTACAGGTTTGTAGTAAGAAAATACTATAGTTGTGGTCATGTTATCAATTGTGCGGTTGATGGCCCTTCCGGCCGTTCCCCCCTACTTTATCATAACTATTGGCCTCCTGTCTCTAAATTTCGGGACCGTAACACGAAGCTCCTGACAAGAACGAATATAGCTCCAAAGTTTAAAGACACAGAGCGTAAGGTACGGAGGTAATGCTTCATGAGCGACCGCGCCAGTAAAGCCCTTGCCGAGGCCTCCCTGCCGGGAGAGCCTCGAACATACGATGCCAGATCAAAACGCAGTGGAGTCTCGCAGGGGCAACGTAGGTAGCTGATTCGTTCGAAATGGAACATGACAGCTAACGCCTAGCCGATGTACGTGATAGATATACTACTGTTCTCATCGTATTTGTCTCCGGTACCAGTGCGTAAGGTTTGTAACACAAGTGAAGCATAGATACCGCGGCAGCGAGGCGAGCGCATATTGACGAACGTCGATGCTGATGTCTGTTATCACTATAGAACCGAATGGAGCGAATGGAAAGAGCAGGGAGACAGTGTAGCATTGGTTATAGGACAAGTACATTAATCGACATTCGTCAGCACGCAAGATCTCTTCTATTTCAGGGGCAGTGTTAATACTAGATCGTGCGCACAAACGTGCGTCTTCTGCAGCTTCTTGGGCTTCTCGGATATGGTTGTACGGGTCGGACGGAGGAGGGGAAGGGAGGGGAAGGGAGGGGAAGGTAAAGTTCCGGGGCTAAAGTAGGGAAAAGCATCGTATGCTCTGGGAATCGCAGGGTGATTTTAGAGGTGGAGAGAAAGAGGAAGAATGAGTATATCATACCAAAGTGAAAAGAGAGGGGATTCAGAGCTGAAGCTTGAAGGGGCTAGGGAACGCACTGTCATGTCTCGTAAGGTTACACGTTCTGAAATTAAAAGCTCGGCTGATCTCAAGAATCTGATTGGTCTAAAAGTTAAGTGTTCGGTGAAAAGTAACTGCGAGGCGAGCGGTACCGTATGATTAGGTAGGTAAAACACCTAGAACCTCTTTGCGGCCAAAACCCCAGAATCGGACGAAGGGATTAAGGTTAGTTAAAAGGCTCATTTTTGCCGAAAATGGGATCGCGTAGTAGACGCTAAGAAATCGGGCTCCGCTACCGCCTTCTGTCTTGGGCCTAATCACATTTTGACCTAAAATGCGATGCAGTAACCGGCATCCCTGCGTGGCGAGAATCCCTTAGTAAATAAGTACATCACGAAAATCTCAACGCAAATTAATCCTATTCGGCTCGTAGCTTCCTAATACTAAATTTTAACCATTTTTGATCTATACCTATATGTATATACAAGAGAGCTTTTATAGGGGTTAATTAATTATACTTTAATTGTCTTTACACCTGACCCTTACTATTTTACACATGAATTTTTAACACCTTAACAATGTTCTTATAACTAGAATCTCTCGTAAGGTGAGGAATGAAGTAATTTGCTTAGTTTATAATCGTTTTACTTAATGTTTCACTTAAGAGGCGGAGCAGGCCTTCGTCTAGGAGAAAGTGACGACTGGACCACTGTGAGGCGCACAATATAGCAGGGTGCTACGCAAGTAGTCAAGGTAAGGGGGTGGAATATAGGGTAAAGTATGGAGTGAAGCGTGGAAGTATATTGATTCCAAGAACTGGTTCTCAGTAATAAACTAATCGATGCCCATTTCCAAAGCTCGCATGCCTCCATATATAGAATCTAGTGTTCCGCTGGATGTACGGAAGCACTAGCCCCAATTAGGGAGTGCGATCCCACATAAGCACTAGCCCAATTAGGCTACCAAATCCAGCTGAACGCTCGCTGTCAATGTGCGCATCACAACCACGGAAATGGCTCTCGGCTATAACTGCTCTTTCTGTAAGGCGCCCGCTGCTTTAGTGCAATCATCGCCGCCTTTACAGCCGCCTTGTGGCTAAATCCACCATCAAAGCCCTCACAGCCGATATATTGCCATGGAGGGTAGCTTCATGTAAGGCAGGCAGTTCGATCTCTTCTGAATCAGAACTAGAGAATTGCTTTTGCAAAGTGGAATATTGTGCTATGACGTTGAACAGTTTTTAAATTCTCGTTGGAGAAACTTCGTTGTTGGAAGCAATATAATGTATGTTAACGGAGATAAGGAAGATTGGCTGAGGAGGGTTGCGGAAGAAGAATAGAATGTTGATTTGATGTCGTCTTTGCGTTGACTTTAAGTGTGGTTACTGGCCTAAAATTTTCCCGAGAGACAGTGTTCAGTGTTCGGTTTATAGTAATTAGGAGCTTAATAATAGTATTATTTCTATTCTTAGCCGTGTATATTAAAGGTATCTGACTAATTCTATTCTTTGAGTCTGGTTTAATATAGTTTATTGTAAGAAAGAGCCTAATAGCTACCTCTTTCCCTCTGCCGCGTTGACGTCAATCCCCAGCGCTGCGAGCAGCTGGCCCGCGATAGCGGTGTGTCCTTGAGAGGCGGCCCGCAAGAGCGGCGTTCGGCCGACCTCATCTGCCGTATTAATGTCGATCCCCGGCGCCGCGAGCAGCTGACCTATAATAGCGGCGTACCCTTGGTAGGCGGCCCACGAGAGCGGTGTCCGGCCGTCCTTGTCTATTATATTAACGTCGATCCCCGGCGCCGCGAGCAGCTGGCCTACGACAGCGGTGTGCCCTTGATAGGCGGCCCACGAGAGCGGCGTCCAGCCGTTCTTGTCTGCTATATTGACGTCGACTCCCGGCGCTGTGAGCAGCTGGCCTACGATGGCGGCGTATCCTCGATATACTACCCGCGAGAGCGGCGTTCGGCCGTTCTTGTCTGCCGCATTGACGTCGACTCCCGGCGCTGTGAGCAGCTGACCTACGACGGCGGCGTATCCTCGAGAGGCGGCCTGCCAGAGCAGTGTCCGGCCGTCCTTGTCTGCCGTATTAACGTCGACTCCCGGCGCTGTGAGCAGCTGGCCCACGGTGGCGGCGTATCCTCGATATACTGCCCGCGAGAGCGGCGTCCAGCCGTCCTTGTCTGCTATATTGACGTCGATTCCCGGCGCCGCGAGTAACTGGCCCACGGTGGCGGCATATCCTCGAGAGGCGGCCTGCCAGAGCGGCGTCCTGCTGTCCTTGTCTGTTATATTGACGTCGATCCCCGGCGCAGCGAGCAGCTTGCCTACTACTCCTTGATGCCCGAATAATGAAGCAAGGTAGAGATGTTGAATTGGTACTAGCTTACTAGTCCTTCCAGTACCAGGTTCAACTACTAATATTAGCTTCGCCACTCTCATTTATAATGGTTTACTATGGAAGCATATGGAATAGCTCACTATGGAAGCTCAGTGAACGCTCACTAATATGATTTATCAGCTGATTTATAATATACTGGAGGAAATCGCCACCCACTAGTGGGTATATAAGAACTGTACTTTAGATTCCTTCCTCTCCCTTTTTACTCTTCACTCTCCTGTATCTAGTCATTCTACAGATTGTCAAACTCCAATATATCGATTTTCCATCAATAAATCGATCACTTTCCAATAAGAGACTACTGAGCTTCGTAGGTGGCCTATCATATCCCCAGAATTCCCAATACACCAGACCCCAGGTTATATATGGGTATGTTTGAGGGTTACAGATACCCGAGGCCAATCCTATCGAAATATGGTCCATTGGAATCGTAGCTTCTCGGAAATGAACAGACCAATTCACTGCAGCATACTCGAGGAAATCATACTTAGAGACGAGTTTTGCGACGGTCTTAGAAAGTTTTGGAGATTGGTGTTCTAAGGGAAATCCCTCTAATCGTAGATACCACATACAGATATGGGCGAGAAGGAAGTTCGAGTCTTTTATAGAGAGTGAATGCTTCCAAATCCAATCAGAAGCAGCCATTGATTGAGAAAGTTCCTTTTCCCCGACCAAGAACTCTTTAGCTGTTTGATGGAGCAAATAGACGCTTCCATCAATAACGCTAACAAAGAGACCACAGAGGTTTCTGATCAAGTCCTTGGAGTAATCATCTGGTGGAATCTCGAGGTCCTCAAGTGCTTTATCGTCTGGCTGAATCGATATCGCGATGCTCATTTCTTTTACAGAGAGTGGCCTGATTACCGTACAAACAATCTGTAAGAGTTTCTTTGCTTGTTCCTTGTCCGTGCTCTGGTTGAGAATGGCCGTATAAGCAGTATTAACGGAATCCGGTATCATGCCAAATATTTTCTGTCTGCCTCTCTTCGTAATAGATTGGGCGTCTTTGCGAATTAACTCAAATATTAGCTTGAGCCATAGGTACGTCCTGTGTTCGACCTTGGAAAGTTCTTCACGCAAAGGGGAAAAGTGTTTTTTGATCGAGGTGCCATTTTTGCTGGATCTTCTCGAGTTCGTCTTCAATGACAAGATCAATTTCACGCTTGATTTGATCTGTATCTTCTTCGCCTGTAAGACGAATCGTGGGTAGCTGTTGGATAAGGTCGTTAAATTCGTCTGCGATATGCTGCAACGGCCGACTGGTGACAAGAAACTTGAGGGCTGTCTTCTCTGAAACACGAGGACGACCTTCGTAAAACGCACATACTTTTTGTAGCAAGTATTTCAACTCTGATTGTCTATATTCGTCGAGAGCATCTAAGATGCAGATGATCTCTCCAGCTTTTGGATCTGCGGAGGCTGTTGTAAGAAGATTCCATAATAAGTCGACGTTTGCGACAAGCCTGTCTCCATTCTGATTGTGAACTTCCAGAGCATGGTGACGAAGCTCAGGTTTTTGGGCAAAGAGCTGATGGAGTAAAGTAAGATTACATAGAGCTTTGGTCACGGTCTTCTGGTCCTCATTGTCGTCCTTGAAGAAGAAGTAACATATTGTTCGCTCCCTGGTGGTCGCTTGTAATTCTCTGTCCGCAAGAAACTTGGATAGTACAGATTTACCACAGCCTGGATCTGCAGAAACCCAAAGGAGGCTCGAGGTGAGGCTGTCCCGCCAGGTGACATAATTCGTATGCCTCAAAAACCATTGGCACGTGCCTTTGACAGGGAACGGGTTTCTGTCTTTATATCGCTCGTAGTCCGAGGTTCTGAGGAGCTGCTGGCATTTGGTCTTTTTCTCGGTTCCCGGATGACTTCCAATATCTACGTGGAAAAAAAATGACATTATCAGCTATGTGCACGAACCTACTATAAGGCTCACCTACTTGTGACATTGAACCCCCCATACACATTTTGACTCCCAATTCCGATTGCTGTTCCAGAGCCAGTGCTGCTGATTGCCTGGGTTGGAGGAACTCCTCGCTCAGGAACACTACCAGGGGGTTCGAGACTACCAACTTGTGCTGCATTCTGGCCACTCTCACTCAAAGGCTCCCTTTGACTTGTGTCGGTTGCTGGGGTTGAATCCATTAATTCCACCAAGTCATGCAACCTGTTTAAGACCCTTTGATAGCCCACGTCGTTCCTCCTACTAAATTTTGTCATGTCCATATGATTTGCACCAATACTCTGATTAGGGTACTGGTTCAGTACCGCCGACTGCTCTGAAACAATAATCCCCACGCCGACAACAGGTTTCTCCTCGAAGAAGCAGTATATTCTGATTTGAATATCAGGTTTGAGAAGAGATTGCTGAAATTGCTGTTGCACAGCAGTCAACACCTCCGACTTCCGCTGAAGGACTCCTACAATCGCTGGATTTGTATGGCGGACGACTTTTAGGTACTCCGCAAGCGTATGCCCCCAACTTGCCAAGTCTGCGCCGCCATGGGGCGTGCCCATGAATATGATCCCCCGCGTAGATTGGAAGAGTTTCTTGAGGTTTGGCTCGCCTTCTCCACAGATCAAGAGCGCTTGTTCGCAGACTAGACCGCCTAGGCTGTGGGCGATGAAAATGATGGGCCGCCCCCTGTGTCCTCTTCGTTGATCCGATACATCAGACGCCAAGTTCTTCCCATGATTCCTGAGATTGTTACCCCCGGCCATGCCCCACAATTTGACAACATCGGCATCGTACAGTAGAAACTCGCTATAACGATCCCCGATATAGCGATATCCTTAGTAATACGATACGGCCGTACGGTCCCGTGCTTTTTTAGCCTTAGGCTTACGATATCCTTAGTAATACGATTATTGTTAGGTTCTTCGGTCCCAACCCTTGATTTTTGGTGGTGTATCGTTCTAAATTAGCCTGAGCAATGGATCAATTTATCGATATTCCAGAGCCCTCAGGGCTATCCGCTCCCTCTCAGGCTCTTACCTCTGGCTCTCTAGCCCCCGAACAGCCTAAAAAACGACGAAGAGGCATGACAGAAGCTAATCGCCGAGCTCTACGGAGGCATAAGCAATCCCATCCCAAAGCTACTCACGCTGATCTTATTGAGTGGTTCCAGGACGAGTTTAACCACAAGATCAACCAGTCGACTGTTTCCCTTAGCCTTAGCCCTCAATTCGATTACCTCGATACCGATACACGAAAAGATACAAGCCTTACGCTTCAACGTTTAAGCCAATCTAATTGGCCTGATCTTGAAGCGGCACTCTTTGAATGGCAACAGAAGATGCAAGGGCAGAAGGCAGTAATTACGGGCGATACTCTCAAGCAGAAGGCACACGAGATCTGGCACCTTCTCCCTCAATATCACGAGCAACCAGAGCCTAAATAGTCTAATGGGTGGTTGACCAACTTCAAGAATCGCTTCCATATCAAGGAATACGTCTGCTATGGCGAAGGGGGCACGGCAGATATCGATAGCCCTGAGAATATCAAGCAAATGCAGGAGAATCGAGACTTGGCAGCCACATACCCTCCTGAGAACGTCTTGAATATGGATGAGACTGGTTTATTCTGGAAACTGTCACCAAACCGTACGCTAGTAACTGAGGCTAGTAATGGAGGCAGAAAGAGTAAAGACCGAATTACTCTTACTCTTACGGTCAATGCTACGGGTACTAATAAGTGGGAGCCTTGGTTAATTGGAAAGAGCGAAAACCCTCGGTGTTTTAAGCATATTAATCGATAACTCTTGGGTATACAATACAGGTATAATAACTCTAAGTGGATGACTGGTGTCATCTGTGCAGAATACCTCTACTGGGTCAATCGCAAGTGCTCTGCTCAAGGCCGGCACGTTCTTCTATTCATGGACAACTTCTCAGGGCACTAATATGGTATTGATCTCGTTAGTGGAAAACAAGCTCTCTCACACGTACGAGTGGAATGACTACCTCCCAATATAACATCGCACTGGCAACCGGCAGATCAAGGTATTATTAGTGCCTTCAAGCTTCATTATCGCAAGCAGTAGGTCAGCTATATGATCAAGCAATTTGAGGCGGATAAGGATCCCAACAAGACAGTTACTCTCCTCCATACGGTCAACTGGACAGTACATGCCTGGAACAACCACGTCAAAGCTTCCACGATTACGAATTACTGGTATAAATCAAGCCTTATCGCAAAACCTCTCCTTGGTGGAGATCTCGATGCCCACGGCGAAATTGATCTAGAATGGGCTACTCAGCAAGCAAAGGATCGAGAGATAATCGAAACCCTCCAATCGACCATTCAGCGTACCACTCAATTCAACGATCCTCTCCCTATTAGCCAGTTTATTGCACTAATTAATGAGGAAATCGTGGAGGATGAGAATATGACTCTAGAGGTAATTGTGAATCGCTATGCACAGGGAGGTTCAAGGGATACTCAGTCTGATATAGAGGAGGAGGAGGAGCAGGAGGAGATTAGGGAAGTGAAGTTGGTTGAAGCGATAGCTGCACTTGATTTACTGAATCTATATGAGAAGCAACAGGAGGATGGACAAAGTGAGGTTATACGTAAGCTTGATGCTATAAAAGCTACGTATATCCAAAGGAAGGCAGCAAAGGCAAGGCAAGCTTATTTGGAGTTCTCGGGAGGTTCTTTGCAAGTAGTGAGGCGTTAGGGTTGAGAGGTTCTTTATATATCTTCAGTCCCTTCTATATTTAGTACATATGCACGTGATCCTTGATTGAACGATACCTCGGTGTATCGTAAGAAAATGGCGCTAAAAATGGTATCGTTATAGCGAGTTTCTACTGTAGCCGAAGGCCATGATGCGTGCGGTTGGTATATCCTGTGCCAACTCTTGCGGCCAGAAGGCTCGGTTCGGGTGGGTCCATGTCTTGTCGCGATTGCCAGTGAGGCCATGAACGAAAACGATACTATTTAGGACATAGGTTAGAAATGGTCGTCACAGCAGCTAGATTTCGGATCATACTCAAGAGCAGCATCAGTTGGATCAGCTATGACCCTTATTCCGGTGTCTCCTTCCGTGGAATACAAGTCAACCGTCTGTTGCGCTACAGAGCTTGTGCCTGACCTGGTTGTGGGATCCGCGATTTCGGGCGCCGTCTCCGAGCTCGATTCTCGGCCCGTGGACTTCTGGCGTTTCAAGACGCGATCAAGTATCGTCGAGCCCAGTCTTTTCGACATCCTTGGAATTTGTCTAGAAGCTCGAGATTATCTGGTTCAGATTTGTTGAGTAGAGCCTCGCCCTTTGGGTTTGGCACTTCGAAGCCCGCGCTGCGTTCAGCTGAAAAGTTCGGGCCGTTCGATTGGCTGCGGGAATGCATACTCAAAGACTCTCGCGTCCAATCTCGTGTCATTTTACGGCAAATCAAAAGCTTGATAGAAAACCCAGCTGGATATGGGAATTTCGGGGCATCTAACAGGTGGAAGACTGCGAAGGGGTTAGTGCCCAAGGGGCTAGACACTGATGGGCGTGAGAAGTGGTTATGGAGACAAGGGAGGTAGGATACAATACTGTGTTCTAAACAATCCTAGGTTTTCGCCAACCATGATCTTGCATGCAAAAAGGAGATATCAAAATATTTTATTCAAGATTGTTATCTGTCATTTGCATTTTGAATAGGACAATACTACAACTTATGACCTGCTCCAGAGGCGCGCAGGGCTTCTTCCTTCTTCCCTCCAATTCACTTGACAATGAGCCCACGTGATAAGAGCAGTCGAATGCATGATTTAACATGCATTCCGGGTTGACTAATTGCTTAGTAATAATGGTCCCGGTACGATGGATGCCTGAGGCTGAAAGCTGTGCCTAGAAACGCAGTTGTGGCATCTCAACTTAGATAGAGAAGCTTTTCGATCATCAGTTCCTGCGCATAATCTTTTACAGAACCATTCCACGCTTGCGTCATTCCTAGCAACGATGGCCGCGGGAATGATAGATTTAGTCCGACAGGCGGTCCGCAGCATGCTCGCTGCTCTGCAGATGCCCGATGTCGATGAGGACGAGCTTGACGACTTGACTCTTCGCACTGGTCACACAGGTAAGCTGCGAGAGCCTACTGAACCCTAATCGTTAAGCTGAGGTTTATAGTTCAGAAACGTCTTGTAGAGATAAAAAGGAGAGGCGTGCCTCAACTCCTGCCCCTTCATTTTCCAAAGAGAAGAAGATGACGTATCCCCTCAAAACACTCCTCCGCATTCTCCTCCTTCCGCAGATACCTCGAATAACCTTACTTTACGCAAATCGAGCCGCATAGAGTCTAGTACAAAAAGATCATATGATGGCATGCAAGGTAGACACGATGGGGCACGAGGCTACGCAAGAAGTTCAAGTATAGCGTTCAAGAGATACCAGGTATGTCTTCCTATCCTCCCGATGTGGCCGATAGGAACGAGAGGATAATCTTATGGCAGTAGATGGTGTCAGAGACACGACCGATGAATACCCTAACAGCGACCCTGCAACAAATACACCGTCGGAAGTTATCCAAAAGCCTGTGAACAAGACTACTTCTGCAGCACCGTCTACTAATTCCTCCCTCTTCAAAAAGCCTCCCAGCAGCAACCCGATAGCGGAGACCACTACGGGGACGACTACCGTATCTGCCGAAGATCACTCGAATAATATGACCGCCCCATACACTGCTGGAGGAGATGCTCCTACAAGCGACCCCGGTGCGGATTGCATCGAAACTACCACTGGTTCTCTCCCACCGAATGAGCTTATTAATATAAAGCGGCCGGTTCTCGATTAGTCGAGTAACTCCCTCGAGATTATTCTGGAGGCGCTCAGGACGCAGAATACCGACCCCATAGCCAATTCCACGGTTCCAGATACGTGTACCGTGCTCACTTATACTAACCCTGCAGTTTTTGCAAGAATAATTACTAGTATCGGGATAAACTATATTAATAGTAACTTCGCGATCCTGGCCTTCTGTACTTGAAGTTGAGAAATAAAGGCTACGAGAATATAAGCGAAATAGGTTATACCAAATCGAAAGGAATTAAAAACAAATAAATATATTATCCGTAGTATAATTAAAAAGGGAAAAGAAATATTAGGAAGAGGAAGAGCGCCTGGTTAAAGAAATAGAGAAGGCTATTACCTATTTAAATATAAGAGACTTTACTAATCGTAATCTAAAAGATATCCTATCTGAGTGTAATAGGCACACGTGATGGCGCATGGACAGGTGTCAGATGTCGTGGATCTAGTTTCCTATTTTAGGTAAAGCTTGTAATCGGAATCATACGGGCAATCGGAATTATACGGATCGCATGGGATCGTATTTCCTAGTTAAGTAAAGTGCTTTGCAGGCTTGGCTAAGTACTAGGAAACATATAGGGAGACGCTCCTAGCTTTGGAAAGAGGTATTAATTAGTCTTTATTAGAATTAACTCTTGGAATTAGTTATATTTGCAAGCGTTACTCTATAGCTTACTTACCTTGACTACTTATATATTACCCTGCTATTACGTACCTTATATTCTAATTAATCTAACCTTCGGAGAGTAGTTCGTTACGAGGTAGTCAAGCTATTAATAAACAAAATATTAATAGCTAGAGTATTAATTAGGAGAAGCACCTCTACTATTACTAGGATAACCCAACCGGATACCCAGGGGAGCGCCTAGTTAAGTACTCTTCATATTATCTAATTAGAAGAAGGAAGTAGAACTCAGATATCCCTAGATGTAAGGCACGTAATAGCAGGGTAATACACAAGTAGTCAAGGTAAGTAAGCTACGGAGTGACGCTTGCAAGTGTAACTGATTCCAAGAATTAATTCCAACAAGAGACTAATCAATACCCCTTCCAAAGCTAGGAGCGTCTCCCTATATATTCCCTAGTACTTAGCCAGGTATGCGAAGCCCTTTACTTAATTAGGAAATCCCATACGATCTATATGATTCCGATCGCAAGCTATACCCAAAATAGGAAACTAGATCTACGATATCTGATACCTGTCCATATACCATTACATATACCTATTACATTAATCCCCCCTCTGGGCCCTTATCCCCAAGAGGCCTGGGAAAACTGCGAATAGCTTTACAAATATCTCCCTAAAACTTTCCTGGCCGCGGGCTTTCCCCAAAGACTTCCCATAATTGCCCTATTATTACGCCAGGTAATAGAGTTGAGGATATAGTTTACTAATCCTTTCTAGCTAGTTCGCAAATCGCCTCTGGCAATTCCCCCTTGCAAAGGTAGTACGAATATAGCATATACTATCGGATATAAAGCTTATCCGATCTCCTAATTAGTTTGTAAATCCTAATTTAGCCTCTATTTGCGAATAAATTATTATTCTATAGGCCCAAGAGCTTGGAAAAGTTAATCCAATCTTCTAGTTCATTTGTAAATCCCTTTTTTAGAATTTTCTGGGTATTCCTGGTATAGAGCCGGTTCCGAATTCGTAATTACTATTCGGGGAGAGAGTATTATAAAAAAGCCTCCCTTTTCCTACTAACTAACCTTCCTTTTCCTTAACTATAATACTATACCCAGCTCCTCCTTATCCCTTGCCTTCCTTTTTTAAGCCTTCTTTAAGCTCCTTTAAGCCTTATTTAAACTTTATTCAAGTTCCCTTCTAATTCCCTCTTCTACTTCTTTATTTATTAAGATAAATACTTCTCTTAGTACTTATTAGCCTATTATTACCTATTTGGCTAATACTTCTATATCCTTAATTTGCTCTTATTATCTTTAATATTCCAAGAATATTACTAAGTTTCCCGACCTTATTTATATTAAGAGTAATAATTACTTGGTATATAATTACTATTATTCTAAGAACAAGAAGTATAATCCTATAAATTATAAATTTCTTCTTTTATTTTTTATTCTAATACTATTTAAGATTTCTTAAATATATATAATATAATTAAACTACTTTCTTTAAGCTATTAATATATATAAGTATCTTTCTTATTTTTTATCTAAAAGAAAGAAGGCTATTATTATTCTTCTTTTATACTAAACTATATATATTTCTTATATTAAAGCTATTATTTAAGACTAATGAATTCCCTTAATAATTCAAGAAATAAGTCAAGTAATTCTTACTAGTTTAGTATAAGTATAAAGTACTTTTAATAATATAATTAATATTTTTTAGTATTAAGTAAGCTTATTTTTTTCTCGTTTCTTACTAATAGCTAATAGCTTTATAGGCTAATTTACTACCTATTTCTCGAGAGAATCCTAATAAAAATAATAATAAAAATACTAGAAAGTAATTATAAGAATAGGTTATTTATAGGATATAGAAATTAGAGTTTTTAATAATTTTTATATAGTTTTTCCAAGAATAAATATATGGTTTTTTAATAGTTTTCTAATAAAAGTATTTATTTTTTATATTTCTATTTAGCTAATAGTATTATAATATTATTCTTTTCTAAATATTCTTATAATTCTTGAGCTATATTCTCTAGATTATTTAGTAGTTTTTATATATTATTTACTAGTAAGTAGTCTTTCTAATAAATAAGATACTTCCTTTCTTTTCTATTCTTCCTATAAGCTATAATAAATTCTATCTCGAATTCCTTTTTATTCTTAATCTTAACCGGCTCTAGTTCTATTATAATACTAGCTTACAGGTATTATAGTTCTAAGAAAAAAATATGAAAAATATTATAAATCTAATATAATAGTAGTAATTCCAAGTAGTATATCTATTTATATATTTCTATAACTTTTAGAACTTTAAAGAGGCCAAGATATCTATTTACTAGCTTTATACTAGGTTATAACTATTAAATATTCTTTATATAAAGCATAACTTTATTATATATCTTAAACTTCTTATTAATATATTTCTTATTATAGTACTTTTTCTATATATTTATTATTTCTTACTATTATTTCTCTAGTATTTTCTATTTTATTTAAATTCTTTATACTCTTTCCTATATTACTAGTATCTCTTTTTCTAAAATATTATTCTTAATATATAGTTTAATACTAGGATAAAATTCATATAAAATATAAAATAGAAATATTTCTATTATTAAATATATAAAGTTATTATATGTGAATTCTATAAAAGTAAGCTTTATTACCTAGTTATCTTACTAGTAGCTAGTATAGTATCTCAAGTATTATTCTAGAGTTTGGTTTAGATTCTTCGTTTATTTATTAGTTTGCGGATAAAATACTATATTTAGCTATTATTAAACCTTTAAATAAAAATATAGACTTAATTAAAACTTGCTTATAAAGACAAATCCTCTATTAGAGATTATATCTATAAGTATACTAAAGTCTTTAATAATATAATATATAAATAGCTTTACTAGCTTAGGAGCCAAGATTTTTTTAGTAATTAAAATATATTATATTATTTTTATATATCTATTAATAATAATAAGTATAGAATTATATACTTTATTATAAAACCTAGAAGAGAATAGTCTTATAATAAAGTTTATAGTAATTTCTTACTATAGCTTAAAAAAGAGGAGAAATAAACTAAGTATACTATATAGTAAATATCTTTTTACCTTAGTCTATTAATATATAGGATAAGTTCTAATATAGTCTTTTATATTCTTTCTTATATTTTACTAGAAGTACTTTCTCTAGAGAATCTCTAATATCTTACTAATACTAAAATACCTACTTATAGGATTATTATAATTAGTTTATAGTAATTCTTTTTTAAGAGCCGGCTTATTTAGTATATAAATAGTACCCTAATATCTTAATAACCCAGATATATTAAGTTCCCAAGTCTTAATAGCTCTAGTAAAAGTCTCCTTTAAGAACTATTTATATTACTAGTATTATACTAATAAATTAAACCTTTAGTACTATAATAGTAGTTTAAGTAATATCTCTTTACTTTCCTTATATATTATTTTGGATCTAGCTATTTATATAGCTAGAATCTATAATATATACTATTTATAACTAGCTATATTAGTAATAGGCTTAAGTAATAGTATCTCTAGTACTATTCTATTACTAAAATAGACTTTCTTTTCGGAATTTCTTAGTATCTCACTAATTGAGAAATACTTATCTTTTTTTTCCTAGGCTTTATATTATAGTATTATAGGAATAGTATAGTATCCTATTACCGCTACTTATAGGGTTCTCTATTCTGTATTCTATAGCTTATTATAAAGTATAAATAATAAAGTATCTTTATTTATATCTATTATAAAGTCTAGCCTCCTTAATAGCCTATTAGTAGAATTACTATATTCCGGCTAGTACTCTAAGATAAAGTTAAAGATAATTAGCTTCTTTACCTATCTTATCTATTAATTATTTAGTTTTCTCTTAGTTATAAAGTATTTCAAGTTATTATAATTTATTTTAATAATAATAATATACTAGATATATATTAGGTAATATTACTAAGTATGAAATACTAGAATAATAGCCAAGAGTTTAAAGTTATATGTTTTATATTTACTCTTAATTATAGTTATCTTTTTTAAATAAAAAGTAATAGGATATTATCTGGCTTCCGTTTTCTTACTAAAGAGCTAGGAAATCATATCTATAATTATAAATCCTAAAGTATTTATTTCTATATAAATCTTTAAGGCTAGATTAAAATAATAAAGAATTAGTACTATTATAAATATAATTTATAGCTTCCTAAAAGCCTTATTTGCCTTATTTATCTAGCTAAACTAATATAGTAGTTTTCTACTAGTTTTTAGTAAATTAGTTAACTCTTTTACTATCCTAAAGTATTTATAAATAAACCTCTAGTAAAAGTTAGTAAAA